GGTTCATAGACCGTTCGTATATAGCTCTGATAGTCTGAATACTGCACTGACACTGCTACCGCCCTCCCTGCCGCCCTTCCACCGTCACCCCGTGACATCTTATAGAAGATAAGCTTGCTCTTAAACCTATAATTAATAGCAGCCTATATATAGATCTTCTCATTAATATTATCTAGCTCCTTAGTAGTGAGATCTACCAGATTAGGTAGAGGTTTAGTACTAGGTGCTAAGGGGATAATTTCCTTATTAATTTTAGCTAGATCTTAAGAATTAGGGATCTCTAGCTTACTCTCCTTAATATAGTGGTTATAAAGCATATTCTAAGGCTTACTATAAGTGCTGTTAATATTATAGTGTATCTAGTGAACCTTGTAGTTAGGGCCTTTATCTAGATGCTTCTTATTTAAGTACTAGATCTAGAGAAAGCTCTATATTAAGTAGTACTAGTACTCAAGATCACACACTTTCAGGTGTAGATTTTGATATAACTTGTTAATGCCCTGCTTAATAATAGGCATATATATATCCTACTTAAGTAGCTCTAGTGCATCTTTTATATGTTGAAGTTATTTAGGTAGATATTAAGACTAGCTATGGCTAGTAGATCTATCTATAGAGTGATCTTTACTAACTTTAACTTATTAAGTAGCTAGTCTATTACATTAATATCAGTATTAAAGAGTAGCCACTTCCTTCCTTATGTCTCTACTAGGTCCTTCTTACTACTAGAGACTTGTATATATTAAGAAGTCTGAGAATTATAGCTGTAATAGTGGTCCAATTAAGTCTAGATGGGCCACTCTGGCTAAAAGAACCAGAAGGCATTACTGATCTAAATCAAGTGCTAATTCTCCTTGTCTATATAGTGCTCGTTAATATAGCGGCTAAGAAGCTATATATAATCCTCTAAATAAGCCCTAGTGTCTATAGAAGTAGGTCTTATAGCGTAAAGGTCATCAGCAGTAACATCAAGAATAGATCCATGATGCTCTGCCGCACCCGGCACTAGTGATTCGTCATGTATATGAAAGCCTTTGAATTTCCGCATGATTTGACCACCTACGTGTTGAGCATGACGAGAGCAGCAGATTGACCTACATGGCGAGTTTATACGATGAGAAATGGCTACATAGGTGGCTTGTGAACACAGGGGTCTGGAGGGGGGAATGGTCTAAGCGAGTAAACAAACAGACGGCAATGACACTTATTTCCGGAGCAACTTGCCGTCCTCGCTGACCCTAACGCCCCGAGAACGATCTGCGTATATCTCAACTTACAACGTAAGATGCAACTCGTATATCGAATAGAGCGGGTTGGAGGCGGAATGATCCATTTGGTCAGATACCCGTGTGTAAATTGTATCATGCAGATCGCTCTATGCTATATACACCTAATGCTCTACACTCATGTGTACAATCGACGATTACATGGTTCCTACATGAAAGCGATCAAGAAGACAAGTCAGGGTTGACCGTAGCCACCACACTAGGACGCGCTGTGCCAACAGATATGCCCTTAGACCCAAACTTCGGATGGACAAGCGGAGAAGCGCTGCTAGAACCTGACACAGATCTTCTGTCGCCACCCTGAGAGCTCGGTGGACGTATCGTCTTCTCAGCAATATCCAGATCTGAATTGCTCTCCCCAGTCTTATCAACCGCACCAGCACCGGATCCATTGGCAGAAGCGGAAAGCTGCTCCGCCGAAGCCTGGCCATTCACTTCTACCACAGGTCGCTTTTCAGACCATGGCAGAGCCACCATCGAGGCGTTAGCTGGAGACCGCGTCGTATACGGTCGTTCTCTTTGTCGTTGAGCGAAGCTCTTAATCACCGGGCTCGTCTGATCGAGGTCGGAATACGACGCTTCATCTTCCGACCACCCTACACTGCCGCTGCCTTGCCTTCGGTGGTAGTGAGCTGTGTTGGTCAAAGTCAATGCGAGGCTGCGAGGCGTCCCGGCATTCTCTCTTTCGACCGCGAAATGCCTCAATGCTTCAAACACATGAGGGAAGACCAGCTTGTCCACTTCTTGCGCCCAAAGGAAATCCAGATGCTCAAAATGCGGGATCTCGAACGCCATGGTATGCTTCGGAAGTTCCTTCAGCATGACCCTTATGTCCACCAGAGAATCACTGCCACCGTAGACCAGTACGATCGGTGTCTTGATGTTACGTGTGGGGAATTTAGCTACTTTGTAGTATCGTGAGCTGGATCCGATGCTCATAGCATTTGATGAGTCGTCGTCGTACATCTGGAAAGATTTATTCCTGATAATCTGAAACCAGTGCACGACCGACTTTGTGCTTGTGAAGCTGTACAAGTGTGGGTAAGCTGCCAGCTTCTGATGGGCTGAAATGTTCTTGCTGTACCACGCAAACAGGAAGCCTAGTGACATATCGATAAGTCGGACGAAGATTGGGGGATATAGAATTGACTGCCACATCGTCGCCGACGAGAGGATAGATTTTCTGCCAAACGTGAGGAAAAGGACATCGGGGCTCGATTTGACAAGGGAATCGACGATGCCGTTGTTCAGTCCAGCTGGCGACATTGCAGGAGCGAGGGCGATAAAGAGATTGACCTTGTCGTTCATACCCGGATGAATGGAGAGTGTAGCAAATGCTTGTGCCGTACCCTGACTGAAGCCGATGTAGGACAGTGTGGGCTGGGAAGTTGTTTGTAGAATATAGTCTATGGTGTCTGGAATATCGTGGAAGGCAAACTCGTCCATGGAAAAGTTCCAGAATCTAGGTGAGGTAGGTGAGCAATGCACTGATTTCTTGCTGTATTTGTTTCCTCTGTTGTTCCCGAGCCAGACATCGTAGCCCTGATTGACTAAAGCAAAAGGCAGACATCGTTCCTCCTCGGTGAGACACACCCAGACTTCACTGTTCATTAACAGTCCATGATGAAGGTACACGACTGGTTTGCTCGTAGAACCTGGGCCAGCGTTGGTGCGAGCATGGTCGTAGTCTTCGCCTTTCGCAAATGGCAGACGGTGGACACCCAGCAGATATCCGTCGCCGGTCTGAACTATGTGCTCCTCAGCATAGTAGCCGAATAGCGCACATAGCTCGGTGAAGTCTGAGCATGTCGCAACGGAGTGTGAGATCGTCTTATTCTGCGCACGTGCTTGCTTTGATTTGGTTGAGGATAGGCTGTTGAAGAGTCTTCTGGACGTGTTGTAACATAAGCGAATAATGGGCTGCGGCAGCCCGAGTGTGATCACTCGTATAAAGGCTTCAAAGGCGACTAAGATGAGAGATCCGAGGAGGGCCAGGTACTCCCGCCTGCAGGCATGGTTAGATATGTCTCCCAGGGATCACCTGGGTGGAACTCACCAGAAGAGCCGTCCTATAAATGGGACCCTCGCCATGCTATCGCTGCCGTTATGATCCAGTGAAGGTTCCTACAGGCCACTCTTCCAGCGATCCAGCCATTGAGAGAGACTTGTGCGTTGCTGGACAGATAGCTCGTGCTGTGTAGCATCAGAGTTGAGGGCACCAGTTTTCCGGTCGCGGGCATGTGCAAATCGCGGCGATGACGCAGGAACCGCGTTAGCGGCGATTGCTTGATCACGTGCGGCCAAGCAATTCGGATCGTTCAAAGCAATTTTGAACATCGGACTCTTCCTTTCTTTCTTACCATATGAACAACGCAAATTTATAACGTTCCTTCTAAAAGCATTCCTACGAGGTCGCCCTAGGTGGTCCATGAAGTACGGAAATCGTCTATCGGAATGGAGATCAAATTCAATATTAGGCCGATTATGGGTGCAGTGCCAGCCTGTGGCTCTCAAGATGCTCGTGGTTGGGACTGCAATGATTGGCCGAACACTTCGTTCTTATGAAATACATTTTGATGGCGCCGGATTGTCTCTATGCGCTCACGTTACGGTCTGGGTATCATTGCTATCATAACTCATTTCGACTCGAACCATTGCTCAATCCTCTCCACGAGATCAGCTTTCTTGCCAGCGACTGGGAGTCCTTTGGCTGTACAGAACTCCTTCAGTTGCGCCACTGTCAACGAGTTCAACTTCTGCTTTTCGAACAGATTTCGCATCTGTCCCTCGTCAAGTCTCTGGCTAGAGTCAGTCTTGACTTTCTTAGCCTCGCCAACGCGGCTACCCCCATTCTGACCAGGCATAGCCCGCTTGCTGCCCGTCGCAACTGCTTCGGGGTTGTCTGCGGTAAATTGGTTGTACTCGGTCTCCAGTGCTCGGCCCCAGGCTATTGCTTCATTGCCGATGCGCTTGTCGATCTGCTTGTACTTTGGAAGGGTCTTGTCTTCGGGCTTGGACGGGACGTCTTCGTCCAATGCCAATGCCTGGAGGATACGGTAGTGCCATTGTAGACTGGGATTCGCGTATTTGGTTGGGTCGTACGTGCCCTTTGGTAGGTTCAATTGCTCTGTGCATATGTCAGTGTGTTCCAGGCACGAGGACGCTGCTCTTACGGATCATGGGTCTCATAGCATCAACAAGTGAGTCTGATGCCACTGGAGGTGTACGCAAGGTGGGGGGATTCTGCCTTATGTCATCCGCGAAAGGTAGAGGTATGAGGTGCAGTCCTTGCGGGGTGCCCGTCACCGAAGTGCTGGCAAGGTTCTTCTCTCCAGCCTCTGTAGACGTGGGTACCATGGCGGCCATCACAGGAGTCGCATTGCGACGTGGAACAAACCAGCAGAGTCCAAACAGCTGGCTGTTGAATAACTTCTGGTATAGAGCACTGTACACTTTGGTGCTTCCCGTATAGGCTTCTTCAGAAGGGTACAAGAATGTCGAATTTTTGGTGTTTGCCCACAACGGAAGCTTCTGCATTGGCTTGAAGCCAATGATTCGGATGATTGGGTCCCCGAAGTCACGTAGCTTCTTCATCTCCTCCTCTGTGAACGTAATCTTCTCGCCGCCGAAAGCGAACGCCTTTCTGATGTCCGCCTTTTGGACCTCATGCGACAATTTCGACCCAGTCACAGTCTCTTGCGTGATCTCCAAAGCTCGTTTGCCAACCACAATCTCGGGAACTTCGCCTTGCAGGTGGATGTAACAACTTCGTGCCGGTTGCTGATGTTTGTACAGAAGATAGCCCTTGACCGAGATGCGCAAGCCGGGACCGATTTCCAGCGGCACTGACGAGAACAGTGCTCGTTTAGGAGTGATTTTGGATGCGATGCTAGACAGAAGAGATTGCAGCAATCCGATGCCGTCGCTCGTGCCGTCAGACTTCAATGTTGAGGTGTCCGCGTTCGCGACCGAGACAGGGTTGTGCACAACGGCATCTGGATCGTCTGGCAGGGTGTTGTAGACAACGTCGTCGTAGAAGAGCTTCCGGTCAAATTCTCGCGTTGAGTTTGATATGGGGAACAGCTCGATCGTGACGCCAAGATCGTACAGGTCTTTTGCACGAACTGTCGCTTGGGAGCGATGTGCTTTGTTGTCAGCATGAGGATCGTCGTTGTTCGTGACTAGGAACAATCGTCGGGATGCGAAATTTGCTGCTTTCTGCTGGAAGATCTGGTTGGCACAAAAGAGGACGGTATCCATGCGAACCGTCTCGCTTGTAGGCTTCACTACGTCCAGCTGTTCTGGATTCCCATCCTCCACAAGCTGCTTCAGAGCCTTGACATCCTCAGCTTCCGGAACATCGAGATCGACCAGCAAGTAGCAATGGGGATATGACCACCCACCACTTGTCGCTGCATCTTCGTTGTAGAACTTCGACGCCTCTGTGCCATAGAGTAAGACGCCGATGAGGTCCTTCGGTGAAGCAATGATCCGTTGTTGCATGAGATGGTAAGCAGCTTTTAGAGCAGCCATCAATGGCGAGCTTGCGTCGCCTTTCTGTCCAGCTGTACTGGATGGCTTCTGCAGCATTGAAGGGCTGACCTCAATAGCAAACAGCACGGCATCCTTGACAGCTTTAAATCCAGTCTCGTCGATGTCTTCGTCATCCTCCTCATCTTGTTGCTGACGCACCCCGTCTGGCTCTTTTGGACGATGTGCTAGACTCTCGGCCATTGTTGTGATCCTGGGTCTCAGATGGGAACCTAGAAGCTGGTGTCGCTACCTCGCCGCATTTGCCATGCTATACAAAAACGTCGGACAAGGCAATCGCGTTCGTGTATCAGGCGTCAACGCGTGGTCACCTGACGAGTGTGGGGAGGCCTCCGAGCTACCCTAATTCTGCGCACAAGTGAAGCGAGAAATTCGATGTATCATGGCTATCTCAATAGGTAGTCTTGGAGACAGCCTCTGGATGAGTCAAACTGAATGCTGATTCGTGCTCGGCCTCTTCGAGCGGAATGATTTCATGCGGTCATCGGTTACTCCATGGAGTCTGCAAATCTGACTGAATATATTCGGCTCACTACGTAGACTTCAACCACACCGCGAGTCGTAAAGACATCCGCTAACTATGGCTCGGTGATTGAAAGCTCTATCATCTTACCTGTGCAACGAGAATGTGGCTCCCACGCCTGGCCCTGCGTCCGGCGCAGCTCACCTCTAGCAGCGTGTTGCGGAGCGTTAACGGCAATGCTCTGCGCACAATGGCCACAGCAGTGGCGCCGCCAGTCACACAGAACTCAGCAGGATCTCAAGGGCCAACAGCAATGGTCTTCATGAACATGGGCGGCCCGTCGACGACCGATGAAGTCGGTGACTTCCTAAGCAGACTTTTCGCGGATGGGGATCTCATACCACTTGGAAGATTGCAACCCTATCTTGGACCCCTGATCTCAGCGAGGCGCACCCCGAAGATACAGAAACAGTACGCAGACATCGGCGGCGGTTCCCCTATTCGCAAGTGGTCGGAACATCAGTGCGAAGAGATGTGCAAAATATTGGACCAAACGAACCCAGAGACGGCGCCGCACAAGCCATACGTGATGTTTCGTTACGCAAATCCGCTCACCGAAGACGTCTATACGAAAATGCTCAAGGATGGCTTTGGACAAGGCAAGGGAGGTCGAGCAGTTGCATTTACACAATACCCTCAGTACTCTTGCTCAACTACGGGCAGTTCGCTGAACGAACTGTGGAAGTGGAGGACGCGGCTGGAAGGCAAGCGGGCCACAGGCGAGGAGCAGACCGAGGGAACGATCAGTTGGAGCGTGATCGATCGTTGGCCGACTCATCCAGGTCTCGTCGAAGCTTTCGCGCGAAACATCGAGGCGAGGCTTGCGGAGTACCCAGAGAATGAGAGAAAGGACGCAGTCATCCTCTTCTCAGCCCACAGCCTCCCAATGAGTGTGGTCAACCGAGGCGATCCATATCCTGCCGAAGTTGCCGCTACAGTCTACGCCGTCATGAACAGATTGAACTTCTCGAACCCTTACAGGCTGTGTTGGCAATCGCAAGTCGGCCCATCGGCTTGGCTAGGCGCTCAAACCAGCGACACAGTGAAGCACTACGTCGAAAGAGGCCAGACCAACCTTGTCCTTGTCCCTATCGCGTTCACGAGCGACCATATCGAGACACTGTACGAGATCGATCTCGAGGTCATGCACGAAGACGCGAAGGGCCATCCCGGCGTGAAACGGGCTGAGAGCCTCAACGGCAGTCCGGTCTTCATTAAGGCTCTTGCTGATATTGCGGGAGCCCATCTCCGCAGTGGTGACAGCTGTTCGAAGCAAATGGGTCTGAGATGTCAAGGATGCAAAAGCGAGCGGTGTTTAGAATCGAAAAAGTTCTTTGCGGGACAGTCCAGCTTACCAGGCTTACTGCCTGCCATCAGATAGACCTGGGCTAGACTTTACAACATGTACAATAGCGGAGAAGATGCCTCCCTCGGATCTTTCTCACTTCTCAGTACAACTCAAACAACTGTGCTGCCTAGGAAGCCTCAATGCAAAGGTCTATCTACCAGGCTGCTTATAAACCCAAGCGAGTTTTGTCCCGGCTCCCCGGCGCCCGGGAAGGGTTTCCGCTCCAGTGTTGGTCCTTAATTCGACCGACCACATCCATGACTTTAGGCTTTCCGCGTCTCGTGGGTCGTTTAACCTGATCCAAGAATGAAGATAGAGAACGGCTTCAGTTGTGCAGCCGTCAATGTCAATTACGTCAAGATAATGGTATAACATCTTCAGCAGCCCATTTCATATTTCCTTTTGTTGCAGATTCGTAGACTACCACTGTCCCTTCTTCTTTGCGCAACTCGTCTGCCGGCTTGCATCCTCCACGGTCGAGTGGTGCACTCCCCGCAAGTCCCCGGAAACCCCTTCTAACGCTGCCGCCAGCTCGAGCCGAGTCCGCGAGATGAATCAAGAGGACGCGTTCGCCGAGGAGGCGCAAGAGGAGATCATGGTCCGAACGGGCACTCAGCAATCCGACGAGGATTCAAAATCACAAGTGCGGGCGAGCACGACAGAAGCCGATGACGAGCAAGATGAGAGTAGTCCTCTTATCCCGGATCGGAGTACGCGACCACAACGCGCACCTCTAGCACGAGCCAACGACAGCTATTATCGTGCCATAAATGAGCCATGGACTGGTTCACATGGCGCCGGGTCGCTGCCGTGGTGGAAGCGACCATCGATATATTGGTTGCTGCCCGGATTTTTCCCTTTTTGCATAGCCTTTGGCGGGTTGATAGTACCAAAGCAATATCTCATACTGGATCTGATCTGTAGAGACTATCTGGCCGATCAAGCAAGTCAGGATCCCAACTTCAGTTTCACGCCGGTCATACTCGGTGGCAATAACCCTCAGTGTCGCGACCCGGAAGTGCAGTCTTTGGTTGCCAAATTCAACCTTTACGCCAACCTGTTGTCCGGATTGTTTGCAGCTATTGTTGCTCCTCAGCTAGGTGCTCTTTCAGATCGTCATGGACGAAAGACGGTTATGCTAGCAGTCTCCTTCGGTGGATTTGTGATGGAGATTGTGACCATCCTTGTGGGGACGTATCCGGACTCGATCTCAGTGTATTGGATTCTGCTTGGTAACCTCATTGACGGACTATGTGGCTCTTTCACGACAGGTATGGCCCTGTCGTTCGCCTATGCCGCGGATTGTACACCACCAGAGCAGCGGAACAAAGCCTTCGGCTTCTTCCACGGCACACTATTCACAGGTGTAGCATTTGGGCCTCTGATTTCCGGCGCTCTCATGAAGGCAACGGGTACTGTTATGGTAGCCTTCTACTTGGCACTTGGTTGTCATGTGTATTTTATCCTTTTCTTGAGCGCACTGGTACCTGAATCTTTGTCCAAAGAAAGACAGATGCTGGCAAGGGAAAAGCATCACCTCGCCAAGTCCAAGACTGCGAAACAAAGTTGGTGGACTTCCTTGCGAGCATGGAATCTGTTCGAGCCTCTGTGGGTTCTGCGACCCCGTGGCCCAGGATCGAGTCCAGCACTCCGACGGAATCTTTTCCTGATTGCAGGCATCGACACGTTGATGTTTGGAGTCGCGATGGGTACGATCAACATAATTCTGATCTATGCTCAATATCGGTTCGGCTGGGACGAAGTTGCTGCGAGTCTGTACGTCTCCGCAGTGAACGTGTGCAGAGTGCTTGCATTGGTAGTGTTGCTGCCATTGCTCATTAAGTGGTTCAGGAAGCAAGGCAACCAAGAGCAAGGACATCGAGGTGCAGACCTGCTGGATATCAACATCATCCGGACTTCGCTGGTGTTTGATCTCATTGGCTATCTGGGATATGCATTGACACCGAATGGTGCCATTATGGTGATTGCAGGCCTCATTGCCTCTGTCGGTGGAATTGGCTCTCCCACGCTACAGTCGTCACTCACGAAGCATGTTCCGGCCGATCTGACCGGCCAGGTTCTTGGTGCTTCTGCGCTGCTACACGCGCTGGCCCGTGTTGTGGCTCCTACGATTTTCAATCTACTTTACAGCAAGACTGTGAAGATATATGCCGGTATTGTCTTTTGCTGCCTGTCGTTTGTATTTGTGGTTGCCAATGTGATGAGTTGGTTTCTTAAGCCAGGAGGTAAGTCTCATTCCCAGTCCAGGCTCTCTTCAACCGCTAACGCCTTCGCAGTCTACTTCAAGGAAGTATCAGACTACTCGGATGAGACAGAAGAGGCCGAACATCACATGTAGTAGGTTTGTGGAGATTTACGATTCTGCAATAAGTAGCATGTTAACAATACTAAGAAATGCTCGTTGTGCCTAAGGGACGTCGAGGCTTGAGGTCTCGTTTATTGGCTCCTTGTCGTGCCTAAAGCACGTTGAGCCTCGAGCTTCAATGTTTGCCGTTGCCGTAGGCAGAACCCTGGGCATTGAATGGCCTTGAAATGGCCTTGCGTGAGAGGGGACCCGTCACTGGGTGTTCGCAGATGTTCGCTGTGCGCCGCCGTACCATATCCCGAGACTGTGTTCGACTTCTACGCAATAGAATACATGTAGCCATACTATCGTGCAAGAGATGCGCTTTAACGAGTAATATCCTGCTCAGGCCGCTGTAAAGGTGCAGCACATTGCAGTCTCGCCCTCCTGTGCACCACACAAATGTCCAATCCGGGACACGTCTAAGCCATGGACACCCAACATCATGGCGCCGGTCCCCTCGCGAAATGCTCTACGAGCACTGCGGGCTCTAGCCTTCTCAACGCCGACCCTCGTTGCCGGCGCAGTCGGTAGCGCATGCTGCGCTGCAGGCGTTTACTGTGAAGCAAGGAGCCGGGTCAGGCTGGCAGAGAAAATAATTGCCACCAAACGCACGCTTCGATCGATATCGGATGGTCGTGGCAATGCACGTGTTGCACGCATGTTCGAGGCTGCCGAGCAGGGAAACGACTTCCTGCTCGACTCAGGCCCCGCGCGAAGGCGGCGGCGAGGTCGTCGCCATGCATCTACCGTTGCGCAGCTAAGAGACGAAGAGGACATCGATTCACTTCAGGAGAAATTAGCCGCCATTCCAGCGCAAGTGAAAGCTGCCAGGCGGAGACGGAAGTTGACTGAGAGCATGAGCATGAGTGCCGTGAGCGACGCTGTGGATGGCGCTTCGAGTCCGCCGTCCGACGCAGGCCTGGTCATAAGGAGATACGAGCTTCTTGAGAAGCCTCTGAAGGATCGAGATCGAAACGCGCGGTTTGTGCGGACGACTGATACAAGAAGTGTACCCATCGAGGAAAAGGGCCCCATTTTCAAGAATATGCACCCGACGCGGTCGAGCATGAAACGACCAACGCAACTACTGCGCTCAATTGACGTTGCATCGCTGGTAGATCCAGAGGCAGGTGGTCGACCTTCGAAGTTGGGAGGCATTGATCGAATATTACAAGCATCCTTGATGCAACACAAATCCTCGGACTTCACTGTGCATCACCGAGATCCGCAAAAGATCGCTGCATCCGAAGAGCATGCCGGTCCAGATGCACAAGAAAATTTTGAGGACCTCACCGAAAGGGCAGCGGAGCATCGATCGTTGCAAAGCGACATGCTTGCCCTTCCAGATTCAGACATTTCATCTTCGGTGCCGGGAGTGGGCTCGCTCGATACTGACCTTGACACCTACGTCTCGCCGCTCTTCCCAGCATCGAGCACTACCGAGCGACCCAAAACTGGAACAGCGTCAGTTGTGCCGTATTCACTCAAGAGACCCCAGCCTGTTGATACCGAAAGACCCCGACCTTCAGATATAGGTAAGCTTCTCGCACCGGAGCTCACCTCACCTGCCGCTTCTCCCGCAGATCCATCTACCGATCACGAGATGTGGCACGATGTCCGGCGCGCACCGCAGGCGAAAGACCAGGAACTTACAACCACTTGGGACGGTTCAAACCCAAGCGATGCGCAGTTCAATGCAGTAGTTGAAAAGCGCCTCGCATCAGAGACTGCCCTCGGTCTACAGCAAGCCGAGGAATTCTTCCATAGATATTACTTGCCTGCAAAGCACGGCATATTGCCCGCGGCCGCCACCCAGCTCATTCACCGATTTCTAGCAGCCGAGCCCACACGTCGTCAAGCGTTTCGCATCTTCGGCCATGTTCCGGCAGCGAAGAGAAGCACCGAGTTCCAGAGTTTCATTTGCGCAAGACGAGTCATGCAATACATGCTAAAGTTCTGCATGAATGGGACTGCGCCTTCAGTCTGGATAACAGAGTATTATAAAATAGCCGACATTGTAAAGGGTGCAGGACTTCCTCTACATGGCAGATCTGTTGAGACCTTGCTGCGAGCGCTATGCTCTTCTGGGCAACCCGTCGAAGCAGAGGCTATCTATGAGGACATGGTCGCTAACTACGGGATGGCGAGGGCATTACAGTCCGATCGAGTAGTTGCCATCGGATATGCGATGCAGCATGATTGGACTTCCGTGAACCGAATCATGGCGAGGCTGCAAGAAGATGGAGTACCGAGAAGCCGCCCTAGCGGCTACTCGATCACATTTCAAAAGCTGTTTCGCGTCCACCTCCGCAATCACAGTCTGGACGCCAGCTACGAGTACCTGATCAATGCTATGGGATATTGGAAGCTTGTGCCCAATAATGTCATCTCATCGATCCTCATCACGGCTTGCATCAGAGCACGGAGATATGAGCATATTCAAGAGTGGCTTGAAACCGTCCGTCAGATGTGGCCTCGCCTTGCTTCAGTCACGAACTTCCAGTTATTCGCCTACCAAGTCAGTCGGGCGTGGGCAGAAACCGGAGCCAGCTGCATGGACATTCGAAGTACGTGCCAAGCTCTGGCCCACAGCAGCCTCAGAGACCCGTTCTCAAAATCTTTCCGCTCCATGGCGAGGGAGGCGATGTGTTCTGCTCTTCACCGTGCCTACAAAGGAGCATTCGAAGGACTTGTACCTATTCAGCAACTCGAGCCTGACCGCTTTGACCAAGCCATGGATCGTGTGACAGCGTCATTACGGGACTTTGATCGGCAAGGTAGCCTCGATGATTCTCGACGTACTGCTCTCGAATATCTGGAGCTGGAGCTTGGCGCAGCTCAAGACTTTCAAAGGATTATGCGTGGGCACGGTTCTTCGCTATCAACTGCGAGGATTCAGGCCATCCAGAATCCCAGCGAAGATAAGTCCAGCTATGCTCTGCAGGACTCCAGCGCGCTCCTGCAAGACATCAAGAGCGAGGGACGCCTCACCTATGGTAGACATAAAATTGCCTTCGTCGCCGAACGATACGCTGAAAACTTTGCTGCGGGTCGTGCACCGCCACATGGCATTCTCAAAGCTGTCGTGGAAGAGATGGTACTTGTGGACGAGCTAGTCGAAGCTGTCAAATTGATCCGCAGTGTTCACAGCAGTCGCTATATCACAGGACGGAACGGTGCGTTCTTCGATGGATCTGTATACACCACGTGGCTTGAGCTATGCGTGACAGTGGGCTCATATCTCGAAAGCACAGTGGCCATGTGGGCACTTCTCGATGCCAGTCGCAGCGTCACAATCACAGCTGAGCACATGATCCTGGTCACAAACTGCAGTTCAAGTCTGTATCAACCAGCAACGAAGCATCACTCTAATGTTGTGGAAGCTAAGAAGGAGATGGATTATCTACACAGACGACTGGCACGTGTGCGGTGGATGCAACGTGGAACCAGGTCACGAGAGCCCGGCGATCGAGCCATAGACCTGGTCTTATCGACGCGTGGCAGTCGTGGCAGCAACAAGTCAAGAACAAGGTGCATTGGCTGTAGATGAGCTGTGCACAAGGGATTAGGTTAGAAGAGAAGCATTGCTTAGCGCTTGAAGCTTTTAGACAACCTCAACGTCCAACATATGCAGTCAACTACTGCTCGGATCTCTAGAAATGTATGACTAGCACTGCATCTGCTTCTTTACTATGCATTACATGCTGTGCGCGATGACATAGATCTATCCCGGCTACGTGCCTTGCAGACATGCAGTGGTATAAACCGGGACTTTCCGGCGCCCGATCCTCGGAATTAGGATGGACGGTGCGGCCGCTTTGCGCCCGCTTCAATGCGACAGGTGGTTGCGGAGCTCACGCATGGACACCCAAGGCTGGAATACTAGGGATTCGGCTTTAAATATACTTCTTCTGATCACAGAACTACTGAGTCAAATACCTACTGGCAATTTCATCACCTCGCAATCGATATAAAGTCGTGATACGCGGCAGTCCGAGGTCGATTTGCTCTGCTGTATTCTACCTGGCTGCGACTGGTCAAGCTGCTGAAGCCGAGCACTCAGATTTCACAACACACAATCGCAGCGGCGTCTTGTTCTGCGAAGGCAGACTGCTGGGCAAAGTTGAATGTTTCTCTGTCTCCGGGAGGCGAGAGGTCTTCCAAAATGGCAGACTTACCTGCGCAGACGCTCGCAGGCAAGGTTGCAATTATCACAGGTAAGAGTCATATGAGGACGATCGACCATCACACATACTAACATGGGTGGATTGAAGGATCTGCTCGAGGTATAGGATCAGAAATGGCGCTAGATATGGCGAAGCGTGGTGCGAATGTGAGTGCACCCGCCCACGCGAACTCAGCAAGTATCTGAACTTTTGGCTAAGGTCACAATCACCTTCACATCCGACTCGTCTCAGTCAATCGCCGAGGAACTGGCCGCCAGAATCAAAGCTCTTCCCAATGACAGCTCGGCCACTTGCGTGCGAGCCAACATGGCTGATCCAGCGGCGCCAGATGCTATTGTGAAGGCGACCACAGATGCATTTGGACCACACATTGACGTTTTGGTGAACAATGCAGCCGTCCAGGTCACTCGCGATTTGGTGGACATCACGCGCGGAGACTACGACAAGACGTACGACGCGAACGTCAGAGGCGTCATCTTCCTCACGCAAGCAGTCCTTCCGCATCTAAGGGCGCCAGCGAGGATAATTAACATCTCGAGTGTGGGTGGAAGGGCAGGCTTCGCCAGCTTGTCCCTGTACGGATCGAGCAAAGGCGCTCTGGAAGCTCTGACGAGGTCTTGGGCTCGTGAGCTGGGGAAGGACGGCACCACTGTGAACTCGGTAGCACCTGGTCCTGTTCAGTCGGATATGCTGGACTCGATTCCGCCTTCAATCGTCAAGGCTCAGAAGGAGAGCACTCCTGTTGAGCAGCGTGTCGGGACGCCGAAGGAAATTGCTGATGTAGTGAGTTGGCTGGCTAGTGGCGAGAGCAGCTGGGTGTCTGGCCAATGCCTCAATGTCAGCGGCGGCTGGACCATGTACTGAGGATCGAGATCTAGTATTTTTGTCCTTGCGCAACACCATAGCTGCCACCGCCGGCGTACCATGCAGCCAGTATCAGGTCACAGAGGTCTTTCGCCTCAACATCAGTCAGTGGCATATGATGGCCCCCCTTGAAGTCCATGTCGAAGCAAACGTCGCCTTCGCAAGCCGCTCTCATTTGCTCGCAGCCACTCTTCACGTGATCATCTATACCCCAGGCATGCACCGTGGGTACTTCTTTTAGCAGCGCATAGTCTGCTGGATCGACCGTCTCACTCAATGCAATCGGAGGATACGGCCCTCCGACCATGACACCGAATTTGAGATTCCATTTCCTTGCCTCCACCGCCCCTCGATGTTCCCGCTCCCATAACTTCTGTCTCAGCAACAGTCCACCCACCAGCCTCGCGCCTTGACTGAACCCAATGACACCAACAACGCGCTGCCACCCAGCGTCACCAGCCTCGCGCCTCACTGCCGCATCCAATGACTCGTCCACGAGATCTATCTCGTCGCTAGGAGTAGATTCTGTGTCTCCCTCGCCGAGCTTCCACTTACGCGTCACCCACCTATAGAACGGTGCGCAGCTTTCAAAGACCGGGAGCATACCATGTCCGGGATCTCCTTCATGTGGCGCAATTGCAAAGACAAATTTGAATTGAGACCCCAAGGTCCAAATCAGCCGGCGGCATTGGATTTTAAATACCGTAGCTGTTGAGCCGCCGCCGTGAAGGCAGAGGATTATGGGTCGTGAATCATCTTCATCGTTGGCAGGACCTGATGCCGTACTTGCCATGATTGCTGATTTGACCGACGCGCGCAATTGTCCTCCAGATTATAACAACTTGAAGCCCGTCCACCGAGATTGTCGAGTGCTGAAGGTGCCAAAGAAGGTCCAACCTGAGAGCTTGAACGAAGCAGGCAGTAGACACGAGCACTGGGCGTTTTTCGTGATCAGGTCTGTGTGCTGCCTGCTGTATATTTACAAGTCCAGGGGGCGCTGGATGCCTATCGTGCGGTCGCTGTCCAAGTCGGTGGATTTGAGATGAGCCTCACTTGAGCGTCAAACATCAGGAAAGACGTATCGAGACATCCTATTCATGGAGGACGTCGTAGAACTTTCCAGGTTGACAGGCGGCTAGGTGAGGCTCGATGGTTTAGGGGCCTCCCGGGCGCCGAAGATCCCTGCAGCTTACACAACGGCATGCTCCAACTTCGTGCAGATGACGCACTCCCCAAGCAACCTTGACTTGCAGCGACCACTGTACTTTCATTATGTGGACGTGAAAGGCAACCATCAATTGCATTGTCTTCTTGATATTCATCTAGTACATATTCTCGCCCTGGAGCCCGCCTGAAGCATATGATCAGCCTGAAACAGCATCACTTCCCCCCTAATGCTCTGATGCCCAGGACTCGCCGCTCCTGTTCCAATGCAGCCGCACTACGACCTGACCTCTCAGACCCTCCAACAAAACGCCGCTAGGATGTCGGCACCTCTGAACAATGAGATCAGTCAAGTGGTGGAGATGCTCGGCATCACCCAGGCTCAAGCGACGACGCTCCTCCGGAACAATAACAACGATGTCAGCCGCTCGATAGACGCATATTTCAACGATGCAGTAGGGAGCCTTACAGAGACCAACTTGGCGGCGCATAATACCTGGGAGCAGCAGGATAATATTCCGTTCGATGGCGACGATGATGCTCGGTCTACTGGCGCTATGCCGGCGCTGAGCCGGCCACCCAGTAGGGCTGAACAGAGTGGTGGTGGTGGGGGGCACGTGAATCCGATCGATTTGACGCAAGCCCACGCGCAGGCGACGACGCAGGCAAACGCCGGGACTACTCAAGAGCAAGACGAGGAGGCACAATTACAGGAGGCGATGAGATTGTCGTTGGCGGAGGCACAGGAGAGCGGTGTGACAAGTACAGATCCTACAGGAAACGCCAAAGGCGATCGATATTTCGGACCTGCGACGCGGAACGAATACGATGCAAGCCAATGGCAGATGGTGGCAGTTGCTTCATCTCGAGAGATCGTGGATCACCCTCCGCCTTCGAAGAGACGTCGCATGAATGGCCAACCTGCATTTCTGAGGCCCTCCAATGACAAGAGCTATCTGGCGGCCCTGCTTACGATCTATCATGCGATACCCATGGCAAGAGAAGCACTACTGTTTCCTTCAATGCAAGTTGCAAGCTACGGCTACGATCCAAGCTGGTGGTCTGGAACCTCAGACGCGAACAGCAGATCGATATCCATGCAGACCGACGAAAACCACGACGTTGACCGTACCAAAGCGCTAGCAGAAGTGCAGTGTCTGATGGCTTTTCTCGATAACACACAGCGAGCTTACGGCAGTGTGGATGCTCTGCAAGACCTAGCGTTTATGCGGAAGCACCAACGGACCGCTAGCACGGCTTTCTCCGTCTTCCTCGAGGCATGGCAAGATGCAGCACGCTCTCAGCAACCGAACGAATCTCTTGCAGGGATTTTTCACTCCGAGGCCAAGAGAGTCTCGGAAATGGACAACGAGCAGACCAGGGGAATGGTTTGTATAGAGCCACAAATCTATGTACGGCCCAATCAGACACTGGTCAATCTCCTCGACACCACTGTGTGGGATGACACCGATGGTCAACCGCTGGAGGACGTATATATCTCACACTTGGGTGACGTCTTTACAATTAGGATATGGGGAGACGCCAACCTCTGCGCCGAGGGACTGCAGCTCACCGCGCCAGCGACCTGGTACCCCGACCGCTACATGGCAGCTCTCCGCGAGCAGACACGGCAGATGCGCGCCGAGGTTCAGAAGATCCGAGCGCAGATGTATGAGATCACGAACCAACAGAGACGCCTCGAATCTTTCATCGGCTCGAATAGAAGACCAGTCCGCATAAGGGAGGTGCTTGAGGCCGCTGCGAAGGCCGCGCCTACTATTTTGAACGACAGATACGCAGAGCATCAGCCGAACGAGGAGCTGAATGCCGCCAATGTCGCAGCCATAGAAGGGCAGATACGCGCAGTGCTCGCTCGTATCGAGGAGAAGCTCGCCGGTCTGGAATCAAAGAAGAATTCCCTGCAGAAAGAGATTGACGTGCTTGAGCTTCAGTACACGGGCCCGGGAGACGATCCGAGCCAGCCGCCCAATCTGAACTACATGTTGACGGGAGTTGCGACAAAGCCAGAGGTCATCTATGTCCGACAGCGTAGTCATGATTTGCTGGGTCTGGAAGATGACGATGCAACGCGCAAACGTGATGAGTGGCAGTGGTGGCGCATAGCTTGGTCGCCTTCTTCGAGCCAGAAGGCTCCATCCATCGGCCCGGTGTCTCAACCTCAAGCCCAAGTTCCAGCGACGGACGAGCACAACCAGGGTAGCGCTCTCCCTGACCTACCATACACCATAGCTGAAGTCTCTGAGTCGGACGCTATCGAAGCTGTCCGCACGGAATACCACACTGCAGTATTGGTCTACGCCAGCGAAAAAGCATTGGGATTTCAGGGTCGTACCCTCCCCACGGCACTAAGGCAAATGATAGAGCAGGACAATATTAGCTTCGGCCAAGATATCCGGTCGGAAATGGAACCAGAAACGCAAGCACCGCACGGCACCGCTAACATCATGGATGACGTACCTGATCTTGTCGATAACACTGGCACATCTTCAGACACACCCACTGGGAGGTCTCCAGACGGATTTGGCGCGGCAGAACGCAAGTTCTCAGCGATGTCTATCGGCACGTCCTCTTATCGTGACGAGCACGGGCAGCCCTCACCAAAGCGACCAAAGAGCTCGCATGAGAGCGATGGGACCGCCGGCGTGGTATATGAGGACAACACTGGTTCACCGCCTTCATATGATGACAGCGTCCTCCCTACGGAAGAAAATCAAGCTCAGCAGCGGTATCAGTACCGGAACAAGATCGGGGAATACGCCGACTCGTTGTCGAAGATGTACGGTGACACCGCGGAGGAGTTGTCGAGGATGCATGGCAATCCGGCGGGCGGCGGAAGTGGACCTGGAGCCGGCTCTGGCAGCCAGATAAACAGTATCGAGCAACAAAAAGGTGAAAGTGTGCATATTGAACGATCGGATAGTCCGCCGCGGTGAGAGGCCAGCGGTGGAGATCCGACTCGGGGATTCGATGAATTTGAATGGGAGAAAGCGCTCGCGACAGGAGTGAATTGGCTGACAGCGGCCTACTGATGGTGCTCCCATTCGTTATTTGAAGATCTTGCAGTGAGCTCGAGTTGAGGCTTGTCAGGGATAGCACTAATAGAGACTGCGTCCCAGTCCACGATGCGCTGGTGTCGCAGAGGCCTCCCCGGCAGGATCTCAAATAACAAAGATGACCTCTGTCCCTGCTGAAAGCCGCCGTGGCGATGCCTGTCAGGTATTTTGCGATTGAGCCTCCGAGTCATCCCAGGTCCACCCAGTTGATCTGCAGAACGACGCTAGACCTTCAGTGCCCTCTCTGGCTGCTACTGCAACCGATCTTGACCTTGACGTCGTAACGGTGGGACGGTGCGCGTTCGATAGCTTAACCTAACGTCTTCCGGAGCTGGAGTCTGCGGTAGCGATATTGAGAATGTGCATTTCGATAGGATCAGCGCTCGGATGCTGAGGCGATGAGTTCGCGATCGAGTGACACAGCCTTTGTGGAAAAGCTGTATCAGCCATGGCTTGGTGTGCGTGCGCTGATATTATCAGTCTGCCAGCGTGCCCGCCGGCCTGCTCTTATGGATGTTCCAAGCGGCGGTGTGATACTGCCAGGAGATCCCTATGCCGCAGTCAATAGTACGCTCTATGGGTCTCGGGCTGGCTTCTATCGCCTCAATCGTCAGTTCCGACCTCTCAGTCAGACAGGATATCAGGTCCCTCGAGAGTCCAGCGGCAGTGGTAATAAGCATTCACGGCACCGCGAATGTATCGCGAGGACAGATTGTTCGCGACACAGACACAAGCACGACAATGGCCGGAAGTCTTCAGAGGGCAACTCAGAAGTGTTTCAAGATCTGTGTTAGACAAGAGCCAAAGGCGTAGATTGTGCCCCAGATATTCCCGCCAATGCCTATTCAGTACCTCAATCTTTCCGAGGCTTCACAGACGAAAAACCTAGGGACCATGCTGTGTAACCCAAGAACCCTGTTCGTCAGGTTGGTAATTCCGGTCTCATCTTGCAAGCTCCTGTGTCAGGCATGGGTCGATGTTCAGTAGCCGCGCTGTACAGATGGGACGCAGGAATGGTGTGTTACACGGCAGCAAGCAGCTAGAAGGGACGGTCCTTAGCGGTGGGCGCCGAAAGCCACCTCTCCATCGCCAACCTGCTAGCCTGAGGGGTACCTGTGCTGGTTGCAGGTTCGGCGAGGATTGACAGAAGTGATGGTATGTAAGAAGGAAGCGGCGGTACTAGGCTTGTCGTTAATGGAGAGACGGTCTGCCGTCCATGAGGTCGCTTTTAAGGCCGTTACATGTCACGGACGTTGGTTGGCCGCCTTGTTCGCGTTAAGCCAGTGCCCCACTACTGAATACCGCTTCAGGTCCTTGTGAACAACTTTCAGTGAATGACTGTTAGTCGAAGGGTGCTAAGACAGGTGTGCCCGGTATCGATGTCTTGGGAGCCGGCTCAGACAGGGCTGCGTGTGAATGGCCATGGCTCTGCCGCACTCCGGCACGATTCAAGGCCCTTCTTGCAATCATGCCGATGCATGCCCGTATCAGACTGCTGTCTATCGTCCGTGGCCCGGCATGAATGTTGGGAGGTTTGGAAATGGGGGCTGTTGGGCTAGCTTGCAGGCCCTCGACCACTGAACGTTGGTTCCATGTCTACGGGAACGTGAAAGATGACAAGCCGATCTGCCAACGCCGCCAGATGGAAGTCGGTGTGCTGATCTTCACCTGTAGGGGCATGGAAAAAGGACTTGGATGTCCTTTCTATCGGCACGGGGAAGAAGCACCCCTCTGGTTTTCGCCTGTCAGCGGCTATTCCATCCACTGTAAACGATCTTTGAGTGGTCCGACGAACGTCGCCGCAGCCGGTTGTGCAGTTAAGATCCTTGTTGCAGATACCCACCTGAATCATGGTAGGGCCACTGGGTTTGAGGCTACTGCACGCTTAAGCCTGGGGATGTGTCCCGAACACCTTGACTGGAGCAATCAGAGACGGAGCTGGACCGGGGTTAAAATATCACGAAGTGAAGAGTTGCACATCTATTTCGATAACGAAGTGACTGAGATAGCGAGGATAGGTGAGGGGCAACATTGTTCAGAGATAATGGAGAGGAAAGCGCGACAACGATAGTGAACGCAATATAAAATTGAAGGCACTTCCGGTCGCAGGCGCGACGTCTGCCACAGTATGCTTCTGTACGGTATCTGAATTCCGTGTCACTGCATTTGCATCTCGGTAGCTGTCAAACAAGGCCAGTCTATTGTTCTCTCGAATCGCGCCTCTTCGTCCCCTGTGCTCGCTATCTTCGGCAATGCTGTGTACGAGCGCGCAATCCTGGTCCTGAAGAGTATGGCACCCGATCGCACGCGACTTTGGTCGCGACGATCATCATTTTGTACTCTTGTACCACATTCCGTGCATCTCGCATCGTTTTGATCAAGATTCGAGAGGCGGTCAGCGCGGTGATGGATCTGGCCTGGATATCGTCGAATTCTGTACGTCGAGGAAGCTTAACGGGCCTGACTATCCAAGCACAGACACTGGCGGCGACTTCTGCTGCAAGCCACACTGCTGAACCCTCTGTTGAGCACTCGTTTCGACTCCATCTGGCACGAACCTCCCCATGTCTAGCGTTAAGGCTAGTTCCCGGTAGTGTTGGGTTATCGTCCTCTATCGACTTCGGACTGGGTACGCACACGCCGCCAGATTATTCCGTTTCCTTATGCTTTCCACTTTCTCGAGTCGATGCGCGCACACCCACTGAACTGCTTGTTCTTTCGACAGGTCTCGAGTCTAATCGCAGTTTCTTCATCAATAATCAAGCTGGCGGACATCCAGTCGCGAGCGACCCCTCCTCCAGACAATCCCCTCCCTGATCGCTCATTCGTTCTGAGTAAATCTGCCATTCTATCAACCACACCAGAAGGAATCTATCTCTCTTCTTAGACTTCCGCCCTTGCTGCGCACGTCCCCAGGATCAACTTCTACTCGTTCCAGAACCCCATCGTTCTTGTTCTTCACCATCTCTTCCGAATCGCAGAGATCGTCGCAATAGTCGACGCGCTAGCTACCTACGTGCGCGTGCTGCGACTCTACTATAAGCAACTTTCGCAACCATCTCGGGCGGGTAATCATTGTTCACCAGGTGCTTGATATCCCAGCAAGGCGCGCATTCAGCACCCACGGTCTACTCGGAACTACAACGACAAGGTCCAGCACAGTGTTTCCGTCCAACGCCAATTTGTCTCAATTATTGTAAATCTGCCACGTTCGGACTACAAATACATCCGAGGATCGCATTGACCACATCTGTACGCCACCGACGTTGCATCGCAGAGCGTTTGCTGGGGCGGGACTACCAGTCTGTCGCATCAGACTTCGGGACTGTTGGTCGGTTTTGCGCCGAACACGCGGGCTAGACAAAGCTGCCATCGAATGCGTCTGGGTCACGAACTTATCACGACAAGTGCGCCGTCTTAGGCCGTCAACAAGTACGCCGATTAGGATTTTCCGGCATTGGCGTTGGAGTTGTAGGGAGATTGGTCGTGGAAGCCGCAAAGCATGACTGCAGTCGCTGCATTTCGTCACCAGGTTCGAACAGACCAGGTGTTTTCAATGAATTCAAATCTCAACCAGGCCGCCATGGTCGACAGGCGAATGTCCAGCGCCAACGAGAGCAAGATGTCCCCTACAACCCTATTGTTGCGCAAGTTACCGAAGAGCACTACTCCGGAGTCACTGAGGACGATGCTTTTGTTTGCAAAAGATCTGAAGGATGCAGACCTCGTGCCGAACGAGCTTGACGAGGACGTCGGCTTCGCGACAGCCGTTGCCCGCTTCACGTCTATCAACAGTGCCGCGGAGGCCCGTGCGATGCTTGATGGCAAGCCGAACACCGCAGGACAAGGCAACATGATCGTCAATGTCATCTCTGGACCAGCCTTGAGCGCACTCGGCAGGAGGAACACCTTAGATCCTCAGTCGGCGCGTAAGATGACTCAAACGGTCTCTCCTGCTCCCAGTCATCCATCAAAGCCATCCAGGTTCAACGGCACATTCCAAGCCATGGATAAAACATCCCCTCCTGCCGTTGGATCTCCACCGCAGCCTTCTGACAACATGCACAGCATTTTTGCACCCAGTTCCCCGAATGCGACTATGAAGGATCGAAGGATGACTGGCAAGCTGATGATTGGCGAAGAGGGCGGCGACGAAGATACCGGCGATCTGATCAAAGATCCCCTTGCCTACATAAATAGCCAGCCAGTACCCCGACAGCGAGGTCCGCAACCGCCAACTGCCGCTTTCGGAGCGCTCTCCCTGAACACAGACATGCACAATGGCTTGAATGGCCCTCGAATGACTTCGCCACAATCTGCGCACCCATATCAAAATCATGGTGCTTTCAGTCCAGCTGGCGGTCCTCGATCTGCGTATCCAGGTCCAACGTTCTTACGACACAATTACCCGCCCGTCAATCCAGCCGATCAAAATCCGCCGTGTAACACTCTTTACGTTGGCAACCTACCGATCGATACCTCCGAGGACGAACTTAAGGCACTCTTTTCCAAGCAAAGAGGTTACAAGAGACTCTGTTTCCGAACAAAGCAGAATGGCCCAATGTGTTTCGTGGAGTTTGAGGATATCTCATTTGCTACGAAGGCATTGAACGAGCTGTATGGTGTGCAATTACATAACAGCGTCAAAGGCGGCATCCGCCTGAGCTTTTCGAAGAATCCTCTGGGAGTTCGAGCTGGCCAGCCCGGTAGCAACAATCCACATTCAACTATGAGTGGCGCAGGTTCAATGGGCATTTCTTCGCCTACAGGGATGACGCCGCCTGGATTCTCGTCCGTGAACGGCCCACCCCCAGGCCTTGGTATGCCGATGGCAATGAGCAATGGCTCGACAATGCCGGCACCCATAGGAAGCCCGCCGATCACTGGACCTTTCATGCACCAGGGCGCTGGTACTGCTAGTCCACGCAGCGTGCAGATGCCATCAGGCTCTGGGCTACCTCATTTGGGCAGCACCATGTATCCGGACTATATGATGGGTCGATGAGCGATTCGACCGTTGCTCGCTGGCGCTTTCGCTTTCGACCAGTAAATCGATTGCGAAGCGCTAGTACTCGCGCCTCGATATCACACAGCTTAGTCGCAGCTGTACTTTGTGGGTAGATGCCATAGCACCCTTGGCACGATCTCTCGAGCGTCCCTGCTACACTCAGGCAGGATCCATATCATGCAGCATTTTGGCGCAAATGGATAGCGACAGTACTCACACTACTGGAGTTCAGCCTGCGACATATTCATTGAAGGTTACTGATCAGGATTTGCATTCGTTCTTTGGTCTCTATCTCTTTTCGATTCCCCAATTGCGTACATACTGAACGGTCTGGTTTGGGGTGGCTCTCGATATCCTCGTCGGGGCCACGGGATATGACACTGGAAGACGGCACCGCGCTGCGCAAGCACTGGATTTTCTGCTTCATCTTTCTAGGTTGATTGGAGGAACTGGAGGAGTAAAGGAGGCAAAGCAAGCGTGACATCGTTCTCTCTATTGCATTGCACGTTATTTGCGACATTCCTTTGGTATGGGGCATAGCACGATATGAAATGCATTCTGTTCCTTGTTCAGTGGGCGGTCAGAGACTCCCCAGCTGGTAGTTATGGCCCAGGTAGATTGCATGAAACCTCAACGAGCATTCGCGAACTCTTCTTGTAGATTCTTCAGACATTCGAGAACAGGGAATACTGTGTGCAAAGCGGTAAGGAGACAGTCCTGGCTGCACAAGCACTGCAGTCAACAACATCACCGTGTAGTTGTGCGGTCGCATATTTGGGTGGTCTGCCAGATTCTCGTCTGGCATAGGACCTCGTTCTGGCCACCAATGCTAAGTGAACCGCACTCGCCTATTTCCTGTATTCCTCAGACGTCTCCAAGTTCCTGGGAGCCGACGCGACGCGTAGATAGTCGAGAATCCCTTAGACAAGTGTCCCGGAACTCCAAATCGCGGGTTCACTGCGCAGTAAGCATGTGCTTGGGTATTCCAGGGGAGTGTGTATCGGCGCTGTGAGGCAGATCGACCAATTTCCAAGCGGGCTGGGCCTGTATTCACGACTCCAATTTATTGACGCTCGCCGGTGTCCAAGGTTATCCTTGGTTTGCCAGGGCGGCCACCACTTCTTCGCAGGACGTTATTTTACGCAGCTTGAAGGCGCACAATAATGCAGCGGAATCTGTCAAACGTTCCATCAGTTGCGGTGTACAGGTCCCTTAGATGCCTCGAATGAAGATACGAGAGACCGCACGAGCCAGCCGAATTCCACTGCTCCGATCTTTGTCAGGATCGCTGCTGATTGGGTCGCGACGACGCTCGAAATCGCGCTCCTCGGAGTATCGAACCTCTGATCAGGACACTGCACCACCAGTGCCCTCCATTCCCTCTACGGCTCGCACAAACGACACCACACCTCACACAGTCGAAGCACCCACACCCGTCACCTCAGTCAACCCCTCGATCGCCATCACCGACGTTGACGAGCCGTCCACTCACTCCCGCCCGCCTTCCGCCTCGCCCGATCATGACAGCCATGTGCATACCCAGCCGTCGATAGCAGCACCGGTCATGCCGCGCAAGGTATGGGTGAAGCGCCCGAACGCCTCTGCTACACGTGTCGAGGTCAACAGCGACGATCTAGTCGACAACCTGCGCGATGTCATACTGCTAAAATATGCGAATTCGCTAGGCAGGACGATTGATTCACCTGACATAATTTTGAAACTTGTCACTCGCGATCAGCTACACACAAACAACAATGCAGGCCATGAGAGAGCACTCGGTCCGGAAGAGCCGGTGGGCCGTACCTTGGACGACAATTACCCTGGTGGACAGGGCATTGACGATGCACTGATTATCGAACTATCTAAGAACAGATCAACGCCTAAACCCTCTCCGCGGCCTGGCAACCATCAGATGTCGTATAATGGAGGCTACTTCATGCCAGTGCAGTACCGACCTGACGAAGGGGCGCCAGACTATTTCGGTCCTGTGCAGATGCAGTCACCACAAATGGTACAGACACAAAATGGGCCCATACCGTCGATGGCCATACTCGCAGCTGGACAACAGCAACCATTGCCAAGCCCCGGTGGCGGTACGGGTCGAAGACGAGTTGCAAGGCCGAATTACGCTAGGCAGCACACTTCTAGTCCAACTGTGATGCACAGCTCCCAGTCCGGCAATGGCTTATAGGTGAGCCCGAGAAATAATACTCGGCCCGCCTTCGATCTAACGCAGACAGCAGAACCCAAGAACCAGCTCAACGGTCAGCCAGCCCAGCCAATTCCCACTCCACCTGCCCCGACCTCCGATCAACACAAACCATCGATCACACCGCCCAACCGGGTAGGCTCGCCACGGCCAGGTCAAAGACCTAAGAAGAAGAAATCATCTGGTCCACGTGCGTCAGCAGGTGCGATCAACGGAGAGACGCCAAAGCCAGCATCAGCTTCGTTACTCGACGGCACGGTACCGCCCATCAATGTGCTTATTGTAGAAGACAACGTCATCAATCTACGACTCTTGGAAGCATTCATGAAGCGCCTGAAAGTCAGATGGACAAGTGCGCAGGACGGAGGCGAAGCAGTCAAGACATGGCGGAAGGGAGGCTTTCACTTGGTGCTTATGGACATCCAGCTACCTGTCATGAGCGGTCTCGAGGCCACGAAGGAGATTCGGCGGCTGGAGGGCGTCAACGGCATCGGAGTGTTTGGAGGCAAGGCGAATGCTGTCAACGGCACGGAGCGACCGCCTATCCCAAAGGAGGACGATCTGGGTGACAAGAACGACTTCAAAAGTCCGGTCATCATCGTGGCTCTGACGGCGAGCAGCTTGCAGAGTGATCGTCATGAGGCGCTGGCGGCGGGTTGCAACGATTTCTTGACAAAGGTACGACGCCATTTGAATCGCCCTATACGCGAAATCTCCCCTGCCGGTCTCAATGGAGCTAACATGTCTTTCTTCCCGCAGCCCGTGAACTTCGTCTGGATGGAGCGCAAAGTCACCGAATGGGGCTGCATGCAGGCCCTCATCGACTACGACGGCTGGCGAAAATGGAAAGAGTACGCCTCAGCGAAAGCAGCTGCTGAAGATCCCGTTGAGCGGGAAAAGCGCGAAAAGGAAGAAAAACGAAAGCAGAAAGAGCAGCTCAAGGCGATGTTCTTGAAAGGTCCACCAGGCTCGAAGAAGGATGACAAAAAGGAAGAAAAGAAGCCTACTGCTACAACTAATGGCGATGACAAGGTTGAGGATGGGTCGAAGCTGACGACGCCGAAAGAGGCGAAAGATCAGACGAGTAAGGAGGTGGCGAGGAAGAGGCAGGGAAAGAGAGGGAGTTCGGGGAGTGTGATGAGTCAGGGGAAGAGTGGGCAGGGTGAGGCGCTGGATGTGGTTGGGGAGGAGGATGAGGGTATGTCGAGGTGATGCTGGCTCAAAAGAAGTCGCCTCATTTCGGGCGGGCTTTGTAAGGGCTACGCGGTCATTTGGTCGGGCAGCAGTGAGTCAGGAAGGCAAGGGAAGGAGAACGGCCTTTTCATGTTTTTGGTGCAACCTTTCGCATGTTCAAGCGTTCGAGCGAGCAATTTCAATAGTGACTTACATATTCTTAATCATAGCTGCATGGCTTCCGGCAACAACCAGATGAGCTTCATCATGGTTTGGGGCGTGTTTCAGAGAGATTGGCCACAGACGCCGCTGTAGCTGAAATAATGGTGATGGATTCTGTACATATATTCCAGTCATCTGGCCTCATATCTCATCGAACAAGAACGTCATCCGGTCTCGTGAAGAGCACAGTCAACGGGCTTCTTCTAGCCATCCTGTTGCAGACACGCGAGCTTCCGAATTGGCCTGCTCAAGCACCTTCCGCATCAGCCTTCTGTTTCTCCAGTTCTCTCTCCCTTTCCCGCTCCTTCTTCCTATCCAATAATTTGTTCAACTTCTTCGCAACATTAAACACCCCACCAGTTCCTGTCCCACAGGCCGCACACGAAGGATCTCTTCTGTACCTCTTCAATGCGCACGCCTCGCAGAAGTAGTGTCCGCACTTTGTCACGATAGGACTTTTGTATGATTCTTTGCAAATTATGCATGCAAATGGAATACTCTCCAGCAATGCATCGTCGTTACCGTCGTCGTTCGGCTCCGCCTCGCCGCCATTCCTTCGCCCGGCCGCAGATGCGACTGTTCTGCCTTTCAGCTTCTTTCCCTTGGTGTTGATCTCCCATTCCCGATCTAACTGCCACCCTTGCGAATATGCCTCTCTTGCGTGAAGAAACTTGCAGCTGTCCCCAAATCCGCAGAAGCCGGTCTGCTTGTAGTCTTTGCACACGTCGGGCGCAAAGTCGGTGACTGTTATGGTGCGCACGTTACTGGAGGCGTTCTTCTGTGGTCCGATCTGGGCGGTTTTGGGGATGTGGCGGTCGGGATTGGTGGTGATGAAGTTGCTGTAGGAAGACAGGCCGCGGTAGGTGCCGTCGGGGTCGGCGCCGTCTTGTTTTGTGGAGGAGGATTTGGTGGTGGGTTTGCCGGTGGAGGATTCGTCGTACCAGTCTGCGGTCTTGGTGGCGTCGTCCTTCGTCGTGAGGCTTTGAGGGACTAATTTCGTTGTGGGCGCAGCAGGAGCGTCCAGTCGACTTGAGTTGTTGTTGGTAGATGAAGCAGTCACGGTTGCATTTGTTTTTCTCCGCTTGATTGCACGCCCGCCCTCGTCCTCAGAAGATGTGAAGCCAGAGTCCGAGTCTGACTGCGCAGGCGGCGTAGGCTCTCGTTTCCGTAGGTTGGCTTTCGCTTTGGCGCCACGCTTCTTAAAGGACACCAAAGGCACGTCAGCAACTTCTGTGTCTGCCATGATCGCGACTTCTGCACTGTCCGATCGAGGACGCAAGTGTGCTCAGGCCCTGCAAGATATTGGATCGTGAGAGATATTGGAGACGAGATGAAAGAGATTCGGAGAAAGCACTGCAGTTCGTGGCGGTTCCACAGGTTTTACTAAGCAGAAGCATGATCACGTGAGTACTGTCTAGTGCACACAGGCTGGCTCACTGTGCAATGCGACAACTTACCGGGCGTTCTCTGTCAAATATTCATCAACTCAGTATTATACCGTAGCCGCCATCTTACGCTTCCAGAATTGCGTCAGCAGCATTGGTACAGTCTTAGGCAAGGCCCAACCATGCATTGGGAAGCTCGACTTCATCACGCCAATGATAACCTAGTTCACCCCACGCCGAAAGCTCTCGACGCCGTGAGAATCTGGCGTGTCAATGATGTTGCCGCCACGTTGCTGTATGTACGGTGCATGAGATCTCACGTTGAGAAGAGTACCATGTCCGTTCCTGAAAGCGGGTCAGCGATCACCGCGGCTCTTTCCGCCGTCCGAACTCTAAATTCTCGGTCCACAGCACAGCACTCAACTCGAACTGCGCGTCGTGTGGGTGCAGTCTGATCCCCAAATCTTTAAACCTCCCTAACACTCTGTACATGAGTATTCGTCTCTGTCTTTGTGTTGATGGCGACGGAGAGTAATGGTCGCGCAAGATGATTCGAGTGGATCTCCGATCGAACAGGATGTACTGTCGGCAACAACCAACGAGCGGCTGGATGAGGAGAACAGAAAGAAGACCTTAGCATTCAAGGTCTCGCACATCCTCGTCTCGCTGCTGTTATTATGGCTTCTGTAAGCGTGGCACGCAGCACTTTCGTGTTGGTCGAGCGCTGATCTGATGCTAGTTCTGTACAATTACTCGGACTTTTCTTCTTTGCGAAAGGATTTCTTTTAACGCGACTCGTGCTGGACAGTAGATCAGCTTGTGGGACGCTTCCTGATGGCACTGAGTCAAGAGCGCAAGATGGATGCTGGCATCCGAAAAGCTTTGAAAAGGCAGTGGTAATAGTGGTAGATGCATTGCGGTACGACTTCACGATTCCATCCCACGCTGCGCCAGCGGATCGAAGCCCAGGTCATTACCTGGACAATATCCCATTCTTATATGATACGGCGGCATCCTACCCAGGAAATGCGCTTCTCCTTCCGTTCATCGCCGATCCACCCACGACGACGCTACAGAGGCTGAAAGGTCTTACCACCGGCACGCTTCCAGTCTTCATCGATGGCGGTTCCAACTTCGCCGGCACTGCGATCGAGGAGGACAGCCTGATCTCTCAATTGGTCGCTGCTGGCAAGAGTGTGGTGCACCTCGGTGATGACACATGGCACGCGCTATTCCCAGATTCGTTCAATAAGAACCTCACACGTGCATACGATTCTTTTAATGTTTACGACTTGCATACTCTCGACAACGGCGTCATCGAGCATATTATGCCATTGTTGCAACGAGATCGGAGGCATGAATGGGATGTGATCATTGGCCATTTCCTTGGCGTTGATCACGCTGGTCACCGCTACGGCCCAGATCACCCCGCGATGGCCGATAAACAGCAGCAAATGAACAGAGTCCTCAGCCAGATCGCCCACGATATAGACGATGATACACTACTGGTTGTGCTGGGAGATCATGGCATGGACACCAAAGGCGACCACGGTGGGGAGTCAGACGAAGAGGTGGAGGCGGCGTTATGGATGTACACCAAGAAGCCCCATTTTGGTCGCACAGATCAATCTCACCAGAGGCCGCCATCCACTGCCAAAGAACGACGCGTTGGCCAGATAGATTTGGTATCGACCCTATCTCTACTGCTTGGCTTGCCTATACCGTACAACAACCTTGGCACACCGATTCCTGAATGCTTCGTCGGCCGCAGCAGCAATGACTGGCACAACTTGGCTGCGGTGGAAATGCTAGCGTGGCGTCAAATCCAGAACTATCAGGACGAGTACAGCAAGATGAAGGATCTGGGAGCAAATTCAGTCCAGCACAGTCTGAACCAACTCGTGCTTCAATCATCGCAGCAGAAGTCACCTACCTGGCGGGAAGTGCATGAAAACTACCAGAGTTGGCATCGCGAGACTATTGGCATGTATCGGCGTTTGTGGGCAAATTTCAACTTGACTGACATGGTCTGTGGCGTATTCATCTCGATGTTGGCACTGGTGGCGCTGTTCACATTCTCTCGCCTCTTCGTTGGCGACATAGCCAATTATGCGCCGGAGCTTCTCAGGTCAATCTGCGCTGGTGTCGGTGGTGGAATCTTCGCTGGGCCTCTCCTTGGGGTAGCCCTCCCAGATTATTTCTCCGCAGTATCTGGAGGCGTTTTCGGCTTTGCAGTGGGAGGGATCTTTGCTTTTCTTGCAAATCTGTGGCGACGACGAGACGCGTCTGTGCACCTGTCTGTTCCATCGGTATGGGGCTGGCTTTCACTTTTCTTCTGCATCAGTCAGTCGGCCGGCTTTGCTGCAAACTCGTACACCATTCACGAGGACACTATACTGCTGTTCTTCCTTACCACCTTCGGCGCAGTGGCTTTGATTTCTTCTCTTCGACAGTCCTCAACAGCCGATCGAGTTTTGGGCACATATCAGTCTGTGGTGTTCATCATTCTAACACGCTTGTCGTCCTATTCCAGGCTATGTCGGGAGGAGCAGATGCCTGGCTGTCGATCAACATTCTATGCTTCATCGAGCTCCTCGACGTCAGCGCCGTGGCAGCTTCTCATCCCCTACACGATTGCACTGTTCCTTCCAGAGATCATCAAGGCATTCTACAAAGGAACCGCATCCTGGACGGGCTCTGCCGGCTTCTGGATCGGTCTGGGTTTGCGCTTGGGTTTGACTTTCGTCGCCGTCTACTGGACGCTCGATGCTGCTGACAACGGCAACTGGCTCGAAGAGCGTTTGTCGACTGATATACTGAAGACCATCAACATCACAGTTGCGAGACTTGCCCTCGCCGTGGCGTTACCTATCGGAATCAGCACGTTCATCTGGGCGCAGCCTTGCCTCGATATCAACCTAAATCACGGCGTTCAAGCTGCCAACGGTGGACGGTCTAAGCCTCAAATAGTTATCCTGGGATATGCCAACGCGTTCGGTAGTCGGTTCTTCCTGATGATACCATTGCTAGTTGTGGCCATATCGCTGCTTCTACCGCCAATGGGCCAATTCTCTATCGCCATTTGCACATGGCAGATCCTCAGCCTGCTCGAGATCCTTGATTCTAATCATCTTACCATCAATGCGGTTTCCAAGGCTTCGATTGGGCCGATTGTCCTGGCTATGCTTGGGAGCTATCACTTCTTCAAAACCGGACATCAGGCCGTTCTCTCGTCAATTCAATGGAATGCCGCCTTCATTCCTCTGCGAACAATCCACTATCCCTGGACGCCAATGCTAATGACACTGAACGAATTCGGTGCACAGATTCTGTGCGCAGCTGCAGTGCCACTGCTGGTCCTCTGGAAGCGGCCGATTCATAGGGAGGGCTTGCGAGGAATCTGGAGCGATGTGATTAGCGCGACCCTCACTCATGCTCTCTACTATGCGACGATCCAAGTCGCGACAACTATGTGGGCTGGTCACCTCCGGCGACATCTGATGCTGTATCGTGTCTTCATGCCGCGCTTCCTACTGGCAAGTGGAGTGCTTTTGGTCGTAGATGTTGCACTGATCTTTATTGCGCTCCCGAGCGTCCGCGTAACAGGTTTGAGCATTGGGGAAGTTTTCGGCTACTAAGGCGGCGGTAGCAGATTTGGTCAATAGCCGTCTTGACGTCGCGACTCCAAGCAAGGGTGGGACGGTACCACAGCCTGGATGAATCAGCAACATGTCATTCAACGTACTCATCACTATTGACAGTTGTTGAAAACAGGTCCAGGAGGCTTGCTGTAACGCTCTGCCTGTAAGAAGTTGCACTCAAGTCCGATCAAGCCGAACAAGTCTTCGTGGACTATTCGTATATGGAAAACATTGCGGTCCACGTCACAGCGACCTTTGAAGAGACTGCCATGCTCAAGGAGTCAAGAGATGACTAAGGATGCATATGGATAGTCACTCCTGCGAGTTACTAAGGCAACCCCAGGAACAGGCACGATCGGGTACTGCATTGGGCAAACGATCCATTTGCCAAGAAGCATCCAGCTGACGCGACGGATGCAAGCTGCGGTCCGAAGAACGCAGAGTTCAGGCAGCTAGGCCGAAGAAGAGAACACTGCAGAGAGACAACCATACAGATAACGCAACGCGCGGGTTCTTTTTGCATCTCCGGGCAACAGATTATGGAGGGGCAGCTTCAGAAGCAACCAATCGGTGACGTAAAGTGTTTGGTGGGGGACTCGGAATTTCTCGAGTTACTCCTCAACGTGAAGAAAGATATCCGCGACATGCGCCAGCTTGCACTTTATAAGCTGTGAACTGTCCTCATCGTTTCTCGAAGCTCTCAGATCTAGCTTTAATTCTCGTCAAAGTCCCTCAACAACTCAGACCATTCTAAGAGCCATCTGATACAACCTTGACCTGCAATCATGCCTGTTTCCGTTCCCAAGTCCACCAGGTATGCCTTGCATATTGTTCTTACCAGCCTCTGTTTTAGCTGGACAAATTATTGCCCATTACGGACCTTGAGCTGATACCAGGTTGACTGCAGTCTCCATGAGCTCTTCTCGTTGAAGGGCAAGGTCGTCATCGTCACAGGTGCATCCGGTGCCACTGGCATTGGCACCGAAGCAGCTCGTGGTTGTGCTGAGTTCGGCGCCGACGTTGCCATCACCTACAGCTCTCGTCCTCAAGGTGGTGAGAAGAACGCAAAGGAGATCTCGGAGAAATATGGCGTCAAGTGCATCCCATACAAGTGCAACGTCAACGACTACGCCGATGTGCAGAAGCTCGTTGAGAGCGTCATCAAGGACTTTGGCAAGGTCGATGTCATGATTGCAAACGCTGGCCGCACAGCAAATGCTGGCATCTTGGACTCGAGCGTTGAGGACTGGAAAGAGGTCATCGATACCGACTTGACGGGTGTGCTACACTGCGCTAAGGCTGTCGGTCACCACTTCAAGGAACAAGGCAGCGGTTCTCTTGTCATCACCGCCTCCATGTCCGGTCATATTGCCAACTTCCCTCAAGAACAGGTGAGATGACCATTTACGGTTGGGAGGGCCCAGTTACTGACATACCTAGACTTCCTACAACGTAGCAAAGGCTGGCTGCATCCACCTTGCCCGCTCTCTTGCCAACGAATGGCGCGACTTCGCACGTGTCAACTCCGTGTCCCCTGGCTACATCGACACTGGTCTCTCGGACTTCATTGACAAGAAGACTCAGGATCTGTGGCACAGCATGATCCCCTTGGGCCGAGATGCCAAGTACCGAGCTCAAGGGCGCATACGTCTACTTCGCTTCGGATGCCAGCTCGTACACCACAGGTTCCGATCTCGTCATTGATGGCGGCTACACCGCTCGTTAGATCATGGAGGTAATGAGCATTACGAAGGGTGACGGGGTGCAGCAACTTTATTGGCAGTACAGAAGGCAACAAGTGCCTACGCACAGAGTCCTCCCTGGCCGGATTCTCATTCCCTGATGCTTGAAATCGCCATTTCCGAGAACCGCTACAGCGGCCTCCCTGGCGCCCTTTTGAACGTTTCTTTGACATAGCCAAAAAGCACAGCATTGAAGCAACCTTCTGATCATCTTCGCTGTTGCTCACGTTTTCTACACCATACACAGCGCTAATTGGGCAAAGCAGTCACGATCCGGCTTCACTTCCCATGCCAGTGAATGCGACTACCATGGGCAAAAGCCTCGAACGGGAAGGCGCCCCCTTTTCTCGACTGCTATGACTTTCTCGTTTCCTCGTTGTGCTTCTAATGTTCCCGCAACATACAGTATCAAGCATCGACTGCATTCACTTTGAGGTCGGCATTCATCCAGACCAGGAACCACCCCTCTCGTTTCGAACCCGACCCAGCATCAGGTTGACATTCACTTCCAAACTATCACTGATCATGTATCTCCTCAAAGTCCTCCCTGTGGCAGTTGCACTGCTGGCAGCACTCACAGAGGCCGCCCCGGTCGAAGAAACATGTGGTCCTGCAAATGCTGGCAGGAGATGCTCAGAGAATCGATGCTGCTCATTCGCTGGATACTGTGTACGCTTGTTTTGACCCATGAAGGCCGCCCTGACTGAACTAATGCGAAATAGGGGACAGGAAAGGAGTATTGCGCGGTACCCACCATCTGCCAGAAGGCTTACGGTCGTTGTGACTCCGATGAAATCCCCCCTGGACCACCTACGTCCGGCGACAAGCGTCCGTTGTTGTCTGGCCCGCCTATCACACGCTGCACCCAGGCGGGCTCTGTGGCAATCACTTTTGACGACGGACCCTCGAACAATACAAACACAATCCTCAATCTTCTACGCGAGGCGGGCGCTACAGCTACGTTCTTCGTGACTGGCAACAATAACGGGAAGGGCGAAATCGACCTCTCTGAACAATGGCGCGAGACCATACAAGCCATGGACGCAGATGGTCACCAGATAGCTTCCCACACCTGGACACACCCCGATCTCGATGCCCTCAGCTCTGAGGAGCGGAAAGTCGAGATGTATCGGAATGAACGCGCCATAGCCAACATTCTCGGCCGCTACCCAACCTACATGAGGCCTCCATACATCTCTTGCGGCGAAGACTGTGCCGAAGACATGAAGGACTTGGGCTACCACATCATCAACTGGAGCGCAGACAGCGGTGATTCGACATTTCCAAACGACCTCGAGGCCATGAAGCGCGCTGTGGACATAGAGGTCGACAAATGGGGCTCAGATGGGGGCGCGATCTTCGTACAGCACGACACCATTCCCGTCTCTGCGCTACAGACGACCAAGTACATACTGGATTGGGTTGAGAAGCGGAACTGGAAAGCTGTGACAGTCGCGGAGTGCCTGGGAGAGCAATTAACCACGGCATACCGCAGCAAGGCGCCCGCTAGCATATCCATAGACCATCAGTAGGTACCAACGCAGCCGTAATATCTTCTCCTCGGACCTTCAGCGGCCTCCCTGGCCCGATTTCCATGAAGACTCTGTTGCCACGAAGTGACGCTCAGGTGACGCTCCTCTGAAGCCTGCACATTGATCACTAACCCCATCCTGGCCCATACAGCGCCCTCCCTGGCCCGATTCCCATGAAGTCTCTGTTGCCACAAAGTGACGCTCAGGTGACGCTGCTCTGAAGCCCGCCCATTGACCAGCAACCATGCCCTTTAGCGGCCTCCCTGGCCCGATTTTTATAATGGTTCTATTTCTACGAAGTGACGCTTATGTGAGGCTCATCTGGAGCCCATCGATGTCTTTAGCAAAAAGCGGTCTGGGACAATCAGTGCCCTCCCTGGCAAGAAAATCTAGAGACTTTCAATTGCGGGGTGAAGTTCGACTCAGTATGATTGCAACAGCACTGGGCGAGTCCACAGCAAATCGACGGGCTCTGGAGAGCAGCTGTGGCAGGTCGAGTGTTGGATGCATTTTCCCTACAGCGCCCTCCCTGGCCGAAAAGTCCACGACGTGTCAATCTTTCACACTGACGCTCCAATGAGGCTCATTTTGATCCCACCGAGTAGATTAGATCAGTAGTCTCGGGCCTTAGGGGCCTACCTGGCCAGAAGTCCTGCGACATATCAATCTTTCGCACTGACGCTCCAGTGAGGCTCATCTCAATCCCACCGATCAACTACTTAAATGCCATACAAATTGCCAAAATAAATCCTCCAATTACACATAGACCAACAGTCAATTGCACGACACCCTCCCAACGTTTCTCCTAGTTGTTGAGCCTCCTTAACCATCCTTCCCCTTCCTTCTTCTTCCCCTCCCCTTCCCTCCCCTTCTTCCTCCCCTTTCCCTCCCTCCTCGGCTCCTCCTCAGCCCTCCTTTCCCCCTCCACCAAAGCCCTTCCAAACACCACGCCAGTCAGTTTCGTCTTTGTAGGCGGCCCTCCAGGACTACCAGTGGGATAGGCAGCGACGGAGTGGCGATGTTGCTGCGGAGGACCCTGATGATGCATGTTGTTAGGTGGTGGCGGGCTGAAGAAGCCAGCACTCTGCTGGGGCGGCATCTGGTTGTGTGCGTGACTAGGTGGTGCGTGCATACCGGGCGTGGGACCAGATCAGACCAATAGTGTCAGAGCCTCAGCGCCGTCCCCGGCCATTTTGTGGCTCGAGAACGGGAGGCGATCGACTGAAAGAGAACGCCCAGTACTTAGACTCGCAGCTCGTCTGCTACAGACTGCTTGGAAGTATTCAGAATGTGCAGCCAATCACATTGAACGTATTCGTCGACCACAGAAAAGACCGTTTAGCCGACTCGCCGAGGTGCCGATGCCGCAGAAAATAAATTGTCGAGGCAGGTATACTTACCAAAGCACCAACTCGAGCCCAGCCCACGATCTGCGCCCAATTCCGTGGCAATAACCATAGCGAACGACAACGATAGTTCTGGGGATAGGCACTAACGCATTCGGCTGGGACAACAACAAACCCTGGAGCTGGTCGAAGCTACGACTGAGCGCTTCGCGCTCTCGAACCTACAGCCATGATGCGCCTGTGTACGCGGATACGACACCAGATCGCCCAGTCCGCGCGACAGCAACCCTCACGCACATACTTTGTCGCAACTTCGCAGCGATGGCAAGCACAGGCGTTCCATTCTCAGCTTGAGGACCCCTCTGCGTCCGGCATCCTCTCCACACTCAGATCATCCGCTCCCCGAATACCTCAAACCCTCACAGAGAAGATTGTGCAAAAGTATGCCGTCGGCCTCGCAGATGGAAAGCTCGTCAAGTCCGGCGACTACGTCACAATCTCGCCGCATCACTGCATGACGCACGACAACTCCTGGCCGGTCGCTCTGAAATTCATGTCGATTGGTGCCACGAAGCTCAATGACCCGAAGCAGATTGTTATGACGCTTGATCACGATGTGCAGAATAAGAGCGAGAAGAATTTGACTAAGTACCGGCAGATAGAGGAGTTTGCGAAGAAGCAGGGCTCGGACTTCTATCCTGCGGGGCGGGGGATTGGACATCAGATTATGGTCGAGGAGGGGTATGCGTGGCCTGGGGCACTCGTTGTGGCGAGCGATAGCCACACGAATATGTATGGCGGGATCGGCTGTCTCGGGACGCCGGTGGTTAGGACGGACGCGGCTAGTATATGGGCAACGGGTCGGACGTGGTGGCAGATTCCTCCTGTTGCGAAGGTGAGGTTTTCGGGAGTGCTACCTAAGGGGGTCACGGGAAAGGATGTCATCGTGGCGCTGTGCGGTCTATTCGACAAAGACGACGTGCTGAACCACGCAATTGAGTTTGTGGGCGAGGAGGAGACGATGCGGAGTCTGCCTATCGATGCGAGACTAACGATCGCAAACATGACTACGGAGTGGGGAGCTTTGTCGGGATTGTTTCCTGTGGATGGCATGCTGCACGGGTGGCTGAGGTCGAAGGCAACGATGTCAGCCGTCGATCAGGGTGGATTGGTGGGTGGATCGCGTTTTGCACATGAGCGGCTCGATGAGCTCTTCCAGCAGCCACTTCGTGCGGATCCTGGGGCAGCCTACGCGAAGACATTGCATTTGGACCTGAATACCCTTTCGCCGTATGTTTCTGGCCCAAATTCGGTGAAAGTGGCCACGGCATTGAACGAGCTGGAGGCACAGAACATTCCTGTCAATAAGGCATACTTAGTGTCGTGCACGAATTCACGAGCATCCGACCTGGCAGCGGCAGCCAAAGTCTTCAAAGACGCCGCTGAGAAGAATGGCGGCAAGGTGCCCCAGATTGCGGATGGAGTCAAGTTCTACATCGCAGCTGCATCAGTTCCAGAACAGCAAATAGCCGAAGAGCAAGGCGATTGGCAAGCATTGATTGAGGCAGGCGCAGAAGCTCTACCAGCAGGCTGTGGACCGTGCATTGGTCTCGGAACGGGACTGCTAGAGCCGGGTGAGGTTGGCATAAGCGCCACTAATAGAAACTTCAAAGGCCGCATGGGCAGCACAGATGCAAAGGCGTACCTTGCTAGCCCGGAGGTAGTTGCGGCAAGTGCACTGTCCGGCAAGATCAGCGGGCCTGGCTGGTATGAAAGACCGGAGGGGTGGTCGGGTGTCGTGCGAGGCACGGGTGATGGTATACCCGAGGAGGAGCGCTTGATCACTGCCTCGGAAGCTCTTGACAAAATCATCGGCCAGCTGGATGACATGATCGATACCGCTGAGCCAAAGTTCGGTGAGGGTGAACAAACAACCCAGACAACCGAGACTCCTCCTACGAGCGCAGCAACGGAAGTATATCCGGGCTTCCCCGAACGCGTTGAGGGTGAGATCGTGTTTTGCGATGCGGACAACATCAATACAGACGGAATCTATCCCGGCAAATACACCTACCAGGACGGCGTGACCCCCGAGAAGATGGCCGAAGTATGTATGGAGAACTACGACCCTAAGTTCTCGGGCCTGGCTAAGCAGGGCGACATTCTTGTCAGTGGCTACAACTTTGGCTGCGGCAGTTCCCGAGAGCAAGCTGCGACAGCCATACTGGCCAAGAAGATACCGCTCGTTGTGGCCGGCAGCTTCGGCAACATCTTCTCGCGCAACAGCATCAACAATGCTTTGATGGGTCTCGAGGTGCCTAAACTCATTCAGAGACTAAGGGAAACCTTTTCGGATAAGACATCCTCGCCGGCGTCAGGGACACCTATCACGGAGCCGGGGCAAAATAGTCAAAGTCTCGATAGCCCTCCGCCGGGCCCAACCGACGCCAAGGAGAAGCAGCTGACCCGACGGACGGGGTGGAAGCTGCTTTGGGACGTGAAGAATAGCCAAATTGAGGTCACCGAGGGTGATGGAACAAAATGGACAGAGAAAGTCGGTGAGCTGCCACCGAATGTACAGGAAATCATTGCGAAGGGCGGTCTGGAGAAGTGGGTGCAGCAGGAAATAACTGGGAAATGATTGTTATCGTTGCCAGCTGTCGACCGACATGTGGCAAGCCCTGTATGGTGGCATCACTGTGTGGAATCGCGTGCCAACGTTGTCGTTTGTGGGATTATGAGGTCAGAGACCCCCATCGCTCCTGGTCCTGGTACCGTTACCACGGGCATCGCGCACGCAAGTCGTGCTCAGTCGACAGAAGCCGGTCGGAATGGGTTGCAGGGCTCGAGAACTTGCTGTATTGGCAGACTGTTTCAGATTCAAGATTTCACCACGGTCCGAGTCGTTGGGAATGGACAATTGGAATAGCCCCATACTGTCACGGCCCACGGCTCAATACCGCTACGGCGACAAATCGACAGGCAAGGCAGTCCCTACAAGAAAATGGATCTGTCAATGGAACCAGGTTGTGGATACAAGTACTCAGTACTGGGCAGCTTTAGGCAGATGCCTTTTGTTCCGAGGTCAGGAAGGGCGCTGAGGTTGCGAGGTCAACTCGCTGATGGACTCGCTGGGTTTGAGATGAGCCTCACCAGAGTGTTGGTTGGTCGATAGATCTATTTCGAGTTTGCTGGCCAGGGAGGGCGCTGAAAGAATTCGACCGAATAATGCTGTGGTCCGCAGGTGTAGATGAACTTGGTGGAAACACTCAGGACTTCTGTCTACAACCTGGGAGCATGAAGTCACCGATCTTGCAACGCCAGACCAGCCAAGATCCAATCTACATAGGACCTTGGATAGGTACCTCCCTGCGTGCATGGTGCAATCCCTGCCTGAATTGTTTGAAGTGAGGCTCCAAAAATTTATCTGGACTTCGCGGGACCTTGCATTGAGGCTCATGTCCGCTATCGATTGGCTGAAGCTTGGCCAACGAGCCTAAATCTCCCCAGGACCCGCCCCACCTGCCATGAGGCCCCTCATCAGGCATCTCGGCGCCTCCTAAAATAAACCGCAGCTTGAACTCACAATATTTCTGGGTATGCACGTTCCTTTTCAAAGGTTGCTGCATTTAGTTGACTGTACGACCACGAGGCGGGCCTCGAGATCAGGTTTCCGCCCTTGTTGGATTGTGGTGCGCTGTCAGGACACTCCCTTCTTGGATTATCCTGGGCTGTGCCCATATGTCAAATAAGCCAAACGCAGGGCGGTCAACCACTCGATTTGGGTGCACCTATTGAGGAGGCCTCTGGATGTGTGTTTCCCAGATTGTTATTTCTGCCGCTTGTCGTCGGGCTGGAACCCACATCTGACGTCGCGGCGGGCGCTGAGGTGCGCGGGCAAAGGAGCACAGCAGTAAGATGCTGTGAAAGGCGCCTCGCAGTGTCTTGTACGAGAAGAGTATCTTTAGGTATAAGTACATGGTGGTCGATCCACCACCATTCGCTATGGACGAACAAGAACAGAAGCAGCCCTCGCTGGCATCGTTGTTATCAATATACTCAGCCTTACCGCCTCCGACGGTGTCAACAACTCGCTGTATACGCGGGAGGGAAAACCATCCGAGGAGGACTCTGTCGCCATGGTCGCAATACCTTTGCCTGTGGCCATTCTCGCTGCAACAAGTCTGCACAGTCGGCAGAGTCCCGAAAGTGCTCCTCCACCAGCTGCACAGGGAGGACTCCCCAACTATTATGGCTCTGTGAGACAGGTCACCCGCTCTGACTTCCCGGATCCGGCCCTCCTCTACTACAATGGTATCACATATGCCTACTCCACCAACAGCGGCTCAGGGACACACATTCCCGTCGCGACATCCACTGACAACACCACCTTCAACGTCCTGGACGGCAAAGATGCACTTCCCGGTCTCGCAGCCTGGGAGAATGGCAACAACGTCTGGGCGCCAGACGTCGTCCAGATCTTTGACTCTGCTACAGGTGAGTATTCTTCCCAGAATTGGACCAAGAGCGAATTGGAGATTGAAGGTCTCAGAGTCCGCCCTGATGCCTTCGTCTCCTACTCCTGTTCCACGCTGCCCTCCACCTCAGTCCTTCACTCCCGACTCACATCCCCATGCAAGCTAACAAAGAGCATAGTGTCACAGTCCAAGTTCGTGATGTACTACGCCTCCGGCACCCTCTCAAGCAAGGGGAAATATCACTGCATTGGCGCCGCCACCGCCAGCACGCCTCTCGGTCCCTTTGTGCCCATAAGCGACCAACCTTTTATCTGTCCAAACATTCCCACCAGCGGCGGTGCAATCGATCCAGAAGGGTTTCTCGACCCGGTCACCGGGAGGCGCTATGTTGCATACAAGCAGGACGGCAATGCAATCGGCCACGGCGGAAGCTGCGGCAATGGTGTCGCGCCGAAGCAAGTCACACCCATCATGTTGCAGGAAGTGAGCGCCGACGATGGCGTCACGCTGATTGGAGCACCGCAGCCGCTGCTCGACAGGGACGAAGCAGACGGTCCGTTGATCGAAGCGCCAAGTCTACACCGCAGCGAGGATGGGATATACTTCCTCTTCTATGCCAGTAACTGCTTCGATTCCCCAGAGTACTCCACTAGCTATGCGACGAGTACGAATGTCTGGGGTCCGTACGTGAAAGCACAACGGCCGCTGCTGCACACGGGCAACGGGGCGAGTGTGACTGGTCCCGGAGGTCTGGATGTTCCGGCTGCAGGCGATGGTCTGGTTGGGTTTCATGGGCGCGTGAATCCGGACAACACGCCCCTAGTAAGGGCAGCATATACCGCGAGACTTGTTTTCGATGGCCGGATAGTCGGCTTTGCGACTTCCTAGCGGGATTGGGATGGCTGATTTCGTGATTTATTTCTCATGAGCGTTCTAGCAAGCGAGCATTGTGGGGATTCTGGTTATCAGTACAGAAATGGCGGACTTCATGGATATGAACGAGCACATGGTCTCATTACATACAGCGTCCTCCCTGGCCATGAAGTCTCCGATGAATCGTTCCTGCCGATTGCCCACTAACTGACGATCAAGTGACGCTCAAGTGAAGCTCGAGCGACGGTCACTCCCACATCACCGACTCGAGCAGAAAAGCCACCATACCTACAAGGCCCTCCATGGCTGGCAAATTTTCGAAATATCGGTCCTGCGACCTGACGCTCACATGAGGCATTCCTTCGTGCACTTGATTTCGAAAAATTGTCGCTATTAGGTATCTGTGCGAGCGCGACCAGCGGCTGTGGTACACGAAACTGAGTGTCGACCCGGGATATCAACAAGCCCTTCCCATAACCATATATGTTCATAACCCAGCAGTTCTCTCTGCGTAGCCTCCTGCCATTAGAACAGGATATCGAGACAACAACCTGGAAAGAACATCGTTAGCGGACTGCGCCAAACGTGCAACGTTGACACCTGCCGTCGCTCCTTGTCCGGGTTTGTACTTACAGCAAGCCAAAGCACCCATTATACCTGCGCAAATACCAGCGCCTGCCCCACCGCCATCACGTCGATCTTGTGGTGGATAGTACCCTCCTTGAGGCGGACCATACCCGGGTCCTGGAGGTCCATAATACATTCCTTGCTGAGGTCCTGGACCGTAGCCTTGAGGCGGACCATAGCCCTGAGGCTGGCTGCCCCATCCTCTGTTCTGATCGCCGTAGAATTCTTGAGGCGGTTGGCCAAAGTTACCACTGTAGGGTTGTTGCGCTGGAGGGTACGTGCCAACTTGGCCCACTGGACCCGGCGCTGGTGATTGACTTGAGTTTGGGGGATAGTAGGGACCCGCGTCGTGGTGGACTTGAGGTGGGTATGATGGTGGTGCGCCGTCTTTCATGCCGTCCTTCGGCGGAGGAGGTCCAGTCGGTGGATTATAGTCTGCCATGTGCTGGGTGCGAGTAGAGATAGGGAGGCCTGCGTGTGACGATGAGCAGTAGAGCAACGAGCGTTATGCGAATGCAGAATTATTGGGCGCAAGCGGCACAGATGTGAAGTTCAAAGAGGCGCAGAGGCAAAATCGAGGACACGAAACCGAGGGTCGCAGGTGAGGCTGTGCAGTTCGCCGCGTCAAATCCAAGACAAGCGGGCCCAGGATGCCGAGGACGCGACAGCGATCATTTAAGCAGACGTGGCGCACCCTGTCAGTGGTCTTCGGAGGCTCGAAAGTTATGATCGATGACTGAATGATGATAGCTGGCGCGTCTCAGATAATCAGAGCACGTCTGCACTCATCAGTACAGTACTTCGGGAGCTGACTTGGCTGAGTCACCAGCGCACGGGTGGTCACCCACGATCATTGAAGCTGATGGCAGTTCCAAGGCTCTGAGCAGCATTGGATTTTTATCGTTATTGACAGGGCTGCACGGGCTTTAGCACCTGCAGTTTCTCGAACGCTTCGTTAGGTAAAAAGATCCCGAGCCTGCCACGCCAGCTGTTTGGCGACTATCTCGCGAGCCTGGAAGAGCGCGGTCCGGTCGGTCTGACGTCCAGCTATCGCAGCCCTTGACGCTCTTTGTGCCATAACTTGTGCCATGACAGACACCTAGAGCGAAAAGTACATCATGCAATATTGCAACCCTAAATCCTGTCGAGCATCGAGCAAATATTGGTATATCTCGACTGAATGATTGATTCCGAGTCGCTAGACTTAATACGAAAAAGGACTTGTACGGCGGGTTGGCAGATCTTCGAGATGATCTCTACCGTCTACCGAAGATGAGCCTGTCGCCCGTGCAGCCGTCACCAGTGCCTAATGAGATAACATAGAAGTCTCGCTCATGCCGAATTGTCACTGCCGGCATATGAAATCACGACATAAGTCAACGAGATAGCCCGTGCAGGAGTATGCTTTATCTGATAGACGGTTGGGCGCCTTCTGCCCGACCGCCCGGGGTCTAGAGGCTGATCATAGGTTCTGAGCGTCGAAGCCATGGAAGAAGCCGTATCGAAGCACTATCGTACCCCTGCCACCGACATCGCAGGTCACACGCCTTCTCGGCTTCCGTGCGCCAGTTCCCAGCTTCCTTTGTCCCCCGTGACGATGATCAGGGCCCCCCAAAGCCAGGCACATGTTTTTTGTGGTGCAACCCCCAAGCCCTACGTGCTGCCGGGACCGTATCCCTGTCCCGATGATAACGACTTTTTTGATTCTCACAGTTTACCCACTCCCCATCCTCCTCTGTCTCCATATCACCCCAGTGTTTCCTCCTGTGCCTCTACGCGATTGCTCCTTGAACGACTCAAGCATGACTGTCTTTCTGTGGTACTGCTCATGCGACGAGTCGTTCCTCAAGAACGTCTTGTGAAGCCCACCCTGTGCTGCGACAGCAGTTGTGTACACCTCATACGTCAGTTCACCGGTCGCCCGAATCCGCAGCGCAGTTGACTGATAAGATTCTCCAGGATTCAGATATTGGCTACATTCGATACAGAGCGCCTGGCTGTGATTAGATTGTACACCGACTTTCTCACATCAAGCACGGTCCTACAAGAAGACTACGTAGCACGGATCTGCGTATAAAGGCCCGACCTCCTATGCCGCTGCACAGCAATCCAACCCTAGATTGAAGCTGAGCACGTCGCAACAACCCCGATGTTTGGCCCTGGCACGACGTTGCCTCGCCCACCAGACTTCGCGCACGAACGTCGTCCCTTACGTCTTACCACGGAAGCGGCATGGCAGCCACCGTCTGGCGGATCTTGCCATTTCTTGCTACTCCACCCTTCAGTACCTAACCAACGGTGCTCATGTCAATCCTACGTTCGCAATCCGGCAGCACCTGGTACTGCATGTGATTGTGGACACCAGAGCTGCTATCATACACCTTCGAAAGAGCAGGGAGCTGGGGCACCACTTCCTGGCAGCGACGGTGCACTGCTAGATCGGATCAGACGTCTGGAGGAAACGCTTCAATACGAGAGGGAAACTCGAGAGAGAGAAGTCAGACTACTTCGGGAAGCACTGGCTCCTTTCTATACGAATAAGCAAGACGTACAGAGAAAGCTGGTGGAGATCGAAGACCGTGTGGAAGGCAACTACGACGAACAGGTCCGTCTCCGGGACCAGGTGGTTGCACTTGACAATGCCAACATGAGTCTCGAGCGGAGGATCGATGATGTCCAGAATGTTCGAAGCAAGCGACGGCGTCTCAGCCCCGCAGTGTCGGATCTGATAGACAGCGGCAGCGAAGATCGACGGGCCTCCGGGAACACCGACAAACGCTCTGCATCTTCATTCTCCTCGCAGGCCGTTTCTCCTACCAGTCATCTATCGCCGCAGCCTCAGGAGCAGGAGGAGCCGCGGTCCAGTGGCATATTGAATCTGATCGAGATGACTACCAATCCTCGGACGACTCCCGTCCCGATCAGAAATACGCCTTCACGCACGTACGAAGCACGGTCATCCGGCTTCCTTGCGCTGGACCTAGCACACCGTCTTGGCAAGAATGGAAAGCAGTCCAGTGATACCAGTCGCCAGCACTCATATCCGCCAGCGCATTCTGCTTTTCAGCAGAGTCCGCCAGACTACTCACAATCCGACTCGGATACTGCTTTGCGGAGGGGAAGTCCAGTCAACGGCACACTCAAATCGACGCTGTCCCAGTCCATGTCGCCACGCAAGCGAAAGCTACCGATTGCATTGGATGTGCTCGCCGATGTGAGTATGGCAAGCCCAATGGTACACGGATAATGCGCCGTTCATTTGCGTCCTTCGATCATGATGATGTGGTACCTGAAATCATCAGCACTGGCGCACTCACAACTCCGTTGCCTGTGTCTCACCCGTGAGAAGTTTTGACTTCTGCGTATTTGGGATTTGCTGTCGTGGACGGTTCAAGTTCATATGCAACCTTCTCAAAATCTCCATGGAGACTGCCTCGCACTTTCCAACCCAGCGATCCTCCTATACCAGTGTCTAGCGTTAGAGCGGCTGTTTGACTGATAGACAGTACGAAAATACAATGTAGAACAGTACCTTGACGTTGCTTATCCTCTGAAAATTCACGAGCCACCTCATCGAATTTGGCTCCGTCTCTCAACTTGGCCAGAGCTTCTTCCTTCTTGGAATGCTTCTCACACTGCACGCAGCGCATATCTCGTCAGCTTGACAAGTCTTCATGCGTTGGACAGGGCGCGGATCCTACCAGTATGTGTCGCACGTTGATTGATTGAGCCGCTTTCAGCTTTGTTGGAGCGGCATCTCCGTCTGACTTGGCCTTGCCTTTGCCCTTGCCAGCATCTTTCTTGGGTGCCATCTGGCGGATGAATGACCAACAGAGCGGTGCCTAGGTGTTGAAAGCCGTGCCTCAAAATCAGGACAATGAAGAACAAATACCCGTGGGCGCTTGCTGTACTGCTCGACGACCTACACCACACACCCGTGCCCTACTGAAGTGCCAATTGAGCCCCCACCGCGTGGTTGATAGGCCCAGAGCGTAGTGATTGGCTCGGTGAGATACAGTGGAACTCGACTAAAGCAGGACGTCGTTCGCTCAAAGATTCAGATTTGTCTTTCCATAATCGCTTTTGAGTCGGATCAGGTCACAGCTGTCAGATGCGAACGAGGCACCATCACCGATCCCCTCCCTATGAACAATCTTGCTTGGTCCGGCCATCCCCTGGAGCCAAATTCCAGCTGAACATGTTCAAACAACCCGTTGCCTATAATACCTCGTGCCCATTGTATCGGCCACAGACTCTAATAAAAGCTTCAGGATACTCTCTATAGGCACAGGTCTATGTTACCCAAGTGAAAGGCTGCTGCAACCACTGAAATGGGTAATGCCAGTGTCACTCGATTGTAGTGCGGCTAAACTGGCGCTTCGATGAATCCGAGTCGCGTTGTTCGCCGCCCTAGCCCTATCCGCGACCGCGCATCCGTCCAAGGATGGAACTGATTGATCACTGCACTAGAATCGAGCCGGGACACGGATTCGATGAGGTGTGATTGAACTGTCGAAGTCTCTGTAGCCCCATCACCCTTCTTTCATTCAGTCCTCATAATCGTGCCTGCGCATTGTAATACAAAATAATTCTCGTCACCATCACCCGTGCTATAGACAAAAGTGTTTCGCGCGTTCACCATCCACCACGTTTCCCTTGCAAGGGATCGGCTCGGGATCAGTGATACAGTGTTGGACTGCGACTGCAATCTCTGTCATCCCCAGTCATAAGACCGAAACCAGACTTCACTCGTCGAACCAAACGCCCCATCCATCACAATCGCCATCATCGACCACGATAAAATAGTTACTCCGTACAATACAAAGACGTCGACGTGACTCGCAAGCTGCGCCGGTCCGACAAAGAATGGATTCAAGCTTCGCAGCCCGGTAAAGAGAGCAGACCCAGCAGGCAGCTGCGCCAGGCGTCGGCAGCCTAATAAAGGTTGTCAAGAACACATCCGAAGTGGCAGAAGGAGAAGTTGCGCCAGACCTGAATCGCGGTAAAAGCATCATGTCTGGATCAGGATACCCACAATCGGCGCGTTCTCCTACTCAAGCGTCGCACCCTTATCCTCCTCCATACCATTCACCAACCGCTCAAAATCGGCCATACTATCCTCACGAGTATCCTCCATCTCAACTCCCTGTTCAGACACCCCCTCCATTCGCGCCGGCGGCGTTAGTACACAGTCCACAGCATAGCAGACCTCCGCCGCCAGCTCTAACATCGCCCGGTCTACCGCCACCGCATGGAGGGCAGCCTCATCCAGCAGGCAACGCGTACTCATCCCACGGTCCACCTAGCTCACCCTATCCGATACAAAGAACATACTCGGGACAATACTCCACGCCATCAATGGCGCACTACGATGGCCCAGCATCATCACATGCACACCCGAGTGGTGCTGGCTCCGCGCTACAATCGCCGATCAGAGATCAGCATCCTGTGGCTAATGGCGTCTATCACGAGCGAGCAACTCAGGCTCGAGACCACAGTCCAACGATGTCAGTATCACTCCCAGTCGCCGTGATGACGCTGACTTTATACAGACGAAAGACCGAGCAAGAGATCCAATGTCCTTTGCCAGTATATTGGGACCTTCCAACAACGAGCCTTCTCCTCCAAGATCTCTTGAACCCAAAGCTGAACCTAAGTCTGCAAGCAAAGCACCACCGGCAGCATCGATAGCCTCCATCATCTCCGCTCCAGACGCCAGTCCTACAAGAGTGTCATCACAACAAGGCATGCTTAATGGAGTCAACGGACTAAGCAAAGGCTTGCCAATGAAGGAGGAAGTCCCTGCGCCAATTTCCATCGCTCCGCCAAAGGTCCGGCGAACACCCACCGCAAAAGAAAGCGCAAAGATTGCCAGAGCCCTCGACCAAATAGGCGATGGTAGCCATGCTGAGACCGGAGACTTTACGGAAGCGCGAAAGAGATACCTTGAGAAGGGCATGAAACGCAAGCAACATTTTTCAGAAGTTGAAAGCTCACAACGAAAGCGTCGCCGGAACGTTACACTCGATTCTCTGATTCAGGACTTTGCGACTGTCACTGACGCTTCGAACGAACGGTACCGAGTGCATTATCTGGACGATGCTCGGGCGGAGATCGCTGAGAGAGATCACCAAAGCGAGAAGGAGCGCAAGAAAGACATGCAGCGAAAGCGCAGACGGGAACAACAAATGCGTACTGAAGCAGAGCGAATGCACGAACTCGAGCGCGCTGTGCAGAACGCTGATGACCCTGCGGAAACTGAGCGCCTGCGAAAGCAATATGAGGCATCTGGTCACAAATTGCGGAAAGTGGCCGAGGCCAATAACGGCATTCCGGATGATATAGACGTTCCTGTCATGCCCGTCAACTACGAGGGCGGCACCACCGGGCAATTCCAGATCGGTACGCCAGAGCCGGAAGAGCCACCTAAGAAGCGTGCTCGGCAGAGTGGTGCTCCTGCTGTTCGTCTCAAGAAGTCCAAAGAGAAGAAGCAGGCTGAGAAGGACGCTGCCGAAGCTGCCTACCTTGCGCAACTCGAGAACGAGTCCCTGCCCGCCTTCGCTCCACTGGACGAGGAGAAGCGAGACTCGTCGCGAAGCAAGCGCGTGAAAGCCGAATCCGGCCCAGCCCCGGCCATCAACTATGAATCGAAGGGATATAATCAGATCTACGAGCAGATCATCAGAGACATGGCGAGGAAGGATGTGCCCAAAGTTCATCGCATTAAGCAAACTTCGTTGCAAACTCGACAAGAGAACATGCGCAAGACGGCGATCTTGGCCAGCAAGCAGGCTCGCAAGTGGCAAGAACGAACCAACAAGAGCATGAAAGACACACAAGCTCGAGCAAAGCGCGTCATGAGAGAGATGATGTCCTTTTGGAAGCGAAATGAGCGAGAGGAGCGCGACCTGCGTCGGATGGCTGAACGCAAAGAGATTGAGGACGCGAAGAAGGCTGAGGCAGATCGCGAAGCCAATCGCCAGAAGAGGAAGCTCAACTTCTTGATTTCGCAGACCGAGCTGTACTCGCACTTCATCGGCAAGAAGGTGAAAACCGATGAAATTGAGAATTCGACGAACGACCCCGATGTGGCGGCGTCGACCCAGAAAGTGACCGACGGCAAGTCATCGGCTCACACTGTGGATTTGCCAGACTCCGTCGCCGATCTCACAGGAAAGACCAAGGTCACCAACTTCGAAGACTTGGACTTCGACGCTGAAGATGACACTGCCTTAAGAGAAGCTGCGATGGCCAACGCGCAGAACGCTGTGCAGGAGGCACAGGATCGCGCTCGTGCGTTCGACGGCGACGACCAAATGGCTGCATTTGACAACAGCGACATGAATTTCCAGAACCCCACCATGGCCGGTGATGTACAAGTCTCCCAGCCAAAGATGCTTCAAGCGCAGCTCAAGGAGTATCAGCTCAAAGGCCTGAATTGGTTGGTCAACTTGTACGAGCAAGGCATCAATGGTATTCTGGCAGACGAGATGGGTCTCGGCAAGACTATACAGTCAATATCAGTCATGGGTTATCTAGCTGAGCAGCACAACGTCTGGGGACCCTTTCTTGTCATCGCTCCGGCTTCAACACTCCACAACTGGCAGCAGGAAATCACTCGCTTTGTGCCACACATCAAGGTGCTCCCATATTGGGGCAATGCTAAGGATCGGAAGGTACTGCGCAAATTCTGGGACCGGAAACACATCACCTACAACAAGGATTCAGAATTTCACGTCCTCGTAACGTCGTACCAGCTGGTGGTGATGGATGCTCCTTACTTTCAGAAGATCAAATGGCAGTATATGATTCTCGACGAGGCACAAGCTATCAAGTCCTCAAGCAGTTCTCGATGGAAAACGCTGCTGGGATTTCATTGTCGCAATCGACTTCTTCTTACGGGAACGCCCATTCAGAACAACATGCAGGAGCTCTGGGCGCTCTTGCATTTCATCATGCCTACCTTGTTCGACTCGCATGATGAGTTTAGTGACTGGTTCTCAAAGGATATTGAAAGCCATGCGCAGAGCAACACGAAGCTCAACCAGGATCAGCTGAAGCGACTGCATATGATTCTCAAGCCATTCATGCTGCGTCGTGTCAAAGCTCATGTACAGAAGGAGCTCGGTGACAAGATTGAGAAGGACATCTTCTGCGACCTGACCTACCGCCAACGCGCCATGTACGCCAATCTACGCAGCAAGATCAGCATCATGGATCTCATCGAGAAGGCCACTATGGGCGATGATCAAGATACCGCGACGTTGATGAACCTGGTCATGCAATTCCGCAAGGTTTGCAACCATCCAGACCTTTTCGAGCGAGCAGACGTTAGCTCGCCATACTCGCTGTCAACTTTCGCCGAGACCGCGTCATTCATGCGAGAAGGCCATTTCATCCAATTCGCTTACTCAGTACGCAATCCTGTGCAGCTTGATCTGCCTCGCATACTTTGCAACGATGCCGGTCGCCTGGATGTTGCTGGGCCCAAGAACGCTCGCGCTGGGTTTCAACGAGCAGGATTTCGCTCCGACGCTCTCGGCCACATGCTGCGTATCTGGACTCCCGATTATGTCAAGGAATCGAGTCAGTCCGACGGTGCCTTCACCTTCCTTCGCTTTGCGGACATCTCTGCTTCGGAAGCGGCGAATGCTGCGAACTACGGTATTTACGAACGTGCGGTTCAGCGGCAACCGCGATCTTCGCAGCGTATTGCTGTCTATGAAGATGAGGTCGATGCAGCGGTGCCAGCGCACACAATGTTCAACATCGTCGCCAATGATTCGCGCAAGACTTTGGCCGAGATCGATCCCAACTCGCCCATCGGCCATCTCTATAATGTCTCGCGACGTGCGATAGAAGAGGAAGGGTTGCCAGTCATCGAGCCAGCTGCACGCCTCCGTGTCTCTGCGCCACCAATTGAAGTCAGTTGCTTCGACCAGGATTCGTCGATTGAGAGGGGCTTGACCATGTTTAATGTACCGGTGCGCAACGCGCTCTTCCCGTTGGAAGCTCAAGATGAAGAACGGATTCTGGACCGCAATGCGGATGCCGCCAGTGGACCAGTGGCCTCGCTTCTACCCGCTCCAGCCTCCAACAAGGCTCGTTGGACCAACATTAGTGTGCCATCAATGCGCCGCTTCGTGACGGACTGTGGGAAGCTTGCGAAACTTGACCAACTCCTGCGTGAGCTCAAGGCTGGAGGTCACAGAGTTCTGCTCTACTTCCAGATGACACGCATGATTGACCTGATGGAAGAGTACTTAACATATCGAAACTACAAGTACTGCAGATTGGATGGAAGCACAAAGCTCGAAGACAGACGCGACACGGTTCATGACTTCCAGACTCGTCCGGAGATCTTCATCTTCCTGCTCTCTACGAGAGCTGGTGGTTTGGGCATCAATCTGACAGCTGCGGATACTGTCATCTTCTACGACTCCGACTGGAATCCGACAATCGACTCTCAAGCTATGGATCGTGCCCATCGTCTGGGACAGACGAGGCAAGTCACGGTGTACCGTCTCATCACTCGTGGCACGATCGAAGAACGCATCCGCAAGCGTGCCATGCAGAAGGAAGAAGTTCAGCGCGTCGTGATCACCGGCGGCGATGGTGCTGGCGTTGACTTTAATACTCGAGACAAGCGCGAGAACCGTACGCGGGATATTGCAATGTGGCTTGCTGATGACGATCAAGCCGCACTGCTTGAGCAGAAGGCGAATGAGGCCGAGGAAAAGATTGACGAAGATATGAAGAAAAAGAGTAAGAAAGCACAAGCTGCTGCAGCGCGTGCAAAGAAGAGAGGAGAGATGAGTCTGGATGATATGTATCATGAAGGTGAGAACATCTTCCTGTCCTCCTCGTTAACGCTCTACTAACTACTTTCAGGCGAAGGACATTTCGAAGACGCAAGCGCAAAGGCTTCTGGTGCAGCAACGCCAGTGAGCACAGCTGAGACGCCGCCAACGAAGAAAGGCCCCCGTGGTGGCACTGGCAAAAGTAAGAAGGCGAAGACAGCGAAACAGCGTCTGGCGATCATCGATGCGGAAGGAGACCTGGGCATGGGTGGAGGTGCGGATTAGATGCGTCCAGATACTAGCTCCTGATGGCCGACGGATGCTTTGTACAATTACGGGAATGCATAAGTTCTGGGCCCAAGATATGATTTGAGCACATGAGGGTCGACTGGCACAAAGCCGAAGGTATATAGAGTGAATGATGATCCGATGCCTTTCATGCAAGACATGCGCAGGTTGAAGCATAGCCTTAAGAGTGAGCTTTCGTGAATGGGTGAAGATGGGCTCGACGTGTGTTCGTGTCGTCAAGGTATAGCGACGTATATATTCTCCACAGCCAGGCGTCACGTTGCAAGGTCGCCGTCCTTCGCAGCCACCGCCCTTGGAAACTATGTCGACCTGCGCAGTGTATCCGTACGATCGGTCGACATACTTCTGTAGCGTGCAGGAGCAAGGGCCCTGTCCACTGCAACTGCTAACGTCTTTGGAAAGGTCGTCTCAGGAGACCGGATGACTGGCCAGTCTGCCGGGTCTTTCCACGAGACCGGATGACCACTCTGTGCGTGGATTCGACGCAAGCAAGACTTCGTCAGGACCACTCAGGAGCGCTGTACCGCAGTGCAAAGCGAATTTTGTGACGCTCACCATACTAGCAAGTCGATCTATTGCGATGGTCGAGCGCAGTTATCCCTCTTCACACCGAAATGCCAAGACCTCGACCTTTGCCTACTTACCGGACGTCCCACCAGGTTGAGTCTTTGTCCAACAGAGCCGCCCCTGCAATTGTAACCATTTCAAGACCTAATCTCTCGATATAGCCCAGATTCTGGATCGATTCAGCCAAAACCACGAATCACCTTTTTGTTCTGTGTGGGAACCGATTTCAGCGATCTGCCCGCCCCGTGACAGTCTGTGCGCCCCGGAGATTCCGAGGACATCTATAGCACCTTGAGGCGCATTGAAGTCCACCCCCGGCAGTTTCGAGTTCGGGGCGGCAGAGTTGAAGAAGTTGGTTTTTGGATGGCACAGCAGAGAGGAGCGAAGGGAAGGCTTGGCATTTTTGGGAGTATATTTTCTTGGTGTTTCTAAGAAACACCTGGAAATTGGAGAGATGCCTACCTCAGTCAAGACATACTATATTGGGAGCAAGAGGGATACATGTGTGGTGCGTGCGTGCGCTGCAGATGCATTATCATTACAGTGTCACGCAAAGGCAATGGGACACGACTACAGACGTTCCTCCTACATGCCTGGGGAAGCGCTTTGGTGATCCATGCGCAGATACAGTCTCTGTCGAGACTCGTGGCCGCGAGAATCTGGTGGCAGCGCCTGCCAACGGCTCACTGGCATCTCAAGTAGCCCTCGATTACGCAGCAACGATATGCTGCTCGATGGTTTAGGCTTGCTCAAGTCGTTAGGCGCTCAGACGATTGGGCTATCGGTGATACCTTTGAATTCATCTGCTGAACGACTCTCTTCTCGAATGATTGCGTGCTCCGAGAGGTAATGCTGCGAATATATCGACAAGACTATGCAGCATCATGCCTTCCAGGAGACTAGAAGTAGCTGTGAGCTGATGCCTGGAAACACAGATGAAATAGGCATGTGCTCGAGTCGAGGGGCGTTTCTCGGACCCTCCTGCAGGGTTACTTCTACCAGAAGCACCACGCCATCCAGTCTGTACACTGTTCCCTGTGTCTCTTGATTGATGCGAAGCCAAGCACTCACAGCCTGCAAGCCTACATCTTTTCAATGAGACTCCGGTGTAAGAGATCCACGGTGTATTTGACAGCCAGAGAGGGTGATGGGAATATATCGTTCAGAAGCACAACATCAGCCCAACAAAAGACATTTGTGGTAGATTCACGGCCAGAGAGGGCGCTGTAGACACGTAGTTATAGGAGACACCTAGGAGATGTCCGCTGGCAAAGACGATGGTAGATTTCATGGCCATAGAGGGCGCTGTACAGCGTACCTTAGGCAGGTAGGTATATGAATGGCTATTCAGATAATCAATAGGCGTCCGAAAAGGGAGTAGCGCGACGCGTTCGCGATCGACAAAAATTTCGATCGGACGTTTCAACAACCGACACCGATCACCACAAACCTGACACAGAGCCCGCCCCAACCTTGACGCCGCTTTAACGATAGACACCGCTCCACTTCCAGCCGCTACCATGTCTGAAGTCGACGCCATGGATTGGCAGCCGATGCTAACTCCTCCTCACCCCCACCCCATCGCGCCGTACTATTACACAGGCTACATGCCTGGTGGATGGCCAGAGCGCACACTAGATCGACCAAACACCCAATATCGCCGTCCTGCCCCAGATTCACAGTGGATTGAGCGCGACTTGAAGAGAGTCTGTCGTGGTATCGAATTAGCTGGTGACGCCGCATGTCAAGGCGCACGAGCAGCAGGCAAAGGCGCTGGTAGACTCGCAGTCGCCGGCGCCCGTCGCGCAGGACAAGAGACACTCAGAGGTACTGTCGCTGTCGGTCGCGTCGGTTTCGCCGTCGCAAAGAAAGCCGCCGTTACCACATCCAACTCCACCATCGCCATCATCCGTCGCTGCCAGCGAAACAGTCCTCGAGATCTACAGAAGAGAGCTCAAGCAGAAGCCAAGCGCGCTGCTATGAAGCGCAAGCTTGCAGACATACTTGCTCGAGAACAGAAGAGAAAGAGTCTTGCATGCCACGCCGCTCAAGAAGAGCAGAGAAAACGCGCATACGAAGTCGCTCAAGAAGCTGCTCAAGAGGCCAAGGCCATCGATACACGTAAGTACCTCCTCATAATGCGCATTTACAAGAACCAAGCTAAACAAAATAGCCATCAATGTCAGTCCAAAGACGGGTATAATGCTCGCTCACCTGGCTCAAGCGGAAGCTCAAGCGGAAGCCAGAAACGCTGCTGCTACCGAAGCTGCCAATGCCGAGCTACTCCAGAGATTCCTTCAGCGCAAGATATTTCAGGGTAGAGGAACAGCTTTCGCCCGACGTGCCATAAAATTACAGCCACGCAGACCACAGGGCATAACAAAGTATCTGCCATCGCCTCGTCGTGTCCGCAACCCATACAGCACTATGCTCTCATACGATCACAACGAAAAAGGCACGCAGACTGATCCAGTCGCTCAGAAAGAGGAGAATCTCGCCGAGCATGTAGCATACTGGCAGAACTTGGAGCGAACCGGCGCCTCTGAAGTCGACGTTCACGCAACATATATCCACAGCTCTGATCGAGCCACTCAGATGAATCGCCCATTGTTCCCAAGAACGAGCGTCGATCTTGACGCCCTTGCTATCGAGGCACTAGAGCAATCCACCGAGGTTCAGACAGCTACTAAGACTACACAACCCACATACTCGAAAGCGGCACCAACTGGCACACAGAATAAGACTTTGAAGACGCCAAAGACTGCAGCACTACAGCGTGTTCCTCAGACAGGATACTCCAACATATCGTCGACCGTCGAGCACACCCCAGTGCAGCCCATAGCAGTCACGCCAGCTAGACCGAAGAGAGTAGAGGCCCTGGCTGCGACACCAGCAAAACCACAGACACCATTCTCTGATATCTCTTCTACGGTCGAAATGACCCCGCCGCAAGTTCAAGCAACTCACGCTATGCCTCAAACACCGCTGTCCGACATTTCCTCCACATTCAGAGAGACTCCGCCAAAGCCCCAGACGCCACTCTCTAATATCTTGTCAACCGTCACGAAGACCTTTGCTCGTGCTAAGGCAACCGAACCGAAGGATCGGACACCATACTCCGACATATCATCCAATGTCGCTCCTACTCCTGTTCGTACTGAACCAATCAAAGCGAAGCATCAGACTCCATACTCTGATATCTCTTCGAATGTCGCTCCCACTCCCATTCCAGCTTATCACACCGTCCAATCCGTAGCCGACGCCGTTGGTTCTCCATCATCATCTACAAAGGCCCCAGGAAAATCGCCTCTCCCACGTACCTCACACGTAGGGATCACTAAGTCTCCGCCAGGAGCATGGATTGATGAAGAAACCACTATGGAACAGGACCAGAAATCGAAAGAAGCAACTATTACGTTGACCTTCAGGACACCAGCCCGGCGCGCTGTGTCAAATAAAGCCCTCCGTGGCTTAAGTGATGATGAGAAGAAAGAGGAGATCAAGGAACGCGTTCGTACACCACCAGAGCATGAGACGCCACCAAAGTCGAGCGTTCATGGCAGAAAACGAGACCGCACGAAGCAGGAAATCAAGGAGCGACAAGAAGAGGCTCAGAAGAAGAAGAACCAGTACACTATCACGCCTCTGTCAGACGAGTGGGACGACAAGGTCGAAGAATACATACAGAACGGCCTCCCAGAGGCGGAGCTCACCGCAAAAGACCTTGGACGATGTGCACCACCCAGAGACGCGTCGGCGAACCACGACAACTGGCTGAATGACGAAGTGATCAACAAATACCTGAAGATGGTGACTGAATACGGAAACAACCTTGCAGGCCGCCCGAGAGACAAAACGCCCGCTTTTCACGCGTTTACCTCGTTTTTCTACTCCAAGATGGCCGATCCAAAACAAGGTGTGAAGACGATCCTCCGCTGGGTCAACAAAGCCCGCATTGGCGGCAAACGAATGCTGGAGACCGAGATGGTCTTCGTACCTATCAATTCCGGCTCGCATTGGACTCTCGCTGTGGTTTCTGGCGTCAACAGAACCATTAGCTACTACGACTCGCTGGGGAGCAAACGCTCCAGCTACATGGAGGTTTTGCTGGGCTGGCTGGAAGTAGAGCTAGGAGACGCGTTTGTGCGCTCGGAATGGAAGCTGCAGGTGGAGGAGAGCGGCCGCCAGGCCAATATGGACGATTGCGGCGTGTTTACGGTCACGAACGCGCGTTCTTTGGTTTTGGGCGTGAAGCCCCATGAGTTTGCAGGAGAAGAACTTGCGCGTATTCAGCGCAGAAGAATCGTGGCCGAATTGGCCAACGGGAGCTTTTGGTGGGGGGAGCATGAAGGGGAGAAGGGGGAAGCTGGAGAGGGAGGAGGAAGCGGGAGTTTTTGGTTTCTGCTCGCGTGCGATTTGAAAAGTCTTTTGTACCAGCAGGGAGGACTCTGGCGAAGTTTTGCGGCGTTTTTGCTGATTTTGAGATACCCAACGCGCCCCAAGTGGCTTTTGTACGAACAATGACAGGAGAATCACCAGAGCTTTCGGCTTCTCTTGCCCTTTGCTTCGATGTTAATCAGATGAGCATGACAGGAGTCGCGGGTCGGGCATCAGATGAGCTTCAGCGATCTCTGAAGCGATGAGCCATGCAGCTACGCCAGCAAGAGCTACAAAGATGTCGGAGTCTCTGTGAGTCTGGCGTGACCTCTTTGCAGGACCAGGTCGCTGTACCCGTGCTGTACCCGAGTCTTCCTCGACACTGGAATCTGTCATAGAGATCTTGACGACAGTCTTCGGAATATTTAGGACTGATCGAGACTTGCAGCGAGAACATTGATATGTGATGCCCGGCCAGACTCGGAAGAGCAACTGCTACCAGAAAATGGTTCCATTCTTGCCCCGCGTTTACCCAATGCCAAGATATTGAGTGAAGCCGGCCCTTGCCTTGTTACCGTGAATGACTTACCCCCACCTGCCACTACTTGCCTGCGCAAAAGTTGTGACATTGACGACTCGAACTCCTCTCATTCTCAAGCATCCTGCGACTTCTTTGACTACTGCATTAAGCTGAAATTTGACCAATCTGAGGCAGTTCTCACATTTCCAAGCTGTAAGTGTTTCTACAGCGCTGCCGCCACTACCAGCATCATCACAAAGTGCTAACGTAACTGCTCAACAGAGTTCTCCTCAATCACAGCCGCCAACATGGTCAAAGTTGGAATTCTAGGTGCCTCTGGTGGCATTGGCCAGGTCTGAATGCCCTTCATATCTCCAGAGCCGAATGTGCTGACGAGCAGCAGCCTCTTTCACTCCTCTGCAAGATCTCTCCTCTCATCGACGAGATTACCCTCTGGGATGTGGTCAACACTCCTGGTGTCGCCGCCGACCTGGGCCACATCTCCTCGAAAGCCGTAAGCACCAGCAATGCGATGACCAGACCACTCGACTGACCCCAAACAGAAGCTCACTGGTCATGTTGCCGCTAAAGGCGACTTCGCGATGAAGCAAGACGAGAGCAACGCGGCACAGAAGGAGGCTCTTTCAGGCCTGGACATCGCCATCATCCCTGCCGGTGTTCCTCGTACGTCAACAGCCATGTCATACTTTTGGTAGCTGACTGAAATGAACAGGCAAGCCTGGCATGACCCGTGACGACCTTTTCAAGATCAATGCTGGCATCGTCAAGGGCTTGGTCGAAGCTCTTGCAAAGTACTCGCCCAAAGCATATGTCTTGGTCATCTCCAACCCCGTCAACTCGACCGTCCCGATCGCTGCCGAGGTGCTCACCGCGGCCGGTGTGTTCGACGCCAAGAAGCTCTTCGGTGTCACAACCCTCGATGTGGTGCGCGCCGAGACATTCGTTGCAGAGGTCACTGGCAGCAAGGAGGTGCCCGACAAGACTACAATCCCCGTCGTTGGTGGCCACTCTGGTAATACGATTGTTCCACTCTTTAGCCAGGCCAAGCCAGCCGTCAACATTCCCGAGGACAAGCTGGACGCTCTTGTCCACCGTGTTCAATTCGGTGGTGATGAGGTTGTCAAAGCGAAGGATGGTGCGGGCAGTGCCACTCTCTCCATGGCGTACGCCGGATTCCGCTTCGCCGAGGCTGTGCTGAAGGCCAAGAAGGGCGAGAAGGGCATTGTTGAGCCGGCCTTTGTCTATCTTCCTGGTGTCCCCGGTGGTGAGGAGATCCAGAAGGCTACTGGTGTGGATTACTTCTCAGCTCCTGTCGAGTTTGGCGTAAGTCTGCTCCCTTTGCGGTCGTGTCAAGCATGTACTAACAGGTGTATAGCCCAACGGTGTCGAAAAAGTCATCAATGTCCTCTCCAATGTCAACGACTACGAGAAGAAACTGCTCGACGAGGCCGTCAAGGGTCTCAAGACCAATATCGAGACTGGCGTCGACTTCGTCAAGAACCCTCCCCAGAAGTAGACTCGTTTTCGGAAAACCTGGCTCGGGGGACCTTCAGCAGATTTTCGAAATGACGCCGCGAGAAAGAGTTTTACCTCTGTAAAGACGGAGATGATGTAAATTCCGGAATTTCCCTGCCAGAGGCCGCCCAACGGTACCAAAAGTTGCATGCTAGGACTTCAGAACATAGACTTCTACAGCTTTGAGCGTGGGCGTCAATTCAACCGACTTAGATCACTCTGAATTAACTGGTCGTCTGGGAAGGTATTGGAAGGCCTCAAGGTTTCGCTTGTGCTGTTTTGATCTGAAATGTTGCTGCCGGCAGATCCTGAGTTTCCGCTTGAACAGTAGCCGTTATCCCCAGATTAGCCAAAGCCCCCCTTATGATTCCGCATGGAAAGATGAGATGCGGCTGCGCGCGATGAACAGCTTCCGCCGAATTCGCCATGCTCATTCTCGAGAAAGGCCGAAACTTGCTATCCGTGAGAACAAAAACGCCCTATCATCAGTCAGCACTTCCTCAATCAGTTTCCGATACCCGGACTGACTCTATGATTTGTCTTGAGATTATCGATCTGCTTTTTGAAGACGACCAGCCACAGATCCTTGCACAGAAACTTGATCACGTCGAGTTGATCCGTGAATCGCGGCCGATCCCTCGAGAAGCGCTCGCTCAAACCCATTCCCACGCGAAAGCCCAGGCTCTCCAGTCTGTAGTGTACGGTCTCTTTGAAAAGCGCAGTCTCCGGCTGTCCATCGCCCGCCATGAAGGGCAGCCCACCTCCCGTCGTAGATGCCGCATTCGTGGTTCTAGACACTCGATTGACTAGGCTTGGGCGATCGAGCGAGGCTTCGTAGTCACGAGCCATGCGCTCGGCGAGAGGGACCAGTTCGATGAGGAGGAGATCGAAGCACGAGATACTGACGTATGAGGCCGTCGGATCCAGGCTCGTGTCCTCTGCTTGTTTGGCCATGATCGCAAGTGAGGTGTCGTTTGGTAGCCGAAGGATCAGCGAGCTATGTCGGTTGCGCTCGCGCTTCCTGCTTCATGTCGAACCATCTGTGTGACACGATACTTCTGCAGGCGCGAATTTGACTCAGCCATACCTGATCACCTGTCCATGTAGAAGAAGTGACAACATCGCAGGACCAAGCGCTCTTTGCGGTGGTTGAACGCCAAGTCTCCCCGAGCCTCCACAAGTGGACCTCACATCCGCTGGTTGCCTTCTTGCATCTCAGCATCCCACGGCCATGCTGGCCAGGACACGTGCGGTGATCGATCAAGAATGCTCAGCGGGATACTGCTCTTCAATCAGAAGGGCGAGAACCTGATATTTCGAGCGTTTCGACCAGACTGCCGCCCAAGACTCGCAGACATCTTCCGGATACAGGTCATCTCCAATGCCCAAGTGCGGTCCCCTATACTCACCCTTGGCTCGACTACATTCAGCCATGTCAAGCATGAGAACATCTACATCACAGCGGTGACGAAGAGCAACGCCAATGCGGCCATTGTCTTTGAGTTCCTGTATCGCTTCATCAGTCTTGGGAAGGGCTACTTCAGCAAATTTGACGAAGATGCCGTGAAGAATAACTTTGTGCTCATCTATGAGTTGCTTGATGGTGAGCTGCTCCGAAGCACGCTCCCTCAGATGTCTAACGCGCAAGCGCAGAGATCCTGGACTTTGGCTACCCACAGAACACTGATGTCGACGTGCTGAAGATGTACATCACGCCCGACAACCTCTCGTCCGCCATCCGCTCCGTCTCTGCCCCGTCCAGCGACACCTCTCGGATCACCATGCAAGCAACCGGCGCGCAATCCTGGCGACGTGGCGACATCAAGTACCGCAAGAACGAGGCGTTTGTCGATGTGATCGAAGACGTCAACCTGCTCATGTCTGCTACAGGGACAGTCCTTCGTGCCGATGTCACTGGGCAGATCGTGATGCGTGCTTACTTGACCGGCACGCCCGAATGCAAGTTCGGCCTCAACGACCAGCTGCTCGTCGGCAGCATTACGCAAAACGGGAATGCGCTCGACTCCGGCCCTGTCGGCAATGCAGACGGCAAGCGAAAAGCAACTCGCGCGGCTGCCGGTTCAGTCACGCTCGAGGACTGCCAGTTCCATCAATGCGTACAACTCAGCAAGTTCGATTCAGATCGCACCATCAGCTTTGTGCCACCGGACGGAGAGTTCGAGCTCATGCGCTATAGAGCCACAGAGAATGTCAATCTTCCCTTCAAAGTCCACGCCATCGTGAAAGAAGTCGGCACCACCAAAGTCGAGTACTCCGTTGCGGTAAAGGCCAACTACGGCAGCAAACTCTTCGCCACCAACGTCGTCATCCGCATTCCCACACCCCTGAACACAGCCAAGATCAGCGAGCGGACTACGCAAGGCAAAGCAAAATACGAGCCCGAGTCGAATTGCATTGTCTGGAAGATCGCCCGCTTTGTGGGCGGGAGTGAGTTCGTGTTGAGTGCGGAGGCACAATTGACCAGCATGACAAACCAGAAGGCGTGGAGTCGGCCGCCGCTGAGCATGAATTTCAGCTTGCTGATGTTCACGAGTTCGGGGCTGCTGGTGAGGTACTTGAAGGTGTTTGAGAAGGGAAATTATAGCAGTGTCAAGTGGGTGAGGTACATGACGAGGGCAGGAAGTTATGAGATACGGTTCTGATCGACGGCATTTGGTAGGGGCCAGAAAATGATTGTTAGCGATGCACAGTGGCGCAGGCTATAGTATTGTGAGTAGCGCATAAGGTGGTGCAGCTTCAAGAAAAGCAAAAGCAAAAGTGTACGTGTGATCGAGAGCACGAAGCTCGTTCAGAATGCTGGCCGACTTTGTGTTCCTAGTCTTCTAGGTTGGCGTTGTTTGCACGATGTGGCAGAGGACGCTTGGTTTTTACAATTTATTCGGATGCGATGACTTTTGACATCCATCGCCTGAGTTGCATCAGACAATCATCCCAAGGCGGTAGACGGGTCGTCGTGCTAGCATGTAGGGACAGCCATAGCGAGACTTTGACTTGTCTTCAGTCTGCACATTGCCTGAGAACCTCGCGGATGGAAAGACATGGACACACAAGCTAAGCAAAATGGAAATGAATGACAGCGTAAGAACCGAAAGCCAGGTAGCCAGGATAAAATACACCGCAATCGCTGGAAATTGCCTGTGCATTACAACAGGCTTTCGAATACGGCGCCTGCCTGTACCATAGGAGGCACTTCGGGGTCGCAATTGGTGCTGTGCTTGTGCACTGGAAGGCACGGAACGCTAGACGTCAGCAGTTGCCCCGGGTCGACCAGTGATTCGGTTGATGAGCAGGAAGGCGCTCCATGAGCCAAGAAGCAAGAGACATGTTGGGGCAAAGCGAGGCAATGCATCTCGTGGCTTCCAGGACAAGTTCTTCGTGGACTTCGTCTGCAGCACCTTGGGTCGGGGTGCTTTTAAGGGGAGGAAGGTGATTGCTTCAAAACTCGCGGTACAACATAACCAGGTTGGTCCTGAAACTTGTTGGTGATCATGTTCGATCTTCATTCGCAAGCTATGATTGATGAGCTGCAGTCAGCTTCGATTCGAAAGCGCTATGCCGCACATAAATCTCCCACAGGGCGGGCTTTGCCCAGACCATCCGTCTGCGAACCCGGAGCGCTCGTAGCTGACGGCATTTCCTTACGACTCCTCGGTCTGCGTCGCCTTGGCACCACGAGGCTTCCTCGCCGGCGTATCCTTCTTGGGTCGCTGGGACTGCTTGAGGGCTGATGCACGTTGAACAGCATGTTCGTTGAGGTCGGATCGGTAGGAGTTCTTGCCAACAGCGTTCGCAACACTGGCGTATGTTCTGTAGCAGTAATGTCAGCATTCACAACGTCATCTGATCCTGGATCATGCTCGTACGATCGGTTTGTGCCGGTCTTCTTGTAGTTGTGGGTGTTGTGGTGGCTGCTAGGCTTGTTTGAGCCGCTCTTCTTCTTGGTCTGAAGCGAGACACCACCGTCCTGACCAGCCTGCACAGAGACAGCCTTTTCGCTGACGAAGCCGGCGTACTTCTTGGAGTGCTTGTTCGTCAGGTTGAAGGGATCTCGGGAGAACTGCACGCCACCGCCAGACTTGCGCTTGACGAGGTATGCATTGTTGTGTCCTGAGTAGAGGGCTTGGTCAGTGTACCGGTCGCGAGCGCTTCGACGGTGTCTAGACTTACGGACAATCTCCCAGAGGAGATCAGGAGAGACGTTAGACATTCTGGTCGTAGTTTGGGAGTGTTCAGAACGGTCTTGACGCTGCCAACAATTGCTGTGGTCCAGACACGACTTGAGGTGCAGTTGTGGGCAGAACGACTCATGTCGCCAAGATTTACACTCGATTGCGAGTCATGCTGATCTTACGCAACTCTCCGCTTGCGCCGAGCGGCGCGCCGGACTTCATTCAACCTGAAGGCCAGCACAGCCGTCAGGCCACCGCGCCTTCAGCCGCTCTCAAACTTGACGATACTTGCGAAGACGACAAAAGGGTGACGGCTGCCGCGATCGAAGCCATACACTACGGTCACCGCTACTGGTGTACTACGAAGCATCCTCAACCAGGCCGCGACAATGGCATACATCCTCTTCAGCTTCATACTCCTCTCGATGATAGCGGGTACAAGTAGGTACTCTCCAGAAGCAGCAACCGTAGCGCTGACCGTTTCCAAGTTCTCTACCTCACCCGCGAACGATGGACCGCATATCTTCCCTCCCGCTTCCAGGACGTGATGTACTCACGCCTGCCAACAACGTTCATGGGCGACGTGGAAGGCGGCTTCACCTCCGCTGATTTTGATCTGACGTCCAACATTACGGAGGGCGACTCGCGGCAAGGACTGGATCCGAAATCGAAGCGGGACATTCAGCGACTCATGAAAATTCGAAATATTGGTTTCGATGAGGCGAGGAAGGTGTACATGGAGCAGCGGTTCAAGAAGGCTGGTATTGGTGCGGACGGCATACCGAATGATCCCAAGTTTGTTAGTTTCTCCTAGACGGTCTATGGTTGTTGGGTGTTCGGGCGTCTGTACGTGTTCTTGAATAATGGAAGACGCTCGGCGTACATCCATGGTCTCGAGGACTTGACTCCTCGATTCGAGGCATTTCGAATGGCAATTCTTCGAGATCGCGATATTATCCAAGATCTCCATTCTCTGGTGGGTAATCTGGTGGCAGATATGTACAGGTCTAAGAATAGGCTTGAACCATGACCGACGGTCAGCTTGGCATCCGTCTTGCTCCCGCCCACCCGGACGCCAGCCCAATGCCGCTCAAAACGCCGTGGAAATTCAGAATATGACCATTAGGGACAGAGCCAGTCCAGGACCAGCAAGATCTCCATGCAGATGCTCATTGCACCTTCTTCGCCTCATCACTGCCATAGGATCGGTCATCATCGCCCTCGACTTCCTGAACGAGCTTCTCCATCTCCTTGACTTGTCGCTCCCACTCAGCCTGCCCCATCTTGCTCTCACGGCGGAAAAGCTCCTCGTTGGGCTTGCGATAGCTGCCTCCCAGTCTGTCCCACAAAGTAGTGTATTGACCATAATTGTAGTTGAACTGTTTGATGTTAGCTGTGGCCGCACGGGACAGAGGCAGAGACTTACATAAAGATGATGCATCGTGTGGCATGCTGCGCCGTTCAATATAGGTGAATTTGCCATGTACTCACCATCGTGGATGAATATCGTCCAGATGTTGACGAAGACAAAGAGTGCCACATAGGCAAATTTCTGGAGAGGGAAAAGGAGAGGATATATGTGATATGGCACAGACTGGAGAAAGCCATCGATCGGGTGGAAGGCGTGCGACGCAAATGGAGTTGGCATGATCCATTTGTGGTGCGCCTTGTGAAGCTTCTTGTAGACGAGAGGATGGTGGAGGCCGCGATGGATGAAGTAGATCAACATATCGGTGAAGAGCAGGAAGCATGGAAACTGCAGTATGTTGTAAAGTGGGAAAGGCGCCTCGTCAGATCGGTCGTAGAGCTTGGCGTATCCTCGAACGTCCACTAAGAAGAGTAGCGCTGTCATGATGGACATTCCAGGCATGCTGGACAAGGCCTGCTTGATTTCAAGCTTGACCTGGTTCTTCAAGAACTTCGGGTGCTTGAATGTTGTTTTGTCGAAAACCAGCCAGTACGACAGTCCCGAGCACAGGAAATATAGAAGAATGCCGAAGAACCAGGTGGTGAAGAATAACGATATCAGTTGTCGGTAAGGATTGTCGCGTGGCAGAGCACTCTCGTAAGCCCAGTGACGGGGTTGGAGGCTGAAATATTGTGTTGAGGTAGGTATGTCCATTGTGGTGGCTCAGGGACGTGTGTTCCGCTTTCGCGCATACTCGAGAACGTGCTCGTCGCGACACTTTTGACATATTGCGTGACGGAGGATGTCGACGAAGCCGGTAAGAGAGCAGCATAAATTCGGTCGTACGCGAAGGTGTCCAGGACCTCGAGTATAACGTCCATCTTGAGCGATCAAAAGGATTTGAGTGTCGGAGTTAGGCGGTTCGCGGTCGGTGATCCTAAGGCTCGATACCTCAGACGAAATGCCTTCGACAGACCAAAAAGAGGGACAGTTGGCGACGACAGGAGGAGAGCAATAGCGACTGCCTATGCAAGAGTGCGTGGTAGCAAGGACGCAGAGACGTTAGGTTGACGGTGTGGTACCTGGCTCGCCGAGTAGTGGCGTGAACTTTTTGCTCTCTCACCGACCGCCGGCTGAACTGATCAGAGTGGGGAACATGTCGTGGAAAGTGGAGATACTGGACCAGCCTGGAAAGTGCTCATTGGCCTCCGAGCCGTTCATCTGTCAAACGATCCCAATCAAAGCTTACCGGCATCCATGTAGGGACTGGTACCGACAGAATCTGAAGGGCTCCAAGCTCCAGAGATTGATTTGATTAGATGTACCTAGTAAGGAATCTTCGCTCGATTTCCGCTTCCGCGTGAGTCCGAACCGAAGTGCTGGTTCACTTCCACGCGTCATTGTCGAATTTCGTGAGAGGCTTCACTTAGCAGTAACCTGTACATTACGAACAGCTCAAGTGATACTGATCCTCTACACTGCAGCGCCCATGATTGTTTGGCGCTAAAGTGTTATACGTGATGTTGCTCGACCTGGGAATCTGCACATACAGTCGTTTCTGCGTCGGTTGAGATAATTGTTCTGGCATCATGTCGATGTCAATCTCAACCGTACCACAGCCTTCACGACTCAATCCTGCCTTTGTCGAGACCGCCGCTGGTCTGTCTGCCGGAGCTGCAGCGACACTGCTGCTGCACCCTCTGGACATAATAAAGACGAGATTGCAGGGTGCGTTGTGTTACTACACTGACTGTCTGTATATGCTAAGTAGCCACAGTCGATAGCTCGTCTCACCCTTTCATAAATTCTTCGAGAACGGTCCTGCGCGACGTGTGGCGTAATGAAGGCCCAACTCGTCTTGCCGCTCTCTATCGCGGCCTGAATGTCAACCTGGTCGGCAACTCCGCTGGATGGGCGCTTTATTTTCTGTTGTACGATCGCGCGAAAAGAACTATAAAAAGCTATCGAGGATATGCACCCTCGCAAGAACTCACATCCATCGACTATCTGACCGCCTCGACCGCTTCTGGCATGCTGTCAGCAGTCTTGACAAATCCCATATGGGTAGTCAAAACACGCATGCTTTCGACTGCTGCAACAGATGAAGGAGCATACCCAGGCTTGTACCAGGGCGTGCGCTCGATCTTGCAGAAAGAGGGCGTTCGAGGTTGTTTCCACGGTCTAAGCCCAACTTTGATAGGCGTGTCGCACGGGTCGTTGTACTTTCTAGCCTACGAGAAGCTCAACACTTGGCGTCGGAAGCGAAACGTTGCACAGGGCAAAGGAACAGAGCTGTCGAACCGTGACACCATCATCAACACTTCGCTTTCAAAGCTCTTCGCCGGCACGATCACATATCCCCATCAGGTACTGCGCGCCAGAATGCAGGCACAAACCACTCCGGGTGTCAAATATCCTGGACAGCCCAACATCGGCCTCATCGCCTTGATCAAGTCTGTCTGGCGAAACGAGGGAGCGCCGGGATTCTACAAAGGCATGTTCCCGAATCTGCTACGAGTCGTTCCCAGCGCATGTGTTACATTTCTTGTGTACGAAAATGTGAAGTGGGGTCTGCCACAGCTGTTCGAAGCCGTCCCAGGGCCTTGATACAAAGCTCTCAGCCCGCCTACTCTACTCTATTCTGGCTGCGCACGAAGCTGCTCGAAAGGTGATGGAACACCTGACTTTCCTCCAGGGGAGGCCTCCAGGAAGGGTGATCGTCATGCACTTAGCCAGCCAGCCTCGCCATGAATGGGTCTATGTCGCAACTCTACACAGCACAACACACGAACGCGATATCCGGCCTTAAGCTTCCAAGACTTCAAGGTTGCGAGACGAAGGCAAGGATTTGTCTCAGAGCCACCCGCTGTCTCCAAAACTTTCGGCCAAGCCCTGCAAACGCTAAAATCACCACCTCATTGTGCCTGTAGTGCTACTACATCGGGGTATACCTCCGACATAGCTACCTCGAGCGATGCGCCCCGAAAGCAGCCACCTCCAGAAATGACATCGAAGGGGTCAAATCTGTCGACAATGCCGACAGGAACATGAAGCACGAACGCCACAATTCTCCGCATCGCCTCGGTATAGAATGACAGTCAGTATCGGCGAAGCAATTTGGATTTCAAGTCATTGCCTACATCCCCTCGGCTTCATTAACATCATGAAACAACAGGGGTAACACGCTTCACAGCGTCTGGAGCAGCAGAGGGAAAGCCGGTCATGGTACATCATTTCGACATCCTACGTGCTCAGAGCAGCCACAATACCACGCTGGACATGCGACGATCACCTTCTGGGGCCACAAAGCGTTGGAAGCAGACAATTTCACAGCATTTTCTCCACTCATCCATATTTCTTCTGCTCATCGTCATGTTTCTCGACCTTCCTTGACCACAGCTTCGCGTTCTAGAAGGCCTTGCCAAGTACTGCCCCAGTTCGAGCCCCTTGCTCAAGGACTTTAGAGCCTCAAACATGTTCGCGGCATCCCTAGCGCCGACCTTCAGCCATCACGATTCCTCGGGCTCCAGTGATGCTAACACTATCCTCCGCAAAAGAGACAAACTTCCGGCAACATCCATATCTTGCAGATCCAGCACTCCCTGGAGTCCTCCTTGTCACGCAGCATCCGTCTCGCTCGCCAGCTCTCGTTTCGTGCAGATCATCCTTCTCAACGTTGCCTTGTTATTTCGCCTAGGCACTGTGGGGGCCATTCGCTACGTTGTTCGCCGAGTTCGGCCTTCCCATTCCGATCGTCTCAGGCACACAGACCTACAGGTCAGGCGTCTACGAGCACTTGCTGTCCAATTGCTCTTGTGTTTCATGGCTTCACCGGCGGAAGGCACAGCGGCACAGCCCTAAATAAGGTTCATGGCGCATGTTACCTCAAGCTCTAGCGCAACGTTTTTGGATCACATTCTTTTTTGCCCATGTCGCCCCCGCATAGTACAATATCCGCTGCTCGTGTTCTTGCTTTTGACTTCACCTGTATTGGTATTCCCCTGCAGCATTTTCGCTTAATCACGGAAGTCGTATGACTTCTTCGTGTTGACCGTACCTCGTTGCGTGCACGCCTGACTGTCTTAACGCATGTACGCATACGTACAGCTATCGATCAACCTCAAGCTACTGTGCAACCATGTGCACATGCGCTGTTCTGCCGAGGCTGACTTCCCGAAGTAGCGGGAGCACATGTTGCTTAGCATTAATCAGACCGGAACAGAACTCACCGTGGCTGCTGGTTCTCGCCTTGTGAAGGAGGATCGTAATGTTATCATGTGAATGCTTCAGATCTCCACGACTTATGTTATCTATCAAGCTATGTAGATCTGGACGTCAGGGCCCAAGCACACGAGCTTCCACAGAAGCACATCCTTTGATCATGTGCCGTCATTAGTTCGTCAATCCCATTCCAGGCATACTGGATACATAGGAAAGGTGATGTAAAGCGTAGCGCTTGCCCGAGTCAAGCTGTATAGTAATACATGGTCGGAAGACGACGACAAGCCGCCGGTCTTTGGTCAGACGACAGATCTCTTTTTGAGTTCTCGTCCCCACGTTCCTCGAACGTTGAAAGAAGGAGTGTTTCAGATTGAGAACAGCAAGCATGAGTGAGGCACTCTTCAAGTCTTGAGTCTGGATCTGTTCTCGGGCGTGGACGCAGGATTTCCACACAACCAGCCAGAAGGACGATAGTCGTAGGACAGAACAGCTACTGCGTTGGTGTTGCCTTCCTCGCTTGGATTCTGAAGACAGTGAGACGGGCCATCTGCAGGGCGTGGTCGATCTTGTTGGTCGCGTGCCTGGTGACTGTACAGATCTATCTCGGTCTGGCGGGCCGGCGTGTCAGCGCTCAACTTTGGATATTCAGACCAATGTTTCGAGATATGCCGAGGTCCGAAGCAGGCTTTCACGCCACACGACTCCTGATGGAATCTAGGTTCGATACAACCTTGCCACAACGAAATTATGCCGCTGGGCAATGAAGCTCATGCTTCTACCTTGACAAAGTGCCGCCGTTGTAGCTCGGCTGGTCAATACCGTGAATGACCTCGACCTTCCTACCCTTTCCGCGTCCCTTAATACCCTTGTTGCTGTTCTTGAACAAGGAGGTAAAGTACTCCTTTAGTTCGCGATCTTCCTGGGTTTGTGTAGCGAACTGGTCCGATAGCCTGAGTAGAGTGTCCTTGTGGAACTTGTTCATGTGCGCCTTGAGGTTTCCAAGCTGCGTGAAGACCTTCCCAGATTGCGTCGGCTTACCGCTTCGATCATTCGTAGATTGGATTCTGCAGCTGTCTAGGATGCATTCGTAGCGCTTGCCTCGTTGCCCAGGATCGGAGCACGACCGCTTCCGGTTAGGACGTTGGCCAATGTGGCGTCGTTCATGGGTGCGAAGGTTCCCCAGCTGTGAGAAAGTCTGTCGACACGTGGACACCGAACATGTGTACGGCTTCTCTCCTGTGTGAGATCGAAGGTGGATTTTGAGATGGGTGGGTTGGGAGAAGGATTTGCTGCAGTCTGGGTAGGGGCAAATATGCTTCTTCGGCTTGATCACAGTTGCCTCGGTATGCCCAGGGGTCTCAGGTGAGACGGTAGAGGGACTTGTGACAGGCTCAATAGTTCGCATGAGACTATCTACCTCAGAGACAAGGTGTGACTGCGATGGTGGCGCTGGCTGAGAGGTGACGGACGGGGTTTGTCGCGAGGTCACCGAGTAGGCACTGTCGTAGATGCTAGGCTCTGTTGGCTCGGAAGAAATGAAGCTGGAAGGTGCTTCAGAGTAGCAAGATGCGGCTTCGTAGTCATCGAAGGTGTTTAGGTCGTCCAACGCTGTGCTTACGGGAGTGATGGTCCTTCGATAGCTTTGATGGAAATCAGCAACTCCGTGAAAGGTGTGTGCTCGATTCATGCTGTATGCTGCGTTGAACTCTGGTGGTTGATGGTTGTAGTAGTCCGCGTGAGACTGGTCGTATGAATAGTAGCCGACTTGTCCGCGAATGCTGGTCATCGGGTTGCCGCAGGACAATGAGCCCAGAGAGCCCATAGGCGCTGATGCTGGAATGGAAGTCGGCATACCCCAGGTGCGTAGTTGATGCATGTGGCACTGCATGATATGGTCATGCGTTGGCTCGAAGGACATTCCCATCACTGTGCCCGCGGCCGATGGTACTGATACACTGCAGTAGGGTGTGCACTATGAGTCCGGGACATCACATAAACACTGTGGGCATGCCAGCACTATGCGACGCCGAAAAGTCTGGTCTCTGATGAGGCTCCGGGTGCCCGAGCGGTCTGCGAAACAACAGCCAGCACGTGCGAAGGTGGTGTGGTTATGCTGGCAGGTGCAATGCATAGGCGTTGCAAAGGGAACGTCTTGAGATCCGATCCAGATGGTGAGCTGCCGAGTACTTGCACATGAGATATGGCTGTGGCGCAGGAAGTCAAAGTTCTGCTTAAGTGATCTTCGAAACAATAGGGCTGGAGTCCAAGTACATAAGTAGAGCAAGAACCATACTAAGTGCCCGGAGTGCATCAAACTCCATTGGGACGAGCCAAAGCGTAAGACCGTGGGGGAGTTGAATTGTACTCGGTTTAGTGTGCTCTGTCTCTGCTCCGATACCAGTGTTCCGAGATCAGGGATTCACATGAGGGCTTATTGTGCAATAAGCGTAGCGCGATGTAATTACACAACACAGGTCCACCGTCCGCGGACTACAACCTGCCGTCGGGCCTCGCCGTGACTCGCCTGCTCGTCCCTCTCGATGCCCTGCACTGACCCATGGTAATGCGATACGTTCCGGCTTCTAGGATACCCTGGGGTAGTAGCGAACGGCTCAGCCTAGCCACTGTCTTGGTAAGCGAACGCTTCTGCAGCTCGAGAAGCTGGCGGCTGATCGCGGTTCCTCATGTGATGGTGAAAAATTCTTCGCACAAAGGTACCGCGCTCGAGGCAGCGTCATCAGGAAAGGTCCTGTAGCTCAGGACGTGAGCATGAGTGGACGCACCATGGTGTTGGATCAGTTGTGGGGTGTCATGACAAGGAAGTCTCTGCATGTGTTGTAGCACACTCTTCAGAGAAGCAGGGCAGCAAGCCCACAAGCCATCTGAGGTGGACGAACACGCTGCTAGCAGAAAGCGTCCACCACTTGATTCGGATGCGAAGGACTAAACCAAAATGATGCTCATACATCCGAATGGTGGTTTCTAGCGTGTTTCCTAAGTCAAAATCCCTGTCATATTTTCTCTCCACGTCCCGTGGCACACAGCGAATCATAGAGAGCCTACGAGGTCAAGAGCCCCCAAAATCGGTGGCGGCGTAACGTGGAGTCGGCAGAAGGCTGTCGGCGCGCCGCTCATCACACCTTCGCATGTCGGCGTGCTCCATATGACCAAAGCTTGCGATAACGTTCATCGTGGGTGAACGTGAGAGCGCGACGATGAGCCCTGCTTAGAGTACTGGACAGCATGCAGCCGTGAGCGCTGAGAGAAGCACTTCACCCGCACCACCAGCCCTGCTTTGTCGATATCGCGATTGAGATATCTGACGACCAGTGGCACCTTCAGTGAATGCCTTCTTTGACGATAGTCTACAACAGCCGCGTGTCTGCGTGCCAAAAGACGAAGCAGCGGCGAATGTCTGCAATCGATCGTTTTCGGCCAGGCAAAACCAAGCTAACAACGAGGCAGAATCCCTGCTTCGAGCAAATCGAGCCTCAGCTTGTACCGACAAGTATTGAGGTCCTCTACTCGTCACAGCCTGGTTCGAACCACCACCGGCATGCTGCCTTCCTCTGCATCTTTCCGGGAGGTTTGAGCATGCGTGGGATTTTTGCCTGCTCTAAGATGTCTGTGGTTTGGGTAGACATTCGCCAAGACCTGTCAAAATGGTATAGATGTCGGAGGCTCACACGAATCATGGCCGTTTAGACGGGTTGCACGATGCTGTCCATGACCGTTCCCCGTAGGCTTATCGGTGTTTTCGCAGTCCTTACACTAGTCTTGCTGCAACCCAGCGACACGGAGACCGATAACGATGGGACGACACAAGACAAAAGACAGACTGGAAGCCATCGCACAGAAGACGCTCCCATTGGCTCCCTATCTCGATAGGAATTTCCTGCTCATTCATCAATTGTTGACCCTTGACGTCTCGTTTGGCCTTGCAGACTTAGCTCACGAAGCGGTCGATCTGCGAACATAGGCGAAACGGAAAAGCCCCAAGTGCTTTCTTTGCCTAGTCTGCTCTTGCGTTGCATTGTTTGCCGGCCAAGGAGCACAGACGTATGGTTGCGGCCCGTTCCCTGTCGTCACTGGGGCCGCAGTATTCCAACGGACATCACTATGTTTCGACAACTGATAGATTCCCATCATCAGGCCATGAGTGGCTGAAAAGTTGAAGAATTTGGGCGTGGGGGTAGGCACTATAGTCTGCGCAGTAGCTTGGTACCTTGCATGCCTCGCCTGATGACACTGAAAACGCATGGTCGCATTTTCAATTGCGTGATAGTAAACTGCTGAACACGTTCCAAGCTGTCGGCTAGGTGGAGTCTCTGTAGCGGTGAGGTTGACCAACCCCTGATGACAGCTGTCAATTGCGCAGCCATGGACGAAGCAATGGTCGGCTCATGTTCACGTGCCGAAGTCATGAGGAGGATCCCCGATGCCATTGTTTGACATTGACTACGTCGGCATGGCTGCTCCTGAACAGTTCGAGATTGAGCTGACATCAAGGATCGAACAAAGGTGGGTCAGGTGTTTTCGGATCGAGATGAAACGTGGGGTTAGGCCGCTATTCTTTCGAGATAGAGGTCCGAGAAATCGAATTCAGTAATAGCTTCGCGCGTTTGATTGACAGCACAAGACATGATTGACTCGCTCGGAGAGTAGCCGTCGACCTAGATTTGATGATATCGAGATCTTCGAGATACGAATTCGAGCATCGGAGTCAGGTGGCAGCACCTCCTTTTCGCCTTGGCACAGACCTGCGGATACTTGCGGATATTGCACAACAGCAATATTGACATACAATGCGGCCTCGTCCACGTGTAGTCATTGAGAACTTCTCACAGGACGAAAGTCTGGCTGCGATCCCGGGATCAGTACTGGGAAATCAAACCAACCATCCTACAGAAGGTATCATGTTAGGACCAAGGTAACAGCAGTGCACAGAAGAAGAGACTCTGAAAATTGTAAGGCACGTCACTTGGATCATTGACCTGCGCCGGGTAGGCAATCGGCTCGATAAGAAGCGAGTCGAAGATTCTAGGTGGTCGCAGGTAGGTCTTTCCATTTCTACCTACCTATATACATACTTGTAGCGTCTCCGCGGCGTGGCGTTTCCAGAGAGCCCGAGGACAATCGTGCCTGCCAATCCTCGATTCAGAGTGCAACACGGTCACTTCGGACACCAGTCTCGTGGATGTGTGAGTCCACCTGTTGCCGCTGCCGGTTCCACGGACAGCGAAGCCGTACCGTTGCAGTGCTCCAGCCGTTGACAGCACCACAGATAAGATAAAGCACGATCCTCATACGTCCGGGGTGCTGTATCACCAAGTCCGCCGCAGGATCATACATCAATCGACTTGCCAGACCAACGAATGTAGCTGTGATCCGGCTGGGATGCGGAAACTGAATGACTGCATTGCTCCAATGCTGCCTCCAACTCCCTACCAGCCGCCGTGCGGGTATTTCATCTTCCCAAGTTTGAAGCAACGACCACAAACCGAGTCAGCCTCCCATTTATGTTGACATTCGTGATCTTCGCAGCGTGACCTGTGACCGCATGCGCATTCTCCAACAATTACCCGTCGCCGCTTTCCGCAGTGCTTGCTCCTACAGACTGCTTCCACCTCGCTCATCGGAAAGAGCATGAAGTCACAACAGACTCGTGGAATCTGTTGAAGAAGATCGCGAAACGCTTTGATCTGCATTGCATCATAGTGGTCAATCCACTCGTGAAGAATCTCAAGCAAGTGAACGCGCAGAACCATCGCCGTCGGAATATCGAGATCGTATACAGCTTCGACAATATGCTTCATGCTCGAAACCCGGCTTTCGTCAATCTTGACTGTCACATCGGGGTTCGATGGGTCTTCGCCGTGCAGAACCCGGACGAACTGGCGCAGTGCGTAGTCCTGAACTCTCTCCAGATCGTACTTATCGCCTAGCCGGTACATCTCCATGTGAAGAATGGCCTTCTTGTGAGTTGGCTCTCCAGCGCAATTCCAGTCATCATGTACATCTGCAAACTGTACAATCGGCTCGTCCTCGGAATCTTTGTAAATATCTTCCGTGGAGTATACATCGTCGTATTGAGCAAACAGCATTCGACATATGAGGCTTGGGTTATCTTCCGGTAGGACGCATCTCCCGTTGTCTCCCTCCACGAACATCCCTTGCGAGCAGAGAGTGTCGAAGAAATCCGATCGCTCGGCCAGGACGATTCGGTGGACACGGAACTCGTGCTTGCCACAGCAGATGGTGAAGTCTGACCACTTGCCACTGCTGAGTGCCCTCGATATGCGTGACTTTTTCGGTGGATATCTTTCGTACGACATGGCTGCAAAATTAATTGATTGACAGATTCGCCGTAGGAACAGGACCTGTAGAGTGATATGGTGGTTTGTTTGCTTGCGCAGATACTTGGTGGCGCGTACTAGTCAAAGCCAGTGGCAGAAAGCGACTGCTGAATGTTCCACCGCCTGCCCTCAGGGGCCTTCCACTTGGTATGCCTTGTTCTTGGCCCGTAGAGTCCATCACTTAAGCTGTGGTCGCTGAAGGCTTACCTGTCGAAGTGGTCACATCACCACTGCAATTCGTGTCCTCGTGATGTGCAGTCAGCCGTTCACGATTGCATTATTTCCTCACTCGAACAAAAGGGCGACCTCTTGTCAGCCACAAAAGTGCGTGACCCGAAGATAGACTCATCCCAGACCCAGGCGTGGTATCGCTCACGATGACCCATGCTTAATCTATTGAATCAAGCAAGTGCAAGGTGGCAAGACCAGCCAACCCGGCTCGTTCAGGTGACCCTCCTGCCGGACGTAGAACGAGGAAATAATGACATCAAGATGACTGCATCGCTCACCTCCAGTTTAGACGTTGCCTTCTGAGACGTCTTCATGAAACTAATCGTCGGATGATTTGTACAGGTGAGTATTGGAGGGATGTCGAAATGAACTTGAATATCAGCACATTTCAGTCAGTGGGGTTGGATAGGCTATTCCCGGCCTCGGTTCGGCCAGAGGACGCCCTGTACGCGACTGATTCTACGGAGTTGAATGCTAATGAATTGTGCTAACGTCTGCTACTAGCTTCATGCAGTCCTGCACCGAAACTCTACAAGAAAGGGCGCTCGAACGTCCTTTTCCAATCTGCCCTCGGTAGATGTATAGTTTTTCCTTTCGTTCATGCATATCCTCCAACAGCGCAGCCGGGACAGCAGCAGCGGGAACGAACAGAAGCCCGTGTTCTGCGGTCAGGCACAAAGAGCATAGACATGCGCAATGACTCCGGCTTTCCTCAGAAACAAGACTCAGTCCATGTGTCTGCTATTGCCTCCGCCTATTGCCGACAAGCACGATTGATCCGCGTTTGCGTGCCACAGGTCGGCAGTGATTGCTCGAGCGCACGTGAGCGACTGGGCAATGCTCATACAGTCCGCAGTCTTTCTCCTAGAGTTGACCTGGCTGGTATCGTCCGTAGCTCCAAATGCGAGCCTTCATGTCGCCGGAGCCGGTCGCGAAGAGGTGGCCCGTCGGACATGGCGCAACAGAGATGACGCTGTTCTTGTGTCCTTGCAACATCATATGGGCGTTTCCAGTCTGAGGATCCCAGAACTGCACGCCACGGTCTTTCGAACCAGACATGACCCAGTCACCGTTGGGTGTCAGACAGACGCTCAACACGTAATCCTAGAGCAGGAGTCAGCTGTGTAGTGGTGAGTCGAGCTATCGGGAAAACTTACCTTGTGTCCTTCGAATGTTCGGATGCACTTGCCTGTGCCCCCATTATGGCCGAGATTGCGGTTGCTAGTCCCAAGCTCCCACATTTTAATGGTCTTATCGAGACTACCTGAGACCAGTTCGCGACCAGTCGGAGAGAATGCCACACTGTAGACACTGTCCTTATGGCCCTGTGGGCCTTCCAGACGCTCTGCAAGATAGCCACTACTGCAGTCCCACACTCTCACACTCTTGTCGAGCGAGCCAGCTGCCACGTAGCGCCCGTCGGGAGACATGGCAACGGTGGTGACCCCATCTTCTATGCTGAGGACCATAACTTGTGAGTTCGTGTCAATATCCCACAATCGGACGGTCTTATCGCCAGACCCAGAGGCTATTAACCGGCCGTTCTTGGCGAAGTCTAGCGAGTAGATGTCTTGCTCATGCCCATCGAAAGTGTTGCGGATACGTTGCGAGGCAATCTCCCAGACACGGATGCGCTTATCTTCGGCGCCAGTGGCTAGGAGTTTGCCGTCTGGTGAGAAGCAGACGGAGCGAATATACAGGTCGCCTTCTTTCTCTGCCTGAGTGTCCTGCAGTTCGCAAATCTTTCGGCCGTCGTGAGCATCGAAGATCTGCGCAGATCTGTTACATCCCGTAGCAACATATTTGCCATCCTGCGAGAATCTCACACAGCAAACAACACTTTCGTGCTTGAGATCGTGCAACAGTTGAACATCGAGTTGTCTTTGGACATTAGGATTGAAGACTGCATGCCAGTCGGCGGCCTGGATCTTCAGATGTCCCGGCAGCTCATTCAAGTCGATGTCGGAGAGGTTGTTGCCGATCTGCGAGAAGTGGGTGGGCCCTAGCGGCTGATGTGGTCGAGACAACGCCATATCATGACCACCTGGGGGCGTCGGTCGCGGCATCTGCGGCGACGCTCTTGGATCATTTTGATATGGCAATTGGGGCTGGCCAGGGTGCTGTTGAGGTGTCGCAGGTCCCGGTCCCCTGTTGGGGATGTTGCGATTCTTGTTCAGCGGGGAATTGGACGGAGGCTGCTGAGAATAGCCATTCAACGCAGGGGGTTGATACGCTGGAAATGAATTGGGTGGCTGCGGAGGTCCTTGACCTTGTCCAGGAGGCGGGCCCAATGGGTGCTGCTGTTGTGGAGGTGGCTGCTCCGGAGGAGGCGCCAGGCCTGGTCCGCCTTGACCTTGGTTGGCCATTATTCCACTGAAGAGACCGCCTTGTCCATGACCGAGGGACGGAGGTGGCTGGTTGGGGCCGCCATGCTGGAGAGGACCGCCAACATGAGACTGAACAGGCGGCGCACCACCACGGAGATCTAGTTCGTGCCGCAGAGCACGGATTTCTTGCTCGTAATCCTGCTTCATCTTGAGTTGGTTCTGCTCAAGCTGATAGACCTTGTTGCGAATGAGCTCCATCTCTTGGATCTGTTGAGCTTGGTGGCTCTCATATTGCTCAGAGTTCCTGTTCTGGTTTTCGAACTCGGCGCGCAGCGAATCGAAGAGTTCATTGAGGCGGTGATTGGGCTGACCCGGCGGCGCAGGCCCTAAGTTGGGATTACCGCGATGCTGGGTAGCGTTGAACATAGTGTTATGCTAGTACGACCCTGGACGATACATGTAGAAATGCAATATGCAATAATCAGGCTGATGGTGAAGGTGCAGCCTGTAGCGGAGATGGAGCAGAGAAGGAAAAGGATGCAAAGTGGGTGGCCAGCTCAATCTACCTACGGAGCGGCCGTTACCTCTAGCGTCTAGGGTTTCTCAGGTGTGAGTCGTGCCTGCTTTCTTCGGGATGAGGCTGTAGCTGGGTGGGCCTGGGTACGAGTGGTGGGCCTGGGCAGAAGCCAATTGAGCCCGGGCGAGCGATTGGTGCTGATCTGCTAGCCGATGGGGGCCGGGAAGAGATCACGCACACCCCCAGGCTAATCGGCACTCAAGTCTTTTTAATGTGGATGATGGGGGAGGGAAAGGTGTGGTGACACCGCATATGATGAGCATGCGCATGCGGGCGGGAGCCAAATCTTTGGTCGCCTAGTGGCTCGCAGTCTCTGCTTTTCCTTAATAATAAGCAGCGACTGCTGACCTTTCATGTCCAGCTGGCATTACGATGTGGGTGGCGCCAGACAGCGAAGGAGTGTTGCCGGCAAACTTTGGTTCACCAGGACCGGGCGCAGGCACGGGAGCGTGCTGGTGGCCCCTGTAGACGTTTTGCAACTGGGTCGTTTCAGGCTGCTTTTAGGCTTGATCTAACTAGCCCTGCTAGCATCATGCAGCCTGGCAGTGGATTCTGGAACCCCGAACCGATCCAGAAGACGCTTGTGGAGACGTCCTATGTATACCAACTCGTAGGCTTGCACGATGCACGGCAGGGCTTGCAGAAGTGTACAATCTTCCAGAAAGAATGCTTATTCGTTCTTGTAGACGTCGCACAGAGCGTCTACCAGCCTCCTTATCATCCTCAGGACAGGGTGGGCACGATTCTGGCAGCCGCTTAATCAGTAGTGTCTCTGTGTTATGGTCTGCTTTCCCAGCATAGATGAAGTATGCCAGGTTGAATGAAATATCCCAGATTAACCGTCACCAACAAGCTTTTGCGTTTGATTGATTGTCTGCTTATGATGTATATGGTAGATGTTGCTCTGTTTGTGCTGTTGCAAAACCTTCCAAGTTCAATTTTGAAGGCCACCACTATAGAAGGCGACCAGTGCACGGCACGTGAGATCACAGGGCCCCCCGTCAATATGTTGTCTGGTTGACTTAGCCTCTTGCTACTGCTTCAACGACACTGGCATGAAGGCTCCTGTAGATATAGACTCAGACATGGCCTCGTTGCTGAAACGACCCAGTTGTAGCCAGCGTGATTCGATAACGCTTGGCAGCATGATGGTTGACGCATCGAGAAAGCACCACGATAGCCTCGATCTGAATCGTCCCAACTCCTGCTCGCGAGGACGGGAGCGCTTGCTCGGAACTTGAGAGTTTCTGTGTTAGGAGTGAAAATGTGTTCCATTCATCGTTCTGTCTGATGTTGCCCTACATAGCCTGCCTCGGAAGGAGACCATCAACTCGTATGATACAGATGTACATGCTGTCCAACGCCGCTCCATGCTTTTTTACAACCACCGTCATGCTCGACATTTATTGCGCAAAGGGCGAGATAAGACTAACGATGTCAATCAGCAAGTGCCCACGCGTCGAACAAAGTAACGTACTTTATTAAACTTGGCTTCGGTTCGCTTCTAGTGAATCCTGTGGCATATCAGCGCTGTTATTATGTCCATAGACCGCGCGCATCGTTACCAAGATAGAGGATGAGTGGCAGATAGCCATAATGGACGACTTCGCGGGTGATGTCGAGGATCTTAGAGATGCGCTCCTGAGACTAATCAGCGGAATTCCTTGTTGGGGCGAGCTTCAGCGCACTTTTGATTCTTCCGAGAATTGAAGCATGGTGGGCGGTCGAGTGATGGAAGTGCAGATCAACTGATGAGTATATAGGGTTAGTCGGATGTGTTGTGCGAGAGACACTGTGAATTGTGAAGCTTTCTTCATTCACTTCAATGATCATGAACGACTTCGAAATTTGGAGAACTCGATATCAGCCTTGGCACTCCGCTGCGGAGTTGACATCTCGAACTTTTGTAACACGTTTCCATCTCTCTTCCGAATAGTCGACAGACGACAAGACGAGATGTCCGGTGCACGCCACTGGGAGCAGGACAAGGACTCAACCATCTATATCGGCAATCTCGACGAGCGAGTGACCGACGCTCTTGTCTGGGAACTTTTCCTCCAATCAGGCCGCATCGCCAACGTCCATCTGCCTAAAGACCGAGTCACGCAATCCCACCAAGGCTATGGCTTCGTCGAATTCACCTCCGAGGAGGATGCCGATTATGCAGCGAGAATTATGAACCAAGTCCGCCTATTCGGCAAGCCGATTCGTGTCAACAAGGCGTCAGCAGACAAGTCGAAGACTGTAGAGGTCGGCGCCGAACTGTTCGTTGGAAACCTTGATCCCATGGTCAACGAACAAGTGCTATATGATACATTTGGGCGCTTTGGCACACTCATCGCTCCGCCAAAGATCGCGCGTGACGAGTCGAATCTGTCCAAGGGCTACGGCTTCGTCTCCTACGGGAACTTCGAGGCCTCCGACGATGCGATTGCAAACATGCATGGGCAGTATCTCATGAACAAGGAGATCTCAGTACAGTACGCGTACAAGAAAGACGGCAAGGGCGAACGTCACGGCGACCAAGCAGAGCGCATGCTCGCAGCACAAGCCAAAGCGCACGGCGTTCAACCCACACCTGCCACGATCCCTATGGCCGGCCCACCACAAGCAATGTTTGGAGGTCCTGTCCAGCCCCCAGCCGGCTTCAACATGCCAGTCGGCATGACAAATGGCTACCATGGTGTCCCACCACCCCAACAAGCGCCGCCGCCTCGAGCACCTCCCACGCCCAGCACGCCTCTCTCTGCTCCTCCGTCAGGTCTACCTGCTCGACCACCGCCCAGCCAGGCAGGCTATGGAGGCCCTCAAGGCTTCGTGCCAGGCTTTGGAGTCCCTCAGCCGCCGCCCGGCTTTGCTCCACCACAAGGTGCACCTCCGCCAAATATGGCTGTTCCCTTTGCACCGCCTCCTGGATTCGGTCCGCCGACTGGCGCAATGCCACCTGGGCGGCCTGGACAGGTACCCCCACCACCTCCTGGATTTCAAGGCTTCGGGTTGCGGAAATGATCCAGCAGTACGACGAGACACAGGAAGTTCTACACAAAATGCTCACACAACATGACTCGGAACCATTGGACTATGTTCCCAAAATGGATGTTCCTGCGTGCACACGGTCACTTGAGTAAAAGCGTTCGCAATCTCGACAGAAACGGAGTGACGAGCGGCTACAAGCCATCGAACTAGGCGCGCTATCTACGGGCGTCTAATCATCGAGCTCGAAATTCTTGCGGCGCTGACAAGGAACGCAAGTCAAATACAACCAGCGGACTCTAGGGACCGTGCAGTATGCAGCTTGCAGCAATGGATGCACCAACGATGAAAGGCCAGACCCAGGAAGCGTCAGATCAGACAGTTCAGCTGGACATGATGGACACGAATGAGGGCGGTCCCGCCATACTCGATACTGGTCAGGATCTGTGCAGGAGTCCGAGCAATAGTGCTGAATAGGGTGATCAGAAGGCCAGAAGGATTATTCGATCGAGCATTGTATTATAGAAAAAAGCCGAACGATTTAACGCTCACGATCAGGCGTCAGCGGCAGCAGTACTGAAGATCAGGCGCGGCCAGTCGTCGGAAGGGCAACAACGGGTATTTCAAGATAGATGAAAGCACCCACGCTTTGGTGCAGACGCTGATCGGGCAGAGCAGGAATTGCCAGGGGCAGTCTGAAGAGGCCGTCGCTTCGAAACCGCAAACTTTGTCGGACTCTGTCCTTCGCTTCACGGCATGCAGCACTCCTGTGTATTTCGCAGTTCCGACGCTCAGTGCCTTGGACATAAGAGCTTCAAAGCGAGACCGGATGACGTGGCTGCAGCGAGAAAGCTCGCTGTGAATTACCTCGCACTACCTCAAGGCCACAGCTACTTAGAGCATGCATATGCTGTGTGAAGATCAGACCGCTTGACCGACGTGCAATGAGCCTTTGGCATGTTCCATATCTGTCTGGCTCGAACCGAACTATGAACAATATACGACGCGAAATTTAGATGTCTCTGTCCTGCCAATCAATGCTGGCTGCCACATTGCCTTTGCGCACGGCACATGACCATGAATGCCCGGGCCCTATCTGATTGTACTGATACATATTCCGTCCCTGGTAAGAACCTCAGTCAAGAAGTTCAATGCGCGCTTCCCGCCAACCAAGAAGTTAGCAAGTTGTTCGGCCAAGAAATAAGCGTTCTCTCCAGCTCTAACGGAGACATGACGAACTCCCACAGCAGCCTCCCTGGCAAGAAAACCAATGATGAAATGTTCCGGCGACTTGGTAATGAAGTGAGGCTCATCTCAAACTTGCTGGCTCAATCTGCCAGACGATTCTGGTCCTCAGAGTCCGCCCTGACCTGATATCTTAGAATTCAACGGACAAGTATACAAAACGCTCAATTTATGCCCGAACAGCCTGGTTAGCCGTGCACCTGCCCATATTCAGCACGTGATGTCTCGAGCCCGCCCTACTCAATGTCAGGATCAACTACATCCAGATCCACGTCGCCTCCATTGGAACCATTCAAGTTTCCGTTCCCGTTCCCGTTAGTCGCAACTGCCTTATCATCCTCCATCTTCACATCCTCCGACTTCGCCTCAACCGCCGGTGGTGGCGGCGGAAGGGGCTTCGCCAGCTCCTCCACCACCCACAGCGCCAGCACCTTCTCCCGTCGATCCATCGCCCACTGCCACTTCGCAATCCATACCTTGACCAACGCCTCGTCTTCTTCGGTGAGCCCGCCTTGGCCGCCTTGAAGAATGCCCTGCAGCCCATTCTTGATCTGTGCAAGCAAGCCGTGGAAGCTATCCCTCATCTCAGCATCAAGAACAGCCTTCACTCGCTCGCGCTCCTCGTCCTCCAGCCCAGGTGTGCGCGTCGCACGTACAAGTTCCCTGACCTTGTTCTCCACTTTGAGGAGTACACCGGTCACTGCTTCCCAGACGAAGACCTTTGATAGATTTCGACCACCATCGCCTCCAGCGGGGTTGAATGCCCAGCTTACCACACCTAGCGGCGTGACAATCTGGTAGTTCACGAGCTTAAGGACAATTGTAATCGCAACGCCCAGCTGGAATTGCCAGTACTCAACGAAGCTGGCTATCAGCTGGCTCTGCATTGCTAGATCGCCGCCGATCAGCTCATCAATTACAGGCTTATAGCGCTCGACCATGGAAAGAACATGAGAGAGCGACTTGGACCCGACCCAGGCAATGCTCGTGATGAGGACATCGAGGACAACGGTTTTGGCTTGCACGGCGTCATAGCCGGCCGCTTCAGCATCGCCTTCCACCTTCTCAAGGAGCGGCTTCACCTCTTCGATGGGGGCGCGCTTGCGCAAAGATTGCACAATCTCCTTAAACGTGGCACTGAACGGGGTGTCCTCTTTCTCATACTTTGGCATGGGTGCATCGATCTCTTTCTCTTTGGCGATGAGAGCTTCGTACTCGGGCGGTAATGTACCGCGTATGCGTGCAGCGAAGCTGAGTCGGATCTCTTTGTCGATCGAATCAACGATGAAAGCCTTCTTGGGTGTCAAGTCGCTCAATTGGAGGTCCTCTGTCCACTCCGTCCATTTCCAGGTGAAGCCGAAATTGCTCAGATGATGTGCAAACCACTCCAAGAGTCGATTATTGAGCGTCATGTCCATTCTATCGACATTGCGATAGAGATAGCGGATAGCACGCCCAAGACTGGGCGCGACCGCCGAAGGCTGAAGTCTGCATGCTTCGGTTAGGATGCTGTGATAGTACACAAGCTTGTGCTCTGGGGCTGGCAGCTGGAAGAGGTTAGCGAAACAAGCATCCACGACGACGTCTTCTGGCTTCCACTGTATCTGGCCATCTGCTAAAGAGTCGGCGACTTTGTCAAAGGCAGTGCCACGATGGACGAATGTCCGAGGTGCGAAGAAGAGGTCGACATCGATCAGGACCCGAGCCGCGATGTAACGGTTGACGTGGAGAATGTTGATTGTGTCGTTGATGGCATCTCTCAGTAAGATTGAGGAACTATCGGACGCTGGTGGTACTGTCGCGACCTCCTGATCAGAATACACAGAGAAGTAGACTTCAGGGAATATCGGCACAGGCCCGACTGGCATGGCCTCGGGGAGGGCGATGGAAGGGAACGGCTGCTTTTGGGCATCAGAAAGAGGATAGTCTTCGTCGGCAGGAGCCCTCTCGGTCGGCCTCCATGGTCGCGGTAGGCAGGGTAGCGGCCAACCATTCTTAGCTTCTTCTTGCATGTGCCTCTGCAGCAGCGCAAGCGCACTCTCCGAACTGCTCGGCGCACCAGGCTGTAGAGATGGGAATGGATCAACCAGTGCGTCGAGGATGTGAGGTGTCGAAGCAATGATGTCCGTCTTTTCGAGCAGACTGCTAGCCTGAGCTTCAATGCCATTTGCTGATGATGCCATCGTGTAGGGAATCGTAACGAGGATGATCTTGACCAGCTCAAGACCAAGAGAGTCATCGGAGGACTTGGTCTGGAGATCTGCAGCACGGAGAAAGAGTTCGTCGAGGAGTGGAAAGATGCCCTCGCCCTCAAACATGCCCTGTAGACAGCCAAGGAAACGCAAATAGAGCTTTGCAGGCCTCCAGTTGCCTTCGTCGATGTGCTTTTGTAGGACGTCCCCAATCTTCTTGACGACTTCGGCGCCAAACTCGGGCTTGCGCGCATTGGCGAGAAGGATGACTGAGGCGATCCATGGGATCTTCAATGGCTGTTCGAGAGGTCTGAGGCACGTCAGTCATGTTTCGGGACCAGGCATCAGCTGACTTACACTACAGTGCAGATATCCACGACACGAGTAGTGAGGTCGGAGTCGAAGTAGTTATCGGTAATGGTCTTCGCAAGCCATCTCACATCTTCCTCCGGGGAGAATTTGGTGCCCTCGCAGAGATCCTGCATCTTCTTGCCCACGCGGCTGGCCAGAGGCTCTTCATAGCGACGACGCTGATTTCGGCTGTCGTCGAAGCCGCGGTCATCATCTTCAGATGGTCAGTCGTCGGCTCGTCTGGGAGCTAAGAACGCAAGGACCTACCTCGAAATCTTCGCTTGCGGTTGTTGAACTGGCCGCCTCCTCTCCCTCCACCCCGAGGAGGTCGTCTGTCGTAGTCGGCCATGCCTGCTTCCTCTCCCCGACTAGTCCCTTTTCCGATCCGTCCAATGCTAGCGAGTCGCGCAAGTGATGTTCACGAAAGATCGAGATCGCCGCGGGAAGGATCGAGGATTTTGGGCCAAGGTAGAATGCAGCACTACAACTGCGATGGAGAACACGCTCAGATCTGAAAGTCGCAAGAACGCGCTCCGCAATCTACCAGGCTTGGCATAGTTGACTCCACATTGGGTTGCAGTGAATTGAGGAGCGTGTCTTCACTTTCTATCGCAGATGTAGGTCAAGTGAAGGGAACGACGGACGGGACGATGGTATCATAATTTATGGAATGCTGAAAGCGCTCGCCGGCCACTTGCCAGGCATGACTGTAACACAGCGAGCCGCGGTCGAGCCTGCCGATATTTCGATATACCCATACCATGCTGTAGCGAGTGCAAGCAAGCGTTGACTTGCATAGGAAAGAGCTCATCTGGAGCCACGTGTCGCTCACAAAACCTCCTCAAAGGGTCGCGCCTTTGCAGAAAAAGACAGACTCTTTTCGATTCCACCCACACTGTCGCCAAAGGGCATCCAAGACCCCGGCGCAGACACTGCAGCTCGCCATCATTCAATTTTTGAGTCTCAGCTCGTTTGTAAGCTGGTTCCTCGTCTCATGAGACATTCCCATTTTGCCATGCAACATGCGATAAGTGAGCATATTTTGGAGCGCCTTCGAACGAACAGCTCTTTTGCTGACCGAGGTCACAAGGTCGAAGCCACTTCGCTTAGTGCGTGGTTGGCGCCATTCTGGGAACATGAGTGCTGAAACGCAAGGCTGCGTTTTGCAGTCTGTCCTCCCAACATCAAAAACATTTCGTCGTTATTTTCCGAGGCTGAGCTAGATTCAGTCAAGCCGAGCCATCATCTCATCTTTAGTCATAGGCGTGAAGTTGTCCGGATCAAGTCCTTGGGCCACCAATCGACTCCGGGCATGCGCAGGAATTAATTTGCTGTTCAGCTGTGGTGCAATTGACAGTTCTGCCAATCAATCAGTACGCAAGGTCGGGCTGTCGGACATAGTAGACTTACCGTGTCGCGAGAAGTCAAACAATGCTGGCAGTTCCCGCGCAGATCCTCCGACCTGGCGCGAGTCCGGCAGTCTCGTGCTGGGATCTCTCAGCTCGTCGAAGAAAGGCTGGCACATTGCGTCGATTGCCGACAATCTCTCTGTTGGCGTGTATTCGAGGAGCGCCGAGATGAGCTCGATGGCGTCAGTCGAGGCCTTCCTGAACACTTTGTTGAAGGGGTGCGGCTTGATCTGAGGGAATTTGTGCTCCATGTAATTCGGGTTCATGGTGCGGATCTGATCTCGCGTCGGCGTGCCAAGGACCTTGATTATCTCTACCAGTTGATCGATTCCTGACTCGCCCGGGAAAAGAGGTTGGCCTAACATGAGCTCAGCCATGACACAACCGGTCGACCACACATCTGTTAAGAGATTAGCGCGATGCCAGCCAGAAAGAGTCTAAGCACAACGTACCAATTTTGGTGGTGTAGTTCGTGGCTCCGAAGATCAGCTCGGGGGCGCGATAGTAGCGTGAACAGATGTACGACACATTTGGCTCGTTCTCGACCAGGATCTTTGCGCTTCCGAAATCACAGAGCTTCAGCACGCCGGTTGCCGGGTCCAGAAGGAGATTTTGAGGCTTGATGTCCCGATGACAGATGCCTTGTGAGTGGATATAGGCGAGTGAGCGGAAAAGCTGGTAGATGTAGAGCTTGACTTCGAGAATCGGCATGGTGGTCTTCATCTTGTTGAAGTATCGCGAGGCGCGGTAGACTGTTTCGGGAACGTATTCGAGCACCAGATTCAGGTATACTTCGTCTTTTTGGGCCTACGGGCTCTGTCAGTAGTACGCAGAAATTCAGCGTTCACACTTACTCGTTCGCCATTCGAATAGTAGAAGGCCTTCAACTCGACGATGTTAGGATGGCGGACTATGCGCATGATCTGCAACTCTCGATTCTGCGACCTGTCAGCATAGGATGCATGGCTTGTGTACAGCTAACGAACCTTGAAGCGCTTGTCCTGCAGGACACGTTTGATCGCAGCATCTTCACCGCTGGGCGAGAGTTTCGTCTGGAACACCACGCCAAATGATCCATTTCCGACAATCTTGCATTGCGTGTACTGGATCTCTTTCGTTTCGCCTGTCAGTCCATCTTGGACTTTCTCACGCACAACTTCTGCAGACTTTGTCAGCCAGATTCCATGAATATGCCATAGACATGCGGTGACATACCACCCATGCGCAAGCCGGAAAACACACCTCCAGGTCTATTCGATGACATTATTTGTCTCTTTGGCTCTTCTTAGGCTCCACTTTGGCGAGTTGATGCGCACGTGTAGTTGGGTCCAGCTTAACGAGCAGCAGAGGTTATGGGTGTAAGTCGAGGATGGCGGATTTGTGGCGGTGTCGACTTGACCGTAGTGCGTACAAAAGAGGTTTGCGGCGTGCTATTCTCTTAGGACGGGGCGAGGGGCTTGTAAGGAATGTTCTCGCTGGATGCAGAGGTGACGAGGTTGAGCAAGTGCTGAGGAGTCTTTGCGGATGAAGCGCTAATTTCCCCACTTTGCGAAGGGACAAAGGCGGGCACTTGGGACGGAGGTGAAGACTGCGCTCTCGAGAACGTGAATAGCTGTCGAGCAAACAGGCAGTTGACGGTCGTAAATTGGACAGCGTCAGGTTGCGGTGATGGGCGGGACTAATGATGTGGCCGGAAGGGTGAAGGCAATGTTGAGAAAGCGTTTCGAGAAGTGAGGTATGAGGATGAGGTTGGCGGGTGATGAGAGCAACTTGAGCAGCAGCAGCAGAACACCTGCAGGTCGTGCTTGCCCAGAGACTGGCGAATGACAGTGGTTTATGGGAACAAATGACGGCCTGGAGGGGCCAGCGTTGGCGTTCTTTACAGGGGGTGCTAGGCTTAGGCTTCACCTGTCGCTACTCTTGAGATTATTCTTCGTAATTCGCTTCACAGACAGACGCACTAGTCAATCGTCTGATGGATGCCGTCGTCGCTATCGGATCGTCGGAGTGGTGGTGATGTACGTGCAAGCACGATATTGCCTATTGTGATCTATTTGGCAGGCTTGAAACCCGTTCATGGACTTTTAGATGGCCAAATACGTGGTCTCATGCACATTGTTCAGTGTAGCTGGAGGCGCTGATGACTGTGGCCTCGACCACCAAAAGACGATGAGCAGTAAGGTTTTCGCCCGCAACAGCCTCCTACAAATATCAGATGGTCAAGTGACACTCCTCAGCAATCCACCTTGCTCGCCTCCACTGCGAAATGACGATACTATCATTCGCTCTTCCATAAATGGTACCGTTCTGCAGTAGTTGGACCCATCAGCGGCTATAATTATGAAGGCTCCATATCTTTACAGTAGCAGGATCAATTTACACAAGACACATGGAATGACCGGTGCAACATGCTGCTGTTCCTAACGGATGAGTGCTAGATAGGTAGGCAGGCAGGTGTCTGCAGCCTTCGTCAGGCACAAGAGCCCATGCTCCTGGTTCAGGCTAGCATTTGCATAGCATATGGCTTAGCTAGGGCGGGCTCGTGCTCACGTTATTGTGGTTCTGGAAGGCCATATTGTAGGTATTGGCAGCGAGACAACGCAAGCACGGCTCAAGCATCATCGCAGTTCCAGGTTGCTATTTCATTTGGAAGACAAGGAAATGCTTCGTTTCAGGCGGATCGTAAAGCATGGCAGCTAAGGAACTAGATCGAGTCAATGGCCTGCCGCAGAGATACAGTAAGATCATTTTCATTAGCCCTGTCATAACGAACAGGTATCGTGTTCCTGATGGGCTGCTGCCATCGTGTCGTGCATGCGTGATGATGGTAAGCCATTATCAAGCCCATGTCGCCCCTCCTGCATCAGATCGACCAGCGTGGAACTTGACCTCGACATAATTCGCATTTGCCTGCTGTATGAACTGCGAATGACACTGCTATGAATTTGGCAGTGCTCTGCGTGAAGGAGCGCTTCTGATGAGGTTGACCACATGCTCTGTGGTGTGATGTTGTACAACATCGAATCTCATCTCTTCCGGGCATCAGGCAATGAATCGACGTCACGCTGTGCATGAACTAGACCCATGCCTCGCATGCGCTCATCCGCCGCCCGTTCTCCAGCACTTGCGCTGTCTCGGTAAGGCGCAGTCTCGTCAGGACCTCTCGAATCAACCTTATTGAACGTCTTAATCTTGCTTGCGGAACTCAGCTTAGGCCTTCATTTCCGACAGGTTTCTGATGAACATGCTTCGTGCTCAGTTCTCCCATGATCTACGAGTGCCATACAGTGCAGAGCTTTGCCTGACCAATGCTCTATCATCGTCCGTCGAGTGGTGATTTATTGTAGCGCCAGAAATTCATACCAGCGACACTTTATGGACAGTCAAACAGTGTCACATGCCAATTCTTGAAACATAGGCACTGCAGGGCTGTAAGTCAGCTGGTCTACAACAGATTTTATACGTTACCAAAGTGGAAGTCGGGACGCAATAATTCAACGTTCATCTGTCTGTGGAGGCGAGTTCCACAATCGTAGCCTGCACACACATGTAATGCTCTTTTCTTCCATATGAAATCTCGGACTTCGTTGCAATGAGGTTCATACTGAAATGGACGCGCGATTGACTGGCGTCATGCAGCTTATGCGCCAGATGCCAAGACGGAGAGGCACAATAGTAGGCTCGCACGTGAGCGATGACCATGGGAGCTGCATAGTACGAATGGCACTCCAATGATCCGGATTCGGTTGGCAACAATAGTGCCATACTCGGGGCGGGCTGCAAATGGCAGTCATGAACGGCCGGCACGAGGTCCACGCTAACAACAAGGCAACGAGAAACAGCATTTGTCACACAACGTCCGCGTTTCGAGCAAGTCCAACCTCGTTCTTGCGCACACCATGTAAGTGCGGACCACATCCTCTGCAGCTGCCCGTCTGGCTGCTGCCAGAGCACAACAAGGCCCAGTCGGTAAGGATGTATCTGCTAGTCAGCCTGCAGTCAAGTTGCAGATGTCAGTGATCTAGTTGGGCTTCGTCTGGCTGGGTTTGTATCTCCGGCCTGTCACGTATTAGTCGAAGATCTCTGACAGATCCGAAGATTTTTGTTGAGTCACTGGCGTGCATCATCTTATCGGCTCGAGGCTGAGGCAGAAGTGTCTGTCACCTGTCGCCATCGAAGGTGCCGTTTCGTTGAGCTGAGCATTCAGAACCAGTCCGATGGCTGGCAATATCACCTTTCCGCGCCCAGACTGGACGTGCGGCTCTCGAACGATCGCCCGGTTGTGCCAGCTGGACATTGGTAAAGAATGAATGCTGATAGACCGCCTTATGCAGCAGTCAGCTAGTGGACGGATCTTGCAAGGCAGCCCTCAGAACAAAGCTCCAAGCCCAATTCAAGCGCAAGCGAGTGATGTTGTGTTCAGTTCGCGCTCGGTTTTGCCAGAACCCAGATAGGCTTGACGGCACGAGAATTGACGAACAAGGACAGCAGAATTGTTGAAAGGGCTGAGTTCTCCAGGTCACGATCATGAAGTCTTCCGCAAAGGCAACGGGCGGGCTGATACCGCTGCTTCGATCTCAATTCGCACGTTTTCACGTCACGGTTCTGGAAGCGGTATTGGTACATGTGGCATTGATCTCGCAGTGATAGGTCCTCCCTTATCTGATTAGAGGCGCGCAAATCCTTGCTTCAGGCCGTGTAAGTACAGCAATTGCACGCACAGAAATGCTCGTCCTTTTCCGCAAACCTTCCTCATTTCTATTATGCAAATGACCATAGCTCTGGCAAGCCGCCCGCCTGCTGTCGCGTGTGCTTCGTGGTCCGAGTATGGTGGATCACAGCACTTTCAAGCATCCTGCACCGTATCGTCATCGCAAACATGACGCAAAGTTTTGTGAGTTCTGCATATCGGCGTCCGGCCGTCCTTAGAAAGATCTCGTGTCACAGACAGACCTTTACATGCAGTGTTGTGTCCAAAGGGAGAAGTATGTGCAAGCTGGAGAGGAGGTGATAAGACAAGTCGGATATGAAGTCCAGCGCGTGCTGATCTGCATGAGCGCTGAGTTGTCGAAGTTGTGATACAGTGGCATAGCTTGATGGCAAGTTGATTAGTATGGTGGCTGTGCAGGTTCGATGCGCTGCGAAATTTCTTCGAGCTCTTCCGGTGCACCGTCTATCGAAACTGCAAGGCCCAGCTTGTGTGTGTTCTTGACCTGATCAATCTCAGCGGCGAAGGTCAGGGTGACGGGTGGTGCAACACGACGCTCCAAGACAACGCCGAGTTTCCCGGCACTGTCGACTTGCGCTCTGTAGACCGATGCTTGGAAGTTGTACTTAAGACCAAGTGTGGTGCTGCCTTCTCTTGAAGGGCCGCCGAACATGGCAGAGCCCATGCCAGGCATGAACTGCAGATTACAGTCGACTCCGGCTTCCACTTTGTCTGTGAGTTTACGCCAGTATGAAGCATTGACTTGTCCAGCCGCCAGGATCTGACCACTTGCGATCCAGTCGTCTGTCTTGTATCTTGCACAGTAGGAGGCTGCGGTCTCGGGCTTCGTCCCCAGTGTTGCTCGTTGGAAGACCCCTTCGATACCGAGGGCGAGCTTGGGCGTTATTGATTGTAGGTATTGACCGATGAAGATACCGGTCAGACCGCCTTCCATAATGCCTGGCGTGATAGCCTTAACGGACAGAGAGAAATCTTCGCCAGTGTACTCATTATCGAATTGGACCATTGTCTGACTTTGCCGGGGATCAATTTGCGCTTGCGTCTTCGTGACGAAGCGATCGGTCCATCGTAGGTTACCCCAGGCCGTCACTGAACCGTCACCAGAGTATGCGCCCTGCATGAAGACCTATTGTTCGCGTTAGCTGTTGAGCCCATCAATATGGCGCCATTGATCTTACCCGGTTGGTGCCATAGATGCACATCAGCTGCCACGGCGGCAAGGCTTGCGATCCCATGGCGAAGCCATGCTGTAACCGGAAAAGAGGGTTGAGACTGAAGAGTTTCTGTACGTCGCATCGCAGGCCGGAGAACATGTGGTTTGTGAGTAAAACATCTCTCTGCACTTCTCGGCTTATTCCTTCTACGGTCCCAGGGTTTGTCAAGCCCATAGCTTTTCGTTTCGCTGCTAGCGAGGCGTATGTCTCATTGATGGTGGCAGTGATTGCATTGTCTGTAAGGAAGGATAGGGACGAGCCCTTTTCCTCCACGACGCCCAGCTCGAGCGGCGCTGGCGCTGTTACTGCTGCCATGCTGAGGGACGGAAAGACAAACGGAACCACAGTCCAGTCAGACAAGCGCTAGCTGCAACGAAAATGACTGAAGGGATGGAGGGTACAGAGATAATTATTGCAAGCAGTGATGCGCTTCAATAAACGGCATAGAAAGCTCACAAGACTGCGATCTCCCAAAACTTTCTGGCTGGTGATAGCGGATTTAGTACGCGAGCAGTGGAGCCCATCTCGGGGCATGCCGGGGGTGGTCATTGGAGCAATGATTACTACTACTTAAGTTGACTCTCGAAAGATACCAACACTTGATAGATACCTACCTTCGATAGAATATACTGGAATTGATTGACGTCGGGAGGCTTTCTGCTGGACTTTCACCACTTCATTTGTATACCAGCTTAACGCTTAGGTCTTTCATGATCATATCAGCGGGCTCCCAGTACCCGTCAAACCGAGATAGGGCATCACATAGCATTTGACTGGTCAGATACACCGCTCTTCAGGGACAGATCAACGTTGCCATTCGAGATCAGAGAGCCAGAAGATTTGTCAGGACCTTGAACTTTTGGACGTCCGAGGGGAACGGCGCCATGGACACGCTTCTCACGGCGGATATTGCTGGAGACACTCCCCGGTTTCGGCGCAAGTCAAGCACATTCGTCGACGCTATCCACGACTTTCCTGAGAAGGATGAATTGGCGCCAGCACAGCTCTACAGCACTGAGTCCGGACGACTCTTCCATTCTGGTCGGATAGTGATAGCCATGGTAGGACTTCCAGCCCGTGGTAAAACGCACATCTCGGTTGCTCTTGCACGATACCTACGCTGGCTCGGCGTCAAGACAAGGATCTTCCACCTCGGAGACTATCGGAGAGCCATCATCGGTCATGGCGGCGACGTACCGGATGACTACTTCTTTGTCAACGCCTCAGCGTCAGCAGTGCTACTCCGCCAGAAGATCCTTAAGAAGTGTCGGGAAGATATCTACCACTTTCTCAACCATGAGAACGGCCAAGTAGCCATATACGACGCGGTCAACCCTCTCATTGCTGGACGAAGGTCTCTGTACCGAGAATTCGCTAAGTACGACATCAAAACCCTGTTCATCGAATCCCACTGCAACGACCAGCGCATCATCGAGGAGAATGTTCGCAGCGTCAAGATCTCATCACCAGACTACCGCGGCTGGACAGAGGCAGACGCGGTCAAACACTACCTTTCACGTATGAGCGCTAAGATTCCAAACTTCGAGACCATGGAGGAGAAGGACCTGGATTGGATCAAGATGGTCAATGCTGGCGAAAGTCTCATCGTGAACAACCGTGGTTTCTCCTATTTGTCGCATCGAATCATTTTCTACCTTCTCAATCTACACATCAAGGCACGACATACGTACTTTGCCCGAGCAGGAACCACGGTCGACGAAGAGTCGTACAAGGCCGATGCAAGCCTGTCGCAGCAAGGCAAGGAATATGCGAAGAAGATGACCGACACGCTTCTACGTCATCGAGAGGAAGAAAGGCAAGCCATGATTGACAAAGGTGGCCCAGACACGCCTCTGAAGCCGCTGACAGTTTGGACCTCGACCCGCAGACGAACGATCGAGACAGGCCTCTTCTTCGCAGCAAAAGACTTCAACGTGAGACAGCGATCGCAAATGAGCCAGCTGAATCCAGGAGTGTGTGAGAAGAAATCGGAGAGGAGAATTCGTGAAGAATATCCAGATGAGGTCAAGAAGCACGAGCTTGATCCTTATCATCATCGCTACCCTCGAGCCGAGGTAAGCAACCACCAGCCAACGGATCTTCCTACTAACGAGAAGCCAGTCCTACCACGACGTCGCCGTCCGCCTCGAGCCCATCATCCTCGAGCTCGAGCGCGAGACTAACGATCTCCTCATCATTGCCCACGAATCTGTCCTGCGTGTGCTTTACGGCTACCTCATGGCCTGCAACGCCGCCGACATTCCTTTGCTGAGTTTCCCACGAGATGAGATCATCGAGATCATCCCAGCCTCATACAACAACGAGGCCAAGCGCATCAAAATCCCCGATCTACCGCCCGACATCATTCCTGCGTCGCCTGAAGGGCCGAAAGCGCCAGCTCCGCCGTCTGGATTTGCGACACCTGTGCCGGGTCTGGGAAGTGGGTTTGGTAGCCCGGAGAAGGCGAGTCTTGATACCACTACTTTTCTTGGGTCCTGCTAATTGCCTTCACAGTCGCCAGGCAGTCCTAACATCGCTCCACGAGATGGACATAGGACTCCTGAAGATTCCGACAACTTGCATTTGAGGATCCATGATGTCGTTTGAGCGCTGTCGTCTGTCGCTTATCTGAGCCTTTGCCAGGACATACAATCTGTCGGTCATGCAATTGGCCGCAGCCGGCCCTTGTCATCAATGACCGACTTTATCGTTCGTAGTAGATAGGTTTCGAATGCCTAATACATGGTTGTCATCCACCATGCAATGTAGAGACAAATAGGATATTGTCGCCATCCTTGAGCTCGTATTTGTCCTCACCCTCCAGCTCCCAGTCTGCGTCGTTGATGAGAACCAGGATGCCTGGCCGTCTATACAGCGTGCGACAATGATCAGCTCAGCCTTCCTCGATCGGAGCAAATGGGGTGTGGAGGCGACTTACACGGTGCCATCAACGACGAACAATTCCTTTCTTGGATCCCGCAGGAGGTTCTCGAGGAGCCACTTGATCAAATACCCAACTGTCGTCGGTTTCACCGAAGGCGATGTCTGCGTAGTCGCACTTGATGACGGCATGGTAGCAGGTAGAGTGATCCGATGCCGTGAGACATTGTTGAAGAGTATCTCGAGTCCGCCCGTAAACTCAACCGTAAGCTTGAGATGGGACTGGGCATTATGGTCGGTGGCGGCCGATGGCGCTGAAGTAGCGATAGAGGCGTTCAAGGGAGGTGCACTTGAGCCAGCATTCACTGCGGTGGTAGCCATGGTCAGACGGTTCGCGAGAATCTTTGATGGCTCCGGTGGAAGCTGTGGTAAGTATAGTAATTGCCTGAGAGTCAGAGTGACTAGTTGTATAAAAATGTCAAGGGCATCGACTGTGGGGAAGATGAAGTCCTTACCGCAAGCCGGATGACTGGACGTCAGCCGGTCGTCGCCTTGAGCAGATATTTGCCAGCAGTAAGAGTTTGGACTCATGATGAATGCGAATGCACTCTGTCAAACGCCTCATATTGTTTCTCTATCTCGGAACTATCTAGGGTACAACATTTTGGGACTGTCCAGCATTTCGCGCCACCGGGCTCTGACAGTATTGCCAGGCAAGATCCGTCGCTCTCTCGACAACGGCTTTGCCAAAATTGGGGTATCTCGCTAGAATACAAAAACTTCATCATGCATGACTCTGGTGTGAGACCGAACCAGGCCGACCATTCGAAGCTTCTAGTCGGTCTCCTGGCCCTCGAACGCCGGCAACTCGCTCGCGATATCTGCCCAGGTCTTGTCACCTTCGCACAGCGCTTTGACCGCAGCGACAATGTCGTCTTGGGACGCGCGGACCTGCTTCGTTGAATCACGGTCGCGCAGAGTGACCGTGCTGTCCTTAACTGTTTGGAAGTCGATGGTGATGCCAAGCGGCGTACCAAGCTCGTCATTACGCGAGTAACGTTTGCCAATGCTGGCAGAGGAATCGTCTGTCTTGTTGGCTACACCAGCTTTTCGTAGCTTCTGGGACAGACCTGTCAAGAACTTTCTGAGATCGGGATGATTGGACAGTGGGACCAAGAGAACCTTGGTGGGAGCTACCAAAGGTGGGAATGAGAGGACGCCACGAGCCTCGTCGCCTTCTCGAGTCCAGAAGACGTGCTCCATCAAGCTGTACAGAATGCGACCAATACCGAAAGATGGCTCAATGACGTTGGGCGTGAACTCGCGGGTGTGCTCGGTACGTTTCCTCTTTTCGATGACGATGAGGTCCTTCTCGAGCTCCGTCTTGCCACTGCCAACGCCAGGCGTATCGATGGATATCTTGCCATCTTTCTCGAGATCTAACGAAAGCTTCTCGCGAAGCTCTTGCGAAAGCTGGTCCACAGCGTTTTCGACGGCTTTGGCATCTTTGCGGAATTTCGGACCGAGCTTCTTTCGATTCAGCTCAGCTTCCCACTCTTCGATGACAAGAGGTTCAGCTCTTGCTTGGCGAACGACGAGAGGTGCGCCAGTCGCCTTCTTGTGAACTGAAAGATCGAAGGCGCTTCTATCGGCGCAGCCAACGCACTCAATCCACCCGTAGCTGGTCAGAAGTTCTGCATCCCAACAATCCGTGGCGTAGTGAGCCATTTCATTGGCCATGTGCTGTCTGAAGCGAAGCTTTGACTTATCGACGCCAATCTTCATGAGGAATTCCTGAATACGAACAAGAAAGTAGCCCAATGTCTCGTTGTCAACAAGCTTTGTCGAGACGGCCTCGCCGATCGATTTCTCTTCTACTTTGGTGCTGCCGGATAATTGTGTCTCGCGGTTGAGAAGGGTCAACTTGGTCTCCTTGACCTCTTCAAAACGAGGATGCTTCTTACCAGATTCGGGGTCCACGAAATGCTCGATCTCCGCCATCAGGAACTCACGCACACGCAACAGGCCAGATCTGGGAGCGATCTCGTTTCGAAAGGATTTGCCAATCGAAGCAGAGGCGAAAGGCATCGCCTGCTGATTAAATTCGAGCAGCTTGGCGAAGTTGAGGAATTGGCCCTGGGCGGTCTCTGGGCGGAGGTAGCCATTAGGCTTGTCAGCCGCTGGGCCAATTTGCGTTTGGAACATGAGGTTGAAGGCTTTTGGAGGCTCGAGCACCGCGCCGCTGGTAGGGCCTTTGATGTCGTGTTTGACGATCAGCTCGCCGAGCTCAGGACCGCCGTAGTTGTCGATCTTGGCAAGGGTCTCTTCGTACTCCTTGACAGTCGCATCGTCGAGCTTCTGGGCTGCAACAGCTTTGACCTTCTTCTTCTTTGCGTCTTTGGCTTCCTCGACCACGATCTTCTGACCACGAGCCTCCTTGTCGGCGGTGAGTCGTGCCTCGAGCACCTGCTCGACCAGATGGTCTGCTCGGAAGATCTCCCCTGTCTTAGGGTCCTTGCACATCCAGTCCGCAAACTTGTCAACGTGACCGCTGGTCTTGAGCACCGCTTCAGGAGTCAACATGGTACAGTCTACCTCCAACATGTCCTCCTCGAGCACAAAGTGCTTCCGCCACTGATCCACGATGTTGGCTTGAAGAGAGCAACCTGGTGGGCCATAGTCGTAGAGACCTTTCTCGCCGCCGTAGATCTCAAAGGAAGGAGTGTAGAACAGCCGTCGGCGAAGCAGTCCGTCGAGGACACCGCGGTCTAGTGGTTGACCAGTCTTGGTCGTGCTCGAGGACATTTTTGGTTCCCTCACTTGGAGTGTGGCTCGCCGAACGGTTGACGAGGTTTGGAAAGCTCTAGGTGTGCTGGTGGGATTGAGGAATCGCAACGAGCGTGAGAAGGATCGCATAAACAAGGAAGGAGAGGTCGTCGAGGGCGGATCTTGTAGAAGAGAATGGGCAGCGGCAGGAGTCAGAATGCAGCTGTCTCAAGCATGCGGGAGCTGAAGTCGCCAGGCAATTTTGACTCTTTCAGCGTCCGAATCTTTGGGTTGCGGGGGCTTCGATTTTCGGCCCCCAAATTTACCCCAAGGAACTTTTTTTCGGGTCGTTGGCGTTCGAAGGCTCTGGCATGACAGCGTCGCCGAAACCATTCGCAGGCAGGCAGAGCTAGCAAGGAGCACTGCTGTCAGCCACGACGTTGCAAAGCGACCTAGTTGCGGACAACGGCCGATATGCCGTCCAAGCGAATGCAGTTGTCTGACAAGGCACATCTACCATTCCGCTCCAGCAATAAACACCACCGTGAGAATCTCTACGTCAAGCAGAAGAAAGCTCGTGGCGCTATTGACAGGGCAGAGCGCTTCGCTCGCAAGAAAGAGGAGGCTAAGAACCCGAGACTGCGCGAGGAGCGTCTGGGGCGAAATGTGCCACAGACTATCGACAGCAAGCGGACGTACGACGAAGTTGCGGAGGAACCAGAGGATGGAGGACTTGGGGTTGCATATCATGTGGAAGGCGTGAAGAGACGGAAGCTGGCAGAGGAGCAAGAACTTCCAGAGGACGCTCCTGCCGCGACTGAAGGGCAAGATAGCGACGATGTCGACAGTATGCTCGGGTCAGACAGTGCAGCGGACGAAGATTCTGAAGGGCATGATGACGATGCTGGCCTTCCATCAAAGACAGAGATCCAGTCATCAAAGTCGGCGCTACCAAGAGCAGTCTCACCGACACGATCAACCACCTCAACGAACCTGTCGCTTGCACCAGCGGCACTAGCCGCGAAGTTTCCATCTCTGTTCAGCGTCTCGGACGAGGCCCCTTCAGAACCCAAGATCCTCGTTACGACGTCCATCAACTCAACTCTGCACGCAGAGGCACTCACATTGACACGCTTGTTCCCGAATTCGAAATACATTCGGCGATCATCACATCGGTATGGCTACAAGTTCTCGGTTCGAGAGATTTCAGCGTTCGCCCATAATCAGGGCTACACTGCTGTCGTTGTCCTCGAAGAAGACCACAAACGGCCTTATGGTCTCACAATTGTCCATCTACCAGTAGGACCTACCCTTCACTTCAGCATCACAAACTGGTATGATGCGAGATCATTGCCGGGCCATGGTCGAGCAACGAATCACACACCAGAATTGATCCTTAACAACTTCAATACTCCGCTGGGTCTATTGACAGCGCATGTCTTCCGGTCACTGTTCCCAGCTAAGCCGGATCTTGAAGGTCGACAAGTCCTCACATTCCACAATCAGAGAGATTTCATTTTCATGCGACGATTCCGTTATGTATTGAGGGAGAAGCGTGAGACGGAAAAGGTGGTAGTGGGCGCGGACGGGAAGCCAATGACCGGCGCCGAGGAGGTCAGAGCTGGTCTGCAGGAGCTTGGTCCGCGCTTGACGTTGAAGCTACGTAGGGTGGATAAAGGCATCCAGCGGAAGTCGGGTCAGGAGTGGGAATGGAAAGGAAAGACCGACAGAGTCAGGACCAAGTTCCAGTTGTAGAATTCACCAAATGTATTGCGCCTTCCACAGCGTATTAGCTCTTGATCAAGCTGTTCCCTCTTTAAGATTCGTTCTACGCGTGTAACACGAACATTCCCAGTGGCCGTTGGTGTGAAGACACTGGCTTAAGTCTACGACTCACTACGTGATGCATGGCAAATCACGACATCACCATACAGTAGATACTTAGGTAGGCAGTGTATGGTATAGGCTGAGCAGCAGCGAGGCAACGGGCGTACCTCACTAAGGCCCAATCAGGCAGCATTAGGCAACAAGGCTTCTGCTGCCTTTGAAGTTTCTATAGGTTTGTTTTCATTCAACTCGTCCAGGGAGACCCTCATATGGAAAACGTCATCCGGTCGCAGCTCCAGCATGGACGAGGATGCCATGAGAGACTACATGCCCGCCTCATTCGGGGGCGGCGGAGGCGGCTTCGACCCTGATGTACAAATAGAAAAGGCGAGACGGAAAACGGATGAAAGTAAGAAGGTTGAGGCGAAGCCCGCCTCATCAGATTCAGACGACAGCGATTCGGATGACTCCGAAGACGACGATGAATACCCAGTGTCTCACGAGATCGTCTTCAAGACCCACGAAAAGCCTGTGACGTCCATCACAGTAGACGCGTCTGGCTCGCGGATGATCACAGGTTCGATAGACTGCAGTATCAAGCTCCACGACTTTGCGACTATGGTACCAAACACCCTTCGGGCTTTCAAGTCCGTCGACCCAACGTTCTCGAAAGACGCTACTGGCTCAGAAACGCATCCCATTCATGTGGCGAGATTCAATCCGAACGCGCCAAGTCGAGTGCTTGTCGTCTCTGCAACGCCTCAGGCTAGGATCCTATCTCGAGACGGAGAGGTCCTCACAGAGTTCAGCAAGGGTGATATGTATCTGCGAGATATGAACATGACAAAGGGCCATATCAGCGAGATCACATCCGGCACATGGCACCCTTCGAACTCAGAGGTCTGTGTGACAGCAGGCACTGACAGTACTCTGCGTCTCTGGGATACGCGGCATGGGAACAAGCAGAAAGATGTGATTGTGCACAAGTCAAAGAGCGCGGGTTCAGCGGGTCGAAGTAGAATGACAGCTGTCACGTGGGGTAATCAGACCGACGGAGGCAGCAATATCTTGGTCTCTGCGGCTCTCGACGGCTCTTTGCTGATGTGGGGTGGCGAGGGACCATACCATCGACCAAGCGGGGAGATACGTGATGCACACAAGGCTGATACTTGGACAAGCGGGATTGACATCAGCGCTGACGGTCGGCTGATCATCACAAGAGGAGGTGATGACACGATCAAGCTTTTCGATACCAGGAAGTTCAAGACAGCCGTTAGCACGACTAATCATCCTTCCACATCGGCACAATACCAAACATCAAACATCATCTTCGCGCCAAACTCCTCCGCCATCCTCACCGGATCCCAGACAGGTGATCTACACATCCTCAATCCTGCCACACTACGCCCCGAGCTAGTCACGCCCATCACACCAGGCTCTCCACTAATCACCTCCGGCTGGCATACCACTCTGAACCAGATCTTCACCGGCAGTGCCAATGGCCAAACACACGTCCTCTTCAACCCACGCACATCCCAGAAAGCCGCCTTGACAATACTTTCAAAACCTCCGAAACGGCACCACGTCGACGATGACCCCTCCTTCACCACATCAACAGAGGCCATTCCCTCCGACGCGATCATAAACCCAGGCACGTCTGGCGAAGCATACAAGGTTCCTCGTACGCCAGCCGACATCCCACGGTAGGTCTCACTGCCTCCGGCAAGTCTCGAGATCCTCGAAGGCCGTATCTGCCTCAGACGACGCCATTTGCGAAGTCACAGATGGACGCAGAACACATCAAGCAGAGTATTCCACTAAGTAGCATGAGAGAGGAAGATCCGCGGGAGGCGCTGCTCAAGTACGCCGACAAGGCGAAAAATGACCCTATGTTCACAAACGCCTGGGCGAAGACCCAGCCCAAGACGATATATGCTGAGGTTAGTGATGGGGAAGAGGAGCCAGATAGGAAGAAGCAAAAAAGGTAGTGGTAATGGAAGACTTTTACATTCGTGATCCATGCTTTTGCCTGTTTCGTTGCGTCCAACAAAGTACCAAGCTGTGGGCGAGAGAACCGAGCGTTTTCTACAGCTTGCGGCACAAGGATTTCCACAGCGCCCTCCCTGGCTAGGATTTCTCAATACGTTCTTCCTAGCGTTTTGACGCTGAAGTGAGGCTCATCTCATTCTATTGACGTGATTAGCGGAGAACAAGAGGCCTTCAGCGCCCTCCCAGGTCTGAAAATCCATAATGAGTAGCATACAAGCTTGGTGACGAGAAACGCCCAGTACTTGTAGTCACAGCTTGGGTACCCGGATGCAGTCGCTGGAGCCTACACTGCCCTGATGGAGTGTTTCGCTGTCGCTGCAAATGGATTGACTGGGTCCAAAGCTGTCCAAACGGATGCGCTGGCACCGTCGTGTGAATTTGAAGCTGCTCCTGCTTCTTCGTTTTGCGCCTGCCTTATGATTCCACCATGACGCCGTCCCGGGTTTGCCGTAATCAACAAGTTTGAAGTAGCACATCCGTCACATGCATGGTACATTTACTTTCAGACCTGCTTCACCGGGTTTCCAGCAGCAACGGTCTTCTGGCTCTTCCTGTTGGGTCGTACAATCCGCTTCACACCGATCCAGGGAGTGTTGATCGGTGATTCGCCAGTGAAAATCAGCAAATCGTACAAAAATCCGCCGAAGGCTGTGCCGATGAAAGGGCAAACCATTGGAACCTGTTCAGTGTGAGTCAGTGGGGTCTGTTGAAGGAAGCGGATGGGGATGCAAAGTCACATACCCAGAAGTAGTAGTCGCCTGCTTTCCAGACGTTTGGCCCGTAGCCAACGCAGTAGGTGAACAGTCGTGGACCGAAGTCACGGGCGAGGTTGATCGCGTATCCAGTCTCCCATCCCAAAGTCGCACCAATACCAAAGATCAAGAAGAACAGCATCAGCGGCGTTTTGTCGCCCGCGCCCAAATTCCCATCATCCTTGAGTGCAAAGATCACGAAGATCAGGATCGTGCTCGCGATGATCTCCGAGAAGACCTGGCCCGTCTTGGAGAGGAAAGGCTGAGGGTAGGTATTGAAGACGCCGGCGGTCGCGGTCTCGCTGTAGCCTGGGACAGTACGGATTCCAGCTCCGCCCTCGAACTCGTCAATGGCGGATTTGTAGTTTCCGTAGATGACGGCGGCGCCGCAGAAGCAGCCGAGGACTTGGGCGATAGCGTAGGGGATGAGTTTCTTCCAGGGGACTATGGTTGACCCGTCAGCTTATATGATGGAAAGAAAGGCGAGCCCACTCGACGCCTGGGGAGGCAACTCACATTTTCGGTATATGCACATGCACATCGTCACTGCCGGGTTCAAATGCCCGCCAGCACCACCGGCGACATAGATTCCTAACATGACTCCAATGCCCCACCCCCAGGAGATAGATTGACTGCGAGTCTCGTTAGCCTAGCCTTCAAGCAGGGTATGTGGTTGCGTACTAGTCACCCTTATTCTGAGAACTTGCCGGCAGATTGGGATTTGCCGACAGCAGCACCTGTGCAACGCTGCCGTCGCCAAAGACAATCATAGTGAAAGTGCCCATGAATTCCATGAAGGGTTCTCGGAGATGGTGGCGTATGCGTGGCCAGAGGTACTCATGGTGAGCAGCATACTCCTCTTCCACCGTTCTCATATGTGTCAAATCATCGATGAGAACACCATGTTCGGCATGCAGTGGGTGCTCATTGTGTGTTATGGTCATCTCGTCCCCAGACGACGAGGACTCGCCATGGCGCGGTATTGGTGCTTGCTCCCTGATCGGATCTTTATTTGGCTTCTCGACCGAATCCATGGCTGAGTGTTGTCGAAGGTATAGAGAGCAGCAAATGCAAAAGAACCAGGCAAGGTAGACCCTACCTGTCAAAGAGGTCTGCGAAAGTATATAAACGAAACCTCGAAAATCATTCCACCCACCACGAGGAAGTTCGAAGAGACTTATTAGATACCCACAGTAAAGTCACGGGCCTACCACTGGTCCATTAGCGGGAAAAGGCATGTCATCTTTCGAACTGATGCCACCTAAGAGCACGCACGGGAACATATTCCCAGCGGAGTGCGACCGCAGTATTCCCCACACATAGTGATCAGGATCCCGAGAAGCGAGCGCTCGCGCGCCACCCAGCTCCTGTCCGAGAAGCTCACTAATGCGAGTGGACGGTTTGATGATCTTTTAGTCGTTCGGTACTGCACAATTCTCGGAACTACCAGTGCAATATCACATATGAAAGAGGCGGGGAGGGACATAAGCAAAAATACGAAACCAACCGTCCATTTGTGAAAAGAGGGTTTGCATCTGTAATCGAGTGTGCATCGATGAACCATCGACATCGACAACGGTTGTGAGTGGATCGCTAAAGGACGGCAAAGAGAGGGGAGGAGGCGTCGAAGTGGACAGGGGGCTACGCCATAGTGCGGGCGACTGCGCTGTGACGTCGGCTGTCATGGGTCAGCTGCCGCGCCAAGCTGACATTTCAACTGGAGTGGAAGCAGACTTGCGCTTGCAATAATAGCCGCAGCAATGCGCTGATGGTTCCTAAGTTGTGACAAGTCTAAGGCGTACCGTTCAGCTTCTTCGCTGCGATGTTAACGTTGACGTTCGGTGGAAGTAGACCGAGGTCATGGGAATGCTGTCGGACCAGACATCCGAAGCAACGCTGGAGTCCGCGCCTTGCCGCTTTGGAGTCGAGATTTGTCTCCGAAGAAGGTCACAGCCTCCTATTCAAGAACTTCGTAGTCGTTGGTCAACGCGGGAAGCAGAAAGCGATTATATGAGCGATGAGTAAACAACGGCATCGAACTCATCAGAAGACTGTACCAGTACGCCGTTCTCTGTCTGCTAGTCATTGAGGACATGGGAAAAAGGTAAGTTGTTGCTCAGTATGCTGCATGGTCGAGAGGCATCGGAAAGACGTACTGGAATGAGAGTGCCCCGGGGCCCAGCTCCAGACGAGAACTGCTTCACGTTGCGCAAATCTCCTTATAGTATGCACTTGAATTGGCTGCTGCTCACGGTCCGGCGGAAGGAAGTTTGGGAGCAGCTTAATGAGGGGTAGATTCGATGCGAGCCGGTTGAGTTCGTCCATGCAGCTGCGATTGAAACGTCAGATTGACTGATTTCGAGACATAACGTCCGGCCAAACTTCCGAAGCCCTTATGTGAACGAATTCGAGGTCAGCCAGCACCGCCGACACAAGCAAGCCATGTCAACGCCAGCAGCAGTTGCCGCTGACACCTTGCGTGCCAAACAGAAGCCTCTTAAGGACCAATACCGCACTGACCCCAAGTCCGCCTTCATAACGCTGAACTCCTCTGGCAGTCTTGATCCAACTTCGACCTCTCTGACATGCAGTCTAGCGTCTGCGGGCGCTGCCCAGAAAAAGGTAGCAGGGCTGCACCAAATGGCTGGTGGGGAGGGGTTCGAAATGAGTGGTGAGCTTTGCTCAGGGGATATGCTGTTGGAATCTCTTGTTGCATGTTACGGAGTGACGATCCGTGCGGTCGCGACGGCCATGGGGATTGAGATCAAGGGAGGCACAGTCATCTCAGAGGGCGATCTTGACTTCCGAGGGACGATGGGCATCAAGGGCCAAGACGGAGAGCAGGTCCCGGTCGGCTTCCAGCACATTCGTGTCAGCATTAGATTGGAGGTTGACGCTTCAGACAAGGGGAAAGTGCCCAAGCTCGTGGAGCTCAGCGAGCGGTATTGCGTGGTCCTGCAAACCCTCAGAAAGGGCGTCGACGTTGAAGTCAAGCTGGGACATGTCGGACCAGCCGTGCCAGATGCGCGGAAGGATGAACAACTCAATGAGAAAGTGAATGGATTCGGAGAAGGAATGCAGCCGGTGGCATCGAACGATGATGTACTCAAGTTGAATTGATGACTGTTCAAGTAGTTCCGCTGACAGATCATGTTGAGATCTGTTGTGCCGCGTGGCAGTCGAAATCTCAAAGCCTACCGAACAACACAGTGCTTCAGGAAGGCACGAAAACTTGCCAAATTTCAAGAACGAAGAGCCACGATCGAGTGCGGGAAGAAGGCACGTCTGCGTAGCCCATAGTTATTGTGGGTACACTTTCCTTTCCCGCCGTTATGTGTCTGTTGCTTCTTCAACTTCCGCCACTGGCAGTGATACTGGTCCCTTACAGGACGAGAGACATTCCCAGTCCACGTGCAGGTAACGGTAACAAGAAATCCTGATACTTACATGGAGAAAGTGTACACATGAAACGATGTGTTGGCCAGAACCCGTAGGGCTGAGGTCGCCCAGCTCCCTTTCTTCACCCTATGATCCCCGAAATTGATCATTTCGCTTAACATAAGCCTTTTCACAGCATTTAGTGGATCGATAGATGTCCCGAAGCAGCATGAAAGGAACGTCCAATAGTAATGATCACGCCAGTCCGGGGCCACCTCGCAGGGAGATCTAGTTGTGAGACAACATGGGGGCTCTGATTAAATGACCACCCTTATCACGAGCGTGAGAAACAGATGAGTCTTCCCTACGTGACGTGCAGCGTTCTCATCCACCGTACTGTGCCATCAATGCGCGCGGTATGTGGTACAGGCGCTCTCGCCTGTCAGCTGTTGCCTTGATCGCGGCAGTTGGCCTGATTGTCTGTCCAATCGTGCTTGCAACCGACACAGACGCGGCGGCCCCTATCGTCAAACGTTTAGCGCAGAGACCTGACTTCCATGGACCACCACCTGGAGCTCCCACAGGAGCGAGCGATTCGCCCGTGACGACGACAAGCACCGCACCGGTCACGACGAACACGACGCCAGTCACAACGTCAACCGCAGCAATTTCAACTGCTACAACGTCGCCTGGACAGGCCGAGACGATAGACAGCCAAGAAGTCTTCACCACATCGAGCAGTCCTCCGAATGACCTAGCGACAATCTCACTTTTGGCCACATCGCCAAATGCGTCCACAGCAGGAGTCATCGATAGTACTATTGGATCTTACATCTACAGCGGCCGCCCCGTCTTCACTGACCCGCCGCATTCGAACACGGCAGGTCAAGGCGCTTCAGTCACGTCGATTCCAGCAGTAACTAGTCAACCGAAGGACGGCCTGTCCACTGGAGCGAAGGCCGGCGTAGGAATCGGCGCCGCGTTGGGATTTGTTTTGATTGGTGGTCTGGTGTTTGCCTTGTGCTTTCGTTTGCGACGAAAGCAAGCAGCTGGGATACCTCAGTCCGGTAACAGCAGTGCAATCCTGACCACTTCCGAGAAGGTGTCCGAGCCTGGTCCGGATGTGAACCCCTTCGACCCAGGACAGACAAGCCATCCAGCCTACGAGTCAACGAATAACCGCATCAGTGATTCATTGGGTCCGAGCAGATTCTCGTACTTTGGGCAAGACGAAGATGGTCCGATGTACGTTGCCATTCCAGCACATTTATCTGGACAGAAGCGTTGGAGTAAGACATGATCCGATGCTGGAGGTTGAATATAAAAGCTTTGGACGAGCGCCCCAAAGAACTTGAACCGTAGCTAATTCCGATGATCGGAAATTCCGAAAGCGGTCCATCCTGGTCTGAGACTCCCATACAAATTGACCGCCTATTTTCCGAGCACTTTCCTAATGACTTTGTCCAGCCGGCTCTGCTCGTCACCGCTGGTCTTCGCCCTCCACGCCACCACCCTGTCCGGACGTGCCAGCACACATCCATCCTCCTCAACTTCGCACTTCCTGGCCCAGTCCCGATAGACGTCCTCCCAGTCCTGCTCCCAACCGATGCTATACGCTCTGATCTCGATGCCCAAGTCTTTGCTGACCGCCTCTGCTGCCTTCTTCCACCCTTCACCACCAATGCCCGTGAATAAACAAAACACTCCTTTTCCAGCCAGGTCTTGAGTCGAAACGTGCTCCTTCTGCGGCATCCGCTTGTTGAGCCATGCATGCGGCAGCCGGCTACCGGGATACGTGCTCGTGAGGTGATAGAGGACCTTGTCCTCGGGCCATGCAGGCGGCTCGCCCGTCTCATCGTCAGCGACGATTGCTTTGCTCTCGTAGCGGTGGTTCATCTCCACGCCAATGCCGTGAAACTCTTGGGCTGTTCCGTCGATAGCCTTATTCAGGCGTTGTCTTCGTTTCCGCCCTTCGGGTGTGGCGCTCTTAAGTTCTGCCATTACGGCCATGCGTTCTTTTGGCGTGGGCATAGTCAGACCCATGGCATCCCAAACCGGTGTGTGATCGCGAAGGCCCTGATTTGCCCTCGTAATGACGCCCAATCCAACGGGCTGTCTCTCAGGACTGTAGCTGTTGAGAAGTGAATGGTCGGCCAGACCATTGCAAACATACTTGACCTTCCACGCAAGATTGTATGCGTCTTGCACACAAGTATTGCTGCCGAGGCCGTTGAACGGTGGGTGACGGTGCACTGCATCGCCAAGGCAATGGATCGTGTTTGTCGGGTCGGAGTAGTACTCTGCGACAGTCTCGTTGATAAGCCACTTCGAAACATTTACGATACGCAGTGGGAGCTTGTCGTTGCCTACAATCTTGCGGCAGACCTTCTCCCACTGCGCAATGCTGGGCTCCTTGTATTCGACATTGGGCTTTGGGAAGAGAATGAACATCCACTGATTCCAAGGCTTGACCATGCGGATCAGGCCACTCCATGCGTAGTCTTCGTATTCCTCCTCAGGCTGAAAGACCCAGTGGAGGTTGCCTTTGCGTGCATCGACATAGTCAGAAAGATCGACATCAACAAGAACATTAAGCGCCAGCCCTTGCCCAGGCTTCTTGATCAGAGGAATGCCTAGTTCTCGAATGACTTGGCTCCTCCCACCATCTGCGCCGAAGAGGAATTTGGATCGAACATAATATTCCGCGCCGGTCAGGTCGTCTCTGACTTTACTAAGGATCTTTCCATCTGATTCGCGTTCCGAGCTCACAAAGGAATTCCGAAATCGAACATCCCAGCCCTCAGCCATGGCTCTCTGAATCAGAATGGGCTCGAACTCTGTCTGCGGCAGATCCACGTGCCGACAAGGCGTGTGACCTTCATACTCGCCATATCGTTTTGGGTCGTTACCCCATGAGTAGATGCGTGCGTATTCTTCGCCAGTCATGTCGTGACACCAACGAGTGTGAGTCATGCAGTCACCAGCTACAGCGTTGGCGACACACCGCTCCTCCAGGCCGATATCGCGCAAACATTCGAAGCATGCCGGGTTCGTAATATGTGCTCGGGGGGTTTGTGATGTCGTGGACGCATTTGAGATCAACAGCCCCGTCATGCTGTATGGCGGGTGTGACAGAAAGCATGCTAGCGAGCCACCTGCTGGTCCAGCTCCGACAATAAGGAAGGGTGTGTCGATGATGTGGCGAGACGAGTGATGGAGACCATCGCCATTGACTAAAGTCGTTGAGCCCATGTTGACGGCTCGCTACGAAGTGAAAATACCAAAAGAAGCCAGAAATAGTTCTTCCAGATGGGACTTCCGACGTCAGATAGTTCCGGGTTGAGCGCTGTCAGAACTCGGGCATAGAAGTAAAAGTCAGCTGGAAGGATGGGAAGAGCTTCTGCTTGTCTTCAATGGCCTTTTGAGGGGCTCAAGGTTGTTTATACATGCTTTCACAGACACAGTGTCTGGACTTTCCGACGAGAGTTCGTTCCATCTTACTGGTCACTTGGAACAAGCCCGGGCCCAGGACCATTTTCGGATAGAAAACCTCATCACCCAGGCTCCCCTGGCAGCAGCCTTCGGATGTGGGGTGAGTGCGGAGCGACCATGTTTACTTAAGAATTGGAAATCACCCATAAGATGTTTGTGAGCATCCCGTCCGGGGTGAAATCGCGGGAAGAGCACCCCCATCTTGAACGGTAGGCAGTCAAGACGTCCTGCTACGCACACAGCGACGGTGTCAATGACTTATAGACACGACGTCGAGGTCCATGAAGATACAGGTACCAACCAGTGTGTTAGAAAGCGCCCCGCAGCTGTATGCCGCTTCGGTTTCCAAGGTTCGCTTAAGCTGACAGCCTGTACGGTATAGTCACATTAAGCTGGGGTTGAGCCCTAGATCCTCAACTGCCCAGCGGTTGACTCTGGTAAGGTACCGTAATAATGCTTGACGTTTTGAATGATGACGTTGATCCGAGCCGCGGTTGCTCGACATGCCTCACGTCCTGGGCAGAGAGCTACAGTTCCGACGCAATTCACTACACTGGCCGTACGAACATCAGGAGCTCTTTCCCAGTTCCTAGGTGCTCTGAAGACCGATTCAGACTTGCGCGAAGTTAAGGAGCCGCCCTTACCGCATCGACGCACCGGCTATCTGCCTCATAAAGCGCTCATCTGCTCACCTGATACTTGCTTCTGCGGACGCAGGTTGACTCCAGTGCTGCCGAGTTCTCAGCCGTTTCGTCGTCAACATGAATTGCCTCTTCCGCACGACGCTGTCGCTGCGGTCCTCTGCTTCTTGCAGTAGCATACCGATCCTTACAAGATCCCTGCAGCCGGCGCCAACGATGCGAGGTCTGCTGTCAATGCGGTCGATGCACACACATTCCCCCAGGCATGCAACCCAGAAGAATCGCAGACCGCTAGCAGTTGCTCTTGGTCTAGGCTCGATACCTTTCCTCACACCCGGACGACCTACATACAATGACACTTCGCCTGCCTTGTCAGACTCTGCTCTGTTTTCGAGCTCATCTGGCAGCAGTGCAAAGAAGAGTACGCCAGTATTCAACGACGGGGGCTTGAATCCGGCTGCGGTGAAACAGATCAGTTTTGGTTCAGTGCTCGGATTGGGCCTGGGAGTCCTGTTCAGCATGTTCAGCCGGATGCTTGTGCTGTTGGTTGGCGTTGGCATCGTGATTTGGCAGGTGAGTCTCCATTTTCCACAGTCTGAGCCTCCTGGACGCGTGTCATGCTCGCACGAGCTTGTTGGTTGAAATGCCTGCTCGCTGGATCACGTCTCATTGCATCGACCACGCACTTGATCCAGCTTCAATTCCTCCATAGCTGCGTATGCAGCGGCTAGTCACTGACTGCGTACAGTATGCTGCACGGAAGGGCTATAACATCATTCCAGCCGACAGACTTCAACGATATGTGAAGGGCATCGATGTACGGGGCGCCATCCACGACAATGTTGCATTCAAGATTTCATTTGGTCTTATGTTTGCTCTGACAGCATTCGGCGAGTTTTAGAGATCTCTACAGTGAATGGGAGCAGCACCCTCCATGTAATCAAGGAGTTTGCGGCGTCAGAACAACAGAAAAGTATGATACATGTGTTTCTAGGTCGCCATTCTCCTGCCCTGCTTGCATGTTTGAGGTTTGGCTTGTGGCGAGCAGTGTACTGGCCCCATGATCTATAGCGACGTGTCTTAGCGGCTCACACAGCGTCGAGCAACAACGATGAAGTCGGCACAATCATTGCGCCAAACAGCTCGCCAGAGGCCACCGCACGGTGGCAGACTTCAGCCGTCTAAGCGTAATCAGAAATTGTCCGAACGACATGGTCCTCTACAGCATACACTCGCGCGAGAAGACGACACGATCCAACGGACCGCACGCTACCTTCAGCCGCATTCGTCCACCGAATAAGCAGAAAGTCTCGCATTTCTCGTATTGCCGCCCGGCGCCCGCACTTGGCAACCTTCGCGTAGGCCGGATGACAAAGATGTCTAGCACACGGGCTTGCATGCATTTTAAAGGAGCAGACGATGATTGCCAAATGATTGGCCGTTGGCAATGCGAATCGATTAAGTGATCGCCAAGAATACTCGTCGGGTCAGGCAAGGCAATCATCGTGAGTCAAAGTTGGTTCCATTGGCTTTGGACTCATACAATCACCGGATATGGAAGTCTATCGCCACAGTAGCCGCCTTTGCCCTGCTTGACCGAATGACGATGCTGGGCACGGCACGATATAGGACCGTGCCCAACTATTGACAGTCACAGAACGGACCGCCGACAGCACAGGCAGGATGGTCTACATAAGAGCCAGCAATGGCAGGAGTCACCTTTGCACTCTCCAGCCCATGTAAACTTGTCTCTCAAATTGTAGAGCAGAAGACTCAAATCCAGCAACAAAACTTTCCTCAACATGTCTTTCTCTTATGGCAAGGAGTTTATATGCCAGCATCTCCATCCAACCACAGCCAACTTCACCGACGATGATCTGCCGCCACAAAAAGGTCGTATCATTATTGTGACTGGTGCATCCTCCGGCATAGGTGCTGAGCTTGCTCGCATGCTCTACACTAAGCATGCCACTGTCTATCTCGCTGCTCGGTCCCAAGAGAAGCTCGAGAAGGCCAAAGCCGCGATCGAAGCGGCCGTACCACAAAGCGAGGGCCGCCTTGAATTATTGTTGCTCGATCTCAGCGACCTTGCCAGCATCAAGCGCAGTGCTGAAGACTTTCTCGTTCGTGAGAAGTCTCTCCACGTGCTTATACACAATGCCGGCGTCATGATACCACCTTCGGGTTCGAAGACCAAAGACGGCTACGATCTGGAGATGGGCACGAATTGTCTCGGGCCCTGGCTCTTCAATCACCATCTTCTGCAGCTCATGATGAAGACCACTGCCCATCGCTTGGAAGAGGGCTGCAGTCCAGAAGTGGCGCGTGGCCGCATCATTTTCGCCGCATCGAGCGCCATACTGACTGCGCCAGCAGGCGGTGTCGTCTATGATAAGACAAGTGGTGCGCCTAAGATCCTGCCCAAGCCATTGGATAACTACTCGCAATCGAAAGCGGCCAATGTCTTCCTGGCCGTCGAGGTGGCTCGTCGATAAGGGACGGATGGTATCATAAGTGTTTCCATCGACCCAGGATTCGTCAAATCAGAGTTGCAACGAGAATGGTCTGCTTTGCGGAGGACAATTAGTTTTGCGACGGGCTGGTGGAAGGAAGTCAGATACGGAGCTTTCGTGGAGCTTTTCGCTGCGTTCAGTCCAAAGGTGACCAAGGAGCAGAACGGAGGCATCGTCGTCCCATGGGGCCAAATGGGTCATTTCCCGACTGGAATAGCCAAAGCTGTCGCAATGGGTTCCGCGAAGGAGTTTTGGGAGTGGTGCGAAAGGGAGACAATGCCGTTCCACTGACGAAGGTTCGAAGGCTACTTCAGATATGCAGCTATCATTGTAAGAGTTTATACATGATTTTGAGCTCTCATTGTTATATAACTATGGCTCAGAGAAATTGGCCTGATTCGGTGTGTGCACTGGTCCATGCTTCGCTGCTTTCCCAATGCGGCATTGTGACCTCCACATTGCTCAATGAGCATTCAAAGGTGACGGGGGCGACAAAGAGACATCCCGGATTCACGGGATAGTATTACTTCACCAGCACAATGTGCAGAGTGCAGCGCAGGCAGTTCACTGCCGTATACCTTTCCGAACGCTGCCAGCGCAGCGTACATATAGATCGACCGCCAACTCCACGAGTCTCAACACTACAGCCACGAGCTTCGCATCCCGAAGACCTCAGCCTCAGTGAACAAGCGTTGACCTTCGACAAGCAGGGACTCTAACATCCGCCATGATCAGCCTCACCCACGCAGTCGCACTGCTCTTCTCATCCAGTCTCGCGATAGCAGCGGATAGCTCAGCGTGGGGTGCATATTTTTGGTAGGTCCGCCCTTCTGTATCACCCGGCATCGAGCATGCTGCCGGGCAGTGAAGACTTTGCCTCCCCAATGCCTGCCAGACAGCGTGCCACGAGCGTAGTCCCCAGGCCTTGAAATGCGCTTGACAGCCATAGCTGACCAATCCTTGTGTATTTAGCCCAGGAAGCAATTTCACACCACGCGTGGATCTCGAGGCACACCCCGAGCCCAAAAAGATTCCATGTCAATGGTTTGACAGCAACTGGGCCTCCCAGTGCCGGAAGATCGAGTATCAAATGGTCGAAGATTTTGCACACCCTTCAACGCCCAGAAACCTGGTTCCCTGGACAGGAGTAAGCCTGGGGCCGGATCATGGAGTCGTGTGTACCGTGTATGTCAGCCAGGATTGCAAGGGTAAAGAAGGCGGCAAGCTCGAATATCCGGGGACTGGCGATCTAGGGAAATGGGGTCTGGCGAATGGTAATCCTGGTGCGGAGGAGGATACGCCCTTCGGAAGTTGGACATGTAAGAAGAAGTGAGCTGTTGGGAATGTGGTCTCTGAGGCAGCAAGCGACACTTGCTCTTAGGCAAACCCCAGCCTTGATTGGTATTGGAGCCAGAGCGATTTCAATTTCCTTTGAGCAGTCTTTCATCGAAAACGATGTCCAGGTCAGGATCGAAGTTCTCGTGCTTCTCTTTCCAGACCCTCACCACCTCGTTCAAGAACATTGATGGCAAGCTTAGTAGCGCGCCATCTGTCGCGCACTGCTCCCCGAGTACCGCGTCATCTTTCGCGCGCTGCTTCTTGTGTTTCGCATCAAGTCTTGCGCTCTCTTTAGTCTCGAGTATCACCATGCTGGCTACCATGTACGCGTCGCAGAACCAGATCCAAACATCTCCCCCGTCCGGTCGCGGTACTATGGGTCGTTGCCGAGATATGCAGATACAAGCCGCTTGGTGTCACAGGGCGTCATTTCTGTCGGGCGGGCTTTGTCGAAGTCGAACATCAAGAGGGACTTCGACAATGGCCGTCCGGTGTTACGCTGGAAGATAGACAGTCCAAGCACAAATTCAACGTCCATGGCGTCCACTTGAGCCTCCCAATGCATTACAGCAAGTCCGACACCCATCTCCTGAGCCACGCGTCTCAATCCTGCTTCCTGGCCGTCGCACAGGGCCCGGAAAATGTTGAGATACATAGGAAAGTTGCGTAGCGAAGTGTATGGCGCATACTTCTGTCGTTCGGGCTCGTTCTCCCCCAGATACACGCGTACTAAACAATCGTTGTTCTCCGGATTTTCTCTAGCGGCGAATTTGACCTTGTCGCTCCTTCCAAAAATAGATCGATCAATGCTTCCCGTTGCGGCTGCGGTATCGGAAGAATCCTACCTACCTCGAAAACGGCTTGTTTCTGCTGATGCTGGGCTGGAAACTCGGACAGCGAAGGCGTCCAGAAGCTGGCATCAACCGGAAAGTAGAATGCGTGGCATCGAGGGGTGCGTGGAACGCGATAGCCCGGGCATTTCCTCTGCAGGAGCCCTGACACGCGATTCGTAGCATGGTGCACCGTGTTGGTAAGATGATAGTCTCTCCATATGTCTGCAGTCTCTCCGCCCTTCTTGTAGGCCCGATGGGTGCCGGGGATCTCGAATACAGTGCGCATGTGCCTAGGCCAATAACACGTAGGTCTGTAGCTGGGGCTGGAGCTGGAGCTGGAGCTAGAGGTACAACACGCTCTTCCGGGGGCGAGTCGCTGCTGTTCGTGATAAATTTCCTGAGTGTAAGGAAGCTGGCTGGCGGACCAGAGGCCTCCCCGGACCTATCGACTGCTTGATCAAATACGCGCTTGGATCGACGTGGCATACGCTGATGGATATGAATGAAGGACAGAGTCAGAAGTGCAGAAGAGCGTGACTCATGTGCTATACAGACTTCCTGTGAAGCTGAATACCTTACCACTACATCACGTGATTACATGTTTACCTCTCTGCTGCAATAGCCGTCGGCACCACGACCTCAGATTTATCTCCTAGAGACTCTCAAGAAGGCAACAGGGACAAAAAGGCACGTGGTCTCTGTTGAGAAGCAAGAGCGGCTTCAGAGAACGGTATCGTGCCTGCAGACGTGCGCGCCTCGCCATCACGCAACGGCATGTTGAGCAACTGCTCGATGCAGGGTGGGTACTTAGGTACGATCGATCGGAAGCTCTCACAGCCCTAAAGCATTACGAAGCGAACGCCAATCCAATCGACAAAGCTCCTGCACAATGCCAAAGTCAGATGAATGGTCGACATCATCCGTGAGGGTGTGGGAGAAAAGGTACAGAATTCTCGAGCCGAACTTAGGATGGGTCACTCTTTTGGGGATTTCGAGACTCACTCTCTCTATGACGACACAATGCTCGCTTCACTGGTGGGACCTTATTGGCACGAATGGAAGAGAGCATCGATCTTGACTGCCAACTTCTCCATGCCTAGCAAGCGTCGAAGGATTGCTTACGGTAGACTGACAATCGGTATGAAAAGATACCTTAGGGTATATAGCTGGTCAGCCGCAGTCCTCGTGGCGTGCTGAGATATGCTGCACAGAGTCTACAGACCCGTCTCTAGACCCTCGGTTCGAGTACCCCCAACCGAAACGGGACACGCACATGGCTCGGGTACTAACCCATCAGCTAATCAGGACAGTACCTCGTCCTCGCGTGGCTTTTTTGTCCGAAAAAGTATAGGTCGGTATCCCCGATGGTGGTCTACATACCTGATGAGGCTTGCGTCCAGGCACGGCATACAATTGTACTGACCCAATCGGCGTGCGCTCGAAATGCAAGGACGCTCGCTACGGATCAGCTCTCGAGCCTGCCATGTGGTGCCTGGTGTACCTCAATGTATGGAAGCCACTGATAAGTCGGTTGCATGTCGCCTGGACGTGCTGGTCGACATGTAAACCGTGCCATCCCTTCATAATCCGCGCCCGTGGGGTCGTTGTATAGAGATCTGGTGTCACCAAAAAAGCCGCTCATTGTCGATATGAAGCTCGTGGATACCAGCAGAAGTCACCCGCTTGGCTCAATGAGCCCCTCTTGGGTCGATGTGAGACCACTCAGTCCGACATCGCCATCGGCACCAACAAGTCCAGGCTGGGTCGACGTCCGGCCGCTGAGCTTGATGTCCTCCTCGGCTTCGATAATTAGTTCACAGAGCCGCTCTAGCTTGAGCCGGCTCAAGCTTAGTGAACTGCGCGATCGTCTGCGAGGGACAGTGTCGACCAGCAATCCACGAACGGTCTCATTCACAAGCTATGTCAGTCGTACAAGCACTGCGTCGACTAGTCCTACTTCACCATCGGCGTTTTCCCCTGCCCACAGCCGACATGGCTCATGGACGAGCCGGCGCACAAGCTCGATCTTTGGTCGTTCTAGCAGTATTTTCAGCAACGACGTCAAGCGATGCAGCACAATCACCGAGCCAGCGCCAGGCTGGGCTCGAGTCATTGCCGAGAAAGAAGATCTGGAGTTCGTTGACCGTCAAACCCTCTGGGAGGATGTCGTGGACACAGAAAATCGAATGGACGACATGATCGAGAGTCTCAACCACAGGCCACCTCGGCGCAGCCGGCGAAGAATCCCACCATCTTTTTGAACACATGGCTTGCCAGCCGTCTTGGATAGTCTACCTAGATATGAGAGCAAATGGCGCATGCAAGCAACGATATGTGCTTGCATGTTGAATAACTATATGCGTGGTTGTCTATCCCTTCTCGATCGTATCCTCCACCGATAATTTCACCTTTCTCTCGGTAGATCAATGTAGTTTCAACTGTCATTCCTACCGTCTGTCCATATATTCCCTCTTTTAACATCTACTGGTCTCAGTGGTCCCTTGAGTCATCCCGTCCTTGCACCCTTAACCGTAGCAGAGTCCCTAACACCTTTTCGGGTTGATTCTTCGTACCTGTCGTGTACAGGGCTTCCCTGCCATGAGGGCCTGGATATTGTGCCGACGACAAAGAACAAAGCCTGAGAATACACCGGCGTCAATCGTAGGCGCACGATCGGCTTGTGGATACCTGTCCGACTTTTACGTCTTCGATTTGGGAATTTTTCGTCGTACACTTCTCCGTTCTCGACGAGAGCATGATTGTGTATCCGAACTCGCGGGGATCCGTAACCGGCAGACCCACCAGCGGGACGTGCAGTCATATGTCAGCTGGGTGCCCCGGAGAGAAGATGTCATTCTGCGGAAGTGTAGCCATCGGCTCTTTGTACCACATCCATAGCAGTGGATCGTGCTGCGCTTCCTGTCACAGTCGAGCTCTCACGGCGAAGTCTTTCCAGTAGACGTCGAGCTTCCGACTGTCAACACCCTTCCCATCATCTGGCATCTCCGTGAACAGCCCATTCTTCCTCCTCCAGATCAGCCAGACTCTCCTCCTTCCTGTACATGAAGAACTGAGCAAATACCACAAGATCTAGCAGCAAGCAACCGAAGCTTCCAATGATCCAACTTGTGTTCACCCCCAAATATCTCAAATATATCTCCTTTGCCTCTCCCGTGCCGCACAATCCTACACCACCACCTTCGACACATACTGGGGTCGGATCGTATGCAAAGATTGAGATGTCAAAGGTGAGGTTGCCCAGACATGCGAATAGGAAGAAGAGGAACGAGAGCCCTTCGCAGGATTTGTTATCATAATTAAGCTTGATCTGAGGGAGGCGTGAGCCGAGGTACAGAGCGGCGCAGACGTAGCCAAAAAACTGGCCCCAGGCATCATACTCTGGGTAATCGGGTACGTGCGAGTGTTTGGGTTGATGATGATGATGGTGATGATGGTGTGATCTGTGACCGTTCTGAGAAAGCCACCAGCCAAGGATGCCAGCGCCGCAGACCATGAGGACGGCACCGATGTTGAGAATAATTGTCTTCAGCAAGGAGGTGGATTTGCTTGACTTGTACGGCGCGTCTGACTCGGGTCCCAGCGGTTCACGGAGCGGTGTGACAGGCGAGAGGTGCGCGCCGTCAAGTTGAGAGAAAGACGTGTACCGGCGCTCGCCATCATGGCCTGTGGGCTCGTCTCGCGAGGGCGGCGCGGTCACAACGTCCTCATGTAGCAATGGTCGTCGCTCATGGTCTCCATTAGTCACAGTATGCCCGTTCTCAGCCGCAGGAGAGTGGTCGCTGAGCGTGAAGCCGCGATAGTAGAACACCTGTCCTATCAAGACAATGTCTGCGAAGGTGTAGTAGACGGCCAGGATCAACATTGTCGGCAGGACACCCTGCAGAACACCTCCCAGAATGTTGAATACATCTCCAGCTAGCCAGATGACCAAGAACTTGATGGACAAGCCGTCTGCTGATGACAGCTGAAAGTTCTTAATGATTTGTGGACTGAACACAACGATCCAGCAAGCGATGCTGATGCTACCACAGATCCCAGACAAAGCGGCCAGATCAAGGTCGATGGACTGCTGTGGCGGGAACATGGTGATTCACGCTGTCCGAATGTGGCTTCTTTAGCTAGGGAATCGATCAAGCTCAGGCAATGTGCTTTTGACTGCGTGTGACGTATCGGCCTCTCACAGGGCGCGCTCACTACCCTGGATACGGAATTGCGGCGGATATGCGCTTTGCGCTCAAGTCGTCCTCGCTGACTGACTAGGAGTGGGCGCCGCGTAGAAGATATACTCCAACGAGAAGGGACAAAAAGCTTGAGTGGCAACGAAGAATCTGAAAGTCGGTGTGCTTTTATTACCTAACCGGTTGAAAGTTCGGTAGGCACCGCTGCCCAGGTGCCCCAGGGAGCTCTCCCCGGATTTTCTACCGCCAAGAGCAGTGGCTTTTCCGCTGTGCGTTGTACGCGAACACTCGCACCTATCACCACACGAGCCATTTCAGGAACAGGCATAGCTTGACTTCGTCTGGGTACAGTATCAATCATGCTAGCCGGAACCAACAATCTGAGAAATCTTTCATGCGCGCTTCTACGCACTTGCTGCCTAGTGATGTCGTGAAGCTCTTGCCGTGTCAAACAAAGAAAAGGAAATTGCGCAGGTTTGCCAGTTCACTTGGTCGCCCGAGACGATGTCGCATCTGCCTGAGGGCAAAAGGTATTTACTCTTAGAGGTCTTCCCAGTGCAACATTCTGCTGTCTATGCACTCTTTGCTCACAAGTACTGACGGACCGAACACCATATTCGCCACCACTCTCATCAGCCACGATGGAGAAAGAATGGGAACAGCCAGACTCTGATTCACTCTCCGTCAGTCATGATGTGCCTGCCGAGCAAGCTGACCACCAACACAACTCTACATCGTCGGCTGCCAGCAGCGATGGACCGTGCTCAACAGACTCGATACGCTACCTGCCGAAGTATTACTTGCGATCTTTAGGTCATTCTTCGATGGCATTCGCCTGACACCAATACCAGGCAATCGCCATAAATGCTGCACGGTCGAGAACAGGGACAATTCACGACTAGCATTGCTGTTGATGTCCAAGTCACACACCCAGATGGTTCAAACCGTCTTGTGGGAGTGTGCGACAGTCCTGATTGCATGCCCAGTCTCTCTGTGCGTACTACAATCCGGCACATATCCTCTCGACAGAGTACAGGAGTTTGAGCTCGACATGACTTCTCGTCACGACCGGCCGACCTTTCTCCTCATAAGCAGAGTCATCAGACGTCTGCCGAAGCTGCGGCTAATTCGCTTCGTCACACGTGGCCCAGTACTCAACTTCTCGCGGTGGTCTCTACTGGCGGAAATCCACGACGGTACATCTGAGCTTACCCGAGCTGTACGAAAGCATCTCAGCACTCGCTACAGCGTAATTGACCTATTGAATGAAGCCTGGCTGACGAAACTTGTGACGGACGCATCTGATGCCAACCACGTGCTCGAGGTCGAGATTAAATTCAGTCTTCGATCCGAGCAGCTTGGACCCGGTAATGCATCAAATTGTGTTCTCTTAACGGGGCCCGTGGGTGCCCTTGAGCTGTTCAACGTCCCCGTTGTCTTCTCTGCCAAGAAGCAGACACTGACTGGAGTTCACAAAGACACTGCCTTCTCTGTGCCACAACAGCCTCTCGTCCCTAAAGAACCACATTTTCATCGTGCAGACATATATGCGGACAATTCTCAGGCCGAGAGTGAACTTTGGCGCATAGTCGACGAGCGGTTCTCCAACATGAAGCTCACACCAAGATCTACTTGGCAATTGCACAACTTGATGAACGATAATCCGGAGCTCTTGCGCGCTGGCGTCGCCCCTGTAGAGTCCATGGAGGCCTCCAGGGACCGAGAATTGGCTTGGAACATCGGCAAAATCTTGTACGCGGTTGAGACACACGCGCTCGATGACTCTTGCGAAGAATGCTCGGATCAATTCATCGACGACGTTGAATTCAGTCCCACAGATCAGTACAACATATGGCGCAGAGTGCTCCAGGCGAGGAGTCAGCCACTGCGGCAGCGTCCATGGCGAGTGGCTTATGATCTGGTTGCGGCCGTCGAAAACAACGCCGAGGAGCCCGGCTACATGATGTACGAACAGCAGGAGACTTTCTTCACACGCCTCTTCGACCCGAAACAGAAATGGGTCACGGACAAGTAGAAAGGCCAGACTGATGATACTGCACTCAAGTGAGGTCGTTGATAGCCTGCAGATAGCGCATCAATTTCAGCAAGTCTAGATAGAGCACTCATCAATGCATCAACGACATAGTCCATGCTTTGCCCACTGATTTGCTGTCGAGTGAGTAGCTGTGGGCTGTCAGAGCTCGTGCGTCCTCCAGAGACGTCCATGAGGACACCAGGAGGGCTCCGATGGCCTCATGTGTCCCGACAGAGACCCGAATCTGTTTGTATGGACATTGTTGGCGTCTTCGATCCAAGCTTGAGAGTTAGGCCACACTTTGGTCCAGGACCGCCTAAACCCACTGCAACCTCGACAAGGGCCGCCCAAGACACAGAAGCATTGGAAAGGGTATCTATTCGTCATGAGACATGCACCAATGTATTCGAGGCCAGCTTCGTCCAATGTTGCTCGTTGCAGGTGCCCTAACAGGGCGCGTCGCGCCAGCGATGCGGATGTGCGTGCATAGCCGTGGCGGCCTCGCCGCACTCGAGCCCATCTAGCCGTCCCGCCAAGGACTCCGAAGCCCAGTCACTTTTGTAAACCCAGGAGACATCCAGACCACCGTCTTCATTTCCGCCGTCCAGCACAATTGAACAATCCCGCGAATCCGCCTCCCGAACTTTTCTTCGAAGGTGCGCTTTCCGCATCGTTAGCAGCAGACGCCTTCTCCTTGGAGGCCGCATTGACCGACTGGTCTGCCGCGCCTAACCGCACCGTGCTGAGATCTTTTTGCCTGTTCAGCCAGTCCAGATCCTCTCTGCCACCGGAGCCAGCCTTGGGACTCTCCAGCCACTCCCTGAGGTCCTTCATCGTTTGCGGATCAGCTTTGTTGGCTTGCATTTGTGACCAATTTGCGAAGAGGTGATCTGGTAAATCAGTCAGCATATTTTTCTTCCTCGCTGGACATATGCCCAGAGAGGGTAAGAGAAACTCACCATATTCAGCGACCACCCTCCGCAACTCCCTCATCACACGCATCTTTTGGCCCGGACGATCGATTGAGTTCTCATGTGCGTCCTGTTCGAGCGCAAATAATTGTTCCTCGAGTCCGCTGATCTCATCTTGTAGACACAGAAGCAGCTTGACATGCACGTCATCAAATCGCCGGAAGATCACTGCTGATTTCCGTGACATGAAGTCCGCCATCTCTGCATGTTCAGATGGTCGCGGAAGCGAGACGAGACTGGCGGAGGCGATGTGGCCTTCTGAGGGACGGCTGATGGTGCGTACGGAGGGTCGGCGGCTGTTGTTGTTATTGCTGTTTGAGGCGAAGGCTTCGGGAGGTAGCTGAGGTAGTGGAGTGGTCGGTGCAGGTGTAGGTACTTGGGAGTCGTAGATTGATCGAGGCGTGGTAGGACGTGACTCAATTGACTGTTTGCGTGACCTGTGTTTCACGGAAGGAGGTTTGGGCAGGACGTCGAGGTCGATTTCTCCGGAGCCGGATTCTGGACGTGATCGTGAGTGCGACCGTCCTCTAGGCAGGGATTGCTCTCGTGGCGGTGGTTGCGCAGGCATGCTTTGCTGCAGATTCTTGTCCGATGGATGAGAGTGCAACGCGCGTGCCCTTCGGTCAGAGGCTGTAGACTTCGACGACACAAGTTTTGGGCTGGTCACAGGCGTGGATGACGCCGACGTTGATATTGGTAGATGAGGAGATTGTAATTGCTCGGATGGAGGCAGTGAGACAGTCGAGGTTGGCAGCGCCGCTGACACGCGTGGCGATTCTTGTGGACTCGAAGGCTGACTTCTGATAGTCGCCGGACGGTTGACAGAAGCTATTGACTGGATGCCTTTCCTGTTGTATTTCGAGGTAGGCACGAATGGACTCTTCGCCCGGCTAGACATTATTGACGAACGTGCGGATATGGGCGCGGTTGGGGGCACGATGTCTTCCTTTGCGACCTCCATGCCAGGCAGTGTATAGTATTGCTCTTCAATCATGCTGGCTGTACCAGCCGTGCTTGGAGCCGTGCTGCCATCTCCTTCCGAGGTCGCGGTCTCGTGGCCATCATTCGATTCTCGCGGGTCGACCGACAGGGGACTTGTGAATGGCGACTTCGATGAGCTCGGACTGGTAATGAGGGTTCAGCATCGAGCTCTGCCGGTATTGCTTCGGGAGCAAACGAAGATTTTGAATGACTGTGCTTCAGAGACTGTTTCTTCTCAGGCGACTTTGGCCTGGTCTCCTCCTTAGGTGTCGACGGCTTCGCCACGGGAGGGAAAGTTGCTTCGTTGTATGGCGAAACTTCCTTCTCACTGAACATGGTCTCCTCCTGCTCCTTCTGTATCGCACCTCCGCCTAACATTGGTATCCAGTTGGGGTCTGTCACGTCAGGCGCGTTGGAACTGTCGATGTAGACCGAGCGACGGCCTGAACCGATCTCAACGGGTGATGCTATGGCTGTCATGACGAGATCGTTTAGCGTTCGTGTTCGAACGCTTCGAGAAGGTCTGGCAGGCGTGTCGTGGCATTCATCAAGAATCGAGAGAAGGAAGACAAGCTCAGGATGTCGGGGTCGGCGGAATGGTCAAGGGCTGCCCAGTTGTGCGTACCGTATTCTAGCTTATTGGGGCCGAGTTGGTACAAAACTGAGCACGAGCAGATGACTTACCCAGTATCCAAGAGTACTCACCGTGTAGGGGCTCCATTGCATTCCCAATTTTGGGTTCAATAATGGAGCATGGAAACAAGCTCTGGTTCCTGACGGCGGGCTACGCCACGCCACGCTGAGCAGCGCCATTGGCGTCGATCCTGCTAGTCTACCTGATATCGGCATGAAAAGGCGAAAAGAAATGCTGTGATGATGAGTGTAGAGGGGAACAAGGGGCAGCAAATCTAAACGGCGGACTGAAATGAGTTTGGCCGCCATATTGTTGGTGGGGAAGAAGGCATACGAACTGTTCCGCATAGAGCCAGATATCCACCACATGGCCTTGATGGCGTTGATGATGGTCAAGCTAAGCTCCATCCAGCTCGGTAGGATTCGAGCCCAATCTCGGTCTTTACCAGAGTACTGAATATTCAACGCGGTCAAAGTCAGGCGGCAACTCGTCAACGGTCTTCATAGAGCCGTTGTGGCAGCAGTGAGGTCAAGCAGAATTCTCAGAGTGTAATGTGTTCGAACAGAGAGATCATCGCACTTCTGCCGAAAATATGCATTTGTAGGTTAGATTTGCTGACGGTCCTGACTTGCCGTCATCGTTCGTTTCATCTCAAGAACAACAATGCTGCGGCAAAAGCACGGAAAGGCTCGCTGGGCGTCTTTCCTTAGGCATGAGCTGCGGAGCGACTTTTGCTTGGAGGAGAATGTAAAGAGAAAAGCCATCTTGGGGCGGTAATCGACTCCTGAAACAGCCGCGCATCTTTGGGCTTGAGCAGGGGTTTCGTGTTGTTGTTCAGCCCTATCCCGGCATAATTCATACGTATCTCGACGACGCAGTCTGCTGTGCGCTGGCGACTGAGCACTTTTCCTGAGGGCCTTTGCAGTGTGAGGAGAAGCAGCAGAGATCGCGAATCCTTTGCACAGTAGGTACTATCGAGCAATAGTCCCCAGTATTTACTCTTGCGAGATGCCACGCGACGAGCCAAAATCTGCCTCGCGAAGTTGACCCTATGCCTTTTCGGGTAGCACATGGCGCGATGGTGCAGCGCTATCGACGGGTATCGGGGCCAAGCGTCTGACGCTGCATCGATAGATAGCGGCCGGGTACCTGAATATCATATGCAGGAGTGGGCAAGGATTAATTGGTAGGTAGTTGACTACCAGATCTGTGCAGAGGCGTTATTCAAAGATTTTCCCATGAAGTAGATCTGGATACCAATCCCTCGACGCCGGCATGAGACTTCAAGGAGTCCTCCATCGTACCTGCTCGAAGCCGACCTCCATTTCAGGAAGTGAGCCTGTCCCTGCCATGCCGTGCAATTCCGCTTCATGCTTGGAAGCCGCAGAATGAGGCAAGTGCATCACGGCAGCCAAAACCGCTATATGATCTCGCCTGCGCCCTACTATCAAAGGCCATCCTTGCTATTATTGCCACACCCGCTGACTCAACCCTGTTCCCTGGATCTTGTATATCCATGGCACCAACGGTCCAACGTCCCGAGCTTTTCTGCTCTGCGCCGTTGACCACGGAGCTTTAACAAGTGCCGGTCTTCCGACGGTGACCAAAGTACATCCCAAGAAGTCGATAACCGGGTCTATATTGATAGGGAGTCCGCCTGGACGTGATGGCCCGGCGCAATGCTTCGTGAACGCAATCCCCAAGGATTGAAGAGTGGTGAGTCAACCGTGATTACCACCACCAAAGTCTGTGGCGAATTGCAGACATCGAGAGACCTAAAGCGTCCTCCTCACATTAGAACAGAAGCATTGCACTAACAGCTTTGGAATTCTAACATGCTGAGAATGATGACATGAGGCGCACTTCAACCAGGATAATCTCATTGCTCGTCCAACACAATCTAGGGGTGTATTCATTCAATAGTAATGGAGTTTGACACGCTAGGAAACACATCGACACGTCGCGCCGCTACCTCGTCAAAACGTTCATCTGCAGCCGCCCGTAGCCCTTCACTTTCAGCTTTTTCGGCGGTTCTCTGCGAATCGGTACTACAGAGCCCGCCTCGGCAGAGGCTCACGAATTGGCTCTTTGCCCTTGGGTTCCGGAATCACCTCCTTGAAAGCCGACCTTCTCGGTGAGTTCTATGCACCTGGAGTCCGCCTGGCGACGCTATCACGTATGCTCCAACCCCGATGCGTATGGGAATGCGGATGTGCGTGACGTCCACTATGGGTGAGTGTAGACACATCGTGCTTGCCTGTTTCGGACTGTCAGCGGAGCGCTCAAGCAGACAAGAAACCACGCAGGGAGGCCTTCGTCGGCAAATATCAAAGTTTCACAACGTCGCACGCGGCCGGACCGGGAGGGCTTAAGGATGTATAGAACGGAAAAAACTTACCATCGCAACACGACCGGACATTCTCCAGTCCTTCCTCCTCTCGCAACATCTCCTGCCGCAGCTGTTCCGCACTGTCTTTGCGTCCGTCGCTGACGACACTAGCATCGTAGACGCTATTTGACTCGTTCCGACCGCTTGCACGATTCAAAGACTGTGAGTTGCGGCCGGTGATACTACCCATGACGCGCGAGATTCTATTCATGCTTCCAGTTCGCGGCCCTGACCGGTCGGCTTCGCGAGGCTGATCAGCACGACTTGTGCGGTCGGCAGTCTGATCTTCGTGGATTCTCGGCTGGGTTGAGGAGGACGCTGTGCCTGTCAACGCAGCACTGTTGCGCATGGAAGCGCGATTGGTGGTTCCTTTCGTGGTTCTCGAATTGTAGCTCGACATACTAGCCCGGCTACTATTGTTGGGCACGAGGCGGGCTCTGTATCCATTTGCATTGAATTCTTCGACATCGTCTTGCGTGATCGAAGGATAGCCAGCAGCAACAACATTTGCCGCATCGCCGCCCTGGTTGTCCTGGCGCAGCAGAAGATAGCTGAGCGCGTTGAACCAGGTTTCGTGGCGCTGACCTGTGCTAGCGGTGAAGCGGACTTTGCGGCCAGGAGTTGTGATCTCCAAGCTCTTCCTATGAAGTCCAGGCGGCATTGGGTTGTCATCGGTTACCACACGGACAGCTTCGATAGCTACACTCTTGGCTTTAAGCTCGTTGCGGCCTGCAGTCTGTGGATCCTGATCGGACCAGTACAGTGTCTTGGTATATGGGTGAACCCAGAAGTACCGACGATGGCGCGTATCAGAGAAGTCGCTACGACCAGTCTTTCTGGTATATTTCCACAGGAATTCTCCAATCATCGTCTGAGTGATGGCTTGAATCATGCGTGGGTCCGTGCCTGGCGATGCCTCAAAGCCAGGGGCCGCAGTCTGTTCACCAGGTCGCAGGTTGAAGCGTTCGTCTACCTCAGATGCGAACGATGACACCGAACTACGGCGTGAAATTTGGGTACCATGAGAAGCCGCTGTGTTACCTCGTTGATGACCCTTGCTGTAGCTGTTCCGTGTAGTCGATCGCACCGAAGTATCCGCTGGAGTTCGTGGCCTTCGCATCGCTGATGCCGGCATCATCGGAGGGCCCATAACCACAGTGCTATCACGAACAGGAGACATGATAGGCGGCGGCGACGCCACGCGAGCCTGCTCGATTGCGGCCTTGTGGTTCGGGGGAAGTGGAGGGTGATCTTGACGGACAAGGCTTGAGGTACGATTGCTACCAGCGCTGCTAGGACGTTTGGCTGGAGAAGGCACAGCAATTCCATTCAGGTGGGCTTCGGGCGGGCTCTGTAGCGGAGAAGGCTCGGTCTGTAAAGCAATGATTGGCGACAACGCAAGCGCGAGCGCGGGCTTAAGCGCAGGCACGAGACCGGTTGACTGGGGCGACCGAGGCTCCGTGTGCTGATGGAGCATTCCCGAATAGCCCAGAGGTTGATCTTGAATTCCCGTTGATGGGCTTACAAGGCCCGCCTCACTGGCTTCATCCCAGACTGTCTTTGGTGGTGTAATAAAGCTGTTAGCATTGCGCGAGGGTGACCCCTGCATCAGCCGCTGTGGCGTATATTGTGTGCTCATATCAGCCTTTCGCATAGGTGACACCGGAACGCTAGGAGGCAAGGGAAAGTCGTTTGCGGTGGGCAGAATGACAACATCATCTTCTGAAGGAGTTGTCGAACCAGTTCCAGAAGCTGATGTCCACGGCTCGGTCATGACTGCCGCATCCACCATAACCACGGCGGGTACTGGAGGCAGCTTCTGTACGCTGGTCACGCGTCTGCTTGGGGTAGTGGTTGAATAGGGCGTTGACTTGACCGAAGCAATACTCTGACGACCTGGCGTTCCGAAGCCGTTGCTGCTCATGTCATCCATCTCCCCCAGCTGATCAAACAGATTCTGCTCTTGTCCGCCAGGACTTCGATCGTTTATGGCAGTGGCGGGAGAGGATCCCTGAATGACAGATAGAGCACGGGCACTTGTAGGTGTGCCATTGTCCAATTGTTGGGAGGCCCTTGACGCTCCACGGGAGTTCTTGAGACGGAACTTTGCCTGAGTGGGCACGATTGTAGTGAGATCTTCGGCGTCCTCACCAGCTGATGTTGACGCAGTGCTCATGAAAGACGTTCGATCACCGGCAGGCTTTGAGGCTAGCACAGATTTGCCACGGATTGTACCAGTCCGCTGGGCGCGAGAGACGTTGTCCTCAGTCTCGGTCAAATCATCCGTGCTGTCGCCGGCCAGGCTCTCGGCCCCAGTCGCGAAAGCCTCGCTTTCGTTCGTATGCTCCTCGTCTGCCGTCTCGAAATTGCCCTCAGCCTCCGTGGTGGTCGCATACGCATCGCTGTTGTCTGTGATAGCGGCTTGGCTGAAAGCACCGGGGATTGACAGGTGACGACGCCCATGAGTGGGAGTGTTCACTTCATGCTCTTCCCAGTCCTGATCTTCCATCTCAATATCAGTTCGTGGACGACGACTACCACCCAGCATATCGGGCTTTGCACTTTTCCGGTTCTCAGGCTTTGCTTTGAGTCGCTTGCTCCCACTGTTGGCACTTCCTCGCTGATGTTCAAGATCATCACGGGCGTCCTGAAGCATTCGCTTCAGTTCCAGCTTTTCGGTCTTTTCCCGATGGATGTTGTTCTTGAGGTTTTGAATCATTCGATGAGCATGATGCAAAGAGCTCCGTAGGGTTTCAGATTCAAGCCCTGGGTGTCGAGGCGTGGCTTTAGTGGGAGACGGCGGTGGGGACTCGTCAAGAGCGCTTATGTCGCGGCCTTCCTCATCCTCCACGAGGTCCTCAGATGTGCCCGCCGGAGCTTGATGTGCGCGGAATTTGGCTGTAATTGCCTGTGCAAGCTCCTGATTCTGCGATGTCAGCTCGTCTACTCGAGCCTGGAGAAGGCTCTTTTCACTGTCACCAAGATCGACCGTCCTTTTCAGACCGTGGACTTCGGTGTCGTGTGCTTTCTTTGCAGCATTATGCTCTTCTACGAGCTTTTCATGTGCTGCTCGGAGCTCCTCCACCTCATTCTGGACTCGCGACTTCTCCGCGCCGGCGGTAGCAACAGCAGCGGCCAGTCTCTTTTCCTTGTCGGCGGCTTCTCGAACAGCAGCGTTCAGCTGGTGATTCTGCGTCTCCAGATTCCAGTTCTCATCCTTGTAGCGCTGTTCACTCTCGTCAAGGGCTCGCAATCGTTGAGTCAAGCCGGCAGTATCAAGCTCGATCCTGTTACGATCCATCTGGTGCTCCTTGAGAAGTTCATCACGCTCTGCAACGGCTGCCTGCAACTGCCTAACTTGAGCTAGCAAGGACGTGCTAATGTCGGCAGCAAATTGAAGATCGCCGGCTCTCTGCGAGGGCTGATTGCGGTGTCGCCGACTCGGAGCGGTGACCTTGGTGGGCGAGGCGGTCGCTTGACTCGAGTAGACCGATGCTTCTGTCTGAGGTTGCTCTTCGGCGCTCACGACGCGCGACTTGGGCATCAATGCCCTTGCAATCTCGCGGCCAACATCTTCATGCTCTCTCTCGAGCTGAGCAAGCTGCTGGCGTAGTTCCGGCGTGATCTCGGACTCATCTCCACGACTTTGTAGGTCCTTAAGCCTCGTCTGAATATCGTCCTGCTGGCTCAGTAAAGACGTGCCAAGTTTCTGTGCCTCTTCTAGTCTCCGTTCGTTTTCGTGGATCTGGTCCTGGAGTATGCGTCGTGCTTCCGATGCCGTAGTGGCCTGGTCGGCGTGTGATGGAGGCAGGACTCGATGCGGTCTTGCGAGCAGCGAAGGGCTGTCGTTGTCGAGAAACGGATCGTCATGATCACGATCAAGCTGCGACCCATTCGTGGGCACGTAATTCGCGACTTCTGCAGCCATGGCGCGTGTTATGGGATGACGTCGACTACCGTCTTGACATTTCTAGGTGTGTAGAATGCTTCGTGAGGATTTTGGTAGGATATGCGTTCAGTACAGGGCGGGCACTGTGTGTAAACACAAGTTGAAGTGGAAATGGGGACCCAAAACAATCGGAATTCGAGGCCAAGCGACGCGTCAACTGCCGTACAACAACTTTGAAGCGAGTTCGTTAGGCAGGTGTGAATAGTAGACAAGGAGAACTCTATAATGATATCGTTGTTCAAGTGTTCAAGGGGAAATTCGAGGAAGAGAGGCTATCCGTGTCATGGTCGAATGCATGTGGTGACGCTGCGTTTTGTTGTGGTACTGTATCTCCTCAGCGCTCGGCCGATCAGCCAGCCCTGCAGGCGACACAAAACGGCCGGAGGCCACCTGGGCAGACCTGTATCCATGTATTCCTTGTTTATGCAGGTTTCTACAGGCTGCAATGAACTCTTGATCTTCGTGAAATATAGTATATGCAATTATTCGGTGCCTGTGAAGAAAAGGCCGTGTTTGGCTCATTCTACCATTGATTGTATAAACGCCTGTCAAGTCCCCATTCATGGCGACGGGGGCTTATAAACTGTTGCCCACCAACGTGTCCAATTTACAACGTAGAAGATCTATGTACACCTGTGCGTTTCCAACCGATACTACCTTGTCGGTTGATCAGTTGCCGGCGAGTCCTTTGACATTGCTCAAGAAAACCGTTGCTGGGTGGTGTCTTTTTCACGAAGTCCACCGATCCTGTTCAGGTCCAGGGACTGAAAGCGTTCAGCATCCGCTTGTTGATAAGGAGGAGCGGAATCTTGCAACGGCGACATGCCAATACTTCCAGTATCTGTGACATGTACAACCACGACTCGGCCAGCCCGTTGATGGCTCTCGCCTTCATCGTCTGGGAACGTGACCCGGATTTGAGGAATTTCCGCCGGTGGACTGTTGGATGAGTTGGAGATCAGGTTCATCTTTTCATCGTACACAAAGACTCGTTCGTTACGGCCTACTTGAGGCAGATTGAGGACGGAAGCGGATCGGCGATGAGTATGGCCCTGGTGCAGTGGAAGGAACTGCCGTTGACGTGCCATGCGTTTTCGGCGGAGGCACAGCAGCGCAAGCGACAAAAATGTGCCCAGCATGATGAGCCCAAAGAACGCGAACAGCAGCGGCTCTGTGCCTGGTCCGTAAAAAGTCCCATCGTCACTCCTTCGGACGAAATGCTTAAGCGAATCCATTGCCATGATACGTCGACCTGTGATTACAATTATGGTGCATTGGTCGGTACGGTATGGCGGGCGAATGGGTATTATTTCGTGGCCGCTGCCTTTTTAATGAAGCGCTGTTCTGAATCGACCTCGGTTCCGTAAGAAGATCCTCCGGTGAATGCAGCGACTTCGGGTAGTGTTGAAAGAATGGACGGCGAATTCTCAGCGAACGAGTGAGCTGAGAATTGCCAAATGAACGTGCTCTGAGACTCAGATCTGTTGCATCGACGCAGACAGTGTCGTCTCGAGTGAAGAGAGGAGGGAGTGCCTGGCGAGGTTGCTCGAAGCAGCTCAATAATATCGCCTGGGCACAACACGCGCCGTCGGCTGGGCAGAGCTCTCTCCTGCACCGTAGGCGCTCGCTGATGTAACTCCAGCAGCCAGGCAGCCGGTGTTTGTTGGTTGTACTCCGTTGGCAATCTTCAAAAACAGAAATCCAATCTCATATAGTGGATCCAATGTTGTGCAAAAGCCAATCAACTGTTGAGCTGCCTCGATGTCTGCTCTGGCAATGCGATGGCGATCTCGTGCAAAAATGATAAAGATAACAAGTCAAGTCGTCAGCAGGAGGGATCATATGTGCATCATCATGGTCGATGCGTGGCACTCGTACGCGTCGCTGGTGCGGCACTGTGGAAAAGCCACTCATAACGGCGAGAACAACACTCACCCACGACATTTCCCCATCCGGGGGACACATGGCCGGACAGACCACCATCGCATCTCAATCGGTATGAAATTCGTGCCGCTCGATGTGTGAGGGCACAAAAGCTCTGTCACACCGCTGGTTATTGGCCCTGGCTCTTATCACGGAAGTGACGCCCAGCTATGGACTGTCACGAAGAGCTACATTGCTGGATCGCTCTAGTCAGGTCTGTGCATGCATCCGAGAGAATCTGGTGAGAATCAGCCGGTCTTATAGGTTTGCTGAACGGTAAGCCGTTCGTCTCAACCATACCTGACACCTACACCGCTTCGGATTCCTAATTGACCATGCCTGTACAACGTCTGATAGCTCCAAGAGTTCGGCAGGGAGATCGCCAGGATAGGCGACCGGAAACACCATATGCAACATCGAGACCGGGGCCACTTCGGATCTGCCACGTCGCAGCAACCTGACTGGTCATTCCTTGCCTCGATGGGCTGCGTTTGGCGGCTTGGTGGGGTTCAAAGGCCCAAAAGTGCACGCCCGGAAGCCTAACTTCATGCTTAGCCGCCTTGCCATGCCATCTCCAGATGTTTGTGGGGAATATTGTCCCAATGGCGTCAGAAACGCACATCTCAACGGCCTTAATATCGAACCACAAACCATCCAGCTTGCCAGGTCTGCCTTGCAAGTATCACAGGCAGTACCAGAAAGAAGAACCGGCAGACAGAATCATGTCACGCAAGCCTCTATCGTTCGACTCATCAGATTTCTGTCGTGTTCCGTTCGAGCCTGATCCTGCCTGCTTGCTGGTCTGTGCAACATCCTCATTGCATTTACAGATACCTACGCACTGGTCGCAGGCTGATCCACCGCTCATCTGTCAATGTTCAATCAACCCTTCTTTTCGCGGTGTTCAGTCCCAAGACTCGTTCGGGCCTGGCCCTGAATTGAACTGGCGGCGCTCACATTCCACAGAATCTATCCCTTGCTCCATGTTCTCAACAACCCACCCATACGGGGCGCACTCCTGGTTTGCTGTCAAATGAGCTTTCCATACTTTGACAGTCCGCTGTCGACTCCCGCGGCGCAAGACTGCTGGTCCACATCACGTATCTCTGCCAGGTGCCCTTCGGCAGACCACTGAAATTGTACCCGCCCTCCGCCACTTGCCCAAGGGGTACATGATCTCGCAGACCTTGCATTTCGCTGAACACATCTCCCTCTCTAATCTCGGACTTCCTGGACTTTGCTTTTCATTACGACACACATAACATTGTACACTTCGCTAGTTGGTATATATTGGTTGCTCATCTTGGACGACATTGTCTTCAGTCAACGTTGGGAATCTGCTTCACGGGCACGAACCAGAGTCGCGTTCTGTATAGGACAGCAAGGTTGGAATCAGTGATATAACGAATGCTACATCTTTCTCGCCCGAGGTAGCAACAACTCACAACCATGCTCCAGACCGTAAGTTTGTCAGGTAGATGGGAATTGATAGGTTTGCTGAGTTGACTTGCCAGATATCCACGACTATGCCAAATGCCTTCGAGCGCCCGCTAGGTTCCACGAGATATGATAAATTTGAAAACGGCAAGAGCGCATGGGATGCGAACAGATCCATTTGGCAGGACGACGGGGCAGGAGCGGAGACCACAAGACGTACGTGTTCATTGCATAGCCGACCGACATATACTGATGAGTCTCCTCAGCGGCGGCAACCAGGCAGACTTCCTCTAGCAGAGTCACTAAGGCATCGACCGGCGCTGCTTTGGCGACTTTAGAGAACCCGCGGAATACTGCCAACGATGCTGGAACTATCTGGGGAGTCGCATCTAATACTCGTCAGCCCTCGAATTCTACCTCCCCGACCAAGCAAAAGGGTAGTGGTTGGCTCTTCGAAAGCAAAGGTCACGATCTCGAGAGCTCGTCAAGTTTGTTGGCAGGCAGTGCGCCAGAGTTCGAGCCATTCGGGAAAGAGAACCAGCAGATCAGGAACAGACCACTTCGCTTGTCTGGCGATACTCTGTCGTACGATTCACAATTCGCTCCTTCTCTACGGTCGACTGGCCCTTCGCAACTTCCTGCACCGGATCGTACACTCAGAAATGACGTTGGCTTCAACAGCACGCTGGCAGGTCCCACTGACAGCGTCAATCATATTTCCTCGAACTATTCCTCCAAGATTACGTTGCACGGTCTCGGCATGGATGCTGCTACAACAGCATATCACCTTCCAGGACGTGTCAGCCACGATGCCACCTCTCCTACGTTGACTCGGTTTGCTCGTCAAGCAAATGGCTATCTGGAGAGAACTGTCGGCTCGGCTGACAAAACGTCCAGCAATACGTCTGGCAATTTCCGGAACATAGAGGTCGACAAGAAGTCGTTTCCGTACAGCAAGTTCCAGTCGTCATCAGCAAACCTAGATCGCGAGGTATACGTAGTACAAGATGACTTCGCACCTGAGACACTGGCAGGAGCCTATGAAGCCGGCAATTTCTACGACTCGAGCATCTATTATGATCAAGAATCTGGTCCTAAGCCGTCTCAGCACTTGAATCAACAATATACAGGCCTCGACGGGAGATCTCGGTTAGACTATTTGGTACAAAGTCACAATCTTCCAAATAGCGGATATCATTCGGCGTCTCTAACGCCAACATCTGGAACAGAATCGCAGATCGAGAGCGGTGCGACGAGCCGGACCTCTCATCATGACTTGGCAGTGGCCGGGCAGCTCGGAGGTCCCGATGACTATGCTGCCTATGTCAGTAACGGAGTCGTGGTGCCCCTGAGCATGGTGCGCAGTTATGGAATGCAGATGAGCCCACATGCTCAAAGCTACCCTTACTATGGTTTCCCTGGCTACGGTCTCACCCAAGGTCCGCTCCGGCAGCTCCCACCAGTCCGCAGTGCTCTCCTCGAAGAGTTTCGTCTCCATCGAACGACCAAGCGTTACGAGCTCAGGGACATCTTTGATCATGTCGTAGAGTTTAGTGGAGATCAACATGGCTCTCGGTTCATCCAGACAAAGCTCGAGAACGCCAATTCGGACGACAAGGAGCAGATCTTCAAGGAGATCCAATCGAACTCACTTCAACTAATGACTGACCTCTTCGGGAATTACGTGATTCAGAAGCTCTTTGAGCACGGCAATCAGTCGCAGAAGAGAGCTCTCGCAGACTCGATGCGCGGACATGTTGCGGCATTGTCTGTCCAGATGTACGGCTGCCGTGTAGTGCAAAAGGCTTTGGAATATGTTCTTTCGGATCAACAAGCGAGCATTGTAAAGGAACTCGATGGCCCGCAAAAGCATATCATCAAGGTCATCAAGGATCAGAATGGCAATCACGTTGTCCAGAAGGCCATTGAGCGAGTTCCTGCCGAGCACATCCAATTCATCGTTGAAGCTCACCGCGACGATGTCGTCAAGCTCGCGACTCACACGTATGGCTGCCGGGTCATACAGCGAATACTCGAATACTGCACGCCCGCGGCCAAGCGGATCATTCTCGATGAAGTCCTGGTTTGCCTTCCACCGTTGATCACCGACGCGTTTGGTAATTATGTTGTTCAACATGTCATTCAGAAAGGCGAGCCTCCGATCGACGTCGGGTCGTGGAAACAATTCTACAACAACTTTTGGTGTACTCGAAGCACAAATTCGCCAGCAACGTCGTGGAGATGTGTTTGGATCACGCGGACGAAGATCAGCGTAGCAGGATGGTGTCGAAGCTGATCGGCGTCAACGCCGAAACTGGACAGACAGCCGTGCTAAGTCTGTTGCGGGATCAATACGGAAACTATGTCATACGTAAGTCATACGCTCTTGCTCACCCTTCGAGCAGCTGTCGTTGACCTTGGCGTCTGCGAACACGAGGAATGTCGCTAACTTCTCAACAGAGAAAATCTACGGGCTTCTGACGGGCGTCCAGAAGGCTCAGCTTGAAGATGAGATGCATGGGTGTTTCATGCAGCTGAAGCGCACCAGCTATGGCAAACAGGTCGTAGCAATCGAAAAGCTCCTATACGGTGGACACCCGCCTTTAGCGCTCCCAGGACCTCCTCCATCAGGCCCCCAGCAGCAACAACAACACCCACAGATGCAACTCCAGCGGCCGCCAACTGGCCCCCATGCGACAGTCAAAGCTATCGGTCGTGATGTGGCACGACCAATCCATCAGATGCAATTCGGAAACCAGCCCCCCTTCCACTATCGACCTTCCGATCATCGGCAAATGGGTGTCCAGGACCACCGGTCTCAGCAGCAGCATTACTATGCTCCACATCGACAGCATGCCACTGGCGTTTCGAGACGGTAGTAGACCTGGACGCATCGAATCATCTTAGCATCCCAACCACGAACACCTACAATTTCTCTTGTGTATACTTATCTTGGGAGGATGATCGAGTTCGGAACCTCACACCTCATCGACCCCAATAAAACAGCTGTCGCTTATGCCGGCTGCGTTTACACCTGATCAACCTGTCCATACTCAAGGTTCCACAACTTATTTCAACGTTTAGGGCAACAGGGTCGGAAATCCGGCCATGATGCAAGGAATCCACCAGTATTAATTGTTCATAGCATCACACGACCGAGTACATTACAGAAGAAACCGCGTGGAGGATGAAGATCACGCTACACCATACAAGGAGTTCGGGAAATTTATCAGCAACTTCAAAAATACATTGTGCACCAGGTATCTCTGGAGGAGCTTGTTTACCAGTGCCGGCAGGATATGAAGTCGCTATTGATGAAAAAGAACCACAATCGGCGAAGCTGATGAGCTGGAAAACCTCCGTATACAATCGATAATGAGCTGAAGTGCGCAAGCAGCGTCACCTTGGGAAGAATAGACGGCGCCACTTTCGCTGCATGCCCTTTTTGTCTTCTTTCATTTGCCCGTGATGCGCTCTCGACTATGGCACACTTCCGAGCACGACGGAGCTTTCGTTGAAAGACTCAGTCTCGACACTGACACGAATGTCACGCATTCTGTCGAAGCGATTCAGAATGCGCACGTGATTAAATATGGCAACCGCCGGCGTGCCCAACTTTCCGGACCAATGGGGAAAGTACGACTCTTTTTGCTCAGCGGACCCAACGAGGTGTACTTTTCTCCAGCTCAGTGTCCAGCTTGCCTCAGGCGGTGCTTTCATGGTCTTTCCGGAAGGTAGTCAGACGCGCAGGCGGACCTATAGCGACCGTCCGCTCTACACAAAATTCGACCCTCTTTGGATCCCTGCTTCCGCTCCGCTTCCACCAGCGGAGTGCTAATCATTCCGGTCGGAGTGCATCAAAAGTGTCGAGCTCATGCGTGATGCCAGATGTCCTCCAGTTGAGATATATAAGGTATGTGTGATAATCTCCAGCAGCCTGTTCGCGCTCGCACCTCAACTCCGGTTTCATCGACCTAAAACACCTTGAAATCACCTGCATACTTCGATCCTGTTCCCATCATGCACATCCAGTCGCTGCTCACAGGCAAGGGCCTGAACCTCCTACCTCTCGGTCTGCTCTGCTTGGCTGCCGCTGTCGGCGCTGCGCCCGTCGTTCCAGATGCAAATCTGTCAAGTGAGTACAATCCTTCAGCCTGTGCCAGAGATGACAAGTCTCCTACAATCGTCCGCACTTTCGACTTCAATGCAGACGGACTTCTGTGCTAATATGTAATTCTTTCCTAAGGCGTACCCCCAGAGATCTGGAACCCCACAATGGTTCCGCCCTCACATTTCGACGCGTGCCAAAGGCCCCACGATCTCGTCATGCCCTTAAGAACAACTTGGTGCTGGCGTGGCGAGCCGCCTCGATGGGAGAGTGTTCATTGCGATAAATACACGGCTTCAGATTGTCCACAGGCAACACCCGAGGAGCTATCGGGTTGCGCTACGAAGTTCGTGATGCCCGGGACAAATCTAGCTGTAAGGAGACCCGCTAAGTCGTGGCTTTCACCCAAGTTCACGTCTGAAGGGCGCCTAGGTGCAACACATCCACCTTTGTCCCAGTCAAGTCAATCAGCTCGCGAACGAGCATCTGACGGCGTGACGGGAGTCGCTGCCGCAAAACACGACAAACGCGCTTTCAGGCCAACATTCACTCAACATTTCGGCATCACGATGGGAACACTCGCTGTCGCGGGAGTCGTATTGTTCTTTGGTTCCTGCCTCTACGTCACGCGTAACGTCGAGCGTCCCTCGGCCCGAACTAGCCCAATGACTACACTGGAAGCCGCTCGAGAACCCACCTGCACATGTCTCCATCATGTCGTCCTCCACGTCCGTCCATATTCACACAGACAGCCTCACTTTACGGCTGTGCGGGATGGATGTCCCTGGGACAAGAGGTGTCTTGTGGTCCCAGAAAGAGCATACTCAGGTGTGAGCTCGACACCTTAAAGCAAAAGCAGGGTTCAGTCAGGCTTGCACCCACAGGGTGAAGCCATTCTTCGTCGGTCTGGGAAGCCTCTGAGAGAGGAACCATGCAGATTTCAGATACTTAAGCAGTCAAGGGACAGTCCTATATCCGTTGATAGCAGGATATGTCACGATACTGGGAGTCTACTCTACGCCTCTCGCCTTCATAAAATCCACAAAGTCAAAGAAGCTCTTCTTGTACCTCCTCTCCTGCGTCGTGCGGTTCACCGTCTGCACGCCGAAATGCGCATCATAGTCACCAAACTCCCAGTTGTCTGCGAACGACCACATGAACGCCCCTGTGACCTCCACACCGTCTTCCCAGATCGACTTGAGCATTCGCTCATGAAGCTCAGGTAGTATAGCGACCGCGGCGTGTCGAAGAGTTGATCGGGTAGGTCCTTTGTCGCCTCGGAATAGACGGGAAAACCAAATTCCGTGATCACGATTGGGTGGTACCATGTGTTGTAGAGGTAGTTGAGGTAGCTGCGGAGGTAGGTTGGGGTGATGTAGACGTAGGAATGCGAGCGATAGCCGATGTCCCAGCCGTAGATATTGACAGTGGTCTGGTTGACGCAGTATGGACGGAACGTATTGCTGCTGTTACTAGCGCAGTCGAGGATGCTGTTGATAGAGCCAGGAGTGGGTGGGGCGACTACAGTCGCGGTGTACGGATCGACGCCAATGAAGTCGATTGTTCCGTTCAGGTAGGCCAGGTCGGTCTCGTTGAGTGGCACGTAGTCACTGATAGTCTGTTTGTACGAGTCTGGATAGTCAATGCCAAGAGCTGTTGGGTTCAAGAACGGACCGAGCTGGAAGCTATTGAAGTGATTGGCCGCGTAGACGTCGGCGTCGGACGACGGGTCGCGAGGAACGCCGAAATTATTGTTGAACTTCATGGCGATCTTGCCTGTTCCGTTCAGCTCCTCCTTGTAGAAGTGGTAGACTCGAGCATGGGACTTGATGACGTGGTCAATCGATATGCCGTTGTACGAGTAAAGTAGAGGCTCGTTGAAGGTGTACCTATCACATTATTAGCATGACTTCATGGCTCAAGAAAGAAGTATATACCAGACTGGCACCCTGTCGGCGAAGTGAGTCATTGCCACCTTCGCATAGTTGACAAAGGCATCCGGGAAGGACTCATTTTGGTAGGCTCCATTGACGTAGCCAATCTCTGGCGGATCTGCAGCAGTGCTCTGATTGTCTCCATAGAACTGCAGTGGTGTGTCGAAGTGCAACAGAGTCACTTCGGGCACCATGCCCTTCTCTAGAATGAAATTGATGACGTCGTTGTAGTGATCAATTCCAGCTTGGTTGACAGGCGTTCCTGGTAATGCGAATGGCAGAATACGAGTCCAGGCGATGCTGAAGGAGAAGTACTTGACACCCATAGCAGCCACCCGTTCAATGTCCTGCTTATAGTAATAGTAGTTCTCATTCGTGACATAGTCCTTAGGTCGATCATCCTGGACCAGTATATCCATCAGTGATGGCGACTTGCCCTCTTGAGCTGTGGCTCCTTCGATCTGGGAAGCTGAGCTTGCCACGCCAAGAGCAAACCCTTCCGGGAAGTTGTAGCAATCTGAAGGCCCAAAGTAGTCACGTGGTGGAAGCACCAGCTCGCTCGTCGGAATCGCTGTAGGTGAGACAGTGGTGCTGAAGAGACTGGTCTCTGTGAAGTTCGGTGGATTGGCGGTCACCCATAATGCCGTCCAAGCAGCTTCGCCATATGGATCACTGGTGTCGTTCGCAGTGCTTGTACCATTGGGATTCCAGTTGCCCCATGTTGTGTAAGAGAGAGATGGGACAAGAGTCGTTAGTGATGCTGGCGATGATGCATAAGTAGTACTTGCCGTCGGCGCAGGTACGGATGTGGCATATCGAACGGTCTCGCTCAAAGTGTAGCTGAAGGATGTGTGAGAATAAACTGGTGTTGAAGCATTGGTAGCTGTGCATTGTGGCCTAGCTGTAGGACCTTCGGCAGGGATATAGATCTGCTGAGCTTTTGCCAGTGGTAGAGCAACGAGGAGCAACGATATGGAAGCCATTGCAAAATACCGGAACCAGACTGGTAGTTGCATACAGGATTGTACCTACATAGTCTGTCTGATATACCTTCACCAAGGTAGCATTGCCATGTGGACCCAAATTATGAAGGTCGAGCTGCGTAGCTCCCCGGATATTTCGTGCTGTCATATCATTTGTACATTCGGTCGAGCAAGCGCCGTCAGGGACAGATGATGCAACCTGTGGACTAGGTGTGGTATCGGTAGGGTTCCCCAGAGCGGGGTTTCAAAGTTTTTGCGCCCACCTGCCGGTACCTAATGTGCGGAGATTGAGCTTGAGACCATTACTCCGCGGTCGATCTTGTCCGCAAGGAGCAACCAGATCCAACACGATTCAATAGACTGATGATGTTTGTACGAGTGACTCGTGCAGTCGTGGGAGTCGAATGACCGGCGTTGATGAACGAGCGACCGCACTTTCGTGGGGAGCCTGCAACGAAACAGGCTAGTACGTCGTGGCGAGGTCGATTTGATCATACGTTGTGGTCCTGCTTGAATTTGCCCTCGTCAAAGATTTTGTGTTCCCGAGCGATTTCCCACTTCACATACCCATATGAAGTACCGGCCCAGATAGCAATGTACGCAAAAAGAACTCCGAGTGACAGGCCGAAAGCATAGTGGAAGTCCAATGTCCAGATGACGGCGGACACGGCACCAATGTACGTCAGAACACCAAAGATCCACCAAAGAGTGAGGTACAGAAACATCCTGCGAAATGCCTTGTTCGACTCGTATCGATCATTGTATCGAACTCGGAACTCTCGATCCTGGAGGCCATCGACAGCAATAAAGTCCTCGGCAGCATAGTAAATGAACGGCCTGAGGCCTGTCCCCCGAGCATGACTGTTGATTCCGATGGGTATCTTGTATGGATGGCATGTTGTGATCACCATGAGAACGCCCAGAAATCCCATCAGACAGCTCGGGCCGTACAGATAGAGATGAGGCATGACCAGCGAGCTGCCTACGACAAACGGGATCAAAGCCACGAGCATGGCGACGGCATAGACCCATGAGGTTGCGTCAAGTTCCCATTTGGACCTCGACAGTAGAGGAGCACACTCTTCCCGTCGAAAGTACAGCCTCCAGACTCGAGCAATTAAGATCCATAGCTCGCCGGCACCGAAAGAAATGACAGCATAGCCCAAGATGTCTTTGTCGTACTCAGGTTTGGGGATCGGACAGTCTGGTCCTGGCTGAGCATGGTAATCGTTGCGACACTGCCGCTCCCATTTGTGCTTGTGACTGTTGTACCACGTATAGTAGATAATACATGGGACCACAATATCAAACAGCAGGATCGCCGGCAGTCCTAAGGTTATGCCCAGATGTTCGAAAGGGTGGGCCTCCTTCTGCATCATTCTCGTTTCTTCGCGTTTGAGCCGGGGCAATTGACTTGAGTAGTCGGTAAACTGGCGATTGGTGGTGTTCGTACGGGGTCGAGTTGGACGACGGAGCAGATCGTTTGGATCCTGTGACGGAGCAGCGGTGTGCTCTTGTGCCGCAACGGTCCTGCTGTCCATACCTGACAGCTCATCATCGCTGTCTGCAGAAAGCTTGGCCTCAAGGTCCTGTAGCCCTGGTGCAGAAGTAGCCGTTGCGCTGTTGGTCGTTTCACTTGCCGGTTCCCAGCGATTGGCTTTCGACGCCGGCACCGTGTCAGCCATGTCGATAAGGATTTGAAAACTGCTGTTGCACCGTGGAATCAATGGTCATGTCAAAATTTACTTGATAGATCTTTTCTTTTCAGTGCAATGGTTTCGCGAATGTTGACTCAGCATATGCCTGCGAGCTGCCGTCATAGGCGATCCGAGCAAGCCGAAAAGGTTTAAGTGCCTTACCTAAGTTGACCAACATGCTTGCCAAAACCATCCAGATAGCTTTCCCCCTAAAATATAGCTAGCTTCACATTCCGAGTCTGTCCGGGTCAGACTTGTATGTCGCTTGCGAGAAATACCCTATAAGAAGATGAAACAGCCATTCGAGCACAGTACAGGATTTCAGACTGCATGAGCTGATACGCAGACATTGTACCTATAATGAGGATAGATCGACTTGGCGCGGCTCATCACAGCTTGCAAGTCTGTTGCAGACACCGAGGCCCGGCTGCTGATTGCACTGCGTGGTCGATCATTTATTGAGAGCCTTCCCAGCGACCCAAAACAAGCGAAAGCAAGCCCAGCATCCGCCGTACCAACTAGCAGTCCGCAGCAAACTCAAAGGCGTGCTATCGATCAAGACATAACACGCGCCATAAGCGATAGATGAGATGCTGTACAGAAGACATTGCGCATTGACCACGTCATTCGGCACGCCAGCAACGATGGCGAGCACAACCGCTGCAGCAAAGACAGGGTAGTTCTCGACACGGTTGGAGTGTGCAGCGCCGGCCCGCTTGATCATGTCAAGCTGTGCCCGGGTGATTTTGCCGGATTTGATTGCAGCCTCGCCGTACTTGTCGACATTCTCTCGTGGAGCTGTGTTGTTGTCGATGCCGTAGTACTGCTTAAAGGTTCGCTGTACCAGGATGAAATGAGCGAACACGAAATTGCCTATCAGATAGTACGGTGCATGGCAAGACGCGCCAGCTCGAAGACCCAGAGACGACGCGATTGACGCCAGAAATCCGAGCTGTTGTCCTGAGGCGGAATGCTTGAGAGACGAGAGCTGTTGAGACGCGAATCCGCGTTTGTCCTGCACAAGAGGGCGTCCGTCATTCAGTCTGTCTGCCATGATCGTGCTGGCTATGATATTGTACTTGATGCAGGACTAAGATTTGAAAGTTGAAGGGGTTGTCGACGTTTGGGACTGCACGATTCTTGAAGGCCGAGGCGGTGGGGCGAGGGCCTAATCCCTAATAATGAAGTCGCCGCACGTACGAGCACTGACTTAGCTTCTTTAGCACCTAACTTCAAATTGTCTCCGAGCCGGGTCGATGTCCAGCGTCGTGCTTCTGATACCTCGAAAACATAGGTCAACTCGCGCATTGCATGAAGGCGAGATGTAAGGTAAAGACAGGCGCGTTGATACATTGGTAGGGATTAAGGTGATTACCTAATAAGCAGCTCTACATCGCCTGACGCGTACCCCTTCACATCCAACTCGACGTCTCTAACCCATCCGCGCGCCCCTCGGCGATCGCCTGACCTTTGCAGGCGGCTCCTCAGGCTGCGCATATGTGCCCGTCTCAGGATAGCTGATCTGGAAGCCGGTGTTCTCTGCCCAAGCATAGCTGTTGAATTCAACGTCATGCTGGATAACCTTGTTGTTGTCATCCATTTGCTGATACGTCATCCCTCGGACGCGGTTCTTCACTGGCGCATTGGGGCCACCGATGCCTTCGAATTGCCAGAAGAAGACTAGGGAGTTGCAGTCGTGGATAATGGCGATGGTGGTGATCTGTCACATGTTGAGTCAGCCAAAGCTATCTTGAGAAACCCGGAAGAAGGTACGAGGCAGGAAATGAAAAGGCGCAGCTGATGAAGTGCCAGATCGGCGCAGTGGCAGGAGTTCAGTAAGGGAAGTCACGACTTACATTCGGAATGCCAGGCGCGGCAAGCGTGCCCTCGATATAGGCAGTCGCGTTCTCATATACCGGCGTGCCCAGAGGGTCGGCACGGAGGATGTTGATCGAGTCGCCATACTGGACGATATCGGGCGAGAAGAGCTCAGTGGCAACTTCGCGAGCTTGCGTGATGTTTCGATGTTGCAAGAAGATGATCGACTTGTCGACGATGTCCTGAGCATCGGCGTCGGAAAGACAAGACCATGCTGAGACAACCGCAGGTAACAGCAGAAGCAGCGAGCTCGTGAGAATCGTGGTGAGCTGCATGGTGACGATTGTCGCAGAAGTTGGCTGGTACAGTAAGATGGGGCTGAGCCGATGGAAGACGAGATGGCTGGTGAGTAACAAAGCACGAAAAGAGATCAAGTACACCCCGCCACGTCCTATATATCAAAGGCAGGAGAGTTTGCCTTCAGCACACTTACGGTACCCCCAGCTTCACTGACCGACCAGCATAGTAGGTCCGTTCGCTAACCCAACGCCTTAGCCTCTGGAGAGCTCTGTCCTCTTCATCGGAAAGCAAGATACCAAGACATGGCCGCCCTGTTCCCATGCGAATCAGCGACCACGTTACGAGCCAAGTGTTTCTATTTGCGGTCGATCATAAGTCCATGATGTGGTGTGAAGGAGGCTGGACCTTTCCTCCACCTTGGCTATGCACGCCGAGGCGGAGCTTTATTCGTGATGTTGTTCGTGGTACGTTGGGTCCATGTACCTGCGTCATCCACGTTGCGATGCAGGTGACTGTCGCCCCGATCAATAACGCTGAACTCACCTTCCAACGTCTTCTGAATACAGTCTACGCAATGCTCGATCTGTGGAACACGAGCCGCTCAACATTTCCGCCCTCAATCAGGTTCAGCAGGTCTTGCCAAGAACTCCGGAACTGCAACAGCGCTCTCACGCGTTGCCAAGCTCGATCAACGGCGGGGAGGCTGGAGATGTCCACAGACCAGGTACCTTGGTACCTGATCTGGACGTTGAGCGCGTCATTGACTCTAACGATGTGCAAGACTGCTTGTTCTGGGGCTATCTCAGGTCCCCGTCCCAACCAAGGGAAGGTATACCAAGAGGTGGGAAGTCCGTAGCGTACGCTACTCGAGAAAACCCTACAGTATAATGCCGCCACGGAACAGCGGTACACGTACAGCTTGAGCAGGAGCCCGCCCAGCCACCTTGGCGGAGCATGGGAATCTGCAGATGTCGATAGGACCCTGCATGGCCAAGCTGAATATAAGAGCTTTCTCCGCAGCACCTTCAAAGCGAGCTGATGTGATGATATCACGAACACCAGTTTGTGAAATTCTACCGAAGCGAAGATCGTACCAAAAGTCCAAGTGGAAGCCTTACAGCATCGGCTCATCCATCAGGAGACTCAAACATTATTATTATAGACTTCGGTAGTAGGTCGCCAAATCATTGGCTAGTCCTTTCTGAGTCTCTCAAGCCGTCCACCGCTTCTCCTTCTTGCCATAAGCGCAAACATCAATGGCAAACACCTGCCCACTGATCGGCATTGGGCCACCTGCGCCACCGGTCGTGACGTACAATGTGCAGCCATCCTTCGAGAACGCCGCAGACGTGGGACCCGCGAGAGTCATGTCATCTCCGCCGCCAGCGATCAGCTGCACCGAGCCGTCATATGGCACCTTGTAGACCGCATTGGGTGAAGTCGCAATGTAGGCAGCACCCTCCTTGACCGCAAAATCGTCAAAGTTGGTGCCGTTAGGCGCAGTTGCAACGACCTGGACACCGCCTGCGGCCGAGCCGTATTCGTCAATGTAGACCACACCGTACGTAGCTTGTGCAGAATTTGTCCACAGTAGAACGCCCTTCTCGGGGATCCTGATGCCGTTGATTCCTAGCTGGAAGAACTCGGGTACAGGCGCGAACTCAGGTGCCGAAAGTGCTGTCTTATAGTCGCCAGTCTTGTAGTTGACTTTCCACACCGCGCCGAGACCCGAGTCGGCAATGAGGACACTGTCACAACCTGGAAGCTTTGCAACACCATTGAGCGCGCCTGACTCGGGGATCTCGGTAATCAAATCAACCTTCGCTGGTGTCTCATTGAGATCGATAGAGTAGACCGCGCCGGTGCCGGGGACGCCAGCAACACCGCCAATTACTTGTGGACCGAAAGAGAAGTTGCCGGCAGAAACAACGAAAACATCATGCTCGACTTCGGCGATGCCGATGATTGATTGCGGTCCAACGACTGTGACAATATCCTCAGGAATAGGGTTCGCTGGGTTGAGCTGCACAAGTCTAGCTCCAGTTACGAGAGTGAGCAGGAGCTGGCCGTTCGAGCGGACGGCGACATTCTCGATGTTCTGGTACTCAGTGTTCGGATACTGGTAAACTAGCTCGATGGGATAAGTAGCAGCAGCGAGCGCGGTCAGCACCGCAAGGCACAGAGATTTGAACAGCATCGTCGACGAGGTGGCTGGAGCGTTTCCGATGTGTTTCTTGGGGCGGTCATGTTCAACGTACCTTGCAGCTCTTTTATGATGCGAGGTCCATGTGAGTTCAGGGTACCTCACAGCAATGGCAGAATAGCTGCATTAGCTCTCGGACATTTGGCGTCCTGCCAAGTGAACGTTCATCCTTCGAAGCCGATGAGTTGTTGTATTGACTTTGTACTCGACACCTACTCGCTAGGTGGCGAGCGCTTGGCTGAACAGTACATCCGTTCGCGCTATATGCCCTGGTGCATAAGCGTCGGACGTTCGATCTGGGGTTGCCATAGAATGTCATGGGGGAGGTTGGCTTGGCTCCAGAATGGTGAAGTCATGACTTAGCATTGGCAAGACATTTGGGTCTTGGAGGCTGGTGGACTTGCTCTGGACCTCACTCGGGCGATGAAGTGGTGCAGGACCGTTGAGTCCCAGCAAGGCTCTTGCGCATATGAAAGCCAAATGATGATGCCAGTGTAGAAGGGATTTGTGCAAAGTTGAACTTGAGGAGGTCCAATGTCGAGCCTAACCTCATTTGGTTCGGTGCCGTGCTTCAGGCTCATGCCAGACCGGTTGACCACCTCGTGCGTACTTCAGGCCGGTCGACTTGGACATTGAGATCCAATTGTGAGACCGATAGACGGTGATCGCTGGAGTCCGGTGAAAGTACGGGTCTACGGCAGACCACGGTGTTCTGGGACCCTACAGAAAATTACTTGACTGTCAATGGGACTTACATGGCCGGATGAGGAGCCATCCCAATTGAGACCGGTTGACAAGAATAATAATGCAACGGACAGTATGCAAAAAAGGCATGGGAGTTTGGTCGAAGAGACTAGTCATCGATCCACTACCTCTCACATCCGTGTTGATGATACCTCCACTCTCAAGCCGAACGCTGTTTCATACAACAAATACAATTTCTCCAGCTCCCCCAACGCCTGTAGTCGCTAACATACGAAATACAGTCTTTATAAAGTGACGGGTCCTCTGCCTGACCAATCAGTCCAGCAGCCTGCTCCTCTTTCCCACTCAACGTCATCGATCTGGAAATACGGTATCGACAAGAGGAATTCCATAGCGAATGTGGTAAGTCTAGTTGAAGACTCGGAAACATTCAAAGTCCTCCCTAAGTCACTGTCTATGAGTCCTGCTCCGAGCGCTGGGAGTTCGAAGAATCTGCATCGGTGTCTGTCTGCGACGATGCGGCCGTGGAGGACTGAGTCTTGAGAGCGCGAGCCTTTGCGAACAGCTCTCTGCCGTTGAGTTGCTTGGACCCTGCCATCTTGCGACCTTTGATCGCGGACAGCTTCTTCGATGTTGGAGACATCATGGCGTCTGAAGGGGAGATGTAACTCGTTGTCTGGTCGTTTCGGATGGGAAACGCTGCGGTGGCAGGCATCTTAAGGAGATCGTTGTTGGACGCCGTCTTGTCGGCTGTGTTGGTCTTGGATGGTGAGGTATTTGGGGAGCGCTCTGTCAGAGGACCGGAGGTATGTTTGGTGGGCGACATGATGACTTGTATGCTATTCTTCGGTGCGGATGAGCAAGGATCGGTGTTTGTTTGGCTGCTCGGTAGAGCCTATGAGGGTTGCGAGTGGTTGTCGGCAGGGAGGGTCCTGGTGTCTAGATCCCTGACCGTAGATCAGATGCGCTTTAGGGCAAATATTCCCTGGTTGCTGAGGTTCTAATCAGTGCTGCCTGGTGCTGCAGTGTTGCCACAAAGGTATGAGTCAGTGCAGAGCGCAAGCGAGATCAGTCGAGTACTCTCGTCCAGTCGTGCTGTACAGCATGTGCATGGAGGCAGGGGTTTATATTCTCATGCGAAAATGTTGTCGCGACCAGAATGACGTCAAAATAAACAGTACTATGCCACTTTTGGCATGCCCAGCTTTCCTCTTCCACCTCCTGCCATCATGGTCACCGACGCCATCACCGCACAATGCCACCTTCGGGAGCCACGCAGTCATAAGACAAGAGGCGAGGTCCGAAATGGATTCTCATGTCGACTTCATGATACAGGAATGTGTGCCAGGTGATGCAATGTGCTGGAAAGTCTCTCGAATTCCAGTTGCTGTTTCTGTCGTCTACATGGGCAGAAAAGTGAGTTTCAGCACTTGCTGGCACGCCTTGAGAATCTCTACAATGGACGATCGCGAAATGCGTTCTCAACGGCAGCATACGCGTCGTAGCCGTATAACCAGCGCTGGGCAATGCCACACGTCCTGAGATGTCAGTAGATGCTTACGGCGACACAAACACCACAGTGGTGAAGAACTTACCAACGACTGGGGAAGCGTATCGAGTCATCGATCTCATCTTTGCCCAGCTGCGATGCGAAGATTCGATCTCTCTCTTGCTGTTCCGGTCCGTCCGGCATGTGAAATTGATGGCGCTGTCCAACGATGGTATGTCAGCAATGGGGCTCAATTCTCCGGGAAAGGCGACAACGGTTCCTGCCTCAGACTTCTGGCATCAAGCATACTTACTTGCAAGAACGTCTCCTTGGCGACCTGCTCCCCTCGCACCTTCCTGACCCGCTCATATAACTCCACCGCCCGCTTTATCTTCTCTCCTCTTGATTTCTCTTCCTGCACAGAGCTACTTTCGCCCGCGAGCGCAACCTTACCTAAGCACCAGCCCAGCACCGCTCCATCCTCGAGGGCACTGTTCGCCCCCTGTGCTAAGTTCTGCGTTAGCTTGCATCGGGACGTGAGCGGGGAGTGAAGGACGGAGGCAGAGGGTAGTGTGCTTTGGGAGTAGGAGAAGAAGACATCAAGGCGGACTATAAAGCCTTGATTCTCGAATTCGCTCCCGGATTAGTTTTGAGAAGAATACTCACCCAAATATGGCAACATCGGGTGGCACGAATCACCAATCAAGACCAATCTGCCCTCTTCACCTACCCACCGCTCCATCTCCGGCCTGTGCATCAACTTCCACTTGTCGACTTTCTTCACTTTCTCCAGAAATCTCAGTAAGATCGGGTCCCAGCCCTCGAACAACTGCTTCATCTCACTGACCTCGCCTACCTGCCGGGCAACATCGTCTGGCAGATCATCCGGACATAGCAGAACAAGGTTGTACATCCGTGAAGCGCCAGCGCGTACTGAGTAGCCAACACAGTGAGCGCCCGGGCCAGTCCAGAAGTGTGCTTCGGGATTCTTGACCAACTTTAGGAGCTCTTCATCAGTGCCGAGATCTTCAAGAGTGAGGATGATCCGATATGCTAGATCACCCGTGGGTTGAGGGGCATCAGGGTGGCCGAGAAGGAGTTCACGACACTTAGACCAGATGCCGTCGGCGCCGATGAGGATGTCTGTTGCGTAGCTGGAACCACTCTCCGTCGTGATATGTACAAAGGGCCCTTCTTGCGACGAGCTCAGTGTGAGTGAATCGAATCTAACGTTTCTTACTCTCTGTCTCCATTCGACCTTGACGCCTAACTCCACTGCTCGCTCGTAGAGCAGACTCTGTAGATCACCTCTGTGCACATCGATGAACGGGAACCCGTCATACCTAGTTGAATCTCAGCTACTTAGATGGCATAAACTCCATAGTCGGAGACTTTGTCCCGTCGAGCTTACCTACCGTTGCCTGCACCTCACATCAAACCGCTCGTCGCAAGCCAACACTTTTCCATCCGCGTACCGATGCACCACTAATCGCTTTGGTTCCGCGCATACCGCTTCAACACGATCCAATAGACCCCAGCGAGACAACAGCCGGGTGGCATTTGGCGTGACTTGCAGTCCAGCGCCCGGTACATTGAGCGATGGTACAGACTCGAGGATCTTGATGGACGGTCGATCCGACTCTGGCAAGTCGGCCGTCTCGAGAGCTAGCGAGATGGCTGTTGCTAGACCAGCGAGCCCGGCGCCTACTATTGTAACGTTTAGCGGTCTCTTTGCCATGTTGTGAAAGTCTTGAAGGTCTTCAAGTTGTGAAGCGTCTAGTGGAAAATCATAGCAACGTAACCCGAGGCAATGCAGTGCTGCTCAAAGCATGTGCGGTCAGCAACATCAGTAGCATTGGACCTGGTTCAGTGATCGCAATGCTTCTGCACGGCCTTCTTACGTCGTACAACAGCATGGGCAATGATGGAAGAACCCTGAAATATACGGGCAGTAGCAATTCGGGGAGACGTGAATGTGGTTCCTCGGAGTATTTTCGTCCGAATTCTAATCAAAGGCCGTATATACACCAGATCGAGACACCCAAACTCGTCGCCAAAACGCTCATTTAGTCCAAGCGCAGCAAGCTGATGGCGTTTATAGCCTGTTCATCTCCAACTCATTTCGCTGCGAGGAAGAAGGTGTTCATCGTCAAGCAAGTCACCATCACTACCAGCCCATATATACTCAAAGCCAAAGCCAACTTCCTCAGCAACTTCAGCCGAAAGTTGCGCGTCTTCTTCAGGAGACTTCTGCCTCCGAGGCTAAGAAAGCCGCTATTGGCGAGCAGTCCTTCGCTCTCTTCTTGTCCGCTGGCGTCAGAGCGCCGCCGCACTCGCTCGGCATCCGAAACGCCGGCGGGATCATAGTCATAATCGTAGTCGTCTTCCTCCTTGCACAGCTTCTGATGGAGTGGGTTGTCCGGGCTCGAAATCTTGTAGTAGAACAATCCCGGGAGAATGAACGAGATTGACGTACTGCCTGTGCTGCCGACGTAGGCTAGCACATATTCCAAGCTGGAAACCATCATGGCGACAACATAGCTGAGGATGATAATAATGGTGGTGATGAGCGCGAATCGAGTCTCTGAGATTTCAGTGCTACGCTTCTTTCCCATGGTTAGTAATGGGACGTCCCGCGCTGGAGAGCTATCCGGAACGCTCAACGAGTTCGACGATGGCGTTGCAGAACGCGACAGTCGCTTCGTGAGAGACTTGGATGGTCGCCATTTGAGCACCGCGTCCACCGATGCTCTACATGGGTGGACTTGCAGAGGGTATGAGAACATCACCAACACCACAATGGCAGCCCGTCCGATCGTCGCAGAGACCGAAGGCGCATACTGAGCCACAATATTGCCTCCAACTTCATTTCCAAATGACAGATATCCTGTAATTGCAACCAAGACGTAGATAGCAGCGGCTGTACCTATGGAGACCCCGACCACGGCAGTCGTCCGGAAATGGGAATTGTCCGCAATCTCATTGAGCACGCTGAACATGTTCTGATGACAAGTGTAGGCAAAGACAATGACAGGCAAGGATGATAGCGCTAAGCTCGGCGATGCCCATTTGAAGATCCGCAGCGGAGTCTCATATCCAGTCTCCGGTAGGGTGTCGTGCGAAGCAAAATGGTACACGACCAGAACAACAAGGTACGATATCGAGATGAGCGCAATGACCGACGTATACTTCAACGAATCGAGCCTGCGTAGATACGATAGCGGGATGCACACCAGCATGAACGCTGTGATCCAGAAATGTCGATCCAAGAGAAATCGTGCCAGGCCTTCCTCTTCGGCGAATCCAAGCACAACTCCAGGCATCAAATCGCCAATGATAATGAGATATGATATTCCCACTCCGAAGCACTTAATCGCAATCGCCGCGTCGAAGATGATGGCCGCGTTTGGGTACGTGATCTGGCTCAGCGCGAAGAACGAACTCGATCCTCGCTCGAGATATGCCGCGCATCGAGTCTGTAGGTATAGGCCGAAGCCAGCTGTGAGGCCAGCCCATAACATCACCACTATTCCCAACACCATACCCATATGCGACATTGCGAGGGGCATGGCCAGCACACCAGCGCCGACGATTGTGTTGAGCAGATTGATGACACTCGAGATCCATGTCGCCTGACCGGCCGTGCCGGTGACATCGTTCTTGCCACGCCGCCTGGCTCGCGATGGTGTGCGGCTTGAGGGTGCTGAGGACATGGTGGTCTGATAAAGGGTGGAGGTGGTAGTCTTATGGCCGCCACCTCATCGCGCTAACGGGGCAGCGAGTCTGTATGTGCTGTCAAGTGTATCGCTGATTGATAAGAGGTAATCTAGCAATTATATAGGGCGTTGATATTGTGATAATTCTTGTGTAAGGTGTAGATAAAGGCAGACAGGATCTCGAGTTCAAGTTCCCTCCAAAAAGTCGTCATACCCCATTGCCAAGCCTCTCCCGCCGGAACGGCAACGCTTCAATTTTCCGATCGCAGCTTTCGTTTCTTCCCATTTATCTGACTCTCCTCATTCTTCCCATTCACGTGCCCCTCCTCAGTCTTCCCGTTTGTCTGACCTTCCACCAGTCCCCAGCCTTGGTCTTCAGACTATCAATGACCTCGTTGAAGACCGTGTCGCCGTTCTGCACACTCGCTCCTCCCACACCCGTCGCGCCCGGCCCGACATTGTTCAGGAGCGGCACGTCCCGCACATGATCACACAGTACCTCTAAGCATGTCCCTCCCCGAATCTGCACTTTGTTGCTCCCGCCACCCGAGATCTTCTCGGCCATCTCATTATCCTTCACCAAGTTGAGCATGACTTGTGCGGTTTCCTCGGGAGTGACCCATTCGTCCTTGTCCTTACCTTCCTGCTTGACCATCTTGAGCTTCTCCGGATGATCAGTCCAAAGTGGCGTCTTCACGACGCCGGGTAAGACACAAGCAACACGAATACCGAAGTGCTCTTCCAGTGCGGTCATGGATTTCACGAATGCTTTGACGGCGTGCTTAGCTGCATAGTACATTGGTACTCCAAGATCGGCAACTTCGGCTGCTATGCTGGCAATATGGACCACAGTCTTGGGATTGGACGTGCTCACTGGCGGCGACATGTTCAACCAGTGAGAGATCGCCATCTGCGTGACTCGAATCGGATGAGTGATGTTGATGTCCAGGGCAGCATAGCGGTCTCCTTGTGGCTTGTCCCTCGAGACGCCTGTGCCGGGTGGGATCCAGAAATTGGAAAAGGGCGGTTCAAAGACACCAGCACCGGGGCAGACGATGTCGATTGATCCGAAGGTGTCGAGGGCGGTCTTGAACATCTGGTCTAGGTCCGCCCAGGACGTGACATCCGTGCGTTGAAAGACTGCCTTGCCCTTGTACTCGTCAACCAGGGATTGTGCTTCTGGTCGGAGGCCGAGGTCTGCAAAGACGACATTGGCTTCATGCTTCAGTAGCAGACGTGCAAACTCAAGATTGATGCCTTGATGAAGCTAGTCAGTTGAGCTTCGCCTGACGAGATCCTAGAGCACATACCAGAACCCGCGCCCGTCACAATCGCTGTCTTGCCAGGTATCGTTTGTGCCATACTGATCTGCGCCACTACAGCTCAACCATGCACTGTTTGGAAGCTTGACAACAGGCAGTCGAATGCAATGTACTGTACGCGGAGCAATATTAGATCCTCCTCAAACCAGCCCTGAGCTTCTCACATCATACGAACTATATTCGCACAGGGTGACCTGGTTCGCAACTTGAATACTATAGGTAGAGACCCGAGGACATTGCCTATATTTCACCGAGGCACGCGGCGCCACAATGGTGCAACCATACTCCACTGTCACAGCGAAGCCGTAGTACACCCCGCGGCGAAGTCGGCGCTCGATGGCCCGCACTTTCAGCTACCAGATACTCCGCGCTCCTGGAAGAGGGGGCTGTAGTCGCCGAGGACCTACGCCGATTGGAGTCAGGCAAGTGCGTTAGGGGGAGGGGCATGGATCGAGTATGGGGTTACCCCGGGGCGGTTAACGACAAGCGAACAGCGCGTCACGGGATGAGAGGTGGACCCCTTGTATATCGGTCCACTTCAAGCTCTCAATACCAACGACATGGCCTCAACTTCATTTGATTACGCGGGTACCTTCAGCCGCTACGACCACAGTACCTTTGTGGTCGTATTCCACGTCCGAATCTGAGTCGCTGCTGTCGCTTGAGAAGCTTCCGAGTGGCTTCTGTACTATGTCAAGTCGGGTAAGCAAGCGCTCGTCGCAGAACCCGGTGTCAAGCAACAGGCTTCCAGTCAGGCGACCGTCCTATGAGGCATTCACTGGATCGACAACATCAGCACAGCGAAATCCGGCGCGACGACGGTGCGCCGTTGGAGTGTAGCGTAGGAGAATGTTGATATTCAACAACGCTGGAGCTGAATGCGAATCATTCTGACAATTTGGGCCGACGTCACTGCTGTCCAGAGACCGCATCATCGGACCCTATCCAACTTTGACCCGTATGTGATGCATGGTCGTCCAACTATCATCTGTTGCCTACTTAGGAATGCCCATTGCTGAAGGTCAGGTGGTTCAGGGATCCTCGTTCTTCACAGGACACAGCCAACGTATTGGCAAAGGCTGATCCTTCTCTCGACTCCACAACAACTCCTTTGCGTGGCATTCAGCCCCCGGAGCTGGATCTACACGCCAGATTCTCTGCACGTCGGTGTTCAGGGTCAGTGATGGAAACTCAATCTCGGCCCATGTTGAGTCGTCGTACGGATCCATGTCGTAGCTGGTGAACAAATACACGTCTGGATTCTCGCTTCTCACGCACATGGTCTGTAGGAGGCATCCGGTGAAGTGATATTCAGCGTCACCTACATCAATAGGAGGCGGAAAGTTTGGCTTCCACTGGCCGGGCTGAACAACGAGCGGCGGAGGGCCAGCCCTTTCCATTTGCTCCCAGTGGTCGTCGAGCCAGAGGTATTGCCGGTACAACCACTTTATATCCAGGACGTTGTACATGTGGACTGAGGGGAGGTTGTTCGCCTTCATCCAGCCTTCGCACCATGACAACCAGACTGCTAGATCTTCGTGAGTAGGCATGACCTCAGGACCATTGGCTCTTTCTTCATCGGTTGGCGTCCGAAGGTTGGAATAGAAGACGAGATGGTTCTCGGGAACGAGCCTTCCATGGTTGTTGGTGTCTCTCATACGCTGCTCCATCTGATTGAAGGTAGGCCACAGCAAGTCGCAGGCCCAGTCATCGTCTCCAGGTCCGTTCTTGACGCACTGGCGCTTATGCAGCGTTGACTGGTTGTGCCTAGCTTCAGGCAAGCTGAGATTCGGAACAGACTCTGCTGAGTGTTGTGGACGAATTTCAGGGATATTTGAGTGCTCTTGGCTGGATGCAGTATCCTCTAGTGAGATGACCGACGCCTGTGGGGCTGGACCGGTAAGGATTACTCTTGCCAGGACCGTGGCAACGAGCATGCCCAAGATGAGCAGCTGAAGAGTCTGGATACGCATGTCGAATCGGTAACCTCAGCCGATGACTCGAAGAGATCTGTTGGAAATCGAGTCCTGAGCTGAGAGGCTACACCCTTTGGCGCTTCAGCGTCGCGTGGTCGAATGCCAAAACAAGCGTCGAAAGCAAGGCCACTATTCTAGCGACTTGGGCACCGTTGATAGCAGTGTTTGATTTGATGTATGAGCATGTTCGAAGATGACCGTCGACGACAGTGGTTAATATACTCCTGGCAAGCATAAACTGGCACGCCACGTGAAGAAAGCACTTTCACGGCTTTCACTTACGACCAGCTCGGCTTGAAGCGGACTGTACCTGTATTGACAGCTATAGGTTAAGGACCCGAGCCGATGAGCCAAAGCCAAGAATGCGGTGAGGTAGGTGGGAGATGCTGTTAAATATCCATCCACTAGCATGCTTTACCCATCTATGCTTCCTATGGGCGAATACGCATGTTTGAAGGCAGAGAGTTAACGGAAAGGCAAGCACGAACAACTTCTGCCCAGGCTCCATAGCCCGGCCTGACATCTAATGCGATCGTGGTGTCAAGACGAGATAGTGTCGTTGAGCCCAAGAAGTTCACGTGGATCACCTGATGCTCTAGCGCCCATCAACGCATGAGGAGTCAATGTGGCTAAGCTAGGACTTTCCGCGACGAAGGATGATACTTCGCGATCATCAATTACTAGGTAGGTGGACCATTGCGGCACCCAACTACCTACCAAGTCTATTCATGCTTTGTAAAACTCCTTCCAGTACCCAAGAGCGATTCGAGACTTCCCAAGAGATGCTGATGGTAAGAGAGGCTGGATCATTGAGCCTGCCATCGACGATAAGCTCCTTCCTCCATTCACGGCAGTTACTGTGTCCAACTCCAAGTGATCGGCGCTAGGCGGCAGCCGTCTGTATGCCATTGAGTCTGTTCCCGCAGCAGTGACATTTGAACACAGAGACGGCCAACATGACGATACAGGTCGACATCCCTCAGGGCGAGTTATCGTTCACAGGGCAAATCCACTTCGGCGTGCCCTCCGGATCCCCTCTCGCACGATCCCAAAGAACTTCTTTGTCCGCCTCCCCCTGATGACATCCTGGAGCCGGATCAACCCGCCAGATCTTCTGGACGGCCGGATTCTGCGTCAGCACCCAGAATTCGACATCAGCCCACACTTGATTCGGCTTGAAGTCCCCTTTCTGCGTGAAGAGGTAAACCTCTGGATTCAGCGTTGCACGACAGTACGCCTGGAGCAAGCAAAAGGTGAAGATAACTCCGGCGTCGGCGCCTTGCTTCGGTTGGAGATTAGAGCCCGGGTTCAGCATGCCAGGATCGCTGCCGGTGTCCATGAGCTCCCAATTCGCAATCACCCACTCGTTCTGCGTCTTCCACCAGTCTTCACTCACGCCCTGTCGCCAGTTGATGGCTGGCAGGTTCATGGCAGCCATCCAGCCCGCAGCCCATCTCACTTGGATGTCGTAGGTGGTCTCGTCTTTGCCGCGTTCCTCGGGTGTCGGCTTGCGGTTGTTGGTGTAGAAGTAGTGGTGGATATCAGGTGATACTTTCACGCCATCCGAAGCATCGTTCAGGCGATAAAGCATTTCGCTCATGGTCGGCCAGAGGAAGTCGCAAACAATCTCGCCATCGCTTTGCTTGACGCACTGGCGCTTCTGAAAGGACAATGGTGTGGAGCTGACATTGGGGACGACGTGATTGAGATCTGAAATTGCTGGCCCGATGGTGTTGACTGGACCAGTGGCGATCACCCGTGCCTGAACAGCAGTGATGAGGAGGCCCAAAGTGAGCATGCAGAATGCTCTGAGGTGCATGTCGAACAAACCAGAGACCTTGTTCGGTTTCGATGACCGGCTGAGGAGGGCTTTCAAGGTAAGGACGTAGAAGCTCGAAGACTCGGAAGTTGTCGATGAGACCGCTTGCACATGGTGTGTGGGAGTTGTCGAGGCAAGTGATATATATATTGCTGGCCAGCCATGAGCTGTAAGTCACTTGATGAAGTAGTATCATTGCAGCTGATATTCTCGTGTCCCGATTGAAGTTCAAACTGTACTTGACCGCCGGAAGAAGCAACAGTTCACTCACAGCAGGTCTCTGCAAGTGAAAGTCCGATGGAGAATTGTTCCTAGAAATCGCAGAGCCCTCCGCAACCTGGCTGTGTTCGGTGATCCTTGGTCCTTCGTGTGAAATACAACTTTGTCCCAGAATGGCCCGAGCTATTGAGAGGTTGCTCGACTGACCGAGCCGTAACACTAAGTACTGGGCGTTTTCTCCAGATCCAACACCTCCCATCCTCGAGCCCATCTTCAAGGCACAAATGCTATTTATCAGGGCTTTCTGGCCAGGGAGGGCGCTGAAAACCTGGCACTCCTATGCGAATCGACTTGGTGCGCTTTGGACGCGCCTCGCTTGAGCGTTGGAACGAAAGATTGATACCTCGCGGACTCTCAAGCCAGGGAGGGCGCTGTGAAAAAACGCCCAGTACTTCGGGTACCTGTAGTCACAGCCTGCTGGCTCTCACATGTTCGCACTTCGAGCAGTCTCCTTCACCGGACAAATCCAACCAGGCTGCACCTCCTTATCCCTACTCCGGTCCCACAGAAGCTCAGGCTCCTGGTCAGCACAGCTCACTGTCCCATCCTCGGCATACATCGGCGCCGGATCAGCCTCCAAATCCTCTGGACATTCTTGTTCTGCGTCAACTTCCAGTACTCCACCAGCGCCCAATGCGAGTGGTTACTCCACTTCTCCCCCTTCTTGGTGAAGAAGTACACATCCGGATTGGTCGCCGCCGCCGCCAAAGCCTGCATGAAGCACATCTCGAGGATCTGTGCTGCTGGCGGCAATTGCGGAAATGGCCAGGATTTCGTCTGATCCAAGTCATTTGTGTCCAGGGGGCCATGAGTATCGGTGTTGTCGAGCTGCTTCTTGTACCATTCTGCATCTATGGCGTTGCTGGGTTCTTCATTAGCTTGGATTGGGACATGAGCGGAGAGTGAATGTTTGCGGTGGACGGCAGCATAGAACAGGGATAAGAGACAAAGGCATCAGGGCGGACTCTGAGACCTTCATTCTCGATCACCCCCGGTCCAATTCTGGGAAGAATACTCACAAGGCGCCGTAGAATTTGTCCAATGCGATACCCTGACGGATAAACCAGAGGAACATCCAACGTTGCCAGATCGCTGTGCTGGGCTCCTTGCCCTCCGAGGATTCGTCCGGGGTGGGCTCCCGAAGGTTTGTGTAGAAGTATGCGTGGGCGTCCGCTGAGGCGCCGTCGCCATGGGGGGTGTCTTGGATCTTGGTGATGAGAGTGCTTAATTTGACGTAGTGGTTGTCACATTCCCAGATTCCGGTGCTGGACAAGGTGCATTGGCGCTTGATGAGGACCTCTAGGTCGCTCTCCTGGAGAGAGATAGCTGGCATAGGCGGCAAATGAGGTGGAAGGCAACATACTAGTGCCACGAACAGAGTGACGAGCCTGAAGATTAGGGTCAGCATGGTTGTGGCTTGATAGCGGTGTGCTTTTCTTTCGGGCTGGATCCAGGGCTGTGGTCAGTAACAGGATCAGCGAGCACGACTGACCTTCGTAAGCTTGCAAGGCACGCCTTGAGAAGTCACTCCAGCACTCGCTTTGCACGGGCTCCTGGCGGAAGCGAGTGTTCACCCATTCTTCAAGGCGATCATTCAATAGAGATGGAAGTAGAACTCCAGCACAGCTGCGCCTGTTGGACTTGGGTGCCTGCTCGAATAGTTGAGATTGTCACAACGTGCACGGAAGGCGGTACGCTGTTTGATAATGCGGGTAGGTGCAGCCAGCGTACCACCTTCTAGATGCACGACTTTGGCAACGATGCCATGTAGCAGAATCTGCTGGCAACCGTTCGGAAGTCGAAGGCCTACATGCCTTTGTGTTCCAGAGCGTTCTCACGGATAGTCCACTTGCATTTCTCTGAGGTTGACAATCTCAGAGGACCACAACATGAAAGTCCTTACCCGCCTCCAGCTCGCACCCAGCATACCGTCTCATGCATGCTGCCGCCGTTGATAACGCCCGGGGTGGCTTGTAGACTACGCGAAAGTGAAGGATCTTTGAAAGAGACCGAAGGACAACGCCCCTGATCGTTTGACGAGACCGGTCGACAAGGATATTTGGCGAAGCCGGATGACATGATCTCATGTTTGCATTCGTGTTCTGAGACTCCTCCTGCAGTTTGTCGTCGGGAAACCTGGCCGTTCCTGTCTCTGACAGCATGAGAAGGCCACTGTGGACATTCGAGTTATGGCGAGTCTGCTGATGCGACCACATATGGCTGCGGCATCACAAGCGAAGACGAAGGCAATTGGCCCCAAGTGTTTCAAAGACTCATCGTTCTCAATTACCATGCAGCGCGATAGCTAGCTGCAAGACCTCGACCTCCCCATTCACTTAGCAGCAAACCGACTCCTCGCCCTCAACGTCGCACCGAAATACCACAACCCCCAAATGCCCGCACAACCGCCGAATGTTAAACCAGCCAACAGACTCACACCTGGGCCGACACCCAAGTTCAAGAACATTGGCCTACTGAAATGGATCGCACCACATGCGATCGAACTCCTAGCAAAGTCGTTGCCTGCGAACAAGCTGGCGGCGTATTGTGGGTAGGTGAGCGGGATGTAGATGAAGACGACCTGGAAGAGAATGAAGATGCCGACGGTAAAGATGACTATGCCGAGAGTTGGGACGATCCAGTGGATTTTTGGGGAGTTGAAGCCTGTCCAGCCAAAGACGACTGAAAGTATTGTTAGCCTTGTTTTGATGTGCAACTCTGGGAATGGTAGAATGACTTACAGAGACCGACAGGCACCAAGAAGCAAGCATAGAGGCCCGGCACAAGACGCTCCTCAGGCGCACCCAGGCCACGAGCGCGAATCTGAGGCTCGAACTTGTACTTCAGGTACCACAGGTAGATCGGAATAGCGATTGAGACACCAACACTGATGGACAAGAAGATCAGACCAATCTCACCAGCGTTGAGTCCGTAGCCTTTTGTAACACTGCCAGCTCGAGGGAGGCCCACAGCATACACGAAGGGAAACACCTCGAAGAAGCTGTAGAAGATCGCGTACATGAGGGCGATGTAGATAGAGGTGAAGAGCACGGCGGGGTCGAGCGCGTTGATCTGCACTGGTCGCCAGAGGTTCGAGACCACGATTTCGCCGAGCGTCAGTTGTGACTGGTTGATCTCGGATTGGGACTTCAGGTTCGGGTTACCGGTGGCATGTCGCAGGCGAGCAGCGCGGCGCAGGAGGATAGTGTCGGCTGAAGTTTCCGGGAGCATGGTGAAGAGCGCAACGTAGACCGGTGCTGCGAGCCAGACAATCTCCCACAAGGACCAGTGCCAGTTGGTGTAAGGGACGGAGAAGCCAGAGATGAGCGGGCCAAGTGCAGGGCCAGCTGTCGCGAACGCTGCCCAGCCGGTGAGATAGTAAGGCAGGCGGAACAAGTTGTAGATGTCTCCAATGCTAGCGCCACCAGTGGCTAGACAAGGCGAGCCGAAGAAGCCTTGCAGGAATCGCAGGACGATCAGTGCTGGGAAGTTGTTGACGCAGGAGACTCCGATAGAGATCGCCAAAAAGATGGTGAATGTGACCATGTATGGAGGATTGCGACCGATGATGGGCATTTCTGACATTGGTGAAAATATCATGGGCCCAATTCCGTAGCCCAGAACGTACATCGACAGACCGAGCGATGCAACCTCAGGCGTGACGTGAAAGATCTCCTCAATGTAAGGCTGGGAAGGCGTGATGATGGCCGAACCGATGTAGACTGCAAGCGTGTAAAAGTAGATCTGCAGCACGACGAGTGCCTTCTTGCGATGGGTCCAATTTTGGGGGTTCTCCGGGTCGTCGGTCGTGTACCAATCTACCAGAATCGTTCCATCAGCTGTTCGAGTCGGCGCGATCGGGCGCGAAGGTTGCGTCTTGATCTGCTCCTGGTAACTCGCATTGGTATAAGCCTGCTCCAGATCTGCGCGGGTGTTGACCTGGCTCATTTGAGCGCGTGAGGTGATCTGCGAGAGGTTGTGGCTGATGCTGTGTCCATCTCCATCTTCGGAATCAGAGAACTCCCGATCTGGCGCTGTCTGTGTGTTTCGCAGAGTACTGCCGCGGTCTAGAGGTGGATGTGTTGCGGGAGCAGCGTCTTTCTCCACGTCGACATCCTTCTCCTCTGCTGGGGTCGGTGCTGCTTGTGTCGATGCCGTGGAGTCGACAGTTTGTTGGCGCTTTTCGTCGCCATGGTGGTATGCAGAGGGAATCTGAAAGCCTTCTACTTCCTCGGGATACTTCAACACGCGTCCGCCAGTCGCAAAGCGAATTAGCAGACCCAAAGTCGAGTCGCGGAGGATTTCTTGAGCCATGACAATAACAGTCAGTATTCGTGTTCAAGGGTGTTGACTGTCGCGTGCTAACGCAGTTGCCAGCTAGACAAGTCGCGATGTCAATGGCGAATACGAATCAAGGGGGTCAACTGCAGACAGAGGGCGGCCCTCGCCTGCCTATATACGCGGTTTCACATGGCGACGGGCTTGCAGTACAATTACTCAGTTGATGGCGTTCTACCTAACAAACGAAGATTCTACCCGGCCGAACTAGGGATCGCTCCACTTCAAGCCTTCTGACAAAGCATGCGCGAAGGCAGCTAATTAGCCCGGTGCGGACATAGCTGGAGGAGAAGTACGCCCAAATTCCCTGGTGCAGTTTCAGGAATCATGACACCAGGCTCAGGCTCTGCGTCAATTCTCGTACTGAGTTTACAATGTCGCTCCGGACGGATTTGACGGACTTGCTGAAGGTTTGGAAAATTCAGAGATCTATACGCTGGGAAAATTGCTCCGGCTTCACTCTCTGGTCACTGATGCTGTGTTTGCGATCGCCGTCAAGCTGGTAGTCTGTCGCCAGCTCGACTAGACAATAGCTGCTGCGAGCGCCAGGTCGCGAATACAACCAAGTTGGGGTGGACGTATCGCTGCCGTTCTTAGGCACTAACGACGTATCTTGCCCAAGCGAAGCATCCAACCCGCAACTGCAGTGCCAAGGTAGGTCGCCCTATATTACAAACATACTCGAATGTGCGCAGCGGACAAGAGCGTGTGCAGCCCTGGAGTTGACCATTCCAGTAGACACTCGCAAACTTACCATCGTACAGTACCTACGAAGAAACCTGAAGCTTGGCCATCGAAAATGACCTCACTAACGATCCCGCTTGGGATTATTCAGCAACGCTATTTCCCTCAGGTAATCGGTTGCATCTCGCAGCGTGGAGTTTACCTCGTAAAAACGGTCCGGGCTCCGACCCTGATTTTCTGGGCATTCGCGGGTTGTCCGCCGACGGATGGAAAAGTCGCGCTGTGGACTTTTGTTTACTCGATCATTCAGGCTGTGTGTGTCCGGATGACGATGTATTTTCTCATATTGCCCACTCGGCGACGTTGTCGCCGGGCTTAATGAAAGGCTCGTCGATCTGCCGAATACCAAGATCGCCACACAGCACGCAAGAGTCTGCGACCAGGCCATCGAGTTCTTGCACCATCTTCAAGCGTTGCCGTCCAACACTTAGACCTTGGCTCACGTCCGCTTGCAAATCCTTGATTCTTTTCTTCTTAGCGATTCCTGAGCTTTCGAGGACTCTTTTGCCGAGACAGTCGCTGTGGAAGGCGTGCTGACATGGGAAGACAAAGAATTGACGACTGAGCACTGGTAGAGTGCAGATCCAGCATCGCTCGCCAGGCTCTACGATTGCGTAGCGGTTGTCGAGGGCGGCAATTTCTGCCTTGATCTGCTCTGCGGTCTGCTGCGATACATCCATCTCCTGTTTGAGGTTTTCAATGTGCTGAGAGTACTCTTCCAAGGCGTTGCATATCTCTTCCTTGAAGTCGTCAATGACGACAAAATCTGGGAAGAATGGTATCAAGTCCTCGATCTTGAGGAGCTCACATCGCTTCAGGAATTCGATAGCTTCCTTGATGGATGGAGATTCCTTCACCTTCTTCTCTGCAATGAGCAGCCAAAGTTTCTTGCGCATCTTCTCATCGCCATCCAATCGATCTGCCACGATAGCTGCAAGGTCGACGTCGTCATGGGCGAGTGCCAATTCAACGGCTTGCTGATACTGATTCATGGCGCTATAGATATGAACGCAGGATTGGACTCGTTTGTGTTGTATGCAGAGGCGCAGCGCAAAATCTGCATCGTACAGAGGCGGTTGTGGTTGCGTTTCCAGGTAGTTGAGGAGCGAGGCTTCTGATGTCGTCGGGTGTGATGCCATGATTGAGATCAGAGTATTGTGGACTGATGCTGGACTGTCGGGCATGTTATTGACAACAAAGTTGAGGTACCTGACTGCTTGGTTCTGGTTCAATGGAGTGTCCCCAGCATTCTCGTTGTAGCTCAACAATGCAGGTAGGATCTTTTGCGGCTCGATATTATTGCGTCGCATGAGTATTTCGATGTAGCCCGACGCAACATGCATCATGAGCACGTTGCTGTACCGGTAGTATGTTTCAGGATTACTCTCTTTGTTCAAGACTGAGAGTGCTTCGTTCCATTTTCCTCGCTGAATCCAGTACGAAAGCACATAGTCGTAGTCGGTGATTGTGTTTGCAAAGTGAAGCAGCTCCTCTTCCCGATCGTGACTGGATATGATCTCATATACAGTCTTTGCATCCAGATCGGACTCGTGCTTCGACACGAACTCCTGGAACTCATTTCGAGTCCTCTTAAGCTCTGACTCTGCTCCTGTAGCACTCGTGTCCTCGGCAAGCTCGCCCTTGGTGGCAATTGTATCGTCTAGATTGTTCAGCTTAGCCATGAAGATCTGAACAAGCCAGCATCCAATCATGACCCGTTGCATATAGGATGATTTTTTGTAAGTCGACAACTTGGTCAGCAGGTACTTCCGCAACGCATCGTCCTGGTTCTTGTCGATTAATTGTAAGCACACTTCCTCGAAGGCTTTACTACTCTTTCCCCATATGCTCGCCGCCTCGAGATACTGGCCCTTGTCGGACAGGTAGTCACCGGAAGCGGTCGCGACCGAGTCCTTCTGCGCCGCTCCTTTTGCATAGCGTAGGGCGGCGTCGTAATCCTGATTTTGCAGCATGACCTTCCAGACGTCACGATCCTCGTCCTCTGCTCTTATCTCGTAGATCTCCTGTGCTGTGAACAGCCAGTAGCTGTTCTTCTTCTGGTCCGAAACGAGTCCGAGAGAGCTCTGACCAGGATCAAGGACGACTTGATCGTAGACTACTTCACCATTGAGGCGATTGACGGCCACAATGCGACCCTCCGCCAGCGCAAGGCAATGCCATTGCGTCAAGACCATTGATTGAATGGGATCTTGAATCAGCTTTCGCCCGCCTCGAGCAGACACCGTCTCCGGAAACACTGACCGGGCATGTAGCTTCGCACTGCTAAGTATCCTCTTACCAAGATCCGAGTCTGATGGTGAAGATGAAAGCTTGCCGGTAAGAACACCTTGAGACGACAGCCAGCCGAAGCTTCGCGCCACGTCCTCGCCGGCTACCGAGTTGGTTGTTTCAGGTGAGATCGACAGAGATGAAGGCGCTGTCTGCGACACGTTGGTAGCATTCTGCGTTGCCGGACTTTCTTTTTGGAGCATGTCCGCATATATAGCTGCAGCACCTTCTTTGCCCTTACTGCCTGTCCGGCCGACCCAATGATATACTGCAGCGTGTGTGGATGCCATCACTCGGCGTAAGTCCGACTTCCCAGCAATAGTGTCCACCCACAGCCCAGTTACTGCGCCTTTCGAGGCCTTCCATACCTGTGTGCAGTATCTTTCTTCTCGTCTGTAAAATTCGGTCGCTGGCTCGATGTAGACTTCGTAGACAGTGCCATCCGATGCGCCGACGAGTATCTCACGGGTTGAAGCAGTCGGCTGCGAAGGGTTCCAGGCCACGGTTTCTATGGACACGCCTTTTAACCTTGAGAGTGCTTTGGGCTGTTTTGACTGAGTATGCAGGTAAAAGTTCTCTCCCAGAGTCGTCGTGATGATCAGATGTGAGGCGGAAGGATCCAGAAACATGCGTCGTATTAGTCCGACCTCGCTGGTCTTCTTCGGCAGGTCGACATCTAGGACCATCAATCATAAGGCCTGAAACACAATGAGGCACCTTACCATCAATATCTTGCGGGCTCTCAAGGTCGATCCTCAGGATACGACCAGTCGCGAGAGCCAGAATGAGGACATCATTGGCGACCTGTCCGGCAACGAAGTCGGAGGCAATGTTAAACTGCATTCGCACCTGTTGCACATTGAAGATGGGCAGTTCCGCCTCTCCTCCACCTTGGGAGGTGCCGGCGGCGACATAGCCCTGTTCGATTTCTAGCGCCATGGTGCGCGTCAGTGTAGTGTACTCAGTCCATGGGCACGTCGAGCATAGTTCCGATGCATCAAGATGTACGACACCGTTGCTACTACGATTGTACAAGTACACGATTGTACAAGTACGTAAGTGGTTATTGCGGTATTTCGGCAAAATCTCGGTCACAACTGCTCCGTTCCCAATGCTGCCTCGCAGGCAAGAGTGCTCCTGCTCCATCTCTGCTTCTCCCTTTCTACCTCCCGTTCTGCTTCCATCAAGCCAACGACTGCTCACTTTCCGAGCTCGCCCATCTTCTGGAACAGCGCTGTTGGATCCATGAACACCTCGTAAGCCTCGATCAGCCACTGGTCGTCGCTCTTGACCACGCGACACCAGCTTGAAGCTCTTGTCCACGCTTCGGTCTTGTTGACCAGGTCATATCGTACGTCAGCAACACCAATAATCTCCCACTTTCCGTCGATTCCCATTCCACCTCCAGTGACAAAGCCCGTCTCAAAAAAGTGCGCGGACCTGAGGATGGGTCCCTTCTCTGGGTGAATCATCGAGTCTCTGCACGCCTTAATGCCCTTTCTACCCTTGTGCTCGCCGCCGAAGTGCAAGATCGCATCTTCATGGAAGCAGTCAAGGTACTTGTCGTTTGTCGAATCATCCCATCCCTTTAGGGCGGCCGTCAGTGCTTGAACTGGAATCTCGGGCAGCCATTCCTGATTCTTGAAAACATATGGATCTCTACTTCTGACGCCGTTTTCTGGCATACTTGGATGCGACATGTTGGGAATTTTATTGACAGGGCGGCCTCTGACAGTCTTCGGAGCTCGCAACAGCTCAAGACAGCTCGTCGCGTGCCTACTTATGCTCCTGCCCAAAGACGAAGCGGGGTAGAACGAATCGGCGGCCAGGCCTGCCTCACCCAACTAAGCTGCCCGGCCAAGCGGTGCATTGGGCGGTTTTCCCGTTTAGACATTGTGTCGAATTCTCGCAGCGCCCTCCCTAGCCAGAAAGTCCATGAAAGATGTTTCACACTGACTTACGCTCGAGTGAGATTCATCTCAAGATCGTTGACCTAAACGGCAAGATATCTTCACACCTTCAGCGCCCGCCCTGACCAGGAATACCTCCATGCGAATAACCCTCAGAATTTGCCCGGATCTAGTCAGCGCAGCTCGCAGCTTGGCCTTTTCCTTGATCAACGTCGCAAGTCTGCCTGGATCCAGCGTCTGGCCCTACTTCTCGGTATCAATTGCACAGCTCGCTAATTGTGACTGTGACTCGATAGCCGTGTCTAAGGCATGCGGCCGTCATTGCGACCAGCACAGCAGCGTGGTCAGTGATCTGTCTCGGCTCAGCCGCTTGGCCTGGTGACAGCGATCGCCCCATCGACTGCCAGCCTGTCGCATCTCTCATATACATCGTCGTGGCATTCTTTCTTCTTGGCAGTCTGACTTGGTTTTCTCTATGCGCGGATGAGACATGAGGCTTGACTCGAATGTCCTCAATCACGATCTTGCCGATATAAGTCTCAGCTGTTTGCAAGCTTGTCAGCATCATGCTTGCAGGTTCGGAACACAGAATGGGGAGCTGCCTGGTGCCCGGACGACCTTCGGACACACTCCCCCGACAACGCATGGTAGGACTGGACTCACCACTTGAGACCGTCATGAAAGCCGGATCAGCGCCCAGAGCGATTGCAGCTAGCTCGTCCCCAGCCAGAAGCGGGTCGCAGCAGGGATCTTCAGTATCGAAATGAGATGACATGAACGCCATGTTTCGACGAGTCTGGTTGGCGAGTATGGAGAAGGTGAGGTGTGAAGCGCATGGTACTTGGATGATGCCGTGGTCGGGCTCGTCGTCTGAGTGCATGCTGGACCGTGCCTTGGAACGGTTTTCGGTATCGTCACCGGTACCAATCCCGCCGTAACGTTCGTGTTCTACTCTATCAAGTATGGAGTGGTCGGTATGTGATGTGGTGAGCAATCGAGCACAAGTCAGGAGCAAAGGTGAGTCTAGGACGCTGAGAAACCGTGAGCGACAGGATAAGGAATGAATATTGAAGTCGACGACTGCAGTGCGTTTGGGGTCTGGTCAATGGTTTGTCAAACACCTTGAGTCATTTCCCGGAGCACAAGTCTAGTGTAGAGCATCATTAGGCAGAGGTTCGCGCTTGCGGTAGCCTGCCGTAGGCAAACGCCTTGTCACCGGTTTCCAAGGTTTGCGAACTGCACCGCCACCCCACCAAAAGGCCCTTTCTACGAAATCTTACAAGCATCTCAGAGAAAATTGGACCGCTTCAATGCTTCCTGACAGTCTGTTCGGATCACCATCGATTTATGATTCTCTCTCTAATTGTTCAGCTGATTTTCGAATACCGGTGAGAACAAGAGACAGTATTGAAGTAAAAGGAAATGCCCAAACCGCCCCCAAGAACCTGATGAGGCAGCCCGACTTCCGGTTCTGGACGACGCAGGACCTTAGGCCATCTGATCTGCAGGCACACTTACACAAGTCAGTTCGCGAATGGCACCTTCTCATCCATCCCATATTTTATGCGGCTTGAACTTTCTGCTTTGGCCTCGTTGTAACTTATTTAACTGCGTCGCCGCATTGAACATCCAAAGACCACGAGCCTCCGGTGAGAGTGCGATCACACGCCCTGATCTCATCAGACTTCGCTCAGCTTTGCTCTCATCCAGCTTAACATACATATATGTCTGGGCTACCACGGTGAGTCTACTGATGGTAGGAGTACCGCCACCGCGACCGAACAGCGTAGCCTATACGACGCACCTCTAGAACCGATCAAAGCATCCCGCCTCACCACTTAGCAACAAGTGCTACCGAGGCATGGCACGATGATCTTGCGTCCGCCACCAAAATCGATGAGAGGGAGTGAGGAGCAAGATCGCGGGCATGACGACTACTTATACGGCTTCGAAGTAGTGAAGACCCGATGCAAATCGAGACTCCCACTCTCCTGACTCGTTCACAGGGTATTCACTGTTGAGGGCACGACTCGGCATTAGGCAGTCACTGGTCCCAAGTCACTGAGCCTGTCTACGTTCATCCCACTGAATCTGCCCAAACTCGAATGAATACCAACAATGCCACCCCTCAGACCACATACACCAATTTCCTCCCGCTAACCAGCCCCTTCCTGTACCTCTCGATCCCGCCCGGAATCGCTTCCAACCCTCCCTCCTGCACCTCAATCACATGCGGTTTGACCAGTCCACCAGCGAGACACCGCTCCGCCACAACCGCAAACGCCCTACTCCGTTCAAAATCCCCCACATTCGCCGGCTGCACAGGCCCCAGCATCGCCCACTCCTCCCCCAAGAACGAAAACCCAATCCTGCGCTTGGTCTGAATGCCCGGTAGCGGCGGCGTGAGTGGTCCGATCGTGCTATACGTCAAGTCCGACTCCACGTGCGCAGGAACCCATTCCACAGGCGTGTCTAGCCCAGGCGGCATGGCGGAGGGGTTGAGGACCTTGCAGCAGAAGACCGCGGAAGAAGCGGAGGAGATGGTGTCCATGCACATTCTGAGGGGGCCGTGCGTCGGGGTCAAGCGTTGGGACTCGGCGAGGAGTTCCGCGGGCGCAGAGGGCGAGTAGTGGTCGACGATAAAGTCTGGATTGGACAAGGATTTGACCATGGCGTGGTTGGTGGGGGAGGACGTGGTGAGGACGTGCAGGCCAGCGAGTTTGGCGAATTGGGTTGTGAGGGTGCCCATGCTGGTCGAGCCGCCGTAGATTAGGATTTGCTGGGGGGCTGTGCTTGTTGGTGGACTGAGCTTGCCTTCTGGTGAGACGACTGGATAGGGGATGTTGAATGTATCGAACAGACACCGTCCCGTTGTCACTACAGCGACTCCCAGCGCAGCAGCATCGGTGAAAGGCATCGAATCCGGTATATGCAACGCGAGATCGGCTTTGACCACGGCATACTCGCTGAAGCAGCCTACATCATCGCGAAATGGCTCTGCAGAGCGACACATTCCTGCCACTCGCTCACCAGGCTTGAAGTCGCGTGTGACATCCTCGCCGACCTCGACGACTGTGCCGGCCCAGTCGCAACCCATCATGTGGCCGGGCACATTCATGCCGTAATCCAGACATAAGGCGTCGGCTGGATTCAAGCCGACTGCTGCTACCTTGACTAGCATGTATGTTGGGCGGACGAAGGGAATTGGACGCTCGATGAGGACTGGGGCACCGCCTTTCTCTTTAATTGTGAGCGCTTTCATCGTTGCCATCGTTGAGTGTCGGTTGTGTCTGATCGAGTGGCACGTTTGATGACCGTTGTCCTTTCATCGTGGCTATTAGTGAGATGGTTGCAACATGCCAAGCCCGTTTGCCTTGGAGCCGGAGACATTGCTCTATGTCTCCGCCCGGACGCCTGATGCTCGCAAGATATATGCTAAAGAACGACGACGCGTTTCAGCTAGAATGCTATCTAGCTAGGTCAAGACGATCATGGAATATGCCAAGAAAGCAAAGAATAGCATGACCATAGATTAGATTAGCTGGAGCGTACGACTGTGCCGGACCAAGACTGCTTGGGAATGTGTCTATGAAGGCATCTCGCTGCCCGCGTTAACATTTGGAATCTGGATTATGAAGCTCGGGATAGGGGCTGCCAGCCCTAGCAAAACACCTTTGAGCGTTTCTGGAGGCTCGTTGGCGTGTGCCGTGCAGTGACCGGCCTGTTGGCTATCAGAGGGTGTGGAGACCTTTTCGACTCTACCCATCCAGCGCCCTCCAGCATGTCTCGACTCTGCAGAATTGTGGCCCTCAGAGACAAGGCCGTAATCGAGTGTGGTACCTCTCTAGACCGGATCTGAGGCTTCGAAGTTCTTCTGCCTAGACTCAGCGTAGCTCCTTGATCATGCGTCTACTCGCTGCTACGCTCAGTAGCTGGAGGTTGACACGACCCCGATGATACGGGCAATGTTCGGCTGCTGAGCGGACGTCTTCATCATCTTGCGGTCCGTTGTGATTGTTTGATCCGTGTCCCATACACTCGATATGCTGTGGCATAATTTCTTGCCGTCAAGGCCAGATTCGACAGACGATCGAGCCGCATGCCGCTTGGACTGGGACAGTCGATGCTGCTCATTGCGCACCGAAGTAAGTTGAATCGTCCTTGACCTTGCAACCACAGTTGAATATCTCCGGGGGATCAATAATCTTTGACGTCTTCCAATCGATCATGACACGATCAGGCTGTGTTCTTTTAGTTAGCCCATCAAAGTTCCATGTTTTACCCAGCGCGAGTGGTGACTCACATCCCATATGTAACTCTTGCGGTGCTTGTGGCAGCCAAGTTCGTAGTCGCGGACCGCTAGAATCAGGTCGTACGGGAACTCCACTTTTTCGAGGTCCTTTGTGTACCAAACGTCGGTCGGGTCTATCTGTTGCTCATGTTTTTCGTTGCAGGCGCAAAACCCAATTGCTTCCTCAGCTTCCTTTGCCATTACTTCTTCAAGCTCGTTGTAGCAGGTGAAATGATGGAGCTTGTGCCACTCCCCAGTAAAGGTAGTATACACCAGCTTCTCGAGGTTGGGCATGTGTTCTCGTAGGTTTTCATGAAGTGGGCCCCACACTATCTCAGCTGTTCTGACGCCTTGCAGATAGTGCCTCAGCGGATTCAGACCTCGTTTGATGTCGTCGTCCCTCATGTAGCATTTGACCGTGATTTGACGAGAGAAGACGGGCAGAGCCTCGTTCCTGAGCTGCTTATTTGCCAGCAGGATGCCCGGTAACTCGGCTCCCTCTGAACCAGGCTGGCGTTCTCCGAGCGTGCGGTAGCGACTCATTGCGAAACGAGGGACATCGATCTTGAGATACTCTCCACAGAAGGCCTCCTCGAGCACTCGTTCTCTCAATTCGACCGGAAGATCGAGGAATCGGAAGGGCTGAGACATTGCGCTTGACGCCTGTTCTGAGACTAGTCATGTGTGTCAGCTAAAACCACCACGAACAGAGCGGCGTGCGTCAATTTCGCAGAAGCGTACCAAGTATGAGCGTCGCCTCGTGGAGGACTTCGTCTGACAGGTTGTTTCGAGCCAGGTATGAAATGTCGCAAACGACGGGTCACCGCTTGAACGCTGAATGAGTGGTTGGGTCGGGGTTGCGAAATTAAACCAAACAATTTCCGCGAAGAAGGACGTTAGTCTTGTAGCGTTGCTGGGAAACTTCACTTCGTCACCCACAGTCGTAGTCACTCGAGTCGTTGTGTCAAGTGACTTGCAGTCCGGAGGTTGGTCGCTGATGCCATGAACTTTAGCTGAGACTGACCTGAGTGAATGCTCGTTCTTCTATGGAGCCTCTTACTCGAAGAGTCGTAGTACTTACCTGTGGCAGACCTCTGTGAGAATTTTCATGCTTTGAGCGTTATGACTGCCTCAGGCATCCTCTGTTCCTGCATCGTCGATCGATATACCAGGACAGAGTGTCAGGCAAGCAAGGAGCTCCTCCACCTTGACTCTCACCACCGCCTGCCGCACATCGTCGATCCCGATACCTAGTATGACCTCATCGTCCAAGAAGCCTGTCCCGAGCCCAGACAAGTGAGGCATATCACCATCAAGAAATGCAAAGTCAGATTCGTCCTCGTCCTCCTCCTTGTCACTTCTGCCAGCATTGCTTTCCACCCTCCACGCCCAACTAACACTCGTAGTGTACACAAAGCCCATCTCCTTCTCATCTCGTCCCTCATCAAACACCTCACCTTGGAACACCACCGCATGCTTTCCCGTCGCCACAATCCTACCAGGACTCCTTCCCTCCCAGATCACAACCCATCTCTCATATCCGCCCCTCTCGACCAGTCCCAGTGCGTTCACGGGATGTAGCTTTCTATGCACAATGCTGAAATGCACTTCTCTTCCCGTGTCTAGCCATTCTTGCTCGGTGCCTAGACATGAGGATCGTGACGGACAGAGGATCAAGCGCAGAGCGGGTGTTGATTGGTGTGTTGATGCTCTTCTTGCGCGTGAGCTGGATTGAGACTGCGACTGGAGGGATGACAGCATATCGGGCGGAAGCAGACAAGGTGGCTCGTCCGGGTGCGTTACGTTGGGGAGTGCGATCGTGCTGTAAGATACGTAGAGGAGCTCGGAGATGGCACGACCAGAGTGGAACGTATAATTTGTCGGTGGCTGCTGCTCATCAGCATCCGCTGAAGCTTCGGAGCGCTTGATCGGTTGTTGTGGCGCTACTGCCGTAGAGGAAGGGGTGGCTTCGCTCACCACGCTGACGGTGTTGATCGAGGAGATTTTCTCGGTTGTCGGGACTGTCGCGCTTTCTGCGGAAGTCGGCGTGTCAGGCATTGACGGCGGCGTTGATTCCGAGTCGAGCTGATAGTGGTCTGTCGAGGCATCGTGCAGGGACTGCGATGCATTCGTTGATGGCCAGTACGACCAAAAACCCTCTCGCAGTAGGGCGTTGGCGACTTGGTCAGTCTCGGCATCATTGCTGGCGTCAAGCTTGTGCTGGGCCATGTCGTCACCCCCGAGTCCAACCATTTGCATCGCATGCTTTTGTAGATCCTCCTCGTCTTCCTCCCATTGTCCGAACATCTCATAGCTGACCCAAGTCTGCCCTCTCCGATTTCCGCCAGGCCACCAGAGGATCCAGTTCTTCTCCACCTCAGATCTCCCTTGCCACCTCGTCAGCTCCGTCAAGGTCTCGTATTTGAGCACTGGCATCTTCCACCACGGCGTGCCCTGCTCACGCCACTCTCCTCCACCGCCAGTCCGCTTCTTCAGCTTTCCGTCTTCGGGCACCACAGGAGATTCGGCCGGCTTGCGTCGCTCCATCACATCTCGTAGCTCAGGTATCAACGTCCTGAGATCTTGCATCCACAATCCGACACACCCATACGTACTCCCACTGTTGACAATAATCAGTGGTTCGCCATCGCCAGACCACATGATCCGCGGATCGTGAAAGCCAGGTATGTCGGGAAAGGCAGCCCATTTAGGTGAGCACTTTAGCGACGGGGTCGGTGGTATATTGACAGGGCGAGGGAGCGTGATGCATCGAAAACCACCATTGGGTCCGAGATGGGCGAGTGCTGAGTCTGAGCATACTTCTGAGTCTGGAGGCAAGTGCCCTCGTTGCGTGGTGCTGTTGGGACCATCGTTCTCTGGACCTGGGTGGCAGAAAGAGGCTAGACAAGCGTGGCTTTCCTGGTGCAATCCCGCTGTGACTAGACGCGTAACCAGGACGTATCTTGCAGAGGTGAGCGATGCGGCGTAAGAGGGCAGAGGGATGATCGTTGGGTTGAAGTAGCGGTTTTGTGCAGTTGTCGTCTCGTCGTTGTCGAGCTGCAAGGAGATGTTGAGGTGGCGGGCGGGCAGAACGATCTGGCTTCGCTCGTTGGACTGGTTCTGGCACTGTAGCAGAGGCTTCAGATATGGATTGAAGGTTGGCAGTGTTGACTTTTGCGACGTAATATAACGCTCATGCAAATTGTCTGAGCTAGAGCTTGAATTGACTTCTTGACCTTCGTCCACAAAGTTGTCGAGTACGTTATGAAGAAACGCACTCGAAAAGCGCACCACACTGGGAAGGCTGGTGCTGAGAAGAATGACCAGGGTAAGAAAGACGATCAAGGTATGGCGACTCGCGGATCGCAATGGCCACATCGTGCCTCAGCTGCTGATGAGCTGTACGATGCACCGTCAAACGCGCACACGGTTTGCTGAAGTTGTGGCCCACCACGATGCAGACGTACTTGTAGATCAACGGTGCTGGTGTAAGGCCGCAGTACGAAGGCGACGAATATATCTCTTAGGGTTAGCAAGGCAACGGAACTAATGTGCTGGATTACGCGTGAGATCTCAGCAAGCGATGGCGAAGCCGGCTGACAAAAAGTCGACAACACGTCCGGATGACGGGGTGGAAGTGGTTGCTGATTGCAAGACCGGGTGACCTGTATGCTTGGACTTCACTTCAATGCCGTGATCGTTTCCTCCGCCGTCTTCCCTGTCACGGTCCGAGGTTGATAGCATAAAGATCGTCTCTCATTGATCGTTCGATGGGCCTCGATGAGTTGTTTACACCCCTTCTTCCAGGTCACACCCTTCGACCTCTCTCAAGGCTGTATTTTGACCTGTGCCTGCCTTCTTAAGAGCTGTTGGTTTCCTCCGCTAATCAGTCACCGTACATGTCACTATCCTCGCCACCGTCCCGCTTAAGCTTAGGCGGACCAGATTTGGTAGTCATGTCGAAAGCGATTCTTCTTTTTCTTCAGAGTCTCATCGCACGTAGTTGCGTTGAGAGCGTTCGAAGCGTCAGCCTCTTCGCGCATCCGGCGGCGTCTGGCGACTGATTGCTGAATCAAGCCAAATAGATTCTACCTCCCATCCCCTTCTTCGTCGCCTGAAGGCTCACTTGCTTCACTGCCAGACTCCCATCCCTCTGCTTCTAGATCTGGAGAACGAATGCCAAAACTTAGCAAGAACCCAATAAATGCCACAATGCCAAAGGCACCAAATGCAAGCGCTTCGCCCTTTGGCTGCACCTTCAAGGCGACGGTGAAGAGGCCTCCCGACAGGAACGGGCCCACCGCTCGGCCTGCTGCCGACAGCGTCTGGGCTAGACCGTTGAGCGTGCCAAGTACATTGTGGTTTGGAGCTGAGTTCGTAATCAGCAACAATGCACTGGTCAAGCCTCCCACCGATGAGACGGTCTTGACAAGCAGTACCACACCAATCTCGAGCCACATCCAGACAGCTCCAGACGACATGCCAATCTTGCCATCCGTCTTGTAGCCTACCCAAGGCATCAAGACAAAGGCAATCACGAATCCAAAGAGTCCTGTCCTGTACGCTCCTTTATTTCCCATCTTGTCACGCAATTTGCCGAAGACGCCAACCTGAAACACAATAGTAATGGCTCCAGCAAAGGCCAACGACAGACCGATCTCGCCTGGCTTGAGGTTTCGTCCTTGTGGTGCTTCGGCCTGGGCGAAGACCGGGTAGAGTGAGTTGAAGGCAACATTAGATAATTGGAAGATGAGGTAAGTTATGAGCAGCAACATTGTGTCGCGATTCAAGATGTCCTTCTTAGTAAGCTCTTCTGCAGACAGAACCGGCATGAGGCTGGGCATCTCGGGCTCTGCTTCGTCCTCAGAATCCTCCTCGTCCGTTGCTCTACCTCGCTGAGACGGCCGCCTATGCTTTCCACGTAGATAGCTCGGCCTTGTAGAGCTGGTGAATTGCCACAGCCAGGAGAAGAGATTCTTCACACGTTTCCCTAGAGGCGGTAGGTAGTGAGCTTGTTCCAGACTTTCCTCAAGGAAGATGGCTGTGAGCACAAAGTCTACCATCAGTATAGCGGCCGAAAACAGGTTTGGCAGTAGAAACGGATATCCCGCGGGCTTGTGAGTCAGCGGATTTGTTTCCATGACTAGTAACCCTCCAATAATAGGACCAGTAATTGCGCCTAACCCGTAGAGCACCGGCAGATATGTGAAGGCTTTCGACTGGTTGCTGCGATCAGTGATTTCACCCAGACATGTCGAGACCACGCCCTGGTTGCCATTGGAGAGACCCATGAGTGCCTGCACCATGACAGCCTGCCATAATGTTCTGCAAAAGCCGAAAGCGACAAAGCATGCCGCAGTGAGCACAGTGCCCATAAGTATGACCGGCTTTCGGCCTATTCGATCTGATAGCCAGCCCCAGAAGAAGTTTGTGGCCAATTGAGCCAGTGCAAATGCTGAGGCAATCGTGCCGACGTACACGCCGACCTGGTTCCGGTCGACGTCCGGAAACGAAGCGGCCATACTAGGCAAGTATGGTGATATCGAGTTGAGTGCTGTCTGCTCCGACAAGGCTATGATGGCAAGTATTGTCATCTGTTTCTTCGGAAGCGGAGAGCTGTGGTGGTGATCATGTTCGTGGGGCAGATCATGGCTGGATGAATTGGAGGACTCGACGGAGAACGGCTTTCCCTTCGACTTGGGTGGATTGATGCCGCCGAAGGTCTGGTAGTGTGGTGTCGACGACTTGCGCCGAATGAGAGGGCTGCCTGAGTCCGACGGCTTCATGGCGGCGGGGTGCGGGCTGGTGCTATGCAATGCTCATATTTCGCGACAGAAAGAGAATGTAAAGTGGGAACGATCCGTGTTGTATAGTAAGCTCGTTTGATATTTTAGCTAAAGATGTGTCTGCTGTTGACTGCTGGCTGAAGTTGGCTGCGCTATAACATGTCGTTTGCGAATGATGGGAAGGTTTGCGAGGCTTGAGTTGGGGTGCAAAATTCTTGAGTCAGTTGATGTGCAGGCACGAACTTGAAGCTGAGGCTCTTCCCCGGATGACGTCGAGATCTGGACCAAGATGCAGGCGCGAACACCGAAAGTCCGCATCAATCTTCCGCCCTCTGACTCTTGTCACATTCTCCATTGCGCTGCGAGACATTACTCCGTACAACTCTTCCCATCACTCAGGACGCGTCCTCGAAGAGACGGTGACTTCGATGAGCATTCAAATTCATGCCGTCTTCAGTTCCGTCTGCATGGGTGTTGCTCCGTCTGCTAGGCAATCGCAGACCACGACGCGTGTCTGACGTTCGTCCTTTGTGAGAAGTCAAACTGTTCTTCGATTCACGGCAAGTGCAGTTAGGAGGGGTCTAGTAGTCTTTTTGCTCTTTAACATCATTTCATGGTGTGATTCTGCGATTGATCCGAGCAGACCTACATACGCCAGCTGACTATTGCTTCTGCCATCACCGCCTCCGGGAACATCGCGAAGCATGTCCACTTGCCAGTCTTGCCTCGTTAGCGAGATCATCGTCATCAGCACCAGCTCAAACAGCGGGATGCCGTCCAGTAGTCACGCAAGACTCCGCCCTAGTCTTCAGCGACGGTAGGTCCTCTAACAACGCGCTTATCTGATATTCGTCTCCTGGCAACAGCGGCCTCCCGGGCGAAGTCTGCGGAATGCCAATGAACAAACACTCATTCACCAACTTTGTGTTCGAAATATCGAATTTGACACTGTTCGTGAAGTCGCACGTCTCGTCGCTACTGCTACCGATCTCCAGTGCAGCGTTCTTGCCATTGAAGAAGTTGTCGATGTGGGTGATGTTGACGCTGCTATAAGTCGTCAGGTCGAAATCATTGACACATGCGCCTGGCACGATTGTTCTGGTCGAGGGCCGGGATGGACCGTCTTTGGGGATTGGGATTGGCGTTTCGCAGGCGGAGTCGACGAAGAAGGCTGCGATGACTTTGTGCGGAGGTGGTGGCGGCTTAGGACGAGGGTCTTCTGTGGTCACCGCAGTCGGGATGTGTGTGTCTTTGGCGAGAGCTCCGGACAGGAGGGAGGTGATGGCGGTGATCAGGAGGACCCTGTTCACCATCTTGACTGATCGTTATGGAATGGTGACTGGACGTTGTTCCTGAGACGAGGAGGTCCTACACGCAGGCGTATTGGCTGTCAAGCTATTTAGCTTTGATCTACGGGTCAGAGAGATACACGGCTGTCGTTCCAGCTCTTTATACCCGCTGCTGGCTTTTGAGGCGGCCGAGACTCAGATAATCCTGTCATGCTCTCGACAAGAGTCCACCAGGTGATCTTCTCTACAGGCCGGTCGTACGCAGGGCTGACTGTCATCTATGAACGCATCCCTCCGACGACGTTCAGCAACCTCACCTCAGTCCCGGACTAAGAGTAGTCCTTAAAGGGCTCTAGAGAGGAGACTGACCATACGGACCAATTTGGTGAGGCGGCCCGCAGGCATTCTCGTATTGAAAGCAAGTAAGCGGAACCACGATTACTGCACTCAGTAAGGTCAGACAACGGTCACAAGGCTTACTCCCCCGCGATACCGCGTTCACGATTCGTGAAAAGCTGGATTTGAGATCTTAGCTGACCTGAGCCGTTGAGATGCGACAGTGAAACACGAGTCCAATGACGATCTCCTTTCAACATTGACGGCGGCTACAAGGCCTCATTTTGACAAGTAGCCGCAGAGCCTCAATGGACGCGTATAATCAGAACAGATCCTGTACGAGGGCGATGATCTCGTTCGTGAGTATAACATCACCTTCCAAAGTCGTACAGTCTCATAGCGCTGCTAGACTGCTGTCGGACGTGCCAACCGCCGTGGGGCGACAACCGAGACAATGTCTCTTCCTTCGCAAGCACGTGAGGCTTAAAGAACCACTCAGCTCACCACCACCATCCTTTCATCATCTAGTGCCGTATGACCAAGCCTTGAAATGAGCAAATACGGAAAGCAGCCTTCTACTTTAGGAAATACCAAGTTCTGTCTGATTTTTGCATAGGTGCCTTTCTGAATTCGAATGATGGAAATAATGGGTATATCGCACCAGATGCTGCAGCGCGTCTTCTCTTCGACCTCTCCTATAATCCATTCCTCCTCTCAAGCAGCCTCGACACCAACAGCCTGCACTGCCATCTCTGGCACCTTCTCATTTACCCTCTCTTCCGGCTTCGTGGCAGTCTTGTAATGCTGCGTGAAATCATAAGTCAGCGCACGACTCGCCCTCAACAGCTCCCTCTGCTTCTCCACATTGCCCTCATTTTCCTTCAACGTCCTCAAGAACTCATCATTCTCCAGCGCCTTATCCGGATCCTGATCAAACAATCTCCTGATGTTGCTCTGCGAGACCACATCCACGATCGTCTTGTACTTTTCGCGGCGAACGTCTGAGTAGAGGTCGAGGATGGAGGGGTCGGCTTTGTTCTCGTAGATGCCGGCGAGGCAGTCGTAGAGGGAGCCGACGTCGACAATGCCGCCGGTGAGGCCGAGGCCGCCGAAGGGGTTGCATACTGCACCTTTGTGTGAGCATAAACGCCTTCGCACGCAGAAAGGGCACTGGATGGGACACTTACGATGCGCCGCATCAGCAGCTAAACAAATCCTGCCAATCCTCAACTTCTCGACGAGTCTTTGGTGAATCTTGTAAGGATTGATGGCAGCAAGCTCGTATTCGCCTGGCTTAGGCCGACCCGGCAGCATGGCTTCGAACTTCATTGGTTGCCTGGCGATCAGCTCTTCGCGTGTCAGGCCGGAGAGCTCGCCGTAACTGCACCGCCACCAGCCGGATCCATCTGCTTCTTTCGTGAGTCGGGCGACCATGTGCCAGTGCTCGGGGTGAATGATGAATTGGACATCTTCGTAGCCGAGTTTCTCGAATGGGTAGCGGACCTATTGTGTGTCAGTTCTGAATGTATATCTGGGAAACATTTGTTGACTCACATTGGTTGCAACGACCTGCTTGTCCCAAGTCCAGCCGGGGAAGTCAGACCCTCGCTCTCCTGGGAACATCTTCTTTCGCACCGTGCTTGATGCTCCGTCACAGCCAATGACATACTGGGCCTCGAACCGCTTGATTCCCTCTTCTGTTTCTGCCTCCACCCACGCCTTGTCCTCGTCCTGCACAACGTCTACACATTTGTGGTTGAATAGCACCTTCACATTCGGCTGAGCGGTGGCATGTCGGTAGAGCAACTGATCCAATTGTGCAAGCGGCATACACGCTAGCCTGTCGAAGTCGTCCTTGACCACTGAGCAATCCCAACCAGCAAGATATGTCCCATCCAGTTTTCGCCAACAAGTGATGATCGGGTCGAAGCCTTGAGCGCGGATTTCCTCCAGCACGCCTGCTCGGCCAAGCTCTTGTACTGCTGGAGGACCGTAGTATGCAGCGCGAGGTGAGTCGTCTAGAACTGCTGAGCCTTCAAGAACGAGGACTGGGATGTTGCGCTTTGCTAGCATGAGGGCGAGGAGCAGACCAGACGGTCCAGCGCCCACGACTATCGCCCATGGCTTGAAGTCGTCCGGCATTGTCGCGACCTCAAACGGATTTGGGAAGCTCGAATTTGGTGGTCACCACTGTCCACGTACGCAAGTGTCGGAGGTTGTCAATGAGTGTTTGGCTCTGCTAGCTGACGGTGATTGAAATAGGCAGGTATGCTGCCGCGGATGACTTGAAGCAATGTGTGGTGGTGAAATTTGGTTTGGAAATGGAATGACGAAGTTGCAACCCCGTCTACATATAGACATTATTATGCGACGCGGGGCGCATCTTCGCCCATGTGCTCCAGGTTTGAACACCCAGTAAGAGGCGCAGTAGACATTCTAGATCCCTTCCTACCGGCATCGTGGAGATCATGCTTTTCCTTGTCGTATGGGATACAGATGGGTAAATGCCAGAGGAGCCCCACAGGCATGGACGAGCTTTCCTTGGAATTCCCATCAGTCATGGCTCGTTTGTAGTCGGCATGCTTAGGTCAAAACCATCCACGGGGGCAACTGCACAGGTGATCGGCATCAAGGCCGTCGAACAGCGGGATACTTCCTGCTGTAGCGCTCGCAGTCTATCGTTGCTCTCGACGCGAACGTGCCCCGCCGCCACCATGCAATAACTGAAGCGCAGTGGGGCAGCACCAGAGTTTAGGCGAAGCCTCTTACCTGGGGAAATCCCATCTCGCAGGGCCGAGGTCTGCCCCGCGATACTGACAAGGTTTGTACAATCTTGTTCGTTGATGATACTGCAAGGCACAAACGTTTTCTTGACCGGAGAAGATCCATCATCGTAATCACGACCATGGCAGACGCAAAGAGGCTTGAAGATGCGCATGCGGCGTTCTGGGACAATGGCATTGCTATCCGACGCGAGGTAGCCGGGAACGAATATGTGGACCGGTCATTGTCGAAAGGTGCTTCAGATTTCGCGAAACCCATGCAGGAAATGGTGACTGAGATAGGCTGGGGCTATGGTGAGATCTTACCGTTGCAAGTCCATCTTGGCCACCGGCTAACGGAGACTATCAGTGTGGGCACGTCCTGGATTAGAACGAAAGACACGAAGTCTTCTCAATATTGCAATGCTGTGTGCTCTCAATCGTTCTGCAGAGCTAGCTGTGCATGTCAGAGGTGCTGTCAACAATGGCGCTACGGACGTCGAGATCCGAGAGACGATTATGCAGGCAGCAATATATGCAGGATTTCCCGCTGGACTCGAGGGAACTCGAGTGGCCGAAAGAGTGCTTGGCGAGATCAAAGATGAGCAAAGCACGGCTGGCAAAGCATAAGAGAGACTTATAGACGTCAAAATTCGAAAGAGAATCAAAGTCGTACCTGCGCTGTGTTGCAAAAGGACCACTTCAGATTGAGGTAGGGTTAAGGGCGTTTATGCCTAGGTATGCACAGACCTTTCAATGCAGTTCACCAATCTTGGGGCCATGTCAGCCACTGCTCAATCTCTACGGTGAATCCAAAAACCCAGAGTGCAAAATCCTGCCCGCTGCACCATCGTGTTAGTCTAAGGCCTGCAAAGCGGTTCAGCGCTCATTCGATATTGACCGGTCAGTACATACATATACCTCCCTCGACCTCTATACCGTTTGTGTCGGTGCCTGGCCCTTTAGCGACGATCTTTGTGTAGACAGCTGACGACTGGCTCGATCTCTCCATTCACTTCTTGCGCTTCTCTTTTGGGTCATTGCGACATCATCCACTGGCGCCCGAGCGCAGATGGTGCGATCCAGCCGAACCACCCAATGACGGCCACAGCCACTTGGACTCGCACCAATAATCAGGCGACAGGAGCGCGACCTTCAACGACGCCTCTCTGAGCCCGACGATGCGCGCAATGACCACAGGTCTTGCCGCCGTCGACCTTATTGATATCAGGCTTTGAGCGCAAGTCCGCCTGCACCCCTCTTAGCAGCGCCGGCCATGTCGAACTACCAGAATGGCCAGCAGTACTATGGCTCACATAGCCATCCCGCCCACGGCAACGAGCCATACCAAGACCAATACGACCCCCAACGAGCCCACGCAGAGAGAACCCGGACGTCGAGCTATGGGGGTGGGGAGCCTCAGTCCTACGGGTCCTATGGCCGCCACCCCCCAAGCGACGGCTATGTGCCCTACGGGGCGGCGGGTGGTGCGTCTGGCTACGACAGTCGCCAGCCGAGTAGTATAGATACCTCGTTGCCGTACCGACAGCCTCTGCAGACGCCTGCGCTGTCAGGCTATCAACACAATCCGCCACCATCGTCCCAATCATCGTACTCGACGTACAATCCAGCGCAGTACCAACACCAGCAATCGCAGCATGCCTCATACAACCCGCAGTCCTACGGCTCGCCGCCAAGTGCAACGCAGTCTAACTCATACCAACCCTACGTACCCGCCGCCTATTCCGACTCCAGTGTCCAACGAAACCCCTCAGTGTACAACAGCAACGCATACTCTGCCTATAATCAGACACCGCAGACCGCTTTCCCATCCGCGCAGGCACCTCCGCCGCCTCCGCCGCAGCATTCGGCCAGCTACGGCTCTTACCATCACGAGTCACAATACACCTCACAGTACCCGATGTCCTCATCTGTGCCTACGCGCCAGTCCACGTACGGCCCGTTGGCCTCTCCGCCGGCCCCAGCGCCACCACCACACGAGACGCAGCCGATTGCGCGGGCGTATTCTCATGCGTCCTCAAGCTACCAAGAAAGATCGTCATATGGCAACCTTGACGCTCCTGACATTGGCCGTTCCTCGTCATACGCCAGTCGCATCAGCAATCAGTCCAGCTACTCGGTATCTCCACAGCCATCAATACCGACACCACCTAGTCGGCATCATTCTGATCGATCACCACAGAGACACAACACGATCGGTCGCCACCCTCAGGGATCTACCTTGCCAGGCGTGCCATCGGAGTCCGAATCTGACAACGACTATTTTGTACCTCGGCCACCTGCGCACACGTCTGGTCCGAACGCTGGGCTGGATGATTTGATGACCCAGTTGGATAACGAGATTTCAGGACCGACACGACCCAGAGCAACAACGAGCGGCTCGCCCCAACCATATCTGTCTCCAGACGAGGCTCCCACCCATCTGAACGGGATTGCGTCAGGCGGAAATGCTTACATTAATTATGGTGCATTCAGCGATGATAGTGATGCGGAAGCGGCTGCGGGGTTGGCTGCGATGCAAGCACTGGATGAGCAGGAGCGACAAGAAGACGCCAGGAGAAGAAGCGGATCTGCTACTTTGTTTCCAACATCAACTTCGCAAGAAACGCCTGGCAGTCAACAGTACCAGGATATCAGTAGCGACAGTGACTATGTTGGTTACGATCTGTCAGCTGCCGGCGGAGGTTATGCACCCGGTCCAACATATGGAGAGGAATCGCATTATGCTGCGGCTGCTGCAATACCAAATGACTACATCCATCAGCAGTCACTCGATACGACTCGAATGAATTCCGTTCGGAGTAGCGGTCTGTCGAGTGAGGGACGCGCCTCAAATGCCAGTGCGGCAGACTTACCACCTATCGATACACAACCACACTCGTGGAATGTAGCAAGAGTCGACACAGGCGGCACAGGCGGGCTTACAGAGCCAAGTCCGCATCCTAGGCGTTTAAGCTACGAAGATGGCGACGAAGCCGGACTTTACGACTGGGAAGAGGGTAAAACTCCTCCCGGTCAAAGTCCATCTAGAGAGATGCCCGACCTGTTCTTTCACCCAGGTATGAGTGCGCAGCGACCCCTTCCTCCGCCTCCACCGCCACAGCTCGATACGACCCGAATACCGAACTTAATGCCGGCAGGAACCTACACGAATGCCCAGCGGTATTCGCAGTACACTGACAACCGATCGAGCTACCCAGCGGCGACGCCTGACACTTACGGAACCAATCTTCTAAGTCCACAGAACGTGCCCAGATCATCCTCATTGACAAGTAACCGTAATGCGCCTTCGGTGCCCCAGCCGATAAGGTCTAAAACCGACGCAGATCGAGCGAAGGCGCTCAAACAACAGGCATTGTCTGGACGACCTATGTCTGATGTATATGATATGTCAACGAGCGACGCTGGCATGGCGCTCGATTTACCAGCTTTGCCGCGCAAGAAGTTCAATCCTAACAAGATCACAACTGAGCAGTTCAAGAAGTGCTCGGAGCCGTGGGCATTAAGCTCGATCTCGAATTGGCTGCGAGATCTGGCTGAAGAGGAGACAGATCTCCGAGAACAGACTGTTGTCGACGCTATAGTTGCATTGTTCAGCCAGAAGGTTCCCACGATGAACACAACTGAGGCCGAAGTGCTCGGAGAACGTGTGGTAAAGGACATGCTCTCCGCGCAAGCTCTCGTTCGGGAGGAAGAGTGGGTGAAGTTTGGTTCCGGTACCGTTTCGGGCGTCATCTTCCAATTGACGGGCCTGGGATGCTATTCGTCGAAATTGCACGTCTACGAATCGAAAGGGCGGTGCTATTCGAACCATTGCCAACGCACACTCAAAGTCATCGATACAGGAGACCTTGTTGCTGGATCTCAGCAAGACTGGGTGACCTATTACAAGCTTGACGCCAAATCTATCGAGGGCAGGCCAAAGAAGGAGATTGAGCTGCAGAATATTCTGCATGAAGTCGTCACTACTGAAGAAGGATATATCGCTAGTCTCGACGTACTCCGCTTGCTCTACCGAGATCCTCTTCAGGCAGCCAATCCGTCAATCATCAACCTAAAAAGGTGAAAGAATTTGGCAAAGATGTCTTCGGGCTGGTGGACAAGGTCAAGAAAGTCAACAAAGATTTCTTGCTTGGTCGACTGAAGTATCGCCAGAACGAGCAAGGTCCTTGGATCAAAGGAATCAGCGACATCTTCAGGGAGTGGATCCGCAAAGCTCGTGCGACTTACGTCGAATATGCTACAAACTATCCTCGTGCCGACTTCTTGTTCCGGCGAGAACTGGAGCGTAACGTACAATTCAGAGCATATGTGGACAAAGCACGAGAGGACAGGCGATCACTCCGCCTCGGATGGGATAACTTCTTGAAGGCTCCAATCACACGTCTTCAGCGATACACTTTGCTTCTGCAGACTGTGGAGAAGAACATGGTAGAAGCGTCTGATGAGAAGACGAACCTGCAGTTCGCCCTTGACGAGATCAAGGCTGCGACGCACGAGTGTGATGCCAAATTCTCGGAAATGCAGAAGAAGATGCAGATGCACGAGTATGGTGTCAAGCTCAGGCTGAGACCTGGCATGGAGCGTGAGGTCGAACTAAACCTTGACCATCTCGGCCGTGAGATTCTTATCCAAGGAGAACTTCTACGTGCTGGCGGCAAAGGCTTTGCGTGGGTCGAAACACATGCAATACTCTTCGACCATTACCTGGTCCTGGCCAAGCATGTTCGAGGCGTTGGGCGATCAGACTACTTCGACGTATCGAAGCTGCCGATACCAATGGATCTGCTTGTGCTCGAAAGCGTGAACGATGCGGCAGTGATGAAGTCGTCGACAAAGCTTGCAACCGTGACGACAGCATCCCGCAACCAGCCAGTGGCCGATGCTCGTCTCAATAGGACCACATCAACTAACAGTGGTGGCTCGGGCGGTCTCCAGCATACCAACACGTCCACGTCTATGGGATCGGCGGCTACTGGCCCGTCCATGGTCTCAGTGACGGCGTTGGGTGAAAGTGGCAACAAGGAAGACAAGATCATGTATCCTTTCAAGGTGAAGCATCTGGCAAGTCGGAACTATATACCTTGTATGCGCCGAGTGCTCAAGCAAGAACGGACTGGTGCGAGGCCATCATGACCGCGAAAGAGCGACACGCGGAGCAGCTGCACGCGCAACGATCCGAGCCGTTCAAATTGCGGGTCCTCGCTGACACAGCTTTCGGCTACGAGGGCTTCGGTGGACCTTCGAAACGACTATTCCTGCGCAACACGCCTTTGCATCGGGCTATCAAGGAGTCGGAGAAGAAGTATGCTGGACAAGGTCGGCCGGCACCAGTGTGCAGAGCTCAGGTCAACTGTGCGACTGTCTTCAATCAGCCATATGGGCGGCTAATGTGTGCGATTGGTACTGACTATGGCATCTACATCTCGGAGTACGGCAGTGCTCGGGGTTGGACCAAGGTACGATACTCTGAGCTATTGTGCGACAGATACTGACCACCCTCTTCAGGCCATAGCAATGAACCGCGTCACTCAAATCGCCGTGCTCGAAGAGTTCAATCTTTTCGTATTGATCGCCGACAAGGTTCTGATCGCATACCATCTCGACAAAGTCTGCCCACCAACTGGCGCCACCGGTCAACCTCAGAACGACGCAACAGGACGCACAGCGCCACAAAAGCTTTCCGGCTCAAAAGATGTCGGCTTCTTCGTGACAGGGCGAATGAAGGATCGCACATTAGTCTTCTATAAGAAGAAAGACACCCCCTCATCACATTTCAAAGTCCTCGAACCAGTTCTTCAGAAATCAACGACATCTCGGTCGAGATTTCTACCGAGTAGTACTCGCCGCGGCCAGACAGAGTTCTTCCGGGAGTACGATGAGTTCTATATTCCCGCCGAATGCTACGGCCTGAACCTCTTCTCCTCCAGCTTGGCAGTTTCGACCGCTCGAGGCGTCGAAGTGCTCAACCTCGACAAGAAGCAAACATGGACTGTGCCGAACCTACGCTCAGAGCAGCCCGATACGCAAGCACACCTGTCGTCTATCGCATCCCGGATCAAAGACCTGAGACCGCTCGGCATGTTCCGCCTCTCCGAGTCCGAGTTCCTCGTCGTCTTCGAAGAATGTGCTGTATATGTCAACAAGCACGGCGATGTTTCCCGCGGTGTGGTCATGGAGTTCGTAGGCAAGGCCAACTCCGCTTGTCTCTATGCGCAACAGTACCTCATTCTAGTCGATGAGGACTTTGTCGAGATCAGAGATGCCCAAAACGGGCGGCTCAAACAGATTATCAGCGGCAAAGGAGTCCGAATGCTGGACGATGGGAGTGGAGGCGGCCAGCAAGGTGGAAATCAGAGTGGCGCGAATGGCAGTGCAGGTGGTCAACAACAGCCGGCGCAATTAGGTGGCGGTGCCAACGGACTACGTCTGCAGGGGTATGGAAAGGTCAGGGGCACAGTCAAAGTCGCGATGCAGCATCCTGAGGAGCCGCGGACGGTTGTCGTCGTGGAGCTGGAGCTTCTCGAAGGAGATGGCGAGGATGGTGTCTAGTTGACGCCGCAAGTGGGCCGGAGGACATCGCTATGGACTTGTACATTTTAAGATGCGCGGACTGCAGACTAACGCCAGTCGCAGGCACCTTTAGCAGGATACGGTACGGATGAGACACGTTTGTTAACGAGCGTTCGAGCCACAGCGTTGCGCAGCGCAAACGCATCGAAGCGCACCATGTGATGCGCTGGGAGGAAAGGGCGGGCGGTGCCTTGAGCACTAAGGAAAAGAGCTTCGTTGGATCCTAGGTCAGCTGAAAGATACGATATGGGAAGGTAGTGTTTCTGGTAGACAAATGTGCGGCAGGCGACAATTTGATGACGACTTCCGTACACTCATGTTTTGCACGACACTGGCTACCACGTACTACTCACCACTGTCCGTCAGCAGATAGCGATCCGAGACAAAATTGAACGGCTCTAATACTGTTACAAGTGCCAAGACTCATGTCAACTCAAGGGCGCGCGTGAAAGTATATTCAGACTCAGCAATATGAACTCGACATAGACCACTCAAGCAGAAATGTCTTCGTAGTCACTGTCGATGCCGATTGGGCATCTAGGTCCTTGGGCACAGCATGCAGCATCCGGCACCTAAGCGGTATACCTAGCCGATTAAGCGACGATCCTGGTTTCAGTATACGAACACGTCCTCGAAGTATATGCTAGGAGCCGATCTGCGCATACCATCAGCTGTACAATTCGGATCTCTCGAACGTTTGAATGCTGCTTGATTTGCAATACAACCAGGAACACATAGTGGTATCTGGCTCAAGACAGAGGGTTCGTGCTGCGACGTTCAGAGTAGACCGGCGGTTGCATGTACAGTATTCCAGCTTGGTATAAGATAGAATCGACAGCCATCTCCGTGGGGCAAATACTTCCAACCATCAACGCCAGCATGAACGGCCACACACCCATCGTCCCAGATTTCGTCCCCTCTGAACCACCGTTGACACATCTCCCACCACCCTTCACCCAATGGGACGACATCGCGGCGAGCCTGCCCACCCTTCTCTCGTCCCAAGACTCCACCCTGCACGCCGAAATCACCACCCTCCCGCTCCTCTCCACGGCCAGCCTCACCACAATCCCACAGCTCCACCGCGCATACGTCGTCCTCGGCTTCCTGATACACGCTTATGTCTGGTGCGATCGTGCCGTCGGAGACACCAGTGGAGCAAGGATCCCGCAGCAGCTCGCGCAGCCGTATACTGATGTGTGCAGGCGACTGGGGCTGGAGGGGAGGGAGACGTTGGCTTATGCGGGGCTGTGTAGTTGGAATTGGGGGTTCAAGGATGGTGCTGGTGGGATTGGCGAAGGGAATTGGGAGCTGGAGAAGATGGATTGCCTCGTGAGTTTCACTGGGACGAGGGACGAGGCAGTATTCTACCTTGTGCCGGTGATGGTCGAAAGGGAAGTTCAGGGGCTGGTTGGGCATTTGGTTGAGGTTCTGGAAATAATCCAGCCCGTAAATGGTGAGAGCGCTGACGGGAAGACGGTCGGAAACGTGACCCAACTCCTAACCGAGCTTGGAAAGCGACTGATCAAGATGCAAGCTCACATGAAACTCCTCCACCAACACTGCGACCCCGCCATCTTCTACAACCAAGTCCGGAAGTACTTCGCCGGTGGCAAAGGCAGCAAGGGCTGGATCTTCGAACTTGCCGACGGCTCGGAGGTCGCGCGCTGGTGCGTTGGTGGTAGTGCGGCACAAAGCGCTACGTTTCCCTTTCTGGATGCTGTTCTTGGGGTCAAGCATGACAAGATGGGTGGAGAGGTAAGTGTGTTTGGGGAGATGCGCGAGTACATGCCTGGTGAGCAGCGCGAGTTCCTCAGCTCTGTGGAGGGGAGGGCCTCCATTGGGGACTTCGTTCGTCGCATTGGCGGCGATGAACCTGCTTTGCTAGGGGCATATAATGCTGTGCTGGAGGAGCTGGCTAGGTGGCGGTCTAAGCATATTGGGGTCGTGACGACGCATATTGTCAGTCAAGCGAGGAAGGAGAAGAAGGAAGAGGTCAAGGCGGAGGAAGTGACGGATGGTCTGAGTGTGCGGGATGAGGGAGATTTGCAGGGTACGGGTGGGAGTGCGTTGATACCGTTTTTGAAAGGGGCCACTCAGGATACGGAGCGGGCCAGGAAGTGATCGGTCACTCAAATGTACCTTCTTGTAGACATCAGCAGCAGGCGACTCCCAGCTCTGCCCACAAATCGCACCTGCATTTCAAAAATTTGCGTGTTCATCCGCAGAGTCGTCGGAGAGAGGGAAAGAGGTCAGAGGATGGTAAACGTTCAAGCGACTCGAGATAAGCTTCCCCGGATATCTGGGCCGAGGCGGCCTTGGCATGCGTCAATGTCGATCTACCAAAGTTCCGAGTCCCGATCAGCGGCGAGAATATTCCATCCAGGCACGCGCGCGTTGCACCGGCCATTCTTGACGACGACATCACCTTATACAACATGATAGCACGATAGCATCAGTGGAATATCAACACCCTTCGACCTCACCATACCTTCTGCTGCGGCATCTTCACACTTGACCTCGCTGCAGCCGTAGCAGCCATAGCAGCCAATCGCAAGATGGCAGATGCTGTGGCTCTCAAGGACCAAGGCAATGCTGCCTTCAAGGCCCATGACTGGCCCACGGCAGTAGACTTCTATACACAGGCGATCGAGAAGGACAGCACACAGGCAGCGTTCTACAGCAATCGGGCGGCAGCCAACATCAAGCTGGAGGCATATGCTACGCTATTGCGGACGCCAGCAAGTGTATTGAATTGGATCCCAATAACGTCAAGGTACGGCGAAGAGATGCCGTTGGCGTAAGAACCTGGCTGACATATTCTAGGCATACTGGAGAAGAGCCACGGCAAACACCGCAATCCTACATTCGAAAGATGCCGTCAAAGATTTCCGAATTGTATGCAAAAAGCAACCGAACAATGCGGACGCTAAGCTGAAACTCGCTGAACTTGAAAAATTGGTCAAGCGAATAGCGTTCGAGAAAGCCATTGAAGTCAGCGACCCGCCCTCGGCGTTCGAGAGCCTCGATATCGACTCCATCAAGGTCGAAGACACCTATGACGGGCACAAGTTGGGCGACGTGATGACGCAGGAGTTCATTGATGACATGATAGAGCGATTCAAGAACGGCAAGAAGATACATCGCAAGTACGTCTTCCAGATCATCAAGGCGGTCAAGGAGCTGGTCTATGCTGAGGCGACCATGGTCGAGATGGAGGTCGAGAAGGATACGTCATTAACGGTCTGTGGCGACACGCACGGCCAGTACTTCGACTTGATGGAGCTCTTCCGGTTGAACGGATTCCCTACCGACAATCACATGTACCTCTTCAACGGCGACTTCGTGGATCGAGGTTCGTGGTCAACAGAAATCGCCCTCCTACTATACGCCTACAAGTGGCTGCGACCGAATCGGTTTTTCCTGAACAGAGGTAATCATGAAACCGACGACATGAACAAAGTCTACGGCTTCGAAGGCGAGTGCAAGGCCAAGTACAACGAGAAGACTTTCAAACTGTTCTCAGAGTCCTTCTCGGCACTACCACTGGCGACCCTAATCGGCAAGAAGTACCTCACGCTGCACGGCGGTCTCTTCTCAGATGACAAAGTCACGCTAGACGACATCAGGAAGCTAGACAGGCATAAGCAAAGGCAACCTGGCCAGGCGGGTCTGATGATGGAAATGCTCTGGACGGATCCTCAGCCTCAACCTGGGCGAGGACCGAGTAAACGTGGCGTCGGTCTGCAGTTTGGACCAGACGTGACAAAGAGATTCTGTGATAACAACGGTCTCGAGGCCGTTATTCGGAGTCATGAGGTAAGAATGGAGGGCTATGAGGAGGAGCACAACGGGAAGTGCATCACAGGTGAGCCTTTCGCATTTTACGTGGGCACACGTACTGATCTGGCCCAGTCTTCTCGGCGCCCAAATACTGCGACACAACAGAGAACAAGGGCGCGTACATCAACATCGGCCCAGAACTCAAGCTTGAGTTCCACAAATTCGATGCTGTGCCGCATCCAGACATCAAACCCATGGTGAGTCAATCAATCCACCCAAGAATCGCGTTCGATGCTAACCAGCCTCAAAGGCCTACGCACAGAATTCCCTGATGCAGCAGATGGCTATGTAGACTTCTCAACTACTCCAAGATTGTACAGGCTAGACTGTTCGGCATCAGCGTTCTCCGCTGCACATTGTTTCTTGCTAGCATATTGGATATCGCATTGCAAAGAAAAGATACGGGCAAGATCGACGTTCGATGGTTACTGTTGCAGATACCATACTACTTACTATTCATGCTCCACAGCAGCAACTATCTTCCTCTTACGATTCAGTGCGATGCTGCTTCCCCGGACTGTCTAATTGGAGCTGTGCTCAGGCGACCGCGCCTTCCCAGGTTCATAAGACGGCGAAGGTCGTAACGCTTCTACCGCCAGCCTCATCGCTTGCGACTCTTCCGTGTCCGTGGCATCCTCTCCCCCTGGCGTCGCAAGCTCTCCTTCTGTCGCCAGCTCCCCATCGGTGGCAAGCTGCCCAAGCGTGGCCAGCAGCCCGGCTTGCACCACCAGCATTGAGACCAGTTGGGTTCCCGTCTATGCCACCGACAGCAGCTGCTATTTTAGCCAGTCGAGCGTCGCGAGTCCGGAGAGCCATGCTTCGCAGGCGTCGGTTGCGAGTCCGGTGAGCGTTGCCTCGTCGGTGAGCCAGGCATCGCAGGCGTTGCAGGCGTCTCAGGCAGCTTCACCTTCCTTTTAGGTTGCTCAACTCAACTTCCGCTCGGAGCATCACCAGTTCGAAGGATGAGTGGCCCGGACCGCGACATACCTACCTCGTGGCGGCCAATACATTGATTCACGGTTTCTTTGTCGCCCCCAACGCCGTCGTCAGCTTGAAGCAGGCCGGATCCGAGTAGAAGTAGGAGTCGTCGGATCCTGCAAAAGACGCAGATGAAGGTCTACTTAGACATAGACACTCACTCATACAGCTAGCACTGAGATAAAAGAAATGAAAATAGACCATGAAAACTCAAACAAATGAATGACTTGCCTGTTCCCTCGGTGCTGCAGCCTGCCCTGACAACGTCCAACGAGGCGACCGGTGCAAGACCGGCCGCTTCCCCTTAGGTAGCGTGTTTGATCAAATTGCTTGACAAGCTAGATAGCAGCATTCGATCTTGGACATCCAACTCTTTGCTGCTCAAGGTACATAACCTCGTCAGCCAACTAGTTGTGTATCTGTAGTGTTGGCTTCGATGAAGTGCTCCTGTGAGCTGTTCACCACGGGCATTGGGACGATTGAATGATAGAGTGGCTCATTTTTGCTCCTTCACTTGCAATCCATGGCTGTTCACTGGTTCCCGCTGTGTATAGTGCAGTGACCAGGAACACCATCAAGCTGGTTTCACTTTGTGAAAGAGTGACGCGGCAGGAAGGCGTGATTGTGACTGAGCTTTCCTGAAAGAGTGCAAGTCTTCATACCTGCGCACTTATAAATATTTACGTTGCGTCAGCATCTTTGAACCCTTGCCCACACCCACTCACCACTGCTCGAACACTGCACGAGAGAACACACACTCCAGTGCCAGTCACAGAACTCCATCTCGACAGCATATCATCTCATCCGAGCGACAGGGCCGAATCGATCACAATGCCACAACACGTCACACATGCTGAGGTGGTCAACTCGCCACAATTCGTCACATATGCCAATGTGGTCGCGAACAAGCCAGTCTTCGCCTCGAGGCATCTGCTAAGGACAGTCAATCAGGAGAAGTCTGAGACGAACCCAACTGTGCCGACGATTGTCATTACCGAACCTTGTCGTTTCCAAGTAAGTGGGAGCTCCATATCGCGGCCGGGCCCATCATGGTAGGCAGTGACCTGACACCGAGCACAGAACCATCCGCTGCGCAAATTTGCCAAGCTTCCGATCGAGATACTCATACAGATCCTGGAGCTCCTCCTACCCAAGAAGATTCAAGTCCATCTTTATGGCGAACGATCCTGGACAGGACCCCGACGCCCGCGCGTTCTTTTTTCCTGGATGGTGAACAACAGTCATAGCAACGACATGAAACCCCAACTCACGCGCTTGCTGCTCATCCGCAAAGACTTGAGTGCTCTCCTCGGCCCCATGATCTTTTCGCGCATAGAGGTGATGGTCAAGGGGCTTGCAGACGGTGATCGGTGGTGGTATGACGACAGACTCTTTCGACGAGATCGTATCGCAGTCATTGGCAAGGTATGGCTCCAGCCAGTTTACGATGTGGGTCTTAGCCATCTGCACCAAGCCTTGGTTGAGAAATATGACCGGAGCCGAGTCTGGGTCGATGGTACGGATCGGGATCGCGAGCTTGGTCTATTTGGTGCTGCACGTGCCAAGCGTGCGAGGGCTCAGGCAAAGAAGGACGAGGAGGCTCGTGAAGCAAAGGCTAAGCGGTTGTGGAGCGACGTGGTGAAGGGTGCCAGGTCGGAGCCGTAGGAAGGTGGAAGAGATTGACAATACCGAGGCAGGCTCGAGGTCCTTACCTCTGCCCTTGTGGCAGCTCTGAGCTCTCTGCCTGATGCTCTCAGTCAGACACCTAGACCCTGACTGAAGGCCACCAGCATAGGCATTGCAAACCTGGAGAGGCAAGTTGCTCCTAATCTCGGTGTTGTACTCTAGGCGTTTGGCTAGATGCTTGATGTAACAAATAGGAACATTTGACCTCGCTTTTCCGATCTGTTATGCTGGAAGCATCATCCTCCTCGACTATAGCGCATCCGCACACCTTGCAGTACTCGCCGAGTCGCCGCAGACTTCGCAATTCGAAAATAGTGATCGGCGCGAGTCACAATCAGACCAGTCGCCATGGCACAAGTCCTTGCCTCCTCACCTGCTGAAGTGAGTCAAGGACTGCTAGAGCAGTACACTTCTGGCGTAGGAGACTTACTGACCGTGTATTAGCAACACTCTCCAAGCACGTCGAGCAAACCAACGGCTGGCAGCGCTGAGACTTCCGCCCAGGTAAGCGAATGGCCTGCGCAGCGATGCATGCCCAGATGATAGAAATGGAGAACTGATCGAAGTACAGAAGCAGCATGTCCCGAACCTAGCCAAATTACCAGGGTACATCATCGTCCAGGTCCTCGAGAACCTTCTTCCCGAAAAGATCGAAGCTCAGATTGCTCATGGCACAACGTCTTTGCTATGGCACACGAAAAACACCGAGCCCGTTCGGTGGGATGTCAATGGCTACGACGTGCAGCCGAAGCTCACGCTCCTCCTCATCATATGCAAAGACTTGAGTGCTCTCCTTGGGCCCATGATCTTCTCACGCATGGAAGTGGTAGTAACGTGGATCGGTAACACTCAGAGTGAGGTATGGCCGCTGATGCGGGAGCGCCGAGAGGACTGCGCAAGACACAAGGACTTTCAAACCTCGTACGATCGGGCGCTCAGCAGTGTGCATCGGAACCTGGTGGAAAAGTATGACGACCGCGTATGGGTCAATGGTGCCGCCCGAGATCGTGAGCTCGGGTTGTTTCGTGCCGCTCCGCCAGCAGTCGAGGTGGACTGGGACGAGTGGGTGGCGGAAGCGATGGCCCAGGAGCTCGGCTATAACTATGCGCATTCCGGGGACTGATTCAGACTGTGGAAAGTGTGATGGCGACGACTATGAGCGATCAGTATGACACTGCAAATCTGCAGTGGCACTCTGCTCCATAGCTTACTATTGTGGGTTAGGCGTTTGGCCATATAGCAAATAGCAAAATCTGAGTTACCCAAACCATTCATCGTACTTGAAGCATATAGTTTCCGCCGCCACAGTGGCACTCACTACCCAGCAGTGGCACCTTGAGTGACATATGTCAGCGTGGGATCAGGCTGACTAGATCTGGGAAAGATGAAGATCATCCTGAGTACTGTTCACTTGCTGAACACGCAGGCTCACGTGTTCCTGCTGTGTAGACTGAAGTGCCCAGAGACCTTCACTCCGACTTGATAGTGTGAACGAGTGAGGGACAGCACACCCTCCCCAAATTAAAGAGAGCAAACCACCTATAGATATCTATCAGCGCTACTTACCAGCCCTTGAGTACTTACACAAGCACCCATATTGCAGAGATTGCCGCAAGCTCCATCTTCCAGAAGCCCGGTATGTCGAACGTCTTAGTCAGAACAACCACAATGCCACAGTTGGTTGTCGAAGATGCTAAGGTGAGTCGGTGCATACAAAGACGAACCGTCTCTCATGCCAAGAAGCAGCCTCTGACGACCGTCCAGGAGCAGTCTCAGGCCACAAACCGGGCACCGGCCGACATGATTCCGTGGACTGCTCTAGTGAGTACTCCTGCGTCGCGGCATAAGCCCACTGTTGAAGCAAAGGTAATACTGACGAAGACGAAGGAGAAGCCTATCCCGAACTTGGCCAAGATGCCCCTCGAGATCATCTACCAGATCTTTGACGACCTGATCCCCAGGAACATCGTTGTAACGATCAGCGACCCCATCCCCAAGAACATCATCGTAACGATCAGAGAGCGGCGCAAGACGCGTGACCTCGATGATGGCCAGGACTATTCAGACCAAGACGACTTGCATCTCTACTGGCATGACTCACCGCTCTACTGGACGTACTCTCCTCGTTCTCAGTTCTCCAAGTGGTGTCTCATATGCAAAGACTTGAGCTCCAAACTAGGTCCCTTGATTTATTCGCGTCTCGAGCTTGCCGTGCAACTGGACCGAGTCTTCGACGGTGACCTGATATCCTTACACTTCGGCAAGGAATCCCTGGTCGACAAGGAGAGCCCCATTTTCTTGTGCTGCTTGAAGGAAGGCGTTCTAGACGACATGGAGAACCTGAAAACCTCATACGACATCGGTCTAAGTCATCTGCATTGGATCCTGGTGGAGAAGTTCAACAAGCGGGTGGGGGTTGACGATGCTGCCCGAGACCGCGAACTTGGCTTGTTCCGTGCTCTGCCTGCCGAGTGTGACGTGAGCAAAGACGAGGTGGTGGACGGCAGAGTGAATGGTATGGACGAGATCGAGGCGGTCGCCAAAGATGCCGACGTCCAAGACGATGTCAGCTCAGGGGTTGCTTCGATGAAGCTTGAATAAGCCGCTCGATGGTGAGAACAACGCCATCATCATCGATCTGTCGAGTCAGAGATTGATGATCGACAGCTACACAGATGATACGACCCCTGCGAGCGAGAGCAAGTCCATGGACAACCTTCACACAGGTGCTGCCAGACGTGACCGCTGTCGTGGAAGTTGAGCTCGAGGTGATCGTGACTGCAGATAGGTTGAGGAGTCCTGAGCCCGGAAATAATACTGGCAAGAGCGCCCCCAATAAACCTTATCCTTCCCCCGAGACGTGATGTTGTACGTGACTACGTGCCTTCCACCCTACCTACCATTGATTTCAGAAAGACAAAGTACACGCACGAGGATCCCACTGACACACCAAATTTCAAAGCGTGTTCGTGTAGAGCGTGATTTTGAGATAATTGCGGGCGATATGACAACCTTGACCATCAGCATCTCGAGTCCAGACCATGGCATTCCAGGATGAGATACCAAACAGTCAGCCTTCCTCGCCGGCAGTATCGCCGTGGTATGATGGCACAGATGAAAACGAGACCACCGATCGCAATGACTATGCAGAAGCTACCACCTTGAACCTCAATGCTGAGGTTGCAGATGCGCACAATGCAGTGCGTGGAACGAGTGACAGCATCACTGCTCCCACCAAACACACAGACCAGCAGCCCGAAAGTCCGGTGCCGAACCACCAAGACCAGGACTCATCACTCAAGCCAACTCCTCCGCGAAGACAGGACACGTCCCCCGTACACAAACCTCCCTCGACAATCACTAAGCACACTTCGGCAAGTCAGGGCCGGAGGTCCTCTGCTAGACGCGTCCAGCATCAGCACTCGTACACACCAGCGTACCTTCGCTCGCGTATAGCTTTACTCCTATCATCCCTCGAGTCGACGCATGCGGACCTCACGTCTACGCTTGCTGAGTTCGAGAAGCAGCTGAAGCTAGAACTTTCCTCAACCATCAACGGCCAGTCTGCTCCGACCGACACCGCATCACCAACTGAACCTCCATCGCACAAGCAACCTCTTACCCTCACACCTGAACAAACTATACTTCTCGCGCGCGCCTCAACCACCCTGCAGTCCCACGTCAATCGCCTGGGCAAGTACAACGCAGTCAAGGACATTGCGATGGGCATGCTGGGCATGATCGCCGAGCGGGAGGGCAAGACTGTGCGTGCTGTCATGCTGGAGAGGGAGGTCGGGTTGGAGGACTGAGAAACCATCGCGGGTGCTCCCATGATCTGGGCTGCGTAGCAATTAGATGGACAAGATCTGGGAAGGGACGGTGGAGAGCAGGGACGGGCAGGACCTACTGTATCATGCTATTGTCCAGCCATGAGGGTTGTCCGAGCGCAGATGCTGCTTTCATGATCGCAGACACGGGTAAATGAGACAACGAGACGAAAAAGACGTAGAACTGACAGATACCTGAAAGAAGTTGCAATATCTGTGCTCTGACATTTCCCCCAAAGTCCGCCGCATCTTCTAACCTCTATCTGGTGACTCGACAGTGCCACGATAAATCCTCAAACCAGTTGCTCTGGCCAATAATGATGCCCAACGACCCAAATCGGCCGTCTACTCTTTGTATCGATGCCCACGACTCCATCAACGCCACGCTGAAAGACAACTCAGTCCAAAGAAGAATGCCTGGTAATGATATCCACGACAGCACATCATCAGACCACGAGAGCTTTAATGATGCCTCTCCAAACTCTGCATCCCAACCATCTCCCTATACCGCCCCTTCAACGCCATGAGCTCACTATGCGTACCCCTCTCCTTGACCACACCCTTCTCAATCACATATATGACGTCCGCTTTCTGGATCGTGCTCAGCCGATGCGCCACAGCAATCGTCGTCCTTCCCTTCGCCGCCGCGTCCAGTGCCGCTTGCACCACCTTCTCGGATTCTGAGTCCAGTGCTGAGGTGGCTTCGTCGAGGAGAAGAATCTTGGGGTCACGGAGGAGGGCGCGTGCAATGGCGATGCGCTGCTTTTGGCCACCTGAAAGGAGGGCTGCTTTGGCGCCTACCGCGGTGGAGAAGCCGTCACTGTGGAAGAACTGTCAGTATGAACGGACGACAATGGAGAGGCAGCGCAAGACAATCTGAGAAGGACTCACGGCAAGGAGATAATGAAGTCGTAAATGTTGGCGTCCTTGCAGGCACGGATGATGCGTTCGTCAGATACTGGGATTGGCTCATCGGCGCTGACCTGATCAGCTTGGCCGAGGAGAATGTTCTCTTTGATGGTGCCTTGGTACAGAGTAGGCTCCTGGGACACAAGCGCGATGTGGGACCGGTAGTCGTTGAGATTCAGGCCTGAGATCTCATGCCCGTCAACGTACACACCACCAGCGAGAGGGTCGTAGAAGCGTTCCATGAGCGCGATGGTGGTTGACTTGCCACAGCCCGAAGCGCCAACGAGTGCGATGTACTGACCTGGCTTGACGACCAGATCCAAGCCACGCAGCACAGGGACGTCCGGTCGCGTTGGGTAGCGGAAGTGGGCGTCCCGGAACTCGATATGGCCTTCAACGTGGTCAATCTTGTCGCCTCCATCTGACCATGGATCTATGGTCGGTTCGCGGTCGAGCAATTGCTTTAGCTCCGCTGCTGCGTTCTTGGCTTTGGACATGTCTCCGGCGAAGGAGAAGACCGTGCCGGCCGACTGCGCACCAAAGATGATTTCCGAGAAGACAATAAAGAACTGGAACATTGTGTACTCGCCACGATAGAGAAGCGTGCCACCGTACCAGAAGCCAAGCGCGAAGGCTAGAAACATGGCTGATTGTGAAGCGGCATACAGCGCAGAGTTCCGTAGATTGGAACGTAGCGAAGTCTTGAGCTGTCGATTTAGTTGCTCGCAATAATCGTCGAAGATCTCGGCCTCTGTTGTCAACGAGGCCACGGTTCGGATAGCGTTCGTGTGTTCGCAAGCGTATCCAGCAGACTTCTTGTATGCTTTTTGGGCATCTCGGGAGAACTTAGCCAGCGTCCAGAACCGGAAGAAACCAGTCCCCAGGATGATTGGCAAAGCACACATGCACACCAATGCCAGCTTCCAGCCGATACTTAGAGCAATAACGACCGCCAGGATCAAAGTAGTCGAGCAGCTGATGAGAGTGCCAAGCGTAGCGCCAGAAAGGGATGCTAGATGCGTTGTCTCGGTTGACAAGAAGGATGTGAGAGCGCCAGTCGAGTTCTCTTCTTCGTCGAAAAATGCAATGTCTTGCCGCAACATTGACCTGAAGGCTCGATCACGAGCACGATGGATCAAGATCTCTGAGCACCAAGCGAACGCAATTCCTTGCGTCCACATGGCGACCAGAGTAACAAGACCAAGCATGAGGTACATCAGAGCCCAGAAGCTGACATCTGACCGAATTTTATCCCTGAACTCCGGAAGTGGTTGAGTCAGAGCGATGATGGATTTGGCGAAGAAGATTCCTTGTACCGGTTGATTGGCGCCAGCGATGAATGTGAAGAAGAAGCCAATGCACATGATCCACCACTCCTTCCGGTTGAAAGACGCCATGAACTTGATCAATGTCCACAGAGAATACTTGATCTCTTTGTTCGTGTCCTTCCCTTCTAAAATCTTTGACGAGACAGACTTCTGACTTTTGGTTCGACCCAAGGCGAGCTTCTCGTCCTCAGGGTCGACCATCGAGTTCGCTGCGCCCGACTTGGTGGACACCACCCTGCTAAGGTGCTCTGACTGTTCTCCAAGAGATTCTTCGTCCTCTTCTTCCTTGTCGTCACCTATACGTTGAGCTGACACAAGATTGTAATATGCCTGCTTTTTCACAAGCAGCTCATCGTGGGTCCCTTGCTCAATGATTCGTCCGGTCTGCATGACCACAATGTTGTCTGCATCTCTGATGGTCGAGAGGCGGTGAGCGATAACGATGGTTGTCCGGCCCTTAGCAGCCTCGTCGAGAGCACGCTGCACAACACCTTCTGATTTCGTGTCGAGTGCTGAAGTGGCCTCGTCGAGAAGGAGGATCTTCGGGTCGCTGACTACTGCTCGAGCGATGGCAACTCGCTGCTTCTGACCACCAGAGAGAAGGAAGCCTCGTTCTCCAACGTGAGTCTCATATCCGTCAGGAAGCGAAGAGATGAAGTCGTGGGCGTTTGCCATTTTCGCAGCTCTGATGACGCGTTCCATCTGCTGTTCTTCCGTCTCGTCATCGAATCTGGAACCAATCAGTCCGTTCATGATGTTTTGCTTGATCGACTGGCTAAACAGAACTGGCTCCTGTTGCACGAGCGCAATTTGACGTCGAAGCCAACGAAGATTGAGATCCGAAATTTTGTGCCCGTCGAGCAGAACTTCTCCGCCGACCGGGTCATAGAAGCGTTCGACAAGGCCAACAATCGTGGACTTTCCAGACCCACTGGCGCCCACAAGAGCTGTGACCTGGCCAGCAGGCACCACGAGACTAACATCTTCCATGACAACCACTTCTGGCCGCGAGGGGTAGATATGCTTGACGTTCCGTAGCTCAATCGTGCCTTGCACGTTGTCTAGCGTTTCTCCAGTCTCAAGTGTCGGGTCCAATGGGGAAGTGCGGTCGATCGTTGAGTAGATCTTATGAGCTGCTGCTACGCCGGCAATAAAGTGCTGTATGTTTGGCCCAACATTGCCGAATGAGAATGCACCGATCATAACAGCAAGAATGATGGTAAGAATCGAGGAAAGAGTCGTTTCGCCATCAGTCAGGAATCGAGATCCCATCCAAAACGCTAGACCATAGTTTAAGAAGATGAAGCACAGCAGGCATCCAATCATGCAAGCTAGAGTTGACTTGCTGCGAAACCCCCATCTGCGAGCCTCGTGCAAGTGGACGTCGTACTGCTTGGCCAGGCGGTCCTGCGTGCCGAACGCAACGGCATTACGAATAGAGCCGAGAACTTCCTCGGCGACAGTGCCACCGACTGCATAGGCGTGTAGGGACTTCTTGTTCCATCCCGTCATGAAGCGTCCTCCGACACCCATCGTTACCACAATAGCAACGACCGTCGCCATGCAGATCAACGTCAACTTCCAGAACTTGACGAACCCAATCACGAAGGCCGCGAAGAACGAAGCGACACCCGTTAACGTCAGCCCAACCTTCTCCGAAATTGCTTCTTGAATCAAATTAGTGTCTGCCGTGATGCGTGTAGTGACCTCGCCGGCGCCCAGCTTGTCGAAGAAGCCGATGTTCTGTCGCAAGATGGCTTTCAAATATTGGTTCCGGACCTTGGAGGTAATGTGTTCGCCGATGTAGATGAACAAGACGGTGGAAATATAGATGAGCACGAATTCGCCAACTGCCAGGTACACAAAGTACAATACGTAGCGGTTTAGCGTCGACTTGAAGGTGTCCGCGATATCTCCCAGGGTAAAGCTTTGAAACGTGCCGGAGAGGTTACCGAAGACAACGGTCATCAACGGCATGACAGCTCCTCCAGCGATGGCGGTTAAGCAGGCAATGACCAGGAAGACTTTGTCCCACTTCGTAGCATATCGGTAGAGCATCTTGTATGTCACTTTGATATCGGGAGCATCGAGTTGTCTTTTCAGGACCATCCTCTCTGCTTCTGGCAGATGAGCCAGCGCAGCGTCTCCTTCGAGGACGTCTCGTTTTATCAGGATCTCCGAGTCGAACTTGCGAAGATCTGGTCTGCCATCGGAGCTGGATGTTGGCGACGGCGGTACCTTTTCTGTTGGTGAAACTATCGGCGCTGACTTCTCGTCGGTAGGTACTGTGTCCTTCTCTTGTTGTGTATCCAGGCCCAGCTCTTCTCTCTGTTGCTCGTCCGCATTCTTTTCAATCTCGCCCAGGCCCTCAGGCAGGCCACCTTTGGGGTCCATGTCTGCTCGGAGGCTGCGCTCAAAGCAGACGTATCCTCCTTCGTAGTCCTCTCAAGAACTGGCGTGATTCTCGTTCAGGGCTGCTGGATCTGGACTAGTCGTAGAGAGTGTGGTCTCCGCAGAGCTTCGAATTGCTGAGTGGTGTTGGAGCTCGAGTGAACTGTATGTCAGCCCTTCTGACAGCCAAACCGTTCAGCTTCTGATCGTCTTTTCGGAGCACAAGTCCGTGGCAGGAGTCTTAATCTGTAGCGCTACAGTCCGGCAGACGCTCTACAAGTATTAACAATACTGGGAAGTTTGTGAGAATAAAGACCTCCAGTGCTTGGAAAGGTGAAGAACGGAAATGAACGATTGCCACCGACCATGCAAAGATTAATAGTAGGCAGATACAAATGAAAGCGACCGTGGAAACCGAGCAGGAAGGAATCACCGCGTAATGTGGTGTTCGCCATCGCAGACGCACCACTGCAGGCATGTCGCAAAAAGCATACCAACCGAGGCGGACTCTGCAAGGGTGCTCGGGTCCGATGGATACGAACTTTCAAGAAGAAACTCGACAAAATGGTGCCTATGAGAATGGCTCGCGAGCGTTTTTCCGCAGGCAATATCAGTACTGTGCTTTTGCGTCTACAGGTGATGACCCCTTGAAGACTTGACGGACGCTCAAGCTTTCGAGGTCCCAATCGCTTAGAGTCCGCCGCGAGTAAACTATACCTCGTTGAGCTTTCATCGTCGGAGCACGGAATCCCACGATCCATCGGTTCTTACGCAGAAGTCATGCTGTTTCCCTGCGAAGCTCAACGCGTGAAGGCCATGAAGCAATATATTTACACAAGGAAGATACTGACGCAGACAGTAACGCCGAAGTTTCCGTCACAAGTATCGTTATACATGACACCCATGTTCCTGCATCTGGTGACTCACCTCAAGCGCTCGATCGCCCAATGGTAGATGTCCCGGCAACGTACTCGTACAGCAGAATCAACATGGAAGCTGTGCATAATCTAAAAGGTATTGTCTCGGCCAGGCAACCCTTTGCAGAAATCGTTGCAGAGATCTGATGCGGTGGAATGTCTTTCGACATGGATCGCTTCTCGTGCTTCAGACTTCGGAGGGCCGAGGACACGAATGACCGGCTCTGGACGCGGTGTAACAGACTATGCCAGAATGTTCAGACCAAGGAGCGAGTGCAAGTTGTTTCATCACTATCATACAGTCGCGCCGTTGTGTCCGCGGCGAAGGGAGGGTTCAGATCTGTCGCCCAAGCGTAAGGTTGGCCATCACAATTTCGAACGGATCCCGAGCCCGTTCTGGTAATCCTCGACACGTTTCTTCGCCTCGAGATCTCTTCGGCTACGATCGAGATCTTTCGCTGCTGTGACTTGCACGGCGTTGGTTGCTTCATCGAGGTCCTTGACGATTTCTCGGTTCATTTCTTCTTTGATCAAGCCGTACGACTTGCCCTGCGCCTTCTGTGCCAGTTTCATTTCGTGGACGAAAGCCAGTGTCTCTTCGAGTCCACCGACGCCATCTAGTATTCCCTCCTTCAGCGCCTCGAGTGCTGGGTACCGTCGGCTCTCGAGTACCATGTTGCGGAACGTAGACAGATTAAGCTTGACTCGGAAAACAGATGCCATTGCTGGCTGAAGCGGAGCACCGAAATCGAGCTCATTAAGACAGACGAAGCCTTTGTGGGGGTTCATGATTCTATAGTCGTGCATCATGGCCGTCATCAAGCCTCCTGCAAATGCATGCCCGTTGATGAGGGCCACTGTCGGCATAGGTATGTGATTAGGCGTCGCCAGAGTGGAAACAGACTTCCAGTGAAGAAGTTCGGGTCTTTGACGGCATTCTCGTAGTCAAGACCATTGGAGTAGAACTTGGTGATCGAGGAAGTAGTGATGACGACCCCCTTAGGCAGTCGGTGTTCGATGATATCGAGGGCGAGGAGGAATGTGGCATTGAAGGATGGTGTAAGGCGGTTGTCAGGCGCATCCGAGAAGGCAAGCAGGTAGACTTGAGGCGCGGCTTCAGTGCAGATGAAGCTGCCGATGGGCTTCTGCTGAGCGCCTGGGTTGACAGCAGTTGGCACTTGAAGCACGAACAATGGCTGCGTCTGAGCCATTGCGACTGTGAGCAGGCCGTGTGGGAAAGACGTCGTAGAGAAAGAAGGCAGCAGGGCCAACTTATCTGGTGAGCTGCGCAGATGCACTTCCGTCCAAGATGATCACTAAAACCTAAAGCCAAACCGAGGCACACTCCCTTAGAAGCACGGGCGTCTCTAACGCTTAACGGATATCGTCTCCAGAGCACATGCTCGCCTCAAGCCTGGGCAATGCGCGGGGCTTCGTGCTTACCTATTCAGACCTCGAGGAAAGGCCCCAAACACGGAAGGCTGCCGAGAGTACAGCGCTCTCGGTCTGACGTAACCCCTCCGTCCACCGACTGCGAGCTTTCGCTGCGGGTGCCACGGCGCGGCTTCGCGGCGCAAGAGCTGACACATACGACGCTTGCTTGGGCTATCCGTGATCAGGGTAGCCTGAGGGCTTTTCCGTTCTTGAGAGTTGGTCTTCATATTGACCTGCTCACTATGTGAGTTGGGCTGGCACCTCGCCCACTTGCCATTCAGCTCAGCGTTCACCGATACGAACGGCCCAAGATGTCGACCCCGGCCTATGTCCCACCTCCCCCGCCGCCGATACCCAAGCGGCCTACGGCTGTGACCACAGACTCGGAGAAGAAGGGTCCAACAATATGGGAGCGAACGAAGGGTGCCTCGAACACTGCGTACGAGAGAGGATTGAAGCCAGGCTTCAACAAGGTCTACAATGTCGTCGACAAGTTGGGTGCGCCCGTCAACCGCCTGTCTAACAAGATGGGTTCAGAGGCCTTCTGGCCGACGACGATGGATAAGGAGTCGGAGAAGGCTGCGAGAATCTTGAGAGGATTTGTCAAGGACGGTTTCTATGAGCAAGTCGACAGCGATGATGCGGAGCGAGTGGCTACCAGACAGGAACGATCAGGTGTGACACAAGAAGGCGTGCCAAAAGGTAAGCAGCGAGTGGTGGTCAAGATCCCCACAAAGGTGATCAAGAATGCTGTCGGCCTCGTTATATTTACGACAATGCGCACGGGCTGGGTGCTGGGTGGCTCAGGTGGTTCGGGAGTGTTGGTCGCTAGGCATCCGGAGACCGGCGAATGGAGTCCTCCCAGCGGTGTTCAGACTCAGAATCTTTCCGTCGGATTCCTGATTGGCGTCGACATCTACGACACAGTGCTCGTCATCAACACGTACAAGGCATTAGAGGCATTCACCAAATTACGGTGCACATTAGGAACAGAGGTCGGTCTTGCGGCGGGCCCGGTGGGCATCGGAGGCGCCCTCGATTCAGAAATCGCAAAGCGCCAGGCTCCTATATTCTCTTACGTCAAGAGTCGGGGACTGTATGCTGGGGTGGCATTGGAAGGCAATCTGGTCATTGAAAGGACTGACGAGAACAAGAAGTTCTATGGCTACGACATAACGGCACAAGAGATCCTCATCGGGAGAGTCATCGCTCCCCCAAGAGATGAGTATCAAGTCTTGATGGACACATTGAGAGCTGCGCAGGGTGACGACGTGGACGAGTCTTTGTTGCCAGAGAGTGGCATGGCTCCTAGTGACTTCGAAATCGATGACAACGCTGACAAAGGTATGTCAATCAGCACATCTTTCCGGAGGCTATTGCTAATTGACTTGGATAGGCCCAACATTCGGCATACCTGAGGCGGACGACGACGATCCATACGGTGTGAAGGCGCTCGAGGCAGAGGGCCTAGTTATACGCGAAGCCGGTACTCACCAAAGACCAGCTGCTGACGCATTCAATTTCAATCCTTCGCCATCTTCTCCCATCTACGGCCATTTTTCGCGCAATAGTGTTGACGGCAGAAGTTCCATAAGAAGCAAGACATGGCGAGACAGCACCGCCAGTCTAGCCATGTCAGATCGCGGCGTCCAGACAGATGAAGGCGAACTCGATTCACCAAAACGAAGCAGTCGACTAAGCAGTGTCAGCCGCCAAGTGAGTCCACCGAAGAAAGTTGAAGAGAAAATGGACGAAAACGTGACTGGCACCGAGAGGCACGAATCACCGGAAGGTCAACGACGAGATTCCTTCTCAGACATTGACTCTGACGTTGAGATCCATGAGGTGAACCCAGTTGTTATGAAGGCGAGAACGGTGAAAACAGTGAATTCGCCCAAGCGAGGTCCTCCTCCAGCACTACCTCCACGGAACCCTGGCCGAGTCGTGTCGCCATCGCCGTTGCACGAAGATTCACCAGCAGACGATCCGAGCGACGGCTTCTCCAAGATCGATCTGAATGGTGATGTGCCTACGGCCAATACGGCAAGCGAGAAACGGGATCTGAGCCCCGAACGAGCGCCTAGCACCATAGACGAGGACAAATTCGAGAGCATTCCCAATACACCAATAAGGGAAAAGGACGAGAACGATGCGCTGAAGAAAGAGCCGATGAATGACAAAGACGGTTGGGGTTCGGTGTAAAGCGATAGAAAGCTCTAGATGATGGTAATGCAGTGACAATGATGATCATTCAATTCTTCGATGTGCTCGGATACTTTCATGCATACTGTTGCGTGTCTTGTAGATCAACATTCTCAGTCCTTCGACAATTATATTCCCCAACGCCTCCGACACTCGACTGCTCGCTCTTCTTCATCTTAAAGCTACGACGTTTCGGTAGATCTAACCCAGATCAGTAACACCTGCTTACTTCCTCGGTGACGAGCCCTGTGATGATACTGTTAGGACTACTGGACGATCTTGTACACCAAGGGGGCCTCTGGCAAAAAGGCGTCCTATCGTTGCCTGCCAAGAAAAGGCGTCAATGACGACACTCCAGCCAACCTCGAAGTGGTCCATCGTAACGAGCTTCTCGTTCGATGCTCTGCCGCGTGATACTGCTGCAGCTTGACAAGCTCATCCAGTCTTTTGTCACGCCTTCATCCCATTCTCTTTGTTTGCCAAACAATGGACTTCAATTGCGCTGCTGTCGAGCGACCCAGCGCAGCTGCGCCTTTCTTCTTGTTGTCTTGAACATATCTGCGCCCCGAGACAGTCGCGGATGATGCCGCTTCTACTGCTCAAAGTGGTCTATTGTTGTATATATCCAAGACATACGGAACATCCACAACCTGGCTAATGTCGCGCCCTTCGCTAGAACTTGACGATGAAGCTGCACTTCGCCAGCGCTTGTTGCGTGGGAGCGATGGCTCTCGTTCATTGTACCGATATGTCTGGCCCTTCCCACCCGACTGATCAACTGCAATCCTTGCATTGTCACTTGTGTTGGGGCATGGAAGGCTTTCCGAGACTTGTTACAGGTCGTTCACTTGGCATTTGCCGATGGGCCAAGTGAACAGACAATCCAGGCGATGTTACCACATGCTTGTTGCCCAGGGCGATGAGGCAGTAAGGCGCGTCGACGCGTTTTCTTCACGACTTCAGTCATCAAGACATATCATTCCCGCTTCCTCAGAGTATTCCTTCTTACCTTTACCAAACTCCTTCGTACCAATAACCACACGCGCAAACTGTTCGAAGTCAACTCCAACAACCTGCACACAGCGAGTACCACGACTGAGTTCAGCATTACAAACTCCCATTCCAAGGATTCCTGCCAACATCAGCAAAGATGTCTGCCAACCGCTTCTTTAGCTTGTCGTCCATCAAAACGTCAAAGGTAAGCAGCACGCGTCACGGCATACGACATCAGCTAACTTTAGGTCAGAACACCCTTCGTGAGCGTACTGCTCGTCCTGTACAGCCGGTAGCCACTGTTGACATGGCATACGGTTCGCCCATCCGTCAGCCGAAGGCATTTGTGCAGAAAGCGGTCGCGCCACTGCAAAAGCTGTCTTCAAAGACGCGGTCGGTTGCTCGCAAGATTGAGAAGGAGATCAGTAAGCTGCGTCTTCGTGCGACTGTCGAAGACTGCCCGGAGTCTGTTGTCGCGCCCCCAAATCCTGAGGCCAACGACTTCAAATACACGCCATGCATAGTCAACCTCGAAGACATTGTCATCAAAGACAACGTCATGCCAACTACAGACGGCAACACTTGCCGAGACCTAATCCAGGCTCCTCGGGTCACAATGGCATTCATGCAGGCAATGCTCATGTCTGCCTTCACACACATCTTCACGAGCGCCCACGCATCGCAGCAGAAGCTCGATGATATCTCGGTTAAGCTCAAAGAAGAGTACGACGAGGCCTTGACCGAGCTCAAAGAAGAGAACGTTGAGCTCGAAGAGTCATACGATTCACTCAACATGGCTTCGGAATCGCTCCAGAACGATATCGAGAAGATGCGAGTCGAGGCCAGTAAGAAAGAAGGCACAATCAACACCCTCCAGAAGATGATCAACGTCATGAACACGAATAAGCGCGACCTCGAACAAGCTCTCAAGAATTCTGCAACGGAGAGCTCTCAGGCGCACCGCGACCTCGAGCAGCGCTTCAAGAACGGCGAACGATTGTACAACGAGCACTATGAGCAATACACCAATGAGCTCAAGCTACGCGATGAACAACACGCCATCGAGCTCAAATATCTCAAAGACAAGGGCATGGAACTCGTCTGTGAGCACCTTACTGAGAAGAATCGCCACGAGAAGACTCAAGAAGAGCTCGCTAAATGGCAGGCCTCTTGGCAGCAACAGAGTCAGTCGGCCGCTCACGCCAATCATCAAGCCGCGCAATACAAGCAGGAGGCTCGACTATATCTCGACGAGCTCAGCCGGACACAATCTGTACGAGATCAGTTGGCCGGTGATCTCGACGTTGTTGAAGGACAACTGCGCCACGAGACGCGCGAAAGCCAGGTGTGGAAGAGCAAATTCGAGGCTAGCGAGCAAATGATGAAGGAGCTTAAGCACTCATACAAGAACGAGAACAGCAGACTCCAGGGCGAGCTCTGCGAGTTGAGATCGCAGCTGGAGAAGACTGCGACACCCACTGCGATCGACAGCAACACCTCTGCCAACATCTTCACCGCTGCCGGTGTTGGCAACGTGCGTTCTCCCTCGACTGAGACCGCCAGCGCTCGGTTTTTCGGAGGTGTCAGACTTGCTGAGAGCACCGACTCTGTGTCAGAAACCCTCGATTCTATCAACATCAACTTCTCCGGCACATCAGCACCTATCTTCGGACAGAGCCCAACGCAGGCTGCGAGTAACCCATTCGCTGCCACGACATCTACACCATCCGGCGCGTCCAAGGTCGCGTCGATAACCAATGAAGGCCTCCCGAACGGCGTGATGAACACATTCACCTTCGGGCCGGGCAGCAACGCGAGCTTTACGTTCGAGTCAGTGTTCGGGACAGACCTTGGATCCCGCAACCCTTTCGTGACCGAGTCTGCGAATGCAGATGATGGTTCCACAGAGGAGCCGTTGCAGCAGAAGGAGGAATCTGCTAGCCTGAGCTCCGCTGCAGAGGAGATCGAGCAGCTCAGTCCTACCACCAAGCTCGAAGAGGGAACAGCAGACGTCGAAGTACGTCTTGAGGTGGCTGAATTTGTGGAGAGCGATCAGGAGACCTTGGTAGCTACGAGCGAGCCCGATGTCAAGTTCGAGGAGGAGGAGCGTTCAATTGGAGATTCCGGCGCCGCTGCTGGTGAGATTGAGCAATCCTCTGACACAAACGAGCACGAAGAGCATACACCGGATGCTGAATGTTGGCTTGCGAAGGAAGAGCCTGAGGTTGAGGTCAAGAAGAAGAAGGTGTGGAAGACTAAGACAGCGCCAGCGAAGATGGTGGGTGGTGTTAGAATGAAGTCGCGTCGGGGTAAGCCCCGGGTTTGAGCGCTCTGCAGTGCACGGGGAAAAAAGGTACAGAAGGCTGCCACTGAAGCAGTCGCAGAAGCCCTTGCAAAGTCCGGCTACCAGCATGCGATCGTCAGGAGAGCCGTCGATAAGCCTTATGAGTGCAGATCGTGCATGTGAGTACAGTCTTTGATGGTCTCTGGAGACTAATGGCAGACGATCATGTCATAAGGGTACGACGAGCAACACATCGATCAGAGAAGACGATCTCTGGCATTTTAGGCGTTCAATCTCAGCAAGAGTGCTTATAGATATGTACAGCAGTACGAATAGCCCTGGTCAACAGCAGCATACTCATAGGACTCAACGCATTCATGACGTCGCTGAGCGGGATCGCTCATCATCCGTGGACAATTCTTGGATTTTGCTTCGTCTTGTCACCTGCCTGGCTTCACCATGAAAGTACCTTCACTGCCAACTGCCTTCACTCCGACATCCGAGAACTGCCTTTCACGTCGTTGCCTGGATCGTTGCCCGGGCACTTTCTTTTCACAATTGACGCGTCTGGCTTCACGACTTCAAAACAATAACGAAGATAAGTATCTGCTCTGCACCGCCAATCTTCAATCTTCTCTTCATAATCCCTCCTCCTTTCCACCACCACGCGATCTGACGCTCACACCTCAGACTTGCGCTATCAATTCAAACGCTTGCATCGATCATCGACAAGTACGCATACCAACTTCAACACAGGACATCATCCTCGCAACCTGCAAGAATGCCGTTCTCGATCAAGTTCAGAGATAGTTCGATGCCCTCCAAGGTAAGCAGCCACTCTACAATCAACTTTGTCAGCAGCTAACGCGTCGAAGTTTGGATCGCGAAAGAAGACGGCTCGTGTTGGTCAGGATGTCCATCCAGTCGACATGGCCTACAACACTGCGCAGAAGAAGACACCTTTCGTGATGAGGGCTCTTCAACCATTCAAGAATCTTGGCTCCAAGTGTCGTGGCAAGCAACTCGTCCAGCAATCGGCGTCAACCGTCAATCGCAACGCGACTGTTGAAGACAGCGAAGACGAGGAAGAGTGCAACGCATTTGCAGACTCGTCATTCGACAACGTCACCGCCATTGCCCCTATTCATTTCGAGAACATCACAATCATCGACAACATCGATACAGACACCCACATCAAGCCATGCACAGCCCTCATCATCGCTCCGCGAAGTGAGATGAAACTGGTCACGGCCCTCCTGGGCAAGATTCTTCTCGTCAACCACAGTCTCGCGACCGAGCAAGACTCAATCGGCTTGAAGTATATGCTGCTCAAAGAAGAGTACAAGGTGCAGCAAAAGTTCACAGAGTCCCTTGAACGCGAGCTACTCAAGTTGCAGTCTCAGCAACAGTACACTCCGAAGCAGATCAACTTCGTCAAGAATAAGCTGCACACCCTCCAACAAGCCCTGGCTGACGAAAAGCGTAAGCACAAGGCTACATCGTCCAAGCTTGCCAAATGGCAGGCTAGCCACGCTATCATCGATAACCTCTTCGAGGAGGAGAAGAGATCCAACCTCGGTGTCTACGAATCAATGTCAAATGCACTGAACACTGTCCACAACAACCTCGAAAAGACAGTCGGGGAGAAGGACAAGTTAGCTGACTCACTCGCGTTCCTATGGAACAAGTTCAACGCCGAACAGCATGATTGTGCGCAGTGGAAGCATGCGGCCGAACTAGAAGCGGAGCAGAATGAGCAGAAAGATGCTCTCATCCACTCTCTACGCCTCACCACCAACGACCTACGTAACGAGCGCGACGAGGCGAAGACTGAGGTGAAGTACGCTCTCCAGTATGCTCAGTACTGGCGGGAGAAGTACGAGGCTGAGATCGGAAAGGAGGCGATCGCTGAGGATTCTCCATCACCCGATACTGAGACTAATGATGTCTCCACTCGGCTATCCGAAGTCGCTCTTGATGAGGAGGGCGCTGAGTATGATGATAGCGACGCTATTGACGACAACGCTTCCGATGAAGACAACGTCGGTTCTGGCGAACTTGCTGTCGTACCTGTGGGAGGACAGACTCTCGAAGAATGGAGAGCCGCCTTCCACATGCTTACCACTCCTGGTTCCCCTAGACTCAAGCGAGATGATGATGAGTCTAGCGATATGTACGGTGACTGGCCGCCTACTGAGACCAACGAAGTGCTTGATGAGGAAGCCTCTCAAGTGTCATTGCCTGCAACTCCCATCCTTGGTCCGATTGGTGCGTCTGCTAGCGTCGATGAGGACCTGTCACCACTCGAAGACGAGGTCGAAGACGTCACTGCCACACATGTGCTCTCTGATGTCGGTCCAGAGAGTTCCGACGATGACTTCGCTCCCCCGGGAATCGACGATGTCACCATCGCCATCGATGCTGCTACCACAACAGATATTGTGTCCTCACAAGCCAGCACTTCTCGCAAGAAGAGAAAGGCTGATGAGACCGAAGAAGAGCTGTCCCTCAGTCACAAGAGCACGCGCCACAGCGAGAACGACACTGATGAGACTCAAGCATCGACCTCGAAACCACTGGGGAGTCAGATGGTAATGATGGCGACGAGGTCGAGACCATCATCATCAACACCGAGGCCGAAGTCGATGAGATTGAGCTCCCGCCAAGTGCTGGGCTTGAGGATGTCTGTGATACGACTGAGCCAGCTCTGAGTACTGACAGCGAAGGCTATGCTGCAACTCTGAGCGCCCCGCTAGCTTCGGCTGATGCCCTTGAAGAGGTACAAGATGGCAATGCCACACCTCTCTTCGGCACATCGGACTTCAACTTTTTATTCGACAGCGGTGACAATAACCCGTTCGTTCCATTTGCCACGAAGGAGCGAGCCTCTACGAATGCATCCGCCCACGAAGCTTCGAATACGTTCTCTTTCAGCCAGCAGGGCACCCGCGCGTTCTCCTTCGGTGACATGGCGCTAGCTGACGCGTCATTCACCTTCACCGCACCCTCCACCGTCGGCACAACTGGCTTCAGCATGCTCCCAGAGAGTGAGACTGAGGAAGAAATTGAGATGGCAGGCTCTCCAGACACACCTGAAGAGGTCAAGGGGCAGATTATGACTGCTACTGGCGACGTAGCCGAGGCAAATTCCAGCGATGGAAGCACAGAAGACTCAAAGCTCACTGAGAGCACAGAGAACCAGTCCGAAAATGGAGATGAGCCTGAGCCCGAGCCTGAGCCAAAGGCCAAGGTTGTCAAGCGCGTCGCCGTGATTTGCATGAAGGCTGGCGGCATGCGTATCAAGAAGGGTCGGAAGCCGAAGAACTAGAATTATGAGTATATGGAGACGAGGGCTTTGCAGCGAGTGAAGTAAGGCTGTGTACCAACAACAGTGAGCTGAGAACAGACAGCTTCCACTGTGCTTCGGGGTTGACGGTTTGGACCCCACGATGAATGTACCACCAACAGCGATACCGATGAAATGGCAACTATAACGATTACGGCTCACGATGGCAATGAACGGGACACACAGTATCAGACTCAAGCGAGAGCATGCAGAAGGGTATGGCATGCCATATGGGCGCGCTCTGCGCTGGCTTGATCGGGAGAATCTCAGCGCTCCCAAAACTAATGCTATTCGTGTACTTCTACGAGCATTCAAGAAGGGTGCACGGTGTGAGCACACACCAAGCGTGTCATACACATCCCATACCAGAATAATGATATGAAGATACGACCATCTGCCATGTAGTCATCTTCCCTCCTGTTCGTAGAGATTCGATCGACGCGATCGATGGCCCGGTTGGCAGCATAGTGTGGAACGTGTGGACTGCAATGCCGTTTCCAATACTCAGTACATAAGTCGTCTCAATAGTTCTACCTACCCGCAGAAGCATTATTCCCACCACCACCATCACCATCATCCAAATCCAACAAACTACTCGCTCCCTCACTCCTCGTCCTGCTCCTCACACTCGCCGCATCAGTTGCAGCCTCTGCCCCTTCAAGCAGATCTTTGTCACCCTCATCCTCGCCATCCTCATCGTCGTCCTCATCGTCTCTGTACGACCTCTGTGGCCGACCCTGTGCCTGCATCCGCGCATTCTCCTTCTCCAACTCCCTTTGCGCCTCATCCATCCGCCTCCGCACCTCCGTCGCCATGCGCATGCCGTCGTTGACAATGTTGTCCAACACGCCTCTTAGACCTCGCGAGCCAGGCTCAACGACGCCGCCGGCAATGCCGACGTCCACGACGGGCTGCTTGTTGGTTGCGCCGCCGAGGAGGTTCTTGACGGGCTGGCCGATATTAGTGAATGTGGTCAGATTTCCAGAGAGTGTGTTCTGTGAGGCCACTGATGGGGAGAGGGATGTCATGGAGGCGCTGGTGATGAGCGGTTCGGAGAGGCGGAAGGATTGAGGGAAGAAGGTCTCGAAGAACTGCTCGAGGAGCTCGTCGGCGAGGATGACCATGCGGAAGGTTGGGAGGGTGATGTGTAGCGGTTTTGAGGGGTCGAGGGCTAGGTTGTGTGATGTTGCTCGGGAGGCTGGTTTGGATGATTTGGGCGGTGATGCGGGGGGTGTGACGGTCTTTGAGAGGGGGTCTTCTGTGACTGGGCGTGGTGATATGGGCGATTTCGTGCGAGATTTGGTTTCGGTTAGGTCGAGGAGGTCCTCTTCCTCGTCTTCGTCGGCACCGATGGCGAATGCGTCACCACCGTTCTCAACCACTTCAGGCTGGTCTGGATCGGCATACTCGAAGCAGCGGCGAATGAAAGCGCTCACGCTTCCCAAGAATTTCTCGTTGGTGCTGAGCTTGATGTCGCCATTGGCTTCGTCAACGCCATTCGTCTCTGTTGGAGTGATTGCTCCATCAAAGCCACGTCTCGACAAAAATAAGAGGGCTTCTGACATCCTAAGAATGCCATCTTTGTCAACTTTGCCGGTGCCGTCCTCGTCGTAGAGATCGAAGAACATGCTCATAGAATTCATAATGTCGGTCGTGCCCTTGAGTCGTGCGAGCCCGTTGACAATGTTTTGTAGCGTGAGTTGCCCAGTCTGTGACGCATCCCACTTGCCGTAAAGTCGTTGCAGGAAGTCATGATCCGCCGGCTCGGGTCCTTCTCCCCATTTCGAGTGGAAGGAGGTCTTTCTTCTTTGAGAAATACTCATGTTGGCCAGCTCTTTGGCAGGCGAACTCGGCTGATCTGTGACTGCCCACTTCGCTGTGCGTGCGAGGAATTCTCTGAATGCATCGTAATCCATAGCCTCTAATCTTCCAGACCCGTGATTTGGAGCATCCTCGCCGGTCTTTTGCTTCCATAAGTTTGGTTGCCGCTGTTGCTCTTGTTCTTTCTTTCTCTTTTCCTCTTTCTCCCTTGTGCGTGATTCTCGCTCTTGCAGCACTCCAAAGAATCGATCATATAATATACTCAGATCATCTGTGCTCAACTTTTTGCTTTCCGGCCCCAAATTCCGTATTGAGGTTCGCTTTGCGAATGTAGCCAGTCCCTCCTTGACGCTATCTATATGCTTCGCGCGCAGGTCAGCCACACTGGAGTGTGTGATGCCCGAGAACTCCTTGAAAGCCGTGACCATAAGTTCCTGAAATCTTGTGATTGCCCTGAGCTTCTCGTTTTGTGAGTCTGGATGTGCTGACTCGTCTAGCCGGGCGAAATAGTTCTTCAAAATTTGTATAAATGATCCATCGTCCGCGACATCTAACAACTCCTCTCCGTTGATCCGCAGAATTGCCAGTCCGACTTGGAACAGTACTTTGGGCCCCTCCAGGAAGAACACATCCAGCACTCTGAAGGCGAAGACCAGTGGCATAGAGTTGACGTACAACGACAAAAACCATGGCAGCGATACGACGGACAGGTTGACGTCGGATTTCACCAAATGGTCCCACAGCACGGGCATTGTCTTTTCGACCAATGCTTCGAATACTTTCTGGTCAAGGAGGGTGCCGTACATGTCCTTTGAATAGTAGCCTGGCAGCAATCGATCGCACAAGGTACCAAGGAGGAAGTACGCTTGCTCCTCTGAAGTAAATATTAGTAGCGCTGCCGCAACAATGTTCATCGCCTGGCAATAGCCGACCTCTTCGTTTGTCCAGCTGTAGGCCGTGAGGACTTTCCGGAGGCGCTCGATGCCTTCCTCGCTCTGATATGCTGGATACTCTGGGAGACTTCGATTCAGGTCCTTCTCGATTTCGTCGATGGCTAGCGATTCCTGACCTAAGTATTTGTCCAAAGTCTTGCCGTACAGCTGAGGGTTCCGCAGTCGAGTGTAGAATGATCCAGAGGACAGCTCCCATATCTCACCTCGAAGGCGATTGGGCAAGCCGACTCTGATCAGTTTCGAAAAGGTTGGCTGGCGGACGAGGCTGGCGTTGCGACCATTTTCACGCATATACTCGCCCCATAGGCGCATCTTAGCACGATCTCGAAGCTTGCGGGCGTCTCCTGGGTAGCGAAACACCATCCTAAGCCAGCATCTGGAGGATCGGGGCCTTGCGTGTTCTCTTCCTTGGCTTTTATTCGGACTGGGTCAAGCAGATATTCTGAGTAGCAAGTCTTGACGCAGGATCGCAGCAAATCCACCTCTTTCATGCCCTCCCGTAGGCCCTTCTTGAGACCGTCACAGAACCGCTCGCAGGCACCTCTGCTGCCATCAAGAGTGATCACGAGTTTTCGAGGCGGCGGACTTCCCACACTCTTCTCCATGGGCTGCCGTGGTGCTGCCTCGAAAGTCGTGAGAGCAAGCGAGAACTTGTCATGGTGGCTGTTCAATCGCTCTACCTTCGTATGCTGCAGAGTGGGAGCGTGAAGCCTAGACCACCCGGACCTGCGCCATGCGTCGTCCCCGTGAAGTTGGTGGACGAGCTGTGGCTGGCAGTAGGTAGGAACGATGTCCGCAGCGTCGAGAAACACAGAAAGCTCTCGCTAAGGTGCAATTCTCCTTGATAGCGGTTGCCGGTGTCCCTACTCTTCTCACCAGACGTGCTTGTTGCGGTGTTTGGAAGCGGGAGGTATAATTCTGCAGCGATCTCCGCGAGCGGATTCTGTGATGGCGGCAGTCTGAATTGCTCTCGAAACAGGGTTGCCTTCGTGGGCCGGTGCTCACTGCCCGGGTTGAGGGGTGACTGATCAATGAGGGACTGTGCCCGCTGCACGAAGGAACTCAGCATGGTCCAGAGGCTGACGCCACTACAAGACCGCTGGCAGCACCCTGCATGAGACTACTTCCGAAAATCTCGGAAGGACGATTTGCGCGAGGTCTGTCGGCCGTCTCTTTCGTTGCTGTCGCGTAGAAGGCACCCACCGTCCTCACCAGGAGGAGGGGAGGATAGTTGCTTCGCCTCAGAGAACTGCGACTGCCTCGTCACCGCCCGACTGTGTGGATTCAATACACAAAACGTCGGATGCGACCCGCCTAAGTTGTGATATCGCTCCCGAATTTATTTCTACCCTGTGATGATCCCCGCGGCCTTTAGGGATGTTCGACGAACTTCAGCGCCCAAATGATGCTCGTGCACCTCTAAGCGAGCCCAGAATGGCCGTTGGCGGTAGCACTGCGTCTTCAAATGGAGGTATAATCACTAAGGGTAGAGCCCGAGCTGAAGAACACGCCCGCTCGATCTACGTAGGTTTGCGGCTGCGCGACACGCTTTGAGGCTTTGGCGCCCACGGGGCAATGCTCGCCGGCGGCCGTCAGCCTTGGCATTCCTGATTTCAACGTCCAGGCAATGATATCCTGGCCGTCTGGATGCCACATTCAAGCAGCTACTTCTGAGCGGTATTGTGACTACCTTTGAGCGACTTGCCGTTACTGCAGAATCAAATTCGAAGCTGCATCATCAAACATCAGTCATCATCGAGTACATGCGGCGGCCGGACACCAAATCCGGGGCCTGCTTACTGCCAAGAAAGCTGACCAGATGTCCCGGCCCTTATCTCCCCGCACGCGAAGTGCCACTACACGGCATGACAGGGAAGCAGCATGGGCAATGGACAGAAACGGGCTCGAGGATCGCCGTCCCTAGAAAGCCTATTCGGTCGTGTCATCAGTTGATCGTTTGAGGATTTGAGATTCCAGGCGCATTGCCATCGCGTTGAGACTTTGAGTCCGATGACCTACAGGACCGTCACAGCATAGACAGCGGACATCGCCGGCGCTCTTCTGTGCCCAGTAGCCCAGCATTATTCAAACGGCAACTACACTTGGTGGCTATCCCATAGCTCGGGTATTGTCTTAGCAGATGGGAAGCGCCGCAACCATGCGATGGTCACAAACGACATGACAACTTTCCACACCTACGATCCAGCAACTCGCATGCAACAGTCCCAACCGAAAGCTTGCGAAGCTTGTTACGCCAGGAAGGTCCGGTGTGATGTTGATGGCTCAAATGAGACCTGTCGGAACTGCTTGGCCCATGGCGTAGAGTGTCGTCCACGGACGAGAAAGCGAAAGGCTGACCAGGCGTCTGGTTCATCGACTTCGAGGCAGCCACCACAACCTTTGCCTCCAGAGCCGAGGCGGCAGAGTACAACTAACAGTACGAAGGAGCCTCCAAATGGACTCCCATATCACCCAGCGCCCTTCAATATCCCACTCGACGACAAAGACGTCTCTGCGCCACTTCTCTTCATCGGTCAGCAGAATCCTTTGGCTGCCTCACCGGGTACCACTGCAAATGCCCAAGCGTCGTTGCATGACGAATTTCACAATGCCAGTTTCATGACGAGATCCGCCATCCTTGGTGATGACTTCCCCGGGATCGACCACAACAACGCTGAGCAGCCAGTGCGGCAGCACACGTTGTCGGAGACCGAGCTGCAAGTTCTCAATATTTACCGCGCGTTCGATCTACCAGAATTGCCTCTACGGCAGAGCTTACTCGAAGCGTCTCCGAAAGGTGCTGGACTTGGATGCCTGTTGCCAATGTGAAGACTATGGGCTCTACTTCATCAGATAATGAGGCATCTCTACTGCTACTGCAGGCGGTCCTTCTTGTCGGTTCCCTCATGCGGCCCGATACTGTCGACAAGAAGCTGTTGGATTCGTACTACCAAAGAGTCAAAGCACTCATAAATTCTGGCTACGAGCGAAACCCCCTCAATATATTGGCAACAATGTGCTTGATACAATGGTACACACCGCATGCGGCGAGAGACGTCTCGACTGACACAGCTCGATACTGGGCAAGCTGCGCCTTGGGGATTGCCCAACAGATTGGTCTTCACCGCCAGCCAGAGCGAAGTCAACCCGACTACGGGCTCCGCAGACGTATATGGTGGACACTTTACATCAGGGACAGTCTGATGGCGACAGCGCATGGCCGGCCGCGAATGATGAGTTCGGATGATATGCTGTCCCCCTCCATCGATGACTTCGACGATCCGGATGACTTACGTGCCAAGATCTTCGTCGCTTATACAGAAATCACCACCATTCTATACGACCTGTGTAACTTCCTCCTCAAGAAGAAGCCTTCGTCAGATGAGCGGTCCCAGATCGCCCAGCGCTTGCTCAACTTCTGCCGCAGCCTTCCAGATGGTCTTCGCCTACAAGACGCCGACGGCTGGCAACGTCCATACAACCTAGACATTGCCCAGTTACATGCTCCTCTGCTGACCACCATCTCGATATTCTACAGACACGGTCTGTCTTCGCAGTCTCGCCAGAAAATGCAGCTAGTATTGCTGCCTCGAATCTCACATTCCGCCTGCTGCAAGCCATGCATCTGCGCGAGCAGACTCGCTACCTTTCTTCTGCTTTCGCTTTCTACGGCCTGGTTTCCGCTATCCCTCATCTCTCTAGCCTGCGAATCGCGGGTCTGCGCGCTGAAGCTGATGTTGCGCTCGATGTAATTGAGAAATTCATGGACAAACTGGGTACTGTGCGACCAGCCGCGGCGAATAATCTGCGCAACATCCGTGCAATCCGAAAGGCGATCAACAGTAAGAACCATGCTGGTGCGAAGACGACGCGTCCAAGTGACTCGATACATGATCAAGCAAGCCTTAACGCCGCCTCCGAGATGCTCGGCCACCTCTACGGCCCGCAAGCCACCACAAATCTGCAGAATATCAGCACCATACTAAACACCTCGGTGTTCGAGGCTGCTCCACAGCATCTTCCCGCCGACGTGCAACAGCCACAACAACAGCAACAGCAAATGGTCCCTCCACTACCAACAAATGCTTCCGCCAGCGGAAGTCAGCAGCCAACGCCTACAAATCCCACCAACCACAACAATCACCATCAGATACCGCCCTTACAGCACCATTCATCCATGCCCTTCCAGCAGGTCTATCCACTTCCCGACCTCAATGGCATGAGCGTGAACGGATCGTTGTTCGGCGGTGATGCAGGCGCTGCAGGAGGTGCCCACATTGCCGATTTCGGAGAAGGGTTTAGCCCGATCATGACCAGCCATTTTCAGGAAAACACCTGGATGCGGAACTGGATTGACGATTTGCAGCTTTTCCCTGAATAGCATTCGGAAGGGGACGAGCGTTCAGCGATATCACACAATCTGGCAGCGAGCATCACTACAGTAGTGCCGCGTGCCTACTTCGAAGAGCGCAACAGGACCTACAGTGGAGATCAAGGAATGCTGTGAATAACGCGTGTGGGATGTCGCCTTGCATGTACCTGTTGAGATGGGCCATAGAGGGCCTCATATGGGCGGATTTCAGATATCGATCATGATACGGAGGAAAGGCTACCAAGATAAGACACGATCTACAGCATGGACATAGCTATGGACATAGGTAGATTACTATTCACGGATAGAGGGCGCCGCGACCTTTCAAAAATGTTCAGTCTTGTCTATATCTTCCATTTCCTGCAGCAGCTTTTCGCCTTCCTCTGAATCGAGATCAAGCTCGATGTGTATGTCCCCGATGTTGCCGTGTTTGTCCTGATACCCATCATACACGATCTCCAAGCGTTGTGCGGACGAGTCGATTGCCAGAGTCTACGATTTCATTAGCCGAATTCCTCCCAGATGCTTACACCGGGAGACGGAGTAACTTACCAGAAGTGATGTATTGCTGTAATCTCTACGGTCATTTGGTATCCGCAGATTAACCTCCAGCAGGTGCTGCAAATCGGGCTCCATGAACTCCTTTCGAACCTCGTCGTTGTACCTCGTCTGCACCCGCCACAGCTTAAATGAATATGCGACCTGTGTCATTCTCTCACGCTGGAACAATTTAACAAGTGCGGCATATTGCACTTCGATACTGTTGTTTGAAACCAGTATTGGCTCAAACAATGGGTGGAGCCAGAATCGTGGTGATGCGAAGGGTATTTCCGGAGTTTGCTGAGCGCCATAAGGCTCCCTAGGGCCGTAATGATCGAGCTGCTTCATGCTGACGAGGTGTCGGAGCTGACCTTGCAGGGCCCAAATACAACTGTAGTGTACAGCCGGCACGGCGATGTGGCGAATTCTGCTGTAGTCCCAGTCTTCTCCATAGCCCTTGAAGACTAGACTCGGCTTCAGGTCTATTCCTCTGTCCCATGAACGTCGGTAGAAATTGTACTCGGCGTAGGGCATAAATACGGGCAGCCCGACGGTCACATGCTTCCGGAATAGCGGAAGAGCCTCCTCGAAGATCTGCCAGTTGGTGAGCAAGATTCCTGGGATGGGTCTCCCTTCAGGGGACTTCTCTCGAAACACGCCCAAGTCCGCCCAGAACGTGTATGAACTGTCACGGAACAAGTGCTCATCTGTGATCATAGTCAGCCAGTGATCGAGATAAACAACAGAAGATCGAGGGCGAGCAGACCTCTGGCGCCATCGCTTCTCACCAAGCCGGAACACGTTGCGTGTAAGACTGGTGAGAACCTGGTTACAGAACAAGATTGACGAGGAATTGAACTTACAAACGAGCAGTCGTATTTCGAGGGGCAGCTTGTCGAGAAATGCGGACCACGGCTTCAGGGCTGAGGACCGAGGGCTTCGTGGCTTGGATGCCTTTTTGATTGCCCTATTGGCTAGCCGCTGCTTCGGACCTGGGGATTGCATTCTTCGGGGCCTGAATGACTTCTTGGTCGCACCGTCGTCTGACCACTGCTCCGGAACTGGTGAATGCATTCTTCGGGGCTTTGACGACTTCTCGACTGGACTATGGCGACCACTTCTGATTGTACCCTTGCCTCCGCTAGGATGCTTGTAAGTGCGAGACATTGTGTTGTGAATACGCTGGTGAGGATCGCTTGGCGTATTCGGTGTATGGGGGACTGTATGCTGTAAGTCGCCAAATGATGTTGATGGTTGTCTTCGTGAATATTGTTTACGATTAAAAGTCGAGAAGAGCAAGCAACTAGATCCTAGAGGTACTGATACAAAGTAATTAAGTAGTTGAAGCTGACGAGAACAAGTGTCATCTCCAGAGTACCTTAAAAGGTACAAAATTTGTTGCAAAGACGCCCTGGCTCGTGCCTGCCTGCGGCGATCAAAACGGGTCTTCTGTCCCACGTGCAATGGCTGCTTTCCAATAATGCCAATTCCTAGGTTTCGCTCGTTAATGCTGTCCAAAATGCCCCTCGGCAGAGGATTGCCAAGAAGCCCGAGGTGTTTCAAAAGTTATTCCATATCTTCGTCGTCGGTGTCTTCGATTTCCGCCAACAGGCACTCGCCTGACTCCGGCAATGAGCTCAGATCGACCCGTATGCGTATCGCTGGGGACTTGTCGTATGTGAGATCTAAGCGTTGTGCTGCTAGGTCGATGAAGAGTGTCTATCAGTGTGTCAGCCATGACTATCTCCAACTTTGGCATAGGGCTTCAAAAGGACTCACCAATTGTGTATAGTCTCGACTGTTGATGTTCTCCCAGTCGTTTCCAAAGTGCGCCTTGACCTCGAGTAGGCGCTGCAAATGGGAATTTTTAGTGGACCTCAGGTGACGCCGCCATCCCAAGAAAGGTTGTAAGACCTTGTCGAATCTAGGGTGCTTGAACAACTTAACGAGCGCCACTGCTTTTTCTTCCTTGTCTTTGGACGACTGCACTGCCGAAAGCAATGGATCGAGCCAGGTTTTCGGAGATTCGAAGTCCTCTTCGAACACTCCCCAGGGTTCCTTGTAATCGACCTCCTTCACGCTGAGGAGATTCGGTAGATGAATCTCGAGGAATTGTACATCTTCCGAGGGCATGGGCAGCACAGCGATGTGGCGGATCTCGGAGAAGTCCCAGCCGGAGAAGACAGGTCTGCTTTTCAGTGCTGCTTCTGACCATAATTTGTTGTAAGACGCGAGTTTCGACGCGTCGTCATCATCCTCCTGCCACCTGCGAGGCAGGCATACGCCCACGGTGACATGTCGCTGGAACATCGGGAGGGCCTCCCAGAAGATCTGTCTGTTGACTAACAGGATGTCCGGGACAGCCCTCGCAGGGTTTACCATCTCATTTAGGCTCTTATGCGCCTTGCTGGCGATTTTGATCGTGCGTGGGTCCATCAAGAATAGACCTGAGCTGTCGCGGAACAAATGCTCGTCTGCAAATCTGGTTAGCTCTGTAATTAGGATAGATGGCGAAGGTAGAATTTAGGGACTTACAGATTAGTCTGCGTACGTCGTAGCTCAGGTGGTCAAGAAATGCTGAAGACTTCTCGGGGGCTGGACTGCCAGCATTAGACATCTCGCAAAGAGAAGAAGACATGGTGTCTGTATGCTTGCGAGGAGTTTGTGTTGTGGTTCGCGAATGCGAGTTTGCCGTGTCTTCTATCGTCGGGGGTGTCGATTTCGAATGTTGACGATGGCTGCAGAGATCAAGAAGAAGCGTGAGAGACTTATACCCAAGAGCTGAAGGGAACAGGTGTTGTTTTCAGAGTACCTTAACATACTCCGCTGGACAACTTTGGTATTGCCAAGTGACACCTGTTGTCGGGAGATGAGAGTATAGCGCTTCCTCAGGGGCTTTCCCGCGTAGCACAAACTTTCCGCCCGGTCATTTGGCCACTCACTGCGGCTGACTCACAGCTTTGCCTTTACATCTTCGAAGCCTATCCTTCTCTTACCCCGCCCAGCATCCTCCTTCACCAGCTCACTCTCCCAGTACCACGGGTTCACCGTTAGGTCATTGAGGGGATTGACCACGTGTGCTCGGTACCACAGATCCTCGTAGACCCTTCCATCGCTGCGTCCCAACGCTGAGTCTAGCAGGAAGTCCGGGATCGCCAGTGAGTCTACTAGGCGGACGGCGTGCGGTCGGATCTCGGCCATGAGGGCGACTATTATCTGGGGAAGGGTGTTGAGGGTGGATGGATCGATGGCGGAAGAGAGGATGAAGGGAAGGGGCGTAGCTTGGAGAGTAGTGAGTGCAAATAGTCGGTAGAGTGTTCGTAGAAGTGCCGTTGGTAGTGGTGAGGATGTCGATGGGAGCGCTGTGAGCGCAGCGTGGAAGTTTGACACAAGCAGCGACTCGGAATATGCTGTACGATGGGATTCATTAGCATTTTGGTCAGTCAATGCGGCCATGGTCTGTGCTGCGGCGTGAAGAAGATGCAATGAGAGAACTTGGAGAAACTCACCTTTGCTCAATCCGTGCAACTCTATCAGCAGACTGTTCCACGGTCGCTTCTGCACCTCTCTCGCTTCATACGCTTGATGTGCAGCCCAAGATGCCCGCCATGCAAATGCATTCACGATGGCCTGATCGCCCTCCTCGCCTTCCTGCATTATGTCGAATTCGGGCTTGGCTCGTCCCTGCGCTTTTGAGTCGAGGAACATCTTCAAATTCTTCTCTGTCTCACTCTTGCCATCGTTCTTTCCCGCAACGATCTCCTTCACGGTCTTGATCAAAAACCTGGCAACTTGCTGCGTGATCATCCAATTATCGCCCTCTACGGTTGGCTTGCTGAGGTAGTCATTGTTGAGTTGTATCAAACCAGTACCGCCGCCAAAGCCATGCCCACCCATCGCTCGCCGGCATATCTCTACGCTGTTGGCTGCGAGGTCGGTCGCCAGAGATTTCAGCCCGGCGCTTGTGGAATGCAATTCTGCTAATGCAGCTGCATCGGAGTCTTGAGCAGGCTGGCCTTTGTCAAGTTGACCTCGAGCACGTTCGTACAGATTTCGCATGGCGGTGCCGGAGTAGTGCAGCGCGAAGAAGGTGGCCAGTAGGGGCAAGATACGAATTTGCACGGTTGTGTAATCAAGGACAGGCGTTTCGGCGCGAGTTGCTGTCAACCCTGCGTTGTCGTCGTTATCATAGAACTGCCGCCGGATTGACAAGTAACGAACAGCGACTGTGACAGCGCGTGCGATCACAAGACGCGCATTCATGACGATCACTGAGCGGCCTCGGGTGAGCTGACCATATACTGATGCAGCGCTCTTGGGTCGCGTGTATTCCCCAGTGTTCGGATCAACTTGGGCGTAGCGGGAAAGGAGCGCGGAGTGTGGCACGCGATGATGTCGGAAGAGGCAGTAGGCATTGTCCATCGAAGCGTAGCCATATTTGGCATTGATATCGCCGACGATGATCGATGGGAAGGGCTTGTGTGTCTTCGGCTCTCGGATCTGAACGATGAAGGGCCGTGGTCCTTTCGATTCGTACTTTCCCGCCTGGTCCTTGACCGGAAGCATAAGCTGGGCGACCACGACGGCATGTGTGGCTGTCCGCCCCAGTGTGCCATTCCACCATTTGCTGGCGGTCAATGTGGGCGAATGAATGACGAACTCCTTGCTATCCTGGTCCCATCGCGCTTCGCACTCGATTCCTCTGATGTTACTGCCGTGACCCAATTCGGTCTGTGCATAAGCTCCAACGATCTGCCACTTGTCCACCTTGGGGATCCAGTAGGCAGCCTGCTCGATTGAGCACTGCTCCCGCATCGCCGCCTGGAACAAGCTGATGTGCAGGTGATACGGCAGAATATCGTCTATCAAATACTCTGCCATCAAAAGGTCATCGTTATCCCATCTATGCTCGTCCATGAGCTGCCTCATTCGTTTGCCTCGTGCCAAGCCTAGCAGGTAGCGATCTGGTCGGCTCAAGTTGGCTTGCTGTGTCTTGTCATAGATCTTCTCGCGGGATAATATGGCGGTTATGCGAGCCTGCCGAGACAGGTACTCATCGCCGAAGATGTGCTGCGACAAAGCGTCGACATTGATTGATGATCGCTGTCGCTCTCGGCGGAGGATTTCAGCGCCATTGGCGTCAGGGTGTGGTCTGAGCTGCTTGCTCCAGTCCTCCTCCATGGTGACGAACCTATCGCTGGGGAAATGAGATGTTGTTGCGAGTTGGGTTGCCTCCTGCTCATGAGATGTGAAGCCACTGTGTTCGTCGTGAGCTTTAGATTTGACTTCTCGACGCGTTGACTGGTTCTTGGCCGCGGTCATTCGCCGTTGATGGGGGTTGATTCTGCCGCTCTCTCACTCAGCTTAGTCTCAAGCTCCCCAAACTCATTGATAACGCCGAGTCATCATCATCGTCGGTGCCATCGACTCCATCAACGAGCCTCGGCATCTTTTTACATACGCTCGCTGCCGTTCTGAGCGTTCCCCAGTCTTGCAGGCTCGGTGTCATGACAGCCAACTCCACACAATCACATCCATGCCCGCCAAGCTACGGCACCCAAAGAGGCAATCGCCGAAGAAGAGAGTATCGTACAAGGACCTGCCGCCTATAATTGACGCATACGGGAATAGTCAGAAGCATGACTCGCGACAACTAGCCAGAAGCAGAGGCCTCGCATAATGCTTTCCTGCCGCAAGCTCACAGCCTACCGCGCTGCTGACAAGCCGAAGTCGCCTCTTACAGAATGCCTAGGTACTAGTTAGCCAAGAATGACAAGCAACTTATGCAAGAAGATGTGGATTCTTCATGGCATTGCTTGTGCAGGAGCCTATTAGAAGGGTCGGAGAGCTTGTTCATCAGACACATATGCTGAATCTGCTGGTAGTCACTTCTCAGTGATGGTCGCAGCGGAATGTTGCTGCCGTCTCCGACCTGAATCGACTTCTCTCAACCCTGCTAAGCGTGACTTTCTGCGTTGCTGGCGAAAGACCGAGGACGGTGTCGGTTGAATGCTCAACAGAGAGTGCCTAGACAGAGAGGGCGGCCATGCAATCGTCTTTTACCATGGGTCGATACAGACTACCGACCGTGGGGTCTGTAGTCTCAATGGGCCTGCGCCCTCTCCGCAGTTGAGCTATTGACGAGGACTTAACACACAAGCCCGTGAATAGTGGCCTGCTAGGAGGAATAGCCGTGGAGTTCGGATCCACAGGGTTGGGGATCTGTTGCAAGGACAGCGATATTTGCCATGGAGAACGCCTTTTTCGACTATGCTAGATTGTCGCAGAGTAGGTTCGCCTCCAACTCCAGATCAAGACGCATGGTGGCTGTCTAGAACGTCCCGCCCTGCAAATGAGTTTTCACCGAATCCACCACGTTCATCCTCACCGAGCGCGCTTGCTATCATTTTCGGCAAGCTCCTCAACATGGCTAGCCGTCTCAACATCCGCAACAGCTCCCTTCTCCTCCATCATCTGCGTTTGCTGCTCCCGAGCCTTGGCCTCATCGCTGACCATTGCGTGAGACGCATCTTCGAGCGCCTTCAGGGGCATGGCGTGCCCATACTTGCGCTTGCGGCGCTGCGCCTCCCAAAGATACCAGAATGGCAGGCTAGCGTACAAGATGATGGTGAGCGATAAAGTAGCCAGAGATGCGGCGAAGCCTGGTAGGTACCAGGGCGCATCGGCGTGTGGAAAGATTTGAGGTCCAATGATCGACCAACTGACAGTGAGGCGATCGCGACTGCGCCTCCCACGGCCTGTTCTGTTGCGCCATAGAGTGTCGAAGAACGATAGGCGAGGGCTGCCGGCTGACAGATAGAGACCGATTTGCCGAGGAAGGCAAGTCCGTACAGCGCGATAGGCTGAATGCTGCCATAAGACTCGTGTATAGACACATGCGTCCACACAGCAAAACATGGGATGGCGATTATGATTGGAATGAGGTAGTGCCACATGCGATCTCGCGTCATATCGCTGTGTTTGCTCCATACCCAGTACTCGACCAGAGCTACGAAGTAGATCAAACTGGTGTAGATGTTTGCTTTGGTTGAGTTGAATCCGAGGAACTGCTGAGAGTCAGCGTTTTTCGCCCGACTGATCTCAGATAGAGTGTACTTACTGTGTTGAAGATGACCGGAAGGAACGTTCCCAGGCTCGTGGCAACGATGAGGACACAGACATACGCAACAAAGAAGATGAGGGTACTGGGTCGCGTAATGACCTGCCAGAACACCGGCCACGACCAGGTAGCATCGGTCTGACGTGTAGCGCCACGGCCGAATCGATTGATGGCAATGTGCCGTTCTTGGAAGATGTTAGCACTCGCCGACAATGAGCAAGCTCTCAATGCAGAACTAACCTCGCTCATTAAGTGCCTTTGAATTTTCTGGGAAGGTCAAGAGGAGGAAGTAGACAGGGACTGCCATCACAATTGGCATCAGTCCCTCTATGATGAACAGCCATCTCCAGCTTGCCAGTCCAGCAACACCATTCAGCTGCGTGAATGTCAGTGAGATGCGAGTTTAGGTTGAAAATAAGGCTCTTACGTGGTCGATGCCAACCGCCAAAAAGCCACCGACACCGGAGGCCAACGAATTAGCAGCATGGAAGATGCCAATTCGAAGTGCTCTCTCCGATGGTTTGTACCAGAAGCTGAAGTACATTATGCATGTTGGGACGACACCGGCTTCTGGCACTCCTAAGAAAAAGCGACCAGCTAGCAGGCCTGGACCATTCTTCGAAGCACTAATCGCGCAGACGACCGTGCCGAACAAGACCATAATCAGGGGAAAGTAGAGCTTGCCAGAAATCTTCTTCATAAGAAGATTCGAAGGTAGCAAGAGTACAGTGACCGTAAAGTAGGTAATTGAGACTGCCCAGTTGAACTGCGTGCCTACCAGGCCGAGATCAAGATTGATGTTGTCAGGCTTCTTGCTTTGCATGGTAGCAGCATAGCCCATGTTGGCGCGATCCAAATAAGCCAGGAAATAGACGATACAACAAGGAAACAAGACACGAAGATCCAGCTTCCTGACGAGCTTGCGCTCTTCGTCGTCGGTCCAGTCCTTGACGGCATTGACCTCCTCGGCTCTGTCCTGGCTGGCAGCTGTGAAAGCATGAGTACGCCGGCGGTGCATAGTGCTGGTGGGTGTACTGACCGCCCTTCTTGCGAGGTATGATCGCATTTCTGATGCCCCACCCACCAATATAGACGCCCTCTGCCTCGACCTCGCGGCGGGCTTTGGAGAAATCTGAGAAGACCATGATGTATCTCAGGGTGTGGAAGACGGAGAAGATGAGAACTTGCAAAATGGAAGTTCAACCAGGAAACAGTGGCGTTTTATGCCTCGCTCACTTTGGTCGAAGACAAATATCCCCATGCCGCCAACATGGCCAAGCTGTCATAGGCGTCGCTGCAATGTCCTGGGCGTGAGGGGTGCACCTACGAAACGGCAGTGCGGCTGCCCATCGTCTGCAAGCCAGGGCGAGGATTGTGCCCTACGATCCCCAAGCTCTCCAACTGTGCTTTTTGTGCATCCACAAGCACCCCACGGGGCACATAAGGAAAGCCACATCGTGCTTGGTAGCGCTTGCACTGCTTGTGTTCCGACGAATGGTGGGGAAGGAAATCGAGTCCGGGGAGTTACTGTGAGGTCAACATCGTCTTGGCGTGAACCACCGCTCGGCTCTTTCCTCTTTTGGCGGCGCTGCTCTTCGTCCGAGGGCTAAAGGAGAAATTGACCTGCTTGACTCAGTGCACGAAGTCGACGGAGACGGATGAACTGCAGGACGACTTTTGGAGAACTCATGGCGCATCGATGCCGTAGAGTGTCCACAGCTATGGCAGCCATCTTACCGCTCTCGTGAGCAGAGCACCTTTCTTGTTCAGTTTATGTCCGTGAAGTTGAGGAGAGCCGCGATATATGGAGCGACTTGGCAGGTCACCACACGTTCGATCTTATCGCTCACTCGTGAGATGAGCCATTCCCTTACGACTACAAATCTAGCTCCATGACTTCGTCCCAGCAACATCAACATCAAGCGTTTCCCTCGTCGGAAGTTCGAGCTACTGACGAGGCGATATTGGACACCATGGATCCTGCAGATCGAGACACCTTCGCGCCTAGGCATATTGGTCGCAATGTCTTCCCAAATTTCTTGTACTGGGGGCGATTGGTTCGATTAGCACATAAGCAGCACCTCTTGGCTGTTCGCGACCTCACATTTGGCTACACGGCGACATACCAGCAATTACTGACGGATGTGCTGCACTACCGGAATACGATTCATTTACAGCTGGATCACGAGACACAGGATCGATTAGCGCGCGATGAGGAGGTCTTCGTGAATGTGCTTGGACCTGGCGGCTATGAGTTCACTGTAGCTTTTTTGGCACTGATGGCTCTTGGCGCAGTAATCGTCCCAATCTCACCGGACCTGCCTGTCAAGGAGGCTGAATATTTTGCCACCAAGTGTACTTCTGTCGCCGTTCTGACGGCACAGAAATGTATGAAGCTTGGAGGAGAGCTTGAGAATGTGATGCGACGGAAGGGCGACTCGAGATTCCAGCGGATTGAGATCGCGCCGCATATAATGCAGACACCATTACCGCTGGACCGTATACTTGTCAGTTCCGACAAATACTTCGATATGAATAAGTCTGGACAAATCATCTTCACGTCCGGCACAACAGGTCCACCCAAGGGTGCGGTCAAGCGACGAGGATTCTTCATCGATGTGGCGACTATGTTTTGCGACCAGTACGACATGCGAGAAGGTGATCTAGTGTTACATGTCCTGCCCGTGCACCACGCCACAGGCACGACACTCACTTTGCTACCCTTTCTGTGGGCAGGTGGCACCATCGAATTCAGAAGTGGTGGGTTCAATACGGAATGGACGTGGGATAGGATATCCAAGGGCGACCTTGATTTCTTCTCAGGCGTGCCAACAATCTATATGCGACTTATGGCACATTACGAACAAGTCCTTCGCAAGCTACCGGATTCGCATCGGATCAAGTACGACCAAGGAGCACAACGAATACGAAGCATGCTATGCGGCACCTCGGCGCTACCTCGGCCGCTGCAGAACAAATGGACATCACTCCGCAACGGCAAACCTATTCTCACTCGGTACGGGCTGACGGAAGCTGGGAACGCATTCAATGTTGCACCCTGGCAAGCGATGCAAGTGCCTGATGGGTCCGTTGGGACGAAGATGGCGGGTGTCGATGCCAAGCTGTCGGCATACCCTGAGGGCGAGATTCTGATCAAAAGTCCCATCATGTTCAGTAAGTACTTGTATGACCGAGAAGCGACAGCAAACAGTCTCGACGAAGAGGGATACTTCAAGACAGGTGACATTGCACGGAAGGAGGGCGATTTCTACTTCATACTCGGTCGCGCCAGTGTCGACATTATTAAAAGTGGTGGTTACAAGATCTCAGCACTGGATATCGAGCGCGAAATCCTCGGGCTCGATTATGTAGCTGAAGTCATGGTTGCAGGTGTGGAAGACGAGGAGTTTGGTCAACGCGTCGCAGCTGCCATTGTACTCAAGCCGGACGACAAAGCGAATGGTCTGACGCTGGACAGACTCCGACAAGATTTGAGGACAAGTCTAGCGGGGTACAAAATGCCGACACTCCTTCGGATGATCGATGGCGAGCTGAGAAAGAACGCCACAGGAAAGGTGATCAAAAAAGCCCTCATCCCAGAATACTTCCCTGGTCAAGATGCACAGGGCGTACAGAAATGGACTGGACGGAAGAGCAAGCTGTAGAGTCAGCGCTTGACCCAGGTCCGACGGCTTGCGACAACTTTCGTCAATAACTTCTACTTTGACTCAGCATTGAAGGAGCTTCAGGGACAATTCAGTACATCAAGGAGGATCAGCAGCTTTGCCGTGGTCTCATCATTGCATTAGCATTGCTTGGAGCAGACAGCTTACCACGGAGGGTCTTCTGAGGCGCATCTCCGTACTGTGGCGCGACTTGACATTGGCAGAAGGACTGAGTCTTCGTGACTAATCGAGCAATCAGGGAAGGGCTCGGCAGTGGTTGACGGAGTGCGGTGTCGATTCATGTGCTATTGGCGCAGTTCTGCGGTCGCTTCCGCCACGATCACAGAGGCTTAGCTGTGCCGCTGTCACCAGCTTGATTCGACTCTGCGCAGTCCCACTCACAGAACTATATAGCAGACCGCCATCTATCGGCAGACTATATATGCAACACTTCTGTACGAACGATGCCAATATAATCGAAGAAGAATCAAGACCATACACTACCACTTGAGAAACATTTGCAAGCCGACCTAAACCATACGCCCATACAAGAAGCACTTTCATCCTCCGTCAATCTCATTGGCTCACCGTGTTTCCTCCTGGATCAAAAGACGCGAACCTTTTGGAGCACTCAATATGCCGCGCGCAATGCCATCTCCCAACCACTGCGAATGTCAGTGGCCGCGACTGGCCCGAAAGAAATGTCATAGGGCATATTGTCCTTGTATTCAGTCAAATCGGCGCTGTCAGATTGCTTGTCGATGCATGTGCATAGACCGATGAGCACGACGATGGGTCGGACAGAAGATCTGATAGCACTCTGTAGGACGTGTGCAAGGCAGCTTTGACAACAAATGTTAGAGCTTGTGCTAGAGTGGAGGACACCGAGAGAGTCTATTATACATCCATCAATGTTCTAGAAGCCATACAAGCAACCAGCCGTCCTCTTTCTGTCCTTGTTTGTGATCATACACCACAACATTTGGCAATGGTCAGGGGAACTCAAGCTTCTGTCGAGTGAGGTCGAGCTTATATTGAGTAGGATAGAACTCAAAATGAGGTTGAACAGATTCGATCTGGGTGAAGCCAGATGTGTCCATGATAAGTTGCAACACTCTACAGCTTCACCTTCGGTTCCCTCGCTGTTTCCATCCTGTGTACGTAGCTATTCTGAGCATACTGCTTCCTTGCCTCGCCCCACAGCTCGTCTCGGAGCAGAGCATACACGCCCATCCGACTCTTGTCTTTCCATTGCTCAGCGATCTTGATTGCCTCCTGCAGCATCTCTTCTGGCTCCGCAATAACATCAACAATGCCATCCTGCAACGCTTCCTTGCCGGTATACTTATGTGCCTGCAGCAACACTTTCCGCGCTACTTGTGGACTCAGCTTCGACCGAACAAGACTACCCATTCCCACATGATGTAGTCCAGCGTCAACGGGCGGCATCTGCCAGAACCCTCGCTTCGAGTTCATCACCCGGTAGTCGTGCGCCAGCGTCAACAAGCAAGCTCCACCAAACACGTGCCCGTTGATCAGCGCGATTGTCGGGAATGGAAAGTCCAGGACCGTGTGTAGTAGTGGGTAGAATCCATCCGATGACGCAAACTTGTTGACGTCTCGCTCGTACAGGTCGAGGCCGGTTGTGAAGAACTTGTGGTCGTTGCCGGTCAGGATCACTGCGCCAGCGGAATCTTGGCCGAGACAGGACTCGACATAGCGGTATGCTCTGATTAGCTCTTGGCAGGCGGCGACGTTGAGGCGGTTCTCTGGTGGTTTGTTGAGGGTTATGATGTAGATGTTGGAATCCTTGCCGGTGCTGGTTACTGATAGGTATTGAAACTTCATTGTTGCTGGTGATGAGACGAATGTCTGTGTGGTGATCCGTCTCGTGGTGGCGTGATACGTTCCTTCTCTGGCAGTCTGACTTCTGAAGATATGTCTGGTCGTCAAGGTTGGAGTGACTGTTTCCTGCTCCGATGCTGGTTGTCCCCGATAGCTAGATCTGAGGCTGGAGGAATTGCTTCATTTGAGTGAGACTTCGTAGTGGCTTGCTGTCACCACAGCGTCCGGTCACTGCAGAATAGCATCCTAGCACTCATCCATCATCTGGACGGCCGGTTGCTGAGGGCACATCCCAACGCCGAGTCGCCGAATCGCCGTTGTATCCGCCGAGCCGTCATCAAAAGTATGGGGTCAAAGTGGGGAAAAGGTTGCCTCTTCTCCAAGATCTCACTCGGTGTTTGCCATTCTCGTCCACCCTCAAGGTCTACGGCCACGACCATCATAGTTCGCGGCATAGAAGTGGATCAATGGTTGGTGGACTGATGCTGGAGAATCGAGCGACTCGGTCGATGTCGCTTGGCACAAATAGAATGCCATCGTCATCAGCATTGGTCGATGTCTGGTGAAACCTGTTCGGCCTGACAGGTCAATTGACGAAGCGGCATGATGGGTGACACGAGGACGAAGACTAGGACGCGAACGCGCACGCGCAACATCCCCAAGCAGGTGAACGAAACGCCCTTTGGTGTCTTCCTATGGGGTGGTCCGGAGAAATTCGACCGGCGGCGAGATGTCTATAACGAACTCTCGACAAATCCCATGTTCGCCAAAGATACCGGATACCACACAAGTCTAGCACGAAAGGATGCCTGGACGAAAGCCGCGTTACAGTCGCGCGAGTTGATTGAGATCAAGCTCCGGAAGAAATGGCCTCATCGTCATTTCATGGATGCAATACGCATGACTGATTGGTTCTTACCAGTGCAGCCGCAATTTCGAATCTTCATGTCGAATCTAGAGCGTCAGATGTCGGACGAGCAGAAGGCGATATGGGTCCCGAAAGCGGAACGATTCGAGATATTTGGTTGCTATCCTCAGACCGAGCTTGGGCATGGGTCGAACGTCAGTGGTATCGAGACTACTGCTACCTTTGATAGACTGACGGACGAATTCATCATCAATTCGCCAACGATTAGCAGCACGAAGTACTGGATAGGTGGATCCGGCATCTGGGCAACGCACGGGATTGTGGTTGCTCGACTTATCATTGATGGTCAGAACTACGGGAACCATCTATTCCTGACACAGCTGCGGGATCTGAGCACGCAGCAGCTGATGGTAGGGGTGGAGATCTACGAGATGGGTCCAAAGTCGTTCCAGGGCATGCTCGGTGCAGATACAGGCGCTTTGAGGTTCAACCACGTCCGAATACCACGAAGTCAGATGTTAGCCAGGAATGCGCAAGTGGAGAGGAGTGGCAACTACATCAAGCCGAAGAACCTGAAGCACTCGTATGGCTCCATGGTCACAGTCAGAGCACTGATGGCCGAAATCACAGGTCACGATCTTCTGCGTGCGGTAAGCACTGCCTATCACTATACAACATTTCGGAAGCAGTTCAGGAGGGACAGAGAGCAGGACGCAGAGGAGACAACTGTCTTCGACTACTCAAGCGTACGGCATCGCCTACTGCCACTTTTAGCTCAAGGCGTTGCATTAGTACTGGTCGGCCAGAGCATCAACGAAGCATACCAGGAGTACACGAAACAGATGCTGGGTGGCGACACTTCTGGCCTCGAAGACTTACATTTGCAGACGGTCGGTGCCAAGGTCTATTCCACTGAGATCACTGGTAGAGGCGTGGAAACATGTCGCATTGCTTGTGGCGGCCATGGCTACAGCGGACTATCTGGCTTTGGTCGAATGTATGCCCACGCCATCAATGCTGTCACCTACGAGGGTGACAACTACGTGATTGGCCAGCAAGTCCCAAGAGCAATCTTGAAGCACTACAAGAACAAATCTGAGGCCAGCCTGCCCAGCATTGCTTATCTGTCTCTGCTCAGGGATGAGCGAACGCCACAGCCACCAGCAGACCTGACCAATCCCACCTCTTGGTCGTTACGAAGTGTTCAAGAATGGGCGCTTGGCATTCGGCAGGTTAACCTAGTGCGAGAACACATTGAAGACACCTCGCGCGGTCGGGACACCAGCTATACGACACATTCCCTAACGATGGCGCATTCTGACTTTACTTACTGGCGTGGACTCTGGAAAGTCATTGATGCGATTGCGAACGTATCCTTCGCCGGCCCGATGAAGTCCCTAGGGCTGGTCTTCTCACTTTCGATCTTGTTCAATCCTCATCACCCGTCGTTGACCCGACACCTACCTCTAACCACAGCACAGTACTCGGCGCTCCGCGACGCCTACCAGTCGGCCCTGGACGGCTTTGCAGACAATCATGTTGCGACAATCATTGATGCATATGGTCTGACGGAGTACGAGATGGACTCTGCATTAGCTCGAGCGGATCAGACTCCATATGAGGCGCTGTTAGATGGTGCTAAGCGCAGCGAGATGAGTGGAGAAAAGATGAGCACCTGTGGCCTATGATGGTTGATACAAGGTCGATATTGAAGAGATCGAGAAAGAGGAGGGCGGGAAGGCGAAGGCGAAGCTGTAGAGACGTGCGAAGATTACCTGAAAAATATGTCCGCGGCCAGGTATGCGGGCCTGTAACCCCGTGTATAGACACACTACTTCAGGGAAGTTGTGTGTGTTATGACGCTTGTGGGAGCTTTGCTGTCAGGTATACTTAGCAGTCGATGGGATTCTGTACCGAGACCTGCAAAGAGCGATGAACAGCGAAGAAAAGCCTGAAGAGATTAGGTCTTGAATACTAGTAGGAACCAGTCCTCTCAAGATGTCGCGTCATGGTGGTCAGTCTAAGCCTGGTGCGAGTACTTAGGTAGCTGTGGCGGGCCACCGCACAGGTTGTAGGGTGATCGAAACGCTCGTCATGCGCAAATCCGAGTTTAGGTTCTTGAGTGCGGGATGCCGGCGGCCTCCACGTCCTCAACCACGAGAAATGATGCCGTGATAAGAATTCCGAACATGGACTACTCTACAGACGCCTTAGCTGGCCCGTCTCCGTGGGGCTCGTCCTCGCCTAAAGCCGGACGGACGCATCAACATAATGCGTCCCAGGACAGCGTCACAGGCCCGCCAGCTGCTCAATCCGAGCCCACCGAGCCAGAGCAGCAGCAGGCAGTAGGGCAGGAGCAACACGAGCAACATGAGCATCCTCAAGGCCAGCCAACATTTCAACAGAGGCAGGCTGCGGCGCGATATCAGAGACAGCAGAGGCCAGTGCCGGCGTACAAGCTGCAGTCTAAGGTCACCGCGCTCGAGCGGACAGGCAGAAAGGATCCCGTCATTCGCTTTGATGTCTATGTAAGTCGACAGAGAAATGCTCGCAATTCGAGACTGATGTGCCTAGACGAACCTACCCAAGTTTCGAACGACTCAATTCCGGGATGTGCGCCGCACACATGGCGAATTCGTGAAGCTGTCAGAGCACCTGATCTCCTCCAATCCCGAAGCATTGGTCCCTGCTGTGCCGCCGGCTGTGACGTCGGCTGGTGCTGGAACAGACGAGGATGAAGGTAGAGTCAAGAACTCGATACAGAGGTGGCTCAACAACGTATGTGGTAATGATGTTCTTATGCGCGACGAAGAGATGGTCTTCTTTGTCGAATCAGATTTCGGCTACAGTCCTGTGGTACGGATGAAGCAGCCAGCAACAGGAGTGAGGCGGAAAGTCCTGAAGCAGTTTGCACCGCCACCTGACGACACACCTGAACTACACGAAGCAAGACCTCCTGTCAAGGCATTCTATCTCGGAGCACTGGATGCTGGTCAAAAACTGGAGAAAGTCGTGAAGCATAGACGAGGTCAGTACTCCCCTTAATTGACGAGGGCGGTCCACTGACGAGCAATAGCACTGGGCCTGGCAGAAACATCACTAGGCGAGAAGCTCACACAATTACACGTTCAGGAAACCCACGGTGGACTGGCCAACGCGTATCGCAAATTGGGCCGAGTTGTACAGACCGTCGGTGACTACCACGCAGCACAAGGCACAGCAGAAGCGACTACGCTCGGTGACCCTCTCGCTTATCATGCTGCAGATGCTTTCATTGTCAAAGAGTCCTTGACTAACCGGCACATACTACTTCGAGAACTTCTGCAAGCCGAACAGGCTCGGCGCAGCAAAGAAGCAGCCGTGACACGCCTGAAAAGTAGCACTAGCGTCAAACGGGACAAGGTCGACGAAGCAATATCTGCCCTCGACGAAGCCAAATCTGCTGAGGAGTATCTGTTGGGCAAGACCCAGCGGGTGACAGGGAATCTGCTCCTCGAGAAACGCCGCTGGTTCAGAAGGACTTCGGAGGACATGCTCGACGCCATCCGTGAGTATGCGGTCCGGCAGATTGAGACCGAGAGACGCACACTGGCGACTCTCGAAAGCGTCAGGATGGACGTGCGCCAAATCGATGCTTCCGGCGGCCTTAGTCGCCTAGGCAGAGAAGCAAACCCGCAGATCCGACGCGTTAGCATGGCGAGCAGCCAGACGGCCAAAGGCGATGCATGGTCTGGAGTCGAGCGGACGAGGACTGGTCTTGCACGGACCTTATCTGGATCATTGGGCGGTCTGCCTGAGCAGGACGAAGATAGCAAAGCAAACGGCGATCATGACGCCGTTGCAGGTACTGGACGACCGCGAGGTGATAGTATCAAAGAAGATGATGAGGGCGATGATCGAGTGGACGCACGCAACGCAGCAAGTCGACTTGCGCAGAGTACGTTCTAGTGGGCGCTCTAAAACTGCGTAATCAGTGAGATAGGGGAGCAGGTCAAAGAATGTGGTCAGAGCCCGCCTTGGCTGTATCTTATACCATCTGCACAGCACACAACCGTCTTCTTACTCACGTCTTCGCCAATCAAAGCGGCATGGCTTGAGCCTCACTGTTTTTATGGCACATGGTCAACGCTGATCAACGTTGTTGAACATTGTTAGATGACGGATGGGCAGATGGAAGTCCATCTCGGGAAGGAGGCCCTGCTTGACGGGGTACAACCTGCTGATAGGCACGCTGGCCCTGGAAATCTCAAGCACTGCGAATCTAGACGGCGGTATATGTGCCTAGATATAACCTCGCAACGTCAAGTTCGTACGTGCTCTATCGCTGTCCACAGGTGGACCATATGGAGCCAGATCTTGAGATGAGGCGTCCTGCGAGCGGACGCAAGTCCAGCCCGAGACCCATGCACGTTATCTCCTGGTCCGCTGTGGTATACGTCGTGCTCACGTATTGACGCCCTCAGCTTCGTAGCATGCTGGACAGCAGCAGCTTGCCACACGTCAGAGAAGGTGCAACCCTGCTTCCTGGACTCGTGAAAGTCCGAAAGACCGACAGCGTCGAGAACATCTGGTCGTCATACCGCCTTGTGTGGCAGCTGCGACCAGAAGCCGATGACACGGTCATCAACATCTCAGCCTCAGTTTTGCTAGGGGAATGATTTCATGGAATCCCGCAGCCCTGCTTATACTTAAATGATCCTTGGAAGACGTCCGTATCTCGTAACATCGCCAAGACCCGGACTGAAAGTGTTACAGCTGGGCCTCGGAGAGCCAACGACAGTTAAGACATACTCATTTATGCTCCGCACCCCGGCTTAGCTAACAGCACTATCCCTCGGCTGGGTAGTTCAGGTCGCGTATTCTAGACTTTCATACGAGAAAAGTCAACCTACTTCCAGATGTCGACCTCATGCCCGTCGGGCCAAATGTGGTCCGCGTCCCCGCGCAGACCGTTGCAATATAACATGCTTGCAGGGCCCCTCGATGGAATGGCTGCTCATCGATTTCGTCAACCACGCCAAAGCGTTGCAACATGTATTCTCTCCTGCTCCTCATCCCAGCACTCGGCGTGCTCGCTCTCCTTCTCCAGAACTTGGTCACGACTCTTCGCAACCGTAAGCTAGCAAAGGAAGCAGGATGCCAGCCTCCTTGGAGAAGAAAGCATCGTCTTCCGCTGGCCATCGACTTTGTCCAAGAAATGAAAGCGGCAGACAGCGAGAACAGGCTTCCCAATTATTTCCTCGAGAGGCGTAAAGAATCGGGAAAAGACACTTGGATTCAGCAAGTCCTCGGCACCGACAGCGTGATTACTCAAGAACCTGAGAATATCAGTGAGTTGTTCTTCGTACAGTGTTGATGGTTATTACTTTGAGCACTGCTCGGCCATTATGTTCTGGGCCGAGGAAGACGCGCTCGGGACACGCCCACAAAGCTGTCTCCGAACACATACCACCATCTCGACAATGAGCTAACGAACTTCCCAGAGGCCATCCTCGCAACTCAATTCAAGGACTTCGAGCTTGGGCCCACGCGAAAGGGCTGCTTTGCGCCGATGTTTGCCAATGGCATCTTTTCGGACGATGGCACTAGATGGGAACATTCTCGAGCTCTCATCCGGCCACAATTTGCGAGAGATCAAATCACAGACTTGACGGCCCTCGAGCAGCATGTCCAGAACCTGCTGCAAGCCGTCTCGTACAGGATGGGCAAAGAAGGCTGGACTGACTATACCGACCTCGCGCCGCTCTTCTTCCGCCTGACGATGGACTCGGCAACGGAATTCCTCTTTGGTCAATCCGTTGGCTCACAAATAGCAGCTCTTGATGAAGAGCGCTTCGGCGAGAAACAACTCACTGATGACGGGCTCACTTTCACACAATTCGGCCCAGCCTTCGATAGGGCAATGTCAGCAATCTCACAACGATTTCGTCTGAACACACTGTACTGGCTACACAACACGAAAGCGTTGCGAGACTCCTGCGCTGAAGTTCACCGCTTCGCCGACCATATGGTCAAGCAAGCTCTCGAGGCTCCCACTGAGAAAGCAATGGAGGACGGCAGCCATAAATACGTCTTCCTCCAGGAATTAGTACGGGCTACTCGAGATCCAATCGAACTGCGCGACCAACTCCTCAACGTGCTCCTTGCTGGCCGCGACACTACTGCTGGGCTTCTGGGCTTCGTCTTCTATCAACTAGCACAGCATCCCGAAGTATACAACAAACTGCGCACAGCTGTCCTCGCTGACTTCGGCTCTTATTCCAATCCTGCCAACATGGACTTCACGGGCTTGAAAGCATGCTCGTACTTACAGCATGTTCTCAACGAAACTATGCGCCTGCATCCGTCCGTACCTTTCAACTCACGCCGCTCCACTCGCGATACTACTATTCCCCTGGGTGGTGGACCAGACCAAAAGTCTCCGGTGTTTATCCCGAAGGGCATGGAAGTCAATTACAGCGTGCACATTATGCACCGCCGAAAGGACCTCTGGGGCGAAGACGCGGAAGCCTTCAGGCCAGAAAGATGGCTAAACCGTAAAGCTGGCTGGGAATTCCTGCCCTTTAACGGAGGACCGAGAATCTGTCTGGGTCAGCAATTCGCAATCACGACTGCTGGCTACACGGTCGCGAGAATTGTTCAACGCTTTGACAAGATCGTGGATCTGGTTCCGCATACCGGCTTTGGTGAGGAGAGGTACGTTTATACGGTCACTGGTGCGCCGATTCATTGTAAAGTCAGGATGCATGAAGCGAGCGACTGATGTCGCTCTTTCTCCTTGGGGGCCTTTCATAGGAGTCTTTCGGGGATCCTGCGGTCTGATTCGAGACTTCTTGGACGTGTTGAACAGAATCGTCGGAACAGCATCGAGACCATATCCATACAAGGAGCTCCTGGTCCAGTCTAAGGCTCTGGACTCTCCTTATTTTTCGGCTGCTGAAAGACCATATCGCGGGACTCGATCGTCACGTTCGCTCCTGGCTCGCATGTTAAAGCCACGACTCTTTTTCGCAAGATGAATACGAGTTAGGCCACCATCGGACACGAACGACCTCAGGAACGCCAGTCAACAGTCTACCATGCGACTTCAGTCCCTACCCGAAGCGGACGTTAAGTAAAGGTCGACTGACCATTGGAGATGAGTCATAGATCAGAATGGACCGCCCTCGTTCTGGACCCTCTGCAACCACACCGGAAGGGCATCTCTCTCTCTGACCTTTTACACTCCACAGAAGCCGAGGACTCGCTCGAGACTCCAGTGAGCACCGGAGCAGCGTACCAAAGGCAAGTCATGCTGCTCAATCGTTGCAAACCCGCCATGGATGCCGCCACTGTACTGGGAAACTCCACCCTAGCCCGTTTCGAGCTTGGCCCTCTCCGCCAATGCTGGCAAAGATTCAGGCGATACGAATCGTAGCGATATGTCGGAGACCACAAAATGTGACACTAAGGCCGACGATACACTCGTGCGAATGTCCTTGGAAATGGTGCTGATAGCAAGGAAAGCTCTCGCAGAGTAAGTTGGGAATGGACGACTATTCATAAGACATGATGATATAACGGTCGCTATGGCCCGTGAAGCTGCAATAGCGCTGGAGGTAGTGAGGGCTGAATGCAGACACTGCGCCGTAACGCTTGCCAGATTTTCCTTACTGAGAGTGCGGTATGCAAGGTGGCGTGGGGCAGCGATAGCGAGCTCCCGCAACTTGAAGATTCCTTGTCAACCGGTTTGAGTTACTGTAGGCCACTTTGCCACCCCCCTGAAGACAGGAACGTGTCGGCGACATTTAGGGGCTTCTCCAGATGGGATTCGCCCTGGAAGTCTGTGTCTGATCCCTGTTACAGAATGTGGCAGACGTGGTGAGGCTTGATATGGGCCACATGTCCGACGAATATAAGTGAACAGTTTGGCATCTGCGGGGCGACCAATTTGACCGTGTCATCCGTCTCTGCGCAAAGCTTTTGCTGCCAGTCATCCGGTTTTGCGCAGGCCTGTCATCCGGTGTGCCCATCTGATCTGCCGCTTAGGGCCGCCATCTATAAGGTAGGGCACCCCTAAAACGTCTTGATCATCTGGGGCCCAGCACCAGATATGTGCAGGGCTGCTGGTCCCCAACTTTTTGGGCCCCAGCAGAGTTCGGCACCGCGGTCACATCTTCATTACCTCAAAACTAATGCCATCGCTTCCAGCGCCGCCTCATCTTACCGACACACCAATTCAGCACCAGCACAGCTGTCTCACCTTATCAACGAGATTGATCTCGCGACTGCATCGATGCATCGCTCGTGACCACGAGCTCCGTCGCGAACATGAAGCCAACAGTGTTGTACGCACGATTGTCCTTTCGGTGGGCAGCGGCACAGGCCTGCTAGAGCGCTTGCTTCAAGACTCGTTCGCGAACGTTGCTTGGGACGACGTCGCTGATGAGGTATGGGTCTTTGGTGTCGAGGTCACTGGACCCCCCTCCGCGACAGATTCGCACACCTCAGACGGGGTCTCGGGAGCCTCCGTTGGGCTGAATACTTACCTTCGAAGCCAATTGAGGCTCACTGTTCGTGGCACGTGGGACGTGCTTGGGCCTGCGGACCTGCTCGAGAAGCTTGACGACGACCGTGCAGGGTATGACTTCGAGAACGTGGTAGCGGATAATGGAAGCGATACAGGTGTTGCTGACGAGCATGTCAACGTTGTGCTAGCGTTCGTCTACCCACGCCAGCCAGCGCTACTGCGTCGCTATGTGGATACATGGCAGCCCACGACTGCACTTGGCGAGTTCAAGAGGGGAACGCTCGTGATGCTGAGAGGAATGGTGTGGGCAGGTCCTCGCGCAGATTGGGTAGACGAGTATGAAGCTATCTTCACTGGGCTTGAGCAGCAGTCAGACGACAAAGACAAGAATTGGGAGATCAATGTTTCATGGGGCGCCATGGCAGGTGTGGCTGAAGGTGAGGGCGTCGCCATTGCAATGAAGGGTCCCCTCGAACATTCGATCGGTGATGCTCTTCAAGGCTAGACAGAGAAGAAACGACAATCTAAAGCCTTGATTGTTGGATATATGATGGAACATCACTCTTGTATCATCAGCCATAAATGCATGGAAGATGCCTTAACGCCAGGTCCGATCCCAAAAGCAACCTCAGTATCCCTGTGCGTCTGCACCATACACACTCTCCAACGCATTCGGATCCCGTCCCAATCTCCCTGCACTCGTCCTCAGCTTCCCCTTGCTAGCATCCATCAAGCTGCCGACCCACTGGTCGTCCACAACGCCACCAACCATCTTGTCTCCCTTCCTCAGAAAGCTCGTTGCACCCAGCTGAGTTGGCTGGAAGTTCAAGTACACTGCTTCCCACTTGTGCTTCTCCACCTCGAAGATCTCATGGTTGATTCCCAGATGATCCACCTTTCCAGCCTTATTCCATTTGTTCCACTTATCCCAGATCGCGCGGTGAGTTGGCCCGTACGCGAAGCGGTGCAGGTCGTCGGTTGAGCGGAAGTACGACAATGTCATCAGGTGAACACCACCGCGGGCATCGCGGGAGGACCAGGATGAGCTACCGAGATAGCCCGAGTCTGGAGCGGTCCGGCCGAGTTCTTTCCACATCGCGCTGTTGGCGTCGCCAATATCCTTGAGATAGGGTGCGAAGAGGCCGGATGGGTGGTTTACTTTGAAGCCGAGGATGAAGACTACGATCTTCTCGTCGGCGGCTTCGGTTGAGATCGTGCCGTCGCTGTCCGGGATGACGGGGGCGGTGCGGTGGAGGATGGCGGCTTGGAGGTAGGGATTCTTCTTGAGGTTGAAGTGGATGGCGAGTGTGTCGAGGAATTTGAGGACCAGGAGTGTGAGGACTGGGACGGCGGTGTACCAGCTGTTGGTGATCAATGAGAGGAGTGCTTGGAGGGAGCCGCCGACGAGCAGCCAGGTTGTGAGTGGATAGATGTCGGAGAGTGCGTTGAGGAGGCCGCTGCTTCGTGCTGCTTCTGATCGAGGTCGCTTTGCACTTGGTGGTAGTATTGGTGTGAAGGCCATGATTTTGGCTTGCTGGGGAGTATCTTGAGATAGTTCTTCTGTGCACGGACTGTACTGCTTTGAGCGATAAGTTACCTTCTATGTCAGCGAAGCTTCGACAATGTTCGATGCAGAATACAGAGCATGGCCGATGGACAGCCACTGAGTATATATCACATCTTCGACATGACGGACATCCAGTGGCATCTAGTCCAGCAACTACCCATGACAGGCACAGGCCAAGCTCACGGCCGTAGATCAAGCCGCGAGGATACGTCCATAAAAGGTTCAGCTAAATTACGCTCCGAACGCCCGTGAGCTTAGCTAAAAGGCTCCTTGCGGAGGCACAATGGAGGCCTGCGTGCTTACCTTAGCGGCGGCTTCGCCTATCGTACCTCGCGTTGTTCCCTGTGGCTCCAGGGTTGGGCGTAAATGGAAGCGCCTATTCCAACTCTCATGCCCCCGCGCCTTGCGGGCGTTGATGTCTGCCGAGTTCGAGATCTCGGAATCCTCAATTACGACAAAAAATTGGCTCACTACCTTAAGCACACCTCGCACCCGTCGGGTCTCAGCGTTGTCATGTCATGCGCTTAGGTACGGTCGTTCTCTAGTCGAGCTCGCGGAATGCGACAGGTTCGGGATGTTTGTTGGAGCCTGGAAGACAGCGAGGTCTGGAGCTGCCATAGCTCATGAACACGTCCATCATGTCCGCACCTGCAGGACTGCCGGCAGTTGGTTCCCCCACGTCCACAAAGCGATCTAAGCAAGACATTCTACACTCGTGCCTGGGAAGAAATCTCGATATGCGGAGGCAGTTGGTCACCGGTGCCGAGGACAGTGTAGTGGGCTTGCTTTGGGCAGTCCGGTACGGCCGTAAGCGTAAGAGGACGGCTGGACCTATCCAGTATGAGCACGCCTGCAAGGCAACTTCTAAGGCCTGGATTTATGCCGTCTCATTTTGCCTGGAGCCGAAGATATGATTCAATAACTCTGGGAGCGACCAAGCTGTCGGTTTCACAATCATTGGCTGGAACTCGGAGGCCGATGCCAGTACTATGATCACACTAATGAGAAATGATCAGAATACCGTAGCGATACTCTAATGCTCGCAGACTGTCGAAGATGAGGCGAGGTGAACCTCGACGAGACCACCAGCTCAACGAACTAGCTATTTGGCATAATATCTTGTCCACTGTGCTAGCAAGCAACCTATTCTATGCGGAAGAATGAATACTCTCCTGCTTCCCTTCTCCTTCTCGAGCAGCGCCCAATCCGAGATGCTGCGCTCTCAACGAGGCACAACTCAGAAGGTGTAGCGGAAGAAGCTGGCATTGTCACCCTTCGTTCGCTCGGCGTCCTTCTCCTCCTGAGTATACAACTCTGGGGCCTTATGCGCGGCATCTCGTCGCTTGTTCTCGCGCCGCACGTACAGCGTCATGAACGCGCACAGGCAGGTAGACATCGTGATCATGCCAATGAGAATGCCATGGCCTTGGCGGAAATGCGGGCTGTCCTTGCTAAGGTAGATGAAGCCGGCGATCACACCTCCCAAGTTACCGAAGCCGACGTGCATGGCAATACCGACACCGCGTTTCAGGGAGCCGCCGATGTTGTTGCCGTTCCACGCCACACCTTGTGGGACACTGTCTCTTGTGTCAGTGGCAATACATAGGGTAGAACGTCTCTGCTGGTTCAAGGGATCAGGGCTACTCACTTGGGATAGATGCCAGATGCGAAGAAGAAGCACCCAGCGTACTTAACGCCAGCGCGATCGGAGGAGATCAGCATTATCAGGCCGATGATAGCGGTGCAGAAGAAACCAATCATGAACAGACCACGAGTCTTGAGGCGGTCTGCGGCATACCCACCAGAGATACAAGCCACACAGGCGACCACGTACGGGGGAACGGTCATGAGTTGTGCGGTATTGTTGGTATAGCCGAGTGTGCGGACGATAGTAGGCAGGAAGAGTGAGATCGAGTACAGTGGGGTGTAGCATCCGATCGTGATGAACATGTGGACCCAGATCTTCCAGTCCTTGATGGCATCCCAGAAATACCGCATGTCGAATTCGTCTGCCAGGGAGCTCCGATCATGGACAAGTCGACGGGTGACTTCGGTGCGCTCATGCTCGGACAGAAACTTGGCCGTTGATGGGTAGTCTTGCATGACAAAATACGCGATGATCGCCACGACAAAGGTAACGATACCTTCGAGGATGAAGATCCAGGCCCAGCCGCCCAAGCCTGAGACGCCGTTCATCTCGCTGATACCACGAGCCAGGAGACCACCAAAGGCACCTGTATAGCCACTATTGATTAGCTCATGCCAAGGAAGGGGAGGGGCTCAATGGAGGTGCTACGTACCAGCAGCTGTTGCAGCAGAAAAGAAGATAGCCATCCGGAAACCGCATTCGTGTCGTCGGTACCATCTGAGAGGAGTCAGCGTAAGCCTGCCGTTGGAGACTGGGTCAGAGGATGACTTACAGCGTGATGTAGTATGTGACACCTCTGTTCGTTGCGGTCTGCTGTCAGCGTGCTTGGAACAATCAAGGCAAAGGGGAAAGATTGAGCAGAAGTTGGGTCGATGGGAGAGACTGGTATCGCGGTCCGGCAGTCAAGGGCGTCTCAGAGCACAAGGCAAACGAAGGAAACGCCCTGCACAGTGGCACTAGGAGATGCTACTGTTGTGGAGCATCAGGGACAGGCGTCTCTGAAAGTCACATCAAGATCATCTCCTCTACGACCACTATTGCAGAATGGGGAAAGCACGTACGGGAAAAGACCACCCTCTGCGATACCGAGAGCGGCACGCGCAGCCAAGAGCCCGCCGAAGCTCTTGACAAGACCCATAAGAGTCGTGCAAACAGCCCAGGCGACCATGATGGTCGGGATCCAGAATGAAGGCCTTGTGCGCTTCATCATCATGTTGGACGGAATTTCAGCTGCAACGTAGAATGGGAAGAAGATTGCCAATGCAATCTTGGTTTGTTAGCAGACTGCCTTTTGGACTTGGGAAAGCGAAGCTTACGTTGTAATCCAGTCCTGCCATGCCGAGATCCTTCTCGAGACCGGCCAGACGAGCATTTCCAATGTTGGCTGCATCATGTTAGACGCGGTATGCCTGAAAGTTATGCGGTGGACCTACTCCGGTCGAGGAACGACAACAGGTATAGAAGAGCCAAAAACGGAAGCAGCGCAAAGTCGATCTTGCGAATCAGAGTCTTCGTCTGTTTCTCATCGAATCCGAATTCCTGACTGCTGTTCGACGCGGACTCTGCGAAAGCGACATCTTCTTTATTGGTGGGCGGCGTGTCTTGGCCAGACGATGCCTCAATTTTGGTATCGTTCTTTATGTCTGCCATGCTGAAGGCCTGTGAGAGTTGTGACGCCAGAGTCTTTAGCTACTCGGACTCCGAGACTGGTGCAGGGTTGATGGGAACGCGAGAGGTCGAACAACAACCGAGATCGAACAGTTGAGATGGGTACTTGCAGGCTATTTGTGCGAACTGTTGTTTCTCACCGGCAGAATTGGGTGGAGCCCTGCCATTCACTTGACGGGTCATTGACGGTCTGTGTGATCTTGTGTTTGTCCAGGGTTGGTCCAAGTCACGGCAACGGAGCACATGGGGACCCCAAACGGAGGGATGGGGGCTCCACACTCCTGGTCGATTCTTTTTTACCGAGACTTCGATTCGACAGCGATTCGATGTCGGGCGTATGGGACAAGCCAGGTTGATCACGGCTATACCTTGGCCGTAAGAAATGCAAAGGAATGAATTCTTACGAAGGCCTAGCCGAGCCCTGACATGCATCTTACCTTGACTAGTCTATGCAGCCCGCTGGAGGGCGATAATGCATTTCAGCTCGGGCTCACGATGCAGATGTGCCGGAGAGCGATAACAATTGTCTCAACAAGAATTTGTTGCCTGAAACCGTTGTACAGCGTGATATCAGCCCAGTGATGCACGGAACAGACAAGATTTTCCAAGGCGATGGCGCTGCTTGGTACTGACAGCCGGAAGTCTGGGAAGATGCACAGAGCCTGTCGGACAGAAGGGTGGCAGAGCTTGATGCAACACAAAGTCGTGGCCGTTCTGGGTTGTGCAGCATGCCAAACCTGAAGCAGACCTCAGCCCGTCGTTCTAGCGCGTTCTAAGCTTGGCAGATGGCGGAAGACGCGATCTCGCAATTTCTGTCAGACATGCCATTAAAGTGTCTTTTTGACGGCAACTCCGGGATAACATCGTCATTTCTGGCACATTAGGCCAAATCCTGGCGGACGCCAAGCCATCCAACATTTCATCTCCTTCCCAGATTCGCGGCTACACTTTTAAGCGAAGCCACTCCGGCGCTCCCAGGCGTTCATTTGCCGTTCCTGGCGCCTTATTCGACAGCCATCACAGAGTCATCAGTTCCCGTTACTGGTAATCTGCCGGCCTTGACAGCCGTTCTACACCGACACGACACTGGCGGCAACTTATGGTCAAGGCAATACGGATGTTCATGATTTGCGAGGCCGTGATCGCAGGCGATGGGTCTGTCTACACGTGCTCGACGTGTCAGGTGCAGCATCGAGTCGAGATACCCACCAGATCAGCTTGATTATACTAAAAAATGAGCGCGTATCAGAAAATTGGCCTGCCTTGCCTCGCTTGCAGGATTTTACCGCCCGCGAGACTACTGATGCTCTTTCAGACCCTGCATATATCTTCATAGGTAATAACATTTCGATCATGGCGCAGGCCGGGCAGTCCACTGCCCAATATTGATCGCTGCTGTCACAGACCCATGGTCTCGAACACGGCCGGCTAAATTCGTACTGTGTAGAGGCCCACCCTATCGTTCCCCGGAATGGGGTCTGCCTGATCCGCAGGTACGAGATCTGCGGTTTTCGGAATTGGGGGCGAATGCTGCCATGCAGTCAGCGTAGGAACAGGATGGCCAATGATGCACGCTTTTCATTTTCGACGTTCAACAACAGATCCTTCAATGTCTTGAGTTGATGGGCTGAAACATACGCAGTCTATCAAATATTGAGACAACTCACGACTGACGCCTGCGACATCTGCAGCCACAAGCTCCGCGCACTTCTGATGGTCATGAGCCTGGGAAAATGCCCATATACGATGATCGAGATCCTCAGCTCAACCACAACGTCTTACAGGATCTTTCCTGGGCAGGGCGGAGCGGAGGCCAGGCAGGGCGGCGATGATTATGATATGCGCGAGGTGGCTGGTGTAGCACGGTCGTCATTTGATTGCTAACATCAGTCGATCTCACTGGTGCGGATTTCGGCTGGGTTTGAGCTGAGTTCACGCATCTCCTCGGCGCCAGGACTTTCTCGATGATGTCCCATGGTGCTATCCAATGTAGACGGATCTGGATCGATTCCAGCAGATATCAATAGGCGTCGTTACCGTGCTTGCGACGACGACGACACCCAGCGATGCGTACAGCGTGACAGTCGGGTCCACCTCACGAGAACGGATGCCTCCAAGATTTAGGTAAAGGAGACACAAAGACATGCCTGTGCCCGCTGCCCATGTTCACAGACCTCATGCTGGATGCACGCGAGTGCGATCAGCTGGCTTACCGTGGACTCGACGGGTAATGCAGCGTAGTATATCTTTGCTTTGATCCATAGCATATTGGGAGAGGCCTCCCCGATGGATTGCTATTCATCAGTACTCACGATGCAACTGAGTGCAAGGATCTGAAGCTGGTGACACGGCCGATCTTGCAGTTGGACCGCAGATCCATGAATTTGGTAGCGCATCTCAAGATTCGTGGGTGGTCGCAGCAGCTTTGCAGTCAGATCTGGGAGATCTTGAATGCCCAGCCATCAATCTTCCTTCAAGAAGAAAGGCATAGACCGAGCAGACCCTACGCCAGACTCAGATGGCCAAACATACTATACGCGCCAGATATCAGGAGCCATCGACTGCTTGCTTGTTCTTCGCGGGCGGCGAAATCCGGGCCATGTCATTGGGGAGGCTCTGCCTTGAGCACTGCACAGTGGTTGAAGACGCTCAAGCTGCGATGCTGGTCAAATGCAGACTGAATTCGTACGTTTCTGATGGGAAGTAAGAGGACAAATCTGTCCGGTCGTCCTCTATGTACTGTGTAAGTACCAAGAAGAATGCAGGTGAGTAGATTTGAATAGGTACATCGGAGCTCGAATTCTGGACTCCGTCCCGCCAAGGCTAGGATGCTCGAAAATAGACAACTTGAAGGCCGTCGCTCCGCAAGTGACGACGTTCCTACGCCTCATCATACAACCAGAGTTCGACACTTCGGGCCTTACTTCCAACATATATATGAGATTGCGCCAGTATCTCGAGTCTAGAGGTAGGTCTACAGAACTTGCAAGTGCTGAGAACAACGGCAACGCGTGAGCTGAAGCTTATATTACTCTTGGAGCCATAGGCAATAGCTTCAGCGGACTCGCGTCCTGCCCTTCCTGTGCTATGTTGACGATCAATTGTCCCTGAACACTTCCGCGTCCTCCGCGCGTCTCTGACCTCCGCTTCCACTGTATACCGTGCCGCTCGACCAATGCATCTGGTGGGCGACTTCTCGCGCCTGCCTTCGAGTCAACGCGTATCTACCCTAATAGCAGCATGAGAATCCTAGGCCTTGGTCTCCTGACCATCGCCTCAGTCAACGCAGTACTGTTTTCATCGCGATCACCAACGAAAGGTGCAATCGCCGTACCCATTCGGCGGACTTGTGCCGACCCTCAGCGAGCCCTCGAGCGAGAAAGAGCCCGTTTGGGAAGACGGCAGGGGAGCAACAACACAGTTGAAAGTACTCTGTACAACACCTTGAATGGCTACACAGTCAATATAACGTTGGGAAGTCCTCCGCAACAGCTTTCTGTAAAGTTGGACACTGGCTCGTCCGACCTACTGGTGAATGTGCCGGACTCGACTTTATGTCAGCAAGGCTCATGTACTGGAGGCACGTATAGCGAGAATAGATCTCAGCGCCATGTCGCAGTAGCTACCGACTTTAGCATTAATTATGTCGACGGGCGGAACGCATCCGGAGACTGGATATCGGATGATTTTGGCTTCGCTGGCGTTACTCCCTTCCCTTACACATTTGGCACGGGCCAGACTTCTACCATCGACCAGGGCGTACTGGGAATCGGCTACGAGAGTAATTCCGTTTGGCTTACAGACCACGAGCGATCCAACGATTCTCATACGACCTTACCACAAGCGCTTGTCGACTTCGGCTACATCGAGGTCAATGCTTACAGTCTGTGGCTGAGCGATACGAACACACAAACGGGGAGATCCTGTTTGGTGGCGTTGATCACGCGAAATATTCCGGCAACCTGTCAACTGTGCCAATAATTAAAGATAGTGATGGCGCGTTCAAGGAATTCCTTATTGCGTTGTCTGGCCTGTCTTTAGACGGACAAAGTCTTTCTTCTGGGTTACCCGAAAACGCTTTAATCGACTCTGGTTCCCAATTGACTTATCTGCCTGATCAGCTTGCAGAGACAATATATAAGCAGATCAATGCAGTATCCATACCTTCGATCGACGACAACATATACGTGGATTGTGGCTTACGAAGCTCCGATATGTCTCTTGGTTTCAAGTTCGACTCCGTTGACCAAAGGACGATCAGCGTGCCTATCAGTACTTTGCTCATCGACCCAGCCCAGCCTTTCCGGCTCGACGACAACGTGCAGGCATGCATATTCGGAATAGCCAAAGCCAGCGAAGCTGCTGGTAGATCGATACTAGGCAATACATTTCTCCGCAATGCGTACGTCGTATTCAACTTGGCAAGGAATGAGATATCTCTCGCTCAGAGTGTCAGCACGAGTTCATCCAACATTGAGACCATTGCGAACAATGCTACAGTGCCGGCGGCACTACCAGCTCCTGCCAGTTCTGCGGAGCAACTGGTGCCTTGCTCGATGATCATGGCCTTTCTTATTGTCATGCACGGACTCATGACATGATTGTCGGCAAGGCCACCTGCAGACAGTCGAGATCTTCGTGTGGCACACATGATTGCTACCAGCATCTGTTGCGGATCTGGCCTCGCATTGGGGAGAGACTCGCTACAGGCTCACGCGTGGGCTGCACGAGAGGCTCTGACAAATGCCGGCAAGGACCACTCTAGCGCCGAGCAATCGCAGAGCCCGACTCCTGGCTCGTTAATTTGTCGATGCTCAGCAGAGACAACGCCCAGGTAGCTACAGTACACCCTGAGAGCACGCCCACAGCCGAAATCCTGGCGAAGCATCTCATCCACGTCCTAGACTACAACTTTGGAGTCGAATGGGCATACCGTCGCCACGAAGGAGGTGTTCGTTGCCGGCAGCGAGTAACGATTGGCGACAGAGAATGTTAAAGAGCCTGTGGGAGTAGTTACGTGAATATAAGTCAGAAAAAATGCGGAAGCACTGTCTGTCGTCGGACACGTCACGTTGACCTTCTGAGTGCTTGAGAACTTGAAACGATGTCTATAATGTGTTGGTGGATTTGCAATGAAGCTCCACTAAGGATGCCAGTGTAGTCGAGCACTGAAGTAAAGCGGAGACTTCTGATAGTGGCCGGTACTTTCCGTATCCTTTATTAGTGCCTTCACAGAGAGTAGGCAAGACCTGCACTGGCTCTGCCGACGGAATATTTGGAAGGTTCTACCACTGCCACACATCAAGGGCAGTTGACTACGGTGGCTATATCTTCCCGAAACAGAGCCACGGAGACGCATGCTTTGTCCGGACAACCACGTAGTCACTACTCTCCAGGCGATTGAGTTGGCCATGACTACTTTACAGTACCTTAAATATTCAAATTCAAATGACGATGGATCGAGATCCTTGCTCGCGGCCGATCCTGGACCTTGTTTGCCTGGCCGCCCCATTCTTGACTCTCAGCACGTCGCCATGGTCTGATCTAAAGGCTGGCTCAAAAGTGGCGAGACTAGCTGACCTTGCGATGTGGCTCCGCTGCTAGAATCATATCATGCAAGTATGCACTCGTCTAGAATAGTGCCCCAGAAAGATCGTGACCACCTATAAGACTCTCAAGATGACCTCTGTACGATCACCACAAAGTTCCAACTCACAGGATGAGCCGGATCACAGCAATGAGCCCGCTCCAAAGCGCCAAAGAATTATACCACCAGTTCGGACCCAGGGTAGCTATGAGCGTCGGAAAGCTCCAAACGCGTGTCTAGTGTGCCGGAGCAGGAAGACCCGGTGTGACAACGAATTGCCTGTGTGCGGCTTCTGTCGTTCAACGGGCGGTGACTGCCAATATTCCAAACCTCCAACATTACGGTAAGTTCTACTCTCATGTTGGCAGCGGCTTCTGACGCAGTCAAGCTATGATCCTGCCAGCTTAGCCATACTTCAGCGGTTGGACACGATGGATCAAAGGCTGATTGAACTCATGGATCGAGAGAAGCCACATCATGTACAGCAGAGGTCGGCTCCCTGTGGCTCGACGGTCCATGTTGACGAGCAACCACACCATGAAGGTCCACCAGCGTCACAAGTCCTACTGCGAGCCAACAAAGACATGAGCATCGAAGCAATGTTGCAGTGGGCCGTATTCCAGCCATACCTGGGACCTAAATCATCAGAATCCGGTATCAGAGGTCACCGTGATACATTTGGTATCATTGAAGAAGACTTTTCTCAGCTCCTGTGGCATGATAAGATCAATCTGCAACAGGGAGAGATCAACGATCTGGTCGAAAGCTTTATCTCGGAGATCCTACCCTCGAATCCTATCCTGGATCCGGTCAATCTACGACTACAAGCTCATGATCTGATCACCTTCAACTCCGTACTACTTTATAACGGTCAGAGTTGTCTTCTGGTAAGTCCCGCATACTTTATTGAACTATCGTGGCTTACGTCTACAGCTTGTCATTCTCGCACTCGGAAGCATTGCTCGTCGCGACAATAGCCGCAGGCATGAACTAAGCGTTGATATTCCACGAGAGCATCCTTTCTTTCTCGAGGCTGAGCGGTACTTCCGAGCATCACAGCTTCGATTGCCTTCGCTGTTACGGGAGAGTGACTTGCTCGCAGCGCAATGCATGTTCTTTACTGCCGTATATCTCAGTTTCACGATGCGCATAGTCGCCGCTTGGAAAGCCTTTGCCCAAGCCGGGACCCATTGCCTGGCACATCTGTCATCACGCGGCATCATTGATCAAACAGTTGACCTGGCACGGTCTCCGGGTATGTGACAAGTTTCACGTGAAGGCCCCACTGATCTTTGCAGACTCCATAACGACGGACTTCTTCGAACAGCGAGTCCGAGATGACAGTCTGTACTGGGTAATTTTGAAAGGGGAGGCGTAAGTGATCGTGGGGCGGGGTTCAACAGACCAGTCTGACGAAAGCAGGGAGCTGTGCATTGAGCTCGGCATGGCGGGCTCTGCACTGCAGGAAAGCCCCTATCCGCACACCTTTCCGAATCCACCTCACTTGGCAGACATGATGGCGAATGAGTGGCCCCAGACTTTGCGTGAAGCCACCGACCGGAACTACCTCATGACCGGGTGGTTCTATTACCTTGGCGAAATCGCACTCAAACGACTCCAGAATCGTGTTCTAGATGCAAGACACGGAGGTTCCTCGGTTGATCGGCTGACCCCAGCGAGGTGGGAAGAGATCGCTTCCGACCTGCTGACTCAACTGGACGACTGGTACGCGCACACTCCACCACTATCTGGCCCCAAACTAACTTAGCCAGGCTTCATTCCTTGCCGCCAGCATTGCAGTTCTCCGCAACCTCTACCGAGCCCCTTAACGACCACCTCAGGTGGGTCTTACGTGGCCACCGTCTCGATGTCATCGAGCTTCTACGCTTTTCGGCATTCAAGACCGTCATGCTGGATGCTAATGTAGAGGACCTTACGGCCATTACCATCAGTCGCGCCAGAGAATACGCCGAGAACGCTGTCATTCGCATCGAGGCCCATGTGGAAGAATTCCTCCATCGACACCAAGGGACCTGGCTCACCATTCGGGGATGCAGTCGGAGTGCGCTCGCGCTACTTGGACTCAAGTTGCGCTGCGATAGTCTCAATGCTGCATCCACAAGTCCGTCTGCCGATGGATTCTCCCAGACATTGCTGCCGTCACGCTGGCGCGAAGCAGTAATCAATGTCTTACACATGTTAAACGCCTGGTCGGAAGAGCGACAAGATGTCAAACGACTGGCCGATACAGTGCAGACACTACTGCAGATATGCTAAAAAGTAGCTCCTATGCTCACTCCGCCCTCGCAGCTGCCTTCTCCCCAACCAGCTGATTGTAATCAGAGTACGCATCAACATGCTCTGACTTGAATTTTCTCGCGCTTATCCGACGCTCGAAAAGAATATCGAGTTCCTCATACGTTCGACCCTTCATCTCTGGCAAGCGGAAGTAGACCCAAACCAGACACAGACAGGCAATGCCGCCAAAGAAGAAGCCTGCTTTGGCGGACCAGTTCCATGCAGTAGGCGACAGCATGTATGGGACCAATACTCCCGATACAATCGAGATCAGGGAGTAAAAGTTCCGGGCGAGCGCGACAGTCTTGCCACGAAGTCTGGTTGATCCACTTTCGCCGACAATCGGATAGACGGTTGCTCCAACAGTTGGGCAGTATACGAACAGGTAGATGACGAGCAGGGACGATCGGGCCCAGTTGGCACTGGTGTCCTTGATGCTTGGAATACCTGCGAACCGATGGCGAAGTAAAGAACGGTCATGACGCTCAAGCCACCCATGAAAACCGTTCGACGACCAAAATAGAAGAGCAGAGGCCAGGCCAGCATAGTTCCGACAAAGGAAGTCGCGTTGTTCCCGATGTTGAATTTGAAGGCATCGGATGTTGATAGACCGGCTTGTTTGAAGAAGTACGTGGTATAACCTGTCACCTTGTTTAGCATAAGTGCTAGTACTTGGCTCGATTGACTTACTCTGGAGAGGATTGCCGATCCCTGCTTGGATGCCCCAGACGACACAGGCGATCTCCGTTCGGCGAAGATTTGTGCCTTTGAAGCATGCCAGATACGAGCTCCCTGTCCTGGTCTCGATTTCGATCTCCGTGGTTCTCTTCATCATGGCTACCTGATTCTCCTCGTTGATGGAGCCGTCAGTGAGTCTGCGGATAGCTTTCTTCGCATCTTCATATCGGCCTTTGCGAACGAGCCACCATGGCGAGTCTGGAGCGAAGCAAAGCAGACCGAACAGAGGAGGGATCCAAGCCCACTGGACTGTGGCACCCGTTAGACTGGACATTTGTGGGGAAGAGGACCGGAAGCGAGAGACTGCTGTCCCGCGCGAATCGGATCCTTAATAGAACGTACCTGCGATGATGATGCGCCATCCCCATGGGTCAGACCTGCTAGACAGCTGGTAGGTAACTCCGGCGCAGATAAATTGTCCCATGACCCAACACAAGCACACATAGGTCGTAAGATACGCGCGCAAAACTACCGGGCAGATCTCGGCAGCATATGTGTTGGCAGCGGCTTGGAAGACACCTAGTACATCTGTTAGAACAAACAGGTATCGAGAAGGACCAGGACCCGGAGACCGATGCCTTGTCCGGTACAGGTCTTCCGACAACTCACCTAGCGGAATTCCTGCCACCATGCGGGCAAAGAGAAAGCTGATTAGACTTGTCGAATAGAATTGCCAGAAGATCAGGCCAGCAAGGGAGGCGAGCGTGATCAACGACACCTTCTTTCTTCCAATCACCTCCGAAAACCACCCATCCAGGAAGACGCCAATGATGTGTCCGATCTTGAGGGAAGCTTTCATGCCGCTCTGCCATGCAGCTGAGATCTCGTAGCCGTCCTTGTATGGAGTGCCAAACTCCTTCTGGAATGCCGGCTGGGCGAAGAGTGTTCCGGTGAAGCCAATGTCTAGGGCATATTAGCAATGATATAGTGTGATGCGTTATGGTAATGCTCACCGTAGCCATCCATGACGATGCACATGGAGAAGACCACAGACCAGAAGATGGCCTTCTTGTATGCCTTCAAGCCCTGGCGGGCGGTAAGCTTGTGCTCGTTATCGGTTGCATCCTTTGCATTGGCGACGTCCTCGATGGTGAGCTTCTCGCCGTTGAGTCCCTTGGACCGAGCCTCCTCGACCTGGACGTCAGTCATCTTTGTATCAGACATCTTGCGTGTGATATTTGATCCGGGGTGCTGGGGTAGGTGTCCTTCTTGCGGGGGAGCACAGGGCTTTTGTAGAATATCGCAGGCGTGCTGACCCGGGGTTGATGCCGGTCCAGACTGTGTTCCGAGACCTGGGTGACGGGTTAACGTTCACAAGAAGCGTGGCGTCTTCCACGTTCACAAATGCTGCACCGACGTTCCCCGCGTTGTCCGATTTCCTCGAACGTATTTGTATAGTCCTCAACTGCTCATCATGTGGCCATGCGGGCTCCCACCACGTTGTCGGAAGCGAAAGAGCAGAAGACTTTGACATGATTCGCGGACGAGCACGCCCCCAGGTGGCTATATCTGCTCGATTTGGAAGCAATTTTTGCTCTGCTCCCCAGACTAAGAGACCCTTCCTAGTGCTCCCCACAATCGACACCACTCGTGGCTTTCGGAAGTGGGCAAAAGCTGACATGATTGGCCACTCGCCGAAGTATGCACCAACACCAAGAGTCTGACGGGGAGCTTCGGGGCAGGACACCGATATGCGAATGCCGGTCGAATTCCGGACGCCTTGCCACCACGGTGACAACTGACTCACCATCAAGCCGAGGCTATAGTATAAGCCGACAACATCTGTCGCGAGGCCAGGTGAGGCCAATGCAAAGAGACTTCTCAATATGGCGTTATACCAACCGGCCGAGCTCAAGGCTGTAGACTTCACGAGCCCTTTCTATGGGTCCTTGAAGAAGTTGATACGGGGTACCACTTTGCCGACAGTGATCAAGTCACTGAAAGATACTGGTCGTTTCTATGCCTTGTCCTGGACTCGCGGCAATGCGCCCAAGACGGCGCATTGTTTCTGGGACAGCGATGCGTATAAGGTTATGGAAGCCGTGTGCTACTGGCTGATCAAGGAGGACGATGAGACGCTTCGTCGGGATCTTGAGGAGTATGTTGGCTTTGTGAGGGCAGCACAGTGGTCTGATGGGTAGGACAAGTGCCAAACGTCATTACTGGATAGGGACTGACGGCGGCAGGTACATCAACTCATACTATACACTGCATGAGCCGCAAAACCGACTGACCAACCTTCGAGACATGCACGAGCTGTACTGTCTGGGCCATCTCGCGGAGTTCGCGGTAGCATACCACGCTTTGACAGGCAAATACGACCTCATCGACGTCTGCCGACGATATGTTCACCTGCTATATGACACCGTCATCCCGAAGAAGGGCTACTGCGGCCACCAGGAGCTCGAACTTGCCCTGATTCGACTCTACGAGGTCACGAATGACGACCTTTTCCTGGACACAGCCGCATACTTCATCCACGAACGCGGACAACGTGACAGCGATGGCCAGAACTTCTACGACCACGAGTGTCGTGCCAGGGGCATTGATCCCACTGCCGATTTCCGGAATCGAGGGAACTTCCGCTTTCCTCGGGATTATGCGTACATGCAAGCCCACAAGCCACTGGTAGAGCAGCCTGAGATCGACGGACATTGTGTTCGGGCTGTTTACTTCTTGACTGGAGCACTGCACTACAGTCTGATCCGACGGGAGCGGTCGGGAGAAATTCTAAAGGCTGTTGAGCGGCTTTTCGACGACATGACACAGCGGAAGATGTATATTACGGGAGGTATTGGTGCCGTGGCCAGGAACGAAGGCTTTGGGCCTGCGTACTTCCTTCCAGATCTCCAAGAAGGCGGTGGCTGCTATTCGGAGACGTGTGCCAGTTTTGGGACCATGATGCTCTGTGAGCGGTTCTTGCGGGATCGGCTTGATTCCAAATATGGTGATGTTATGGAGACTGCGCTCATGAACTGTGTTCTGGGCGCGTTGGCGACTGATGGTATGTCCCTTCCATCATCTTTCCTGCTCTGAACTGTCAGCATACTTACCTCCCGTTTCCCTGCAGGCCAGAGCTTCTACTATGAGAACCCACTCGCAACTCAAGCCAATAAGCCATGGCATCGCAGCAAGTGGTTTGACACAGCGTGCTGCCCGCCCAATATCGTGAAGATATGGGGCCTGCTGCCAACAGTGCAATTTTCGACGAAAGGCAACACGATCGCCATCCATCTGCACTACTCAAGCACATACACGACCACCATTGATGGCGAAGAGGCCACAGTCAGCATCGACAGTTCTTACCCGTTTGGCGACTCCGTGAAAGTCGTCGTCAAGTGCGCAAAGCCTGTTACGATTGCGCTCCGGATACCGCACTGGAGTCGGGGACAGTACGAGAGCGGTGACAGCAAGACCTCGCTCAAAGATGGATACATATACTTCGAGCATACTGCAGACGCAATCGCGGCAACATCAACCCTCCAGCTCAAGTTAGCTATGCAGCCATATCCGCTTTTCCCGCATCCGTCAACGGGAAAAGACAGCATCGCGTTCCAACGCGGGCCCTTCATCTACTGCGCCGAATCAAACGACAACACAGACCTCGCATCGTTAGACAACACTTTCGTATCACCCGAGGCAAAAATCAAGGAGTCCGTGGTGGACGACCTGGCAGGTGCAACCAAGGTCCTGGTTTTGGACGTGGAGTGCTCGGTAAAGAAGAGCTGGGAGGAGGGCGCTGGTTCGCTGTACCATGCCGCGAAACCCGAGTGGGAAAGTGGGAAGAATTTGAGGTTGATCCCGTATTTCCTGAGGGAGAATAGGGGCGGAGATGGGGCAATGCGCGTTTGGTTTGGGCGAGCATAAGGCATAAATGTTGGGCTGCTGCTTGGCAGTAGGAATTTGGCATGAAGTAGCCTGTATTATACCAGACATAGATGGCCAAACGGAATAGATCGATGTTAGATTGTAGCAGTTCCCGGATGAGTTGAGGTGGGTCACCATGAGCACTGCCAAGAGATGACGCAAACTCTGAATCGTGGGGTGACTCGTGGGGTAGCGACATCGCGCACGGAATATGGAAAACATGTGATCGACAAAATTAATGACTGATCTGACTTCAAACACATGTACTCAAGACAAGCATTCGCAGTGCAGTCCGTCCATCGCTCATTAGTATTATCACTCCCAAGACAAGTCTTCCTTGCCAGTACTTCGCGTCAGACGCGCTACATCTCTGGCCTCGTTGATTCTCGCGACACGTAGTGACTCATTGGGAGATCGACACAACGACCGTTTGTCATAAGCTCTAGAGGCGGGCCATTGGGCATCTTACGAACGACCGCAAACGACCAAGCCAGTCAACGAGGTTCCGTTTGACAGTGACCACCTAGGACCCTCCCTACACCCGCGACCAGACCCGTCAAGCGAACCTTCCACCGCCGACGTAACATTTAATCATGCCATCCCGCTCGGAAGTCTCTTATTTCGGCGCCGGCCCGGCACCTCTGCCAACCTTTGTCCTCGAGACAGCCGCCGCCTCCCTTCTCAACCACGAAAACCAAGGTCTCGGTCTGGGCGAGATCTCCCACCGCTCTCCGACCGCCAACAAGATCATCGCCGATGCCAAGACCGCGCTCTCGCACCTCCTGAGCATCCCAGATGACGAGTATGAGACCATCTTCATGCAGGGAGGTGGCAGCGGGGAATTCAGTGCTGTGCTGCAGAACTGTGTGGTCGCGTGGGTGGAGCGGAGGAGGGAGAAAGCTGTCAAGGAATTGGGTGAGGGCAAGGACAAGGAGGTATTGGAGCGCGTGAGGAAGGAGGTGCAGGAGATGAAGGTTGAGTATCTTGTCACTGGCAGCTGGAGTCTGAAGGCGAGTCAGGAGGCGGCGAGGCTGATTGGGCCAAAATACGTGGATGTAGTGATGGATGCAAGAAAGAGCGATCCGAAGGGGAAGAACAAATTTGGGGCAGTTCCGGAACTGCAGAGTCTGTCAACGGAGGGAAGGGCGCGGAAAGGATACAGTGCGTTGACATACTTCTGTGACAACGAGACGGTGGATGGAGTTGAGTTTCCTAAGTTCCCGAGCGAGCTGGAGGGCAATGAGGAGACGGAAGCGGGAGAGGAGCGCATCGTCGCAGCGGATATGTCTTCCAACTTCCTGAGTCGGACGGTGGATGTCAAGAAATATGGCATTATTTTTGTAAGTGACGTGAGCCTCGGTGCTAAGCGTCAAGCTAACATGCCCTCTCTTTAAGGCCGGCGCCCAAAAGAATCTCGGACTCCCAGGCATCACCGTCGTCATCATCCGCAAGTCACTCCTGAAGCTTACCACATCTGCACCTGTTGCCTTCCTACACGCGCTATCCGACCTCCTGCCCAACATTATCCCACCCATCGTCTTCGATCTCGCCACCCTCGCCAAGAACAACTCACTCTACAACACTCTGCCCGTCTTCAACCTATACGTTGCCACACTCGTTCTCCAGTCCTTGTCTGCGAAGTACGGCCACAAGCGCATCGGTGGCCAAGGAGAGATCTCTGCGCGGAAAGCGGAGCAGATCTATGGCACGCTTGACAAGTACGCGAATTTGTACAATGTGGTACCAGAAAAGCACGCTAGGAGTCGGATGAACGTGTGCTTCAGACTTAAGGGTGGGGACGAGGAGGCAGAGAAGAAGTTCGTCAAGGGCGCGGAGGAGAGAGGGCTGCTGGGTGTCAAAGGCCATCGCAGTGTGGGCGGCATCCGAGTGAGCAACTACAATGCGGTTGGCGAAGAGGCTGTTGAGCGGCTGTGTCAATTCATGGTAGATTTCGCCGAGAAGGAAGGCTGAAGGATGCCTCAGGAAGGAGGGTGAAGCAAAGCATTACTATTCAAATGACACATTCATATGACGGCGCTGAAAGCCCCAGCGCCCCACCGTACTAGCAGATCTACGCCACCGTGTGACTTCAACGTCATTTAAATGCCTGCCGCCTGCAAATAATGATCCTAGGACGCACCGTCCATCTGAGTATCCGTCCTAAACATCTCCACGATTACCACAGCGCACGACAAATCCATCTCGATGGCGACCTCAAAGTACACGCCGGCGCCCACGCGCGACTCTCTCGATGAACAGAGCTACACTCAAGCCCCGCCATCATATCAAGACAACCCAACGGCAACTGGCTCGAGCACGAACGACGCTGGCTACGGCAGCGCTCCGCGTACAGAAGATGACAATGTCCCGGACGACTTCAAGGTACCTACCTCTCTGTAACAACATGACCTGTCCTCATACTGACACGCGTAAAGTTCGGCGGCTCTGTCAGCGAAGCGACACTCGACATCCGCATGCAATTCATCCGCAAAGTCTACTCGATCCTGACGGTCCAAATCCTTTTGACGACGGCGCTCTCCTCAGTATCGTTCTTTTCAGACGGCTACCGCAACTGGATTCAGTCCAACCAATGGATGATGTGGGTGTCGCTCTTTGGCGCCATTGGATTCCTGCTTCTCACATTCTGGAAACGCAAGAGCTACCCTACAAACTTGGTCTTCTTGGCCGGCTTCACTGGTCTCGAGGCATACAGCATCAGCGTTATCACCTCCTTCTACGAATCCCGAATCGTGGTGCAGGCGCTGATCATTACTTTGGCTATCTTTGCTTTCCTGACCGCGTTTGCGTGCCAATCGAAGTATGATTTCACTAGCTGGGCTCCTTACCTCTTCGGTGGCCTGTGGATCCTCATTATTTTCGGCTTCATGGCTGCGTTCTTCCCGCACGGAAAGACGATCGAGCTGGTCTATGGTCTGGCTGCTGCCTCATCTTCTCGGGTTATATTCTGGTTGATACTCAGCTGGTCATGCGCCACTATCACGTGGAGGAAGAGATTGCCGCCAGCATCAGTCTATACCTCGATGTCCTGAACCTGTTCTTGGCCATTCTGCGGATCCTTAATAGCCAGAACAACAACTGAGCAGAAGGATAAGAGCACAGGGACGTCACAGTCATCGACAAGTTTGCTCGCTCTCTGGTCCAAGTCATAGCCAATGCTTATTTGAGAGCCACGAGCATGTACACATCCTTTGTTGAAGGCGTTGTTGGGAGGCTGCTGCTGCGAGAATGCGAGCTGCGCATTGGCATCCTTCAAAACCTTTTCTATCAATTCACAGGTCCGGAGTTTACGCATCAGATTCGTAGGGCATGGCTTCAATAGCAATTCTCCATCGCGATCTCGGTCATTCTCTGCACGAGTGTCTCTTTTGATATCGAGATCGCTTGACGCTGTGGTATTGACCCCTCGTAGTAGACTAGCTTACGCCGGCTTCGCGAAGCATCGATCTCGCGCGGACAGACCCCTCTGGAGTACTTGACCTGGTCACTTGCCAGCAGCCTTCTACCAATAGCAAAGCCACAAACTTGATTCTTCGGCACTAAGGATTCAAAGCCCTTAATCCAGCTGATGAATACAATCGTTCGCCAACCCATCAATGAGCATAAATATTCTTCAGCACACTCGTCTGGTGCGTGTCAAACGCATCCACGGTGGTCGTCTTGAACTTTCTTGCCGGGACCTTCTCTGCGAAGAGCACGTCGAGTTCTTCGAACGTCCTATTCTTTGTCTCTGGGAGGCGGAACCACGCCCACACTAATATTAAGGTAGCGGTGCCACCCCATACGAAGCCTCTGTGAGTCTCGTCAGTAGTGTTCCCTGGGGCTACTGTGCCTTGGTGAGGGGATCAGGCTTACGTGTAGCCTCGCAAATTCCATGCTTGCGGGTTCATAAAGTAGGGCTGGAGTGTGTTGGCGATGACTTGGGAGATGTAGTACGTGTTTCTGGAAAGCGTGAGTCAGTGGGATGACAGGAATTCTCGGTTTACATACCTCGCCAGCACAATTGTCTTCTGCCTCAGACGTGTAGACCCGACCTCAGCTGGGATCGCCCACCCCAGCTGACCGACAGAAAGCTGGAAGAAGACCTTCCACACCAGCGTCATTATCGCCTGCGTCAGAGCGATGTCGTACTCCTCGACCTTGGTGTTGAGAATGCCAATGATGAATAGTGTTGTCACCATGCCAGCGACGCCGCAGATATATATGGTCCGGCGACCAAAATTGGGCATCAATAGTAGCCATGAGCACGTCGCCGCGATCAAGGCCAGGGAAGTTCCGACGATATTCAGGTTGTAGGTTGTTCGTGATGGCAGGCCGACTTGGCTCCAGAAATAAGTAGCGGAGTATGCCTGGTCGAGTTGATCAGTAATATGAGACAGGAAGTGGACCTGGAAGCACTCACAAATTGGCTTCCGCAAATCACTTGGCCAGCGAAGCAAATGCACGCGATCTCTGTCCTTCGCAGTTCGAAACCTTTGAAGGAATCCTTGTACGATGTTCCAACGGACAGCTCCTGCTCCAGATCATTCGTGTAGATAATCGTGGCAAGCGTCTGTTTCACGTCGATCGGTGCGTCGGGGACCTGCAAGCGACGGAGAACGGCCTCTGCCTCCGTGTGCTTTCCCTGTCGCACAAGATGCCACGGTGACTCTGGCGCGAACCATAGCGTTGGGAACAGAAATAGTGGCCATAGCCATTGAAGGGCGAATGGGATTCGAAATCCCCATTCATCGTTGCGGTCGAGGCAAGCGCGCAGAATACCGGCGGCGATCAGTTGGCCGATGATAAAGCACATGTTTGTCCACGATGTGAAGTAAATGCGCAATGTCATGGGAAGGAGCTCCGAGGCATATGCTGGTGCACTGGTCGCAAAGACGCCCCACGGGAGACCACAGAGAATCTGGCCAGCCAGCAAAGTCTCGATGTTTGGCGCGAAGAAAGTCATGAAAATTGCTGCAGACAACCAAACGAGCGCGCCGAGTACAGTGTTCTTCTGGCCGAACTTATTCACCAGGAGTCCATTTGCCAGTGCGCCGAAGAAAGCACCCACGCCGGCACCATTTCCTATGCCGCTCTGCCATGCAGGCTTGAGTTGGTATCCAGATTGGGTGGTCTTGGTCACACCGACGAAACGGCCATATTTCTTCTGGAATTCCGGAAAGGCGTAGAAGTTTCCGATCAGAATGGTGTCGTAGCCCTCCATGACCACAGTCATTGACAGCGCTAGGCACCAGATGATGGCCCAGCGATAGTAGCGGACGGCATTTCTGATAGTAAGCTGATGATCGAATTCAGCGCGCTCGGCGGCTCCTTGAACAACTTCCTTTTTGGTGCCATCGATCTGGGCGATATGCGCAGACTGAGCAGACTCATCGTTCTTTTCGATGTCAGACATCGTGCTGTGCGTCCGTCGACCTGATGCTGTCTTCTTTCAGGATGTCAGGTAACAGTGAGCGCTGCGGATGGGCCGAGCCGAAGTATATGGCCGATGCCAGCTGCGAACCTTAATGATACTGTGAAGCGATCATAAGATAGAGGCAGAGGCACCTGCCTTTTCTAATGTCTTTGCAAGAAGAGGGTCTCATATCGACGAGCCGAGGCCTTAACTCCAACGACGTGTAACGTGATCGTAGTTGCTGCAGGTAGGCCATTATACCGTGACCAGGCGAAAGTCCGCTTCTTGGCTGTTCCTTCGTGGTAAGTGCGACCAAAACAAGAATTGGCGAAGTACAAACGAGAATGGTCAGCTTGGCAACGTGGAAGCTACTGCCCACGTCAAGTCAAGCCGCGACATTACAACAGGCACGTGTGTCGGCCTCTCCGGAGTCCTACCACCCACTTCATGGACATTCGGGACTCATGGTCTACTGCACTTCATGTGCCTAGCCGTGTCTACAATCAGGGCTGTGACCGATGGTGAGACCTACGTAACGGCTGCTGTCGAGGCTTCGTGCGCCGCTACCAAAAGCTTGTGTGCCGCAAACCTATGCAATGAAGGCTGGAATCGCGAGTATCCGGCACCTCGACTGGGCGGACCTTGAGTATAGCCAAAAATGTTCGTGCTGAGATGACCGAAGATAGGTCTACGAGTGAAAGCCTCTCTGACAACATGAGCGCCGTTGTCATCAAGTCCACACTGTTCCGCTTCCGGACATGGCCGGTCCGGCGTTCACGACTCCCGACTTGCAGACGTCTTGGGTCTTTCGCAATTGCAACAACGTGAAGCTGTGTTCTTTCGGCTGCGCAAGTCTATCGCTGCCCAATCGGCCGAATGTGTCCATGCAAGGTCATTACAATGACTCACGAGCTCGATCTGTGCGTTACTACGCTGTAACCCTGATGCTTTGCGGATGTCGCCACCTCCATCCCGTTTTCCAAGGTTGCAGGGTTGTCCCCGCTTCCCCCAACTTGGGGTCTACAGTGGGACGCCTTGGATACAGACCCAATCGTTAACCATCAAAGCCGCCGCCCAGACCTCGATTCCACCGCCTAGAACGCCGGAATGTCGCCTTCCACATGACAATTCCAATAACGGAGATTGCGACCATTGACGTGTATGCAACCGGTGCCACCGGCCACAGGGTCCTTGGAACTGCACGTCCAAGCGGGCGAAGTTGGATGCCAATGCTTTCAGTGTAGGTCGAAGACGCAATCTGAATACAGTGGATCACAGAGGGTATGTGAGATGCACACAAGTCAAAGCCCTAAGACTTGTTGCTATCAAGAAGGGCAGCAGGACCAATGACTACATAAGGCGAGCATCTAGTGTGTGGCTTGGACCGCGAATTCGAGCAGCCGTAGTCTTTTCGGAAGCGACTGAGACGAGATGGCACTTTGTCCGCGAGTCACTACATACCCTCCACTCGGCAAGGCAACAGTCCTCCCCAATGCATCCGAGGTCTGCTACTTCACCCAAGAGATTGGGAACGACAGCTGACAGCCTCAACAGGTCCAGATCACTGTCATCATAGAGTGGGAAAGGGATCGCCAGTATCCATTTGAGTTAGAGCTTCTATACGCAGAAGCTGCAACTGCTGGACATCCGACATCATGGAAGAAGCAACCTGTACCTTCGTCCGGCAGTCCATCCATTGTTTTGGATCCGGACGGCACGTATAATACGGCTTCCTTCACCGGGTCGTTCCTCCTGAACGAGCTATCTCCTGCAACGTCAGAGGACGGTTCCACGCACATTGTCTTCACAGTGCAATATCGTCGAGACAAGTTCGATGCCTGGAAGTATGTGAAGGCCGCCCAGGGCATCGAGACCGGCGAATTCATTGTCCCTGTCATATCCAGTCAAGATCCATCTATCTCTGAGTCACTGTCTTTGGAAAACTCTTGGGAGGCATGCGAACTTGACATAGCTGGAGGGACCCAAGTCTGGCAATTGACCTCGAGCGAGAAGATTGCAAAGAGCCAGCAAGATGATACGGTGCTGGAGGAAATAGTACTTGGACGCATCAATAGGCAGCTTCGCTTCATGGCCATCACTCGGATCGAGCCGTTTTGGATCGGCTGTGAACACGACCGCGAGCATTTCTACATTTCCAATGACGGACTTCTCCTGTCTTTCCTGTCGACAACCGGCAAATGCGTCACGCTGCTGGCGCTGAACGAGGCCGATGACGTTTATACAGTCTTCCGCTCCAGTTCCGACGGATCCATTATAGTGGCCGGTCGGAACGATGGGCTGGCTGAGCTGCCCTTGCAGGTACTGGTAGCAATAAGTCCGGACAAGCAAGCATCGATCAGTGCTGTTTTGTCACAAGCACGGCAGAAAGTCTCGAAGAGGCCCAAGTTCCAGGCCTTCATCGAGACCGCGCATGCTCAGAGTCTTTCAAAGCCCGAAATCTCATTCTTTGACAACATGGGTTACTGTACATGGAATGGACTTGGTCAAGACCTGACCCGTGCAAGGCTTCTCGACGGCCTCAAGACCCTGGCTGCGCAGGGGGTCAAGTTCAACACGCTGTTGATTGATGATAACTGGCAATCACTCGGAAAGACCGGGCTCGACTTCTCGGAACCTGGATTTAGGGGCTGGTCGCGCTTTGAAGCCAATGAGGAAGGTTTTCCTGGTGGACTTGGCTCCGTGATCACAGAGATCAAGAAACGATATCCATGGATTCAGTATGTCGGCGTTTGGCATGCGCTACTCGGGTATTGGGGCGGCTTGTCTCACGATACTGAGTTCACCTCGAATTATAAAACACGAATGGTCCGAGCGAAGCTGCGTTTAAACACCCCGGGTGATGTTCTTATCATCGATCCCGACGATATTCATCGATTCTACGACGACTTCTACTCATTTTTACGTTCATCTGGCGTGGACTTCGTGAAGACGGACGTCCAGCATATGCTCGGCCAGCTGGTCGACCCCAAAGACCGCTCAGAAGTCCCAACAGCATTCCAGTCAGCTTGGACGAGTGCTTACCTCAAGCACTTCGAGGGAAGGGCTATTAGCTGCATGTCTGAAATCCCCCAGATACTCGGCCATTCTTTCCTGCAAGACAAGACACCCAAGATCTTGCTACGAAACAGCGATGACTTCTTCCCAGAGATCCCCGGGAGCCATCCTTTCCACTTATTCGTAAACGCACACAACGCGCTGCTCACCCAGCATCTTAATTGCATTCCAGATTGGGACATGTTCCAGACCAGTCACGCGTACAGCTCCTACCACGGCGCTGCAAGAGCGATCTCTGGTGGACCTGTGTTAATCACAGATGAGCCTGGCAGTCACGATGTCGCCCTCATCGACGAGATGGCTGCTCTGAGCCCCGCAGGCAGGCGTATTGCGATCCGGCCAGGCGTCGCTACCACGGTCGACATGTGGGATTCCTTCGCAGCCGGCCAGATGCTTAGAATTGGCGCCTCTACAGCATCAGGCGCTGGCATTCTGGGCCTGTTCAACATTGCCGACGGTGTACGCGAAGCTCTGATTCCTGTGCATGACCTGTTTGCTGGCGCGGAGGCGCCAGGCGCAATCCTGGTTAGAAGCTACAAGACAGGGCAGATCTTTGCGCCGCAGACACCGCTTGAGAAGCTCGTCAAGGTGAAGTGTGCAACTAGGGGATGGGATGTACTCACCGGCTACCCTCTGACGAAGGTCGGCAGCAGAAATGTGGCCATTCTGGGACTTACGAACAAGATATCGGGCGCCGCGGCTGTGACACAACTCGAGGTCACTGACAATGTCATCAGCTTGTCGGTGAAAGCCTTGGGTAGGCTCAGCTGGTACCTGGAGGGCGATCAGAGCGCTCCCGGGAAAATCATTGTTGACGGGAAGCATGAGCTGAACATCGACACTGTAAGTGCTGAGCCCGCTGGCAACAGCGGTACGTTGTACGCGGTCGACCTGGAAGAGCTTTGGCGGACGCGTGATCTGTGGCGGGACGGGCTCGCAACAATTGAGGTTCGCATAATACTGTGAAAGGCATTGTCCCGTCGAATGCCCGTTCTAGAGTACGTCCCCACAGCAACCGTATACAAGCCACCAAGTGCTATCTCTCCCCTCCGTAGTAGTTCCCACTGTACTGCTTCACATCAACACCACCCGTACACCATCCAACTCTGTCCTTCGTAAATTGCTCAATCCTATAGCATGCGCATCAGCACATCAGCATTGCACTCGCTCTCGACACAATCTCCTTCAGCAGAAAACTCCCTTACTCACCTAGGCTTCAGCTTCCCCTCATGCAGATTAAAGTCATCAATCGTCCCAATCCTCATCACCAGCCCATCCGGCCTGCCCGAACTCACTCTATACATCAGACTCCCACACACCCCACAAAAGTTGTTCGTCATCGTATTTCCTGTAGCTATCGTCCGCGATTGTGCGAACTGGCGCAAGTGCTCCTTGCCCCGAACGTGTTTAGTGCTGGCGGCAGTGACGATGAAGTTGGAGGCGAACATGGAGGCAGTGATTTTGCGGCAGTCGGTGCAGTTGCAGATAAAGGTGTCGATCAAGGCTGGACCTTCCGTGGGCTGGTACGGCGCATAGGCCAGTGAGCAAGTACGATGAGGGAGGAAGGCAGGTGCGGCTGGCTTGGGACGGTAGGGACAGGGACAGGGAAAGGACTCACGAATTCGAGCTGTACTGCGCTGCAAAAGCAGGTCGCTGTTGCCCGGCCTGAAGGTGGGTTGCGTCTTCGCCGCCAAGAGGGAAGTACGATCCTCCGCGTGCGGCTGCCTCTGCTGCCATACTGGCAGTTGCTGAGTCGAGGTACAAAGAAAATGGTTGGTGAGATGCAACGTCTTCGGGAGAGGTCAGATACCCTATCTCTGGAGACTGTAGAGCAGATTCTATCGCCAGGCGCCCCTAGCGTGCAGGAGGTCCGCTTTGATATCTGCTTGTGCGGTTTGTCACCGCGGGCCTCGGATGTTCCATAATGTTTGCCAACTCCGTGCTCGGGATGCACCTGCCGGAGGTTGGCCTGATGAGGTCACTGGCGCTGGTGCAGTGTAGATAACCGATCGTATATGGCCAGATCAGGCACGCGTTTCTGCTTGTAGAAGCGTTCAACCAGGGTCAATCATCGAAGTGGCAGGTACGGAAAGACTGTGGTACGAGCGCTTGATTACCTACCTACATTTATACTTTGCTGTTGTTGCCAAAGCCGGATGACGAGCCGCTGAGGCTCACTGAAGACCGGCTGACTGGTGGAGCTTTACAAGACCGGATGATACCTGAGCTGAAGGAATAGAACTTTTCACTTTTGCGCCGGAGTGAAGTAAGCATGCTGCAGAATCGCCTCCAGCTGATCACTGTAGCACTGAGACCTCCTGGCAATCTCAGCTTTTACGACACGTCCACGCCCTTCATTTCGCAGTCCCATTCACACCTTCTTTTCCTTTCTTCGCCTCGATCTCCTTTTGCGTATCGATCATCTTCGTAAGTATTCCAGCCGGCGCGTCTTCCCGATCCAGCACAATTTCTACCATGCGCAGTCCCTTGCCCGACACAAGCTCTTCATCGCCCAGGATGGCCTCCAGCTCCCCAGGCGTCTTTGCACTTTTCGCATACGTTCCTTCCTTCGCACCGAACGCCGCAGGCACTTGCAGATATCTCCAGAACGCAATGTCGTTGTATCCCTGCTTGAGCCCATGAATGCACCGCTCGATAGTGTAGCCGTCATTGTTGATGAGGAACACCACCACATTCAAGTTTTCGCGGATGATGGTGGAGAGCTCTTGTGCCGTCATCTGGAACGATCCATCGCCGATGAGAAGGATCGTCCGAGCTGTGGTCTGATCTGGAGCACCCCACTTGGACTTCGCAAGGAGTTCGCGTTGCGCCAGTGCAGCACCCTGTGCTGCTGGAAGCATGTAGCCGATGGACAGCCATGTGACAGGCGTGAAGAGACGAGCATGTTTCGGAATGGGCATAACTCGACAGCCGTAGCCGGCTGTGCCAGTCTCGCCAAAGATGATGTCACCAGGTTGTAGGAACTTAGCGAGTAGAGGCCAGAGTGTTGATTGCGTGAGGGCTGCAGCGTTGTCGACGTTTGAGCTTGTGACGAGCTCGGGGCTGGGAATCGATGGGTATGGATCATAGTTGTGAATCTTGTTGTAGTCAAGCTTCAGCAGGTGCTTGAGGGCGTGTTTGGCAGGCAAGTCCCGGAAAACGGTATCGGCGCCGAGCTTGATGTCGGTATCGCTGAATGAGATGGTGATGGCGGCTTTGGGGATCGAGGTGTAAGCGTAGGTGTTGGTGTTGCTGTAGTGCGGGCCGAAGCAAAGGATGAGATCGCAGCTGTTCCAGAAGTCTTGAGCTTTCTGGGGCGAGAAGGCACCTTGGTAAATACCGTGTACATTGGGCAGAGACTCGTCGACGAGACTTTTGGCGTAAGTTGTTGTCCAAGTGGGCCACTTGGTAGATTCGACGAGTTTCGAGACTTCTTGAATGATGTTCAAGGCACGAATTTCGCCGTCGACAAGGATCGCCGGTTGCTTAGCGCTGTGTATTTTGTCGAAGATCTGAGCAAAGGCATCATCGTGTGAGGGTACGTGGACTCCGTGGGGCACCTTCAGAGGCGTCTTCAGCCGTTCCGAAGATACCGCAACACTGACGAGATCTACCGGTACCTGTATGTACACAGGACGAGAGTGGATGAGACATTGTAATAGAACATGGTCTATCTGCTCAGGAGTGGTCCGAGCATCTCGTATGCTTGTCTGGGCACGGTGACTTGAGCAGCCATTAGAGCGAATCTCCCATACTCCCCATCATTGAACGTATGATGTATGAGGCGTCGATTGTCCTGCGAATCTCTCACTGGTGTACCGACAATATGCACTAGTGGTGCACGTTCTGTGTAGGCGCCAGCAATGGCATTGATAGCAGACAGCTCTCCGACGCCAAAAGTCGTGATCAATGCTCCGATACCATTGACTTTGGCATATCCGTCAGCAGCGTACCCAGCGTTGAGTTCATTGCAATTGCCGACCCAGTGTATCCCGCTTGGCTCGACGTAGTCTAGTAGAGTTAAGTTGTAGTCGCCGGGCACTCCGTGGATCGAGCCAACACCTAGCTGACGTAGCCGAGTGAACAGGTATTCTGCGATTTTGACTGTTTCTGTCATTGTGTTGAGCCACTGCAGATGGAATAGGGATCAAAAGGTATGCTACGTCGGGGGCGTGTATCTAAGTAGAGGAGAAGCTCGGGACTTTATAGCGCGACATGCTGAAAGGCGTGGGATCCACTAAGCGCGAATATCCGGGGGTGCACGTGATTAATACCGCATGATTATAGCAAATGCACGGTGTCGGTTCGCAACATAGGCCTGAATTGAGGTCTAAACATGACATGAGACTACAAGTCGGCTCTCTGACCGCTTGTGCAGAAAGCTATCAGCGCAACTTGATCCCTTATTTAACGCAGCCTTGCCAAGCAAAGAAGCGAAGATCGCTGAGCGTCAGCAATTGCGGATACGAAGGGCTGACACGGTCGAACTGTACTTGGTCCGCTTGCAAATCAATGCCTTCACCACGCAGCGATAGCAAATCCAATCGCGACCTCGACCGAGACTTGGAACCCACCTCTTCCTGATTCTGGTTGAGCTTCGAGGACATCCGCTATACATCTTCTACTTCTTCCTCTCGATCCTCGAATCGCAAGAAATCGCTGTAATCCAACTGGCCATCTGTGACGTCCTGCCAAACCGTCCGCACTGCGGCTAGAATCTCGTCGCTTACAGCTGGACTGAAAGGACTAGCAGCAAGAATCGACAGGCCAGATGGTGGCTCTTCGGCATCGGGTGGCTGTTGGGTGCCATGACTCGTGAACGACAAGGTCCATAAGATTTGAGCCGCCTCGATACCTTCGTCACTTTGCTCGAGGTAACTCAGCAGCCTTTGAACAGCATCGCTCAAATCTTTGATCGACTCCTTACCGCCTTGTTGTACAGAAGCGTAAATAATGGCTGCGAGCGTTATTAGCCCGGATTCTTCAATCGCTCAACGGATGGCGGAAGGAAAGAAGTGGTCGATTTCAGGTTGTCAGAGGTATGTTGTTCAGCAAGGCATTGAGCCTCAGGCAATGTAGATAAGTTTTACGTGATTCATCATTGGACCGGGGGAAAAGAGAGGAGAGAACTCACATTGTCCAACTGGGCATTCGCCTGTGTCCTCGGAATGAATCTGAAGGTAGATCGGATTTGACGTTGTACCAGGCTGAGATTCAACAAGCACGATAGCTGCTGCGGGGGTAGGACCACTGTCAGAATCTGGAGCCAGGAGCGGCTTAAGCGGCTTCGAAATGACCGAAATGCTCTGCAATGTTTGGATCGATTCCCGTCTCGTAGGCTCCTTAGTCGAAGGGAGATCGCCTTCGCCCGCCACAATCCGACGGGTTCGGATTTTTGTATGGTCAGTAAGCTCGAGGTGATAAGGTTTTTCTTTGCCACTGGGCGCATCAAAATCACTGGCATCAACAGTGGGGTCGTTTTTAAAGGACGCGATGCCGTGCCCTAATAAATACACTCCGCCGCCCACAGCCAGGGCTCTGCACGCTACCTGAGCGATCTCAGGATTGCTGCCATATTTTGCGATGACAGCGCCAAATCCTGGTCCAAGGTGGCCGATAGACTGTAGGTGACGTCGTACCTGGCGCAGGCTAGGCTGAGCGTCTGTTCTCGTTGTGCTCTGTGTGGTGAGTGCCAACGCTTGAACTGCAGAGTGCAAGGATGAGGGCACCTTGAAGGCCTCAAGGACCTCTTCGAGTGTCTGCTTGGGTTCCGTCCTTACTTCCGGTGCCTGTTCGGCTTCATCCTGCAGGACGTGACGCAGCATTTTCATGAGACTTCGTTTGTCGCGAATCGACAAAGAGTCATCATTGAAGACTGCTTCTCTCGTGCTCGGAATTTTGCGCAGACCGGTTTGTCCTAGCACCCACCAAGATCCGACTGCAACAAACTCGAGCTGTGGTGCTATCCTTGACGACACTAACGCAGTAAGAAACTCGGACCTCGCGTGAATGATCTGCGGCCGCAGTGCAAGTGTGTAGGCTCGTGAGGGTCCTAAGCGAGCAGGATCGTCGACCTCGGCGACATCACGTTTCCAAACAGCAGGACTCGAGAACTGAGGATTGTGGCCTGCGCATGTCAGCAAGGACGGGGACAGAGGATAGACCACCCACCATTTTCTATCTCCCTCATCCAAGTCTCGACATCGTTCAGACTCAAACCGGCGTCCGAACCTCCATACCATTCATTGCGATCAAGATGCAGCACTCTCTTACCCGAGCGAGACAAGGACCTACCGAAGGAAGCTTCAGTCAGTCAGACCATGTTCAGAAATGAGAGATGAGCAGTAGTTGTACTCACAACGCAAGCAGCGACTGCTGCAGACTAGTCCCAGCGATCACTACGTCCCAGACGTCTTCGCTAAGGGACTCCATAGCAGATCATGGCACATCGAGGACGCACTATGTCGTCTCGTTCAGCGCGATATCGAGTACTTCTCGATTCTTGGATAGTCGATGAAAACGAGGCTCTGAAAATCTCGGGAAGGCGCATGTGTTCATGCCGGAGATAGGTTTCCCCTATATCCTCCCCTTGGCTTTCCGCCTTCCCGCAAAACTTGGTGTGTCCGCCCAATGATCTTACCTTCCGAAGCACATTCGAACCTTTGAGGCTTGAACCCTGCTCGGTTATCCTTTGACTTGGCTGACTGCCTGAATCGGCATCGACGCGGATGAAGGAGCAGCCTTCGACACTGCAGCCACAACACAAGCGTCGACAGCAAGCTCATCGCCGCAGTGCTCGCGCATGTAAGGAATGCCGCGCAAGAAAGCGCAAGTGCGATGGCCAGGAGCCATGTCGGGCCTGCAAGGCGGCAGGAACAGGTGGGTGTCACTTGCAACTTCATGCTCGTCGTGGGGCTACTCACGCGACCTTTCGTTCTACGACTGTTCCTTCCTCTTATGCAGCTGATGTGTCGTAGATGCATATATCAGTCAGATAAAGCAGTAACGACTCCGACAGAGAAAATACGCCTGCTAGAGCATCACATCCGCGAAGCCACGACCTTTCTCCATGGACTGGATCATCAATTGCCCGTTGACAGCAAGGTTCACTTGAACCTGAAGTCCGTACTGGATGTGGTTGAATCATGGTCTCATGGTAAGAATCTCGCTACCTTCTTCATGCCCTGCTTCTGCGAAGTGCTTCAGCACCTCTCTGGACAAGCTGCTCGTTCGTGTTGAACTGATGATGCTCAAAAGAGAACTCCCCGAAAACTGGCACATGGACGAACCCCGACAGCCGGAAGGGAGCAGCCCAACTGGCTAGCATGCTGTCAGGCTGTCAGCGACTAATCAGTCCAAGCCCTTATACTACGGTATTCTACGGCTCCCACTCCGAACCATCCTTCATTCTCAGGACCTTAGAGCTCTTTCATTATGGACCGCTGTCGCCGGAGAAGATCCTCCACCCATTGACGAAGATGTTCAATTGGCCTGCACCGAAGAAGCGCCATAATGAATCCACAAGTGCATCAGTCTCTGTGAGCTTCACTTTACTATCTGAAAGATATGTGGCGGTCAGTCTGTTCGAAAGCCTGTTCAACGCTTCTGATCTATTCACGGCCTTCTTGAGGAGAGACACGGTCCGAGAAGTCGTTGAGGCTGTCCACAATCCAACTAGCATTGTTCACCTCCATTCACATGCGCCGTCTTTTGCGCTGTATCACGCAGTCATAGCATTGGGCCATATAGCTCAGTGCAAGGTGCAGAGATACCAGGACTGTCCGGATAGCATGCTACAGGCTTGGACGAATTTCCACGCCGCGGAAGAGCTTGTTGATCCGCAGTCCTGTATCGAGACGCTGTCTGTACAAGCGCTGATCTGCCAACTGATCTTCCTCATCTCAACTTCGCGCATAACCAGCGCGCATGGCTTACTGGGGTTAGCATACTCGGCCCTGCTCCGCCTGGGATATCACAGATCTGACAACATGGACCAGCAGTCGCTTGCAGAACAAATCTTGCGAGCAATGATGTTCTCGACTGTGGTGAAGATCGACTTGTATGTGGGTCTAATGTTGGATCTGCCCCGCTTCGTGCCCGACGATCTGGTGCGCGACTGTCTTCATACGATTCACCGTCTGCATGAGCTCGACACCGACCTCAGCATGGTCGCTTCTGCGAAGCATCTCGAATTGCTGCACTTCGCTTCCAAAGCGCGGCAAGTCGTCTTCAACCATCCCGATAGCGAGTCAGGCGCGATTGACGCTGGGAGGCTTGCCAGTATAGAGCGCCAGCTGCAACACCTGAGCAGCGACTTGTCAGCCTTGACACGTCAAATGGGCGACAACCCAAGTTTCGTCAATGTCAAGTACCAACTAGAAACAACCCTTTACGCCACGCAACTTATCCTCTTCCGCCCCTTCCTGCACTACCTGTGCACTATGGCCAAAAACCAACCTCTGCCGCTCGCCCAATCCCGCCACGCTCTCGCCTGCGTCAAAATCGCCTCCACTACAATCCTTCGCTCCGAAGTCGACAGCAACATCACCGCGACCTTCAGCTCAACATACGCCCTCTTTGTCGCCGTCACGACCCTGATCTTCCTAATCAGCGCGCACGAAGGCACCGCTCAGCCAGGCGAGGCATGGAAGCGTGCCGTCACCGGTCTAAGGGGTTTATATGGTAATCGGTGTAGCGAGGACATCGCGACTACGGGATTGGAAGTGCTGGAGGTGCTGGTCGGGCAGTTGAGCCATACAGTGGACTTTGACTTTCGCGGTATTGAGAAGGAGGCGGTCGAGGCGCGGATGCAGGCGAGTGTACCGAGTCTCAGACCACCTGCTAGAGAGGTGCAGCGGGCGAGGACTACCACACCAGTCGTTCATGACGAAGAGGAGGAAGAGATTGGTTACTACGCGGATGCAGACAGGCTGCTGGCACGCGCAGAGACGATGCCGCTTGGCTTTGGGTTTGTGGATCTGCTTGAGGCGGATCTGGACGTTGAGATGGATCAGATGGACTGATCAGGAATGAGGATGAAGTGTCGTCGGAAATGTACAGATATGATTTCTTACAAAACCTTTGCCACCAACGCCTTGCTATCTAAGTCCGTGTCCGGGAAACAACACCATGGTCTGCTGCGCAAGCTGCGACATCATGGTCCAAGCCTCCTGCTGATGAAGTCCACTAAGGCTACTGCTGCCGCGGTCCCCTAGATCGCAGCTGGCGGCGATGTCTGGTACTCTAGCGCATCTGCGTACGCAGTTGCACTACTGCTTGCCCGTCTCGCGTCACTGCGGGCGGTGGCCGTATGAAGTAAGTCGGTCCTCACTGTCACCCCAATCGGCACAGTCTCCGGCGCACGGTCATCCATACCCACATCCATGCTCTCCTCACACGCATCCCTGTCCTCCGCCATCAATGTTCTCTCTACCTTAATCGCCACGTGACCGCTTCGCGGTCCATCCTTCCCATTTTGCTTCGTTATCTCGAGGAACTTCTTCATAGCAACCCTTCCCCTCTCTTTTTCCCTGACTTCATCTCCATCGCCCAACTTTCCTGTGGTCGGGTCAAAGACATGCCGCTTCTGTGGCGGCTCCGTTCTCACCACGTAGACTAGTCGATGATACACACAGTCCAGCTTTTCTTTCGCTTCTGTTCTCTTCATATGGCTCGCGCCAGTGTCTGCGATGTTGCGCCAGGTCTTTCGGACTGCTGTTGCAAGAGCGTCGATCTCTCGGTTGAAGTCTGATGCTTTCTGGTAGGTGCCAGAGGGAAATGACGCTGGACGTCCGCCATCTGAGATCGCAATGTCGAGGATGATAGTGCGTGCCCGTAGGTCGGTGTAGTTGAGCGTAGTGCGTAAGCGGGCGGTGGCGAAGTCGTCGGAAGTTAAGATGAGTCTAGTAAGCGCAGGCAGATATACTCCGGGCGGCCGTGATGCGATAGAGGATGTTTGTGGGGAGGACACGCCGAAGAGGAAGAGATTGGCAAGTGTAATGCGAGTATTGATCGCGCACTCGGAAGTCGGGCGGATATGCTCGAGCAATCGGGCCTGCAGCGTTGGCTCGTGTAAGGTCTGAGGCAGGGTCAATACCATGTGTGAGGCAATGAACAGAGCATTTTCTTCATCGGAGTAGCGTCCAAGGAGGTATTCGAAGAGATCCTCGACTCGGGATGCAACGCTCGAGATAGCCATAAGGGAAGCGTCTGCGCTGATTTGACACAGGATCGTCGTAAGCGCACTCAACGACTCGAAGCTCATATGAGCGCAGATTTTGATGAAGAGGTCGAGCGTAGAGACCATGTATTCTGTATGCAGGGCAGGAGCTTGAAGAGGCTGTGGCCGGAGCTCGTATCGACTCGAATGCGCCATGTTCTCTTGTTTAGCTGATAGAGACCAGAAGCAGAACTGCACGTCTTCTGGGTTGACGTGATACCGGGCCCAGACGGGTGCTGCAGCCTCTAAGCATTCGGCATATGCGGATCGTTGGGACAGATCTGCTTCTGAGGTGAAGGCCTCGAATGTCCAATCCAAGGCACTGTCATCCAGTTGCTTTCGGGTTGCGAGGTGCGTCATTATTCCGGTCTGATATACGCGGGCCCGACTATCGTCATCGTAGTGGCGCCACAATTCGAACGGTATGGCGTCGCTGGGGAAAGCAGGAAGCTTTGGGCGGTCCCGAGAGAGGTCCCTCATGCCCGCGCTGCCGAAGAACGTGTAACTGGCGTCCACCGAAAGAGCCTCAGTCCGGCGGACGGCTCCAATGATGTGCTCAGCGCCGTCATCGTCGCCAACGGACGCTTCGAGGTTAGTGAGCATATCGGCCTTAGACATGGCACTTGACGCCGCGGCATCCAGGTCGCGCAAAGTCGAGTCATATCTGTGCTTCAACTTCTCCAGCGCTTGCGCGTCGGCAGCATCACTGCGTTGATAGTCTAGGAATTTGGCAGCACTACGCTTGGTCGACTTTTTCATGGCCATGATTTCGCGTAGTCTGTGCTTGCTGGCCGCTGGATCTGGAGCACCATTTAAGAACAGCTTGAGTGTGCTCACTCGATCGGCCTCAAGTCTGTCTCGGTCTGTTTCTTCGGTTGGGCCTTCATCATGTTCGTTTACTCCAAAGAGGTCGGTAAGAGATCCTATCGAGTCTGTATCCTCCTCATCTGAGTCTCGAACTGCGACGACCTTGCCGCCTCGTACGACGCTTTGAGTTCCGGGCGGTACAGTCGACCTATCGACAGCGGAGAGTTTCACTTGCTTGGCTGGCGATGGTGAAGTTGGTGACGAAGGCGGAGAGCTCAAATCCGACACTGAATCGAACCTGCGAGATACCAGAGACGGTGTCGCATCCTCAGGCTCCTCAGTCGTGGGCAGAGCGCCAGATCTGACGCTTTTGGGCGTGCGAATGGCCAGTCGTGTGGAGTGTGGTGTAATGGCGGATACTTGGGACGGCGGATCGGGCGTCATTCTGCCCGCTGCATCTTGTCTTTGCGGTACTGGAGGCGTCGAGGGTCGTCGCTTGGGCGTAGATGACTTGGAGAAGGCAGGCCCATCCAGCTGACTCATGGCAAGGCTTGAGGGTCCTTCAGGTAGTGGTGACGGTCGTTTCTGTGGGATGGTGGGCGCGGGGGAGAAGCGCGCTCTCACGTACGGCTTGAAGAAGTCGGCCAGACCACGCTTCGGCTGCTGGGTCGTCATATTGCCGCCAGAAGCCTGACCAGCGTGAAATGCGACTAGCAGGTATCACATATTTGCATTGCAACCAGAGGAGTGACGTTTCAACCATGCATTAACCAGGGCAACGCCTAGTTGGAGAACAACCTCATTTCCAGGCGCGACTGCAGCAAGAGACGCGTTCGCAGGAATTAGTTCCCGACTTGGCAGGACAGTGGGGCAGTGACGACCCTGGGATGTCAATGCTTTCGCTCTTCCCACGCACATATTGAATTGCTTCTACGCTGATGGGCATCACGGTCCCGGCTTCGCTTCGTCTCCTTACGAATGCACGGTCATGCGCAGCCGAAGAATGTAAGAATCTATGGTGAACTCAGACCTCGTAAGAGTCGAAGCAAGCTGGGTTGTTTGCCATGCCGTAAGAAAAGGAAGAAGTGCGGCGAGGAATGTCCAGTTTGCCAGAGCTGCCAATCAACGTCACAGGTATGTATCTGGCCAGGAGTGTCTGCGACGCGGCGTGGCATGGTGGAAGCTTCCTCAGAGGCTGCTGAAGATGCACAAAGCCGTCAGTCGACCAATGGGTTGTTGCCAGTTCAACTTCGTCGCAACTCGCCAGCATTGCTCGAGCATTTCTGCAAAAAGACTGTCGACTGGATGCTGTTCAGCAACGAGCACAACTGGATACTATACAAGCACGTGATCCCTTTAGCCACCTCGAACAAGCTGGTCCTTGACGCCTTATTGGCCACGAGCGGCGTCCACTTGCGGCAGCTACAGCCCGAGCACGAGTCCAACGCTCTACATCACTGGAATTGCGCCTTGCGAGGACTCAAGGACCGCTTGGCTGGTGATCAATCCAAGGCCGCAAGCGAATACAAGGTCTTGCTGACCACCATGATTTTGCTTTGTCATTGTGAGGTACGTCGATGATACCAGACCCCTGAGCCAAGCTAATTCCAAGCCTACAGTTGATCGACGGTAACAGCCTTGGCGGTGCCTTGCAACATGTGCGTGGATGTCAAGCTTTGTTGCAACCAGCGCTCGATGCGCTGTCTGAGCCCGAAGACCAAGATCTTACGGTATTTCTTCTCGAAAGCCACGGCTACTTCGCAATCATGGCGATGCTCTGTGGCGAAGATGACACCGACATAGGTGCCATGGCGCTCGATTTCTGCCGCCGTACGTTGCCCGGAATCAGGCGTTTTCCAGCGTTCGGGTCCATGTTCGCCTACGAACCAGAGACTATTGTCTACATTCCACAACTGCTACAGACTGAGCACAAGGCTCACAGCGAGCAGCTGAGTCTAGCTGAGCGGACGGGACGTCTGGCGATGCGGCCCCACGTTTCGAGGCCTGGCCCGGCTCCTCTCATAGACGGAACAGACGTGGACGATGTGTCGCGCAAGCAGAAGGTTGCCATAGTCTCCTTCAAAGCTGCCGTTCTGCATTTGCACGCGGACTCGCTACTGGATCCCATTTTGACGGCAATCTCCCTGCAATCGCAAATCGTGAAAGCGATGGACCATCTCCGGCTACTCCACCAGGCGACAGAGACCTGCTACGGGCTTGTCCCGTATCTCATTCTCCTTGGTTCGTACCTTCGTGAGCCTCACGCGCAACGAACGCTGCATTCCTATCTCCAGTCTTTCACGTCAGAGATGCCCCTGCAGCAGCGGGCAATTGAACTGTTAGAATGGCATTGGGCAGAAGCGGACACTGTACTCATCGGTCCTCAAGCGATCAGGAGGACCGCAGTGGCTCACGGCGTCAGTGCGTATCTCTGCTAGAATCTTGTTGACATATTTTCACATCTCAGCAGCAGAGCTATGAGAGCTTGAGACACTCAGCTGCCGTCAAGCTCTACTAAGCCAAGCAATGAATTGTGAGCCTGGTTGCCTTGAGTACGGCCGTAGTTGACTGTCAACATGCCGTCTGTCTTGGCAGAAAATACGTCGGTTTCTAGGGAAGGCAGCACTCATTACCACGTATGCTGCAAGCACATTCAAGCCACCGCGCATTGGCAACGAACAGGTGGCCGTTGATTCAAGTCGTTATTTCGTAATGTCCTTTGCGACAGCTATGGCGATTTCTTGTTTCCACGGCCGTAGACCGGGTCAATGGCCGATTTGCGTCATTGAACGATCAAGGTGCGTTGCCGGTAAATCGTGACATCGTCTTCAGGTTCAGCTTACCGATGCCTTCTTCAGCAAATCCGTCACCATTGGACCAAAGCTTACAGCAGATGACCGTGAAGTGCTTTCAGAGCTTGAAGCATATGAGTTCTTTATCTAACCGCTATCTTAGCGACTTAGTCCGCCCATCGGGGTAAGACTCCAACTCAATTCGTGCCTGTTTGGTAAGCAGTCAGGAGCCATAATCTTGGCAGGTCTTGTCCGTGGCCTTGACGGCCATCTTTCGCAGACGCTGGACCAGTCACCGTGGATGATCTTTGCTAATGACACGTTCTGTTTCGAGGTTGCCTGAGGGGCGCGGCACCGCGGTGGTGTCGAGGCAAGATATAAAAGGCGCTTCTAAGCCTGTGTCAGAGCAGTCGGCCATTGCAATTTTAACCACAACTAGCGATTGCAGGACGACCAAGTCCACCCACACCGAGACGACGCCGCTATACCAAATACAACCTCATTCCCTTCCAGCAACAGCAGCGTCCCCTGTGTCCACTCTAGTACTCATTCAAGAGCAACCACCCTGCAACCAACGCCAGGATGAAAGTCGCCATCGCCGGCACAGGAGACGTCTCCTCTTACCTTGTTACCGAACTCACTCGCCAAGCCACGACATTATCATCCTGACACGCCAGTCCAATCCCAATCCACCCCTCCCCGTTCCCCACCGTGTCACAGACTACACCGTCCCATCCCTTGTCTCGGTCCTCGAAGACCGCACTGCCCTTGTTTCCACCGTCTCCTGCTACGATAATCCAGAGATCGTCACACCGACGCACCTCGCGCTGCTTTCTGCGGTCGAGCAGTCTCCGACCTGCAAGTTCTTCATCCCGAGCGAGTGGACAAGCGATGTGCTCAACTACCCGGACCAGCCGTTGTTTATGCGCGAGCATCAGGCTGTGCTGTATGGTGCCATGCGGAAGGCGAAGGAGCGCAAACGAGATCTCCAGTGGACGGTAGTGTGTAACTCCTGGTTCGTGGACTATATCGTGCCGGCAGCGAACAGGAAGTTGAGGGATATTGGGCCGATGTGGCCCATGGATTGGGAGAAGAGGGAGTTCACGATCTATGGGTCTGGGGAGCAGAAGACTAGTTTTGTGCCGGTCAGGGATGTAGCTGTTGCGGTGGGAAAGTTGCTGGAAGCAGGAGAGAAGGGACTGGAGTGGGAAGAGTTCACGTTCGTGGAGGGTGATCGGCTGACGTGGAACGAACTGTATGCTTTGGTGGATGAGGCGGAGGTGGGTGGCGGCAAATGGGCGAGGAAGGTGAAAAGTCTGAGTGAGACGGTGGACAATTTGGTCAAGGCTGAGAAGGAGGGAAGTAAGGATTGGATGGGCTTGTTGCTGGCGCAATTCGAGCTGTTGAGTTATTCGGGGGCCAGCTTGTTGCCAAAGGATCTGGTCGAGAAGCATCGGCAGAAGTATTTCGGAGGCGTGAAGTTCAGAACGCCGGAGAAGGTCCTGGAGATGGTGAAGACTGATCCCAGTGCTGTAGTTTGAGCTGAAGACGGCCTGATTCTAAGTCGATGCAGTAAGGATCAGTCGTTGGGCTATGCTTTGCGCGATCGATCTATGCTGTCGCGCCTCGCACTCAAATGCGTACAGTGCTGACCGTGGGCAGCCTTTCGATTCTGTGACATAGCAAATACGACGGGCTTGACGAGGCAGGTCGTCCGATAGCACAACACAAAACAGTCATGCGCGACCGAAATTCCAAGGTCTCGTCGCGAGCAAAGAGGTGAAAGTTGTTAGGCTCGGTTCAGTCAATTCTGACCGAAGGTCAACTTGGTGAAAAGGATGACTTTCCAAGCATTGAATCGTGAACTCAAAGTCTTGAGGTGCTATCGGGCTTGGCATTCCGATGACCTGGGTGGACTCCAGCTTTTTCGGGGGAGCAAGCTCATGCGAATCGTCCTTCATCACGAACAGCATACTGACTCGCACGCGACTTGTGGCATACTGTTGGCAGTCCCTAATCTCTTTGAAGAGGAGACGGCAGTCTGGCTGCAACGCCGCTTCATCAGCCTGGCATGACGCGGAAGGCGGTGACCTCGATACTGCAGACCGCGGGATGGACATGCAAGCAATGCAGTCTTCGAGCCCGACCGTCGAATTCGCCGCGGTTGGGCAGGACTCACGCCCAGTCAAGAGCATTATCAGCTACGACATACAGGCGCGCAGAGATTGCTACAGACGCCACTTTACAACAAACACCATTCGAAGTCGTCGCAGCTCCTCCTATTGAATTCGACAAGAAGAACACCGTCGGCGAAGCTGCGCGTCTGGTGCCAGCATCTCCGTCCTACTTCACGACCTCGCCAGTATTCAACGACGTGCTACTACGACTGACGCAACTCTACGAGAAGCATGGAAAACTACCGACGGTGTCCGCAGAAAAGGCGCCTGCGATCGCATTCCTGAATTTGATGCAGTTCCGAGGAAATATGTCAGAAAAGATCGGCGCAGCCAAATACTCGAAAGTCATTGCCCTGCTGAAGAGACTGAATCTTATCAATCCAAAATTTCGACCTGCTGAGGTCCGCATGGTTTTGGAAGAATTCCGCAGACCCGGGACCGAAGCCGTTGAAGGCCCTCGACCGAAGACGATAGACGAGTTTGGTCGATCGAAAGGTGTTGGGCGGCGGAAATCGGCCGTGGCCCGAGTTCAGCTAATCGAAGGCGACGGTCAGATCATCGTGAACGGCAAACCTCTTACCGCGGCCTTCCCGAGGCTACATGACCGCGAGAGCGTGATCTGGCCTCTCAAGATTACGGATCGCATGGAGAAATACAATGCCTTCGTCGTCGCGTCTGGAGGTGGCTCGACTGGGCAGGCCGAATCGATCACCCTCGGCATGGCTAATGCTTTGATTGTACACGAGCCTGCATTGAAGCCGATCCTGCGTATGGGTGAGTCACAGCCTAGTCATACTTCGAAACTCGTGCTAACAATCCTAGCTGGTTGCGTGACACGGGTGATGAAGCGTGTGGAACGCAAGAAGACCGGCCGTGTCAAGGCTCGGAAGAGACCAGCTTGGGTCAAGCGTTAACACCAAGATCTGCCGGCATGTGTCGTGCATATATCTGCATTCATCTGCACGCGTCCTTTGGTTTGTACGACGCGAGCTTTAAGGACCCTGTGATGGCTGAGGAGATTTCTACGCATGTCCGTTATATCAACTCATGACTGCTCTATAATGCCTCGACGAGATCGCGCGCCTGAGCGTCATACTCCCTCAAAGCGAAAGGGCACCATATCGATGCAAGCAGATGTCATGGACCGAGTCTACGCGCCACTCAGGGACCAGACCCGTGGGCCCTTTCAACACGTCGCACCGAATCTCGGGCATATCAGATTTCGATCCAAGCGGGGCTGTCAAGGCTGTCACTGTCGCATGCTTATCGACACATCGCGCCATCGTCACAGGACGTACGCGTTGGGTTCTCGTCTTCTCTCCGCCAGCCCAAATGTGTGAGAGGGGCATGAGTCGGTAACAGGTGCACGGTCGAATGGTACACTTTAATTCCGGTCTCGATTCCTGTGAGCGCATATACGCGAAGGTGATCTCCTCGCTTCGCAGCGGCATGCCTACGAGTGTCTGTATTTGGTCAATCCACCGGTCGTGATAGTCTCGTACAGAATTGCACAATAAGAGCAGTGCAAGAATGCCTGGATGTCCACCTCGCATCGAGGCTAATGCAAGGCACAGATTGAGTCGCGTTGATAGTCGTCCAGCCCCAGACGCGCTTGCCGGAGCAATACATCGATGTTGAAACATAACCTCCGACACAAGATAGACCAAGACCAGCTCTAGGCAGCGCTGTTCTCTACATTGGGCAGATACACCACAAGAAACATGATTCAACCAGGTTTCGACGATCGTTCGCAACTGCCGGAGTGTGGAATGTCGTAAGAACAATTTCCAGAAGCCTTTCGGGCAACTGCAACCCCGGGTTGGAGCCAGAAGAATTCTGAAACGCACCCGAAGTGCCTTGGCTGCAAGAGATTACGTAGAACGACTTGTAATTGCCGTTGCCTCACTGCTAAGGTCTGGCATAGATCACGGCGACCACCAATGAGCAGTCTTAAGCAGATGCAGAGTCCGAGGTAAGGCGGGCATCCAGCACGCGTACAGTAGCGGCATTGCGCATCACGCCTCAAAGATTCGTTGCGTCGCGATATGCGCGACACAGAGTCCCAGGTACGCGGGAAATCATTTCCATTCAAAAGTACCAAACACAGCGCTGGATCGAGTCAGTCGCAACGGTATTGGCCAGGTTAAGCTGCACAAAAACGTTCAGTTCAGCTCAACAGGCCCACGAAATAGACGACGAGTACACTACTGTGGCTGAAGAAGGCGTCCGTATCTGCCGATCTGGAGGCCACCGCAAATACGCGAGCCGTCCTGATTCGGCGAGCAATGCCGGAACTCGCGAAGCCCTGTTAGTGAGGTGGCTTGCGATGGCTTCACGATGTCATCAACGTTGAAAGTCACTTTATCTCTTCAGACAGCACGACACTCTGCGGGCATCTGAAGATCAAACATAACCATGTCGTAAAGCCGGCATTAAATGTAAGCTTGGGAGCTGCCCGGCCGGAGTATATGCCGGGAAGGGCGAGCTTGGCTGAATCGTCGTCAATCGAGAAGATTTTGGAACACGAGACCCTGAACGGCCGCAAGTGTTTGATGTCAAAAACCTGCCCAGTCTGTCAGGGCTAGTGACTTAATGCCAGGGGTAACTTCTGAGACCAAGATCAGGCACTTAGCTATCATAATTGGGCATCAACGGCCATGACATGCAGGCCAATCCACCTTGTTGGTGTCGTTGTGTCTCGGCTGACATGCGCTGGCGGCTTAATTTGGGATGCATCAGAATAGCCAGGGATCAACTGTCGCTGGTCCGTCTAATCGAGAATGGGGCGAGAGCATGCGAGCAAACAGTTGTGAGCCAACATGGATGTTTCGTCTTGCTAGCCAGCGACTGAATCCCACCGGCAAGGAAGATGAACAGGACTGCTCCTGGAGACAAGCACATTTTGCAAGAGGGTTCTCTAATCAGTCTACCTCTCATTCGATGCAGGCCCGCGCCACAGCGCTGGACGCCAAAAGTCTCTTTCCAACCTTCCAACAGGAAAGCCGAATTGTGAGGCGCAAACTGCCCTTGTTGGCCCCGCCTCAGATCGAATTGCTCAGAGACAGTAGGGTCCACCGCCACCCTCGTACTCTTCCCATAGCCCGCCCCTCCAACATCAATCAACCGACGTCTTCGTCCGCCGACTTTTCTTGCTACGACGAAGCAGCTGGATTCTGCTTGTTTCCAACCAGGCTCTCTTCCCTCCACCGAGCTGTCAAGTTTGATCCATTGTTAGGGCTCACCATCCTTGTCGACCGATGGCGCGTCGTTAGATCATCTAACCCGCGCTGCTTTGCGACCATCAATTACTGTTCAGCAAACACCAATATCCACAAGTCACTCATTCGATTGAAGGCTGTCGTCAGACTTGACTTGCCGGACGCTTCAGACTTCTCGATCCTCGACAACAAGCCTCGCATAGCTGTCTCCGGTGTCCGATATCATGCGGCATACCCACCTTCCACATCTTCATCTATTTCCATGCCCCATCACCACGGCTCCGACCTTCTTTGATATACCCTGCCCTGCGCCGCACCAGGTACACCACAGCACTTTCCTGTCAACTTCGCCCTCGATCTGACCCTCATTCGCTCGTTAATCAACCGAAGACAGTCTGTGTCTTCACCACAGCCGACTCACCCTAGTCCAACATCGATATAGCCTGGACCCACTTCGAGCAGCAGCCCAACATCAGTGAGATCTTTACTTTGTTACCTGGCACGGAGCGTAGCCTTGCAGAAGATCGACGAATCGCTGCCCGACTACACTCGCCAATTACGACTTTCTTATTGTCGATCCATACCATTTCTATCATTTGCAACGAGCCTCACCACGCCTCACCGGCACTGTCTGTCAAGGTCTGGAGTCTTCTTCACGCAGGTACAACGACTGTCACGTATTCTTCAAAGCCAAGCCTCGCAAATAGCATCGCACTATTCCTACCGTCATAGTATTTCGCCGATCGGCCCATCAAATACTTCCTGGTACATGGTACATTGCATACGCGCAACAACCTTTGTACCCAACATCTTAGCGCCGGCAACTGCTCGCGTGAATGCGGCGCAGTACTGGAAGGCGCGCTGATCTCATTTTCCTTCTCGTATCTTCTCACACCGGCGACATCGACGACAACAACGAGCTGGCGTCAACAAATTCGCACACCCTCTGTAAATGGACGGCGATGACCGCCGAGCATCACAGTATGGACAGCCATACGGACATCATACACATTCGGGCTCACGCCCACCAACGAGCCAACCGATGGGTCCGCCCACCACTGCGGACCGCTATGCTCAACCAGGAACCCCCGTCCGAAGCGACTCGGTACGGCATTCTATGACCAGGTCGTATCTACCAGGCTTTCAGCAGCAGTACGGCTATCCCGAAGCTCAGCAGTACGGCAGCGGCTCGATACACGATGGCAGTCCGATGCAAGGCGTCGAGATGCAGTACTCGCCCTCGGCGGCGTATATGCAAAGCGCCCGTCAGTCGGTCGGACAAGCTCAGGCTCAGCAGTATGGCGGCTATCAGCAGTCGCCGATGTTGGGAAGTAATACACAGCAGGCTATGTACGAGTCGTTGCCGCAGCCTTATCAGCAGCAACAATCAAGGCAGTCTGCTGCTATCGAAGTGATGAGTTCGCAACTCGGAGCACTTCCCGGTCAGTACGATCCGCAGACCAGCTTGTACACTCAACAACAACAGCAGGCTCAACAACACCCTCAGTACTCATCCGCAGCCCGGCAATCTCTTGTCTCGCACCAACAGCAGCCTTATGCGTCCTCATCCTCGAGCGACTACCCATCGCTCCACGACGCAACTCTGCCCTCCAGTCAACAAGCACAACAACCAATTCCAACTTCTCAACCACAAAGCGGCCCGCCACAGCCCTCAGCGGCCGAAGCCGCCGCCCTAGCTCAAGGTCTTCAGGATTACCAGACCTCCATTAACACAGTCCTTCAAGTCATCATCTCTGCCAACTCAGCCTCCAGCAGCTCGACTTTGGTCAGTGCTGCGGACAGATTACTGGCTGCCACGCGCTGGCTCGTCACTCACGTCCAGCCGCTCAACCTACACCACGATGTCGATCGCCTCGAGCAGTACACCGAGCGTCTCACCATGTGGACTCGTCTGAACCTTGCGTGGGAAGGGCTGGCGGAAGCGATCCGCACGCGAGCTATGTACGTCTCGGCTACCTCCTACACAAGATCGAGAGCGGGTGGATCGAGCAGCGATATCGGATTCACCGCAGAGCGTGTGCGAAACCTCATCGAGGAAGTCGTGAGCTTCTGCAATGATTTAGAGGGTTTCGGGCTCGTGGACTACGAATTGGGCCTGGCGGAAGAGCTGATCGTGGCTGGATTGATGGGAGTGCTGGATTTGGTCGAGGCTTGGGAGGACGATGATGGGGCTGAAGCAATGCAACGTCAAGTCAGTGCTTCTGGTGCTGCACCGACGAGGAGGCGCACGGACACGGCGATGTCAGGAATCCAGTCGTCTACGACTACGGCGGTGGGCATGGCGAGGAGTGGCGCTTGAATCGAGCGAGCGAGTGAGCTATGAGATACCCTTTCTTTGATTCTCATGTGGTGGCAAGCATGCTTTTATCCAGGCGTTCGCACAAGAAGACGAGATGCTCGCGCATCCGTCGATGAAGGGAAGGCTGTCTGTTTATCATTTTGTTCTTTTCATTGTTACGAAGAGATCTACGAATACTGGCATCTTGTATGGTACATTTGAGGCGGAGAGTATACCATCATTGCGCAAGCATGTTCTGTTTGGGAGAATAATGGTGATTTACGAGCTAGAGTTAGATATCAAAAGCTTGGATGGCGGCGATTGTATTGACTACACGATTTGGCACAAGGCAGGCAGAAGTCAGCAATACACACGAAGTATAACCTTTCACCGTGCTAAGCATCATCTGTTCGGTTCATAGTCTGATCCGAAGTTCTCGATGAGGCGCATGTGAAGGTGACACCAGATCTCGGGGCTTGCCGTAGGGAAGCAAGATTGACAGCAATATGTGCGGCAGCCGCTTACATGGTCGTACCCTACCATCTGGAGTGTGCATACTAATGTTGTCAGGTGAACATTTGGTCCCGGAAGGCTGGTTTGATCCCTTGTCAGGCGTCAGGCTGCAAGATCTCGACAAAGAAGCAACGACAATTCCCTGCTAGCGTGAAGAGTGGCGTCTGAATTCTGGACACAGAGGACTGGAGTGTTACCGATTTTCTGGGCCTGATGTCAAGCTGAAGTCGGCATATAGTTGGTAAGGCTCCGAGGACGTTGGTCGTCCAAGGAATTCCAATTCCAGCGCCTTCCCGACCGTAACTCGAATCTGTCGATGATGAGGCATCCGATCGGCAAAGTGAGGCATGAAGGTCCGATTGATGATCACAACTTGTCATCAGGCTGGAGTCAGATTGCCCGTCCTGGACATGGCTTCTGTGTACGTACTGTGTACAAGTGAAGAAAGCGCCGGCGTTTGGTCGATGCTGGGTTAGACATGAATATAAATGGCAACACTGCAATATCACTCGTCGTAGGGTTGTCGCAAATGGAGGCTGCTCACTCATGAAACGGCCCCCATCGTATCTTCGACGCCTGTCCCACTTACTCGTAGACTTGCTTCGTCTGACGATTCGACCCCATCCAAATCCCGGCACTTGCTCCTTCTAGCGCGTCGAAGCGTCCTTCGAGAATTCTAGGGAGATCTCTCGGATCGCTGGAGCTCCGTCAAGACTCCTCACTTTCCGATGTGTATTCTGTAACAGGATCTCAAATGTGGAAACGTCATCTTCGTACGCCAGACGTCTGGGATGTGGTCCTTGGCACGTGGGAAGCGAGACCGTAAGGCCGGACCTGAAACAAAGCCACGATTCGCGAAAGTACGGATTCCGCTCGCTGGAGAAACGAGTCAGGAATCGCGATGAGGTGGATGAATGCTGACTGACATATAATCAAAGCACAGCACGTGAGATGAGGCTGGTGAGATGATGATGCTTCTGGTGCGTAGAGGCGGTGCAATTCTCACCCAGGAGGACGCGGGCTAGATGCACGGGGCTTGTTCGGTGTCGCTCGGCGCAGGTCGGAGCTGGCGGAGAAGCTCTCCTTTCGTCTCTGACGACGGTACGCGACGCTCCGACGCACGTGAGAACTATTACGCGAGCTGCCGTACGCAGAAGTACACATTTACAAGCTGGATGAAAGTTGTGGTTGTCTGTGCACAAGAAATGGTCGTTCAATGAAGATTTCGGTGTTTCTGATTCTCTCCGCACGCACGAGTTTCGTCCTTGGGTGCGGAAGTGCCGACTATGGGAACAGCAACCGCCAGGAAGATCTCCTCCAATTCACAAAGCTTACATGTGGCTGCACTTGGTAGCGTCTTGAGATCAACACTTAGTGTCGATATGAAGCTGTCAGTGACACCTTGATGCGGCGGGCTAGCACCGAAGCAATGCGGATTGGACGTCGAGTCACTCGTTCGGAGCAGACTTCGGGCAGACGTGATGATATGCACGGCCAACTTGGACGGCAAGACGGATTAAATTGTGGCCTGATGCGGGCTTCGGGATGGACTTCGACGCATCAACGTTCAAAAACGTAACAAAGGTTGCCGTATCTGGACGATTGTCGACTTCTATCTGGTTGTTCGGGTCGCTCGCAGCATCTCGCGAGAACAACGGAGATGCGAAGTTGCGAACGGACTGATGGATTGTGGCGATCTTAGCTGTCCGCACAAGCTTCGGAATGCAAACAAACCTGACGAAGCCTCCGAACACATCACAACACTGATCGAGCGACATACTGTCAGGGAAGCCGTGACTCAGCAGGGTTCACGCTCAACAGCTGAGTGAGCTTCGCGGGTCTCCGATGCTGCAAAGGCATAACGATCGCAGACTGCTCCAGCAAGTCAAGTACAGCTGCTTGATTGCAAAACATGGAGCCGCTGGCGACTAACGCCCCACGAGACTGACTGCTGTGCTGGTGGCATCAAACTGCAAGAGCAGCCCGCCAGACTACACGCTGGATGATGCCCACCTTGGCATATCCACGCCTACGCTGTCCCAGAACCACCCCTACTCCAGGGTCGATATCTGTTTCTTTGGAGTCCAGAGGTTGTGAGTATCAGCGAATACGCCAGAAATTACTGTATCAACAGCGACCTGAATCGACACGATCCCATCAGTCGGCAGAGCAGTGGAATTTACCCGTTGTGGACCCCGGGGTAGACAACCATGCGGTGGGACCACGAGTCCAATCTAAGCGAAACCTGGAACGGTTGCAGCTTGAGCTTCCAGCTCGATATTGCTGAGTCCACGTCATGCCATAGTGCAAGGTCTGACCATGCGAACGGCTGCTTCTACCGACAGAGGGCCGCAACCGAAAACGAAACACCTGCCAGCGTCCTCGCAAGGAGCCCAGGTGTGAACTAGTCATCTTACTCCTGTGAGTACATTCCCTTTTGAGACTCCCTACCAGAACAACATGTCATCCTCTTCATCTTCCTGCCCGGCAATCTTACTATGATTCTGCAGGCCTTGCGCCTCCCACTGCTCCATTGCCCTGGCATATAACTCCCTCTGCGCCTGCCCGTCCGTGATCATAGGCCCCTCAAGCCCGCGTCTGCTCCGACTCTCCTCCGTCTCGACCAGCTTCGCAAGATCGTCAACTCCGACATTCGGCATATCCAAGAAACGATAAGACCTCAATTCGCAATTCACCCATCCCGTCGCCGGTACTTGCCCGCATCCTCCCAATCGCCCGTCAAGTAGTGCATGAAGCCGCCATGCGCAACCAGCACGATCTGCACATCGGTAAGACCTTCCGCAACAAGTCTTCGCGCTGCGTCTCGCAAGAACACGCGCGTGTCCCGCGCCCGTCGAAAGATCGCTTTCGAAGCGGGCGAATAGCGACTTCCGGGCGTGGACTTGTCGTTCCAGCCGTCATGGACTAGACTTAAGTCGATTGGCCACCCGTTTGTTGCACATGTTCGTGCAAGGACCGCTGGATCTTGGCCGATGTCGCAAGCGTCTGTGCTCGACTCTTGCGCGTCGGGGAGTGCAATGAAGGGTGGCGGTATGTTAGTCTGGTCACCTGTCTCCCGACCATCGGTGTGGTTGTCCGTCAGGATGGGGCGGAAGATCTCGAAGGCAGACTGGATGGCTCGGGTCATAGGTGAGGTTGCAATGAGGGAGATCTTGCGCCGTGGAAATTCATGAATGCCAGGTAACCCAGGTGAATCGTGTAGTGGTTCAGGAAATTCGCGCTGCCGTAGCTGTCGGCATTGCTCCACGCCGAAGGGTGTTAGGTAGGGATCCGGAAGTGTATAATTGCCCGGCGGAATGTTGTGGTAGCCTTGGCCGTGGCGAATGAGGTGAAGGACGGGCTGCTTCTGCCGTCGTTGGTGATCCATCACGACGACGTGCATCGTGTGTCCTTGGGTATGCTACCAAGGACGAAAAGTGCTGATTGTCCTTAATACAGGGTATAGACACGAGATGTAATCGCTCTTGTTTGCAGTAAGTCGCTACGGCAGCTGCGATTGCATACCATCCTGCAGACATGCAGACTATCATGCTTATCACGCATAACACATCAGTTTTGCTGATATATATGTATCCTGCGAGGCAGCACAAGTCAAAGTCTACCGCTCGGATCCGACGAAGGGTTCGGCCCTTGGCATTCGTTGGAAGCATTCATCGTGCCTGGCATTTCTGTCGTTACACTGGGATCATTTTTAATTGATAGCATGACGCAGCCGCGCTGTCTACACGAAGAACGTATACTGGCATGCGACCAAGTATCGTTCCAGTGCTAAACGCAATACAGAGTCGAGGCATGCTTGCTGAACCATCTGAACGATAGAAGAACATCAAATCTCTCGCAGGCGGATCTCAACATTCAAAATCTTGACAGATATCGTGCTCCAGGTCTTCATAGGCTTCTCAGCATCAACAAGTTCCATCTGTAGCTTTCATCAGTTTTCTCACAAGCCAGGAGTACTCCAAGTAGACTTACGTCGAAAACTTGTAGCATGGTCGCGATGACCTTGTACACCTGCAGAATTGCAAGATTCTTCCCTAGACATGCTCGAGGGCCCGCCCCGAAGGCCAAGTTCGCCCTCTGCATGCCTTTGTACCTTCTTTCGAACGAGGCGTCTGACTCACCGACCTGCTGCAACCATCTCTCCGGTCGAAATTGATCCGGATCATCACCGAAGACCGCCTGGTCGCGATGCACGGCCCACGCATTCAGACCAACCACTGATCCGGCAGGTAGACTTTGACCCGACGGCAGTATCAGACCGCCAGGGCCCACCTTGCGCTCGAGCTCAATGCCAGTGGTTGGAAAGACGCGCATCACTTCCAAGATGACAGCGTTGAGGTAAGGCAACTTCGACACTTCAGCGTAGGGAGCGGGGCTGGACATTCCGGCGGCCTCTATCTCGGTACGAACCTTCTCATGGACGCCCGGGTGTTTCAATATGTGGTATATGATTGTTGTCAGCGTCGCGCTTGTCGTATCTGATGCTGCGAGCACGTTTGTGGTTGCGTAAGTCGTCAATTGCAAATCCGAAACATGTTCCGGGTGCGCTTCTCGAGCGGCAATGAAACGTGCGAGGTAGTCTGGTTGCTTCCCTGCATGTGAGTTCTTTCCCGATAGCCTAGATCGAACTTGGTCGCTCGCAAAGTCTACCAGTGTGTTCGGTGTCTTGACCAGCATGAGCAGCAATGGATTCTTGAGCAAGAGATTGTCCAGCCAAGGCATTGCCCCGATTGTCGCGATGTACAGGAATTGCAAATCCAGCATAGCCAGCATGCCATCGATATCGCCTCCAGCCTCCATAAAGCCCCATCGACGGCTGAACGTTGCCTGCAGAATGAAATCAAATGCAAAGTACGCCATCCAATCATCGATCTTACACGCCTTGTTGGACGCTACGTATGGTCTTAACCCCGTCAGAAGCTGGTTGATGTTGTCATCAATTATGTGCTCGAAGTCCAATGAGGTAGTCATTGAGTAGATACTCCCTATAGGCCGTTTGATGCGTGCGTGTGCTTCTGAGTCCATTGCAGAGATAAGCATAGGCAGGACTTCGCCATTGTATGGGTTCATCATCGGTTTGACAGAATCACTTTTGTCGAGATTGGTCTTGAGCCCGAGGACCGCATCGATGGCTGCCGGGTCTGATACACTGACGACATTAGGTCCGATGCGCACGACAGGACCGTACTTGCGATGCAGTCGTGTAATGGTGTTGTGATGCTGTCCGAAACAAGCATCCAGAAATCTCCACAAATCAGAAAATCTGGCGAGGACTGGTCCTGGGATTGATGCCAGGCCAGGCGTGAAGTAATTGAGCAGCAATCGCAGCGCCAGGCCAGCGACACCGACTGCAGCGGCGGCGGACAGGAAGGGAAAATAGTCCATCATAGGCGTCGAGAATGCTACAGCCGGTGAGTATCAACAAATCCAACTATCTGACTGACGAGCTGCGTCGTGCATCGTGCATCGTTCAAAGAAGGAGCATAGGAACCTGATATACCCGGACGCATAGCACAATGCCTGCCATTTTTCCCATGAATCACATTCGGAGGTTGACGACGTGACTGGTGCAGCAAGGCTGTCAGTGGTCCTTGCTGTGTCACAGCGGCATTTCCTTCTCGATGGGGCATGGAGCCAGTACGGCAGGTCGTTTCGTAGCGTGAAGAAAGTCCCGCTAAGTATCCATGGCGCATGAATGCGAGGATGCGGGCGGCATGTGCAGCACTTAACGCCGCCTTCAGTCCGTCTTGAAGGACAATGCCAATACTCCGGATCGCCAGATGCAACATCCTTGCCTTTTGATTCTTGGCAACACACATTCGTGTAGAAGTGACACTCATCAAGCAGAGGTTCGTGGAAGGAAAGCGGACAACAACGAATTTATAAACCTCCCGAAAGTTAGCCGCGCTTTCGCTTATCGCTATCCGCTTAGTCATTGCGTGGCTGGAGCATTGAACCTCTGTGGCGGGCCGTCGCAGTATCCCGCCGGCTATCTTCCTTTGACCATGAGCGTCGACACATCAACGGACTTTTTCGTGTTATCGAGCCAGCTGGAAACAACGTTTGCTTACAATCTCTCGGTGGCCCGGAACAACTCTAGCACTGAGAAACGTCCTTGACTTAGCAGCTGTGCGATCACAGGAGTGTCAGCTGGCTTTGTTTGCTCACTGTCCCACCAAGGGTTTGGACAGGAAAACAACACACGTCTGGTCTTTGCTCTTCTCCTTCCAAATACCATCGTACAAACATGTCCAGCCAACCGACTAATGGCGTCGGGAGCGATGCGGTCCTTTCAGAAATCCTATCGACTCTCAAGCGTATGCAAGTTGATCATGCCAGCCTAGCTGCCAACGTGGAATCGCTGTCTTCAAGGGTCGAGACGCAATCAACTCTTTCTGCTCTCCGCAGTCAGCCCAGAGGCAGCGTTAGAGACTCGCCATCGCTGGATCCCATGGAGCTTGGCAAAGCGGCCTCTTCACCGTCAACAGATTCGCCCTTCAGCTCGTCGAAACCACCACCATCACCTACAGCTCGACGTTCCAGCGTGACGTCGCGGATCATATTGACTACGTATCCTGGGCAGTCTGGCATAGATCCGATACCACTCGATTGGGGAAACTCTGATCCTGCCAAGCGTGGCCCCGTCATTGTATCTCGACTACAGCACACCATCCGGAGACGCAATGCCATCGGTGCGCATGGCGGCTCCTACTCCATATACAATGCGTTGGCCGTGGCTTCCAACAACTTGGATCTGGAGCACAAGCCGGACTTCACGAATACTGAGCCGGCAGCCAACATCGGGCCCTTTCCTGCCTGGGGTTCGAAGTCGAAAATCGTTGCAATGGATCCTTACGGGCATCTGGCTCCGTGGCTGTACAAGGATCTGATGCTCGGGCAGAACATCGACATTCGGCCTACCATTGCTGTCACCAAAGCTCATATGAAGATTCCTGAGCTCGAGCAGTCCGTGCAGGCAGGTCGATTGAAGCCCGACGGCAAGATCTGTATCAACGCTCAGGGAGAGTTGGCGGTGACCAAATTTGCTGTTGAGCCTGTATGGTATCTGCCGGGGGTGGCTGACAGATTTGGCATTGATGAGGCCTCCCTCAGAAGAGCCTTATTTGAATGTGAGTATGCTGCAGGAACGATCTGCTGAAGTAGGCTAACACCTTCACCAAATAGATACTGGAGGATCCTTCCCTGAGCTCATTACACGACCAGACATCAAGATCTTCCTCCCTCCAATTGGTGGTCTTACAGTATACTGCTTCGGAGATCCTGCGAAAATGTCTGATCCCAACGTCAAATTGGCACTGCGCGTTCATGATGAGTGCAATGGTTCTGACGTTTTCGGATCTGATATTTGCACATGTCGACCGTATCTCATCTTTGGAATCGAGGAGGCTGTGAAGGAAGCACAGAACGGCGGATCTGGCGTCGTGATATACTTCCGCAAGGAAGGGAGAGCACTTGGTGAGGTGACCAAGTATCTCGTATACAATGCCCGCAAGCGAGGTCTGGACAAGGCATCAGAATACTTCCAGCGGACCGAGAACATTGCGGGAGTTAAAGACATGCGGTTCCAGGCGCTCATGCCTGATATCTTGCATTGGCTGGGCATAACGAAGATTGACAGAATGCTTTCGATGTCGAACATGAAGCATGATGCTATTGTGCAACAGGGAATACCTATACATGAGCGGGTGCTATCCCAGATGAGATGATCCCTGAGGACAGCCGAGTTGAGATTGATGCGAAGATTCATGCTGGATATTTCACGACTGGAAAGGTTATGAGTATGGAAGAATTGGGAGCCGTTCAGGGAAGAGCTTGTAAGTCTACTCCTACCTTACCGGATCGATCTTTGCTAACAGTCAATCGCAGGGGATGACATCGAGCATTAGTTGTGCCATCTTAGGCACAGTACTCACCTGGACGTTTGGGACATTGGAAGCATTCCAAGGTATTTCAAAAGGATAGAGAAATTCGTGCGAGTACCAAGTTCGCGATCTTCCAAATAGATCGTCCAGTGGTTTACGATCCACCGTGACTGCTCCTGTTCAATAGAATTGCTTTCAATTTTAGACAATAGCATCTCGACTGGCATGTGTTTGCTAGGAGGCGTGACTTCCCATGGACGTGACTGCACAATGACGCAACAGCTAGCGCCTCTTCCCCTGTATCGATAAGGGCTGGGCGTTCCCCAAAGGACTTCCCCAGAATTCAATATGAGTTGAATGTTGATTCCCAAGTACTTTCACAAAATTTACGACATTCTACGGAAGGTTCCAGAATCTACCAGCTTGTTACTGAAAATGGTGTGTGCTCAACGCAGATTCATGTACAACCTCTAACCACTTGTCACAGGGCAAACGCAAAGCGAAAACAAAGCCCGCCGCACCCAAGAAGCGCGAAGGCCTAGCCACGACATTCACCTGCCTCTTCTGCAACCACGAGAACGCCATCATCGTTAAGATCGACAAGAAGGGCGGCGTCGGCAACCTGTACTGCAAGATCTGCGGCCAGAAGTTTCAGACCTCAACAAACTACCTCTCCGTGCCCGCAGACGTATACTCCGACTGGGTCGATGCGTGCGAAGACGTCGCGCAACAGGCGGCGGACCTAGAGCGCGAGGAGCAGGTGAAGGATCGGGAGTTCAGTAATTATGCGAGTCGGGGCGGGAGGACGATCGGTGGGGATGATGAGGATGAGGAGGGGGACGATGACTATACTTGAGCATGCGGCTTCGGGAGAAGGTGTTACTGAGCATGAGGAATTGGCGTCAATCGACAATGGAGTGATGTTATGCTCCTGGGCGTTTCTGAGGCGGGTTGCACTATATTCCTACTGGCGTCAGGGCGGACCGATGAAGGCCCAATATACTTACGAGACCTCGCATGAGGTTCCGCTTCATACGACTACTGCAATACCCTGAGAGCCAAAGTGGTGGCTGAGCCTTCTTTCCAAGGCACGGCATAAGAGACCCTTTGGAACACAATCTGAGCCGTCCAGCTCTGATCGCAAGCTGTACCTGCAAGAGCCGTCGTGGCTTCAGTCAGCCGGTCTGGCGAAACGCCTCCGCTGCGCCTGGTCGGAAGGCACCTTACATTGTGATCCTCGTCCTTGAACGAGGCACCTGCGTGCAGACATCTACCGCATCATATCAGGTACTTCTGCGGAAGACCCAAAAATGTCGAACCGTGTGTACTTCAAGCGTTCCGTTCTGCGACGAGACCATGCTAGTCGTCACTATGAATTGTGAGCCCGATTCCAGATTGCGCCTGAACACCGCAGTTTTCGTCGATAGCCTTTTGGCCCCAGCGGAGAAAGGTCGACTTAATGTATATATCCTCCCCTCGACCATGCAGATGAAATGGACGAAGCAGCAGGCATCTCTCAACGACTGTTTCGTGCTATCTGAGTCTGCACCGTCCGCTTTGTGTCTGGACTTCCCTTTGAACACAACGCCCTCCACAAGATGATAACATCCCAAAATGCTCTCGTCTAACACGGACGAGAAGAATTCAGAAGACCATCTCTCGGCCGGAAGTGGTGCCTGGAAAGTGGATCTTCTTCGCCTATCGCGGAGTCTGCACAGGTGTTTAGCCAAAATCTTGGTATGGTAGTCTAGCTTGATACAGCTTCTTAGACGGGACTCGGATCTGAAGACTTGGACTTGGACTTGAGTGATAGCTACCATAACCTTCACTTATTGTCAAGTAAACCTTGATCCTGTCGATAGGGATGCCACATCATGACTTGCGCTCGACCTCTATTGATCATGGGGCCAAAACGAGCTGCCAAAACCAAAGAGCTTCTTTAACATCTGAGTCGAGCTTCCTTGAGTCCTTTGCTAGTGCATAAGAGACAGGCAGCGTTTGCAATTACTTGTAGCAACGCTGCAGCCAATCTCAATCATGTCACAACAATCTCTGAACATTCTCATATCAGGCGGCGGCATCGCAGGTGCCTCGCTGGCATACATGCTTGCCCGTCATCCTGCTTCAAGCTGAAGCCGAACGTCACACTCGTAGAGAGGGCTCCGTCACCACGGATCACTGGCCAGGCGGTAGACATCCGAGGTCCAGGTAACAGAAGGCGGCCCCTGCGAGAGCAGAGAATAACATCATGCAGGTGTTGACGTGATCAACAAAATCGGTCTGGAGCGAGATGTCAAGGCTCGACACACCACGGAGACCGGCATTGCCATGTTGAATCCACAGGGCGTGGCTGCAGCGGTCTTTCCATCAAGTGGTGATGCCAAGGACCAGAGCGCGACGAGCGAGTATGAGATCTTGCGAGGTGATCTGGCAGGTCTACTGCTTGATGTAGTCGACGCATCAAAACAGGAAGGTGCGAACGTCAACATGGTCTACGGCGAGTCTATCGACACTATGGAAGAGCGGGCGGACGGATCCGGGGTAGACGTCAACTTCACCATTGGGAAACTCAACAGCCAAAAGTTCGACGTCGTCATCGGCGCAGATGGTATTGCAAGCAAAGTACGGAGCATCATATTTGGCAAGGTCGACTCGAAGGAGCATATCAAGCCATCTGGACTCTACATCGCTTTCTTTACGATCCCACGCGTTCCAGGGGACGACTCACTCTGGAAATGGTGTCAGATCCCACCGGTTCGTTAGCCCACTCTGCCTACTGTATCGTCTAGCAGAGACTTACGAAAGACAGGGCTTGGCCATGCACATAAGGCCGCATTGCAACGGTAAGACCATGGGTGTCTACCTCACCATCTGCAACCCAAAGGCAGACTACCTTCCTGAGCTAGAAGACATCATCCACGCAGATGTGGCTACACAGAAGAAGTATCTTCGCCAGAGATTCCAGAACATTGGGTGGCAAAGCCAACGCTTTCTCGATGGGATGGATGCAACGGATGACTTCTACATGTCGCAATGGCAAGTCCGAAACCCGTTCCGGTGTCTGCATGCATCAGTACTAACGCCTACAGGTGCCGCGTGGTGACACCCAAATACACCAAGGGACGCTGCGTGATTCTCGGAGATGCCGCCTTTGCGACCATGGGCATCGGCACGAGCCTGGCAATGACCGGAGCATACTGTATTGCCGGTGAGCTGTCGAAAATTGATTCTGCCAGCCAAGTCGCGGAGGCTTTGCAGAAGTACGAGAATTTGTTGCGCCCATATATTGAGAAAACCCAGAACGCTCCAGGCAGCAGTGTTGGTATGCAGATTGCAAATCCCCAGACAGCATTGGGGCTCTGGATGTTCCAGACCGTGCTGTGGGTGGTTGCGTTCTTGAAGATACCAAAACTTTTGAGTTTCTTTGGCGGCGGTAGTAGAGAGACATGGACGCTTCCAGAGTATGGCTGGTAGGTGGTCATTCGGCGGCTGGCGATTTGCTCTGTGTAGCATGCTTGGAGGACTCTCGACTCATTCGTTGGCAATGACAACGTAAGTACTTGCTATTAAGTAACTTGGAAAGTATGGCGGCTCCTTACCACAGCGACAAGGACCTCGTTCCCCGAAACGCCGGCTCCCATACCAGATAGAAATCTGCAAGTCAGCGTCTATGCTAGCGCCTTATATCCGCTTTCCATTACCATTCATTACGTCCAAAGTGACTGGCCTACTCTGCTCCATATCCAGCCAGCTTGTGCCCGTGGCACATCTCTCAATATCGACATCGACAGACTTGAGTATGCCAACGCTTCCATCCGCGTCCAGATTGTGTTGAGCTGCCGTCCTGTTCGACGAGATCTCCGAGTAATTCCCGACCTGCTGTGGCACAAAGTATCTCGCACTGTTCCTCACCCAGTGCCGCTCAACTTTGCCAAGGCCTCCCCTGCCGTCGCTCCTTACAACGTATACCTGTCGATCTTTGGCGCTGCTGCTCACACCCGATCTGTTGTTACTCCGATACGTTTGGAGCCCTGACCACCACCTCTTGAAGAACGGTTTAAGCGCAGGTGCTGAAGCGCAGTATACGCCAAACCACATCTCGAACTCGCCCCATACCCAGATCTTCCACAGCGTCCAGGTGAAGTCCCAGTCGACGTTGACGACACGGTACATGTAGTAGCTCCGCACTGAGCCAAACATGACTACAAGCAGACCGAGACTGAAGAGACCGTTGAGCGCATACTTCTGTCGCCGTGGAAGAGATAGCTTGCTGATCAGTACCAAGGGTAAGACGACGCTGTACAGATCGCCAATGACACTGAAGTATGCCGACAACGGCTCGGCGAGCTGTTCGCTGCCCTGCTCAAAGTCGCCCTTGAGATAGTATACTGGATCGAAGCTGAGCCAGTACGCCGGCAGTGGCCTGTACAGGAGACACAGGAGGAGGATGAAGCCAATGCAATATATGATATTGTAAGCGATGCCGACCCAGACGGCGATCAGGAATGGTTTCGTAAAGGAGACGCTGAGGCGTTTATAGAACAGCAGAATGCTGATCTTGATGAACGAGAGTGCAAGCGTGTAGCACACCTGGGCGACCCATATGTTGATTCTGTGTGGAACAGCGCTTTCGATGGGAATGTCCCAGACATGGTAACCGTTATAGTATATCTGGTTGCCAAGCATGACAAGGACGGACAGGGCGACTCCGAAGATCAGGGCGAGGACAATGAGGAGGTCGTCCAGGCCTGGAGCCCTGGTGATGAAGAAACGTGCATAGAGCCTCGCGCTGACAACGAGTATTGCGATTCCGGACAGCAGCGAAGCACAGATCATTAATCCGGGGCCATGTGTCTCTGGATTGACATAGTTGGGCTTAGGCCAGGAAGCCCGGATTTCTGCTGGTGCTGTAACGTTGTTAGCCACGTGGTTCACACGGGTAGGGTCGTAGGGGCCAAAACTCACGTCTGAGTACGTCTGGCATGAATTCTGGTTCTGTGGTCCCAGCTCTCTCGGAAACAGCAGTCTGCTGGCGCAGTCAGTGCGGATGAACGCAGTAAGATGCTGAAGTTGATGCAAGCAAGATCATCGCAGGCACAAGATCCTTATTTACTTGACGGGCATAAAGACACGAGCACGAGGGCGCTGCAGGTGGTCCGGCGCCGGCATTTCACCTTCAAGAAGAAAAGCCAGACATAACCCTACCTGACCACGTGAAACCAGGAGCTTGAGCCAAGCGAATGGTGCATAGTGGTGCCATTGAGGCAGATCCTTCGAGATGGATTCGTCTCTGAGGATGATCGTCCAGAATTGTCCGATATTACGCAGTCTTCTTTGGGCAGAATTCGACAACATGCAGCGGCTTCAGCGGTCCGCGCCACCGATGATAAGACCTGCAGGGCTGTCAAGGTAATAGCTCGGACTCGGAGTGGGGAAGCCATGACTCGACCATTGTTTCTGTCGTTGCTTGACTTGCAGCAGCGCTGATCGAGATGCCCAAGGCGACTGCTTGTTCCACATCTTTACAGAGCACCGGTGAAAGTCATCGGGAGCTGGGCTTACATCTGCCAGACTACGAAGTACGATGAGTCGAAGCGAGAAGCGACTAAGCTTGGAGCTTCGCGTATCGACATGCCAAGCGTAAAATCTGGTAGCAAACTTTAATTCGACTTTGGTCTACCTCGACCTACTTACCTCTAGCGTGTTACCACACATCGGAAAAGGGTGGTCCAAGCTCACTCATGCCCTGTCAAAACTGCTAGCAACAGCCATGAAACTGCATGAGTACTGACCATAGGTGGTACCATCACGCTAGCACCTTCCGCGAAATCCTACTGGCATTGCTGCCGCTGCCTCCATGAATTGAGAGTGAGGGGTAGGAGGGGAGGCTGGGGAACATGATCTGGGTCGCGAGATTCAGGACCAGAGACACTGATCTACACTCGAACCCTGGTAGATCGCATCACCCACTCGAGTTGGGTGGCTGACCATGAAACTTGCTATACCAAATACCTCTACGCATGATGATTTTGGCAAGCATAGATCACGACAGAGGGGTGCCCTAGACTTATGACAAGGTTCCTCCAAGGGATCAACGACATCTCGACATAACGGATATACCGAAGATCGACGTCACTCGGTGAGTTGGGCCAACGCGCTGAGACAGGCCTGATACCAGCGCTCAAGACGCCTTGCAAGTCTGAGCGGGCAAGCAGCGGTGACATCGCTTGGTCTCGTAAGGGCCGTGGTAGAGCAGACATTCCGGTCAAGAAGATGGCCTGGACCGTGGGTCATATCGCCCTGTACACTTCCAGAGCTTCTGCCTTCACAAGTGGCGTATCTCCCACGCGGTTATAAGAGGATGCAACATGAGGCTTCGCGTCTGATCTAGAAATGACTCTTCTCATAATCGATCGGCTGATTAGGCTGCATACTCCACATCAGGTACTGCCATGTTGCTACATAATGGGCAGCTTTCGGTAACGTGGACCCATGTCTCTCGTTGTACATTATATTTCAGGACGATGATGTTGAAGATGTTGCCGACGCTGAATCACGAATTGCGTAGTCTCCGCACGAGTCTTGGTGATGCAAACATAGTGTTCTCGCCTCGTCCCCTCTCTCTTCTTGAACATACGTTGGAAAAGCATATACATCAATTGATGGTGGTGATCCACTGTCCTCTGGCCAGTACTAGGTGCTCGTTCAGGCCAGGTCTTCGAAGCCCTACTTGCTGCGATGATTGTAATAGTCGGGACCCGTGCTTGACTTCATGTTATTCTCCTTGTATTTTGCAAGGATATCCCCCGCCAGGTGTATGACGCCTCCAGCATTGTCCAGACGCGAGTCGCCAGGAATGCGACTTTCGGTATCTGCGTAAATATGGACCGAATGGTTTTTGGCGGATGGGTCAACTTGTTGACGAGCCGTTTGGATCTCTCGGGAGTCGCGGTTGCTACTGAGACGAGTGCTGGTCAGCTTGCGTCGCGATAGACGGCAGTTCAGGAGCAGTGATGGAAACGCATGCTTCCAGGCTTTTCGTGCTACTGGGGAGTGCGCTGCGCTGGACGCTTCAACACAAAGACTGCGTTTCTGTCCTCATACTGGTCTCATCAAGTACTTACAACCATTCCAGAGCTTTGAGACGCTCGTTTCGAAACGTTGGGTTCTGCAATAGCCGCAGTCCGATACGTGCGTCTTTATCTCGGACATATTTGAAAGCAGCCTGCATCTGCTTTCGATCTTGCAGTGTCGCTGGTCTGAGATTGAACCAATCGTCACTCATCACCCCAAAGGACTCTCGAAGTTCAGCATCGGTCTGACTAAGGCGAGGTTCAGTGCTCTCAGGTCTGTCAGAGATGACTTCAGTGGCCTGAGTATGCTTGAGCAGACCGGAAGGAGCTTGCAGACTCGGTTCAGTGACACAGGGCAAGCTCTTAACCTCATCCTCCGTCATGGACGGACCTGGACCACTCTCATGAATGGATGTTGCCGAAGCTGGGACGTTCACGGAAGCGACCTTGCGCTCAGGGTTATTGAGCACCGTCTTGCCTTTCTTGCTCAGAACCTGTTGTACTGCTTCGAACTTTTGCATCTTGGAATATCGTTCATACTGGCTGCGGCTCGAAGCGTTAACGATCATAGCATTATTGTCAACGGTGGATCTGTTCCATGGGGCAGTTGCGATCGGGCCATCGGAAGTCATGTCCGCATCGGTGTAACGGCGAAGTGGGTTCGGAAGAAGTCCTTGCTGGTACGAAGCGTCCGCAGATTCTTCTGATTCGTATCTCTGTCTCAAGGGCGGCCGTACAGTAGGCGGTACGTCTGGCACACCTTCGAGTATGATCTGTCTCTTCAGTGGCGAGATATCGGTCTCGTCGGAGGACGGCTCGCGAACTCGAATCGGATTCATCAGCGGTCCTTCGGAGTCGCCTTCGTCGGACCAACCAGATTCGCGCTCTTTTCTTGTCTGCTCGTCCGATGGAAGTCGCGAACGAATGTGCAACTTGGTCTCGTACTTACCAGGTGACATATCATCAGGGCCGAAGGTGAAGCGCTCGATGAGTGTAGTCGGTGTGACAGGTCGTGGCGACCGGGTATTGAGCTCTGGCATACACGACACAGGCCTGTTCTGCTGGTTGCGTACGAATGGTGAAGGTGCGTGAATTTGACCTAAAGTCTGTTGTCGGTGATACTGCTGATCATAGTGCTCGAAAGGATAGGTCGGGGCAGGAGGCATAGGCATATGAGTCCAGTGCAGTCCGTGCTGTGGAAAGGAACCATCTGCTTGGAAAGCAAAGTTGCTGTGCTGGAAGTGCGGCGGAGGACCTCCAGGGACGAGCACATTACGCGGCATTGAAGGTACGTTGCTCACAGTCGGCAGCATGACGCGTGGTTTAGTGACCGACGACGATTCCGAAACTGATCCGCTGCCGTCCTCAGGGGTTGAGCGTCGTCGACTGGGCGTTTCGAAGGCCTTTTGCTGTTGCTCAGGATCTGCTTCAGGCGTAGATTCGAGGACCAGTGGAACATAGGTCTTCAACCTTTGTTGCGGCTAGGTTGGGCAGATCGTGTGTAGGCACTTAGTGAGATCGGAGCAGTCGGTGGAGGCAGTTTCTGCTCTTCGGCTTCACGGCTTGCTTGTCTGGCTGATGCTTTCTTTGCAGCATGATATTCGGCGGCTCGTGTCTGCGCCCCGAGCATGATGGCTACACCGCAACGATGTAAATTGCTGGATCACTGTGAGTCACGAGCTCAAGAGGGCGGCATGAGACTTACATGATCTGAACGCGGCTCAGGAATACTTGACTCTAGTTGGGTGCCGTCGACGTGACTAGAGAAAACTATGGATTGTGGTAGTGAACATCAATAAGATCATCTGCTGTGCTGTAGTACGGGACAACACATTCGGAAAGGTGAAAGAAAGTCGAAGACCAAGCCCGCCACAAAACGTAAGGTCCATGTAGCAGTTGATGAGGATTGGCAAGAGCATTCGAGAGCAAACTCGATGCAGCAGGATAAGCAGGCAAGGCACGTAGGCAGGCGCGGCTTCTCATGGCTTCGCCCAGTCTCGCACGAACTCATCATCCTGCTCCTCCTTCGCTGCGATTCCATCTCTCCTCGTCCGACACACCCTCTGAACTCTTCTGTACATCCGGCTTCCCATAGGCATACTGTGGCAGCTTACAGGCGTCGATACCCACCCAACCCCATGACGGCTGTGCAGACACACGTTCCGTTCGGCGAGACCTACTGTCACCTCGTCGAGCTCCTTTCCTTATGGCGGATCCCATTGACCACTGGCCTGAACGATTCATAGCGCGACACATTCCGAAAGCGCAAGAGGGATTCTTGCCGGATCTATTGAAGTCACTCTGCCTTCACCGAGCTACTCAGGTGGTGCATGCAAGCTCCGCAGAGTTTACGCGTGAAGGTGCAGACTCACATTGCCAGTGACGACAAGAAAATCACCGCCAAGTCCAGGCGGAGATAGCCGACACTGCAGTGCGCCCGGGGCTCGTGAGCCTAAATGAATGATCCGCCGGCAATCAGGCAGACTTGCTCTCGGTTATACGACCTCGAGGCATTAGTCGTCATCCATGGACCAGAGAGTGGAATCGTCTAGGTTGACGACGAATCTAACGCACGCAAAAACAGAACGGACCGAAAGTCCTTCAGTGCTTGACACATCCAAAGTATACTCAATGAAACTAGGCACTTTTACAGAGAGGCGTTCCACTCAGTGCCAGTACCCTGGACAGTGAAGCATTTCAAAAGGTTGAGATTCTGTACGATGAAAATCGGACCTGAGGCAGGTCCAGAGGTACCTCTACCTATCGAGGTCATACAAGTCATTGTCGACATCGTCGCCAGGATCATCGAAGATCGCCAACAGCGCCAAACGACCTTATGGGCTCTGTGTCTCGTCAACAGATCATGGTATGCTGTGGGAGTCAATCATCTTTATAGTAGCCCAGTGCTAGGCAGCAAGAACTTCGATGCTTTCAGACGAACAATATGTCCACCTGTCAGCTCGCGCGCCCGTGCAACTGGTTTGGAAGACCTCGTGGAACAGCTCGACTTGAAGGACATGGCATACCTTTCCTCCAAGTCCATCACAGCGAAGCTATTGCGGCGAACGAAGAAGTCACTGCAGACTTTTGTAGCACCGTCACACTCGATGTCCATCTCGAGCTTGGCTCCTATCTCGAAGCTTTCCGCGATTCAGTCTCTTGACTTCTCTCGAGATAAGTACGACTTCTCGCTCAAGCAGCTACTTAAAGCGATACAGCCTCTGGATCGACTGATCTATCTCTCTCTGCCTCGAGGTGCCATAGATGACTATGATCCAGAAGAGACAGCCTCACCGTGGCCTCATTCCCTGCGAACTCTTCAGGTCAACTCCAGTGTTCCGCCTCTCGAGATTCAGCGTCAGAGGTTCTTTTCTAGCTTTCACAGAAATCTGTCCACGCTAAACTTCCGGTACGTCCAGAACTGGAGACAGGCAACCCTGTTGTTCATCGGCGACCTGCACCATCTCGCACCATACGTTCAGAACTTTGCTATGTCGGACATCGGCGGGGAGACCTTGTTTCGTGAAGAATTCAACCTGGCCGACGTTGTCGACGTGTTTTCTGGACTGCAAAGGCTAGAGCTCCCGATCACTGCTCTACACTTTGAAGGCTTGTTGAACCGCAGCGATGTGTGGAGACAGTCGAAACTTGGAGAGCTCATTACACACGAAGTTCCGTACGAACGAAAATTGGGAAATTTACAGGCCCTAACGCTGCTAACGGAGTTGGTGGAACTTGAGTCGCTGTATAAAGTACAGCTACCCAGGGGGCACGGTCTTACCATGATGGGAAACTACACTTACGGTATGGCACATCAGAGCCTACGGGATGGTCGTCGCGAAGATATAGATCCTCAGCTCAAAGGCATTTTCGTTGTGAACGATACTGGCAGGGCCGAACGCTGGGATAGTGAACTAGATCGCGGGCTATTTCAAGTTTAAGCCGATGTGTACCTCTCGCTTACACACGCTCATTCTCGTGAGCATGAGCATTACGCTTTTCTTCACCATGCTGTGGAGCCGAGTCCATGCGAATGCCCTCCATGTCCTTGCCTCCAGTGGTACCCACCTCAGCCGCGTCACCGTCGAAGATCTTTGCAATTTCCTCGAGAGTCGGACCACTACGAAGAATGTCAGTACACGCAATAGTGATGGTCGAGCTGAAGCAACATACCGAGTCTCGGGGTAGCCAAAATACACCCAGATCAGCTCCAAGAAGATCCACACGGTGTAGATGCAATACAGCTTCCAACCGTCATTCTTCCACGGCGAGCCCTCCCCAATGGCCAAGGGATTGACATATTGGTTCACCACAAGCGCCACCTGAACGGCGACGTTCATGATCGTAAGACCCTTAGCACGGAGCTTGAAGGGCAGCACTTCGACAGTGTAGGCGACCAGAAGGCCAGACCACGCAAACATGTAAGCCACACCGTGCAGCCAGATCCAGACGACCGCGAGAATACCGGTGCCATTGGATGGGTTGCGGGAGTATTGGCTTCCGGTGATGGTGAGAGCAAGGAAGAATAGGAACATGCCGGCGGTGGCTGCGATGAAGAGGGGACGACGGCCGACTCTGTCGACCAGCAGAGCGCAGGTGATCGAGACGAGGAGCGACATTACCTTGTTGCCGGCGTCGAGGCCGAGTTTGGAGGTAGTGGAGGTGATCCCGACCGAGTCGTAGATGATGTTGGAGTAATATGAGAGGATCCCATTGCCCGACCACTGTGAGAAGAGACCGAGGGAGACAATGATCGCGAGGCGATAACGGTTGCCTTTGGTCTTGAGGAAGTCGACATATCGAGAGGACTTGCGATAGAGGAACTCAAGACGGATGGTCTCCTTGATCTCCGCGTACTCGAACTGCACGGTTGGGTCGTGGACATTGCCATCGGCATGGTACTTGCCGAGCATGTTGAGGGCTTCGTCGGCGCGGTCTTTTGAGATCAGCACCGTGGAGACTCTGGAATGAACCAGATGAAGCTGAGCTGAATGACTGAGGGGAAAGCCTGGACGAGCGTGGGCACCCTCCACGACCAGTCGCCGTCGATATATTGTGTGCCAAACGAGAGCCAGGCGCAGATCAGAGCGCCCAGATTCCACAGACAGTTGTAGATTGCCGTGACACGAGCGCGGTGCTGAGGGTGGCAGATCTCTGCAAGGAGCAACGGCGATGAGAGCTGAGCCAGAGAATTCCCGAAACCCATAAAAAAGCGTCCGCCCTCGAATTGGGGCTGGGCTGTGGCGGAGGTCTGGACGGCAGCAGCAATCACCATGATGACGCAGCCAATGATGATGGACATCTTGCGGCCGAATCTGTCGGAAACGAAGGGTGCAATTGGAAGGGAGGCGATGGAACCGATTGAGTACATCGCGGACAGACGACCGAGCGAGCTGCCGTGGGGATCGTCGAATTGGTCTCGCCATGCTGGGAGGATTTGCATGGTGTTGAACTTGAGCTCTGTTAGACGTGTATCATGGTGTGTGTGCGGGGGACTTTGCCATAGAACCATCGTAGCCAGTCGTCGCAGAGGCAACGCAAATGACAGCAGCGTAGAAGTACAGCTTCCTCAGGCCGGGCGACTTCTTCCAATCGACATAGGGGATCTCTGGTGCTTCTGCCGTAGCCAGCGCCGTGTTGCTGGCTGCGGGCCGCTTAGCCATGAGACCGCTCATGTTGCCGACCTGATGTGTGGGCGTGCGAGGGAGGAACCGCTACTGAAGCAACGTCGGGGAAGGCTTCTACCCAGGCCGATCTTGAGTGGCCGAACGACTCGAGCTGAGGAAATCAAAATCGTGTCCGGCGAGAAGGACTTACCACGATATCTATATGCTCCTGAACACAGATCCTGGGTGAATCGTCTCCAGCGGAACAGGGCCAAGACCTCCGTGTATATGAGCCTAAACGGGGGGGCGATCTGAGATTTAGTCGGTTAAATGACAGGGCTGACGGCACGATTGTCTGGGCATACCAATTCAGACGAGCACATATTGTGCTCGCCGCAGTTGGCGATCAACTCTGAGACTCAAAACACGCTGAGACTTCCCGAACCTACCTCAATGACTGGGTCAACTGCGGCACAGCGTTAATTTGCGTTCCGCTCACTGTGTACGATACCAGAAGGATTGAAGAAATTTGCACCTGTAGCATGATTAGGACGAGATCGATTGAAATTTGTCAAGACAAAGGCCAAGGATTCACGTTGCAGCTTGAGTGAACTGGGTCCAGGATGATACTTGGCTTGGCGTCGCGGAGGCGGACGATGAATCTTCTATGCTCAGATAGCGATGTCCGGCTCCTTTGGAGGCAGGCATCGAACGAGCGGTTTGTGCCCATTGTGAGTCTCATACCTTCGGCCTGCGCCGCGTACACAACTCATAATAACCAGGCTCCGATGCAGACTGAAGGAGTGACAGTCAGAGCAATCAGCTCCGCAGCGGGACAAGGAGGTTGCCGGGCTGTTAGTAAGTCCTCGACTGATTTGCCATCCGGAGAGAAGCACCACGCTGTAGGGGCAACGGCATAACCAAAGTGATTACAGCCGAGGACCAGAGGTCGGTTTCAAGCGCCATGGCGGAGCGCCGAGCGCAGCCAAGCGCGAGCCACCACAAGACAGATCCGCGACCTGGAGGCCCACCACCGGCATGCCAAGGTTGGAATGCATCGACGACATGAGATGTAGCATTCTGGAACTTCATTCCGCTTCATGCTGCATGATAGTCAAGTCTCAGTCAGTGCTCCTATCGGATGTGTTAATCCATGATCGACTCGGGGGTGCTGTGATCGAAGTAGTTTTCGGAAGACGGCGCAGCGCGTCGAGCTCGGTTCAGTAGCGCATGCGACACAACGCGGTTCGTCATATGCTCCGTACATCCGATATTAGCTTGTGACCAGAAGAGCTGGTCGATTTGCGAGTAGAAGCTCTTCCGAGAGCCGGGACTTGGGAAGTGACAGGAATGCTTAATCGTTGAGAAGGTTGGGCATATGTGCCTAAATTCAGATGCTACAAGTGCTTCTGGCAGTTGTCGGAATTAGAGCTTGTCACGTGAGAATAGGGTCGCCTTGTCAACCGGTGCCAGATGAGTGCCTGAAGCAGAACGCGCCAGAGACGTCTCCACAACTTCAATTGCTTGATCTTTTTCTGGGGATGTAAACAACCACTACTAGGTACCTATTGCAATAGTACATAATCTGATTTGAGGCTGCAACTCGATTGATACGAAACTCAGCGTCCAGCGGCAAGCACGATACCCTAATTCAGGCCATCATTCATCCGATTTCCGGCGATCTCACATGGCATAGCGAGGAGTGTGCTGCAACAGCGATGGAGATTCACTCGGTACTGCCTGAGGAGCGAGCAAGAGATGCAAAGGGAGACCCATTGCCATGGGGCTATCGGTACCCAGAATCGTCCCGCGGCGTGAAGCAAGTCGAAGAAACTGGCGCCTTTGGCAGACATAGGAGTTTGCGCGCATCGGGTTCCAGATCATCTGGGTCACGAGCCGGAACCACACCCGTGCGCCAGAAGGAGAATGCAGCCGTGGTCGACTTTGGCAAGATCTTTGCTAGGGAACAAGCGTCGCAGCCAGACGCAGCAAGCGGCGTGTCATCAGATACTGCGCGACCGATAGAGCCAGATGCGATACCTACAGAGTGTCTGCTGTACGGCTACGCGAGCAAAGAATCCGAGTGGAAGGTCATCTCAAAGTTCGAGAAGATCGTGGCGCCGTCTATAATATGCGAAGACTATCCTCGAGAAGATCCGAATTTATTCCTCAATTCCAACTCGCCGATGGGCTATTCGCGATCGTCAATAGTGGTGCACAAGAATTTGTCCAGGGAAGCACTGAAGAAGTCAAGAGTGTACAAAGGCGGCAAGCACTGGATCAAGTTGACATTCGACTCATACCCAGCTGCAGAGCGAGCATGCTTCTATAGCCCGCTCGAGATCGACGGCTTCATGGTGCATTGCGAGATATGGCAAGGTCGGGGCCCAACAGCAGACGTCCCTATACCGCGAGGTTCAGAGACAGGCAATTTGCTGTCGCGAAGTCCAACAAAGAATCGCACAATGCCCACATCACAGTCAACGCAGTTCTTGTCCGGCAAAGCGTCAGCCATGTCAGGTTTCGAGAGGGCTATGCAGACACTACCACGATCTCATACTATGCCAGATGTCCAATATGGACAACCTGAAGTACAGGACGACATCTCGCTGAATTCAACAACCGCATCGTCCGCTACTACTACCGGTCAAGACGCCTTACTGCCGCCTCAGACACCGAATGTGCGCTCGCGATCGATACCAAACCTCCCGTCCCAAGCAACTCCTGCCGGACAGATGATCTCGCCATCGAAATCCACATACATGACAGCCATCCCTTCAGCAAAGCGCATGAAAGTCCGCGACATATCCGAGGCTTTGCCTTCTCAACCCTCCTTCTCAGAACGTTTGCTCGGAAGTCTGCCTGTCATCAGTTGGTTCATATCGAGCAAGGGAGGCGCTGGCGGTGTGATCAGTGAAGGTCCGGAGCTTAAGGAGGATGGAACTTGGGACTACGAGAAGAACGGGTGGTACTGGAGCTTCTGGATGGGTGTGGATAGTTGGCTCGGCACAGATTTCTGTGGTGTAAAGGAGGAGTAGCGATCTATGTGAATAGACTGTGAAGTGAAACGCGGAATAAGTGCGGACTTGACCTGTACGTTCCGTTCCCGTGGACGAAAGCCACGCAAAGCATGAGAGGGTATCGTGTGTATCACGACGATTCGCAGTCAACTCAAGGGTACTTGGAATGGTAGCCTTGATTCCAAGATGACGGCTTGAACAAATCGAAGACTCGAACCAGAAGTGCTCGGATTGTGGCGCTTTTTTGCATTGAACAATAGATGTAGATAGAAGTGTTAACCTCAGTATGCACCCATGATCACGACCGATTCAGCAAGCGGCTGTATAGCTGCCAGTCAGTCAGCCATGCTTCACCCGTCCTTTCTTCCATGTGAGGAGGAACGCAGCGGGGTAGACCTCGCGTTTGCTCGCGCTCCCGTTGTCGCACGGTCTTCGCAGCCAGACTCGGAGCGCAGGATCCATGCGACGATCGACTTTCCTGTTCGGTGGCTGGCATTTTCGGGCTGGTCCGCATTTATTCGACCTTACCCTCAAAGTTCTCGCCTTCGACAAGGTCTGGGATCTCGTCATCATCATCGTCACCGCCCTCCTTCTTTTCACCGCCAGCACCGCCCTCCTTCTTCTGCATGCTTTGGTAGCTCTCAGCGAGACGTCGCAGGGAAGCGAGGGAGTCGGGTCCTAATTGGTTGAGGATGCCGGGCACGAGTTCGGTGAGCTCCTTATCCTCACCGTTGCCGTAAATCGCGAAGGTGTTGGAGGGAACTGAGGCGTGGACTGTTCTGCCTGTTAGCATACATTTCCCACATGCGCTGCGCGCGAGGGAGCCAAGTCCAGCACTTGTGCGTCGCACTAGCCATGGGGAGGTCTTTGGACGTACCCTTGGGCGCAGCGAAATGTATGACATTGCCGTCCTCCTTGAACATATTGACCTCCTCGATGGCCTGAATGGGCTGCACATTCAGCTTCTTGAGTGATGTCTGTAGTTTCTTGTCATCGGTGCCGGATGACTTATGCACCTTCTTCGTTTTTCTCCGAGGCGTGCCCTTGCCACTACATCTGTCAGCAGTCGTTCCTTCCCCCCAAGCTCGAGCTCCTGGCCAATGGGCGTTGCGACACCATCATTCGGGACGTCGTGCTGGAATTTTGCTTACCCTGAACGAAAATGTTAGCTGTGCCTCTAGGACATGTTCATGGACAGACACTGCTGTGGACTTACCAATTCTGTTGTTCGCGGCCGCAGCCTGCAGCTTCTTGAGCTTCTCCTGATCCATGGTTGGGTGCTGGAAGGAGGGAAGAAGTCAAGGCGTGTTGTCGTATGAGGTCTGCCCGCACGCACACTGCAGCTGGAGTGCGGTTCAATGAGAAGTCTTGGCACTTCCCCACCTTTTCAGAGGAATGATCTGTGTTGACTGTGGTTCGGGAAATTATGTATCTGGAAGCAAGTGCTCTTTGTGATTGTGATTCACGGACAGACTCTGGCCATATGTGAGCGTCTTCGAAAGATAGCGACACTGTTCTGGTGAAGCCCGCACGAAGTCTTGGCCCAAAGTTGCGCGCTTCAGCCTCGTAAGTTCGAGCACGAGGCTGGAACCTCGGAAGTGGGCTTCAGTTCAGGTACCACCCGACTGCGGTTCTGTCGTTGTAGCAGACACTTGCTTCACTTGTTCTACTATACAGGTCGATCTAGAAGGCAGTTCAGACCACGCAAGACTCGCCTTAGACAGTTGCAGCCTACAGATAGATCGCAAAGACTGCTGCCTTTTACACCCATTGCACTTGTTAGACCTAATTGAGAGCACGAACCACCCACCTTCCACATCCAAACACTAGTCTAGCACGAACCGCGATTGACCTACGACAGCCGTACCTGAAGAGACCAAGCCAACATGGCGAATCGGAAGGCACTCATTGTGCCGGCTCTTAAGAAGCATACTGCGACTGTAATCATGGCACATGGTCTAGGAGATAGCGGTGCTGGTTGGTGCGTACAGATGCTCCTGGGTCATGACACTACTGACCATCTAGGGTTTCCCTTGCCGAGAACTGGCGGCGGCGAAGCAAGTTCGAGGACATCAAGTTCATCTTCCCCAATGCGCCCAGCATACCTATCACAATTGTTCGCGAAATCTTCGCCCTTGTACGCAATTGAGACTGACCTTTAACCAGAACGGCGGATACGTGATGCCAGGGTGGTACGACATAGTAAGGCGCCGTGACGATGTACCTCATCCATCCCTTGCCTGTCAATTCCGCTACTGTTTTGCATGCTGACCGGTTTCCCAGACGAGCTTCAGCGACCTCAACCAGGCACAGGACGAAGTCGGCATTTTGCGGTCACGAGATGTGTTCGACAAACTCATCAAGGAGGAGCTGGCCTTGGGCATTCCCTCAAATCGGATCGTTCTCGGAGGCTTCTCTCAAGGTGGAGCCATGTCCATCTTCACCGGAGTTACTACGCCGCACAAGCTCGGAGGTGTTTTCGGTCTGTCGTGCTACCTGTTGATGAGTAACAAGATCAAGGAAATGGCCGCTAAAGAGTCCAAAGAAGTCAACAAGGACACGCCTTTTTTCATGGGTCATGGAGATGCCGATGAAGTTGTCAAACATGCGTGGGGAAAACAAACAGCGGAGTTCCTGCAGAAGGAGCTAGGCCATCAGGTTGAATTCAAGACGTATCGGAATCTACCTCACTCGGCGGCATTGGAGGAAATTGACGACCTCGAGGCCTACATACGCAAATGCTTGGGCGACGATGGCAAGTCAGGCCTGTGACTAGATGGCTCCCAGCAAGACGCACGATCCGGCCTCGGCCAACCCCAGTTGTTTCCATGGGCGATCATGCTTGCCATCATCGTTGTGATCTTCATTGCGTATGTTGTCCGGTCAAAGTTGGCACCCACGCGTTCGAAGGGTAAGGCCAGCTGAGCTTGAGAGCGCAGCTCCAGCTTCCAACGGCCGAACTGGCGTGTTCGAGAAGAACGCATGATGCACTACCTGGGTCGAAGATGGCCACTCGACCAGCGATACAACTGGTCTTCAGGCATTGCTCGCAAAGAAGCGATGTTCGTTGAGTTTAAGAGAGTACTCGGGAACTTCAGCGTACCTGACTTAAATGTACGGAAGGACTCCCTGGTGGCGTGCTGACCTCCTGGTCGATGTCGGCAAGAACAGTCCACTGGAGAACATCGTGACGAAGGGTACTAGAGCTATCAACGAGAAGCGTAGTGGATCTCGTCCTACGAGAATCCCAACGACTCCTCACGGTGAGTGAAAATGCGTCCCAGGCACAAAGCGGGCTGGCATGCTGCGATGACAGCATGCAGCGCTTCGGCTATGTGTGGACAGCCTTTGCGACTCCAAGTCACAGACTCTCTCCTACATACCACCAATAGCAACAACATATCGAGTCTGCTGGAGGGGAGAGGGTCAGGGTCGAACCAAGGCTTTGCGCCCGACTAACCCAAAGTGGCAATCTTGTCCCTACACCCAATCAGAGCTTGCTACCTTTCAGTCATTGTGGTCCATCGACCTCAAGCTCTAGACTACGCTTGGAACGGGTATGCTAATCCGACACACTGCTTCTGAATTCACGATCTCAGATTTCCATTGTTATATTGCCATGAGTCCTCATGATATCGTTATAGCACCAAACCTTCCCCTCTCATCGAGCCGACCATTCTCGAAGCGCAACAGATCTCGCAATTCACCGAACGTGATCATGTGTACACTGAAAGTCTATCGAATAAGAAGCACCGCAGTCATGTGAGTACCGTGTAAGGCTTGCTTAAAGCAATGGTGGACACATCTCACAATTGTGACGATCGATGGTCACGACGAATGAAGTGCTGTCCAGCGCACAGCTATACGGGAAATGGCTTGGCAAAGAGGACACAGCATACACCTGCAGTTAACTGCAACAACTTCCCCTTCACTTCGCGTTCGACAGACGATGCTTGACTCGTCTCCAAAACCTTCCACTAGGGGTATCCCAAGGAGTAAGTATAGTCTGCGCGGCCGTTGAAGTCTGTTGTCCTATGGAAGGCGCTGCGATACATGTTGAATGACCAGGACCTGGGCAAGTCTCACCGGTCCAACGCCTGACTGCCAAATAGTATGGCCTTCAGCGTACAACGAAGCGTGAGGAGAAGACGAGCACTACATGCTACACTGCCGACTCGGGGGAGCCAGAGCGTGAGATCTCAGCGTGTCGCAAGAGGATCAGCTCGTAGTCATTTGTTAGATGCGTCCTATACCACAAACAACCTTGCTTAGTGCCGAGTCTTACTTCATAACAGAGCGGCCGTACAGCACCCCAGAAATGCACCAAATGGCGTCATTTCGGCTGAGCGAACATCGCCCAGACCTAAGAGTCGAACTGCAGTCGCGTGTCCTCAGGGCACAGCCTGTGGTAGCACCATCCAACAATATGCCTTCGACTTGCTGGTCTGCCTAACTCTTAGATTGCTGCTCGCAGACTTGATAGGGTCGATGACAATTCTGTGACATGCAGTCGCTACGCACTCGATTCTGTCGGAGTTCAAGATACGCTGTTCAGTCCAGTGGCAGGCAGCGGATTTCTGATTCCGGGATCCTTAGCCTACCAAAGTGCATATCCACTGCGGCACATCTACCTGCCTACTCAGGTACGTATGTTCATTATTGCCTAGGGCCCGCCGTGGCGTGGCAAGAGTTCTCTAAGCACTTACCAGCACGCCATGCTGGGCGTTGCTGGGTCGCTCTTGCCTACGAGTGCTTTCCGTTAGCCCTCGGCCCTTGTCCCTGCCTAAAATGCGTGCTTTCCTAACCCCCATGGCCAGCACTTCTGCCACTACCCCGCCCCACCTTCTGCTCACTCTCTCACTACGGCCAAACCACTTCGTACGCCCACACCACGTTCATCTTCGCATGCAAGCAGCGAACTGGAGACTCAGATATCCTTTGCCGTGTTCCCGAAGCTCGTTCTCTTATACATGATCCCAAGTATTCTCACCGCAGCTCAGCTTCAACAGTTTCTCTACCCGCAGACGGACATTCCGCCCTTATAAGCCTCTAGCCGTTAGGGGTGGCTCTGCCCGCTCAGCTTTACTCAAAATCGAAAAGTTCCTCTACTACAGAAAAGCTCCGCCTGGTCACGTTTACCTGGAAGAATAATAGGTATTTTGCCATCAGCAACACAAGAGAGGCAGCTTCTGCGAGGCGAGAACGAGAAATTTTCCTCCTCGTCCATCACCGGGCTCCGTCCGAAGTATTCCAGTCAATTTCGGTCCCTTTGACTCACGAAGCTCTCTCTTCTTCTATACCTCAATCGGACATTTACCGCGTTCCCATACCAGATCGGACGACGACTTGGCAGCTCTGAAGCACTAGGAGTATACACCGACGGTACGACAGTACGCCATCACACACTCACGGTATAATTCTCTTCTTTCTGACGCTCGATCTTCCGCCAATTTGGCCCATTGGTCACGCAATCTTCGGGCACCGCAGCATATGGCGGGGAGCAATAGTATCTCTCTCGTACACGTACTAAACCTCTTGGACTTCCACCAACACAACAAGTGGCGAGGTGCCTGAATCTACAGGTGCAAAAGCTGGTCCAATTTTGTCACTCTAGCCGCAAGTCTGCCCGGCGTGGGAAGAGGTCCTTCGTACGGTGAACACAGAGAGCCAGGAAGATTACTCTGCACGGTAGTGTCGTGCCGTTTGTTCACCTTGACATTGCATTACCATTCTCAGCAGTCCTACCAGTCTCGAGATTGACCATTTGGTCATCTTTGGCGCTTATCTACTGTATCTCCTCGGTCAGGTTGCGGACAATATTTCCGCGATACGCTTCCGTGCCCTCAATTTTCCGGGCAGTGGTGTTGGCTGGTGATTGTCACAGTGAGGGGACTGACCCCGAGAAATTGGGTCATTACCAAAAGCCACACTTGATTCCGTCGACGTGAGATCAGACCCTGGTGGGACAACACTGCCGAAGAGCGATTCAAATCCTGCCACTGCGACAAAAGAGCGCCACGCCAGCCAGAGCGCCTTTGCCGAAAGCAACACTTAAGGATTATCTGGATTGCTCGTCAGTGTCTAGCCGTTGCAGGGCATCATTAAGCAACAAGCCCTCGCATCATTGGAGAAATCGATCATAATTGAACAGCTCTACCCAGACGCCTTGCTACGAACACAATCGCTATAACCACCTTCGTACAGAGTTTCCCTTCGATTTACTCCGACATCTCGGCCATTCCGACCAGTCTCTACGCACCAGATCGTTTCTCATATACCAAATTTGTCTTCACTGCCTGAGTCCTAAGAAAAAGTCCTGTTGCAACAATGCCGACCCGGTTCGACATGACGGCCACGCCGCCTCCCAGCAAATCGTCATCGCGTAGCCGACACATGCTCCAGTACGGCATCAAAAAGCGGGCCAAATCGCCCGCACACCCATCGGTGTCCCGATCGACCACCAGCTCGGCTGCTGCACTCGATGAATACACGCGCAGTATGCAACACTATCTCGACCACACAGACTTCAAACTTGAGGCCGATCACAGCAGTCGCGAGGGCTCGCCCGAACGCGTCGCTCTGACCGCGACTCAGACGATGAAGATATTGCTGGCATGGCGGACAGCTTCCATCAACTCGATGTCGACCACTCGCACCCACCATTCCATCACCAATACTCAAACAGTCGGAACAGAATAATGCCATTGGGACAAGATCCCAGAGACGTCAGAAGGGCGTCCGTACGCTCGTCCTCGTCAAATACTGCTGTACAACCTTCATCGCTTCCACAACCATCCAGCGACGTTCGACGGCGCTCCTCACAACACAGTATAGTCAGCAGCTCTGGTGGCCGAGGTGGTGGAGATGCAGGGGGTCCAATGTTGAAAAAGCACTCCATAGCGAGTTCGGGAGCTTCGATCAGTTCAATATCATCCAATAAATACTAAGCAGCGGGAAGCGTCAGCCATTTGCGATATACATGATGATGTTTGCATAGCGTTGGGCATAAGGGAAAAAAGTCGAGCAGGAATAGGCGGGTACAAAAGTAATCAGCAAAGACTTACCTTCCCAGTCCTGCTCCATCATGACGCCCAGCCAATGCAACCGCCCTTTGACTGTATAATCGAACTCGAGTTTATCGACCACGAAATCCTCTCCTGCTCTCCTGTTACTGTTGTTGTTGGCACCGCCAATGCCACCACTCCCAAAATTCATCAGCCCGGGTCGCGTGGGTATCATAATGGGCATGTTGTCGAAGGTAACTCTCCTCCCGCTCATCGGACTGCTCCTTTGCGGATCATCAAAGCCAAAAAGTAGTCCATCGTCTGCAATGCCACCACCACCGCCACTAAGGGCCTCATTTTGTTGCTGTTGTTGTTGCTGCTGCTGGATGCGCGAAGAAGAAGTGCTGCGCGTGATGTTTGGCGGACTAAAGTCAAGACCGCCACTTCTGCTCACGGGCTGTTGTCTTGCAGAGTTGTTGTTTGCAAAGCGGGTCATCCGAGCCTGCTTCTCCGCCTCAGCCATATCCCTGCGCGCCCACACCTCCATCGTAATATTGTAACACGTTTCGACTTTGTCGATCCTCAGCCTTTCGCGCATATGGTTCCAGCGATCCGTGACCCATTCACGATCCTCCTCCGAATCCGCCTCGCAGCCCGCTGCCAACAGAGGAAAGATCTGAATCACCATCGTTCGACTCGTTCGCGGGATACCTGCGAGCAGCATGAGCACTTTCCTAGCGAGGACTTCGACAGGTGGGCACGGCATCTCCGGAACTGCCTGATGCAGGTAAAGCAGCATCGCCCAACGGTACGCGTCCGCTGTCTGAATGCTGTGCGCAACATCCGAGGTGCGATCATCGGGTCGTTCAAACATGGAGCCATTGGGTGCTTGCCACTGCTCGAGTTGTTCTTTGAGCTCGATGGCTCGAGACATGGTGGTCAAGCCCATTTTATTGGACCTTCGCACAACTTGACACAAATCGACGGTCCGACCGAGTAACGGGAAGAGGCCAACGGCACAGCCAACAAGTGGGTCAACCTCGAAAAGATCGTTGAATGGCTGATTAACGGTATTGACAATGTCGTCAATCAGGTCGTCGTCGGAGTGCTCCATGTTGGTCAGGCGAGACATTACATCCATGTACATGTAGGTGTTACAAAGGAAGCGCCAGTTGTGTAGATCCCGCGGATTCAATTGATCATGCTCGAAGTCGTGACGGAACTGGGCGATTATGTCCACGATCATGGGACGAGCGCCACGCAGATGCTGGATTCCGGTGACGACTGAGCGATCCCAACCGTCAGAGAAGGCGAGTACAAGGGATGTGGCGAGGCGAGCATCGAGAGGAATGGTGCCCATACCACCGAGGAGTTTTTGAATAGCTTTCCGCATGTGGTATATGCCGAGCTGGCCGAGGGCTGGGACATCATGGCGCCCGTGAAAGGCAGTCATGGCATATACAGCGTGTCGAAGAGCCGTGCAGTTCCTTGCCATTGAACCGATCAAATTACGCCAAGGATTCTCGTTCGGCCCGTCTTTGACCGACATTATGCCACATGTCTGGGTATCGTACCGGTGGAAAAGCATTGCCGGCGAGCGAGGATCAGTGGGTGGGAAGTTCATAAGAGTCTGGTTGGAGGCATCGGAGCGACGTGAGCTCTCGGACAGTGCAGGAGATGGTTGACGGAAGGGGCCGAAATTCTGGACTTCGTTGGGATTGATAGTGCGGAGTGGGGACTGAGTATCGTCCAACACGTTGCTGTTGAGCAGGTCTTCGAATGATTCAGGCGACTTCTGTTGATCCGCACTCTGAGAAGGGCCGGAACGGCTGCCGGGGAGCGAGAGCTCTGGAATCTCGGGCGAAACGGAGCCCATGGATCCGGTCGAGCCGCCAGCATAGTCGTCGTCGAAAGACACATGGCTGGTGTTCGGCAGGGAGAAGGGTCGACGGTCATTCGGGATCTCAGGAAGTTCCAAGGGTGGAAGGTTACTCAGACCTGGAGTCAACGGATCTGGTTGCACACCAGCACTCTCAGCCTCCGGCTCGTCTGGTCGAATGGCATCGTTGCGCTGAGCTTTGTCCAGAAGATTGCCTGGCGACCAGCTTGAACTTGGGATGGCAGTGACACGGTCGTCTTGCGTCTGGATGCGAGTGAGAGGCCGTGGCTGGGCGTTGGTTGGAGTGAATGAGTGGGAGCGAACATGGTTCTTCTTCGGCTTTGGCGCTGTCTTAGGTACATTGGCCTCATCGAAAGTTCGCCACTTGTAGTCTTTTTTGTAGCCTTCGCAAGCAACATTACGTTTAGCACATTGCTGGCATGTAGGCTTTGTCTCATCACATCTGCATCGCAATAAGTCAGCCAGCCGAATACAGTAGCCCGCCTGAAGGTTCGAGAGTCTTACTTTAAACGCTTTTTCTTGCAAGTCATGCATCCTGGTAAGTGTCAGAGTTAGATCACACCCAAGAGTGGAGAAAATGTCGAGTAGCACAGGCAGTGCACACTCACCATTTCTGCTTTTGCTCTGTTTGGGCTTCACGATAGCGGCATCTTGAGCGGTATTCTGTGCGACGGCTGCCTTCGAAGGCTTTGGCTTGTCGGCGGCACGGGCTTTGGCAGGCTTCTTCACAGGTGGGGGATCTGGCTGGGGTCTGATAACAGGCGATTTCTTGAGGAAGACCGATGGGGAAGGAATTTGGATCTCCATACGACGCAACGAGGCATTGATAGCGTGTGTCAGGCAGAATGAAAGGTGTTAGTAGTAGACTAGAGGCGTCTACGGCAGCGGAAATGACAGATTGGTCGTGCGACGCTGGAAGCGATGATGCTGTCGATGAATAATGAAGAAAATATGAGAGGAAGACGACCAGAGGACGCGAGTTTGGAGGGGAAACACTCAATCGTTATCTCTCGGTATCGTTGTGGGCGGCAGGATGGCGGCAAGACTGCAGTTTTCAAGTCTGAAGAAGCCACGAGACTCGTCAGCTGGCCGCAGAAGTTGCGACTCTGATAACCATAATTCAGAGCCCCAGCGGTGAGGATCACCGTGCCTGGCCTCTGTAGAAGGCCAGTGTTCCCCCACCATACCCCTATGAACTAGCCACGCTTCAGGTTTAGACGACGATAAGTATATCAGCTATGACGGACATAAAAGAGGCAGCTGCGGAACCTCTCCCCGCGAAACAAATGCCTCGAACAGATCAGCCAGGAGTTCTTCAAGCCCTGACCAGCGAAAAAGGGCATTGGCTCGCGACCAACTCTTCTCATTGGCGCTTAAACTCGTAGAACATTCGATGGTTCGCGCCTAGAGGGACAAGCCAGGGGTCAAAGGCTCGCCGCTAAACGGTGAAAGCCTTCTGGCCTGTACCTAAAACTGGTCTCAACGCGAAGAAATTTTTGCCTTCTTTGACTTCAGTCAATGCATCAATCGGACTGTCGCGCGAGGCTTCCAACGCAAGCTCGTCAGCAACCGATGTCATACTCCATGATATCGTCCATCGTATCTTCAAGCTGGGGAGGTTGCTTCGCGTCGCTGGCGGGACAGATGTGCGAAATCGACGTCGGATTGTCAACGCGCGCTGTTGCTGGGTGTCACGGATTGCTTCCCCGCGGATGCTGTTATCCCTTCCACTGCTCATCGAAGATACCCATGTAACACAGCCATACCCGGAGCCCATTGCCGACTTGATCTGGCAAAGCAAAGCTCACCGTCCCACTAAGACTCGACATCCCGCCACTTAGTTCACTGCCTAAGGAGCCCTCTGTTGCTACAGGTGGACCTGTCTCAATCGACTGGCTTCGGAAATGGTGCAATTTTTGTATCGCGAAACGCTGGTCCACGTGTTAGAGGTAGGTCCTTCACCGGGTGTACGTAGGACGTCTTGCGGAACGCCCTCGGCTATCTGCCTCGTCTTCGCCGAGAGCGCCATCACCAACGGCCGACGATGATGAAAGAGTCGTGTTATATTGCATTCCTTTCGACGTCTTCATGATCTCAAGCGCGATTCATATCTGGATCACGACAACAAGCATGTCAAACAAAATGTCACCGCTGCCTTGTGGTCACTGTGAAGCCCTCCAAGACCTCCAAAAGGCATGCATCTCTCCAGTCGATGCAAACATTCTGGATGCTACGAACATCAATTGGCACTGCGATCATTGTCGGGCACTTGAAGAACTTTACAACAGTGTACCCGAGGCACCGACTGACTCACTGACCATGGAAGAGAACATCCGCTTGCTGAACGCCGAACTGGCAAAGAAGAGAGCCCTGGTCGCAAGGCTTCAGCGTGTGATTCGTGTCTTCCTCGGGCCACGATACTAGACGGATAGTATTTAGTACGCCAAAGCCAACAAAGGCAACCAGGGAGGCAGACTGCTGCCTCTTGTCGAGTTGAACAGCCAGTTGACGCGATGTGCTTCTGGAATCTGTTTCACCTGATCACTAACAAAGACCGCCTGGGCAGCAAGGACAAGTGACATCTGCCTTGAAAAGCAAGATTTAAACCAACCCAAGCAATTGCTTTTTAATGATCCCAAACACATCTTTCTCATCTCGATCGGAATTCCAAAGCGTTCTTCTGTCTACTCTCACTCCCCGAATCAATATTGGAACTCGGATATGGCGGAGAAGCGCGATACCATTCAATCGGACGATAAAGAGAATGTTCCACAGTCCTTCCAGCGAACTTCGCGGGGCGAGTTTCAAACTGTCAAGCAGAATCAACACAATCACATTGAAACACCCATCCGGTCTCCTGATCGTCCCGCTGGCATGTCCAAAGAGGAAAAGGCTCGGATCGATGCTATGCTGGCACAGGACGACTTCACTCGCACATCAGCGTTCTCAAGAAACACTCCCGCTGCTGCTCTCAGCCATATTTTGCGACGCATGGACGACGAATTGGTGCAGATGAAGGAGCAAATTGGATTGCTGGAAGATCTGAACGAGGGTAGAATGATGTACATGGATAAGGCTAGCTCGGAGTACAAGGAGGCGCAGAAGACGTTCATGAAGGTCAAGATGGCCCACCTGGACTTGGTCTGGCGGTGCTCAAGATGAGAGAGTGTGTCAAGCCGAATGATGGGGCTGCCAAGCGAGATGGCGGTGACATTGGTATGGGGGAGCTTTTCAAGACTATGGAAACGGATCCTTGATCACCTGGGTCGTCAGGAGGACCTTGGAGGCTTGAATAATTCTTCACCACCGTTGGGACGACCAAGCACAAGTATGATGCGAGCGGCGGTACTTGGATCTGGAATCGCAACTATGTCCTGAACAAAGCCAACCAACGCCTGGCCAACAATGATCACCGTGCCAACATCAAAACCTGCCTGGAAGGTTATTGGCATCATGAAGGCTGCCTACGAATGAACATCCAGCAACGACATCCCAAGAGGCAGGCTCATTAATGCCGACCCCAGCATCGACAAAAGAGTCTTCATATCCGACAGCACAAGATATGTGACATTACGATGGCTGCACTGATGTTCATGATGAGGACCACTGACGCATAAGGCGCTGTGTTGCTGTGCTGTGCAAACCTTACCCTATAGCATGCAGTCAGAGAAAAGACCCATTTCCCTACAATGTCTTGCTCTCCATTCGTAAAGCCATGAGATTACAATGAGGCTCCACGCGTCCAAGTCATATTTCACTAGACCGGTTGACTGAATAGCGTAAGTGTCCGAGTCGTCGCCCGTAAGAGTAGCCGTCCACTGGTGTCGTCATGTCTTTTGCAGTCGTGCGCATGTGCTGCTTGACAATTTATGTACTATCCTCACTCTGCGAGTCATGATGCAAGGACCGTAAGGCTTCAATCCGTGAAACAAAGGCAGGTCGTCTCCTCTCTACTTGTAGGATCAGTACTATCTACTATCTGTCATCTCTCGTGAACAACTCACACGTTTCCTCCCCATCCCACTGTCAGGACTTACCCTACAGCTCAGATCTACCGTCTCTCTATTGCTCCTCAACCTGGCCTCCTCAACGACGACCCGTCTGACGCACCTCGCCCGCTCCCTCACCACAACCAGTACCTCCGCCGCAAGAATGTCCCACCCCACCACAACAACCACCGCCCCCTGGGCCCCAATCTTCCAATCCCACCTAACCAACCACGCCGAGGCCCCGCCACCGAATTCGTCCTGGGCACCATCACCCCGTCCTCCCTTCCCTCCGTCCGCTACTGCATCCACCGCGGCTTCTGGGCCGCCCTGCCACCCAACTCGCACAACAAGCTGCCCAAGAATCCCCAGCTGTACACGTCCGACTGCCCGGTCTTCACTACCGACGCGCGCATGTCCAAGGTATACGATATCTTCGCTACGGGCAAAGGCAAGGGCGACCTCGAGCAGTCGCGCTCAGGAACGGGCGGTGGCGGCCCTGTGGAGGCGGTGTACTGGATCAAGGACATCAAGGTGCAGTGGCGGATAAGGGGAAAGTGTTGGCTTGTGAGTGCGGACGACGTTGATGGGTCAGATGCGCAGAACAGCGGAACAGTGACGGTCAAAGCACAGGTTGGGAGGTACATGCGGCCGGCGGATGGCGTAAGTGAGGAAGAATCGCAGAGGGGAAAGGGGGAGTGGAGTTGGCGGACGGAGGTGAACAATTGGTTTGAGAACCTGAGTCCTGGGATGAGAGGCAGTTTCAAGAATCCAGAGCCGGGAAAGCCGTGTAATGAAGGGGTTAAGAACAAGGGCGAGGCGCTGGGTCAGTCAGCAGGTCACCTGGAAGATGAGGAGCTAGCGCGAAAGAATTTCAGAGTCGCTATCATCACGCCGGAAGAGGTTGAGCAGGTCGATCTGAGCGATCCCGCCGCGGCGAGGAGGTGGAAGTGGACATTAGCGGAGGAGGCGGGGGGCCAGGGCACGGACTCAGAGTCGAAGAGCGTAGGCGAGTGGGATATGGTTGAGACGTGGCCCTAATCCATGCAGAGCTATCAGATAGAGATACGATCTCTTCCAGCACAAACGCTTTACCGCAACATATAACCCCCATCAACGACCATATTGGTACCGGTAACCCACGCAGCGTCATCGCTTGCCAGGAATACCGCTGTCTTGGCGACATCTCTCGCATCGCCCAGTCGCTCGCCAAAAGGATGCTTCAGCTCAATCTCCCGTTTCGTTTCTGGTTCGCCCTGCAAATTCTGTGTCATGCTCGTTTCCAGAAAGCCAGGGCAAAGAGCGTTTGCGTGGATCTGATCCTTAGCGTAATCCAAAGCGATCTGCTTGGTGAGCATAACCACTGCGCCTTTCGAAGCACAGTAGGAAGGTGTGCCATAGTACGGGACCATGCCTTGTATAGAGGCTGTGTTGATGATCCAGCCGCGACTGCCGTACAACTGTTCCTGCTCAAGCATTTGCTTGAGGGCGTACTTGCAGGCTAGGAAAGTTCCCTTCGTATTAATGGCCATGGTCTTGTCGAAGTCCTCCTCGGACGTCTCGTGAGCTCGCAGTGCCCGGATATGGGTACTTTCAACGGAGATGCCAGCACAGTTGACGAGAATATCGACGCGCTTGTAGCGTTGAACACATGCACGTATGGCGAAGTCGATGTCCCGAGCTTTGGTCACATCCGCTTTGTGGAAGTATGCTTCGCCGAGAGCTTGCCGTATCCGTTCGTGGGTGCCTTGGCCTTTGATGCGGTTGTTGAAGTCGTCGGCTTTTAGTGTCGCAGGATTGATAGCGTTGCGTGGTGACGGATACAGGTCGATGCAGAAGATCTGAGCAAGACAGATCAGTGGTCTGATGGGCGCAGCCTGAGTGGAACACAACAACGTGTGGTGCAAAGGAGCCTTATGATCTCCACAAGCATCCTCTGCACAGAGTCGACCGTAGCTGGGTTCACAGCACACAAATCCTTACCGTTGCACCTTCCCTTGCGAATGCTTCAGATATTGCAGCACCGAGCCCAGATGAGGTACCAGTGACGGTTGCAACCCTGCCCGAGAGCCTCCCCGGCTTGACAGCAGGCGTAGTCATGTTTTTGACGAATGCGTGGTGGTCATTGCTTCTGGCGTACAAAATAGTAAATGAGGTACGAGGTGGGAAAGTTGAGAGGAGTTCTGAGGTCGCAATTGCCTTACCGAGGCGCCATTTCGTCATAGCGTGCGAGTTGTAGGGCAGCCGCTTCTCAGTCTCGACGAATCATGCAGGGTCAATCATCTCTCCTACAGTACTTGCTGATCGCTAGAACGCTCATTCCTCGTACCTGCTGACCACAAGGCTTCGCAGCTTCCACTTGCGTGAAGACGGCGACATCGTCCTCATCGAACAAATCACTGACTTGCCGCCTTCGCCAACATCTTAAGTCTCTTCTTGTTTCTCGCGAAGATCAACAGATCAACGAGCCACGTCGGCGCAAACTTCCAGAATGACAGGTAGTATTCGTTCTCTGGGATGAATAGCTTTCCACTTCGCGCTTGAAGTACCTGCTCGACCACCTTTCGCGATACGTTCTCTGGAGGATAGATCATATCAGTGGATGTCCTGGAGCTCTTTCCGAAGATGTCACCCAGCATCGGAGTGTCGTGGAACGTAGGATGAACACTCGTGGTCAGGATCGTGTTGCCGTTGGGATACCGCGTAAGCAGCTCGCTTCGTAGACCTAGTGTGTCATTAGTCAGTATGCATTCGACGCGCCCAGGTCCGCAATGCCAGATCTCACCATCGCTGATATAATTTGATGCCGTCTTTGTCGCGCAATAATGTAATATTGGTGGGAGGGTGATGTAGGAAGCGATGCTGCAAATGGAGACGACATGCCCCTTTCTGGCCTCAAGCATCGCTGGCAGGAACTCCTTGATAAGATATATATGCGCAAAAGTGTTGACTTTAAATATCTTCTCGGTGTACTCTATGCTCGATTCCAACAGGGTCAATCCGCGCGCTGAGACTCATTAGCTAGGAGAAGCTGGCTCAACACGCAAACTTACCTATCCCAGCATTGTTGATGAGAACACTGACGGTTCCATGTTGTTCACGGATCATGACTGCTGTAGACTGGATAGCGCCCGGATCTGACACATCACACCTATAGAAGTGGATGTTCGGAACTGCTCGAATTTAGGGATGACCAACATGCGTGTAGCGAATTACCTACCTCTGAGATCCTCCGGCGGCTCCTGAATATCAAGAATGACAACTCTCGCGTGCTTAGAGAAGTCCTTTGCCATCAGTCTACCAAATCCTGAACAACCGCCCGTTATCAAAACGAGTTCGGAGAGTTTGTCGTCGCCGAATTTCCATGGCTCTCCTTGAGGACGGAACTGCCAATTGTTAAATGCAAGCGTAGTCATTGCATTGTGAAATCTGCGGAGCAATCCGAGGCTGAAGAGCCACTTGAGAGGAATGATCAAGTTTCGCAAAGTCGTTTCATTGATTCCTGTAGTTGAAGAGAACTGGTCGCGAAGATTGGAAGGATTCCGTGTCAACAGGTAGAGAAGGGCGCCCGTTGCCGCTGGTTCCAGGAGAAGACGAGACATGATCGCCTAGGTACTTTGTCTGCTCCTCAGAACGCGGTCGATTAAGGTGCCTGGTGGCCACAATGACTTCTTGCTTGTAAGCTGTCACGTAGCGATGTGAATGCTCGAGGTCGCTTCAAGGGTTGTAGTGAGGTCGGATTCCTGGGTCGCTGGTGATCCTTCGATGAGCATGCATTTGTTAGCCACGATAGCTCCCAACATTAGCTCGCGTGTTTGGATTGGCTCATTCGGGACCCCTGAGGTTGTAATGAGGATCCTGTGCTCAGATCGATTGCCTCTGTGAGTGAGCCTGTCAGGGACCTTGAGAAGCTATCCTTATATTCGAGTGCGACGCCTCAAGCTGATAGTTATACCTACCAATAATTCGTATCTTACTGATCCATGGCAGGGCGTTTGGCGAGTATGCACACAGGCTCGGTTGCAATAGATCCACGTCTGTTTAGTGATGCGAAAGAGTGAGATAGGGGTATACGGGATACGACGATGAGTTCCGGGTGAACCCTAGAGGCTGCGGGCTGCGGGGCTAGCGTTCGGGGCACCGTGAAAAAGTCTCCGAGTATGCTTTTTCGAGAAAATCACATACAAAATGCAACCCGTGGTATCTCGACTCCCTTCCACTGCCCCAAGTTTCGCCTGCGTCAAAAGCGGGGCCGTGACACAAGTGTTCGATGGAGCACGTAAATGCTCTCGGGGAGGCAAGAGCGCAATGGTGCAATCGAATTTAGTGATCCTGGTCCTCGGAATGAACAGACAGAACCTGTTTTGGGAAGGAGGACTTCCGCACTCAGCAGCCATGTCGTCAGCCGGTCTTGTGTAAGTCTACATGGTCATCCGGTCTCACAACAGGCATACATCCATTTGACCACAGTCTCGCCAATACGATCGCCCGGACTTGTCCACACTGTTACCGTCGACGCGACCACTCATTTCACTCTCACTGCTTCAGCTTCATTGCCACAAATTCATCCACCATGCCTCGATAGTCCGCACTTGTATACCCCTGAAGCCATTCCCTTTTCCATGCCGTCCACGACTCCCCAAAGGTCAATGCCCTCCCCAAAACTTCCTTTCCACCTTCGCCACCATTTGCGCCTTTCCCACTACCGCCCATCGCCGCTGCTGCGAGCTCTTCCTCCATCGCCAAGCGCTTACGGTCCACCCGCAGTCCCAGATCAACACACATTCGATCCATGTACGTCTGAACCTCTAAAATGACATCCGAGTCTCGACTCAGCCTGCTGCCCCAGCGGAGATGCATGAAGTTGTTCTGCAGCGCCGTCTGCCAGTCCAACTTGGCTTCCAGCTCCGCTGGATCGCTGCTGGAGGTTATGTTCGCGTTCCGATCGTGGTTATTGATGTGGTCCATGTTCATGGGCGCGAGCAGCCGGTCAACCTCGAGCAAGCCTTCGCACCAAGCCACGCTCCACAACGCGCTCAACTCCGCCACAATGGCAGTCTGGGTGGTGGCGGTCATGCCCACGAAGGCAATTGAGTGGTCGTTGTGTGCGAGACACCATGGGGATGCATTGTGTCGTAGGAGGTTGTAGTGTGTGGTCGTATTGACTGTCTTGGTTTGCTGCGTCGCGATCTGCTGCTCTTCGGGAAGCGTCGCCGCTGCGACAGCTGGAGAAACGTTTGCTGTGCGTGCGCTAATGGTGAGGTCATTGAATGACAGTGTATTGTAAGGTGAGTGGCGAAGACGTGGAAATTGCGCCAGCAGTTGTTGCTGAGCTCTCGTCTGCATTCCGAGAGTCTTTATTGTGTCTGGGGATTTCGATGCTTTCGAGCTGCCCTCATCGTTCGGCAGAGGCGCTCCCACCCTTCGAGCCTCCTCTTCATCGAAGAAGTTCCCACTCGGCAACCAGCCTGTACACCAAATGACACTATCAGCACTAATGATCTTCTCCTTTCCACCTTTGTCAACCACGACCGCCTCCTTGCCCCGCAACTCCTTCACGCGTCCCCTCACCGTCGTCATCTCCATCTCCGTGTCCACGCCCTGACCCTTCTCCCCATGCAAGACCCTCAGAATTTCGTGACTCGGCTCCATCTGCACGGCATTTCCAACATCCCACTCAATCCCCAGATCCTCCTCTTCATTACCTCCCCCTTTCCACCACTCTCCCCAAGTCTTATGCCCCAATGTCCAAGCCCAACCCGGCCTCAACCGCCTCACATTCTCACTTCGCCCGAAATCCGCCGCATAGCTCACTCCCAGTGCGAACGCCCACCAGAAGACACTGACCAGAATGCTTCCCCAAGCCCACCATCGTGAGGAGTGCATGAACCTATACACCCCAGAGTAAGTGTCATAGACCGAGGGGTTGAAAGCCGCGAATGCGCGCGAGAGGGCGGGTTCGGCGCTGCCCTTCTCGTCCGCAATGTTCAGGATCATGAAGTGCACGCCGCGTGGAGAGGGATGGACGAGCCAGGTGACTTTGTAGTGGACCTTCGGGACCTTGATGTTGTGCTCATCGCAGTACTTTTGGCGATTGGTGCGCAGGAAGAGTCCACAGGCTTCGAGGGCGGATTTGTTGCCGCCTACGACGAGGATGTGTTTCGTCGTCACTTGTTCGTCGTCTGCTGCTCTGCTCTTCTCAGACGCAGCAAGAGGAGGTGGAGCGGCGATCAGTTCCTCATACCGCCTTCCCATATCGCGACTGTGAATACTCAGCCCCTCATACCCCTCCTGCTGAGCCTTTGGCAGCGGTAGATGCGGCACGTTGTAGCTGCCCACACAGACCAGCAACTTCTCACAATCGTACACATCTCCTGTGCTCGTGTGCAGCCTCCAACCCTCGTTCCCCACCACCTTCCCAGTACTTCTACGCTCCGCCCTCACGACCCTCACACCGCCCCTGAACCGGTCCAGCAGCCCATGCTTGGCCGCATACCCCTCCATATATTCCATGACACGAGTAGCGGGCAGCGAACCAAAGCGCTTGAATCCGGCGGCTTCATCTACCTGACTGATATCAGGATCCGAGAACTCGAACAGCCCATTTGCGCCTTGGCAGACTAGGCCAGGATAGAGGCGATCACGAGACCAGACGCCGCCCACGGATGACAGCGCGTCGAGGATCAGGAGATCATTGGCATGCTGAGCGGTGGCCGTGGCGGCAGGTGTTGACTTGTGGAGGGACGAGAGATGTGGTTGCAGTTGAAGGTAGGTCTTTGCGGCAGCCAGACCGCCGAAGCCAGCGCCGATGACGATACAGCGTGCTGTCGTTGGTCTGCTGGCGGGACGATCTGGTGATGACGGGTCCCGAGTTGACGACCTCGTGGTAAGTCGTGCCATGGATCGCGCTAGACTTAGGTATGGCGCTAGCAGAGCCTCGGATGGGTAGACGGGGCAATTGATGTAGTCGTGTCTCGTGGCACAAGTATATACTTACGTCTCGGCCAAGTCTTCTGTCCTTCTAAGTGTTACGATTCCTAATGAGATGGACCCCTTTTCGTGTTCCGGACGACAGCGGTCTAATTAGGCGCCCGGTTCAAGCAACCTGTTCACGAGCTGGGCGCTCTGATCTGTATGGTCGAACAGGGTGAGCAGGTCAGATCTTAGCTAGGCAGTGAAAGAGCCTAAAGCCCGTGCTATGTAAAGAGATCTGCCGTTGCAGCTGAAACGTGTGGGCAGAGAAGTCATTGTGAGAGATGTAGGTTGTCATCTGCTCGCAACTTGGAGTGGTGAGGGTCCCGTTGAAGTAATCAGGCGTCCAAACTATGGTGGACATAAATCTAGATTTACCCCTTCTGGTCCCAGCGACTTAGATGCTCGCGACATCTGCAGGGGACTCACGGACAAACGCGGAGCAGATGCATTATGGAGGAACGCGGCATGGGGATGCAGGCGCCGCTGCTGGGAGCCAATGCCTCTACATGGTAGTTCCCAGGCAGGACAATGGATGGGAACACGAGCATCGTGACGAGTTTCCGTGCAGGTAAACGATTGAATACTATACGGTGGATGCAGATATTAAAATTCCAACGCCTGGCTCGAACGCTTCATGGCTTCCCATCTGACGAGGTAAAGAAATGGGGGTATAGTGTCCTGTCGATACTGTTGTACAACCTTTCCAGTCGCTCCTAAGAGGCTCAACCGAAACAACGCCTTCCGGCCGGAGAGACTGGTTGTAAAAGCAATTACTTGTCCGGTGTAGATGGCGCTCTCCGACTGGGCTCATCCTCGGCCACGACTCGAATTTGCGGATCGGGTATCTGAATATCGAGATTCATATAGCCCGTGCGCCGCAGAGGAATCAACTTGATCCCCTCTCTGCTGCCATGTTCTCGGTTCCAACTCTCCATCCATGCTTCCAGTTCTCTAAGGCGACCTTTGACGCCATTTGGCCGGAAGTCTTCCCAAAACCAGCCAGTCACGAAGCCCAAGAGTCCGTCGATCCAGTTCCACGCAGAATAGGGATCAAATGCTTGGATCAAGGACGCATTTATATGGCGAACTAGGTAGCGAAATTCTTGCTCACCCATCAGAGGATCGAGGATCTCAGGGTAGATATTGGAAAATGTAGGCGCCAGATCGCCGACGACCATCCAGTCACGTTTTATCCGTATTATTCGGGTAGTCGAGTATTCAGGAGATGAGAGCGGGACGTGTGCATTGAGGTGTGGGAAGCAGGGATGCTGTGGTCCCCAAGCGAGCTCTTCTGCGACATCTGCTTCTTCATTGTTCGGATAGCCTGTAGTCATTGGTGGCGGCGGCATTGGAGGAGCGTCGCCATTGGCCGTGGCAGTTCGTGAGGGTGCTGATCGCATGGAATTCTGTGAGCGGAAGTGTCTGAGTGATCTCATCGAAGAAACGCGCCTCGGTGGCTGCGTTGGCTGATCTTGTGGGGACATGCCATATTGGGAGGCTAGTCTTGATGGTGCGGCCGGCGTTGTGCGTTGTCCCTCGAGATCATCGTAGCGACCACCAGCTGTGTGTGCCTTGTCCGGCTCAGGAACCTTCTCATCGGCCGCCATGGCAGGCGAGCTGATTCGATCCCAGAACAGAGGTGCGACTTCTATTCGGTGGCAGGCCAATGCTAGTACGTGATCCGGCAGCCGAACTCAGCTGTGGGCTGTGCTCGACAATTTCACCGTCTTGCGAGTACTGACGCGATCTGCGCTGCTCTGGTAAGGTCAGAAGCGTGTGAACTTCGCCGGTGCCAGGCTCTACGCCTGGCGGCAGATGCGTCTGACGGTCAGTGTGGACCGGAGTCGGTCGAGGGACGTAGTTGATTGGGTTGAGCACTCGCTGACGCGCTGCTTGGTTTTCGCGACGCTGGCCGCGGCGTTGCTGACGAGCAAGGAGGGCCTCCAGGAAAGACCTGCGGCGTGTAGACTGATCCTCAATTTGGCTGATGGAAGGGGGAGATGACGATCGAACTGGAGATTCGTATGCTTGTAGCGCGGGTGCAAGGTTCTGGAGCTGCGAATCCTCTATAGCAGTCGGATCGGGTTCTGCGTCTCGGACGGGACGCTTTTCCAGCGCTCTTTGTGACAACTTCGGAGGCGACGAGGGAATGTTGGGATCCGTGATGGCTGTATTATTGAGGTAAATGGAGAAAGGAGAGGTAGCGAAGATGCAGCTGCAGGTGAAGTCGATTGGGAGAAGCCGGCGCCTAATCGGTATTGGCGGCACTTGGTATCCAACAATGACTCGTGCGCCTCTGCTTGCGATAGTAGCATATTTCGTGTGCAGTGGTGTACATTAAAACATAGTGCTGGGAATAATACAAATCATAGAAGCAAAAGAAGAATAGGACGATGCTGCAGCGACGCTGAGCTCGTGGGTATATGGTAGGGAAGCACGAAGCGTCAACTCGTGGTAACAGGAGAGAAAAAGCCAGGTCAAACCAAGGCACTGGGGGCGACCAGCTCACGATATTCTGTGGCTAAGCGAAACCAAAGCCCTGGCCAGGCGACGGTGATGATTAAGTGCTCTGTCCGATCACAAACTCGACCAAGTCTCTACCCTTGGCCCTTCGTCATCCAGCGAAATATCTATTATCCATCACGAACTATCACTCATCCGTAACGAATTTTGTGACAAGAGTACCGAGATGGTGTGTAGCACAACGATCCGCTCTTCTCCTTCCAGAATATGCACCCCTCGTCGGCAGAAAGTCTGACTACGTACTGCAGGACGAGAAAGGCCCATCTCCCAGCCAAAATCAACGCCTGCCGACTCGCTTCTGCCCAACCGGACCCGATGTTCAATATTCCGGCAGTCAACTTAGGCGTTGAGCTAATGTCGCTGATCCCCTAAACTGCCGCAGAGTTCAGGTACCACTCCTTTGGATGCCGCTAAGATGATGGTGAGGCGCGCCAGAAAAGGGGCGTGCATAAAGGTACCAGGTCTTCCGACTTCCGGAAATCTTCAATGATCTACGATATCTGCCTTGATGGCATCCACCCTTGTTGGAGCCTTTTCAAGGCAGGTGCTCGCGATGCTTCTAAGCGCATCTTTCATGTGGTGAGCATGGGCATGATGTGTTTGTCTGCTCCTCGCTCGCTGCTCGCACAGTTCCTACACATATCGTCCCTCGCTCTCACGAGAGACCATGATTCATGGCCCCCACACCGCTCGCGTCAAGATCCTTCATCAAAACTCCCGAGCGACTGATCGTGTGCCACCATATGCAGACTTTGATGCCCAACGGCAAGACGTCATATTCCCATTGGGACTGAGCACGAACGGCTACTGGGGCTTGACACGATTATTGATTTGAGAAAGGTACCCGGCTCCCTTACGACCGTGACTGAGCGTGTCGGGCAAATTGACAATTTCTCTACTGTCACGAACATGGTTGGATTTGATAATTGGGAGATTCGTCTCGTTCGAGCTTCGACGAAGATCAGAATGCGGCCTTACGTACTCGGTGCCGCTAACCTTGCACAATAGTCCGATCAAAGCCTTGACAAGGTGGTCAATAGCTATTCCGGGAGTATGCTCTCTCGGTGTCCATAGGACTCTTCATGGCGTCAGGTCCACTTCAAGCCTCAACATCTTCTTTGCTCGGCAAGGGAATTGCCTTGTATAGCAGGATGAGAGCAGAGTGGCTCTCGCCACCACCGGACAGTGTCTGGACAATGTCGCCAGGTACTTCGGACACCTTGTCATCGTTGAACCACCACCATTTGCCATCGCTCTCTGTGCGCTTACCACCTGGTGCTTTCGGGTCGTCCACGATCTTGCCCTCCTTCTTCACGTACGCAGTGTAGTGCCCGCTGTCCGCACTGGCTCCCTGATGAGTGATGACGCCGGTGAGTTCGTACAGACCAGACTTGTTGGCGGTCTCATCAGCAGCCAGCTCTGGATCGATGGCTTCATAAAGTGCCTTTCGAGCTTTGCGCAGAGCTTCTTCCTTCTCGGCTTCATACTCGGCGTCGGTCTTGTACGCATCGAGGTCTCCGCCACGCTCTTCCTCCTTGCCTTTATCCTTGTTTTCCTTTTTCTCCTTCTGTTCTCGAAGCTTGGCAATGGGAGCTGCTTCCGCTGCAAGAGCAGCATCATGTTTGCGATCTTCTTCCTGCTTGTGACGCACTTTCTGTCTCTTGCGGGCACGCTCCATATCCTGTTCGTCCTTTCGGAAGTTTCGTACTTGGTCGCGGACTGGTATCAACTTCTTCCGTAGCTCGGGTGTGCACATGTCGACAACGTCAAGTTCTTCTGGAAAGGTCACCTTCTTGAGAATCTTTGCCTTCTTCTTGATATCGTTCTTCCAGAAGAAGCGTACAAACTGTACGGTGAGATATGCAGGCAGACGTGACAGCTGTGACTTCTTGGTGTAAATCGCATCACGGCCAAGTGTGTCCGATCGCTTCTCGAGCTCGTCGACCAGTCCCTTTTCCAACCCCTCTGACAGATGGTTCACTGTTGGATCGATGCTGCAGCGCAGCTTGTCAAAGGTCTCGTTAGCCTCTACAGCTGGCTCATTGTCGCCCACCTCTGCTGGAGGTGTTGTGGTTGTGTGAATGCTACCGGTCAGAAACCGATCAACGAAGCCGGCCTTGCCACCCATGCCTTTGGTAGTCTGCTTGACCTGCTGAAGGATCTGTGTCCACGCCTCTTCCGCGTCCTGCTGGGCGTAGCCACGGCCAGTCTTGTCTTTCTGAGCGAATTGAGGATATGCTGTGCGGAAGGCGTTCAGGAACATGATCGGCTCGAATCCTTTCTGGGTGTCGGCGAGGTTGTTCAGTAGATCCCGCAATCGAGAGGTCATATCGCCCTGAAGTCCTCCCAGTCCGTACTGGGAAAGCGACTGCAGACTCGGACCACTTGAGCCACCAGAGGCTGGCTTGTAATCTTCGAGCTCACTTCGCAGCTCAGGCATCGCACGCAGGATCTGAATTGTCGAGTTGAGGTAGCAGGTGTTGCCCAAATTGACGAGCCCAGCCGGCGTCGCTCCTTCCATGCGTGCCATTTCTGCTTCGGTCATGTCTTCGAGGAACTTGGGCTTCTCAGCCGGGGCGACCAGTGCACTTGCTTCGCCAGACGGACTACCAAGAACCCGGATGAGTTGCTTGGGTTTGAGGTTGAGTGCAGCTAGGTTGGTGTCCGACTTGAGCTTGCCTCGTGGAATGAGGACGCTCTGGTTGTCTGGCTCGACACCGGTAAGAGAAAAAATCTGGAACTTGAAAGTTTCTGCATCGCCGCTGGTATCGAGGTCAATGTCGTACTTCTTGCCCTGGTGCTGGACGATGATCGGTATGGTGGCCATCTTGAAGAATCTCGTTCAAGGAAGGCGCTACCTCAGCGGAGAGGACAGAGACCACGAAGTAGGAAGGTTCCTTCACAAAAGAATGCTAGCCTGGGAAAGACAGATACTAAAGGAGTGGCGTGGAAGGTGATGAATAAAGTAGAAATAGTCAACACTGACATTACGTAGATGCAGGCACGCCCGCGCCAAGCAATTCACTTTCCTCCGCAATGCCTCCGGCGTGCAGGGAAAGTGGGCTGCCTACGAGGCCTCATCGCTATTCCCAGGCCAGCCCTCTTCCTACCAACGTCCGCGAGCTCACAATACAGGTTCTATACCATCCACTTGACAGGGCGCATGTCTCGAATGCGACCGTCATAGGCTCAATTCTCAGGCGGTGACGCCCTTTCTCTCATAGCCGACAAGTCCGCCGCATCCTCGCCAGCCCGCCGGGTACCACATTACGCGCCATGTCCCAATCACTCCGGCCATACCTACAATGCGTGCGGTCCTCACTCACCGCCGCGTTGTCACTCAGTAACTTCGCCTCACAAACCTCCGAGCGACACAACGTTCCCGAAATCGAGGCTGCCTCATCACCAGAAGTCCTACTGAATCCACTGGTGGTGGCTCGCAATGAGAACGAAAAAGTCTTGATTGAACCATCGGTGAACAGTGTACGGGTGAGCATTAGGATAAAGCAGGCGGATGAGATCGAGCACATACTGGTCCACAAGTTCACCCGTTTTTTGACACAAAGAGCGGAGAGTTTCTTCATATTACGGCGGAAGCCTGTGAAGGTACAAACATCGGTGGCACCTTGTGGCTCATCGTGCGGCGAAGGCCCTCGAAAGAAAGTCCGCTAACAATTGCTGCCAGGGCTACGACATATCATTTTTGATCACGAATACCCACACCGAAGAAATGTTAAAGCACAAACTGGTCGACTTCATTATTCAGTTCATGGAGGAGGTCGACAAGGAAATCTCGGAGATGAAGTTGTTCGTATGTTTCTTGCAGCCTAAATCTAGATCATGTCCAGCCTTCTAATGCGCCGCTAGCTGAATGCTCGTGCCAGATTTGTGGCCGAATCGTTCCTAACACCAGTAAGTCTTGTCAGGGCTACAAGGAGCCACAAACTAACGTCCACTAGTTCGATTGAGATGTTTGCTGTGAACTCAGTATAGTCCTCTGGTCCACCAGGACTTGGCTGCAGCAGCAACCCATGGCGGACGCTTGCTGCCTCAATGGAGTCGAGGTTGCCTGGTCAAAGGCCAGTTGCGACCCAATGTAAGGTCGAGCTGACTTGCGAGGAAGGCAATTTCTACATGCCATGGTACAGAGCACGTCTGTAGTCGTTGCACATAGTTGCAGGTGTCGGAGATCAACACATAAAAGGTTGAAAGTCCCTGTCCGAGCTCTTTCAAAATCATGCCAAAAAAAGGCAACGAGGCGGCCACAACTGACTTCAGCATCGTTGCAATCCTGATAGCTGCCCCACATCGTCGTTTATCCTGTAGTCTGTGCCTCCGGGCTCGTAGTAGCTGGATGATATTAAGCATTGAAATCATCAGCGCCTCCTGTCGGCAAAAGTCATGACATGCTGCGTCGGAAATGCTCGAGACTACAGACATCTGTGCTGCTGGCCCCAGTGGTCCATACTGCAAACCGGGGTTCCAGAGCCGTATCTTACTTCTGCTGTCCTGTGCTCACTGTGTGAGATGTTGCGCCCGCTGAACAATACCGCGAAGGTAAGACAGCTGGTGCTCATGTATTGCATTCTCTTTCTTTCTCCCATTGCTGAACAAAGGCATGACTGTTACCTCTCCTGCCCCAGCAACAGCCGCCAGTAGCACAAGTGACTCCCAAAGCCACCTTCTCAGCCTCCTTTCGGTAGATTCTGTTTGCAAATTGGTTTCTGCGATATCTCCGGGAAGCACCACGGTAACTACGCACAAAACTTCTCCCTCTTTCTTCTGCCTCGTGAAGTCCGCAAGCTCGTCCGCCTGCGCCCTTGTCGCCGCTGCCTCGCTTTTGTTTCTGTAAGTCATTGCTCAAACCCGAGCGCAGAGAAGTAGACGCAGTACCTGTCAGATAGAGAGAAGAAACGAGAACGTCCGAGGCTAACCACCTTTTTCGACCACAGTAGACACGATGCCTTACCAGGCGCCATACGTGGTGTCGGTCGGCTCTCGCTCCTCGGCCGAGGAAGGAGAGGAGGTCCGGGTGCCCTTCGTAAGTCGATTGAAGCTTCCATTCGGAAGCACAATGCAAAGCGCAACACGCGAAAAGGATAAGACATACTAACCTCGCGTCACAGGAGGCACCTTCCCTTCCTCTCCGCTCCTTGGCCAAGAAGGCCACGCAGGTACGTTGACAACATCGTTTCGAACGTCTTCGCGCGCAGTTCGTGCTTGTTGGCCGAAGCTCAAAGCGAAGAGCCTTCGAAAAGCTGCAATACTGCCATTGGCTCTGCATGAATCAACCCCAGGTCTTCATTTTGTTGCAGCACTGCTGGAAAGTGACATCAGCTGTTCGAACGACTCTCAGACGAACCTCACAGCCAATTGGTGTCTTCAGTCTCGGCTCTGAGCGGGTCCAAAATGCTTTCACCAGGCCTTGCGTTTGCCTAACGACCACATCCTTGCTGCTGATTGCGCTGCGATCAGGTGCCCCTGATTTCGATCAGAGCTAAGGTCGAGTCTTCACCCAGGGCAACGGATTCCACTGGGTCCGCAGTCATGTGTCACTACTTCCTGAGCAGCTCTGTCAGTCGCAACTCTACCATTCTTTCCGATTTGATTGATCTCCACCTCTCATTGCATTGGCACATGAACATTGTTCTCATTCAAAGGCCCCCTCAATTGAGACTGCACGCCCCTCGATCATTCCGAGTATTTCTTCGTTGTGATCGTACACCTGCCCTCCGCCTGCATCTCATTGCGCATCACTGACGTCGGTTTAGCAGCAGGTCACCGTTCGCGGTCGCGAGGACGAGTACACCTGTGTTTGCGAGAATTGCAGCTGGCCGTTTCGCTTCGGCGACTCAGAGAATCACCACCTTCGTTGCCCGGCTTGCAACTGGAGTAAGTTCATTTCTTGTCAACAGGACTTACCGCCCCCCATTTTCCCGCAGGCAGAAGAGCATCTTCAGCAGAACGAATCTACATCCTGATCATCATGTAACTCACCTTCGCAGGCCCATACCCAAACCTGCTTCTTCCCGGCCGTTCGCGCTCAGCTCCTAAGGAGGACACGGTCGTCAATATGCCTCGACGCACTCCGAACTTCTCCCGACGCACCTCGAAGGCCTATCCTCCTGCAAGCCAGAATGACCGCAGCACAATTGGCAGCATGAATGACAACGCTGCTTGGCGCAGTGGAGCAAATATTCCGAGATCGATGGTCTTGACCGGCAACAACTCTACGGCTGGTGAGATCACCAACGATGAGGTTGCTACCGCCGGCATGCGCGCATATGGATTCCACGTCGACAACTATCCGCCCTTCGTCGACGGCACTCGTGCCGTATACCCTTCAACACTACCTGTAGTCCGCATTGAAGGAGTAAGTAGCACTTCGCCTTCACTTACCTGTGAATTATGGCCGTCGTCACAAGTCCTCTTGCTCGTCACGATCGCCTGCTAACTCACCAACCAACAGGCTCCGTACGCCATTGGCGCTTCCGAAGTCTCCATGTGGGCTGCCAAGCATCTCTTCCACTACGGCAACAAAGAAGGCTCTTCGGTCACCTACCCGATCCACATCCTCATCGACCGCTGCACCGGCAAGTCTATGGACATATGGCTGGAGCTGCCTACGCAGGCTCTTGCGAAACAGGTCCTGTACCGCTACCAATCTTACCTAGACAACAACCAAGTCCCTAAGATCAGCAACAAGGCAGTCGGTGTGTTCGCCAGCTCGCAAGGCGAACTCATGAAAGCCATCTTCCCGATCGCAAAAGATATCCACTGGGATCCAGACACAGGTATTCCGGTCATGGTCAACACCGGCCGCATCGGAGACGACGGCATGCCGACCACTGGTTTCCGTGGGTTCGTCTGCCAGGAAGAGCTGTTTTGCGCCACCAACCACACTCTATGGCCGAGTCGAGCTCCCAGTGCCGACAAGTCTCCTCAGCGTGGCTACGAAGCATGATGGCTACTGTCAAGAAGTTCCCTTGGGCTTCCGAATACTACCTCGTGGCTGAGCGTGACAGACTGTTCCCATCCTACTTCAGCATGCTCGGTCAGCTTCTCATGAAGGTGTACGACAAGGGCTATGTCAACGCTCATGGCCGTGAGGTCGGTCTGTCCATTCCGCTGGCTCGCGCCTTTGTCAATACTGGTCTCCGATGCCCTGGCTTCTCCGAGCGGCAGAAGGCTCGCATCGCCGAACTCGTTGTCCCGTTATCCGACGAAGCCGTTGAGATCTCAACTTATTGCGCTGTTTGGCCATTCCATTGCTTGAGCATCCCAGATGAGGTCGGCGATGATGATCTCGATAAGTGGATGCAGCTGTTCGACGTAGGCGCCACCAAAGCTTGGCTCGGCAACGATGGTGGCACGATGTACCAAGTCGGTGACTTCATCCAGCTGGGCAAGGACGACAAGGGCTTCTGGATCGTGGTCGATCTGCTCAACGGCAAGGAATTTCTGGACCTCGTCGATGACCAAGGCGCGGCGTATCGCGTTGATCAGCTTACCTATGCCGAATTCGCTCGAGCTGAATCCATCATGATGAAGGACATCATGCAAACTGCCTGGGACGAATTCTTTGCGATTCGTCAGATGCCTTCTACAAACATCGAGTTCCCAGATGTTTTCGAAGGCAACCAGGTTGCGGAAAAGATGGAACTACTCGGCTGCTTCCGCTCCGGCGGTATCGCACCTCCCAAGAAGGCTCTACCTGGTGACGATATTGTCCAAGTACCGGAGAATCAGTGGGGTGAATGGCAAGCTCTGATCACATGCACCACTGGCACATACCCTGTCAAATCTGCTACCGAGTCGCTTGCTGAAGTGGGCATCCTGGTTCCTCCCCAGATCGAGGCCGCGCACCAGAAGGTTCAGGCTGTCATTCGAGGCGAGATGCCGGTCGAGGTGCTCGGACTGAGCTATTCCGAGCTCAAGAGCACCGAAGTGACCCTTCCTATCAATCACAAGGTTCTTGTGGATGCTCGTCCTGGCTATGGTAGCTGGCATCCTGATGTCGCGAAAGGTCGATTCAACCCCTATGCGAAGCGGCCCCAGAACAACTTCGACTCGGAGGATGATGACGACTCAGAAGAAGGGTTCGAAGAGAACATCAACTCATTCGAAGCCACGCCCAACGTCGGCATTCGTTCCTCCTATGACACCGGCACGTATTCTTGCCCACCCGTTGCCGCCAGACAGTTCATCGACTTCGATACCATCGCCAAACAGGCTGTTGCAACCAAACCTGGTTCGGTTGGAAACACACCTACACGAGTTGGCAGCAACGATGACACCACCCCTGCTCAGGCCAGTCCCGGTCTCGGTGCCTCTCTAGCCGATCTTAGCATCCACCAGAGTTCTCTCTATGGTGCCTTCATCAGCTCTCCGGGCAACAAAAGTGGCTTGATGCGCGCACAAGCTGATCCTTCTCGTCCCAGCAGCCCACTCCGCCAGACAAGCCCTCGTCGTGCTGTATTCAAGGATCCGTTCCAGCCTTCTACTCCGGTTCGCCAGGGTAGTCCCGAGCGTATGTCTGGTGTCTACGTCCCGCCTGCTCGTCGTGCAAGCCCAGAACGCGGTGCCATCCGCCCACGAGAGCGCAAGGTCGAAGGCAGCCCCGTTCGTGGTTCGGTCAGTCCCGCTCGTGGCCAGGTCAGTCCACTGCGTGGTCGTAGCCTGTCACCCAACAAGCGAGCTGGTGATGTTGCACAAGACTTCGGTCCGATCGGCACTCCTACGGGTCGCAACACCATCAACCGTGCTTCTACCATTCCGGAGGAGTCTGAAGAGCAAGCCCAGTCTCCAACTCGAGGCCGCGGCCGCGGTCGCTTCTAGCCGCTCGTGTCATGCTTTAGCGCGTTGCTTGCCGGCTTCAGAGAAAGCAAAAGCGTCTGTACGTGGATTCTGCACGATGTGGTATGATGATCATGGCATCTTGCGATGTGGACAATTCAGGTGTGGGAATTGACGGCGCAGCTTCTGGATCAAAGGCTTGGGCGTTGGGAGTTGGAACAGGATCGCATGAAACGCGACCACGTTATGATACCCCAGGAGGCCTGCAGATGACCGAGACTGCCGAAATGTCAGATCAAAAGAGCGTAGATAAATTAGAGTCGATGAATGAGATACGTCCTCTGAATCAATGCGGGAGAATGAGAACGTGAGGTAGAAAGCTCTCGCCAGGAAAGCCGTCAATTTTGTGCTTTTCTGACCTGCCTGATTGGCCGACGATGTCAATGCTGTGTCCAATCAAACACGCCCCATGTGGTTTTAATTTTGTACTGTACTTGAAGTTGAAGCTGCTGGTCATGACCCTGTACAGCATCTCGAGGTCAACAAATTCTGATGAACCCGGATCTCGACGCATGCTTCCTTCCAGGTCTCCAAGAGGACATGAATGGGTCGCCGTCCCGTGAAGTAAGCACCGAGGGGTACCCTACTTTTAGCCACTGCTTCTACTCCAAGGCTTAGCTGTGCGTAAGACTCGCATCTCGTGTTACGCGAACTCAGAATTGACTTCATTCCTCTCAAAGGGTACAGAAAAGGTAGGACAGCGTGGGCTGCTATCTACGGCAACACCTTCACAGTACTCGGGTGTCGGAAGTGCCTGCAGCTGGAATATGACATCGGGCGCATCACCACTCCCACCAAGGTTTCTTACGAAGAAGAATTCTATCCTATCTCAACTTGCGCTAGATCCAAGCGACTATGATGACAAGTCTCCCAAGGGCAGTGTTGACGCTCAGATCTTTGATCTCATTCGACTCATCAACGGCGTAGAAGGATGGGTCACGACAAGCAGTTGCGCTGGACGTGTAGCTGTCTTCGTGGAGGGCCCGAAGAAGGAAGTGCCTTCGAACAGATCAACGTCAAATTCTGGAGAACCTCCTGACAAGCAATTTGACAAAGATGCTGCATTCCTGGCAGATGTGGACCGTGAGGGTACAGGGTCTGAAGTCAAGACAGCACCTGGTGGCAAAGGCGGCGGACGATGGCTCTTCGTTTCGCACGATCCTCCTGACGTTCCTGATCTACAAGAAGTCGGCTCTGAGTTTTGGACACAGAAGTTCGGAATGTCCAGAAATGGCGATGTACCGTCCTCTGCTCGACTGATTCACCTCACTTACTCACCCCTGATCCTACACGTCCTCTGTGCGACACTCGACTACGCCAAGCCGCTGCTCGCTGCTGCCATTAACGCCGGCTTTCGCGAATCTGGGGTCCAAAGTCTGAAAGCCCTGGACCCGGACTACGATGGCGACGGTGTGATGGTGGCTATTCGGACAAACGGCATTGTCTTTGAAAGCGTGATAGGACTCTATGATCCGTGCAGAGACAGTGCAGCAGCTATTGTGTCTGAGGAGTATCTTGCGATGTGCACGGGAATCGTCGGAGAGAGGTTTCGGTGGAATGAAGTCAGAAAGGAGAGATTGGTGCAGGAAATTGTTGGGGCAATGAAGCGCACGCGACTTGCAGAGGGCGCTAAGCAGATCGAGACCAAGGACGATCGACGACAACGGAAGCGACAGGAGGGACTGGCCAGACAGAAGAAGCAACAAGCTGCGCAAAAAGAGGCCAATGTGAGCCAGCAGACCGACAATGTTGAGGACCATGATTGAACAGTCCAGAAAAGCTGACAATGCTGCCCAATGTCATTGGCCCGACTTAGATCACCCTCCACTGAAGTCACAGCTTCTCACGGCCTGGCTTGCGACCCCTCGCCAGAAATACCCTCCTCGGGTTCTTGCCCGCAATCATAATCTCGCCCTCCATAGGTGTCCAATCCACATCGACCAAGCCACCCGCCTCTTCGAACAACTTCTTCACCGTTTCCTGACCAAAGCCAGCATGCGCCACGATCTTCTTGATATTTGTCGGATTATCCTCCATCTCATGGCTCATCAGATCCACTATCGCCAGCGTACCGCCTGGTTTGAGCCTGTCGGCTAGGATCTTGGTGGCGTGGGGCAGGTCCTCGAAGTGGTGGAAGCCAAGGCCGACTATGGCGAGGTCAAAATCATGGTGTTCGGGACCCGAAAAGGATGCGGTCGTCTTTGCCATGGTGTCTTCGTCCTTGGAGAGGAGGTCGGCCTGGGTGGCGTGTGCGATGTCAAGACCTTCTCGCTGGGCTCGTGAGTTGTATTCGGCTACCATGCCATCGCTTAGATCCAGGCCGACAAACTCGTCAGCGTGTCCAGCGAGCGCAAATGTCACAGTGCCAGGCCCGCACGCGTAGTCGAGGACTCGGACGCGGGGCTCGTGCGGTACTTGCGTAGAGGTGGGAAGCCCGAGAAACTCGAGATTGGATTGTAGGAATGCGGTCACGCGCGTGACGATGTCCTTCTGCCACGGCTGAGAGGTGTAGGACTTGGCCATCGAATCCCAGTGTGCGCGGTTGTGGGAGGTGAAGTCGGACCCGCCCGTGTTTGAGATCGCGGTAGCTGCGTGATGTGCGGCATGCTGGTGGGCAGAGGCGTGGTCCGGGTGAGGATGACCATCGTGGCCGTGAGAGTGGTGAGAGTGGTCTGACATGGTTGATGGGACTAGGGGGTCTTCGCAGTTGAGATGACGCTACGGATCTGGAGCTTGACACCTTTTGAAATCAGAAATGGTCTTTCTCGAATGTGAGGCAGAACGAGGTTGTGTCCACTTGGTATAGACGCTGTATACGACCTTCCAGATGTATTCGCCAAGGTACTATTACGGCTGGCTAGTAAGTAGATTTGTATAGCATGTCAGGTCGACGGAGGTTGTGGAAGTATAAGGAAACATTCAAAGGTTCTACGCCGCTGGCCCCTTATATGCAACTTACGTTACTGCATACCCTAGACGGGAAAGAGAACGTGCCGACGAGCAGTCGGCGTCTATAGTCAGGCTTCTGTGATGCGGAAACTTTCTGCCCCAGAAAATGTCCGGCCAAGGAATCGAATCTTTCCGCGGGGATTTTGGAGCACTGCGCTATGCTTTCAAGTCACCGAGTTGTAGCGGGCTGCCTCGTGGTGCTTTGAAAGTCGCCTTTCCGCTCGCTTGTGCACATCAACCAGAGTGTTTGGGTAGATACCACTGAAAAGTAGACCAGACGCGGATCTGAGACGAGATCGCGTGACGTCATCACCGCGTTCTGCCTGCCAAGATTTTAGAGACAGGGATAGATCAGAAAGGTGAAGATGGTAAAGCTGTGGGGGATGGTATACCACTTGAAGTAGTTTGACAAGGCAGCTGCTAGCAGACGAAACCAAGCCGGCATAGCGGTCGGACTTTTTGGATCAACTCGGTGGCAGTCGGGGAAAAGAGTCGACTTCAATTGCTTCGGTGAGAACGGTAAGACCGCTGAAGACAGGCAGTGTTCGGACGAGGCTCTCCATACTGCGGAATAGCACGATTCGGCTCAACGAAGGGAGAACTTTATACAGCGATTGAGACCTTCAACTTTTCTGGACCGATCTCGACCTCTACAGCTCAGCCTGTGAGAAGGAGTAAGCTACCTGCAAGGATGCCACGAAAATCTGTAGGTCGTCCCACGACGGGCACTCCAAAGACCGAACCGGCATCAGCGCCATCGGGATCGCTACCAAAGAGAAATCACAAACGCCATCTCTCCGCAGGAGGCAACGTAGCATCAGCGACCGGAGATGCCACCGACCATCCGACATCTGTTACACCGGGCACCAGGGCGTCGAAGCGGTTGAAAGACTCTGCAACAAGCACGCCAGTCACAGGCAAGAAAAGCAAGTACTTCGATGGACCTGGGTCGGAAGACGAGGACGAAGACCTAGTCGAAGCCTCTTCTGCATCTCCCAGTGGTGACGACTCGGCCTCCGGTTATGGTGACGACTCAGGCAGCGCCAGCGAGGAGAATGAGAGCGGGCAAGAGAGCGAAGACGATTACGACTCGGAAGAAGACACGAAGAGAAGGTCAAAAGGTAGCAAGTCACGAGCAGGAACTGGCAAGGCATTCTTCGGCAAGCAGAACTCACAAATGTGGCGTGAGGGTGTCAGTACGTATCTTCGCGAGCCTCCACCAGCGGTCAAAGGGCCACGGTCTGTTCAGCGTTCATTCGAACCGATATCAAAGAGACCGGCTGATGCCTCCCTCCTTTGACGCTGGGCAAGGTGTTTCATTTGTTCTTTCATGCCGACCCGTCCAGAATTGTTGACAGTCGTGTGGGCCTCGGGCCCTAGTCCTTTCCATGCCTCTACCATCTACCCAGTCTTCAAGATATCTGTGTAGGCTAATCGAGTTTAACAAAACAGAGACTGGCCTCGGACCTGGCAAACAAGTCTTCATAGAAAAGCCAAAACCTCGGGGAGATGGTGGCATCAAGTATGTCGCTGATCGCATTCATCCAAACACGATGCTGTTCCTAGAGGATCTCAAGGCCAACAATGACAGAGAGTGGTTGAAGAGTATGTGTATTTTCCTCTGGTTCTTTTATTCCTGCTGCACAATTGTATCCTTTGAAGTTCTGCGGCAGACACTCACGCGATTCGGCGTCCTGTGGCAATCCTGCAGACCATATGCGAAATACATTATGGTCATGTATGGCTCTGGTTTTCACCCCGGGCCTGTCAGACTTTCTGGGCGTGGGTTGTATCGCTGCTTGTTTCCGGGCTCCTGCTTCCAGATACCACTCAACCACTGATACCCGATATAGTGCATGATCCAGACTTTCGACAATCTTGGAAGGATTGGGAGAGCTTGGTTGATGTTCTTTCAGAGAAAATCTCAGAGATTGACGAAACAGTGCCCGAGCTACCACCGAAGGATCTGGTGAGCATTCTTGGGAATGTGCGCCGAATGTATTGACGTTCAAAGGTATTTCGCATCTATAGAGATGTCAGATTCAGCAAAGACCCAACTCCGTACAAGGTTTGTGTAACGTTCATTCAACGTCGTGGACGTTAAGATTTGGGCTAATATCTTGACTAGCCACATTTCTCAGCAGCATGGTAGGTACTTTTGAAGCTTTCAGACCAGCGATGACGCGTTCGCTGATACGCCCCAGGTCTCGCACTGGCCGAAAAGGGCCCTATGCGTGCTATTATGTGCAAATATCGCCTCATGGAAAGAGTTTCGTCGGTGAGTTGTCGCTCTAGAGAGAACTACACGACCGTGGAACGCTGACGCTTCGTGATTGTGAAGGTGCTGGCTTGTGGATGCCAGAGGCTGCGCCCCTGGCTCTCCTACGCCGAGATATCGTACGAAAGCCCGAGAAGCTACGCAAAGTCTTGACCGATCCTGCCATGCGTAAGCATATTCTCGGAGGCATCGCCAACGATCCAAAGAAAGCGGTGAAAGCTTTTGCAAATCAGAACCAGGATAATGCCCTGAAGACGGCGCCCAAGGTAAGCCTCATTTCTTCTGCCCCAGTAACTGTAGATCAACTCTCGCTTTGTAATTGCGTTGTGTCAACGCAGCGGCTTCAGGGGCTCGACAGCAGACCGTCGTGCCAACCGTAAAGACTCGATAATTGCGAAGCAACATCGAGCCCCATGGGGAATGGTTCGCAGCATCTGCGTGTAGTGGACAGAGTTCGGAGCACACTGATCCACTTTGTGAACTGTGATAATGCGACTTCGTGCATGATTGACGTGTCTGTTACGAAGGAAGAAGAGAACGAGGATGCAGTCTGCGGCCTTTGTGGTCGCCACATCCCTGGGAAGAGAGGCAAGGCTGAATGCGCGCCCTGGAGCAAGGGGGAAGAGCGCGAAAGTCGGTACTGGGTCGGGTAGTCCCTTTACCAAGCGCGGGCGGTCCCTCTACTAGTGATCCTGCCATGATTCATCGTACGCGCACAGCTTTTGTTGAGGAGCAGGGAAGGCAGACCGTCGGATCTCGCTTTGCGTCGAAAATTGACTGGACTCTGCATCAAGATGCATGCCACGCATGAATAGTCAACTGACGGGTCACATTACTAGGGTTACTCGGTCGAAGACGCCTCGATAGAGCTACTGCGGCTGCGAAACTACACAGCTGGTCACAGGCTTCCCGAGCAGACTGTGCTTTCACCAAGCTTGGTCAAGGAAATAGCCGTCCTTATTGGTAGCTTATACCCTTTGGTAAGTCCCTTAGCTCACCTGTCAACCTTCGCGTCCCCACACACACACACGGGCACCAAGTTCTCTCCCCTCGCTGGGGCAACCGGACAGCAAACTCCTTTCCTCGCTATCGTGACGAGACGGCACTGCTCGTCCCGCGGCGCGCTGCGTTGCGTTACTGCACATTGTGCTTGCGGTCTGCTAGAACTTCCAGAACAACACTTTGCTGACGACATCATTAGGTCACATACTTAAATTCCGTCGTCATGCCCGAGGACGATGCCTCAAGCAGTGATGCTAGCGATCCAAGCGAGGATGAAATGTAGCGGCAGATTAGCTTGGAAACAACAATCTCACACCAGTACTTCCTGACCCTCGTATCTGCCGATCTAGTCCATGACAGATGAGTCTGCGACTGGGGTATAGCAACAGAATCTGCTCGCGATACTTGCTGCGTAAGGGCGAGTATCCTGACTAGCCTACCTTGTCGGCCGTCGAAACACGACTCGTCCAAAGCTACCATACCAATAAGATCATCCGATACCTACGGCAGGCTTTCGTATCCGGGCTTTTGTGACTGATGATTGGCACATGCTCTGCAGCGGCACAGAGTCATGTGACGAGACATGCGGAAAAGGTTGAGGTGTCGTCGGCTAATCGTCCGTGGATCTGGCCTCATATTGCCGTCGATTTGTAGTGAAGTTTGATCGTCTTCTGCACAGCACAAGCCGAGACACCGACTCATTCACATGGCAGGGCTGTCAGTGACTGGTGAAGCGAAGCCGCACAAGAGCGGCACTGCACGCAATCGTGGCCTTCCACAGCAACATCGAAGCATGGTTCACCAGTGCCAGACTGACACGTTGACCTGGCGATACCTGGTAATGAGCCGCAAACCTGAGTGTTACCCACGCAAGCGAGATTTTAGCAGCACGTTAGCGCGAAGCAACGTGCGCTGCCAGTTCAATGCGCTCTCATGTCTGAGATCGACTAAATGGCAGAAAACACCAACAACGCTGCGTCAGACACATTTGCGGATTGCTCAGCTGCATACTGAGGACTTGCAGATACGAACGTTTGCACCCTGCGCAATCGCCGATCTCAGGTGTCATATGTGCCCAACGATACGCTGCGTCAACGCTATTGTATGTGGCATTGGACGAAGCAGAAAACTAGGAGCGAGCTGGCCAAAAATCCGACCTATGTCTCCTTGGTGAGGCATGCCCAGGCATCGTCCAATCACAGGAGACTAAGAGCCGAGGACGGATATCGCGATATAGGAACGGCCCGACCATGCGATAGACTTATACAGTACAGGTAATGAACAGGGATAAACAAGGCTCACCACTCACCACTTGAACTGCAGGCTGCAGTCACAGGCGATGTGCATTGAGCCCAAGTCACGATACCTGTTTGGTGCCACCAGCCTCTGGTCAACTAGGTCCAGAACGGCAAAGAAGGACGGCGCGGCACGCTCCAGCCAGAGGATCCCTTTGACGTGGCCTTCGAACGGGACTATAGCCGCGAGTGACCATATGACAGCTGCATCTATGTCGCTTACTGACAAACCCCAGTGATTTGTGAGTGGTCAGGCCATGGATTTGAATTCAGACTGACAGCTGTAATAGGTTCACTTTCGTGCTCGACAGCCACGAGTGATTAATCTTAGCTGCATTCACTCTGCACCGGTCAAATACGCACATTAGCCGCGCCCGATCAGTGCGGATTTCCACTGTCCATTATGACATGCTGGTAAGACTCGGACAGCAGGGCAAGACAATCACATGATAGCACACATCCAGACAGTGCGCAAACTTCCTTGCTCTGGCAGCAGGCTTTGTTAATTCTGCACGACAGCGGAGAGTCAGGCGTCGAGATGCTGTTGACTGGTGGCACGCAAATGCCGCGAATGGGATGATCGTCAACGGTTTCTAACCCCTCACTTCGCAAGAAAGGCTTTGAGCACTGTCTTCTGATGGGCAAATCGAAGCCATGCAAGACCAAGCTTGCAAGGGACGCCAGGCGGGTGACACGAAAGACCCCTGCGCCCGAGTGGCCCGACCCAGTGTTCCAGGGTATGCTTTGACGGCGAACGATGGATACTACTACTCGCACATTCCAAGGAAGTCATTCGTCATTTGAAGCTGACGGGATCTACCATAGCAGCGTCCGTTCGGACAGATGCTTTTGAAGACGTGGTCATCGCCTGCTCCGTCTGTCCTAGCTCAAACAAAATAATCCAGCACAATGATGTCGCGCAGATTGATTGCATAGGGCATATAGAAGCTGGTTATACCAGTCTGATGTTATTGAAGCCCAGACATCGTGCTGCCTCAGGCACAGGTACTACGTGTGCAGGCGAAACGCGAGGCCTGATAAAGCTAGACCTGTCAACGGCTCGGAGTACAAGGCATGGTGCGTCCCGCGGTCCAGCTCTCGTCTCATTGTGGAGCTCCTCCATACATCAGTATTTGATATCTACTAGTACGAAGTAATTGTACGTGAATGGGGGGCGGTGTAAGCATGTGGCTCTATCTCATCGAGCACCGGTCCTCGATGGCCAAATCACCTGCGTAGAAGCCAAAGTATAATGCCTGGCAGGGAGTCATCAACTCGAAGTCTGCATATGTCTGCACAAGCGATTTCAGGTTGATCAAGGGCTTTGCGTTAGGCGCATTCGCGGGCAGCGATACAGAGTACAAAGCAGCAAACAGTACTGCGGGAGACTGGGCAACACATCATGCAGTCAAACTGGACCTGCTCAGCCGCTAGGATATTGCCGGGTCGTGTCCGCATCTATCATAGACAAGTTACAGCATGGTCGGATGAAATGTACGCAACGACCACACATAGTGAGCAATGGTGTCAATATATATGACTCGGCATCCCTTGACCGAAGCAGAACGGAAGATTTCTTGACCGACTCCATTGGACATCAGTCCAGTTCAGCTTCCTTGTGAGATATTGATGTAACGCTTGGACTGTACACACAGAAACTCTTGTGCTAGCCATCGCACCACTCGTCAGCCATACCAGTGACAAGCAATTCTTCTCACCAGAATCGTGCTGTGCTTTTCTCACGCAACGAGTTTTCTATCCACTGCTGTCTCAGCCGCCACCACCCAATCAGGAGTCCATACTCAGCAATCATCAGACGACCAACCAAAGCCTGAGGGTTGCCTATCGATAGACGGCTGAGGAATGAACCTAGCGTTTTCCTACGGAACGCAATTTTCGGTCACGGGGAGAGGCCAGCGGCGCTTTCCATACCCTTCGTCCACTCGCGCAGACCTTACTGGAAGCTGATGCGATCTGATTTCGCTCTATCAAGTTAGCGGACGAGACGCATCCCTCATCACCCATGATTGTGCACTGGACGGCCTCACACCACACCGACCTGGAGCGCACCTGCATATTTTCGAGATCTGGCGGATGCCGGAAACCAGAGAAAGTGCTCTTCGACAAATAATTACCCCTCGTTTTATCGCCACAGACAACCTCTAAGCATCGTCATTCTCGGCCACCATTATACCATACTATCTCAGCTCTGCTCACTTCACCTGCCACTGGGCTGTATTCAGGCGCTGGTGGTTGCACTCATATTATCAGACTTCTTCCTTGATCGGCCGAAACTGCAACCACAGCGATATATTTATTGCGCAAACCATCGTAGAAACTTTGGTGGACTGCTTTTTGCGCTACTGTGCCTTCGGGAACGGCTCGTTGAAGCAGACGCAAGACACACCCACAGAAATAAGGCCTGGCACTACACGGAAGCTGGCACCCGACCCGCAAAACGTGCTTTGACCAGCTGGTGTCACAACTTCAGCACATCACGACCTGACTGTCATCCATCTTAATGACACTCAACGCGTTCAAGTACTAGTATCGCATCAAAGCCGTCGCAGAATACATCAACCTGTTGACCGAACGGAATTGCAACGGCTCGGCATTTTTCACTCGTCACAAGCACAGAATTTGTGCAGCCATACCCCTGTCACCAACCCGCCTAAGAGGCACTAAGGCCACGCTATCTAGACCCAGTAGCCTGGAACGACGGCCCTTGCCAGTGCAGCACTGGAGCTGCAAGTGGAAAAGAAGGTCAGTTCCCTTCCCTTCCCTTCCTTCCTCCCTCAGGCTCTATCCACCCCTCCCTTAGCCTTTCAGGCTCTCCAGCAGAACCCAAATCATCTGGTTGCAATAACGACTTGTTGCTGGTCCGCTTCATCTCCATACGCCCTTGGGGACTCGGGATCCAGGGTGCGCCAGAGAATTTGCAGCCTGTAGTCGGCTCGCCACGCTCGTTGCGTGCCCCTGCTCATCCACCCACTCCTCCTCCACACCTCAGCCCTCACCTCACCAATCACTTGCACAATACCACCACCATCACCCTTTCTCTTCATCGCTGCCGTCATCCTCTTTCTCACTTTCTCAGCTCGTCACCTTCGCACCACACCTCAGCCCGCCAACCACGAGACGAATCGCCCTTGCCTCCCGCGGTGTCACCTTTCCAGAAATTCTCGCCTTTCGCCAGACTTGCGCAGCTGCACACAGGTATCCACCACACGATCGCCTGTACTTTTCGACTGCCGCGCATCTGCGCTCTGCAGGCCGGATATTATTCAACCATTGTCTGCCCCTTGCATTGGTATCTTAGTTCTCACACCTTTTTCTTTTCTTCGACGACACCTCACCGCGACCTGTCGACTGGTTCGCTGGTCCCAACTCCTTGCCGACCTCCCTCCCCCTCTCTCCCGCCGCCGACGCCGACCGTACATATATCCCACCTTCGTTAGTTTCGGATACTCCCTGGCCTCGTGCGACCACCCCGACATCAGGGACCTGCATAGCCGCGGTACACTTGCAAATTACCCCCAACATGGCGCAGAACGGGGACAACCGACAGAATTATCCTCCCCAGGAGAATCATAGCCAGGGCCAATATTACGGACAACCACAACAGTCGCCTAGCCAGCGCCCACCTACTAGAGAAGACAGCAGCCAGTACTCCGGTCCTTCTCCGTCCAGCGACGCTCCTCGGCAGGGCCAGTATCCAGCGCCGCCTGCACAAGATCCTCGTGGGGCGCCATCTCATCCTCAGTATCCTCCTCCAGGGCAATGGGTGGGCCAGCATCACAGTGCTTACCCCCAACCGCCGCATCACTACCCTGTCAGTACTTTGTCTCGTACCTTTTAGTAGAAGCCACGTGCTGACATGACCAGGATCCTCAACAGGGCGCCTATTCATACCCACCGCCTCACCGCCCGGACATGAATCAACCGCCTCAGCCAGTGCAACCTCATGCGTATCAGCTGCCCCCACCTCACATACCAAACTACGGCTATGGCTACGGCTACCAGCAGCCACCTCCACCTCAACCTGCACCGCGTCAACGCACGGCTATCGCATGCAAATACTGTCGCAAGCGCAAGGTACGCTGGCTGTTCCCTATGTGCCATGAATGCGCTAACATTCATTAGATTCGCTGCTCAGGCTATGAGAATTCTCCCGATGGTCGTTGTCAGAACTGCATTCGATTCAATCAGCAGTGTTTGTTCCACCCTGTCTCATCGCAGGCGGCATTCGTACCCGTGGCTGCGATTCATCAATATACCAACGGCGGCAGACCTCCGATGCCAGGTAACGAGGGGCAATCCAGCAATGGCGCACCGTATCGCAATGGCGACCAGCCCATGATGCTGTATGGCGCCCATGGCCAACCCCTGGGTCCGTCCCCAACGCATGCGCAACAGCCGCCCTATGCATATGGTCCTCCTCCTCAAGCTACCCGCCGCAGGGGTACCCATATTACCCACCACCAGGACAGCCCCAGCAGCCTCCGACGCCTCTCAGCCGCAGCATCCCGGATCTCCTCCCCAAGGTGGTAGTGCCGTTGGAACGAATGGTGACAGTCAGGGACCACCTCAGACTTCGGAAGATCGGGTTAGTCTCAAACGACCTCCTCCTGACGAAGACCCGCACAACGAGAATTCTCATACTTGGTCACAGTCTCCTCACCCGAATGCTCGGGCTCGTCATAGTACGTATGACTCGCGTGCGAATTCAAGTGGTAGCTTTAGCTTCCGTGACCCTGCTGCTTTGACTCCTATATCCCCTGCGACTTCTGTTATGAGCCATCAGTCACATCCTCAACCACACACGAACGGCAACAAAGTACACAAGGATAACAGTTCTCCTCCAGGCTTGACACCTACTTCGACCCAGGGTCTACAGTCACCTCTCGCAGGTCCAAACCTTGAAGATACCAAAAGCCCTCAGCCTCAGCAAACTGGCTCTGCCAGCTCCTCGGTCAATGGCCGAGCCGGCATGAGCGTCAATGACATGATCAGTGGTGCCCACGGTCCCGTCGTAGAGCAAAGAGCTAAGAATGACAACGAGATGCTCAGCAAATTGGACGGCAAGAAATGATTCGCTTCCGGCAGCGATGGATGTGAACGGCCTCCACATCTTTTCCAATCGGTTTCCAACGGCCTCCTGATCAATTCTCTTTTCAACAATTCAAAACCACATAAGCACGAAACATAAACAACTGGGGCGACCCAATATCTCCTATTTTCCCCAACAGGTTGAACACCATCTCGTCTGGTCGAGCAGTCGGCAGAGCCGGACTAGCTTCCCGACGAGGTTTTCATTCATACAATAATGCTGGGTTCGGCTGTCTGATCATTTTCCAAGCACAACAAACCAAAAACGATACAATAACCTGGTAGCGATACCAACGGGTTTCGCTCGACATATCACTGTGTCAACTACAAACCGCAGATTATAGACTGTGGTGCACATGCAAAAAGGAGGATGCTACGCTGCAAAGCAAAGATCCTCTGATGATTTTTCGGTCGGTCCGCTTCGACGGATTCGGTCGACATTGAGACGGCTGGAAGACGACGGAGTAAGGTACACAGAGTCTAGGTCACCGACGACCTATGGGGCGGTCTTTTTCAAACGGCACGATAGGGTGACTCCGGACGCAGCTTATGTATAACGTCCGTGGGAGTCGCCGTGTATTGTAACGGAAGACGGGCAAAGGACGGAGTGGAGGAACAACAGTACACTCACGAGTGGAAGTGCGAGGCACAGTCGTGATCTGGGCAACGGGGTTCTCAGACCACGATCATTGATCACTGAGGCTATGGGACGTTCATTTCGATAGGTGTACAGCTTTAGTAACGACACGGAGGTTCATAATCGGGCTTCATGTTCCCTTTCTTACTCGCGTCGAGAGCCCTTCCATATCATCGACAACTGCTTCGGTCTGGACAGCTTGGGTTGCTGACCGTCCAGCCTGGACTCACTGCAGATACTAGTAAACAGTCACCACTGCAACGTTGCCTCTGTGCAGTAGGATGCTGGCATGGAGAAAAAGCCACCCTCTCCATCATCACGATCGGCGTTGAAACACACTTTCGATGATCATCCCAATCTCGCCGAAGGAAAGCGAAGATCCGGCCTGCCAGCGGCCGAGCAGGAACCCAAAGCGAAGGCGTGGCCCGCTGCCGCGCATGCACCATGCATTGATGAGAAAGCGAAAAATCGGTCAATCCCGTCAAGACTGGACTGAATGGACGTAGCACATCGTAATGCTTACAGTAATCTTCAACGATGATCCCCTGGCAAAAATCGCATCTGAGGGCCATGAGTGGAAGCCCACACAAGATTCGCTTAGGCAGGCCGTGCATGCAGTTGCGGTGAACGGCTGGGGTTCGGAAAGACTCGAGATGGGTACAACTCCGTTATTTCGTAATTCCGTAAGCGCGGAGTGGGCACTGATCATCCATCCCCGAAAATCGGGGGCGGTTTCATGTCGCTGCACGTCTGGTGACGCGACAGCAGGATCGACATGCAGGTTGCAGCGGGAAGGGCCAGAGCGTGGGCAATAATGCGGATATGCACGTTTTTTGAGATCGACGGTGAGTGTGTTGGAGATGGCTTTCGACCTTGATGATTGATTTGTTTGGCGGCTTGAGGGAGATACTTTACACCTGCATGATGTGCATAGCAGGAAGGAGACGGGATGGATGACATTTCGGTCCTCCTGCCGCCAAATCGTGGCTACACCCGTGGACTGCTACGGACTCGGATGTGAGCGGGTCGTCCTGAGTGTCGCCGTGCAATGAGACTGAAAAGGGCGATCCAAGGAAGAGTGAGAGGAGAGAGCGCTGACGGCTCAGTATTTTGAGGTGGTTATCATGTCGCAGTAGCTTTGTGAATCAGAATGCTCATGCGCAGTACAAGAAGTCCCAAGCCAGAGCGCGCCTTGATGGGGAAGAATCACGTCGAAAGTAGGCTTCCTGCATGAGTAGTAGGCATGCCCGGAGCCAAGTATGCGCCAGGCGATGGGCATGACACGAGACCGGATGGCAGCAGTCGCCAATGTCTTTTACGAGACCGGCTGACCAGTCGTGAAGAGAGTAGAGGCGCACATATATACAGTAGACAGTTATGTATCTGTCGGCGTTGAACTAGCCCCGGGCGCTGAACACCCCCACAGGGACTCGTTGCAGGTGTGAGGCGCCTATGGAAGCGGGGGAGATATGCCTGAAGACAGCCCCCGGAGGTTGCCCGCTAGAAGCTTACTTGACACCGGTTGACACCACTTCCAATGGAAAGACCGGATGACCCACCGAATTCTCGCTGGGCAAGGATTGACGCCGGTTGACAAAATCACGACTACCTAAGGCCGGTTGACTAACAAGGCACGATGACACGCCGGTCGGCAAACTCAACAGCCGTTGGTCGACATACTGGCACATCTTGACCTTCACCAGGCATTGTTTGCACGTCTTTGTTTGCGAAGCAACGGTCTTGCTATCATTAAGTTACTGCGGTATATCAAACAACTGGACGCCCAGATCGCGGATGCATTCGTCCAAGTCCTTCCAACCCTTGCTCTCGGAAGCCAGCAGTCTCTCCTCTTCGCTTGCATCTATCGCAAAGTGGCTAGCTGCCTCCCTCTTACCAGGCTCGCCAACTGGCACACGTTGAGCGAGCTTCGATGGGAGGACCTTTCGTGCGACGTCAGCGATTTCCTGGCTACAGTAGACACTCTTCGCGAGTAGTAACCTTCGCCCGCTCAGCTCAGCGTTGGCAAGACTTGTAACATGCGCATCGGCTACATCGCGAACATCGATCCACACGGGCCCTTTTGTGGGAGGCACCTTCCCGTCTGGCGCCGACAAGACATCCCAGACGAGCTGATTTGAAGTATTCAGCTCTTTTATCGAGGAAGGCAATGATGTGGGTGTATTCAGAAACGGTCCGAACACCATTGCGGGACACAGGCTGATAAGATCGAAATGTGGTTTCTTCTCTTCCATGAACGACCAAGCGGTCTTCTCGGCAACGGCTTTCGCGGCACGGTATGCGACGGGCGCTGCTGGTGCTGAGACACCATCAGAGTACTTCAGCGGGCACCAGTCTTTGGCGGTGTACGTGTAGCCAGGCCTCATGCCGAGCGAAGCATCATAGATGCAGGCGAAGCTGTTTGTATGAACGACTCGGCGAATCGAGGGCGCGGCTAGGGCTGCGGTGAGCACAGCTGTCGTTCCGGCCACGGCCGGCTCCATCAGATCTTTCTCGAAGTTCGAGACGTTGTATGCGAACGGTGCGGCTAGATGCAGGACTGCAGATGGCTCGTATGATTTGAGAATGTCCTCGTAGGAGGCGCTTTGGGTGATGTCGGTCACAACAGACGTTGAGAAGGCGTGGGCCTGTCCTGGGAGCAGGTCTCGCATGGTCGCTTTGATGGCTGCGGCCTTCGTCTCCGATCTGACTGTTCCGAGCACATCGTAGCCAGCCTTGAGAAGGGCATAGATGGTATGGGATGCAATGAAGCCGTTCGCGCCGGTCACGAGCACTCGTGAGCCTCGTTCGACGGTAGTTGTCGTAGCGTGCGGCATCGTGGCAAATCAGTGAGTCGACTCTGTTGTCGCCGTCTGACCTGGATTGTATGAGGCGGCTGTATGGTTGTTCCCTCAATCGTGAACAGCAATGGAGGTCAAGCTACTCAGATGCTGTCTGGAGAGCCAGACCCAACGAACAAGTCAATTTTCGTCGAAGAAGAGCTTCAAGAAGGGCTTCCACAGAACACCAAGTGCGGTCGAAGTGCAACAGAGAGTACCTAATGTCAGAGCCGCGCTTGCCTCCTCTACTCCAGTACGATCTCTCGTTCGAGGGAAGGAGCGACGGAGTTCAGACTAGCCTCACTACTGGCAGACTTACCTTCTCAGAGCCAGTAAGCTCCATCGCGGCCTATGGTACAGCACCTCGGCCCGCAGACACATCGATGCTGTACCCGATAAATATTCGCCGACATCCGAGTGTTGATGCTGAGATACGCGAGGTTATCTTTTGCGACGGTGGACTCAGAAGACTGAAGTTTATCCTAGATCCACTGGCCTGCCTCAGAACCACGTGATTTTGAGTTTCCGCCGGCGAGTCCACTTTGCGACGCCCCATCATCTTCGGGTTTCTGGGCAGTCGTTGGACTTCTGAGCGGCCACGCACCTTCAGCAAAGCGACACAATCCGTGCACCAGCGCTTTCAGCACCACGTGGTTTGGAAGTTGATGGAGTCACCAGATCTCCAGGTTTCGGCGGGAATCGACCCGGCCTTTTGGATCCAGGTATTCTCCAGGTCAAGGACTCAGAGCTGAGGGCTTCTTGGGGGCCTTCCTGGGTTTCTAGGGGCGCCGATGCCTCAGAACGTGCAACAGCCCACTCGCAGTACTGTGCAGAGCCTGGACGGCGAGTCGAGTAGTACAAGGCACCCAAGAAAGGGCACCCAGCGTTGGAAGCCGCCCTGTCACAGACTTGGCGACTGTGTTTGACGTAAGTGACATAGCACGTGTTGAAGACGCATTCTCTCTAGTACCAAGTACTCGTGATGATGTTAGACGTGAGAGTATTGGGAATCTTAAAGGTAATCTTTGTGTGAAATCCACACTCACAGACTCACTTGTGTGAGTGCGCTGGTAGCTATCATAAGATCAGTGGCTGTCCAGAGCATCCGAAGACACCTAGGAGGCCCGTGATCTGTGCTAACACTCCAAGTCGCTCAGTAAACATAAACAAACGCAGGATTCTTCCGATCCGTCAGTCTGATCCTCCTCTGTCTGCTCTGGCGCATCCAACGACGCCAGCTGCGCCTGCCTGACCTTGATGTTCGACCTGTTCCGCATTCCGTAGAGTAGTCTGAGCAATACTGACAACACCATGCTCCACCTGCGACACCAAAAATTGTGATCTTCGCAGGCAGGTAATCTGGCGCATCCTTTGCTTGAAACGTTTGAGGGCCAATAATGTTTGCAATGCTGAAGCGATTTGGATGACCACGTTCGATGCAACGCGCTTGGTGTAGCCGCTCGTATTGGCTCCTACCCAGGTGTAAATGATCGCCAATGGAGCGACGATGAAGTTGATGAGGAAGATGCCGGCGAGCTTGCTGGGTTGATCGGTCTTGGCGGTGAAGCTCATCAGTCCAGCGCCGATAATCGTCGGAATGAGGAGCAGAATAATGCTCAGCCAGCGAGGAAAGCCCTTGAGAATGGCATATGTAGAGCACATGGTTGCGACAATGCTGACAACGCCGGATGGCATGTTGAGTAGGGCAGACTGCATCGGAGTGTACCCAAAGCCACGAATAAGAGTGGCTGAGAAAGTCGTGATGACGCCGGAAGGTATGACAATCAGGATAGTCAGGACAAGCAAGAGCCAGATCTGAATGTCCATGAAAATCTCCCACAAGGAGCTGGCTTTGAAGATTTTCGCTCCGTTGCCGGCTTGGTCACGGGCGAGCTTGCGATGGATAGCTGCCTTTTCTTCAGCGTTGATGAATGTTGCCGCGTCGACACTGTCGGGCAGGAAGAATAAGACGATGAGTGCGACGGAAATGTTGACCGCACCGACCGCCACGAACATGATTCTCCAACCACTGAAAGAATTCTTGGGTCCATGCTGCGCAGCGTAGCTGACCAAACCACCAATTATCTGGCCAGCTCCCAACCCGCAGTACCAGATACCATATCGCGGACCTGCCTCTCTCTTCGTGTACCACTGTGAGGTCGTGAGGATGAGCGCTGGAGCAATCACGGCTTCGAAGGCACCGAGCAGCGTGCGTAGTGCAATCATTCCCGCGAAGTTGTGAGGTGCTGCGGAGCAGCAGATAGTAATTCCCCAGCACAAAACGTTGAAGCCCAAGACCTTAGCCAGAGGGAAGCGCTGCAACAGGTAGCCCTGCGGGAATTCCGCGACAGCGTATGCGATGAAGAATGATGTGGCCATCCAGCTGAAGTCGTTGCCCTTCATACCGAGATCTTTCTGCAAGCCCATGACATTGGCGTAATTGATCAGGACTTTGTCCAAGAATTGTAACAAGTAGCACGCGAACAGGATCGGTACAATTCTCCAGTCGATCCGACGAAGCAGTGCTGAGTCCTGACCATCATATGGAGCGACTTCGCCGGCAGCCTGCGTCTGGACGGCCTCGAGGTCTTTGGTCGAGTCGGCCATGTCCAGGCTGGCCTTCATTTGTTTTTCAGTGTCCATGTGGGACAGTTGTGTTGACAAGACAAACGATTTATGACAAGGTATCGAAATTCCAGAATTTGTTCAGCAAACTTGCATCCGAACAGAAACGTGTAAGGGCGAGGGCGCGTCTCTTTATGATGGTCCAACCTCAAGACACGCGCTCAGACTTCTTAGGAAGCAATAAAGGAACGTATCCGCCGTATCAGCCTATCTCGACTCTGCCGGCTCTTGCGTCAAGCAAGATAACGCCCATTTCAACAAGCCACCAAAGACCAGAGCCGCGGCGAATCTGGGGTAGTGCTGCAGGCGGATGAAGCAAGGCCTGGACCACGCGAGCAGGAGTGTGGCAGTTTCAAGCAGGAAGAGGAGGGGCGGCCAATCAAGCTCCCCTAAAATGGAAGTCGTCGGCTGTTGGACCCCTGCCCGGCGCAAAACTGTGGATAGTATGCGGCAGATCTTCATCGCCCGTCGCATAGCCCTGGAGCGACTCTTTGTGGAGACAATCCAGGACAAGAGTTCCACGATAACGGTTCTCGAACGCGCCGGCGGGAATGTGGACGAAGTAGCTACACTTCACGAGCCGCGGCCGTCGATGACATGAGGCAGTTGGAGCATGATTGTCAAGCAGTAATGACAGTCGACGGCTTCTATGCGCGAGTAGATTAAAAGGCGTAGGACTCAGATCGTCCTTGAACTGGACTACTTCTACACACCACTACCTAACGTTACCGATTCAAAGAAAGCGCTCAGCGGCCATCCAAACGCGACTCTCACAGACTCGACATTCTACAAGCTGGGGAAACCACCAAGATGCCGGGAATCCTGCGACCAGAGGTATTTAACATCGCCATCATTGGCTCGGGGCTGGGTGGCTTATCAGCGGCCATAGCGCTTCGACGACAGGGCCACCAAGTCACCATTTATGAGCGATACGACTTTGGTGGGGAAGTTGGTGCCTCCTTGAGTGTTGCTAGCAATGGGTCGCGGCTGCTCCAAGAATGGGATGTTGACATCAAGTCCGCAAAACCAGTTGTGCTGCGCTCGTTGATTATGCACGAGTGGGACTCGGGCGAGGTAAAAAGCACATATGACCTCGGCGACTACCGAACACGTTTCGGTACCGATTACAACAACTTCCACCGCATCGACCTGCACAACGTGTTGAAAGAGACGGCAATCTCACAGTCAGGGTCCGGTAAGCCATGCAAGCTAGAGGTCTGGCACAAGGCCACGAGTATCGATGCCGAGAACGGCGTTATTGCCTTTGAGAATGGCAACACCGTCACCGCGGATGTTATTATAGCTGCTGATGGGATTCGCTCCTTGTCCCGTGAGCAGATCGGAGTGGTGCCGAACATCAAAGCATCCACGTCCTGCTGCTACCGATGCATCATTTCGGCAGATAAGCTTCGAAAGCTAGGTCTCGAGGAATATCTGAACAATGAAGCGTAAGTCCCCAGCCCTTGACTCAAATTCCTGAAAGCGTCTGTGCTAACAAGTATGCCTCAGCATCGAGTTCTGGGGAGGGTATGGCATCAGCAAGATCGTTCTCTCGCCTTGCTCGGACAATAATGTTGTGTCGTGCTACTGCTTCTACCCTGCTGAGATGAACGACATCAGTGAAGACGGCTGGAACCTGTCCGCGAGCCCTCAGAAGCTAGTCGATACATTTCCCGGACTGGACAAGAAGTTGCAGACGTTGTTCTTGAATGCGGAGGACATCAAGATGTGGAGGTTGTACAACCATGATCCTTATCCATACTGGGTCCAGGGACGCGTTGCACTACTCGGCGACGCAGCACATCCGATGGTACCAGACCAGAGCCAAGGGGCGTGCATGGCTATTGAAGACGCAGGAGCCTTAGGGATTGTCTTCAGTGACAAGTACAGCAATCTCAGTGTCAACGAGCGGCTGAGGTTGTATGAGAAGACTAGGAAAGATCGAGCAACCAGGGTGCAGTCGGCGAGCGCCAGAGCGAGGACTGACCTCAGTGAGCGCATCGGTTGGAGCAGCTCGAAAGATCGGCCTGGCAAGCTGACGATAGAGGAAATCTGCGGCTACAACATGCATGAGCATATTGCGCAGCTTGCATCCCAATAAGCGACGGAATCCCGTATTTGCAGCTTGGCGTTGGTGGCTCTTTAAGGCAATAGGGAGAGGCTTCCATGACATGATAACTTCACACGAATGCCAGACCCGGGATGTTGAAATATCGAATGGCAGCCCAGTTGACTTCCTGATCTGTGCCCCGTACGGCTTCTCGTTCTTTCCAGACGCGTTCAATCAGACTGTGTGCAGTGTAGATATACCGAAAGCCCAGTGTCCTTTCCATAACGAGAAATCGATCCTGAACGATTCGAATCGAATGCTCGTCTTCGCAAGCGCCGCCTGCCATGACAAGTGGAAACACAAGGCTGCTCTCAATTGGGCTGCCGTATCGAATCTCCTGCACGGCATCAAGAATGTTCTCAACACAGGTCTTGACCGCTGGATGGTCGAGAGAGTATCCATTGACGATCTGATGGAGACGCAGACGAAGTGCTTGCTCAAATGCTGTCGTTGCATGCTGTTCCGGAGATGGTTTTCCAGTCACTGGCTCCTTCTTCTCGTCCGACCACTGTTCGATCTCTTCTTGAAGCTTGGAAGCAGACGCTTGGAACATGCTTTCGAAGACTGGGTCATCTCGAAATTTCCTTTGGTATGCGAGTCCGTTCAGCTTGTCCACGAAATGAAATAGCGATCGTGGAATGCCATATAGTGCAGCCTCGTCGTCATGATCGTAGGTCGGAGACGTCACGTCTTGTTCTTTAGGAGATTCCAGGAGAGGCGGATGACATGTCGAGATCGTTGTGGCAGAATCAAGGAAATGATACAGCTGTCGATAGAATGCTCTGTGTCGACTCTGCGCATTCCACTGTGGTTGAGCTTCGATAGCAGCCAGCAGCCGGCGCACACCATCAAGATGGAATTTCCAATGGGAAGAAGTGCCTTCGAACAGCTCGATCATGGCTAAAAGAAGAGTAGCGGCAAGCGCTGTGTCCGCAGTGTGGCTGTCGATCTGTGGCAGCAGTTTGCCCAAGGACTGTAGAGCATTCGTCTGGTGAAGAATCCCACGTTTCCACACTGAAGGTTGCATCTTCTTCCAGTGGTTGGCTGAAAGAGCCAGAAGTGCATCCATGACGAGCTGGTCCGAGAAGGCTACAGTGAGCATCTTGGACAGGTACGGATTGGATTGATGGTCGTCCCGGCGAGACAATACAACAGCAACAACCTTTATGTAATGGTTGAGTAATGACTTGTCCTCTTCGGCAACAAGCGCTGGAGCAGCATGCAGCTGCGTCAACGACAAGGTTGACACGTTGGAAGTAGGGGAAGATACCACAGGCTCGAATGTAGGCGAGAATGGCCACCATGATTCAGCGTCCTCCAATCCTTCGACATTGAAGTCGAGCTCCCCATCCCCACTGTTTGTCACTGCTAGAGGTTGCGCTTCAAGATTGTCCGCCGCATCCTGCGAATCAATCGTAGTAGTGGAAGCTGAATTTGCTGGACTGGATCGCTTCTTGACCGTCTGATGCGGATAGTGGCAGTTCAGGCACAATCGACGACAGTCTGTGCATTTCGGAAGCAGTTCATCACACTTCCTTTTGCGCTTCTTGCACGAGGCACAACCAGTGTGCGTTCTGGTTATCCTCACAGGCTTCGAGGAAACATCCACGTTGTCTGGCGCTCCATTCTGACTGGGTTCGCAGTCGACTTGTAGTCTCGAGCACCTAGAGCAGGGTATCTCTCCACTGCATGCCTGTTTGATCTTTGCACACCTCGAACAAACTATTCGTTGACTGTTGGACATCACTGCCTTAACCTGCAATTTGTCCGTGTTCCTGTGCGATTGTGTTGCTGGTAGTTGTTGCCCATCGAAGCCTGAAGTACACACGTAAATGTACGTGTAGAGACATTCAGGTAGATAACAGGCAAGAGATACCAAGAGCCGGTTCGAGACCCCGAGGGCGGCTGGGCGGGGCTGCTGGCCACGAGGTCGAATCAAGATCTCAGCATGCAATTTGAACTCTACGGTGAACGACCAGACTACTATGATAGAATCGCTGAATAACTTGAAGCATCTGCCGAAATACATTGTAACTACCAGACTGTGTACGCTCGTTCTCGATATCGATTGTTTTGGCCCCCTCTGTAATGCCTGCTGCATCAAGTTCGTGTTAATAAGCTACAATCTACTCAAATTGTTGTGCATAACCGAGCCCTACAGATGAGCCGCACACGCGAACTGCCGTTGGTGAACTACCTCTTAAGGTACGGGGTATCTCAACAGTAGCCCAATCTGAGAAGGAGTCGGCTAACTAGTGTTATATGCGATACGAATCCAGCAGCGACCGCCATCTCTTGCCTTATTGTGACAGACTACATGTATCAAGATGCTTCCGTAATTCGCTAGACTACCCCTGAACGCCAGGCACTCAGGACAACACCACGCCTATCTGGACTCGTGTGCCCACCTAACCTCACCTGCTGTCATCGAGATCGACTCTTGGCCTTGCTTCAACGCGCCGTCCATCTTCACGAACGGATGGGGGACGCCTGGAAACCTCTTGAGCACGACCTCATTTCCATTCTCCACCATCTTCATTGCGTAAGCCTCTCCTTCATCCCTCAGCGGATCTGCACCGGCAGTATGTATGACCGTACGCGGAAGGTCCTTAAAGTTGGGGGCCGTTAGCAGGTTCTTCACCCAGCCAATGTGTTTCCGCTGCTTCTCCTGCTCTGTGGGATCTGAAGATAGCGAACTCCACTTGAGCTTGTCAAACCAGACGAGGCGCGCCCAGTTGAGTGTTGGTGCAAACTCGTTCTCTTGGACGGACCGGAACGGTGACTCTGAAGCAGAGGCATACTGTGCCAGATCGTCTATCGTAGGAGTGTTGGCTGTGACTAGCCGTATGGGGATCCCGTTATCACGAGCCCAGTGCGCCAGGACAAGTGCGATGTTGGCTCCTGCTGAAACACCGCCAAGCGATATGCTTTGGGTGACATTGAATTTCTGTCCGTTCCGGTGGATGTATTGCAATGCCGCAAAGGAGTCCTCGATTCCGGTGGGGAACACATACTCCGGTACCAATCTGTAGGCCACATCAATGACCACGACACCTGCCTTTGCGCAGACATGCTTGCATATGGGCGCTTCTGTGTCAAGGTCTCCAAGGCCCCAGCCTCCTCCGTGAAAATCAATGTGTACAGGCCAAGGACCGCTGCCTGATGTCGGCTCGTAGACTCTGATAGGGAGCTCGTAGCCGTCATTCAGAGGGATTGTGTCATCGTAGATACGGCCGACCTCAGGCGCGGGTCCTGTGCCATAGGAGTACAGTACGGAGTACTTGGTCCGCAAAAAGTTAAGATCGATCGGCTTGTTGGGTATATTGGCCACGTTCTCGTTATACATGTCGACAAAGGCAGGGTCGAGTCTGTCGAGCATGCTGGGGTGGATCGGATTCAGAGCCTCATGGTGCCCGTTGCTGGTTGCTGACGGCATGTTGACTGTATCGCTTGATCTTGTGGTTCTAGGCGTACGCGGATGACTTGAGCTATCGATTTGATCAGCTGCGGTGGAGGTAGATGAGCTGGAATTGTTATCAGTGCGAGCCTCCATGAGACCCATCGTTTTACATTCACATCGCGTTCAAAATCACAAGCATCGGTCCGACATTGACAGCAGCCGGTGACAAACCTATTCGTCCGCTAATTGCTGGTAATGCCTTTGAGCCGGCGACGATAACGTGAGGCAGTGAATTTCCGACGGACGGTGGAACCGGAGCGACGGACAGGATATGAAGGTTCAACTTATTAGGCTACCCAGCAGTATTGGGCCCTCGAACCTATCGACTGTAGGGCTGACTGACCGGCGCACGCCGCCGAACTGGACCCTGGCATGCCTCGGGGAAAGGTTCGGCGTCGCCAGAGCGATTGGTCACCGCGTGGGAGCACGGGAGAGTGCATTCATCTCATGCACTTGAGATGTGCATATTCCGTCGACCGCCATTCGAGCTCGCGATTAGAGATTGAGCGGCCGTGGAAAGGCGTGCCAACAAAGCATTGATATCTGCAGACAGTAGTACTGCCTGCGCATCGGGGAAGTTGCTACACATTCGTTCACGTGAAGACCAACAACTACCAGATCGACCGTCCACATTCGCAAACATGATCAAAGCGACAGCAGAGGACGTAATAATCATTGGAGCTGGTGTAGTAGGGCTGACTCTAGCACACGGGTTGAAAAAGGTGCGCCGTCCTCTCAGCGACATGCATTCCATCAACTGCGATTCGCCAGCGCCAGGTCACGAGGTTACTAACAAAATGTCTAGCACGGTATACCATTTCAGATCTACGAAAGGGATTCAAGTGTGTCAGCACGGGGTCAGGGCTGGGCCATCACAATACACTGGGCACTTCCGTACTTGAAGGATCTGCTATCTCCTGAGACGCTCGCTGAAATTGACGAAGTACAAGTCGACCCCGAGATTGGCCGTAAAGACACTGGAAATTTTCTATTCATCAATCTATCGAATTGCGAAACGAAGTATCGTATTCCGCCTTCTGAACGACGACGGGTGAACCGGGAGAAGCTGAGAGCCGTTCTGTTGCGAGACGTTGCGTCTAAGGTGCACTGGTCGAAGAGTGTTTCCAGTGTGGAATCCACGGATAATGGTGTCAAGGTCACTTTCGACGACGGCACTAGCACAAGAGGCTCGCTGGTGGTTGGTGCCGACGGAGCGAACTCGAGAGTGCGAAGGTTCCTGCGGCCAGACGACTACCGGAACAGCCAACTCCCCATTCGCTTCCTTGGAAGTGCCGTCGACATGACTCCAGCTCAAGTCGCTCCGTTGCGCAAGCTGGATCCTCTACTCTTCCAAGGCTGTCATCCTGAAAGCTCCTGCTTCATGTGGGTATCGATGCTTGAAACACCTGCGGTCAACGGTACAGCAGAGAATGAGCCGGACAAACAGCGTTACCGCGTGCAGCTCAATCTTTCCTGGCCCGTACGCTCGCCCGCAGACGAGCCCGCACCGACAGATAAGGAGCGCGTTGCAGACATGAAGAGAAGGGCAGATGTTTTTGCGCCCGTGCTGCGCGACGCCATTCACGCCATCCCGGATGATGCTGAGGTACTGGAGATCAAATTGGCCGACTGGCCTTGTTTAGACTGGGACAATAGCAAAGGGAGGATCACTCTCGTGGGAGATGCAGCGGTAAGTCTTCACTGTACCGAAACTGGCGGTCCCAACTCAGTCGTCTTGTTACAATGCTGATTAGGAACGCAGCACGCGATGACGATGTACAGAGGCGAGGCAGCAAATCACGGCATGTTAGATGCCTACCGACTCGTCGAATCCCTGAAGGTATTACACTCGGTGAATGCCGACAGCGAAGTGGGTGCTGTCGACGAGCAATCGAGAGTCGTCACAGATTTCGAGGCTGAGATGCGTACACGCACAAGTTATGCCGTGAAGATGAGTCGGCAGGCTTGCTTCGATGCTCATGACTGGGAGCGATTGAACGAGAATTCTGCTGTACTGACCAAACGGGCGGTAGTGGCTAAGTAATAACTGCCACGGAACTCTGCAACAGGGGCTGTTGAGTGGTGATCGAGCATGGCGCGTGGTGTTCTTCGGTTTCAATTCCAGAGTAAATGGTCATTCTAGTATTCTCGCATCCTATGATGGTTATCGTAATTGCGAAGGTCACAAGCTGCACCTGCTGAGACTTGTTGAACGCGAGAGTAGGTCGGTGACGTGCTGAAGTTATGCTTGGCAACTTGCTATTCCTCCCTACTGTGTTCCTGCAGATCGAGCCCTCCGCGGAGAGCTCATTGGGGTTAAACAATCTACCTCATCGACTTCGACCATTCGAATAGACACGCCGCCTTTGGCAAATAAAGTATCTCTGTGGTTGTTTGTCTACCAAGCCTCTTCCGACAACACAGCCCAGCACCCTTTCGTAGCTGTAGAGCTGTTACACTGCGTCCGTACATCGAAGCGCAGCTCTATCTGAGCAGCGTTGACCTCATTCTACGCTCTATATCTCCAAGCTGCCTGTAGGCTCCTACAAGTACATTTACGAACGCTCAACTGCTGCTTCTGCAGCCTTGCGGCCGTCATGTCGTCCAATCATGCCATGTCTGACGACCAGGTGAGTCTACCGTCGCCGTACCTCGACGGGCGCATATTACTGACACTCACACTCTCAGGTCGCCAGTGAGCTGAAGAAGATGACGGCATTCATTCGCCAAGAGGCCCTCGAGAAGTCACGCGAGATTCATCTGAAAGCTGATGAGGAGTTCGCCATCGAGAAATCCAAGCTCGTCCGCGAAGCCACATCGTCAATCGATGGCGAGTACGAGAAGAAGTTCAAGCAAGCCTCGATGTCACAGCAGATCACGCTTTCCACATCAGCCAACAAGACACGACTTCGGGTACTCTCCGCGCGGCAAGAGCTTCTGGACGAGCTTTTCGAGAAGACGCGGAAGAAGTTGTCCGATGCTGGGAAGGGCAAGGACTACGAGAAGACGCTGAAGGATCTTATTCTTGAGGGAATGTATATGTTGGGAGAGAAGAAGATCGGGCTGAAGTGCAGGAAGAGCGACAAGGACAAGGTAGAGAGCGCGAAGAAGACAGCAGCAGATGAATACAAGAAAGAGCTTGGGGACGAAGTTGAGGCGACCATTGACGAGAAGGACTGGCTGAGCGATGAGTCGTAAGCTATCCTCCCCTAAATTGTCCTTGTTACCTTGAGTGCTTGCTAATGGATATCCTCGAAACAGTGCAGGAGGCGTGGTCGTCGTCAATGGCACTGGCAAGATCACCCTGGACAACACACTCGCTGAGCGCCTGCATTTGCTCGAGACAGAGGCGTTGCCGACGGTACGGGCCACACTTTTCGGAGAGAACGAGAATCGGAAGTTCAAGGACTGAGCTGCCCTCAATTTGTTGCACTATCCCGAGACAGTGGCTCAACGCCAGCGAGTACGACAAGGTCAACCATTTTGTTATTGAGCGTCATCCAGATCTGTACAGATACCAGCCGAATGCTCTCCATAGAAGATCCCGCAGCATACGTCGGGAAAGATGGCGTCTGCAGGAGTTTCATCCATTATGGGAACATAGCTTCGGCGCCTCCAGTCAAGTCTGGCCGTATAGCCACAAGTGCTAGACACGATAGATGCCACGTTCATCGTGGGTCGTCTTGAGCACGGTGGGCAGATTAGGTACAGATAGAAGATTCGTCAGTATCGTCCAACATCACGGCGTCCTAGCACCCGCTATCCCTACCAAGTAACGGGTGCCTCGCCGATGGATGTGGCTAAAGGCTCGAGAACGTTGGCGACGTCTCGTTTCATCAGAACAAATCTAGATGGTGAACCATAGGAAAGAGGCCTTTGGTGCTGGGAGATCTGCCTGATCAGTTTCCTATTCCCGTAAACTCCGACCAGCATTTCACTTTCCCAGTTCAAGTCGCTGCGATCGCTCATCTGTGTGCATCACTTCATCACTCACTTCATGTTCGGAATAACTCGTGTGCATCGCTTCCTTGTCTGTGATCACCACTAGCACAGCTCATTGATCTGCAAGGCGCGTTACACTGCCTTCAGAGTAAGCTGGCTCATACTGGAGCGCGTAGCGCGGACCTTCGAAGCACTCCTGTCTACTGAAAGAAGATGGTAAATTTCTATCATGTTTGCTGATGACATTGGTGGAGGCGCATACAACTGTCGTTGATGGCCTTCTAAGCCAGAGGTGTCTTGCTTCAGGCTACAACTGATACTGGTCATTGTCTGCGCATTGTAAATTTGTCAAAATGTCGCAGCCCTACCAGCACCAGCCCGCGCCGGGTTACAATGGTTCCTATGGCAATGCTACTACTCACCTCAATCGCCGTATGGTCAAGGACAAACCTACAGTCCATCGCCATTCCCACAGCTCGGTAGTCAGCCACCTGCTCCGCCTTTTCAAGCAGTCGCTGGCTCAGGCGCAGGCGCAGGTCTGAATTTCGCGAATTTTCACGCCAACACTCAGAGTCAGGTCCCTCCACCAGCGCCTTCGTTCCCTTTTTCGACCGCACCCTTTCCTCCTGATATGCTCAAGCAGTTTGCTGGCGCGAACATACCACTACCGCCGCCAGGCTTTCCTCCTGTTCCTCCACCAAGCCTCGGGTTTCCTCCATTCCCACCACTGCCTCAAGTGCAACAGACTCAGCCTCGACCCTATTCACCATCTCAGCAGGTTCGTTCAGAAGAGGGTGACGACGCGTACGACCCACGGTATCCGCAAGGGATTCCCCAGAATGTGCCACAAGCGGCGCTAGGAAGAACAACTAGCAATCTAGCATCACATAATTCTCAGGCGCCGAGTCAGGCCCAGGTGCAGGCGTCACCACACTCCAATGTTGGCGGCGAGCCACGCTACCGCGCTGACATTGCCCAGTTGCTTCCAAATCTTGATGGTACGTCTTCCGTGTGTAACATAGACTATCGACCGCTAACGAACCCAAGCAGGGTCGTTCCTATCAATACAGCGTCATCCCGAACCTCCTCAGCCCACGTCGAGATTCCCGCAAGATATCACTATGGGCAACACAATCTCAAAGCTAAGTGAGGAAGAGGAGACTTCTGCATCAGTGGTGCCTTCGGATGCGAAACCTAAGTCACAATCGGCGCCTGAGCACCTCTCTGCGGTGGCCCGACATGACGATGCACACGCGGCTGCCAGTTCTTCGGGTGCTGACAAGTCCACTGCTTACTATGATACAATGGACGCCGCTGAACTACGGGAGGCTGCCAAGACAGCTTTGTCCTCTTTCACCCCTCTCAAAATTACATACGACGACCTGGTGAAGGAAGGCATCAGCCAGATGTGCTGAGTTCTCTGTACAGCGAGCTGGGCACCGGTACGGGACCTCCAGTTGCAACGAATGACAATGAGGGGACAAAGTCGCCATCGGCAGAACCGGTCACGAAAGGACATCCCACAAGTGCAGTCATTGCGCCCACTAATTCAACCGCAAGTCCGAGTCTCGAGAGGAAAGATAGGATCGCTCAGCTCCTTGCGGCTAGGGTCAGCAAATCTGGCCCATCTCCATTAGCCTCAGCCGAAGTGCAGCAGTCAGATGCCGATGCCGCGGCGAAACCACTCCTGAACGGCGGAGCTGTCACTGACGCTGCAACTCCCTCGACGAAGAACGTCAATACGTCTGACAAGCCCAGCGTCGACCAGTTGGAAACTGAGAGGCCAGAGTCGGCCCACGCATTTGTCCAGCCCAGATCAGTGTCAACGCTTCCAGGTCTTGGAATGATGTCAACCGATTCTGATGTGGAGGATACCGTAACGTCAAGTAAACGACACCTGGACAATGGAGATGCCTTACAAAACGGCACTCGAAAACGTCGAAACACTGGCTCGTCGTCTCGCGAGGATACAGAGATGGAAATTGACGACTCGTCGCAGAGTGCCTCGGAAGGGGAAGTCGTTGAGTCTCCACGGATTGCTCAGATCTCGCCGCCGAAGAGCGACATCGCCGTTGACAGTGCAGTGGGCGAGATCAAAACAACGACGCCTCCAGCCAAAACTTTTTCTCCCATCGGAGGCGCTAAGCTTACACGGGAAGAGATCGCTGAGAAGGCCAGACAATTGAAGGCACAGTTCTTACAAAAGCGGGCAAGGCAGCAAGCTGCACAAGAAGGACTTGCTCGGTCCGACAGTGAGGTCAAGGAGTCAGAGAAGGCCCTGAGTGAGCAGCGTTCGCGCTTACGAGAAGTCAGACAACACATTTCAAAGATGGAAGCCGATCTGGAGGTCAGTCGAAAGGAGGAAGACGATCTGTTGGCCAAAATCCGACGCTCGGAAGAGGTTCTGGAACAAACCTTAGCACGCCAGAAAGACATCAAGGAGAGTCTGCAATCTCTCAAGGTTCAGCAAAATGCGACGACTACCGCTCAGAGTGAGACAAAGACCACGCCGGAGGTGGACGCCGCTGCTCAAGTACAAGTGCAGCAAGACGGACCAACCACCATAGTAGGTGATGCTACATTGCGCACTGAGCCAAGGTTTTCTGATGTGGCACCGGAAAATGAACCAATTACCGACATCGGTCCAGTGGAGGAGCTGGCACAACCTGCTCCTACCTCGCCTGTATCCAACCAGAACGAAGACGTCGAGTCCGATTCGTACGAACCACACGCACCGAATGACGATCCTTTGGGCAACGAACGTGGTGAGCCGGACGTGGACAATGTCATGGCACCGGATGAGGCGAGCAACGACGAGAGGAGCCAAAGTCCAAGACCTGTGTCCGAAGGTGACGTGCACGAGAACGCTCACAGTGACGGCAGTGCAAGTATGCTTGACAGCGCTTCAGAAGGCAGTCGCGATGAGGGCGAATACTCCGCTGCTGAGGAGGACGACTTTACTCAGCCCATGGAGCTGGACAATGATTCCGATGAATACGAGCCCACGGAAGCTCCTGTGGACACAGGGAATGCTTCGGTCCCCGTTGAAGAGGACTCTCAACCGTTGCAGGTCAACACTGTCGAGAATGGTGAAGCAGACGAAGCCGACACTGCCAAAGACCATGCAGCAAGTGCCAACTCAGATCAACCTCATGCGTCACAGAAGTTGGATGAGGGGGGGCAGGGTGGTCCTTCGGCCACTGCGGAGTCACGACAGAGAAATGGCATGGACTACAACTATCCACGCAACGCACGTAGTGCTCCGGCCAGACCGAACGGACGATGGGGTCAACAGCGACCAACACTGGAGCCTCTCGGCGCCAAAGCTGGCGTCAACAAATCGGCCAGCTTTTCTGCGTACCAGTCGCCTCTGACAGCGTTTCCATCGTTTCGCTACAGCGAAAGCTTTAGCGAGAGCGCCAAGGACGGATATCGATCATTAACATACAGCAACACTATCGACCCAGGCAAACCCTTGTGTCGGACGGAGCTTGCAGGTGATACGTGCCAGGATCCACAGTGCGAAGATCAGCACTTCCGGCATCTTCGCATGAGCGGTAGGCTCTGAACTCTTCAGTGTGGAGACTGACTGACAAGACACAGACGACAAGATCCTGGCGTCGATGTCATCTGCTGCAGAGTTCACTGACCAAGCTGTTCGTGATCGCTATTTGATGGGCCTCAAGGGTGTCATCGCTGACTTAAGAGCTCGCAATGTGCGTGATTTTGAAGACGTCGCTGGTGCTCTCTCAGAATATCGCCGCAAGTTCGTCGCAGGCGAATCGTAGGTGTGCCGACATCTCTGCATTATCCCAGCTTCTCCTTGTGGCTGCCACTATGGGACAGTGATCTGCTGTCTCAGAGTGAGCTTGAGTTGACCGCCATCTGCATAGCGTTTCTCTAACGAGCTGTATTTCGGCTGAAATGGGACTTCAGGAACCTGGTCAGGTCAGAAGGTAGCGAGCAATGGATCTGTACAACATAGTCTTGCTCCAATGGTAGCATTCGACGAACAGATACTCAATATTCATATCTTTCCAGCTACCAAACCTAGTCTCACATCAGTACGTCTAACAGCTCTGCCAGCGCGATTGTCATTTCACGTTCACTTCGTCCTCATCGAGGATAGGGCAAAAGTTGTGAGAGAGCCCTTCCATTGATATCCGCCCTGCAGAAGTGAATGCTTCTGGTCAAGTGAAGACTCCCAGGTGTATTGCCGACATAGATATTGCTCAGTCTATCGCATACCTGCTTCGCTTCTCCACACCCTCGACACCTTCGACGACTTCTCGTCAAGACTCCCACCACGGGCGCCACCTCGCATACGACGCAGTCATGATCTCATCTATCGGCACCATGTTGATCCTCCTTGCCCTCGTGGCTCAACTGTCCTTCGCTTCCACTGTGCCTACGACTCACTCTTTCTTCAAGGACCTCGGACGCCGCGACATCGATCTTCCCTCCTACGTCACCGGCGCGCTTTCAGCAGTGCGCTCGGATGCCGGCATCGGTTCACGGCAGTTAACATGGAGCCCAGCCCTGGTGCGGCGCGCTCAAGACTCTGCAAACCAGTGCAACGGCGATGCACCTGTCGGCACTGGCATTCAAGGCACAGTCTATGAAGCTGTCAACGACCTACAATTCAACTCAGACTATGAGACCAAGGCGGCTCTCGTCAATTGGATCCTCGAGGGCATGCAGGACGACAGTGGTGATCACCCTGATGCTGACAGCATTAAGAACCCCGATAAAAAATTCTTGGGCTGCGCTTGGAGTCAAAATTGCGGAAACGATCACTACTTCAAGTGTGCGCTCGCTGCTACTGATAGTCTCGTTCGTATAAAGCGAGCTCCAACCTCGACGGTCGCTCGAAAGACATCGAAATCAGAAGAATGGGAAGTGAGCGAGATCGACCTGCGCGACCTCGTTCTCGATCGGCGTCAAGTCCAGTTCGATGCGCACCCCATTGCCGGTAGCTTGCTGAACGAGTTCCGCGCGGAGAACCAGCTCCAGTGGCTTGGGTACAGCACGCCGATGATCTATGATGCTTACCATGATGCCAACACTTGCAAGGAGAACATCGTGAGTTCCAACTCTCTCCGTTCCTGCTTCCTGCCTTCCTGCAGAACCATTCTAACTCAGAACTGCAGATCACCGATGAGCTTTACTTCCGCGTCTATCATGTCGCCGCCAACTACTCAATCATGACCGAGTCCATCGTCAAGTTTTGGAACTACGTCGTCCCGGACTTCGCGTATCCAGTCCTCAAGAACCCTGACTACCGCTCCTACGGCTGCAGCTGGTCAGACTGGTGCGCGAACAATACTTTGATCTTCCGATGCAAGTTCAGTAGGGACGAGACTCACGGCGCGGTCTAGGACGGTACTGTTGCGGATGCAAAGACCGGGAAGTGACGTTGGGGGACTTCGGGGAGGGAAGCGATCTGGGGGCGGAAACCTAAACCTTGAGGCTGATTTAGTGCTACACGAGGCCTTGGCATATCATACAGCGCCAAATCGGAGTTGCTTCGCGAAGTGGCAGTGATCTTAGTACAGTCGAGTTGCCCTGTCAAGGTGCAGTATTGTACGCTACTTTTCACTAACGCATGCGAGCCGTGTGCTATCAGTACATCGAGCCTGGCGTGCAGCGCTGCGGCTGGACGCTTGACATGAAGACCGGTCAGTATTGCTGTGATTCCTGTCAGACTCGAGATTGTCCGTCATCACAGAGGTTACGAGAACGCAAGGAAGCATGCTTCGCAGCACACAACGATTATTGACTTTCAACACGTTCAGACACGTTGTGCTAGGTCGATGACTTCTTTTATACCCTCGAAGCGCGCCTTTCTCGAATGCTGTTGTCATACAGGGGCAAGAGCAGCACTGCCAATGTGTCGTGTATGGAACGATATCGATCAATCTTCTCATTTACTGAATACTAGCTGCAATCCCGGTACGACGTTGTTAGTTAGCGATGTGTCCACTGCGGCTTGGTCTCTGCGGCTCTGCCTATCAATCTGGGCTGTGTGCCGCTGGCGCACTCCTTCCGCGAATATAACAGAGCATCTCGGCACCTCAAGCCTGCGCTTCTGCTCGCAGATGCCAGTAGGCTTCGCTGATCCTCATGGCCGCATTTCTGGTATCGGTGTTCGTATTTGCCGCTGGCGTCGCGAGCTATGGCTTCCACTCTCCTCGAGGCAGGAATCAATACGTCGTTGGCGGTACCATTAACATCGCCTGGTCAAGCGTTGACGACTTCGTGGACATTTACTTGACTAAGCAAAGCTTCCTCAACCCGAAACAGCCAGTAGAGCCCATCACGATAGCTGGTTACCCACACTGATTCACACTACATGGACGATCGCTGACAAAAAGTAGACAATATCACGAATACAGGGTCCTTCCAATGGATTGTTCCGAATGATCTAGGGGCCGCCTTTACCGGTAACGTCCGCATGTATCTGATCAACAGCCGGACGAAGAGCAGAAGCTTTCAGACCGAATATTTCCATATCTACTACGGCGAGCAGGACTATGCCGATCTGTCGACCCCGTCGTGGGCGAATTTCACTGCGCCTACGGGTGCGCCCAAAACCTTTTTCACTGACAAGCGAACGGTGGGCATCAGCTGGGACACGGATGTCGAGTTCGTCAATTTGACGTACTGCACTGATGTGAACGCCCCGTGGCCAATCATAGGCGAGAATATGTCTACAACGATAGGTGCGTCTATGCTCTCATCGTCCTGCTGATGCCTTCCTCAACGGTGTCCCGATCAAGGCGATCGACTGATACGCCTGACACCTGCAGATGGCTTCACAAGAAACCCGGGCATAGCCGTCTGGTCTGTCCAAGATATCACTACATACTCCCTTCCCTTCAGGTTCCGCTTGATGAGCAACGACACCCTAGCGGGAGACACGTATGTCGAGAGCAACGCGTTCTACACGGCGCCAGAAAATTACCCGGACTACTTCGACTTCACCGAGCATCTGGACGATGAGGGATTTCTTTTCCCAACTCAAGCTCTTGCGCCATCCCTGCGTGTGAATGACACGGTCGTCTTCACGTGGCGCAAGCCCATGCCGGACGACTACGATATCGAGCTCGGCGTCTGGGCGGAGAATTACAAAACTGGGTGGATCACCGGGCCCGGTAAGAGACACTGCCGCCCATGCTCATCAGATCTGGCAGATCATACAAGATAGATCTCAAAGCGCCACAAGAGCCCTAGCTAAGCAATCAGCAGAAGACGAGAATATCGTGCGCACACCCACAAACATAAGCTACCGTATCGAGACCTACGACATCCAGGACCGCTTCCGCCAACCCTACACCTTCAATCTCCTCAGCAGAAACTCTCGCTCCGGCTACCCAGGCTATCGGGCCATCATGCGCACCGAGCCCCTAACGTTTGGCGACCCGGCTGGCTCCGCTGAGAAGACCTGGATCGCCCCAGCTGTTGCATTTGAGACATCTACGTCGACGTCAGGGACGCCACCAGGAGCCAATACAACCAGCTTAGACTCTTCCGCTGCAAATGGTTCGGACGATTCGGGCGTCAGTCGAAGCGAGCTGAAGCTCTACGTTGGGCTAGGCGTTGGTCTCGGTGTAGCTGCCATTCTGCTCTTCATGGGTATTGGGTTCTTCTGCTGGAAGAAGCGGCGAGGTGCTAAGAACGATACGCACGAAGGCTCTGAGCCATGGAGGAAGTCAGAGCTTGATGCGAAAGGGGCTCGGCACGAGCTTAGTGAGGAGGGACAGCTTGCACTACCAACTGCTGAACTGCCGAGTCAAGGGACGGCGCACTATAGGGAGGAACACGACAGGCATGGTAATGTTCATGAGTTGCCTGGACAGACGACGTCGGGTCGGACATTGTAACTAGGTATAGCTTCAATGGCGATAAGCATCGATTCCTCACTTCGGGTGAATACTCGACGTGATTGTGGCACAGTCTTGTCAATTGATGGCGCTGGCCATACCTCTCACATCGGACGAGCTCACGAAGCTCATACACATACACTCGGGCTTCTGGAACATTGGTGGACTTCTCGGCGGGCTCCTCGGCAACTTTCATCAATCTATCACGAAAACCGCCCAACGTGGTGATTCTCATAGACTGCTCACCTTCGGCTGCCCATCGATTTTAGGAGGGCAGACCGCGCTCGTCGTCACAGGAGCTTGCCTTGTCGTATCCTGCGCTGCTGTGCAATGCAAGGGAGAAATGTCTCTCGAGCAAGTCTGGAATGTACCTGGCCAGGTACGTACCCGGGGCTGACTTGGCTGGAGCTAACGCTAATCTCGATGAGGCATAGTGGCTGCCTAACACAATACTGACCCATACTCATCGGAAACCTTGGTCGCAGGCTCGTCCTTCCGCGCATCCTAGGCCAGTGACTTGCTACATAGGGAGACTTTTGCGGGAGAGGTCAAAGACAGGCATTGGTCAGTGATCTCGATCTACTGCGCTTTTCTCCTCATTTCATGCATTCAGTGCTGCGAAAACTGGAAGAGTCCGCCACCAGATGACGCCCGGGCTCAACGAATATTCCTTCCCAGATCCCAAGGACAAGCATCAACAGATGAATGAGGAGTCCCCACCTCAGCTGTGACGTTCGGTGTGAGATGTGTTCATAAAGCACGAATCGTTACGGGGCTCCGACGGAGCCGTTGCCTTGTCCTACCCCTGAGTCCGACAGCTCGGAACCAGGTAAATCAAGGTCACACAAATAGCTGATCTGACGGTCCGTGTCGTCTTGGGCGACGCAGACAACGTCCTATGGCAAGGAAGGTGGGTGGCAGGCAGCCAAGTGCGCACCAGCTTCGTCATGCGAAGTCATGGGGCCCCTTTGGCCGTTCTGTTGCCGTTCGTTTCACCAGGATCGGCCGCTGATATCAGTGAAGAGCACTTAGGTCGCAGGAGGAATGGCGTCGTTGTGTTGGCACATGGAGGGTGCAGCGGCAAGTGGCGGATCAAAATCGCCTGCGTTGCCGAGATCTTCGACGTATCATCGGGTGATACTAGAATCATTAAGTGCTCACACGAGCTCTACGAACAGCTTGAAGGCACGTGGATGGTTCGATCGCGCTTGTGGTGTGCCGCGAGTAGGCGAGATACTCGCAAGGGAAAAGCCTCCGTGCTTTTACACTGGACTTTGCCGATATCCCACGCGGTGGTGGTCTGACCTGGGCGTGCATGACGCGAGTTCAAGGCAACTGACTGCCTTGCCCAAGCATACATTCCCAGAATTTAGTCATAGAATTCCATGGTAGCTGGGGCCAGTGACTGCGTCCTTGCTGCTCACGAAGGCGTATGTTCGTGGAACTCTTGAGGTGGCCGAATGGCCCGAAACAAGCAAGTCGACCATGACGATTTGTGTAAGGCAGAGCAATAGTCCCATGGGCAGGCCCAACCGGTAAGGGCACCCAATGACAGCACCATGCCCACGGACACGTAAAGAATGCTGACGGTCAAAGCTGACCACATGACGAGCCATGCGATGCAGCGTGCAGGTGTGCTACTGCTCGAGACCGTGAGGAGCGTCCTGCTAGCCACTTGGCGAACAAGGAACGGACTAAAGATTGGTTAGGGACTGGTGGCAGTCATCTTGAGTCATACCAATGCAGCCGGGCGTTCCCACCGTCCCGAACACACCTTATTTGGTTGCTAGATTCTGCTCTGAGCTTTCGCGCCGTGGCTGTTAGAGTTGAAAACATTGATGATTCGTCGAATGACGCAACCAACCTACATTTACAGCTATGGTGGCGATCGGCCGGCGTTGCCTTGTGCAATGTCCGCTGATCGAACGAGCCACCTGGCACTTCTGTTGAGCTAAGGGAATTGTGGAAGCTGGTAGGCATTCACTCTTCACAGGACTGGGTTGGAAAAGGGCACAGTCTGAGGAAGTGGTAGGAAGGAGCGATCGTAAGTAGCGAGAAGAATAGATGGCAGGAAAGCAGCAGCTCAGACGAAGGTCGCTCGGGAAGCAAGTACAACGCTCATGTTTCTGATACGTGGAAGGCGCCCTCCGCCGCCCAACAGTCTTTCAATGCTAGACATCATTGCCATAATCGTACATTAAAAATATCTCCAGGCATCAAAATCATCACGAGTCTTCGAAGATCCCACAATTAGGATGGAGAACATAAGTGACCTGCGCAGCCTGTGGTTGAGCATCAGCGTCGTCTTCATCCATCAGACCTTCCCCACGGATTGGCATGATTGTGCTATCCTTCGCATTGTCAGTAGGTGGTCGTGCAGCTCTGCAGAACTTGAGCTTACCTTAATCATTCTCTTCGCGACTTTGCCAGCCAGCTTGCTTTCCTCGCCAAGCTGCTCAACGCTATCGATCTCATCCTCGATCTGCTCAGTGTACCAGACAATGAGCTCGTCATGGGGAACGCCTTCGCCTTCGGCCTCCTCGTAGTCGCGTATTCTCGTGGCAAGCATGTGCTGTATCTTTGCGAATTTCTCGAAGGTAACCTTGGTTCGCTGTCGTGTAGGAGCTGGTGTCGTTTCTTGCTGTTGCTGAGCATCTTCCGTGTCAGGCGCATCCTCATCAGCCATGGGCGAGTCAGAGTCTCTGGGCCGGGACGGTGCTCGAGTTGGCTCTTCCTCGTCATCAACATCCACATCTCTCGCTCGACCGTGACGATGGACTGACGCAGCAGATCGAATGCCTCGAGGACAAACGTCTCGGTGACATCGGTGACACAGTTGGCTTTTGCAATGGCTTCGCTGAGACGAATCAAGGACTCAAGTTGGCGGACTGTGATGCGATAGCTGCCCCGACCGATACCACCAGAGTCGTTTGCTCGTAGTTCCTTGTACTTCTGAACAAGGAGCGACTTCGCTCGTTGCGAGAAGGCAGGTTTGAAGGTTCTGGCGAAGCGAATATATCTCTGGAGCTGCTCTGTGCTGAATTCCGGCTGGACAAACTCATCTTTGAGCATATGTAAATTGACGATGTGGTTCGCCAGTCTTCGATCGGTGCTCTCATTACAGTCATCTAGGACCACGAAAAAGAGATCAAAACGTGACATGATCGGAGCTGACATGTTAATGTTGGCTCGTAGCGTCTGTTTCTTGTTGTATCTGCCACCCACTGGGTTTGCAGCGGCAAGGATTGACGTGCGAGCATTAAGGGTGGCGTGGATGCCAGCTTTGGCGATCGAGATGGTCTGTTGCTCCATGGCCTCATGGATCGCAACCTGGTCAGAGATGTCCATCTTGTCGAACTCGTCGATACAGCAAGTACCCGAATCGGACAACATCAATGCTCCGGCCTCGATGGTGAACTCGCCTGTCTCCTCGTCCTTCACGACGGCGGCCGTCAGACCAGCTGCCGAGGAAGCCTTCCCAGAAGTATATACAGCTCTTGGGAGAAACGAGGAGATATACTTCAGAAATTGCGATTTTGAGGTTGACGGATCTCCGACGATGCAGATATTGATGTCGCCACGGAGAGCCATGCCTTCGGGCGTCTGCTTCGAGACACCACCGAGCAGTTGAAGCAGCAGCCCCTTTTTGACAAGCTCGTGACCAAAGACCATGGGCGCGAGAGATCTTACTAGTCGATCATAGATGTGATCACTGTGCACCATTTCTCGGAGGTCTTCGATCTCGGCATATGACAACGTCTCGAGGAACGCTTCTTGTGCATCGTCACCGTCCTTGTACGTTTCCGTGACATCGATCTGGTGAAGAGAGTTGAGAATATTCGCGGATTGACCTGTCAGCTCGCCCATAGGTTGACCAGGTGTTGTGGTGTCAGGGCATGAGAAGCATGCCAGAAATGCCATGCGATATGTCAGATCTCGCACACCCAGCGACTTCAGCCCACTGACTCCGGATCCACCGTCATCGGCACGGAATCCACGGTTGTCCTTCGAAGCTTCTGGGCGGACACCAGGAATACCTAGTTGTGAGACGTCGGGCACAACTATCAAAGTACCTGTGAATATGCATTTCTCGCCGGGTTTCGTGCGTTCGACCTGCTCACCGCGCAGAATCACATCGATTGTCCGTGGCATGCTACCTGTGGGAATCTCTGAGGAGTTCTCCTGGATTCGACATTTCTGCCAATCCACAAAGGTTGAGTTTGCGATGTCCAGACGCCATGCCAGCTTGTTCTGACAGGTCAAGTTGGGACATATATTTGGCTCTGTGTAGCGGAATGTTTGCTCAACATTCGGTACCACGGTGTTGCAGGCTTCGCAGATGAAGGTACCATAAGCGAGCTCAGGTCTGACTTCCGAAGTTCTGGTAACGGTGCCAGATATTGAGACAAGTCTACCTATCTGTTCTGTCCGCAATTGACGCACTCTCGTGACGAGCGGGATGTTGTAGAAAGCCACCGTGAAGAGCTTATCAGTCTGCTGATTGGTATTCTTATCTGCAACAGTACTTGCCTCGCTTGAGACATTGCCGGCCAATGATGTATTGGCTTGAGATGAGCTGCTTCCCATCTGTCGATGGTCCTTAAAGTATGCCGGTTCATACTTGATCAGGAGATTGTGAAGCGCCCTCGTCAAGTATGGCAGAAAGCGGTGGTACGAGGCAGCGATTGCGTTGGAAAGAGCAGCGCCTTCCCTGGACGCCAGAATGTGCTTGTAATCGACATACAGTGTCGAAAGCTGATACTCCCTCAGACCGTGGATCTGCTCGATGTAGTATTTGTCGCTCTTGCGCTCGCTTGACGGGGGCGCTGCGGAGCTGCTGATCTCTTCGACGTGCTCTTCCAAGAACTGCTCAAAGGCTTTCAGGACCGCGTTGCCGGTCTTGTCCTCAACACGCGGCACATTGCGATCGAGTGGATTCTGATTGCGACCACGCGCAGCACCGGTGACTTCGTCATCTGGGAAAATGTCGCCCTCGGAGGGTAGGCCATTACTGACAGAAGGCGGGGGTCGCGGTCGGGACGAAGATGGGGGGTTGTCTGATCGTCGGTATGAAGAAGGAGGTGCCAACGGGTCGGAGTTCAATGCTGATTCTAGTAGCGTCGCCATGTTGCCAGTGAGGTCCTGCAGCGGTGTTGGCAGTGTAATGCGATGAAAAGGAAAATCAAGACACCGGCGCGACACGTCGCGTCTGATCGAAAACGCGTTCCCAAAGAGGTTATATTAGTGGAGTCATGAAATCACGCTCATTGGCTGCGACTCCTATATTCAAACATCAGCACCAGCCACTCTGCTCAGGATTTTCTACACGACGTGTTGCTGGCTGCAAGGCAAGAAGCATCTGCTTGACTGTTTATGACAGAGCCGGTTTCCAACGAAGCTTCTCTGCTTCCCAGCAGCCAAGGCTTGCGTATTGACGAGTATCCTGGCTACGATCGGAAGTCAAGATAACCTGCATCCGTCATCGTCTATCGGCACCACCTCAGGGCTAGCGACCATTTTTCATGTTCCCGTCGCCAATCATTAGGCCTTGGGAGCACGGGGGCGAGCTATATGTTCTGTGGCACGACTCGCATGTGTAACGTGAAGCACCTTCAAGCCGGTCGGCAGGTCGGGCACTCAACTCGGGGGTGAGTTGTGCGGTATGGACGGAACCGAGAATGATCTGACGATCTCTGACTCCAACTGTAATGGGTCCGTGTCCTGCCGAATGAGTACAGCGCCACCAGATCCGAAGTTTGTCGAACGATTGCTACAAGGCGCTTCTTGAATCCAGGTTGCCTCACTTGGCGCGCTCTACTGGGTTAATCCGATATCATCACTCAAACGCTACCTCAGTGAATTGAGAGACACCGTTAGACAGGGAGTGCGAGCGGCCCATACTACCCAGAGACGTCAAAGACGGATGTAAGTCTCCCTTCTCACCGCGAATCGTTGCGCAGGCAATGCCTGGAAGCACCAGTAAGGTCGAATTCTCGCAACACGTACTTTACACTTGTCCATAGGTTTTGCAGAGGGAGCGCCTCATCCGCCTCATCACAGTGTTCACTGAGAGCTCCCACTCCGGAACGCTGGAGGCAGCAGTCGATTTAGCCGGAGAATGTGAGGACTAATTGGCGTGCTGCTGAGCGACCGTCTGCATGAAGGTTCGTGTGTCGATCTGAGCTCGCGTTTGAATGGGGGTGTTTATCTGCGATGACGACCGTGGACACCTTGCATCGGTCATACTCGGGTAAGTGAATCTTGGTAAAGCCTTCTTGACCGGCAGGGCTGACCAAGAGTCATCGAATAGAAGTCGGGCCATCACTAGAATTGCCTCTAATTCATTAGTAGAGTAGGTTGCATTGCTGCTTCAGTAGGACATAAAGCATTGCGAGGTTTTGGGCGTATCATACACATTCATAAGGTAGCAACGCAGGGAGATCGTGCACTGAACAGTTCTCATAGTTGTACTTAAGGGTCCAAACGGACAAGTCGGACAATCCACGACAGTGCAAGCGTTGTACAAGGTGGAACATAGTCGGACTCGCGGGCAGGCGAAGAGTGTTGGGCTATCTTCCAGCCCGCTTGTTCGCCATTCCAGATGCAGAGAACGAAAGGGGATGACACAACGATGTGAAGGTCCCCATTCATAGCAACCATTCATAGCGATACGATAGATCAGAAACTGCAATGGTTTTGGTGGCGCAGATGGCATCACAGCGCTTCAGAGAGACGTGACTCAACTTCAGCTTGCCTCCAGATGAGTGCTTATGGCTCATCATCGAGCCGTGCCCTCTTTCTGAGGCTCAGATCCAAAAGTTGCGAGTGGTAGAGTCTAGCATTACACGGTGTTGAAAGTTCTGGAGTCAAGACTCGACAGTAGTATGTTTGCGGGTTGAGCTGTTGCAAGATCGAGGGAAGAGAGAGCCAGTAGTCAAGGGGAAGAGGAAGAAACAGCCAGATAGCACGCAAGCGATCTTGGGCATTTGTTGAGAGGACCGCGCATATGTGAAGGACCGGAAGGGACCGAAGGTGCGTGATGTTGCCGCTCTCGATCATGACAGCAATCGATTCAGCAAAGAGCAAAGGAGTTGAAGACAACGTGTGTCAGGCACAAGATTTAAACCTTGGAAGCGAACCACTGTGGCACTATGTACGCCCAGCCGGTCTGACGCTTAGGCGCTAATTGACACGCTACACAGGTGCGGACCACTAACGAAAAGGGCGCGGTCAAGTCACGAGCGTGGAGACAACTCTACGAACGCCTGCGAGAACATCCCTGCTTCGACGTGGTTCGCAGTAGATGTTAGGCAGCGAGCACGCAGGGCATGTCCGCAATTGGCTATGATACAATCGGGCCATTGCTGGGCCTTTTGAGTGCACGATGCCCACCATGAGCAATGGTAGTCTGTCGGACTCCAATGCTACTGAGCATTTTCATCGCCGTCAACGAGTTTCCGCTGCTGCGGGGAGCGAGAACAACATCGACAACATCGCAATCGAGAAATTGAATCTTAAAATCGGTCACGGCACAGATAGACCCGCATCTCGCTCCTCGCGGCAATATCAAACCCTGTAAGTTGAGGAGTGAGGCGATGATGGACAGATGTCGAGAACTTCTGCAATAAGTGAAGCCAGCCAAAAGTTCCGGAACGTGAAGTGGAGCGGGGAAGCTGCTGACGAACAAAACTTAGGAACTTTGGGCATATTAACCCAGCACGTGACCTGCATTTTCGTTATGCCAAACAATTTTACGGAAGGAATGTCGAAGACCACCAAGAATGAATTTCCAGGGTCAGTCGATGAGGAACTAAGCCCACGATCAAAGAAATTGGATTTGTTCAATACCAGCGACGCCAGCCGGAACAAACCTCCCCTTCGGTCCGTGGGCCCTACATCTGCAAGGCGGAGAAATAGGTGCGAACCACTGCCCATTGGAACCTAAGGCAACCACGAGTACTGACCAATCACAAGCCATGGGAAAGGGCAACCGGGCTCGAAGGCAAGAGCTTTCAGTGGCAGTCCAGAGACCAGTAGTCCCAAGGTAGGCAGGTTCAACGCGAGGCAGGAGTTTGGGGAGTCGCGACGAAAGCGCTCTCCCGATGCCGTTTCGCAGCCCTCCTCACGTGCTGCCTGTCTAGAACCTTCAGCCTTGCCTGTGGACAGTGAGTCAGATAGGAGATGGGCTCAGTGTGACGATGGCCAGCCTGAGGCTCCTACAGACCCGGAAATCAGCAGCCTCAGAGTCGGCAGCCTGAATTTGAGCGACAAGTTACGGCAGTCTCAACCAAGTTCTACATCACATAAACGGTGTGCCGACGTCCCTCCACAGCATCCAAAACGGTCCCGCCATCAGGAACCTCCACCCCAGCCTGTCAAGAGTGACCTAGGCGCTCGATGGGAGCTTCCAACCGTCGAACGCCGTCGCGTCATGGAGGACCGGGCAATGGCACAGGAGAGCGACGTTCCTGAAGACGATGCCTCGATGGTGCTTGAGCCACAAACGCGACCGATCACTCAAGAGCAGCTGATCAACGAAGTGAAAGGCATATATGCTGGGCTCGTTATGGTTGAGAAGAAATGTGTGGAAATTACACAACAACGAGCCAGGTCCGCCAACAAGCTCTCTGATGACCAGTGGCAGGCCTTGATAGCGCTTCACAGGACGTTACTACACGAACACCATGACTTTTTCCTGGCATCACAGCACCCAACGGCATCACCCGCTTTGAAGCGTCTTGCAAATAAGTACGCGATGCCGGCTCGGATGTGGCGCCACGGGATTCATTCATTCCTGGAACTGCTGCGCCAACAACTTCCGGACTCTTTAGATCACATGCTCACCTTTGTGTACATTGCGTACTCAATGATGGCTTTATTGAAGGAGTCCGTTCCTAGCTTTCTTGAGACCTGGATTGAGTGTCTAGGCGATCTTGCCCGTTATCGGTATGTAATCAACGTGTATCCTTGATGATATCACGCACACTAATTGAGCTTCAGTATGGCGATCGAAGACAGCGATCTTAGGGATCGGGAGATCTGGTCGAATGTCGCTCGGACCTGGTACAATCAAGCCGCGGACAAGAGCCCAAACGTCGGCAGGATCCAACATCATCTGGCAGTCCTGGCAAGGCCGAACATTGTCCAGCAGCTCTTCTTCTACTCGAAGGCTTTGGTGAGCGTTGTACCTTTTGTGAATGCTCGAGATAGTATTATGCTGCTCTTCACGCCATTACTCGAAAGAGAACCATCGGACGACAAGCGATACGAAATCGCTGAGGCCAGTCTCGTCACCGCATTTGGCTACCTGTTTACCCGAGGTTCACTGGACCTTCATCAACAACAGGCACAGATCTTCGTTTCATCCCTTGATGGCCACATACAGAAGGAGAAATCGAAATGGAAAATCCAGGGGCCGGAGGTTGCGGCATCCCTAGCAGCTGGTATCCTCGACTTCGGCAAGGACGATGGTCTTATATGGGCAATGTACCAGGACTATTTGGAGAGGATGAAAGCCCTTCGGACTCTAGCGGATTCCGAGGATAATTCGGCCTTGGACAAGGAATGGATCCAGATTCGCGACACGTTGCGCGGAGAATTCTGGGCTCGTCAGGACCTGGACACGCTTGCCCGTGCACCGCTCGCCATGCCGGAGTCTGATGCCGTTGGTTCGTCAGAGTCAGTCACAGCTATGTCTCTGCTGTTGTTCAATGCCACAGTCCGGATCAACGCGACCAAAATTGGGGACCGCAACGTCGTGCCCTTTATGTGCTTTGTCTTGAGTTTCCTGTTATCATCATCATACGTTGGGCATCCTATAGTTTACATAGAATCTTACGTCCCGTGGGCTAGTATCGTGAGGTTCCTCAACACCTTAGGGCGATCTGGGATCGACGATCATCGGGTCGAGACTGAACAGTTTCCCATGCCAACAAACGGCTCCGGAAGACAGCTACCGGAAGACTTCTATGCTCGAGGTGCGATCTGGGCTCAGCATGTCTTCCCTGGTGACTTCTTCCGGGTTCATTTGACGGACGAAGATGAGCGATGCCTGGAGTCGGCGTCGCATGACACTCCACGAAATGAACGCTGTCTTTATCTGGGTATCAGATTGGCGAGCTTCGCTCGCTACCTTCGCTATGATTCGACAACGAAGTTGTTCTCGGCAACCGCATTGGCAACTGACCTGGAGTCACGGACCGCTCCTCTATTCGACGCGCTTGCACGAGTGCCGCAATATACGTTGGCTACACAGCCGCACCCAGGATCTGGTCCGGCAGGATCAAATGATGGAGCGAATGATACCCAGACCATAGGAGCACAGACAGCGGAAGGCGATCCGGACTACATGCTCGTTGACAACATCACCGGCGGCGATCGATAAGCTTTCTAGCAATCTTCACTGTCCATTATGCAGTCGGTGAGGTACTAGCCATGCAATGGCGCGGGTTGCTCAGAGGGGTAAGGATAAAATCACCACTCGAGTGATGGTACCAATCGAGGTCAGTGCGCAGCTCCATCATTGATCTTCGACGTATCGTGCCGATGTTGACTTGTCAACTGTCACAGTTCGCGCCATAGTGACAGCCAAATATGTGTACACGAGTCCACAGGAGTCCGTCGGGTCCTTGTCATCACGCGGCAACATTTTATCTTCATGGAGACCATCATCATCCTTGGATCTCAGATAGTGCCAAAAGAAAAGTTATGTGCTTGTGCGTTTTCCCTGTCTTCCCTGGATAGCTCTTCGGATCCTGGAATCTCTGAAAGTAGGCATAATGAGTGCTCGACAGTGGGCAACGTTGACAGCGAGAGCGATCACGGTTCAAGCATGACGAAACTGATCATTACAATTGTGGCACTCCGGTTCCCAATGTTGCAGGTCATACGGCACTGGTGGACAGGAAGCTATCCACTGGCCGCACGAGACAGCTTAACGCCAGATCACCCACTTTGGGCATAACCTCTCCTACAAGCCTGATAGAAGATGTGGTTCCAACCACTCGGATGGCGGCACCAATGCGGTGGTGCTTGCCAGTTGCCCCTCGAGCAAAGGCCCGGGCTTTGTACCACGCTGGGTTGCACTCAGCAAGCTGTGGTTTAATTCTACCAAAGTGACTTCCAGTATATCGGACCGTGCGGATTCCCAATTGGAATTGCAAGGGGCAAATTGTAGCAAGTCAGCATGGCAAACCGGATGACTGGAGCTTAACGCAAGCCGGATGGTTAGGTGCATTGTCTTCCGGTCTCTGGCAACAACGGCTGGCCGGCCGCTCCTTTTCCTTGTCAAATGGACTCATTCCGTAGCCACATCTCATGCAGACTATAGGTATCAGGCAGTGTCTTCTGTACGCCTTTCTAACTCATGCCTTGATTGTCAGGCTTTGCAGTCTGACAATTCTGCTTAGCTCGTCGGTCCGGGCAGGTCAGGCTGCGAGCAAATATATTCAGATCGCTTTCTCGTTCCTACCGTTGTCATTTTTCTTTTTGCTCGTGCTGTAAAACACAAGGAACACCTTCGTCGGGACATGTGACCAAGTTGTTGCCACCACGGAAGGTCGCCGCGATTTACGTTCCACGAGGCTTTCAGCATGCCACACTTTCTCAGCTGCCGCCCGTCGGAGTGGCGTACGACGTATTCCATCAATGGCGAAGTTCACTACCTCATCGACTTTTGCCATTGTCCGACTGCCCACGCCACCGTCACGTATCCGAATCAATGACCCTAAGAGCGCCCTCCCTTCATATCGCCACAGTGCTGTCACGCGCATAATTGTGTATGCATGCTGCGCGCTCGTGCTTTTGCGCCAGGCCATTGCCTGTGACTCACCCCTCCTCGAAACCCTGTTCAACCATTACCATGCGTATCAAAGGCCATATACTGGGAGTGTCTCCTGTGATGCGGTCTACGCAGTCCATTGCTATGGTATATGTGGAGCCTCGGTCGCCGAGTCTAGGATGCCGCGTTCGCTTCTGTGGCGGTGTGCGGTCTGGACGGGCGGTCTTGACGTCCCATCTTGCCGTTGACATTGAACGATGCGTGTCAAGTCAGGCAACAAAGATCCGGATGCTTGCTAGTGGAGTGCAGATCAAGTATGCTGCACTCACATAAGGTCCTCAATATCATGCAGATACCCAATCTGAGGCTACAATGTTCACTCCGTACTGTCTCCCTCATGGCAGTAGACAACCATCCTCGACATGCCAAAAGCGGGCCAGGAATCAAGGCAGCAGTCTACGGTGACTTGATCGACCCCAGACTTGGCTGGCGGCCCCAGTCATCGACCAAATGAGCACCAGCCCTCGAATATCCGCAATTTGTGATCTGCTAGGCCAATCCGCGGTTATCAATACACGTGGCTGGCCCACCGATACTGCGATGTGTTGGCTTGTCTCTGATTACCGATGCTCACCGGTTCCTTCTAGGCATTTGGAGTCTTGCGCACCTGATCTTCAGAGGAGGGTCCGCAGCAACCATGTCTGATTATGGACTCCGGTGATAGCAGTAGTGGCTGCCTTGTATTGTGCTAACATCCCACAGGTTGCTCTCCGTCGCCGATTTGCTGGCCATGTCTCGACTCGTCACGAGCAGAAAGCGGTTGAGCGTTTCATTACTGCGAATAACTCTACCCGGCAGCGTGGCAGGGCAGAAGTTAGGCAGACCAGTAAATGCGGCGAATCGGTCTGCTAATGTACCCGTCCTTGGGTCCATCCCGATTGACTACTGGACCACTACCTATGCCTGTCGGTGAGGGCTTGTTCGAGCTCAGCGAGTGCTCTGGCTGCCTCTGGACGACTGGCAGCCAAGTGCCGATACGGTCTCCAGCTCCACATCGTTCATCATGAGCTCCACGCCCACCTGACTCTCATCCTCTGTTGCAAGGTCGTGGCAACATCAGCGGGCGTATGCTTTTACTATCTCACAACAGCACATGGTGCCAAAATGGTTGTGTCAACGCGGTCTGACTCTTCTCGCTACGGTACAGGTTGAGGTGGCTACACCGAGCTAGGCAGATTTCTGGGCGTGAAGACACTGTCTCTAGCTCCATCTTCTTCCTATCAACAGCAACACAACCTGTGTTCGTCCATGGTGAACACGCACTGTCGCACAGACGGTGTCTGGGACGCTGTGACAACGAACTCTGGCGATTGCGCCGCAATTTGTTTTACGACGTGCGATTCAAGGTGTCCTCCTCGGCGGGCGAAAATCAAACTTAACCTGACCACTGTCTGGTCAGGTCTTGCAATCTGGCAACTAGCCATGATGCTCAAGGACATCAATAGCCTTAAAATGTTCCGTACGATATCGGCGACGGTCCTCCAGCTGCTATGACATGCTGCTCGAAGGCCTCCGTAGGGCCCGTCGCCTTGCTCCTGAATCGACTTGTAGATGGACAAAGTGTCGAGTCTGCGCGCCCAGGAGCCGAAATCCTGCTTAGATCAAGCTGTGTCGATGCGGTCAGTAGAAGACGTTGCACCTCTCGAACGAAGCCAGCCGACATCCTCAATTCTGCATGAGTCTCACTTTGCATCGATGTCCTTCCCCTTTAGCATGGGTGTGGGAATTCAAGCTACGTCGATGACTCCGGATGAGTTCTAAGACGCCAAGACAACCACTGCCTGAAGCGGGAACTTTGGAGAAGGAGACAAGGCTGTCCCTTGCAGCTGAAGCGGACAGATGTCGTTGAACAGGACATGTCTCTCGATGCACGGTCGTTGAAGGTCGTCAGTTCAGCATAGACGAGATGGAGGACAGGATACCTTGTCTCCGCCTTGGGAGTCTCTTCGTGTCGTTCTTGTCGCTCCTTTCGCTTGGTGGGACTGTCCTCGGCGACGAGCAAGTCCCACTCACACAGTCCTCCAGCAACGACACGCTGCTATGGGGACCATACCGACCGAACCTCTACTTCGGTGTACGGCCGCGCCTACCGAACAGTATACTTGCCGGACTGGCATGGGCGAATGCAGATACATTCGATGCAGTCTCGTACGGTCTCCGACATACTTGCGAGCAGGGAGAAGACATGCAGGGCTACGGCTGGGACGAATACGACGCTAGAACAGGTGGAGGCAGACGATACATGACAAAGGAAACAAGATTGACCTCACCATCGACTTTGTCAAGGCGCCGGGACCCAGTGGTGGCAGCTGGGCTGCACGAGTGCAGGGCAAGCCGATGAAGGACGCCTCGAAGAACATCGTGACAACACTTTTCTTTCATGTTGGCTTAGAAGGACTCGGAGACCTTGCGGTGGACCCGAAGACGGATCGCAAGGGGACTGTCATCCTCACGGGGCAAGCGGACAAGCTGGGAGACTTTACGATCGAGGTGACTGCAGGCAAGAACAACAAGCTGCCGCATAAGGTTCATCCTTCGTGGGACGAGAAGCCACTGGATCGCACCTTGATCACGAGTTTACAGGTACCGCCAGAGCACCTGTGGGCAGTCAAGAACATCATCATCGCCGACGTCAAGCCGAACATTGACAGGTACGCAAAGGAGTACGGTACAGAGAATATCCCGCCTCCATGGGCTGCCTTTACTATTTCTGATGAACCGAGACCGGGCAACTTTCACATCATACAGAAGGTGCTTGTGGGCGCCTTTGACTTTGATATCTTCTACAACTCCGGAGCTGGACCTCACTTGACCTCTGAAGATCTTGACAAGCACATTGCCGCGAATTCGAAGAGTTTCAAGACGAAATTTGACGCCGTGCTTAAGCCTTCAGCTCCATTCACAAAAGCAGAATACACAGGCTTTTCGCAATCGTTGTTTTCCAATCTCCTCGGTGGAGTTGGGTACTTCTATGGTGACTCCCTGGTGGATCGCTCATACGCTCCAGAGTACGACGAAGACGATGAAGGGTTCTGGGAACAGACTGCAGAAGCACGTGCTCGGGCTCAAGTCCAGCAAGATCCAGCCAGAGAGCTGTTCACTGCTGTGCCGTCGCGACCGTTCTTTCCGCGAGGCTTCTTATGGGACGAGGGGTTTCACCTGGTCCCGATCGTTGAGTGGGATCTTGATCTGACGCTTGACATCCTGTCATCATGGTTCAATCTCATGGACTCCGATGGCTGGATTGCAAGAGAACAGATCCTTGGCGCCGAAGCACGAAGCAAAGTGCCGCAGGAGTTCCAGGTCCAGTACCCTCATTACGCTAATCCGCCCACACTCTTCCTGATCATTGAAACGCTTGTCGCAAAGCTCAAGTCCGGAAAGCTGTCAGCAGCACAAGCTGCTGCGGTTCGTGAACATCTCACCGCCATCTACCCTCTCTTGAAGCGTCAGTACACCTGGTTCCGTCGCACGCAATTCGGCGACGTCAAGTCCTACGACCGCGATGCACCCTCCACAAAAGAAGCCTACCGCTGGCGCGGCCGTAGCGTGCAGCACATTCTCACGTCCGGCCTGGACGATTACCCACGCCCCCAACCACCTCACCCTGGTGAGCTCCACGTCGACCTCTTCTCATGGGTCGGCCTTATGCAGCGCGCTCTTATCTCAACCTCCACGCTCCTCTCCGAGACCGACGACACAGCCACCTTTACATCTCACCACAACGCTCTATTAAAGAACCTTGATGTGCTGCACTGGTCCGACAAGGACGCCGCATATTGTGACGCTAGCATCGACGACTACGACGAGTCATACCACGTATGCCATAAGGGGTACATCTCGCTATTCCCATTCATGACTGGCCTCGTCGGCCCCACGAACCCCAACCTCCCCGCCGTACTAGACCTCATCGCCGATCCCGAACACCTGTGGTCCCCGTACGGCATCCGCTCCCTCTCCAAGCAAGACCCGCATTACGGGACTGAGGAGAATTACTGGCGCAGTCCGATCTGGGTGCCGATGAACTACCTCATCATTAAGCAGCTCCGAGCTGTCGCCGTCAGTGCCGAGGGCTCGAAAGAGGTCAAGGTTAAAGCAGCTAAGATCTACAATGAGTTGAGGGAGAATCTGGTGAAGAATGTATACCAACAGTGGAAGGAGACGGGTTTCGCGTGGGAGCAGTATAATCCGGAGACAGGCAAAGGTCAACGGACGCAGCATTTCACGGGCTGGACAAGTCTGGTCGTGAGTATCATGGCGATGGAGAGGGTTGAGGTCAAGGGTGGGGTGGTGGTGCATGGCGAGCTTTAAGCATAGATTGGGGCAGTAAAAAATCATGCCTGACCGATTTCATTCGTCGTCGCTATCACTACCGTAGCCCACCAGCGGTCCTGGCGCTGCCGCGATTGTGGGTGCTTTGGACGGTGGCGGTGCAGAGGCCTTCAATGTACCGTTTCTTCCACTCAAAGCCGCAAGTGTTGACGCGCCGAAGATGCCGCCTCCAGCATCAGCTTCCGACTGTGCAGCGGCACCATTCGACTCGGGCATGAGCTCGATGTCGACTCTGTCTCCTGAGGCACGTCTTCCAAGAGCTGTTGCTGCTGACCTTCGATCTCCCTTTGTTTCTGCGCATTGTACCATAGCTCATCGGGTGCCTCGTATCCCTCCAGGCCAAATCCGCTCTCGATCCTTCTCTGCTCTTTCTCTTCTCGCGTCTCCCTGCCCTCAATCTGCTTCACGGCCTTCTCGCCCAGAGCTCTCCTCACAGCCTCCGCGGCCTGCTCCTCTATTCTCTGAGCCTCCCGCTTCTGGCTCAGCGGATTCGGGTCCACCGTCGCCCAACGAACATTCAAGATCTCGCTATTGTCCAGCGCCTGATGAGCCATAGCTTCCTTCGCAAACTGCGCATTGCCTTCATTCACATATGTCACGAATGCAACACCTCTGCCCGTCAGGACTCGTATTCGCTCGACCTCACCCCACTCAGCGAAATGCCGCGCAACGATCTCCTCTATGTCGTCCGTCACGTGTATCCGGCCAATATACAGTGTTCGATTCTGCCGTAGAAAACTTCCAACGCCGCCCATATCATCTCGATAATCGCTGTGCTTGTCGCGACCGAAGACGTCGACGTTGGGATTGAAATGGTCGAATATGCCTGGCAGGCGATGCAGGTATTCGCATTCGTGGCCTTTAGGGCAGATGCCTCGGGCGAAGAAGAGGCAGAAATGACTTCCGGTGACTTTGTCTGCGGCAGTCCAGCCTGCGTCTTCTTTGATGTGGCAGCGATTTATAGCGGCGGTCTTGGAGAGCGCGGCGTCTTCACGGTCGCCGCCCGCCCATTTGTTGTACCAGATGTTGAAGACAGTCCCTACCTGTGGCGGCGGGTCGGAGGTGCTCTTCAGGGCTGACGGGTCAATCTGTGGCCGCGCTGGTCGGCGTTTCCGCCTGATGAGCTTGGTCTTTTTCGCTGGGGGCTCGGCGGCTGTGAGGTCTGTGGTTGCGGTCGTGGTGAGGGCGGTGGATGGCTCGTCGGTGACTGGAGGGGAGGCGGAGCGCTTTCGGGAAGGCGATGCGCCGCCGAACGAGGTACGAGCATTGACGACCTCCGCCATGCTGAGTGAAAGACCTTTTGCTTGTGAGACTCGTCACAGATGATCATGTCAACTTGAAAGAAGTGCTGTGACTTTCTTCGCCGGCGACAACTTCCGAAGTTCTACCGTCACGTTCTGGGGCCTAGCACGTGAGTCTTGGCAGACACCAGACTTTCGAATATATAAACCTGCTGCCCTCCTCCCACTTTGTTGATTCCCTCTTCATACTTACCTTGTGAGAGCGACCGCGATCAAGAAGGCGGTTTGCTATTCTGGAGACTCTCCATTGCACATCGGAGTAGTAGACGGGATCCAATATCCTTCGGGGTTTTGGCTTGCGCAATTTTTGTCTCGCTCAAGCACTTTTCATCAATTGTCTTCGCTCTGCGAGACTTTGGGGAAGAGTCGTCCTTTCTTGAGTGCTCAATGTATGAGCCGTGAACCGAGCCAATCTCTACACATGTCAATCTATGTCCTACGCGTTGTGCTATTGACGAGCTGCAATATCGCTGAAGCACTGCGAGCTTGCTGCTTGTCGAGCTCGTGAACGCTTCTGGTTTAGAAAGCGTTATGCAGAGGAGTCATCGCAGTCACGGTCTCAAAGGCTCTTCTCTGGATACGTGCACGCCTAGTGAGGTCCAAAATGAGGGGCGAGATCGCGTGCTGGTACCTGCATGCCCCAAAAGTCCCTGTGACGCAACTCCCGAGCTGCTCACGAAACCTGTTTGCAGTCCTCAGGTACGATGCGACTGGACCAGAGCTGAGTCCTACATAAGACAGTACGTACCCGTCAGACGGCTTCCGCCTAGTCTATCTCAGAAGCATAGCATCAAACTCATTCGCCAACCTCGCCCAGAACCTCATTCCAGTCCCTCAGAATGGCCTCGAAAGAAGTAGCTCAGAAGCAGTCCAGCGGCGTCGGCCAAGCTGCGTCCGACACCGTCAAGACCGTCACGGAGACTGCCTCTAGCGCAGGCGCTTCGCTCGCAGGTGCTTTCTCCGGATCGCTGAGCGCAGGCGGACACTCGTCGAACAAGAAGACAACGACCACAACTTCAAGCGGATCACAAATCAGCAAGAAAGAGGCGGATCAACTCTACGAAGAACGCATCGAGGACGAGTACGCGAAGCGCGAGGGCGGTGCTTGAACTACTCGTTCACGAAAAGTAGAGCATGGTGTTCGATATGGCGCAGAGAATGACATACAGGTAGATGATGATGGTACACGAGAGCTCCTGAATTAACACATCTCCTGTCTCAAGAACCAACAATAGCACTCACGACGTCCACGACGTCCGCTCCATTGCTCGCGTCCTTGACTCCCTTCTGCGACTGCTTGATCTTCGCAATCGCTGTGGTTACGACCATGTCCACGAAGGCTCATCGCCTGGTACTAAGACCTCGATCCTGGATGACTTGGACTTAGTCTTACTCGTCGCTATCAACCGCCCGCTGCTATCGAAGAGCTGCATTTCGGAGCCGCTGAAGCTTTGCTTCCACTGAAGATTGCCATATGGTCCCCAATCGAAATTGTGTGAACTCGATAACGATGAATTCAATCTCATCTTCGTCGCAGCTCCATGCAGGCACACGTCAACTTTCGACGAATATGTGTGCAACTGGATTGCGCCGATGTTGAACGGCTGTCCCCATCCGTGGCTGCCTCCTAACCGAGTGATCTGAACATGTGACCTCGTTCCGCTCCTCTGGACAGTGTATGCTGGGATCGTTTGTCCCTGGGCGCCTTGCACGAAGATAGTGTTGCTTTTCGGCTCATATGAGAATGCGCGAAACGCTAATGATCGAGGGTAGTGGTTGTGCATGGTGGCTGTCTTAGTTCTTCTTTGCTATATATCGGCCTTACCTTTGAGCAGATATGTCTGGCCTTATAATGTTCAACAATCATCGCACCAACCTCGCCCTCATTCAGGTCGATTGTGCCGCCAGTATAACTTGCGTTTTGCGCAGCGATGTCCATCAGGTCTGGGCACTCAGAACTATTCTTGTAACCACCAATTCGTATAGCATCGAGTTGTACAGACGCCGATCACTGTCAAAAGGACTTGACAATCGACGGTACATTTCGTTGTCGCCTTCTAGAAGCACGACACCCCAGCTTCCTCATTGGATCGCACCCACAGCGCCCAAGAACTCTCCGGTGGGACATGTTTATCACCCGAAGAGCGCTTCCTGCCCCACTGGCGTCATTTTATAGCCCGCATGTTGGTTGCCAAGTATAAAAGATTGGCGCCTTTCTTGCCCAAACAGGTGCATTGTGCCGCTACACGAATCAGACGCTTCTCGTCTGTGCGGCCATGCCGTGAAGTAGCCGAAGATCCCCACCATTGAGATTGCTTCGCCGCGCATGGCAGTCGATCAGTACAAGGCTGATGGCTATGGCTGAGCCGCAATGATACACTACCATTTTGAGATTGAAGCACGAACGCTTGAAGGCCCAAATGACCATATTGAGCAAAGGTTGATATATCAAGTGGAACAGAACGTCCGCCGCAAAAAACCAGTTTGGGGAAAACGACCAGAAATTGTGCCTCGATAGTCGATATCTAAGTCTTCAGAAGAGCTATGCCAGGTGTACCCTCCGGAAAGGGATGTGATGCTTGCGTCAAGCAGAAGAAGAAGGTACTACTTCCTCCTCAACCACCCTGCTGCCTTGCAGTGACTAATCAATCCCTCATCAGTGCGACCAGTTGAAACCCGCTTGCTCGAGATGTGCTCGCTTGCAGATCGAGTGTATAGGCTCCGGAAAGCAGAGGTACAAGTTCAAACACGTCAATGCAGGCGGTGGATACTCGCCGCCAAGTGACGACAATGGACGAAGGAGCTCGAAAAGCAGCCAAGCAAGTAGTGTTCGGGTGTTGTCGAGAACCCCGAGCAGTGAAGCTGGACTATTGCTCAGTGAGCTTGTCAACAAGCTAGAGATCAAGGATATACGGTTCGATCTATGTTGGGCATATGGAAGCCTCCTAAAAGAGGTCCCACCACGACTGGGAAGAAATGCAGCCTTGGACGCTGCTGTCATCGCCCTCACCACATCTTGCACAGACCTGGCAGCGAGACGGAAACCACACAACGCTTTGATCAAGTACGGAAGTGCTCTGAATGCTCTACGTGGTGTTCTCAACGATCCCGCACTTGCCACGGCGCCAGAGACGCTTTGTGCAATCTATGTTATCTGGATATGTCAGGTAAGCATGCCTCAATATACCGCTGGTCATCTTTCTTACACCAAACAGAGCTGGCTTGGCGAAGAAAGTCCTGCAAATGTTGGGCACGGTTCAGGCATCGTACAAATACTCGCGACCGCGCCATTCCGAAACTCGAAAGACCCATTTGAGAGAATGCTTCTCGCGACTATAGCAGCGCCTGTGGTACGTACCAACAACATCTGCAGTAAGAAAATACTAATTGTTGCAGATCTTCGAGGGCATGTTCAACCCAGAAGTCCAGCTGAACCCGTGGGTCATACAATACGTCCTGGACATCGAGTCACCGATACTCAGTGAAGACGACATAAAACGAGCGAAGCCAACGGCACCAGGTATGCCAAAGGTCGGTTGCATAATGAGCTGCATAGTTCGGCTCCCCGACTTCTTGCGCTATAATCCGGAATTGCTTTACGAAATCAGACAGAACTATCTGGCGGTCCAGGAAACGTCCAAGATACTACGCGACAAGTTCACCGCCGCGGCTGCGGCCATGATGGATCCCAACCCAGAGATCAACTACCAAGACCCAAGGATACCAAAAAGCTTGAGAAGTCTGGTGCCGATGCGAATGCACGCCTTCTACCAGCGATCGTATGCTCTTTATCTAGCTCTGGAAATCATGCTCAACGGTGTTCTGCGAGCTTATGAGCCCGAAAACATCGTGCTTGCAAGCGAGGCAGACCAGATGTGTGGAGAGATCATCTCGCTATGCCATCAAGCTGCGATGTGGAAGCCTATGGGCGCTGGTTGGATTCCACTGTGTCTTGTGGCCGCTTGGTCTGCATCGATGGATGCGATGAGGAAGACAGAGCTCTCTCGAACTTGGAATGACCTATGGCACGAGTACATGCCTCTCAGCATCGGCACGGCTTCTTACAACAGCTACAACAGTTTTGACGCGCTGAGGACGCTAGCTCTGCGAGACAAGTCTCTGTCTCCATACGACGCCCCATCATTTGCCTACGTGTAACCTCCGCTACACGATTATGGCACAGCGAAATGACCAGTTCGATGTCACTCTGCCCAGCAACGACACAGCAAGTCCAGCATGCCCAAACGACTGACGGAGTTGATGAATTCATCCTCTTCAGGGCAGGCAGGTGGTCGAGCCAAAAGAGCCTTTGAGGCCTTTCTCCGATTCTCCGTACTGTACCTAGATATGATCACAGAATAGATACCCAGCTTTCATCTTCGATTCGAACCATGACTACTAGGTGTATACCACACTGCAAGAACGCGTGAGATTCTGTCATTGAAGTTGAACTGCTCAATGCATGAGTCGGGGGTCTAGTCCACCAAACCACTCTACTGAACGGTTCGCGTACTCAATCCCAAAGTTCCAGGAATTCATGATCCGTCATCCTTCTGATCCACCCACGTCCGGCTTCACAGATGGCGCCAGACATCGCCGCAACACTCGCTGCTATCGATGCAGCCCACGCTCTTGACCCCAATAAGATAGAGCGGGACGGCCAAAGCATTCCCTATGAGCTACATTATGCCGAAAAATGCACACAATACCTCGAGAAGCACACCTCCTCCGCCTCCCCACTGCTCCAAGTCGCCGTTCGCGCACAGCACTTCCGACGCTGGGAAGTGCCTCGCGACAGCTACCCGCGTACAAAGGTAGGCTATTTTGCGTGGCGGACAGGTTTGAAGAAGCGGCAGGGAGAGCAGGTCAAAGAGATATGTCTACAGCATGGTTTTACTGAGGAACAGGCGGACAAGGTAGGGAAGCTCATCTCGAAAGAAGAGCTGAAGAAAGGCGAGGGAAAGGGGGATGAAGAGGCACAAGTTCTGGAGGATGTCGCATGCCTGGTGTTCCTGGACGACCAATTCGACACGTTCGAGCGGGAGCATGATGAGGAGAAGATCGTGGACATACTCAAGAAGACGTGGGTCAAGATGGGCAAGAGGGGGCAGGATCTCGCGCTGCAGATGGACTTGAGCGAGCGGGCGAAGGAGCTTGTTGGGAAGGCGCTGGCTGAGTGAATGTGGTGCATGATCGTTGTCGCCTACTCTGTGGCAGCCGCGTGAGGCTCCGTGTCGGGACATGCGTTTCATCACCTCTGTGATAAGGAGGGTTGAGGCCGTAGCTCGGGTCACGGATCCAATGAACCTCGTCTATTTGCGTCGGGCCTCAAGCATTTCGAACCGATGCACTACCTCCAGCCGAGACTCGCTTAGCAAGGAAACAACACGACGGAGTACGACAAGTCTGTGCAGAGAAATGTGTTGAGTGCCGAGGCGTGCCTGATCCTTACTTGGTCATACACCAGTATCTGTTCCTCGACCTGGGCCTATCCTTCAGAACCTTGGGACCGGACACGAAATGCTCCCGGCACGTCAACGCCAAGAAATGGCATGCTTCCTGGAGCTCTGATCGTCTCGCGGTAACACTGTGTCTCGCTCATGTTGACGAGGGAGTTGTGTCTGCAGCTGCAAGAGCGAACAGCAGTATGGAACTTTGACCATGGACGAGTCGCTCTTGCCACGCCCAGTCACGTTCACAACCCCTTGTCCTGCAGGGACGTCTACCCCGCATTTGGCATGTCCTGCAAGCGCGACTATCTCATGTTCACCGTTCAGCTTGGCCGTACAATGAACTCATCTCGAGCTCTTGCCGGCTTTGGCTTTTCATTGTACGACGGTTCTTCAGTTCCTAGGTATCCAGGTACCGGCCTGATTCCATCATGCCCTCGCCATACGAGAAGATAGACTGCCACTCACACTATCTGCCAGCGTGAGTGACATTGCCTTCGCAACGATACACAAATGAACCGTTATACTGATGCATCCAAATCAGCGGATACGGCGAAGCCTTGGCCAATAATGGCCACAAATACCCAGATGGCATGCCAGGAATTCCCACCTGGTCCGAGGAGGCACACCTCGACATGATGTCCACATGCAACATAACCAAATGCATTCTCTCCATTACCTCACCCGGTGTCCACCTCGTGGCGAACGACGATGAGCTAGCAGGCAAAGTCGCCCGTCTCTGCAACGACGCCGGCGCCGAGCTCAAACGACGACGACCCGACCAATTCGGGTTCTTCGCTTCACTCCCCGTTCCCAACATCGAGGAAGCCATCGTCGAGCTCAACCGAGCCTACGACGAGCTCGATTGTGATGGGATCACTCTCGAGACCAATAAGCATGGCGTCTACCTGGGTGACAGCCGTCTTGATCCTCTCATGGCCGAGCTCAACAACCGCCACGGTACCCTGTTCATCCATCCTACCACGCCATGTATGCCCGACGGCCAGACCGCCGCTGTCCCTCTCACTCTCTTCCCCAGATCCACCTACGAGTTCTTCTTCGATACCTGTCGCACCGTCATCAACCTGTTCGCCACCGGTACTGTTCGCTGCAACCCCAACATAACCTTCATCATTCCACACATGGGCGGTGCGTTCCCGCCGTTGATCCAGCGCTTCTCTCGCGTTGCGCCCATCCTTGGTCTGCCTGGCATCGATCCGGAGCTCTCCCCCGACTTCGTCCTCGATCGACTGAACAACCAGTTCTACTTCGACACAGCGGGCTGGCCGTTCGGAGGGCAAGCACAGGGGCTGTTGCAGTACGTGAGTCCAAAGAGGATTCTGTTCGGCACGGATTTTCCATTCACTCCGTTGCCTGCGGTGATCAGTGCTGTAGCGGGCCATGATCAGCACATGGTGACAACCTTTGGTTCTGATGAAGCAGTGGAGAGAGTATGCCGTGGGAATGCGAGGCGATTGCTGCAGGAGAAGGCACGTACAGGTAGATAGGCGTCAGTGGGTGGGTGTAAAGCAGCGTAGTAGATCAATACATGGTGCTGGTATATGCGACATATGTATGGTCAGGGAGTGCCTCCGTGCACTCATAAATGCAAAGATCTAAAGACTGCGTCAAAGGCATGGGACTTCAATTGAGCTCGTACCGAAGCCACTGAGAGGCTGAAGCAAGCTGCCAGCGAGAAGGACTCTGCTCATCTGGTCCTTGGAGAAGCCTCCTTCCAGCCTGGCAAAAGTCTACGATGGGCCTGGCTAAAGTCGCGCAAAAGGCCAGAGATATTGACCATAGAGGCCGCCCGAGTGCTACATGTCCATCAAAATGACACGAGTGGGATCAGATGGTACAGCATAATGGGGTATCATTGTGGTGCTCACAAAAAACGAAAACGAAAAACGCGCAAAACCACTACTTCTCCCCATCCACCTCCACCCCCTCTCCCACTCCTCCTCCCACCCCTACCTCCCCTTCTTCTCCCTCGCCAGCTCCACCTCCAGGAACTCCCCCACCCGCTCCACCGCCACCCCTCCCGCTCCCCACCACCCGGCGACCGAACCTTGAGCAGAGGGACGCTCAGCGCCCATGCGAACAATGACGAGCCAGTACGGCCCATCATGCTCGTGCATGGCCGTGAGAGCGTCCATGCTCTCCACCTCCTCTGTGAGCTCGGCGCCCACACCCACCGCCCAGATCTTCTGCACCACGTCGATGCAGGTGCTAGCCAGCAGCTTCGCGTCGAAGCTGGTGACCAGCACGCTGCAGCGGCTGGCGCGGCCGGAATCGTTGCTGTTGCTGCTGGTGCTGCTGTTCTTGCCTCCAGCAGCAGCAAAACTCTGCAGGATTGCGGCAAATCCCTCCAGACCGACGCGAAGGCCGACAGCACGCGTGGTAGGGTCTCCAGCAGCGTTTGCACGCGCGTGGTGCTCGATGAGGCCATCGTAGCGCCCTCCGTGGGCCAGCAGCACGCCGTCCTTCTTCTCCACGCACTGGAAGCAGATCGAGCCGTTGTACAGGCGAGGTGCGACGTTGAAGGTCGGCACGATCTGCACCTTGATGCCGAAATTGAAGCGACGCAGGTGGTCGATGATGTCGTCCAGGCGGCGGAGAAGACGGAGAGCCTTGGAGTAGGAACTAGAACCCTTCTTGCCGAACAGCTTTTGCAGTTCCGCACGTACTGAATTAGAGTCACCAGCCACGAACACGAACGTGCGCAGAATCGCAACAGAAGTCGCATCAATATTGAGTCTGTTCTGCAGGAATCTGTCTGCTGTGCTCAGTAAGTTGCGCTTCTGCTTCTGGGGCATGGTAAATCGAGGAATGTTTGCCAACGCGTCTTTCACTTTGGGTCGGTCGACGGCTCGAATGTGGCTCTCTTCGAGAATGAGATCCAGGAGGTCCATATGATTCAGCAACAGAACCCATTCTCCGCTAGCAAGCACTGGGAACTCGACGATAATCTCTTTGATGAGGTAGATCGTGGAGGCCTCTTTGAGTGCGAGATCTGTGTCCTTGTATGAGACGAGGTCAAAGTTTGCCTCTAGGGTCTGTTTGGGTTCGGAGTTGATTGACTGGATCTGCTCAGCGTCTGCTGTCTTTGGTGCGTTGCGGAGATGGAACGATGAGTCGAAGCTATAGAACTTGCGGAAACGCGGCTTTGACTTCGCAATCGAGCGAGCGAATGGTGTAGTTGGGTCCTGAATCAACTGGAAACGCATGATGGACGAGTTGAAGACCAGCACCGCGTCTGCGGCAGTGTTCGGAGCCTTGGGTACAAGTGGTTGTCGGGTGGATCCCACAGCACCATGCTTCCGGAAGATCCCACGGAGGCGAGATCGTATATCATCGAGCACAATTGGCAACGAAGAGTCGCTTCCGGTTTCAGTGGAGTCCCATGCAAGATCACGCACGTCCGAATTGTCCACAACTTTGAGCATTGCACCGACTTTGTCTGGTTCGTTGTTGGCCAAATATTCGAGTCGCCGATCGAGCTTTTCCTGCTCCAGAGGTTCCGGAATGTCGCCGCTCTCGAGTAGCTCTGCAGCCGTGGGTCGCTTTGTTTGATCGCCATTGAGAAGGGAGAGTACGACTGCCTTTTGTTTCTCACGCCCAATTTCTGTCCATTTGCTAAGCACAGCGCTCGGATTGTCCCGAAGGGCCACGAGCTCCGCCAGGCGTTGACTCTCGGTCGCAAAGTCTGAGTTCATTTCGAAGAAAATGAGGCCCATACTATACATGTCAGTCTTCTGCAGCTCTTTGATCGGTGCGTTGAGCAGCGACTCAGGCGCCATGTACAGTTCAGTTCCTGCCTGGAATCCATGAGCTTCGCTTGACATGGCAGTAGTAGCAAGGCCGAAATCTCCTATCTTGGGATTTCCATTCATGTCGATAAAGATGTTGGAAGGCTTGAGATCGCGGTGAGTGATGCCACTCTGATGAATGTATTTGAGTGCCTCGAGCATGTTTCTCATCAGCCGCCAGGATTTGTCAGGATCTTCGTACAGTTTCTTAGCTGTGATCACATTCTTCAGGGTTTCATTGTCGCAAAGCTCCATCTGAATGAAGAAGTTTCCCTTGGTGATCCTACTTGGGCGGCGGCGAGGGATTTTGTTGTGATCAGACGATGGCGGCGGACTCTGCTGGTTATCGACCTTGCTCACATTATTTGTGCTGTTTCCAAATTCGACCTCTCCACCAACGAGCTGATTCTTGTCGGAGAACTCAACCCCTAGGAGATCTTGGGGATCGATTTCCCCGTTGGCATTGTTGTATGCATTATCATAGTCGTCGTCGTTGTCGAAGTGTGGTGGGCTTGACTCGTCGTCGTCGCTACTATCTGACGACTCTTGGTCTAGATCTTGTTGGACAGGCCGTGATTGGCTAAGTTCCTCGTCAGCAATCTGTTCTGACAGCTCTTGTTCCGGATCGCGTTCGAAGGGCTCAAAGCCGTTGCGTCCAAACCCCGGTGGATCATATACTGACATTGACATTAGTCTCCTCGGCGCTGGCTGCACGATCGATACGTCCTGGTTCGCCATCATCGACTCGTATAGCAGTTGATCTACGGCCTCGTGGTTTCTGCCCGTCAACGAAGGCGGTACTCTATAGTTGTCGTCATTGCCATCGTCAGACGTGACATCTTCGTCTGTATCCTCGACCTCTTCGGTCCAAGCGTCATAGTATCGGCAAACCCCAGGGTGCTGGAGGAGAGCTAGCTTCATGACCTCAAGGTTGAAATCTGTACGATCGAGCGGCGCTTTTTCGCTCACCATGAGAAGCTTCACTGCGTAATTGGTCTGGTCGGCAACCTTGCGTGCTTTGTACACCTTACCGAATGAGCCCGAGCCGAGCACACCAAGCGGTTCCCACTCTTCGGCCCAGCGACTGTACTGTCTGCGCTCTGACTTTCGAACGGCAGGTCTGAAGGCGGTAGATATTGCAGAGGAAGCCATCAGTGGGCCTTTATTGAAGAGGAATGCATGTGCCGTCAGCTGCTCCGGCGTCGTGCGATGTCGGGGGTTTTCCTGAAAGAGTACGGCGAGGAAATCGCTGAAATCGCGACTGAAATTTATTTTTCGCAGACAATCTCCTGGCGAGGTGTATTTCTGTACCACGGAGGTGCCCTGATGCATTTGCAGCACGATAATGCCGAGGTTCCATAGCGCTGTTTCTTGTACCTGCTGTCCAGTCTTCTTGCGTAGCTCGGGCGCTATCCAGAGAGGCGGCAGATCTGGCTTGACTGATTCGGCGCGCGCATCGTCAACAAGTTTTCGCAAAGCTGTTCCATAACCATCTGAAAGCTTGATAGTTGGGTCGGACTCGTCTTGTAGTCTGAACAAGAGGACGTTGCCGATGTGCAGAGCAGGGTGGATGTGACCTTGGTTTTGGTAGAATCCAAGCGCACTCAAGATCTGTCGCGTAAATTCGCGAACTCTCTCTTCCTGCAGACTCTGTGTCAGGTACAGTAGACTCTCTAGAGACCCTTGGGTAGCATATTCGGTGAGTATCCAGAGTTTGTAGACTTTCCCGTCGGTGTGATGAGTAGAGCACTCTGTAAGCGATAATATCGGCAACATGTGCGTGGTGGTTTTCACAGGACTTGACTAGCATTTGCTCGATGTCGTGCATGGCTGTTGTCATTTCCGAGCTCGGGAGTAACTCCTTCTGAATGATGATCTCTTTGAGTTGGAAGGGAGGCAGGTCCATCTCCTTGTCTGATTCATCTTCGAAGCTGGGGCTGACAAGTCTAATGATCTTGTCTATTCGACGCGTCATGACAGTCTGTCCCTCGACGTTTGTGATGACGATAATCTGCGACGAATGGGGAATCTTGTAGATTGCCCCGCGGGGGAAGGGGAATGATGGAACAGGCATTTCGGTACGGGTTCTGGTAGCACCAGGTTTGACGTTGGCTTCTTGCTGTTTCCGCTCGGAATCGACCTTCGAGAGCAGTTGCTGGCGCGCGGCCTCTTGTTGCTGAAGCTTTTGAGCCTCTTGCTGCTCAACACTGAGTTTAGCCGCGGCCTCTCGTTCTGCACGCTCTTCCTCAAGGCTGAATGGATTGACCTTTTGCGCTTTTGAAAGGGCAGCGCGACTTAGGAGTTCTTCTACGGCAGCGGTGATATCGTACACGCACTCAGACCCAAGGTGAGACTTTGTAACGTCCTTGATTAAAGCTTCGAGTTGCGTGCGCGAATTGTCTAGGTCGGTCTGCTGAGCAATGATCTTCGCCTTCAGAGCGACCTTGGGGTAATCTTTCGGAAACTCGATCTCGAGCTTCACAAAATATTCTGGATTATCAGAAGCTTGAAGCCGGACCTGGAAAGCAAGATTCTCATAGTTCTGTACTTTGTCAGTCTACGCATGGACACGCAAAAGCTCGCAGCAAGTACCTTCCATGCCTCCGTCCGACCATGAACGCGAACGAAGTCGTCAGGATAGATTGCTTGCGTGGCAAGAAACTCGTCTTGCTGAACCTCCGGGTATCGAGAGATGTCTTCGTCTGCAGGTTTGTCGTCGACAACGGGATCAGGCGGTGCACGCGTAGTCGCTGCTGCAGCAGCTTTCGCTGCCTTCTTCCGGGGAGCCATCTTGGCGGACCTGACCACCGTAGCGCCGTTGCAGCACTATTCCGCGCTAGTCACGACAGTGACTGTGCTCCTATGACTCTTCGAGGGCGTATTCGGTGCCCATAGCAACCTGCAAGGCTGCAGCCGAAAAGGGTGACTCGAACGTCGCTAGCGCCAAGGCTGATGTTCGCCAAGACCGAAGATGGAGAAACTTTGGTGGAAAAAGGCAACCTCGACTTGTAATGCACTTGCCAATCTCGAGTATCCTCTGTGGTCGTTGTCGATTTGACTGGAAGTAATTACCGTAGCAGATTTGTTGGGAGCTCCTCGGCAGCAGTTGCGTTGCGATCGGTAACCCGACGAGTCTGTCTCGAAAGGCAACGCTTCCGGTCCTCCTCACCTATTGGGTTTCCGAAGCCACTCCTTCAAGATGGTCAATATTACCGAGCGGATCAAGGAGTATGTTCTGATTCCAGGAATGCTATTGTTTGTAGCTGAGTGGGCGACAGGATTGAGGCGGAGATGGCCCGGACGCAGAGTTAGAACAATTGGCTGTCTGTTCTGAGTTCTTGACACTAATGTGCTTTCAGAGAACAAGGCAACTGGTGGGTTCTGACCTTTGCAGTGTTCTCAGATGGTTTTAGAGACTGACTGAGGGCAGAATATCACCTTGGCTTGCTCAAAGGGTAAGTTCTGTGATTATCGTGTGTGTGGTAGGAAGTGGCGAGCGCGTAAAGATCGCGGCGCGTTCAAAAGGGCAGGAGTGCCAAGACGCGCAGCTACTGCACGTGACTCATAACCTGGGGCAACCACAAAGGCCCATATGGTGGACATCAAGCCATGGGCTGAGATTTTGAGAGATGGATTGTCATTCTACCTCACAGACAGCCTCACAACATGCCTTGAGACAACATAATGCTGACTACTGCTTAGTAAACTAGCTCGATTAAGAGCACAACTCCTAGAGCCTGGTCCAGGTGCAGGAGGAGGTGCTGGTTCAGGCTTCGATGTTTCGAAATCTGGTGATGCCCGTATCGCGCTTGTCGGCTTCCCTTCGGTCGGTAAATCGACGTTCTTGTCGAAGATCACGAAGACCAAGGCAGAGGTTGCAGCATATGCTTTCACAACGCTCACGGCCATTCCTGGAGTGCTAGAGTATGGCGGAGCCGAGATACAGATCCTCGACTTGCCTGGAATCATTGAAGGTGCTTCGGAAGGTAAGGGTCGAGGGAGACAGGTCATCAGCGCCGCAAAGGTGAGCGAGTCCATCCCCAGCTAGCATCCTGTGGTCTGTCCAGTCCTAAGTTTCAACCCGTCTTCTAGACTTCAGACCTAGTTCTCATGGTCCTTGACGCAACTAAACGTGCCGAACAACGCCACCTCCTGACCGTAGAGCTCGAGGCCGTGGGCATCCGGCTCAATCGCTCACCGCCGAATATCTACCTCAAGGTCAAGAAAGCAGGCGGCATGAAAATCACATTCCAGTCCCCTCCTCATTACCTTGACGAGAAGATGCTGTACAACATCCTACGCGACTACAAGATTCTGAACTGCGAAGTCCTTGTCCGCGATGAGTACGCCACTGTCGACGACTTCATCGATGTAATCATGAAGGAGCACCGCACGTACATCCGTTGCTTGTACGTCTACAACAAGATCGATAGTATCAGTATGGACTTCCTGGACCAGCTTGCACGAGAACCACATACGGCGGTGATGAGCTGTGAAATGGATCTGGGAGTTCAGGAGGTTGTGGAGCGTTGTTGGGAAGAGCTGAGGCTGATAAGGATCTTCACGAAGAGGCAAGGCGCGGAGCCGGACTTCGGTGAGGCGCTGATCGTGAGGAGTAACAGCAGTATCGAGGATGTGTGTGATGCAATCCATCGCACGCTCAAGGACACCTTCAAGTATGCTTTGGTGTGGGGTGCGAGCGCAAAGCACGTGCCGCAACGAGTTGGACTGGGGCATATGGTGTCGGATGAGGATGTGGTGCAGATCGTGAGCAGCTGGAAGGCTTGAGATTGCAGACAATCGAAAGTATTCGCGGAAAGGTCCTGAGACTGAAAATTGTGGCGTGATGATTGCATAGCATACTGCACCTAGCTCTTATCCTGAGGTTTACCAGCCTATGGATATAGCGCTTCCTCTTGCGGTTGCCTTTGACCAGATGACAGTCTTTCGCAAGCCCATCACTGAGTTACAGTTCGTCACAATCTCATTGTCGACCCCGAACAACCATATTCTTCAGTGGATCCCACTCTGTCTCTCGCAGACCCTATTTCTGGCGGCTGCAAATCCTGGCGTCTTCCTTCATGTGTGGACAGCAACACAAATCCTCAGCGATTGATCATTCTCTCGTTCTATACTCTCGGTGCCGTCTTTCCATCGAGGTAGAATGATCCTCCAGTAGTTGGCGCCCCCTGGCCGTGGGGTTGTTTCGTTGTTACTGAGAAAAGGCGCAAGTTAAAATGACGTTGCCTTTCCGCACAGAGCGGTTGATCGAACATCTGGCCCACTCGTATTGTCGCACATGAGGGAAGCACTCGTGTGATTTGAGTGTCGGCTGAGGTAGGTGTTGCTGACAGGCTGTCTTGGATTCATTCACTCGTTGTACTCATCCGGTCGTAAGAATCTGGCGTTTCCATAGTCTATTCGTTGGTCGCGTGTATCCTGAAAGAATGTCCGTCTTCCAGGACAGACTGTCAGCCGAGTTGATCGAGGAGGTGTATCTCATGGCGACCGAGGGCCCTGAGGTGTACTTGGTCCTGAAGGCGGAGGTGAGGGACCGAAGGGCTTCCGGACGCCAGTGGTGTCGTAGATGCCACGACCAGAGTTGATGGGAGTTCTCATGATGAGTGACGGTGTAGTAGTGATCAGCGTTGCTTTCAGGAGGTTGTTGAGTCAAAGTTGTAGTCTGTGAATGCGTGAGCTGATTCTGGTTCTAAGAGGACGGTGAGAAGTAAAGTAGCCAGCACTGCACCAGACGATCCGCCGTCAATATATAGTTCGCTTCATGTTTTGGCTCGCATGTCAAATAGTCATGTCAGGCGGCTTCTGGAAGCAGATACCAGCATCGGACGTTGGAAAATATCATCATCCGCGAAGCACAGACAAGGGACAACCCTGTCGCGGGGAAGCGTTGTCAACGGCTGCATACACATCCACTCATCCCGACAGAGAGGTAGAGACGAGGCATATGCGCTCGCCCAAGATTGAACCTGCGGTGAGCGTGGCACAAGAGGAGCGAAAGGACCAACCAAAGGACAGAGAGAGCGCTATAGCCGACCTTGCTGACATCAAGTTTATTTATTGCACCAAGAGTTCAAGCGTACCTGGCAGGAATCGCGCGTTCGGCAATGTGTTCAGGCGGAGCATGTCTAGCTGATGTTGGCCACGCGGGCGGCAGCTTGAGATGACGGGTATGCTAAGTTAGGGAGAGTTTGGACGGTTCAGGAAGAGCGGTGAGTCTACCGTAAATTTGGGGCGCTGACAGAACAAACGTGTGATCGTCGTTCGGGGGCCGATTTCGCATTGCTGGTTCACCGCGCTGGTGAGTGGCGGTCACGCGGCGGTTGAATGTGAGCTACTGACAGTTGGTATTCGTCATAATCAGCACGAGCGATTTGCGATGGTGTTGCGCAAAGATATCAGTGGTATCGAGGAGAGCGTTGCAGTTGCAGTGTGAAGAGAAAGAGCAGACTGAACGGGCGGCATCGTCCCAAGTCTTCTCATTGGACGAGAACAACTCTCGTCACGTGATAGGTCGACGACGAGAGGCACACCGGGTACGAAGGCATCGCTTTGGGCAAGGATACGACTCTACAAAGGTACCGTTGGATCAGGAAACGTCGATTTGCGGTGAGATTGGCATCTTGAGTGACGTGAAGTCCAGATGAATACCCGGGAAATCTCGACTCCTGTCGCACAGGATCGCGATTATCAAATTCCGAATCTTATCATGACCTCTCGCTAGGATCATGAGTCGCATAGCGCCATGAACCATGCCACGTCTCGATCGCCATGTTGTTCCGCGGGGATGACGCCGGACTATCCCTCAGCGCCCCCTTCGACAGTCACTCCTGGAAAGTCTCCCTGCCGGAATCTGTTCGCCATGTCGCCAAAAGTACACCACTCGACGCCTTCGTGGCCGTTGATCCACTCGATCAGGCGCTGGTGCATCATCAATATCTGCGGCTTTCCGCTGACTTGCGGATGGATCGATATCGGAAACACAAATGTATCGAAGTTGTCGTAGCAGTATGAGAAGTGCTCCTTCCAAAACCTCTCGACATGATGAGGGTCAATGAAACCTGCTGATCCCAGGGCGGGCTTTGGCTGGAATGCCGGCCAGTCATCGAGGTGCCACGAAGCAGGCACCTCGACGATAGAGCTAGGACGCAGTATAGACATCGGCTTCATCCAGTCCGAGGCTTCAGCAGCCTTGTAGTTTGTCTCAGCGATTGACTCGGGGGCGTAAGGTGCGTAGTACATCTGTGCTATACGCTCGTTAGCCGAATAGTGGAATAAAGGGGGCGCTGCGGACATGGCAGCACGGGGGCTTGGCAGCCGCGTGGCATCTTCTCAAGCATAGCTTGTCACAGATTTCACAACACCCTCATGTGTCCTGATCGTAGGTCGCGGCCGCTAGCGAATACCTACCATCGTGATGCATCATGCTGTGGTCGTACTCAATTCCAGCCTCCTCCAGGAGGGAGATCTTGTGAAACTTATCAGCATGTGACTTTCTCAAACCAGGCTTCAGTGGCCAGGACAGGGAATGTGCCATGTCCTGGGACGCAACAAATCTGAGCACTCCTGGAGTTCGTCACACAGGAACATCGCTCAAAGGATCAGCGGACTGAAGAGCCGCGTACCGTCTCTCTACTTGGCGTCCAAGCTGGTGCAGTGAAGCCCTTTGGCTTCTTGCCCGTAAATGCTGTGAGCACATCGATAGACTTCTGTAGCACATCACGCTCTTGCCGAGGTGTGAGCAGGCTCATATATTCATGGGTATAACCATGAAGTCCGCTTCGCATCGTCAGGCGCCTCAGTAATCTCAGGCATCGTGCAACGCACTCACATCTCATGACCAGCATCTCGAATTTTTGCCATGTTCTTTGGAAAAGACTCCAGGGTATGTGCTGGGATATACCAGCTGGCTTTGATGTTGTATTTGTCAAGCATCTTCAGTAAGCGATCTGTCCCAACAGTCGCGCCGAACACGCCCCGCGAGACGTTGGTGACGTCCACCAATTTTCCATCTTGAGTGTTCAGCCAGTTTGACACGGCGTCAACGTCGATCCCATACCCGCAAAGGACGTGCTTCTTCGACATCTACGCCTTGCTCAAGCAGACAACCAGATACCGTGTCTTAGTTGCAATAACTGGCTATGTGTTGTTGTGGTAATCTCTTACAGAATTCGAACGTCACTTCGAAGTAGTTAGAGATTGAGATGCGTCAGGTATATAGTCTACGAATCGAGCGGTCTTGTCCGATGGTGGTAATATAAGCACTGTAGAGTGACATCACTTCTCCTGACAGTCGAGCTTGAGTGCCTAGTCCACTTCTCCTGACAGTCGAGCTTGAGTGCCTAGTCCAACAGTCCGTCCAGGGCACTCGAATATCCTGAAACGATGTCTAGCAATCGGATGCCTCCCTAACATTGATCTCCTCCCTGATACTCGATCGATCACGGCAGACATCGGAGTTTCTCCTCGACACTTCGTTTGACCACTGGTGAGCTCTTCATCCATGGCGACCTAGAGTGCCAGCTTTGGTACTTTGCGCGACAGGTCGCCATCGTGAGCTTCTGTCACCACTCTAGATCTGGATCTCGGGACCATCAGCCACGGCAGGGTGGATGTCGTTCACCCTAAGGGGACGGTAATTCCTGCAAGTCTCCCGATGACGATGATTGCCTTGACGAACAACCTCTTGATGGTCAGCGAGACGAATGTAGCAGAACTCGTGGTTGCAAAGTTCACCTACACACATTAGTCACTGAGTTCCAGCAGGCTGAAGACCACTCTTACCGTTGGTCCATTCTTCGATCTGCAGGTCATATGATCGCACCCAGCACTCCTCTCGATCGGCGCGGCGCATTTGGGACATGCTTTAGTGTTGGACGTCACATACATCGCGCTTTGCGCTTCGTTGAGGGACTCTATACGCTTCTGCTCCTCTTCTTCAGCTTCCCGGGTCCTGTCCTTGCTCTCGTCGTGCGTTAGGCCGGGGTGTCCAGCCGTGTGGCAGGTGACACAGGTCTGCGCACCGCAGACACAAGTGATGAAAGAATCTTGGGGGCCGAAGAAGCCACCACCATCGCAGACCGGATTGGAGCATTTGCAGTAGTCTTCGGTTCCGCTCAAAGCGTTCTGACAAAGCACTGAGTCGTATCTTTCGAAGACTTCTGCCGAAGCATACTCCTGCATTTGGCCGAAGCTTAGAAGTGCGCGGCAGTTTGGTTCTGGACAAGTAATCTCATCCAAAGCTCGGGAAGTGGATTCTGATGTGATATGTCGCTGCATACAGCTCTTGCATGTTGACATCTGGGCGTGGGCGCAATTGGCATCATCAGTGATTGCTGGGAACTCGCCGGCTGCCCGTTCTTCATCGCAGACTTGACACATTCTCGGAGTAGTATCATGTCCACCTAAGCCGTCAGAAGTCGATGGGTGGCTTTCTTCCTCACCAGCGAAAGGTAAGGTGAGGTCCCCGGGACCGGGAGCAACAGAGTTGTTCCGGTCGTTGTTCACGGTGGGACCTTCAGTACTGTCGCTAAGTCTGAGCAGTTCCTCGGCGGTGGCAAGCTTTGTCTTATTGCGACTCATCCTCCCGCCGAGCCGATGCACATGGGCCCGGAGCTCGTCTTTCGTCCACGCAGAGAAGTCGCGACCCCTGTACGAAGTTTGCAGCCCTCGCTGCCGAAGACTTTGCATGAGCTCCTGATTAGCAACGTGAGCGGCTCCCCATCCGGACGCCATTGGAAGTGATTGATCTATGTCGCCTAGTCAGCTAAGGGGTCATACTGCTAGTCTGCTCAGGATAAATTCGTTGACTTACCAGTGATCGGCGTGGATGTATCTGATATGATAGTCTCGTGCAATAAGAATGCAAGTTGTATGGGAAGAAGACTGAAGACCAGGGACGCTACGACTATAAGTAGTGGATCTTTGTAGTTCATATTCACTCGCGCCAGGTCACAAGCAAGCCAGTACAGACAATCCGAGGTACTTCACACGGCTGACATCCAGGAGAGTCCGTACGTGGCCTGAATGCTCTTACTGACACGAATCTTCGTCTTGCCGTTAGGAAGAATCTCAATGTACTCGCCAATGCCAGGCAGAACGCCAGCATCTTTCCCCTTCTTCGCCTCTAATCTTTCTGCTTCCTTCTCGGTTGAAGTAGGCGGCCTTGTTGGCAAAGGCAGCCCTGCGCGACGACTGCTTTCCACCGTGCGATAGAAGCCGACGTCGTCCTGGACTTGTCGGATGTTCTCAGCACTCATAGACTGGAGCGCTGTGAGATCGAAGGCTTTTGTTGATCGGTCGTACACCCATGCCAAGGCATAATCACGCAACCGTTCGCAGGTCCAGCAGATGCAAACATCGAGGTCGATTGATTGCGTCCTAGAGATCGAGCCTGAAGTCGAGGATGTAGAGGTCTCGCTTGATCGCGTTGTCTTCAGATCTGCCGTGAACGGAATCGGGCTCTGGAAATCGATGTTCCGGGAAGCAGAATAGCGCGCAGGGAATAGTCTGTGAGTCCTCCACATCAAATTCACGCCATAGGGCAGGTTCTCATATGCGATATCGTCAAGACAACCCAAACTTTGCGCTTGGAGATAAGCGAGTGACGATCGAGCCAGAGAGCCCCGGAGCCCAGGCGATCGAATCCAGAGGAAGTCGTGTGAGTCGTCGACGAAAGGCTGTTGAAGATGGACCTGAGTGACTAGATCAACGTTGAATGGCGAGACCACACTCTCGCTGTAGGCAGGCGGTGTGTCCAGGTAGTTCAGAATATCAGCTTCTTGGTCCGAGATGGTTTTGAAGAGGTTTTGAGCCGCCTGAGGGAGCACGTATCGCATGCTCTCGCGATCAATGACATCGCGTATGGCTGGCCACGGGAAGCACAAGTTCGTCAGAGCTGTGTTTGCGGCTTTGTGACAGGCTCGACTGTATTCTCCGTGGTCAAGCATGAGCGCATACCAGACCATGAGCACGTCGAGTGGTGGTAGATAGTTGGCACTTAATTGCACTCCGCTCCGGATACCATCACGAATCACGTACATGGCAGCATGTTGAAGCACACTCTCGATATTGCTCCACCAGGTCGTAAACCGCGTGGCTGCTAGCTGTACGAGCACGTCCCAGTGGACTGAGTCTGGGAGTCGTTCATCGTGTAGTTCGGCCTCGGGGCCCGATGCATGACTTTCGCTATACGAGGGTAGCTTGTATGATTGTAGATCAAGTCGTATGGCGTTCAGTCGGAGATTTCGAAAGCATTCCAACAGGCATAGGTGCACTGCAGCATGACTAGAGTCTGGGTAATTGAAAGCCTCTTTCGGAGAGCTGTACGTAGCACCAGGAATGAAAGCGTTCCTTAACTGTGCGATGCTCGGGATCGTAGTTACCCTATCTGTAGACGCGGAGGAGGAGTACTCCTTGGCCTTCCACTCGTGAGGATCGCCTGCTGGTTGAGTCGCAGATAACTTTGATCTCACACGACTAAATATTGCCATTCAACGGTAGATCTTGCGCTGGCGGGGATTAGATGGTGTCAACCAGCACGCTCACGATGCGGATAGCACACGTTTGTGCGGAGTGGTAGGAACGAACGAAAAACATCATTCCGAGCGGGATCGAGAAGGTCAAGAGTGCTTGGCGCTCGGTGCGATCAGAGCGGACCACAGCAGAGGGACCTTGTCGGCCGAGCCTGATCCTTGTCGTATGATGTCTGCGTTCTTGGCTTAGTTTGCGGACGAATCTAATAGATGCTGCTGGCCATCAGCATCGCAATCTAATAACAGGTGGAGGAGAGTTCGCGGCTGCCAAGCAGCGTGACGCGTAATGCCACAATTGGAGTGTTGGGAAGTGCGCATCGGTCGAGCGACGGATCACTGATCATATCGTTCAGAAGGTGTACGCCAGCCAGACCGGACGACTGCAAGTCAGAAGCAAGCCATATTGTTGGATAGTACACGGAAGGATCACCAGGGGAAAGTCGAGGGAAAGATGCATTTAACTTTGAGGCGAAGCAAGCGAACAGGCATGGTCTCAACACAAGCCGGATGACAAAGTTCGTGTTTCAATTAAAGTAGAACTCCGCAGGGAGACGCTAAGATCTACTGGGTTCCCGGTGTACTGTGTACTGCGTAGGTCTATAAATGCTCATGATTATCGTTACCAGATGCGTTGGTCATACATGTTCTACAGTGGTGGCATGCTTCAGCCAACAAGCAATTCAAGCCTTTCACATCTCAGCGTTGCTCTCTGGAAGGTTCCATGAGAGCTGCTTATGAGGCGGCGTTGCACGCTCGATCATCACCCGTGGGACAGCGATCGCTTGCCTCTCAGACCCTGGATCGTGGAGTATTGTACCAATAGATTCATGATCGCTGGCATCTGTCGGGTCAGGCGAAGGCGGGGTGATGGTTTGCAATTCCGGTGGGCTCGTCCTGGGCCTTTCGATGGTGCTTGGATCGAAGTCTGGGTCGTCCATTACACTCTGACCTTGCGTGGTCTCCACCTCTGATGCATCTTCGTAGCTCATGCTGGTTGGTGTAGGGGGCCCATAATCATTGGGACTTAGCGAGGTGTCTATCGAGTCTTCTGACTGAAGTCGACGATGGCCTTTCAATATTCCGCCACGTTTTCGCAGTGATCCCTGCCTGGTCGCCGGAGGACTTTGAGTAGGGGTGTCAATGCTGACGCTGTTGAGCCACCGCGAGCTCGGAGATCGTGCCAGAACACTTTGCACAAGAGGGAGTTCAAGATATTGGTTGAATGCGCCTTTGCTGAAGACCACCAAGGCCAGACAGACAAGCACAATCACCATCTGCAGAATCGACAGACGCTTTTGGTATATGAGCTCATCGGCCAATATTACAAGCCTAGCATTCATGGCTTCGGTGTCCTGATGGTAACGCTCGCGTTGGACATCGAGCTCTATGACAGTAGATTGCCACAACTGATCGTACTGCTGCCGAAATTCCCTCAGTTCACTAAGGACAGTCATATTCAAGTGATCGAGAAAGGCGCTGGTCTTAGCGAGCTGCCTTTGCTCGACTTTGTTGAACGCGTCCCTCAAAGCTCGGGACTGATCCTCGATGTATTGAAGAGATAACGATGAATTTGACTCCAGCATCTGTAGACGCTTTTGCACTGATTTGAAGAACGATTCCTGCATCGTAGGCATTGCAGCAGAGCTTTGCGTAGTCGTGCCTGAGGTCTTTTGACGCTCCGTGGTAGTCGCATTCGTGCTACTAAGTGTCTTTTGAAGATCTGTAGCAGTTCCGTTGGTCTTCAAGCCGCTTGTTGTATTCAATGAACTCGAAGCATTCTGCGAAAGACTGTACTGGCTGCTGTCGGAGCCAGATGGTTCAGAAGAGTTCTCTGAAGTCGATATATCGTTGCCGGGTTTGGCGAGAGGCGATGTCGTATTCGCTACAGCCGCGGCGCTGGATTGGTGCACGATGGAGCTGTTGGACAGGTTTTGAATACTTTTCGAGACTATTCCAGTCGTTCTTGTGCTAGATGTCGTGGGTGTTGCTACACTACTGCTGCGCTCGAAGCTCGAAGTGATGCTGCAGACTTCGCCATGTTCACTGAGATGAGTCACTCCCACAGTTTCAACATCTGGTGGCGGAGAGGTCGTTGTCTTCACAGAAATTTCCGAGCCGGTTACCATGGCAGAATCCGCCGGACTGATGTCAGCTCCGGTCTCGGTGGTTGAGAGTGGATGTTTGACTGGCTCTGCAATTGCTTCTGGGATCGGCACCTCGTCCTCCGAGAGATCGATGACATTGTCGTCAGGTTCGTCGTCGTTGTCGTTCACAGCGGATGAAAGTTCGTGTTTATACTCTTCCAGCATGGTTGTACCATGAACACGAACCAGACTGATTGGACAATAGTATTCCACTCCGTAATGTGTCAGGAACTCGATTCGAACGTAACGAGCCCATATCAGAGGATTCTCGATTAAGAATGCCTGAATGTCACGGGTATTTTGCGCTTCGAATTCTCCGAGTGATTTCCACTTGTCTGCCTTCACTGGATACTTGTCAGATACTGACACTCTGAATGAACGAAATATTGAGCTGAAGAATTCGTAATTGGCCAGTACTATGGTATCGATAGAGATGTCATCACAGAGCTCGAGGATGAGGAACTGGTCGGCAGAACACACATTGAGCATGTACGAATCTTTGCTTTCCCCGAGGATTGCGGAGGCACCACTGGCCTCGCGATTCGTCTTGAGCACGTTGGCAGCACAGTCGAATGAAGCGTAGTTAAAGCGTTCTTTGTATGTCGTCCCAGCATCTTTCCTACCTTTGGCCTTGGGAGGCGTCGATTTGGAGGGATCCAGGTGCTCGAGCCCAGAGGCGCGAGTGATAGCGCTTGCAAAGCGACTCGGTTGCTCGGGACCGTCAGGTAAGAAGCCAGAGAAGTCAAGCTCGATTTCATGATCGTCACCGAGCGTGTCTAGAGCGCCCTGCAGATCGGTGGGCCGCTTTCGAGCAGGCAGCTGGTCAACTGGCACATCCCGTCCTAAGTGCTCTGATTGTCCTGCCTTCAGCAAATTTTGTTTCTTCCAGTCCTCGAACGACATGAACTTGCCATCATCTAATGGTGAAACCTCCTCAGGGCCCGGAGAGGCAACGACCGCAATGGCCTCGGTTGACAAGCTGGACTGGGTTGGCGCAGTAGAAGCCACTGAGCCAGAGCCAGAGGTAATTGAATTGAGCTCCACTATGATAGCAGCAAGGCTAGAGGTGCTCTCCTCCTGATGCCGTGTATCGGTCCCGCTTTCAGGCACTCCCCCGCGGGTTGTTGCATTGCCTGGGCTCACAGAGGGAGTCACTTCTGTACTTCTGCGGGCAGAAGGCAGGCATTGCTGCGGTAAGTTATGGGTGATGACGTTGGCGGTACGAGACGGACATGTTGCATTCGCGACTGATGTGCTCGGTGTCGCGAGGGTCGCAGTCGTAGAGACGGCTGACGACGTTGATCCAACGGCTTCACTGATCAGACCGAGGACTAGGAGAGTCTGCGGAGTCCACCACATGACCGTGTCAGGACGTCTCGGTACGGTCGATCAGAAATTGCTGATGGCCACAGCATGTCGAGATCTGTGTATGTGGCAGCCAAACGCCTGTGCGTACCAGCAAACAGTGAACGTCAAGGAATGTGCTGCTCGTCTCAGCCAACTTTCCTTCGCCGTTAAGCGATGGAGATCGATTAGGTACGGAGAGCCTAGAAGCCATGCCTGCAGTTCTCCAAAAGCCTCTCCAATCGATACTTTTTTCTGGGCGCGTCACCGCGTCTCGGAGAACGAGTTCTCTTCGGCCTGTCAATAGTTGGTGAGAGTCTAATGCGCAATGGATGCATCTAGCAGAAAGCCTTGACACTGCCGGGGGACGGCCATGCTTGCTAGGAGCGCTGGTCCGCGACTCTTTCGCCAGTGCATCTGTCAGAGGAGCCCGAACGTCCCACGCATAAGAGTCAATGGGCGTCGGTTCTCATCGAGCTCTGCGCCATCGGCGCACAATGCAACTCCTTCAGCACACCCGCTGGCTGGCGTCGCAAGTCAGATTGATTCAGTAGCACCGCGCTTTGAAGTCGAGGCATCCCAAATCGACATACTCGATTCGCCCGCGGCATTCTACGAGACATTGAAGACGAAGATCAAGGGAGCCAAACGGCGTGTATACCTCTCCACTCTTTACATTGGAAAGACCGAGCACGAGCTCATCCAGACAATCGACGAAGCGCTGTCAGCGAACCCGAAGCTCAGGGTGTCTGTACTGACCGACGCCCTCCGAGGGACTCGAGAAGACCCCAACCCCAGCTGTGGCACACTTCTCGCACCTCTCGTCACAAAGTATGGAGACAGAGTGACAATATGCATGTATCACACACCGAACTTGAATGGCTGGAGGAAGAAGCACATGCCCAAAAGAATCAATGAGGGATGGGGTCTGCAACACATGAAACTCTATGGCTTCGATGATGAGATTCTTCTATCGGGTGCCAACTTATCGGACGACTATTTTACAAATCGTCTAGACCGATACCATCTCTTCAAGTCAAAGGAGCTAACGGACTTCTATCAGAAGATACATGAAGCCATCTGCGAGATATCATACGACCTCATCCCATCAGAGCAGCAGCCTGGCGGTTTCGAGCTGGTATCACCGCAAGCTCGAGGCATCCCTGATCCTGTCTGGCATCCTCGTCAGTACACGAAATATGCCAAACAGCTGCTTGAACCGCTACTACAGCCGAAAGCACGGCAGCGCATGTTCCCTGTTGAATTTGGCAAAGACAAAACGTTCGTATATCCGCTGGCCCAATTCGATATCCTGTTGGGCCAGCCCGAGAAACGCACAGTCCTCGATTTCGAGTTGGCCACCTTCACTTCGACTGAAAAGCCTACACTGGAACGCATACTAACGTCGTTCGCGGAAGACCCTCGTCTGAAGCCCTGCTCATGGACTTTTACGGCGGGCTATTTCAACATCGATCCGGACATCTGTCGCCTCCTGCTTGCCGCAGCGCCAAAGGACCTGAGCGGTGCCGGGCATGCACCTCCCAGTCCGCCATGCACAGTCATTACTGCTTCGCCTTGGGCAAATGGCTTCTACGGCTCAAAGGGCGTGTCCGGGATGTTGCCTGCCGCTTATACACTGCTCTCACGACGATTTCTCAGGGACGTTGCAAAGGAAGGCAAAGAGGGCACCGTGCAGCTCAAGGAATGGAGGCATGGCACTGTCGGTGAACCAGAAGGCATGACTTACCATGCGAAAGGCCTGTGGATCACCTTACCGCCTCAGCCAGATGCTGGGAATAACTTGGAAGAAGAGGTCGGGCCCAGTGTAGCTGTAGTCGGGAGCAGTAACTACACCAAGCGGTCATACTCGCTAGACTTAGAAGTTGGCGCAGTCGTTGTCACGAGCGATGATAACTTGAAGCGGAAGCTCAAACAAGAAATCACTTGGTTGCAAGAGGACGCCAGTGTCACCACACAAGATGATCTTGCAAAAGTGGACCGAAGGGTGGGGCTGAGAGTGCGGCTATCGCTATGGCTAGTTGAGGCTCTTGGTGGTGCGTTGTGAGGCAATTGACGATGAGTGGCCTCGACGAAGGGCTACTGAAAAAAACAGATCTGCCCACAAGGCTGGGCAAAGAGTGAAAATCCTGAGCGCGCTTCGAAAACTCCATCAACGCTACGGGAACAAGATCTTGCATGGTCGAAATATCCAGCGACGTGCAGCACGGTAAGAGGAACGTGCCGCTATCCTAGGTCGCGCCTCCGACCCACCACAATATTCGCATCTCGAACGCACTCGCCAGAACCTCTGCAAAGGGAACGAGTCTTGACAGAGAAAAATTTTCACGGCGGTCAGACGACGTTACAGCGGCATCGGGCACAAAAGCCGTTCGTTGCTCCTTGACAGCTTCCCACGACCAGTAGCACAAACGTATGAAAAGGCGGTGATAGAAAGCTTTCTGAGAGACGATATCTGGGGTTGCACGGACGGATTTGACAGGGCCTCGAGGGGTCTCGACTCGGGCGTTCCCGCACTTGGCGCCCGTGCAATTCTCCGTTCTTCGACTTGCAATGGAGCAACCGCCGCGTCGGTTGCGACGCCTGGCCCGCTCTCCTGCTTCAGAACGAACCCGCTTGCGCTGCAGGTGCATCAGACTACTGCAAGATCTCAATAGGTGGACCAATACAACAACTATGGCATTATTCACGACACCAATAATGCGACGTTGGGAGATTGCTTCCTACACCGCACTTTGTTCGAAATGCCCGACATCTTTGAGCAGTTAGATGGGAGGTTATCTTGAAATGCTAAATCAGAGTATTCCTCATACTGTTCAGGAGGCATGTCTCGATCGCGGATACGCTTTCCGCTGACTGTGTTGTTCCTGGTGCCCTTTTTTATGCAGGTTCGTGGGGGCCTTCAAAGGGGCGTCAGATAGCAAATTGCTGAAGTTGTGTGCTGATGGACGCCTGGTGAGGGCTCTGAAACAATCAAAGTGTCAGGAGCTTGAGGGCCAACAGTCATCTACCGTCGACAGTCTGATTTGCTGGCCTACAGTCGTCTCATATCACAACCACCCCGACCATTGAATGCAGGCCCTTGCCTTTCTGCTCTACTACAATCTCGGCTGATTACGCCAGACGTCGATCTCAACGAAGCGACAAGGGACGATGATAAGCACCATCCCGCAGTCACTCGAGGATACGTACCGCATCTGATGTAGGCGTGTTTCACAGGCAGCAGCAACATTCCTGCAGATGGCGAGAGCGATGGAGACAGAGCGTCACGCGAGCAGAAGCCTCGACGTGTCGCACTTGAGTAACTCACGAGTCGTGGCATAGGTGCAACGATCGGAAATGCTATGCAGGAAAGGGAAGAGTTCTCCCCGCATTTGAGAGCTTTGACACACTGCGTAAGGCAAGGGGTCGACCACGAGACTCTGCGCCTCCGAAACCGCTGGGGCTCTGGCCCAGCCTCGTGACTGAGGCATCAGCCATTCATTATTGTCTGCTGCCTGTGCTGAGTGAGCTTTGTCCAACAGACCACTCCTCGTGGCGACGAGACATGGCGTGATGAAAGAATATTCCGTCATAGCTGAATGTGAGTGAACAGTCGGTCGTGTGATGCTCGCGGAGGTTACGGCTGAGTGACGTTGAATGGCGAGCATACTTTCTAGAGGGGCTTCGGACCCCGAGCCAGAGCCCAATCTCTCACGTTATTGCGAGCATTATTGCTCTCATCGATAGCTTACGAAGACAAAGCAAACTGGTGACCATTCATTCCAGAGATTACGTGCTCAAGGAGTCAAGGCAGCGCTTCGTTGGTGCCCACAGGTGCTGGAATACTTTTCCGAATCTGATTGTTTGAGATCTCTGTGCTGATCGTTGAGACCTGTTTCACGTCGACAAAGCGCCAACATGGGCTGCGTGCGGCCGGCGCTGCACAAAGAGTGCTTGAGACCAGCGTGGCCAGGTCGGCCAGACCACAGTGCATTCTATCGACTCTTCGAAGCGCGGCGGCTTCTGTCTCCGCTAGTCATCGGCGTAGTTTGAGGCACAAGCAGGCTGCAGGAGAACTCCGGCCTGGACTTGGTCATGCTGCCAAAAACGAGGACTCGAGATTAGCAGTGAGCAGACTGGGCATAGCCTCCACAACATGCTGTGTACACACCCCACAAGTAGTGAATCGATTGGACATTAGAGCGACATGTTTCTGGCAGATTCCACACGTTTCCGCTCCAGTTACGAGTCTTGGGGCTGACGCTATTCCTCGCCAGCCAGTGGCAAGATGCATTGGTGCTGCGGCCTGCATTAGCTGATTGTCGCACGAGCCATGCATTTGTTGACGCCAAGTGGCCAGATGTTGGGAGGCAACAAAGCATGGCTAATCAAAGTGAGTGCCAGCCGCTAGTGAAGTGAGCTTTTCGTCATCTAATCACTAGAGAGGGTTGGCTCAAATTGAGCGATCTCAATGACACTTGCCACCCACAGCCTAGCCGCCTTCCTTGTTCCAACACCAAACTGTGAGCCCACCCTCGCATCCGCCTGCCTTCCCACTTCCTGCTCTCCCAACCTTGCAGCCACCCAGGTCCGAAGCCGAGTGCCCTACAAGCTGCACCTCGAGGGCCTCACCGCTATCCTTTGGGCTTCTGCCAGCTTCCGTTACCTCGACTCTTAACCTCATCTCACTCCCCACCCGCTCAATACCTCCCTTCGATTCTACACAACGATCCCGTTGACGAGCTCCAATGTGACACATAACAACAAAGCGCCCTAATACGTTTCACTATACCCTCGACAGCTTTGTCTGTGTGTCCTTCCTTCCGTCTCCCGCCCTCCACCTCCACCACTACTTCCGTCAACAACTCTATACACTCTTTCCACATTCCAACCCGCTGTCCGGGCGACGACTTGCTCCTGCACCGAACCATTCCCGGCAATCCTGAGCTTGATCTTCTCACCGGTCCAAGCTACCCTATCCGTTCGAGTCCGACCTCTTCTCTCCTCGAGTCTCAGCACCCCTCCCCACCCTCCAGATTCGTTGTCAAGTGACATCCACAACAACAAGCTTGTCTGAGAAGTTGCTGTGAACACATCTGAAGGTGGCAACGATTACTACGAGTTCTATACGTCGGTATCGTAGCCTGGATCAAGCTACCTGAGGCCGTCAACCATCCATTGCTTACGCCTATCCCAACTGTTGGGGTGTGTTGGTGCAGCTGCCTGTGCATACCGGCAGCTCATCTGACGCACTTCCGCCATCATTACTTCCATCATATAACGACCGACTCTCCTCACGAATCTCCTACCGATACCACCCTCACGAATCTAATCGATCCCCGGCATCTCTACGCTCTCTGAGTTTGTCGACTGCCAACCCCAGCATTCCAACGATCATCATGCAATAGCTCTACACTCTTTATCTTTGCCTGCTCGAGGACACAAAGAGCTTCACCGCTCCGCGTCGACTCACAGGCTGTTGTTTACTTTGTTGCCACGACCTCCTCAACACTACAACCCTCGATCCTACTCATTACGAATTACTCGGTGTCTCAGCGGTGTTCTCTGATCTTTGATGTTCTCAGCGGTTGAAGCGTTAGCGAAATCTGGTGGTTCTCTCCCTGCGGTGTCCTGGTGACCTCGATCAGTTCCTGCTCAACGGAACGATCTCCTGCCTTCCTCGAACAAGGCTTCCTCTCCTCTTACCTTCTGTACAAATCTCTTCGGCCTCGGCTCAACACTTTTGTCTCCTCTGTTGTTTTCGACTTATACAATACAAAAAAGTTGCTCGGTGGAGCGAATAGAGTATCATCTTTCGACAACAAAAGCTTGGTGGGAATACAATTTACTCTTTTACGAGACTCGACATGGATTGCATGAAGGATGGCTTCAGACAAGGGGAGATCCTCGACGGACGTTTCCGTGCAGTTGCGGAGCTCAATCACGGAAGCTTCGGTCTGGTCTTCCTCGCTGATGACCTGCTCACCGGCCAACAAGTTGCAATCAAGTGCTTGATCAACCCTGAGAGCACTTGTGGTGCTAGCACTAGCGACGAGACCGCCGATGAGCTGGACTGCCATGCCGTCCTGCATCATCCAAATCTTGTCAACCTCATCCATCACTTCAAGACCAAAGCTCACACCTATCTGGTCTTGGAATACTGCTCTCAGGGTGACCTATACGAGGCCATCCGCATGGGCCATGGCCCTCTGCAAACTGAGCACGTCCGACGCTTCGTTCTTCAGCTCATCGAGGCAGTCGAGCATATGCATCTTCACGGCATTTTTCATCGTGACATCAAGCCAGAGAACATCTTTCTGACTGCCGATGGCTCGATGAAGCTGGGAGACTTTGGACTGGCTACCAAGAGTCTATGGTCTTTCGAGTCCTGCGTTGGCAGTGACAGGTACATGGCTCCTGAGCAGTACGACGCCTCGAGCGGCTACTCACCAGCTCATGCTGATGTTTGGTCTATTGGCATTTGCTTGCTCAATGTCCTGTTCTCACGCAACCCATTCGTCACACCAACGGAAGGCGACGTCCTCTTCGCAGATTACCGACGTGATCGACAGAGTCTCTTCGACGTGTTTCCAGCGATGTCGCAGGACACTTTCGAGGTGCTCTCAATTGCCCTGGCGCTAGACCCCCAAAAGCGAGACATGCAGGCACTACGTCGTGCTGTGTCCCGGGTCATCAGCTTCACTACCGATGACGAGAGCCTCGATGAGTTCTGCACGGAGTCTCGTGACCCAGTTCGTGCATCCGCCAACCGTATGGCCCTACCGACGCCATCCATCACGTCGCCGAACATGGAGGGAGATGCGTTCCCATGGACCAAGGCTCTTCAGACAACTCCTCAACGCAATCTCTCTGTTGTCCCAGACACGTACGAGGAAGACCTGTTCGAACAAGAGAAGTATCCCAAACTTGGCGAGTCCTGGTACTCTGGTCACGCTACGACACCATCCTTGGCCTCGGTACTTGATTCTGCCTACGGTTCCCTCAAAGCTATGGCCATTCGCGTTCCTGCTCGCAATCCTCCCCGTCCTGATCCTGTTCCTGTTCCCAGTTCGCTCCCTCTTCGTTCATCTCGCCCAATCCCAACCATGGCTTCCGTCTTCGGCAAGAAAAAGGATGCTGTGGCTAAGAGTTGGAGCGACATGTTTGAGGAGGACGAGGAATCAGAGCGGGAGGAAGCAGACCTGCGTACTCGACGAGAACAAAACGCCCGTACATGGAGTCAAGACAGCCAGAAGCAGCTTCCCGTTCCTCCAGGAGTGCTTACCGAGTCGAAGAGTCGTTCTTCATCCAATGCCCGTCGCAGTCGGACTCCCAAACCTGTCCACTGCGCCAAGTCTATTGGTGGCACCAATGAGAACGATCCTTCTGGTTGGAAGATTCGCGAGGATGCGCGACGATCTCCTCGTCAGGTGCCTGCCGATAAATGGGCCGCACTTGGAGACAAGCGTCGCAACTTCCATCCGGATCCTGAAGGCCGAGCTGTCAGTACCAAGAAGCGATCTATGACAACTGGCTCGCGCCGACGACCGCAAACTACTTTCGATACATGGCACGTCGTGACAGTCGGCCGGCCAACAGACAACGGCCTGCTTTTCTTGATCAAGATTGGCGGCAAACAAAGGTGATTGACTCGTCGGCGGACGAGGATGACCATGAGTGGGTCGGAGGTATCCCCCTCCACCTGTGATTTTTTCAGAGCACTACACCGGCAAACCACAAAATTGTTGAAGGCGTGAAAGGGAGTTATATGGATGATACCACTCGCTTCGATTTGGACTCTTGACACTGATGACTTTGCGATTTGTACGCCATCGTCAACGAGGTGTTATTGTACCAACATTACTGTTGCATCACTCAACCTGTATTGGGGCATTGGGCCCAGGCGCGGGTGACTTTGGTTCAGCCGGACACTTCAGAATTGGTAGTGGAAGCATTATAGTTTAGCGTGGCAGCATCACTAGGATATGTGGGATTTGGTTGCTGGTTTGCTGTGGTCAGGCAGGAGTGTGCTCTGAGGATTCACTGCAATTCTCGATTGTTTTGGCCGAAGCGCTTGCAACAGCAGCGTTTCGGTCTTAGCTAGGCTTTTGTCGTCGTTGACTGACTCTTTGTCGGCGGCGTCTCACATTCGAAATCGAGAATTTCGACCCCCTCATATCACTTTCTCTGTGCATCTCGCGTTGTGCTACTCGCATAATCCCTGACACAAGTCCTGACCCGGTGCCGTTTCATGGATGCTGTGTCGGAAGAGCTCCGGCTGCTCTGCCCAACTGCTCGACTGCCATCGGTTCCCAATCATGCTCGGTACCGAGCTGTCAGTATCAGTGTCAGTCCTAGTGCCAGCATGTCAGCATACCTCGGTTCTTCTCCAAACTTGTGTCTCCCGTCCCCGCTCCCCCACAATATGCTGAGGACCAGCGTTTTTATGGCCCTTGGTGCTAGTGGTCCTTGCCGAGGCGAAGCGGTTATTTGACTTGCCTGAGAACCTACCTCGCTCTTCCTGTCCAGCGCTGCTGTGTAGTCCGTGTTGTTCTTGCACCTCCTCGAACTGCTTGCCGTACTCACGTTGCCTTACCGTGCTTCGTGTCGAACGCTCTCTCCGAAAGCCACGAGAGCCACGGGACAGCTATCCTACCTAGATCAACTGAGAGTGACTGCCACCGCCAAACCACGTATAACGAGCCGTCGAGATGTCGTTCGCCAACCACCTAGAGAATGTTACCATTCAGCCAAAGATCTCAGCCAGTCAGGCCATCCCACCTGTGGCTGTGCCGTTTGTGAGCGAGAAGGCGAAGAAGCATTTAGACTTGGTATGCTCTACGAGCCCTCCCTTCCTCTCCTCAGCCGTCTCACATACACAAAGCACCCAATCCACTGACCCATATCTGCACAGGTCGAGCGCTGGGTCAACGAAGAATGCATCCCCGCCGACACCGTCTACGCCTCCCAACTCAACACCACCACAAACCGCTGGACCGGCCACCCATCGGTTCTAGACCACATGAAGAAACGAGCCAAGGAGCTCGGCATCTGGAACATGTTCCTGCCCAAGAACCACTTTGCCAACGAGGGCAGCCCAGGTTTCACGAACCTGGAGTATGGACTGATGGCAGAGCAGTTGGGCAAGAGCAGGATCGCAAGCGAGGCGTGCAATTGTGCGGCGCCGGATACGGGGAATATGGAGGTCATTGCAAGATACGGGTCAGTCTGCCCATGTGGCGTTGAGAACGTAGTGACTGACGAATTGGAACAGCACGCGAGCACAAAAAGACCAATGGCTCAAGCCACTCCTCGCAGGAGAGATCCGCTCAGGATTTCTCATGACCGAGCCCGATGTTGCGTCGTCCGACGGCTCGAACATTCAACTACGCATCGAGAAGAAGTCTGACCACTGGCTGCTCAATGGCTCCAAGTGGTGGTCGTCCGGTGCTGGCGACGACAGGTGCAAGATCTTTATTGTCATGGGCAAGACGGATCCCAATAACTCGAATAAGTTTCTGCAGCAGTCGATGCTTCTTGTGCCCGCGGAGACGAAGGGTATCACGGTCCACAGGATGTTGAGTGTGTACGGGTATGACGATGCGCCGCACGGACATGGACATATCTCGTTCAAGGACGTCAAGGTGCCGCTGGACTCGATCCTGGTGGGTGAGGGCAAGGGCAATGAGATCATGCAGGGTCGTCTGGGACCAGGTAGGATTCATCACGCAATGAGGAGTATTGGTGCAGCAGAAGTTGCGTTGGAGTGGATGATTCATAGGCTGAACGATGAGCGGAAGACGCCATTTGGGAAGCCGTTGAGGGAGCACGGTGTCTTGATCGAGTGGGTTGCCAAGAGCAGGATGGAGATCGATGCTTCGCGGTTGGTGGTGTTGAATGCTGCGATTAAGATTGATCAGAAGGATGCTAAGTTTGCTTTAAGGGAGATTGCAGAGGTGAGTCAACGGCGGCCTTTCTGACTGACACTGAGTGGAAGCTGACTGATATCGTACAGGCGAAGGTCCTCGTACCACAAATGGCTCTGACTGTTATCGACCGTGCCGTCCAGGTTCATGGCGCCATGGGTGTCTGCCAGGACACCCCTTTGGCCAACATGTGGCTCATGTAAGTTCTCGTCCTCAATATTTTGCCGATTTATCACAGGTGCTGATTCTCGATGCCAGATCCGAACCCTTCGCATCGCCGATGGTCCAGATGAGGCTCATCTTCAGCAACTCGGCAAGCGCGAGAACAAGGAGCGCAAGGACGAGATCATCGCCAAGTTTGCTCGCCAGACCCAGACGGCGGAGAAGCTGTTCAAGCAGATGGGTCTGACGCCGTATTTGTTGGGCGCCGAGAAGTTTAGGAGCAAGTTGTGATCGAAGTGCTCGATCTTCAGAGGAAATGAATCTAGTTGCTTGCATAGCTTTGCTCAAAACTTGATCGAACAGCCCCCGGTGCCGATAATGTTGTCCGCATCGACGGCACGTAGCAGAGGACGAAAAGGAAGATGTCAAGAGGCCCTGAGCATTGTCTGGCATCAGCGTCCGATGCACCTCGCCACGAGTAGAGCAACAGCACGCATGAGGGGCAACTTGAGGTTGGTCATCCGGTCTGACGAACGTTGGATTTTTGTATCCAGTCATCCGGTCTGATACAAGCCTATACTATGTATTTGGGCAAGGTCATCCGGTCTGGCGGAAGCCCAATTTTGTGTCACTTGCTCACTACTTTCAAATAACTTACTGAGACCTGTCTACCGACCTACGTACTATTATCGACACGTCTTTGACAGTTACAAGGATGCCGCTCCTCATCATCCTCCTCCTGGTCACTGCCTTGCGATCAACTCTCATCCAAGCTGACTGCTCGACTGGTCTGAAAGTGTGCGGTCCAAGCTGCATTAACGCTGGTGAGACCTGTTGTGAATCCGAAGGAATCTTTTCGGTTTGCTCTGGTGTTGCGACCGATTCTATGCCGATCACTGGGACCACCATCACCACTGCCACTCTCACCCTTACGGCATCTCTCGAGACCGTTGTTGATGGCCCCGGGCAAATCGCACCAAGCGCTTCTCCTGTCGACTCATCGTCAGCTGCGAACACCCCTGAGGCGACCAGTGTCTGGACCATTCCTCCGGGCACCTCCTCAACCGACTCGTCGACAAGCAGCATACAAAGCGACATCCAAAGTAGCACTCAACGCAGCTCGTCAAAATCGACCAGTCAAAGCAGCAATACAACCCCAGCACACTCGACGTCAGCCTCAACCACAAACTCCGTAATGAGTGATGCAGCAGCAACATCGGACACGAAGACCGCTGCTGACAGCCAAGCCACTCACCTGACATCAGGCGGTCTCAGCGTAGGAACGAAGGCCGGCATCGGCGTTGGAGCTGCCGTCGGTATCATTGCTTTGCTCCTGCTGTCGTACTGCTTTGGGCGACGGCATCGCAAGGGCGATCGCGTTGACGACGTGACTGAAGCTGCTCCCTCGTTACCGGCTTACAACGAGAAGGCCGCGGACATACGCTCCGATATGGCGGAGTTGGAAGGAGAGGCCATTTGCGAACAATGGTCGGAGCTTGACTCGAGGACTGCACAACGGTATGAGCTCGACAATGAGGCTCGTTCGGCGGAGGCGAGAGCGGAAGCATCTACGAGGTGAGGAGTCCAGAAGGTGGATATTAGATCAAACCTGGTCTGAAGGGAGAACTGGGGTTTCTTTACGAGCGCACTAGGGATACCGAATGATGCACAACCTCGTCGATAGAATCACCAAGGCAGCCGCGAGTCCTGAACAGTGATCTGACATGCGTATGTGACTTTCACGACTTCGCGGCTTGCCTGAGTTATGGGGAGGTAGTCAAGAACCATAGCGACGTCGACAAAATAGACGTCAATCACGTGAAGATGCCCAAAATCGCGCCCCACTAGGCCCTCCCGCCGCCTATAAGAAATTCTCCACAAGCTGTCATCGAGTTCAACCTTGGAAGCCAAAACCTATACGTTACAGACGCCAACCGTGACTCAGATTTCCCTTGAGGTCGTCGCAATTTGCACCACCGACCTCAACACCCCCAAATCTCGGCGCAACACAGGCGCGCAGACATCCGGGCCACACTCTCGCCCCCAGTTTCAACCCACCCGTACTCCCGCACACCCTTCCACATATCCTTTCGACATGTCCTCCAACGTAGGCCTCTCCACCCCGCGCGGCAGCGGCACCTCCGGCTACGTCCAGCGCAACGCTGCGCTCCTGAAACCCCGTTCTACCGGCGTCGGCCAGCCATATTCCAAAGACACGGCGCCACGCCAACGGAAGCCAGACGCCAACATCCTCGCGCACGACCGCCTCAGAGAGATAGAAGTCCAGGTGTTGGAGTTACGGGATCGGCTGGAGGAGGAAGCCGAGAAGGCGGAAGAAGAAGGGAAGGAGGGAATGGATGAGGAAGCAATCGACGAGGCGTGCGAGAAGGAACGTGAACGCTTAGTCAAGGAGATGGAGCAAAGAGGAGGCAGAGGAGGAAGCAGCGGTGGTGGGCGACTGAAGAGCTATCAAGTGCACGAGCTGGCGGAGGCGAAGGCGCGGGAGAGTGAGAGGCTGCGGAGGGCCTTGGGGCTGCGAGGGGATGAGGTGGGCGGGAAAGATGGAGATGGCGGGGAGCACCCAATGGCACGGCAGGAGAGGAGGCGGGTTGAGAAGGAGCAGCGGGAGATGGAAGGCGGTGGGAGCGTCAGGCGAGATGACAGGTGACACCGCGATGATGCCTTCCGGACGACTTTGCACGACGGAACTCGGCAGTGACGCCGACCAAAAGTCTCTTTACGATTGGCAGGCACGAATAGAGGGATGGGGTCGATCGCAATTGCCTTATAACCTGTCTCCAGAAAGCACTGCAGGCAACGCACATGCCATACTAGCGAGCGTAGTTTCCGTTCGCTACCATCGCTCTTACTTCCGATCTAAAGGCGGGAAGGCGCCGCCGGTATATATCGCAACGGTTCGACACGACCTACGACCCCAAGACCTCCTCCACCCGCCACCCACTCGCACTCTTCAGATCCAGCACCTGCCTAACATGTAGCGCAGGCAAAGGCCACCCGAAGCGCCCGCACCTACACCACTCTTCAGCTCAACCATGACCCAACACTCCCTCCGCTTCGGCACCCCTCGCAACTCAACAATCTTCATGTTCGTCACTACCCTTCCATACTCCAGCAAAGCTGTATCTTTCGCTAGCGCCGCCAAGCCATCACCACTGATTGGCGTAAGTGGGAACATGCGCGTCTTGGGTACGCTCTCGCTTCCCACGGCTTGAGGCTGCGATTTCTGCAGGTGGCTGTAGACGACATACATTGGCAGATCCTTCGGTGGCTGTTTGGCGAGGAGGGAGCTCGGATGGATGAAGACTGCTTTCTCGGGCAAGCCAGCATTGCGGCGGTCGGTCAAGGGTTGGAGAGGGAGGTAAGGAACATCTATTGCTCGACGCGGCTTCGTGAGGATCTCCGGTGGTTGTGGTGCGAGGTCGGCGCGGATGGCGACTTGGTCGATGTAGCCCGCAGCCGCGATGTGGTTCAGAGAACGAGCGTCCTTGGAAGATAGCTTTACGGGCTTCGCGAGGAGTTGCAAGGCCGGATTCTTGACGCAGACGATGTTCAGGAGTTGGCGGTAGAGCTGAGAGACCTCGAACATGGCTTTCGATCGGAGGAAGTATTGCTCGCAAAAGCTTTCCTTGTCCTCCGCGGCGACATACATCGTGACGGCAGTCAGTAGCTTCATGGCATCAGACAGTTTGTCGTGCTTGCTCAAAGTAGCTCGCGCTCGTCCAAATGCTTGTTTGCGTTGGTCTCTGGCTTCATCTTCTTGTTGCTGTTCGCGCAAGTAGATCTTTCCGTCTTCGTGCTGCGTGGTTCCAACAAGGTCGAGTTGTGCCTCGTTGTAGAAGACTTCCTGAATCGCTAGGCCCGAGACGAGCGCGAGAGCATGCGGCAGCAGAATTGGGTTCTGCAAGCCAGAGACACGATCTTGCCCAGTCGTGGTGAGAGCGGGTAGTTCGACAGCTCCTCACCCAGAGCCGTGATCTTCCCCTGGAAGCTCAATGCACCAAGGTTTCTCAGCAGCTTCTCAGCCTTGGTCAGCGTCTCATGAGCTGGACTTGAGGGGAACGGAAACTCCGTGATCGCTTTCGGATACTTCAAGCTCTTCAGCTGCAGCACGATTGACTCGGCCGGCGCACGCAGGATCTGAGGCTCAGCATGATCAGCGAAGAACTGCTCGTAGACCGCGGATGTGTACAAGCGCCAGCAGTGGCCAGGGCCGGTCCGGCCGGCTCGCCCAGCTCTCTGTGCGGCGCTGGCTTTGCTGATCCAGTCGATCTCGAAGCTCTGCACGCCGGTGTCAAGGTTGTACTTTCTTTCTTTGCTGCGCCCCGTGTCGAAGACATAGCGGATGCCTGGGATGGTGAGAGAGGTTTCGGCAACGTTCGTGGACAATATGATTTGGCGCGCGTGTTCCGGCGGAGGATCGAAGACACGGAGTTGCTCCTTTGTCGGTAGCTGGGAGTACAATGGGAGAATATGTACTGAGATGTAAGGATCTTTGGAAGCCATCGGTTTGGCAGTCGCGTGTGCCTTGCGAGAAGCTGTCTCTGGCTCTTCTTCGTCATCTGAGATGTCAAACTCGTCTTCTTCCTCCTCTTCATCCGAGCCAGTGACGAATTCCACCTCATCAAAGTCGTCTCGGTAACCATCACTCTTGCTCAATTGCTTGATGGTCTCGATCTCCAGATCTTCTACCTCTTGTGGGATGTCTCTCGACGAGATTTGGGTCTGAGTCGCCGGAAAGGGATCGCTGGATACGCGCAACACTTTCTGTAATCGTTCGCCGACTTGTCTAATTTCATTCTGACCAGTGAGAAATACCAGCATACCACCTCTCGGTAGCTTGTGGTGAGCCCGTCGGACTTTCTCAACGACCTCGTCCAGATAATCTGCGCGTGATCGAAGAGCAAAATGGGTGGTAACTCGATGCTGCCGTCCTTCGGCTTCCACGACCGGTGGCTTAGATTGCGAGTCGAAGAGCCTATCGTGCACGAAGTCTGAGAGATTCAGCGTTGCAGACATGATGATGAGCTTCAATGGCGTTGGCTCTGGGTTGAATTTCGTCTTCTTCAATCTTGCTGGGACTACCTTGCTCAATATCCCGATCAGCAGATCCGTGTTGATGCTCCTTTCGTGTGCTTCATCGATCACGATGACCGAATACTTCTTGAGCAGCACATCTTGCGACAGTTCTCGTAGTAGCACGCCATCTGTCATGAACTTGACCGCCGTCTGCGAGGTCACCTTGCTGTCAAACCGAATCTGGTAACCGACCTTGCACCATGATCTGCCAACTCCTCGCCAACCCGCTTTGCCATGCTCACGGCTGCAACTCGCCGGGGCTGAGTGATGCCGATCATGCCAGGTGTCGGACCGTCACGCGCACCAAATCCAGCTTCGTATAGGAACTGCGGTATTTGTGTGGTCTTGCCGCTGCCCGTGTCGCCCTTGATGATCACCACAGGATTGTTGTAGATTGCCTCCATGATCTCTTGCTCTCGCTGGAGAATGGGTAGCTCAGATCGGGAGGCTTGTATTTCAGCTGTTCTGTCGACATGGACGGAGTATGCCTGTCTGGCTGGTTCTGTTGGTGCCGGTATTGTGCCGAGTATTGGATTAATGGTCGGCGGCCTGGGAATGGGCTGATTTTGCTCATCAGTGGTCATTGTCTGTGTGGGGAGATTGCCCGCCTCGTAGGAAGGAGTGTGGCCCAACGATTGGTTGAGTTGCTGCGTCGCCCATGCCTTGAAGGCAGATATTGAAGGTTCATGCTCTGCTGTGTCTGACTCATCCGCCGAATCGTGCTCGCTCGTCGGATCAGTATCGCTGTCGTCGTTTCCTGCCGAGCTTACGTCCGTGTCGCTCATGCTGCTCTCCTCAGCAGGCTCCACTTCGGAGTCCTGAGCTGAGCTATCCTCGTCGTCGTCATCGGAGTCCTCCTGTGCCATTATCTGCTGTATGATTGCCAGCCTCCTCGCCTTCGTGTCTTCCTCCACTTGCGGTTTTGGTTCATTGTCCGAGAATCCTTCCCAGTCTGACTCTTCTTCGCCCACGTCGCTGCCCTCAGAGTCCTCCTTAGTGTCGGAACTTCGCCTGCGTACGTGCTCCGTCGAAGTGAGCGTTCCCGCTTTCCGCCGTCCAGGCTTCACTGGCAGAATGGGTAGCCCATCAGATCCAAGTTGGAGCGGCTGCGCCAGGCCACTGCCCACCTGAGCCGTTGATCGTGGATTTCCCAGTGCTCTTGAAACATCTGTTTCGCCCTCAAACATCTCTGGGTGGTCCTCTTCGAACGAATCCTCACTTTCCGCATCCTCATCGCTACTCTCGTGTTCGTCCGGCGTATGAACCTCGTGCGTAGTCCTCCGCCTCTTCCTCGCCTTCGACGCAGACTCCGCTTCCGCTTCTCGCCCTCGCTTTCCAATCACACCGCCAGGTACGCTTCTGACCACAACTTCACCCTCCGACCGCCTCCGCTCATCCTCCTTCACCTTCTCCGCCTCTAGCAACCTCAACACCTCCAGATTCTCATCCCTCTTCAACTTGTTCTCAATATACTTGTCCAATCTCTTTTGTTTTTTCGCCGAGGGCTTGCCTGCTTGCTCTCGTCGAAGTGTGTCTCGTAAGATCCGCTTCTTCTCTTCTCGTTCTGACTTGGTCGAGTCTGGGACGATGATTGCGGCGTTGGCGTCGTTGGAGGCTTGGCTGGTGGCGGAGGAGATGGCTTGAGCGGCCTCAGCGGCCTCCCGGCGGGCTTTTTGTTTTCGTGGTTTCGGCGTGAAGCGCGCCATGGTCATGGAGGGTGCTTGTGGGCATTGGGAGGCCTCTGTGGGTCGGAAAATAGTGGTGAGGTGCATGCTCGACTCTCAAATTAAAATAAATCTGGGAACTTTGGTCATCTCCAATTTTCACTGCCTGGGAATGCAATGCCCCGCCAGAATCGTGGTCCCGGGTAGGCACGTTAAGAGACGTCTACGAGTGTCCAGGCTGTTCGGGCATAGACTGAGCGGTTTTAGTGTGTCTGTTAACTGTCAAGATCTCAAGTCAGGGCGGGCTCTGAACGCTGGAACTGTTCTACAAATCGAGTCAGCAAGTTTGGGAAGAGCCTCACTTGAGCCTCAAGTCGCAGAATCAGTTTACCACTATTTTGTCTGCCAGGGAGGTCGCTGAAAGAAATTTGGCGTGCATATTGAGGATGAAGGAAACGCTTATTTCTTGGCCGAGCAGCTTGGTGTCCAGGCTCGGTGGGAAACTTGAACTTGTACAGCGCTATCATATAGCCCAATATGCCTACACAATGGTATCGCTCGCCGTATTTGACAGCACATAATCGTCGTGACCATACCTATCACAGTGTCGCAGACATCTCTGCAAGACACGCACAACCTTTTCTTTCTCTGTAGGATCCCTTGGCCGGTAGTGCTTCCGACACGAGCCGTAGACCTCTTCGACTTGGGCGCGTGAGGCGGTGACCTGGGTGTATGCGCGTAATACCCAACAGACCATGGGTAGCTGGCGGTGAAGCTGAGTGAAGCCACGTAGTCTGCGTAGTCGTCGGGGTTCGACCGGGTGTTCTCGTCGTGCTCATGGTCTAGCTTATCATCATCTCGTTCCACTCGGGCGTCCTGTACTTCGTCTGCGTCGATTAGAGGGCTCTGGTCGGACGCTGTTGCATCAGCGTCTTCTCGCAACTCTGCATTCTTCCCTGCGTTCTCTGCAGGTACTTCCAGTGGCAGGTCTGACATGGTCCTCACTTGCGATGGCAGCACATACTCGCCCTCTTCGTGATCGATGGCTGTGTCGAGGCTAGGTAGTAATGACGCTCCTTTGTCTCGAAGTCTGGGGGGTTGTCTTCAAGTTGTTGTGGAAAGAACGCATTCTGAATGATTCCTGGCGTCTTGACCCGTGGCTCTTCGTCAAACAAGTGAGAGTTTACTCTCTCGATCCCATGATTTGGCTCTGTAGCAGCAGGCGACAGGCTTTGTGTAAAGCTGTCCCACACGCCAGGCTCCTTCGTCCTCGCATTTCCCTCTACGCCTGTTGGCTGCAAGGTCTTAACTTTGCGCACCTCCGACAATTTGGGCAATGTGGGCTCGTCATCGTCATAGGATTCAGTACGTGCCATAGCGGCTGCCATCCTTACTTTCTTAGCTTCTTTCAAAGCCTGCTGGCAAGCGGTCCAGGTCATGTGCAGCCGCGACAAGTTCCACCTGGCGTGGGCACGCTTTGGTTTGCCGTGAAGCGCGAAGCCCTTGAACAGCAGCTGATACATGACAGGGCGAATCGGGAGGTCAAAATCCTCGGTCATCTCCTTCAGCAGCACTGTGATCCTGTCTAGGTCACCGGAGACATTCGCGTGGTAGGCCACCATTGCCCGAAACGTGACATGGTCTGGTCGGAGGGGCATTAGTTGCTGCAGATCAGCATGGTGGTCTGGCAGCCTCTGCTTGAGATGAGCTGCAGATTTCAGCATGCGCCCGAGCGCGTTTGATGCAGCCTCTCGTTCGATCGTGCTCGGCTCCCCACCAGGGTACCTAAGATAGAACGTATCGCTGCCGTCAGCTCTTTGTCCTGTCCGGAGTCTTGCTTGCAGATCCTTCATGCGCCCATATGTCTGCTCTGCAGCGTCCGGCTCCTGAGCATTGAGGAGAGATGCGATGACGCAATTCAAGACAAGCGTGTCGACAATTTCGCCTGCTTCCACGAAATCTCTGTAAGTACGTCTGACAGCATCTCCATCTCCACGCAGACCATGATAGTACATCATGCTGACGCGACCCAATCGATTGAGACGCAAGCCACGAGCGTACATTTCCTTGAGAAAGCTCTCTGCGAGCGCATATTTACCAGCCCGGACAGCAATATCGAATAGTATGTTGAACGTGACATGGGTACCACGAACACCGGCGTCTTGTTCCATCTTTCGCCAGATCACGATGGCTGCATCAACTTGATCTGTCGATCTCGTCCTGAGCGACCGTCCCTCAAGATATTGGTCCGTCGATTGCATTCTGAGCGACCGACCAGCAAGATATATTGCTGAAGACCACTCGCCGGACGTGATGGGCTGCTTAGCTTCTTGCATGTCGTCAATGAGCGATAGATACCGTATCATGCCCTTGCGCGATCTCTTCCATGGTGTTCCCATCCGCTGAAGGAACAATCGCTGCAAGCCTTTGGGCAACCAAGAAACGCCAGGATATGGAAATTGTTTGTACGCTTGGTACAAGTCTCGATTCGAAGAGTTGTCCTCCAGGAGAAGGTCAACGAATGCTTGCATGGTGCGGATCTCGCGAGTCTGGTTCCTCAGGAGCACCTTCTCGATCTCTTTCAAAGGATTTTCGTACAGATCTTCGGTGTCCGAGGATACCTGAGTCCGATCTTCGGCTTCTGTGGTACGAGGCTTATTATCATGCGATCTCGTCTTGTCCAGTTTCGATAACTCAGCTTCGTAGTCGTTGATGAACATGAGCGAGGGTGAATAGTCCGGGCCGTCGGGCGAGAAGCGATTGCGTTGGCTGTAGTAATAAAGGTCGACCAGACCCTTGTAGTCATCCTTGCTGAGCACTGATTTTTTCTGTGAACCCTCGTTCGCGACTGGTGCGTCTGGCGGCTCTACGTGGGTAGGCGTCGAATGAGGTTTCTTCATTGCCCGGTTCAAGGCAGCTCTCGCGGTCGCCAGCTTTTCCTCCAGCTCGCGTACAGATCTGAGCAGTCGAAGCTGTGTCTCAACGTCGCTGTCAACCATAGTAATGGGACTCCAATTAGACGAGGCTTCCTGATCTTTGTCCATCTGAGACGATTGGTGTGGCAGGAGGGGCTCTGCGACGAGGTCTTGCGCTTTCACCTGGATCTCAAAGACATCGTTGAAGAAGTCCTTGGGTAGATGGGAGTGTGATGCCATCCTCCGAGCCTTTGTATCGAAGATCTCACGAAAAGAGTCAACATTACGCCTGATCTGCGCCTCAGGTATTGCATCTCTCCTTTTCGAAGTCGTAGAAACAGATCTGCACTGAACCGACGGTCTTCGTACGTAACCATTGTCACGTCTCGTAGCTGCCGCAACAGACGGACGCGATGTCGAGTCGGGGCCGAAGGAGGGGCTTTTCCTGACACCCGACGATGGTCGGTGCGCCTGGCAGCTCGAGATCGTGGACAGCGCTCCCAGGAAGAAATTCGCATATCGTCCATGGCGTTGTCGTGCAGATCCGAGGTCGTAGGGGGTGGCTTCGCCTGCTCCTGAATGGGCGGATTGCAAATGGGACGCACACGTCGGCACAAGGAAATCTAAGAGGGTCGCGCTTGCCGCTGAAGCGACAGTGGTGAGGCGCTCGGGACGAGGGCGCAGAGTATGTCGAGGCATAGGATGGCAGACATGGTGCCACAATGCCCTTCTCAGCTCCTGTGCATGGCGTATTATCGTGAGGAGCACGTGTGGTAGTCGTCAGAGAGATACCCGAGTCGTTCACGAAGCTGCATCCACTAGCGCCAAATTTCGCCGCAAATTCATCGACTCCGCGTCGACTACTTCGACATCACATTGCTTTCTTTTACATATATAGCCATCTATGCAGCGTCCGCCTGCCACACTCACACAGTCCTAGAAGTGTTTCGACATTCAGCTAACGAAGAATTCGGGGAAGCCGACGATTGAGTCCCATCACCGCTGTCGTGTCCTGCCTACACCTCGACAGCTCCGCCCGCCATGGGCCGCATAAATCTCTCCGCCCAGCGAGTGCGGCAGAAGGCGCTGGCTTTTGTCAAGACCGGGCGCCATCCCGAGAACCCATTATGGGCAGACATAATGGCCGATGTGCCACCTGCGCAGATTCTAACTAGACAACAACCCACGCAACACACCTTGACCGAGACTCGTACAACGAGGCTACCTGACGGCAAGATCGCACAGACCACAAAAGCGATAGGCACAAGAAGCTCAGCAGGAGATCGCAACAGGAGGATCAAACACATATATATGCCCAACAAGCTGCGCTACGAGGAGGACAAGCTACGAAGCCAATTCTTCGCCGACCACCCATGGGAGCTGGCACGCCCTCGACTGCTCGTTGAGACCGACGGCAATCAGCACGCCCACGCCGACTGGTCCACAGGACTTCAACAACCAGGTATACCAGTCTCCGGCGAGAGCGTGGCTCAGCGCCAGCTGTGGCTGCTACAGAACACCCCCGACATCACAGTGCCAGAAGCGTACGACATCGCCCGAAAGGAATTCTACGCCATCCGAAGGCGGCAGCAGATAGGGCAACGCATCGCCGCGGAAGAAGCAGAAAACAATGGTGTCGACTATGGTCCGTCGAGCATGAGCAAGGGTATGGGCAAGGAAGCAGAGGTATTTGACGAATGGATGGTTTGGGCTGAGAAGGAGAATATGGCCATCATGCAGCGACAAGCTAGCTTCGCCGGCCAGCAGCCTGCTCCGGAGATGCAGGCTGTGCAGGCAAATAACGCCGCAACCGAGAGCGGCAGCCCTGGTGGTGGGACTAGAGATTTTGGTGTCGGAATTGACCGAAACAGTGCTGTAAGGCCGGCACCAAGATTTGGTTCGCAAATCGGCGAGTCACTCACGGCGGATGACAGTTCGAGCTTCGCGCAGCGGCAACGGTAGCAAAGTCCCTTTGAGATCGCGTCGTGAGCGAGCGTCTGTGGAGGAGCATGCATGTACTGTCTATTCTTAGGATCTGCACAGTTGTGTGCACCTTGTTCCAAATAAGGCCGCGTGATCAATGACACACCTGTACAAGAGGCGTACTGGCCTCTGGCCGTTGTAACTTACGTTTTTCCTTTCTGTGCCGCCGACAGCTCCGAGGACGCCTTCACGAACACCATTCCAGGATCCACCCGCAAGAACTACCATTACTGAACCATCGCCTCGATCCTCTCAATCTGCTCCAATACACTCTTCTTACTTGTCCCGCCCTTACTCGTCCGCTTCTCCACACTCTGCTCGAAATCAAAGACTGCCTTCACCACATCGTCACCAAACCTTCCGTCGACACCCTGCAGTTGCGTCACGCTCAGCTTGTCCATCTGAACGCCCTCATTCTCCGCTAGTGCCACGACCCTCCCACTGATATGATGGGTTTCCCGGAATGGCACTCCTTTCCGCACCAGGTAGTCAGCCAGGTCCGTGGCAAGCATGTCCGGCGTCAGAGCTGCGAGCATCTTCTCGGGGAATATTGAGAGCGTAGAAAGTACTCCCGTAGCAATCTGGACCGAGTCGGACGTAGTCTTGACCCCATCAATCATAGTCTCCCAACTCTCCTGCAAATCCTTGTTATACGTCGACGGCAGCCCTTTCGCACTCATCATCAATCCCGCCATATGCCCAAACACCCGCCCTGACTTTCCCCTCAGCAGCTCCAACGAATCCGGATTCTTCTTCTGCGGCATCAACGAACTCCCCGTCGAGTACGCATCCGCCAGCTTGACGAACCCAAACTCCGCCGTCGAGTAGATGATGAGATCTTCCGACCACCGACTAATATGCGCCATGAAACTCGCCGCCCACTGCAGAGTCTCAACCACAAAATCCCGATCCCCGACCCCTGCCATAGAATTATGAATCAAATCCTCAAACCCCAACTCCTTCGCCATCGCATCCCGATCGATCCCAAACCCATTCCCCACCAATGCCCCCGACCCCAACGGACACCGATTCACCCGCCTAATCACCTCCCTCAACCGCACCAAATCGTCCGCAAAGAAACTCCCATAGCTCAACAACCAATGCGCCCACCGAATCGGCATCGCCCGCTGCAAATGCGTATACCCGGGCATCAACACATCAACCTCTGCCTTCGCCCTTGACGTCGTCACCCGTAGAAAAGCCACCAAATGCTCCTCAATAGCCCTCAACTCATCCCTCAACCACAATCTCATCCCCGTCGCAACCTGATCATTCCTCGACCTCCCCGTATGCAGCTTCCCCGCGATTTCCTTTCCAATTATCTCACCCAATCGTCGCTCATTCGCCGTGTGGATATCTTCGTCCACTCCAGGCTTGATCTCAAAGGTGTCGTTGTCCCACTCGGCCATCACAGTCTGAAAGCCGCGCTCAATTTCTGAGAATTCGTGCTTGGTGAGGAGGCCAAGGGCGGTGTTGGCGCGTGCGTAGGCGGTGGAGCCGCGAATGTCCTGGGCGTAGATGCGGCGGTCGAAGTGGATGGACTCGTTGTAGGTGATCATCAGGGGGTCGAGGCCGCTGGTGAAGCGGCCGCCCCAGAGCATGTTTGCTGTGGGTTTGGAGGGTGCCATGGTGGGTGGTAGATGTACGAGGAGGGGAGCAAAGTGGGCCGGGGTTTTCGGCCAGATAGCACTGGAGGAGCTTTACTCTAGCAGTCGTTGCCGATTTTCGGCTTTTGTGTCATGGCCATGTTCGAATTTTCATTCAAGCGTGACTGCAAAACAATTTTCTGGAACTGCAAGGCAACAAGGCGCTTATCGATTGCGCTAGGCTTGATGACGCCTAGTCCTACCGCTAACCTGAGGTGGTCGCCTTCTTGGGAGAGTCATGGTTCTTTGAGTCCTGGGCGTCACAGACATCATTTGCATCGATCAGCATCGAGCGCTGCGGCGCGAGGAATTACGTGGGCTAGTCGATGTAGTGGGCACGCGAACATCATGGCGGCAACTGGACAGCTGCAGAACGTGTGGCACCTCCGGACTGTGGCGGAAGCAAGCTCGAAACCGTGCTACATCTGCTACAAGCCCAGCGCATCTGTGTTGACGACGCCTGATAGCAAGGACTTCTTCTATGTCTGCCGCTCGCATCTTACAGACCGAGGCTTCGCATCGCCGATAGTTGACGAGAAAGCCGAGGCAGAGAAGCGGAAGAAGGAAGCTATGGACAAGGAGATCGAGAAGGTCAAGTTGGAGTACGAGGCGAAAGTCAAGGCTAAGAAGGCAAAGAAGAAGAAGGATGACGACAAGGACAAGAAGGACGACGACAAAGAAGATGTTGAGAAGGAGCGGGACGATAAGGTGAGTACTGATCCCATGCGCAGGTGGTCGTTCGAGGGTCGTTTTGTGCAGCTTGTGGGAAAGGCACATGCACTGCACCTGCCAATTCCCGCACCCTGTGCACGATCCGTGGCAACGACGCAGGCATTGGACTTTCCTGTTCGCTTACTCGACACCTGGTCTGATGCTCCTGCCCTGGCTGGTGCAAGCGCAGGAGTAGAGTCGACATCGATTTTCTTCCGCCAGTCACTAAATGCTGACCAAGTCCATCATCAGATCAAAGCGATACAATCCTCGCAAGGCTCAAAGGCGGAAGATGGCCCACGAATATTTGCTCTGCACAGGAACTTCTACCAGATGCGCATTGACCGACTGCGCAACATCGAGACGGCGAAACGTAATGCACAGCGTGTCAGAGACCCGAATTTCTTTCCTGCTGCACCGAAGGGCGATTTGGGTAGCAGCTGACGTCGGCGACACGTGGAAGTTGATTGCGATGCTGCACGGAGTATAACTTGTGTGACAGCTAGGCATAGCGCGGGGCATAAACTTTGACCAGTCTCAACACAATGGGCTCACGACTGAACGAGCCTATTGTTGCTGATCTCATCGTGCGCCGCCGCAGTCACCGTTCTAGTTCCTAGCGAACTATCGACTTCGTCTTACCTTAGATTGTAATCTACTTGTATGGAATGCAGGCGAGCGACCAGCTGACGGCACCATGCAATTCACGAATAGTACAGACGCCGATGGACGGCTCACATCGCACCTGTTCAGGCCGTACCGGTCGCGAAACGTAAATTTATATCGCCGGTTCATGATTAGGTAAGGACTGTTTGAGGAAACAGCGGTCGTGGTGATCATGCCACCAAACCTACCGAATAGGAAGGAGGTCGTAAACTCAAGAAGCGACAGAACAAACTTAGCGATCACTGCCCAATCATGAGTCATGCCCAACGGTATTGACAGGTTTCAACGTCCACTGCCTACGTGCCTAGGTCCCTCGGTACAGCAGTCTGCTCCCGAATGTACAGAAGGCTCGACTCCTTTCCTGCAGGGCTTAGCAGGACTCCTCTGCCCTATCTCGTATGTCGATCGTCGTGCCTGACTCCTGCATCGTCGGGGTGACCGTGGCCCGCTCGACCGTCCAGAAGACTCCCATGCACCGTCAGCCGAGTGCTTGCATGCACTACCTAGACCTGCGGAATTCGAACCGTTGATAAGTCTGAAGTGAGGACACACAGGTATCAATGCCAGGATCTCCATCTCATCATATCCATAACGGCCGATATAGCCCCGACAGCCCAGGAGATCGTCGCCTTACAAAGCTCAAGTCCCACCCCTGTCCCACCCCATATGCCAAGTATCGAAGTGAAAACTCATGCTCTGATTGGTGATTGAGACCGCTGACCGATAGATGCGTGGGCTGAAGGACTCAACACTAATTTTGGCGAATGCTTGGAACCGGTAGTGGTACCACATATTCACACGCTTCGTACCAAACACTCGGGTGTTCTACGGAGCCAGCTCGCTCTCAAGCTACCTATTGTGCTGGTGCACTACGGCGAATCTTTGTGGGTTCCGGCGCGCCATAGTTTCGGTTTCGCTTCTTTCCGGACAAGGTTTGACAGTCAAGATTTCTCTGGCGGGGTCTGGTTAGGTAAGGCGGGCGCGCTTGGCGCAAAGCATAGGGAGTCGCCCTTGTACATTTTTAGTATGCACAGCGCGCGTAGGGCGACGGGAGGCGTGTGGGATTTTCCTGGGCAGACAGGGCTGTACGAAGGAGCAAGTGGGTGAAATGCAGCTGGTTGCCTTACAATGTCGTGCTCGAAGACATACATCGTTGCTGCGGCGTGCCTGAGCGTCGACTGCCCGCCGGGAAGGCTCTTCTGGCGTGGCCCAGTGTGTGGAAGCGTAATGAGAAGGGGCGTGGAGCCTGTGACGGTGACTTTGCTGGCTCCGCCCCCACGATTCCGCTAGTACGTACACAGTAGTAGATGGAATGGTCCATAGAGCAACGGCGTCGGCAGAGGGGAAGCCGCTCTTGGAAAGTGGGCACCTGAGTCGACAACGGGCCATTTTGGCAAGGCATGAGCTCTATTTGCGTGCTCGAAGATGGACTAGCTGATGTTTAAAGTATGACTGACGGATTATGGGGTGACGAGAATGTGTTAATGCCTTTTCCCTGCTGGGAATCGGGGCAGGGCGTCTCGTCGTCGACAACAATCGAAGTTGTTCCTAAATGGCGGCGAAACATACGACATACGCGTCGGTTTCATGGTTCCGATGTCGAGGAGTGTCGATTTTGCTGGTAGCTATGGCTTAATATCGGCAGGCGTGCAGTGGTCTGATACTTTCCTGAGGCCATTTGAGGCTGAATAGACGCGTAAGGTATATTTTGTATAGCTAAAGGTGCTCATTACCCTGAGCAATGAATGCTGCAAAGGTCTATCAAGTCCTGAGGTTTAGCGCTGCCAGATGCCAAGCACAATGCTCCTGGCCTCGAAGTCCGGACAGCTCAGTCAGATTCTGTCGTGGATTAGGCGCTGCTGGTAGGTTAGTGAGTGGAAGTTCGACGTTCCGAGCTATCACTCGCGACACATCAGGCCGTAGTCGGATTAAATGACAAAGTGATCACAGCGTACCACCCAGACGTGACTACACTTTGAGACCATGGGCTAGCAACCACAGACATCCTGCGCCAGTCGTCCCATGAGCCGAGCTCTGCAAGATGTCTCTTCGATGTTGGCAAGATGGACAACAATTGAAGGCCAAATCAGGCGTCCAGATACACAAGTGCCTGTAGGGCTGAAAGTCGAGTCGGCGTTTCCTGGAACAAGACAGCAATTCTGCAGCGTCCCACCGAGATTCTGGTCGATCACCGCCCATCAGACTGCGCATGCAACACTTTCCTCAAGGAGAAGACCAAAATTTGCCACTTTGCGAGATCTCGGGATCGTGCGGGTGTTCTCGATGACAGCCCGCCTCGGTGTGAGCGCGCAGCATGAAGCCTTGAGCGGAATGATGTGCAATGCTACGAGGAGAAAGACAGTACTCCGTAGGCATCCTCTGTTGATAATGTGGATAGTATCCGCTAGACGTCGCTTATTGATCGAGCAAGGAAGACCTTAGGAAGTTATGATCTGCTGGACGCCTTACAGATTCTGCCACATTCACTCTCCAGCAAGTCGTGAGCGCCTCGGAACTTCCCAGTGCGAGCATATGCTTGCCTGGAATGGTCCGCACTGCAGTAGGCTGGTGCTCGAGCGTGGCACTGGACGCTTGCCAAACTTGAAGCTGGCGGTGTCTTTGATATTCCTCCATCGAAGGAACCGTCAATCTTACCTGCCGGAACAGGTTTCGCACCCAACCGTGTGCATGGTCTTGGCTGTAGCATATGAGAGGCCATCAACACCAAATGCCGACTCCAAAATATAGGTTCTTCTCAGTGAGGCTCTCATTCTGCAGCGCCGCTGGAAAGGAGCGTAATTGCCCTCAGTACTCCCAGTGCTGTTAGAGGCGATACGGGTCGCATAAGACCAGGTGTTCGTCGATCATAATATCTTCGCCGTACTAGGCCACGCTTTCAAGAATATCTGTCCGCTGCCTTCACAAATTGCCGCTTCCGCGGCCTCTCATGGACGGTGGCAGTCTGATAGCGCCTCCTGGTTGCTGGAGATTGTTAACTTGACGTGTCTGTGCACCGCCTGCTTTATCTGCCACTTCATCTACCTTACCACGAAGTACGCCAAATCCAGGCGTAACCCAACCTCCACAGCTGCATCTCAGCCCTTGCCACGCAAATTTACCAACATTGATACCACACTTGCTGTTCGGACATGACAGTCGACCTTCGAGTTGACCCTCGGCTAGCGTCTCTCGCATCCAGCTCAAAGGATGTAGAAAAATGTGCGCGCATGGCGTCGACGCCGGATCGCTCCTTAGCGGTGTATGCGCCATCATGTGTGGAGTAGAAGCCAGTATGTGACGGCAGCGGCGACAACGAAGTTGCGTGGTCGTGCTCGCGTTCTCAGCTTCACCGGTTGGTGCATACACACCTGGAGCCACTTGTTCTCGAGGTCTATCGTCCTGGAGATGCCCATTGAGATTGATTGACTTGAGCCTGGCAGATGCATCTTCGACCTCGACTTCCTCGTCGTCCTCGAAGCGTATGTCTACGACATCTGGGGCTCGATTGATCGCCAATGACTCTGCGACATTTCTTCTATTGATGAATCGACGATATAGCTTATGCCTCTCGAGTTCCTCGGACGAAGTGGGACAGCCCATGTCGACGTACATATGAAGCTGGTCCATAAAGCCAGGATTCGGCTCCACGATGGGCCGCCCTTGTCTCAGGAGCATCAAAGCCTCGACCACTGATAAAGGTTTGGAAGGTATCGGCACCATATCGTCGCTTTTGGTGATGGTAGCTGACTCGGCTGCCTCGATGCCCATAGCAGGTATGCAATAAGGACTGTAGCTGATCGGGATTTGCCCATGGCACTAGTAGTGAATCGATCAGCATTTCGGTACATCGGCGTCAATCACAGCGTGCACGATGCCCAACCCTGGCGCCGCTCGTGGACCACAGCTAGCGGAATGGCTTATGGCAGTCCAAGGCTTGACTCGTCAAGGCTTCAGAGGGTTGCACCGCGCTTGCCACGCCCACGGGTATGGTTGCCGCGGACGCCAAGGCTCATCATATGCGGTCTGATGAGATGAGCACTACATGCCATCAAAGCTAGATCTTCCATGCTAGTTGATAAATATGAGTACTCTCATCATGTAATGCGATTCACATGTCCGGACACGAACGCAGAGTTTTTTTGTCTTGCATACTGGCCAACCAAATCATCGACGCAATGTCCCGAACACGATGGAGGAGGAATAGAATGGACAGCTGGAAACAACTAGACTTACCAGTGTATGAACACGCCGGGACCATTTTCTGATTGAGTCGTTTCGTCGTGCACCGATCTTGAATCAGTAGTACTGTTTGACCTCTGCGGTGTCTTGGCCTTGAGAGCCTTGTCGATGAAAGCATTGCTCTGTGGGAACCACCGGATGAGATTCTCGTCTTCGACATCATCAACTGGAATGTGGAGATGCTCGAAGCCTCGGGTCAGAGGATTGTCTTCCTCGAACTGCCAGTCCATAACGGATACAATATGTGTGACGTGGCAATTCTGGAGAGCCTTAGGCCGCCGTAGGGCTATGAAACTGGTTGCAAGTCATCATCAGTACTTGTTTCAAACAACAACTCCACCAGGCTCTACTTGGCCAAGTCCCGTCGCGACGCCGAGACACGAGATCTGCTTGCTGGGTGAGAACGCCTGTGACCGTTATTGCAAGCAAATTTCGTCACGACGAATGAATGGAGGAAGTGACGAAGCGAAGGAATGGAAGCCCGATGATCACTCACCCTCCGATGTACAGATTATGTCCCGGACATTTGTTCAGGAAAGGTATGTCCATGCTGGCAGGACACTGGTAACTCAAAGTGCTTCAACAAGCGCTACGTGCGAAGGAAGGGAAAATGGTTGCAAAGATTGATCAACGATTGACTCACGGTACGAGGTGACCCAGTCATCTCGAGATCTCGAGGCTTGAAGTTTCGAACCGAGGCACTGCGCCACTGCGCCACGGTCTGTGGCTAGTGTCAACTTTCAGCTCAGTGCGCGTCTTGGACTCTTGGCTGCCCGGAGATCTTCGAACTTTTTTGTTCTTCGGTTACATGCTCCATTCTCGGCTGGCAGTCACAGCTGAGGCTTATTAGTTGCTATGTACAGCAACTCAAGCAATGGCGACCAGAGAACTGCGGAGTCAAGGAGTTGAAGGTTTAAGCGGCAACACGTGGTGACTAAGATGCATGTAGGTTCTCTATTCATGGCGTTGGCCGCGACGCTTTGCTACAGGTGCTTGAGCATGTCGACGTCAACCTTCGAGCTCAGCCGTACTGCAGTGCCTTTCGCGTCCAAAAATTCATTCGACTGCCAAGCCGCCGAATACTACTGTGGCAGACAATCAATAGCATAGTTGAGGCGCTGAAGAGTGTCATCGTCCAAAAAGATCACTGGGACTGGAAGAATGATCCAGTCTACACGAGGGGTCAAACAGGCGGGTGATCTTCGCTTGTATCATCAGCCCTACGAGACCATGCCCCAGAAGGTATTCATCGCCCAACACGAGGCTTGCACTTGGTATTCGCCCTGGAAACCCGAGTCAGGACTCATGCTACAGTAGCTGAGTGGATCTTGGAGCGATGATGGATGATACATTTGCGAAAATCAATCGACTTCTGTGTAAGTCAGTGAACCGGCACTTGTCTGGGCACAATCATTGGTCTGTCGACTAGACATCCAGGATGCCGATTGAATCGTCGCGAGAGCTTCGTTTGTAGAATCGAAAGAGTGGAACTGCTGATAACAAGCAAGTACGCATACATCCTTAGCCTGTTGCTCCCAGGGCCAGGTAGGCAGATGACCCATCATTCGAGCTCGCATGTTATCATGAGGCTTGGCGGTGTTGGCACGAGTGGCTAGCTGAGTAGTTTGGGAGGCGGCACAATATCACGGCGCCCGCATTGGAGGGGCACCGAACTTCAGGCTTACCGACGCCGTCTCGCAATCAGCCTGTCAGATTCCCAAGGCTCCCATATTACCATAACCAGATGATCTGATGCTAGACGCGGCCCGGGTCCCTGATGCCAAGACGATTGAGACCTCTGAGGGCCGGGGATGTGACCATTCGCAGCACTTCGCTATCCCGATATCCGAGAAGTCATGAATGCGATTATGCCTACGGCGTATTAATGGCATCAGCTTGGTCATTCTTCGGTCACTCGCGTTGCTTGGCCTTATAGGGGACTAGGCACAGTTTCGAGTGCCCTATACACGTTGGTCGTAGGCGGCTCAAACATGAGTCGCGCTGCTAACACGGAACATGTGGAGATGACGTTACATCTTGTTCATTTCAATTTTCAGATGCCCAACATCATCCCCTGAAGTTCCTTATACCAAAATACGCAAGGAGGAGGACCTCGTGTCCCAAAAGGGATGTAGCAGAGATGGGGTAACAAAGGCTCTCTAATAATCGATTACCGCCTGAGACGACGCTTGTAACAAGGATGCTTCTCCAGTCTCTCGTCACCGCTCGTCCAACGAAGGCGCGAGGATTCCTCCTGCTATAATTGCGGATCCTGCCTTGAAGCCCTGATCCTGGTCCATGCATGTGGCCACGGGCGAAATCTAAAATCCCGCTAAGCCTTACGACCAAGGGCTTTCGTCTCTGCTCACTGGAACCTGATCAAGCCCATGCCCGTGTGGAGCATAGCACAGAATGCATGAATCGGGTCAGTCTACGGCTTGCTGGCCTGCTCCTCTCCTCCGCTCTCGTATGCCACGGATGGTGTATACTCGTCCGAACAACTTATACTGCGCCTTCTCTGCATGGCCGGACTGAGCACACTCACCTATTTCGCCTCCCAACCATATTTGCGCACACTGGTTGACTCCTGTGTTTACGTGGATCCTCTTCAGCTGGCTTGTGCATCCGTCTTCCAAGCCTGGGGCTCGTCATCGGACAGCCTAGCATACATCTCGTGCATCTGATACAGCTGCTATCTACAGCACAGCCGCAGGGTAGCTAGAGCCACAACTGAAACCCTCTGTCGCCATCCAGTCCTTACCGTTACGTGTACACGACCTCCTCCGAACCTTTCACTGCTACCGCTCCACCGTCTTCCGCCACCACGTCCACAAACGAAAGATCCATAGTCCCGATCTGGGCAAGGTGTTGGTCAAACAACGTGTGTAGGGCGATACCTCTGGTAGCTGAGACATCGGTGAGCGGATTGGAACCGCTCACGCCTTGTGCTGTCTCGGGCTGAAGACTGGCGGCAGATGAATCGCCATCTCTAAGTAAAATGATGCTGTCCACTTGCTAGGACTCACGACTACGCTCCCCACAGGACAAGGAAAATTCTACTATGGAAATACACCGAACATCAGCCAACATGCGCATACCTTCACGCGCCTCGCTCGACCCTCGTCGGCCTGCGATGTCCCGCAGCACATCCTCCACCACAAGCCTGTCTACCATTTCCCACACAAGAGATCCTGTTCCTATACCCGGATCCCCCATAGACGAGCCGCCCCCTCCACTGCCACCACCGCGATGTATTGAAGAGCTGGACAGAGGCATAGATACCGCATGGTCGTGGTCGAACTCGCACCTGAGTAGCAGTTTCAAGAGGGAATTGGCGCCAATCAAGCCCGGCTCAAGCCTGTACGGTGGCTACATGCATACTCATAGTGACACAAGACGGACCTCCGACGTCGACGACATGGAAGTGGACGACTGGGAACGACGAAGAAGTGGCGGTTTGGCAGGCTGGACACCGTCAACCTCGCACATATTCGCGGGAGTTGGAGGCACTGAGTCCAGCTTTCCCTCTGGAGGCATTCCGAGCATCTCCAGACGACCATCCTCACCAACAAACCTGTCGAATCAACGGTGAGTTACCGATACCGCATGATCTGCACAGCGCCATATATTGCACAAACTTCCACTTCTCTAATTTCATTGGCCGCCACCCTTTTTTCGATGGCCCAGTAGCAGGACTGACGTATTTGGCATAGATTACACGGTGAGGACCCTCTGGCACAGAAGGCTTTCAGTCGCTCTTCCCAGGCCTATGATCAAAGTCTGCTCTCCAAGATAGGCAAGCCGAGTTCGCCGCCTCACCAAAGAACTGATTTGGCCGACGCGGCGCCTACTGGTCACAAATTGTCTCTGCAGACGTCTGATCCTGTTCAACATCGGCTCAATATCCCGGAATTATCCTCGACATCCATGGACTCTCTACGATGGATCGCAAGTCCACTCTCTGGCGGAGTTTCCCCACTGCCCAGACCTAGTTGGCGCGATTATACCATGAATCCGAAGAGTCCTTCTGGCGACAGCGTTTCCAACTCCTTTGCGCTTGACCCTGAGCTATTCCTTCAGACGAAGGCTGCTGGTAAGCAACAGCCTGACAGTGCTCGCTCCACAAACGAGGATTCCATCAGTGTCGACAGTCGCTCTCAACGCGGAAGCTACGACCAATCCATGTTTGGCGCGGATGAAGTCGAAAGCAACAACGATGATCTTAGCAGTCTTCCTCATCGCGTACGCAGACAAGCGTCTGGTCAAGGCCTGAAACGACGCGCCTTATCACCTCCTACAGATCTCAATAGAGGAGAGAAGTCGCCGTCGCACAGCAATGAGCCTTCAGGGAGGCACCCCAGTCAAGGCCCCTCTCGCTCACCGGCTATGTCATACAGGCCATATCCATCTTATGGCTCTGTCTCTTCAGTCGCTTCAAGCATTCGCCATAATTCACATGCGTCCTCGTTCGCACCGTCTCTAGCTGGCAGTAGCATGACGAGCATCTCATCTTACGACAGACCAAGCCCATCGGAAACAAATCAGGCCCAACTTTTCATAACCTCGGCGGGGCCCGTATCCAGCCCTGCGGCCTCTGTCGCTCCATTTCGCAAGCCTCTCGCTCCAACAGAACCCACCAATTCACACGAGTCGACCAACGTCTCCCGCAAGATGTCTATACAAACTGCCGTGAGCGAGGGGCGTCCTCCACCCACTACCAAGATAGGTAACTATTACATCTGCGAATGCTGTCCCAAAAAACCGAGAAAGTTTGAGACCGCAAACGATCTCCGGTGAGTGAATTCCTGTGATCACGCGCTTATTTATTCTTCCTTTCATATCATCGACTCCTTCCGCTTCTATGACTTTGCAGAGATCTTACTGACCGACCTACGCGTCTACAGCGCGCATCAAATGGAAAAACAGTATGCATGTCTGTACTGCAACAACCGCTTCAAGAATAAAAACGAAGCCGAAAGACACCAGAACTCTCTCCATCTGCGGCGACACTCCTGGTCCTGTGCGGCAATCCCCAGCTATCAAGCTGTCTTCCACCCTTCGAGTTCGCCGAATTCGCAAGGACCGAGTGGCCCGATAGCAGATGTCTGTGGCTTCTGTGGCGAGGAATTCCCAAACCATCCTGCGCCCGACTGGGATCGCCGGATCGAACATCTCACGGGTGTACATAAGTTTGGCGAATGCAATCAGGCCAAAAAGTTCTTCAGAGCAGACCACTTTCGACAGCACCTCAAGCACACGCATGCAGGCCAATCTGGGAAATGGACATCGGTGCTTGAATCCGTCTGTCTACGTGAGGAGATCCCCCAAGATGCTGCTGGCACTTCGCCAACTGGTAGCGAAGGGGGACAGAGTCGCGGTCCCAGCAGTTTACCGGCACCCGCAGATACTCCAATGGGTGGAATAACCATAAACGAAGCTCGCGATGAAACTTGAGCATGGACCCCCACACTGACCCGAATACCGTCCTGTTTGGCGATGGAGGGGAACTCTGAGCTTCCTAAGATCGGCAATTTTGAGGTCCATCCAGGTATAGCGTTCGCCGGAATGAGCCTTTCTTCGGGCTTGCATGGCACGCCTGATGCTTAGAGCTTCAGGCAGCTCGGAGCGTTGACACTGCTCTACCCCACCGAAATGCCTGGTTGGACATGCACCTCGTTCAGCGCCGCAACGCTCAAGAGAAAGGCTCTTGGCCATCATTGGCTGCAACGGATCAAACGCAGTCTAAGTCTACAACGTCGCCGATTCTGCCGAAAATGGAAAGACACGCCCGGGTCCCGCTGGCCACTATCGCGATTTGCTTCATCGCAGGGACTGTGGTTCGTGTCGGTGTAGGCGTCCATACACCACCACTGCGTACAACCTGTTCAGCCCTTTCGCTGTTCTTGTGACGATACCGCGTGTCTCACGTGATACTTTGCCCGGCCGTGGACGGGTCGCGAAGCTCATGTTCTTAGAGGAGACACCGATCGCACTTTCAGTGGTGCTACTGTCACGAGGTCCGCGAGCAGCAGGCATGCCTGGCAAAAGGCTCGATGTTCATAGTATGACATATCAGAACCGGGATCAGGCACCGTCACAGACCATCCGGGCCAGGCTTGGCTCTCTGTCATTCCGGCGAGAGTTCGGAGTCTTCAGGCTTGGGACCATTCTTGGTATCCCACCGTTGGGCGGAGCCCGGGACGATATGTATGACGCCTTGAGAAGCTCAGACTGCTGCACGGTCGGGTCACGGACTACAAGTTCGTGTAGTCAAGCAGGCGAAGGAAGGAGGCTTTGCGCTGCTGTCACGAGTCACGACTCACGTAAGGTAGCGTAGGCGAACCAGCAGGGCAACATTCTCAGATCAGGCTCAGAAGCCACGTGACAAGGCTGTACTCAAATTCCACTACAGCTCCGAGAATAGATTAGCCTCGTCTCATTCTCCAGTTCCGTTTTGGCACCGCTCTCGACCCCAGCTTATGCTCGCATGGATCAGATTCATCCTCCCATCATCGCCCTATCTTACCGAGCACGAATGTTCGTATTATCGTGTCGCAGCTAGCGACGACCAACTACTCGTCAAGGCTTCGAGCCCGCGGTGTAGAAGTGGCGCCTTCCGCATTTGCTCGTGAGGGCAAAGCATCCATTTTTCGCGAGAGCATGACCACGTTTGCTCCGAGTCCTGGAATGACGAAATCATGATCGCTGTTCGCATACTGCAGCGGTTTCTACCAATGACGATCACTAGTGGCGCATTGGTGAAGGAAGAGTCTGACCCTCCTAGACGTCCTGTCACTTTTAGTACAGGGATCCGATAGATTTGGATTACCGATCGATGAGCTAAAAGGAAGCTTGTCGGTAGCATACATCAGAATTGCGTTTAGTCCTTGAACACTTCCACGCCGGGGTCCTCTGGGGTTCGAGATGGTCGCTATTGCCCTCCGTGTTGTCCAAACAGAAAGTCACCGGACTGCTCATTTTAACGTGTGCCTGGTCAGGACAGCGGCCGCATGGCTAGTGCTTACGCCTCCAGAAAGGAGCCGTTCCGTCGATTGCATTCCCGACCCAAAGCGCGTCGTGTGGGAGCCACCAACATTCAAGATCCAAACAGTTTACAAATCTTGTTAGGACTTCTCGAAACGGCTTGTGTCGGTCCTCCGCTATAGGCTTATCATCGCACTGTGGCTTGAGAGTGCGAGGAACCATTACTTACATCAGTGACTCACTCCCACTGACTCTCGCATGCGCAAAGCCGACGACCTATGCGATCCTTCCAGAAACACGCAACTAGCGAGGTTGCATCTCGCATGCGTTGGTGCCGACTGTGGTGCTCAAACAGCTCGTGGTTGGTCACTCGTTCTGTAGTCAGAAGTGCTAGGAGACAAGTTGCGCTTTCACTCAAGGGACCGTCTTTTAATCCGTTGATGTCGATACATGTCCCCCGGTCCTATCATGCCGAGCGGACGCGACTCCTGCTGGTGAATCATGCGACAAAAGATATGACAGGCTTCAGAACAATCTTCCACTTCAGCAGCTTGGCCCATCTCGCTCTATAGATGCAGTTATGGTCATCTGCATGACGTCCAGATCTCACCCCACAGATTACCTGCGAAGCGAGTGCTTTATCTACAGGATCTACAGGGATGCGGCGACACGGCATTCATCGCTGTTTAGTAATAAGCGCAACCGCACAGGGTGATCGTTGACGCATGCCGCGCACACACCATTCTTTTCCACCAGTATTCAGCGAAAGCATGATCCGTGCTTGTACGGATTCGGACGCTCGAGCATCAAGTGACTGCGACGCCTTTATTCTGTATCAGAACGAAAGCCCGTCGACGTTTGCGTTACATCGTGTGGTGTCTTCACGATGCCTGCGCCGCCCCTACGTCGTGATAACGGACACGTCACCAAAGGCACAACGTATTAACCGAGCGGGAGTGTATCTACCAATGGAGACTCACGCTGCGGACGACTTCGTACTCTAATGGAGCATACTGCTTCCCCTTCGCTTCTTTCGCTAAGGCACCGCCGGTGGTATGAGTCCAGACCGCCGGCCATGTTGGCACTGTCACAGCTTCACGAGCTGCGGCAACAAGCCATGTTAGGCAGGCTTGATCGACCGCGTCTTGACACCAGCAGTTCCGTCACTCAATGGCTGAAGCGATCCAGACTATAGTTACTCAATCGCTACATCTTGGCTACGCATGAAAGTGCGAGCTGCTCTACGGAACCGGCGATCTACCGACTGATCTACGGGTTCGTTGTTCTATTCTACGAGGTCAGTATTCTTGTTCTACGAGAGGGATCATGGCCCACAATAGACTGTGAGCTTGTACATCTCAGACCTCTCGCTACGAAGAGATGCGTCAAAACAGCGTCGCAAGCCAAAGGAGATCACCTACTGGCTGCAGAGACCTTTGTGCTGCCTGAACAGTAAGGTATGTATCGGACTTCAGTGCTCTTTGCGTCGTCGATCATTTCGCTTAGCGGCGATCATCCTTGGTATCTTCGTTTCAACAGGTGCCCGGCCAGTATCAGGAACCTTGTGATAACGTCGGATCGGGTGTCCGCCTGACGAGCCCCCAATGGACATGCTTGTTTCTGCATCAATGCCCATAAGACCAGTCCCTCTGGGATTCTGCCTTCTATGTTGCCAGGGGACCTCGTCTTGCCAGGTTGCACACTTGTTGAGGGCCTCGCAGCACCGAAATAAAGGTCTGACTACAAGGATCTCGATTATTGCGGCAACTTCACGCACGAGCATGCTGAGACCGGCGGACAAGTTTTGTACGCTCGTGACCACTGCATACGGGTGCACGGCCCGTGGGCCAGCCTGAAGAGGAGACGTTGATGGTCATGGTCCATGTCTGCTCGCTAACGTTGGAGCCGCAAAGTAGACTGGAGAACACTCGTTCACACATCAGGTGTGATGATGAGTCATCTCGTCGTACACAAAACGGCTCAGGCGCGCCACGGGAGTCATCTTAGGTCTCGAAACAAAACTTCGCATCATGGCCCGCAAAGAGCAGAGCACCGGCGACCGTGCATGCATATCAACCAAATCATCAGCCGCAGGGCCGATCACATATCTTCTGTTCGCTCCTAGGCACCACAGGTCTGTCACGAACGAATCGTGCGCTCCTTTACGGCCGTAATATTCGGCATATGACAACTTGATGCCTCTGTAGAAACCTCAGAGCAGCCAGGTCGCGCTCGTGTCGGTTTCACACGAGCCAGCGGCTCAGACGCAACGGTACTTGAAGTTGCGGCCACTTTCGTGGGGTGCCTGCTATGCTACGGGTGCCCGTGTTGGAAAGCTCGTCTAAGATTTGAACCTTGTGTGTTTCTCTCTAGCACGGCTTACACGAGAGCGCTGGTCCCGTACCCAGACCCTTCCGAAGTGGTCATTCAAGCTCGGACTCGTCTAGCCAAATCGAAGGTGCGTGACCTTCTGCTGTCGCAGGACTTCTAGCCAGACGGTAAGCTACCTAACGTTGCTATTGAGGTCAGGAGCAGAAAGAGGCTAGCCTGTGGACGGCTTCTATCTCAGACTTCTCACATAGAACAGTCTGACGACTGCCACAAATGAGGCTCAAGCCAAGGGTCTTCCAGAGATGCCACGCTGGCCTGAGAAAAGACAAAGGTCTCTGGTAGTGTTCAAGTACCCTTGTTCAGGCCTTTCCAAGGCTATACTGTTTACTCAAGCCATTCGATTATGAATGTGGCCATGGACCCCTCGTTGCTCAAACATGAGCTCGGGAGGGAAAACCTCACGCTGTAGCCGTGCCATTAACGTGGATGGGCACTACGATTGGCAGCGGTCAGGGCTGAGCGACCTGCACTGATGCCATGCCGGCACAAGCCTGGAAGGTGATATGATGCTGAGTTGCTTCATCAGTTGACACAAGACTCGGGCGCACAGCGGCTTTATTGCGGATTGTACTCAAGGTTCGAGATTTCCGGACAGATGGCTGCATCTCCCCTGTCTTGGAGACATTTCTGCTGCTACGTCATTGGTGGTCACTGACATGAGTCTTGTGATGCCTGGCACGGTCGAAGCACGATCCAGGTTCCGCGGTTTTCCGCATATCGCTGTTGGCCACGTATCAGCCTTGCACGCTGCCTGACGGCTGCCTTGCGCTCCGCCTTGCATAGAGACCTCTATCGACCCGCACTGGACTGCAGCACGGCCACAACTATACCTCTCCACGTCGTCGGCCCACATGGCGCATCAGGCAGCATGCGCAAACGGTCAGACGTACGTATATTCGTCAGTACCAATCCTGGAATTTGCAAATGATACGAAATGTCTGAAGTCCTTGATGCATCAATAATTTGGAATTTGTCGTCCGCATTAGACGCGGAAGTAGGTCACAAGCACGCCGCGCTGCTCTATTCCAGCCCGCTACCATTTCATTTCGACCGAGTACCAATCCAACAATATCGAGCGT